CCCCCCATTCCCCCCATTCCCTTCAACTCCTACAAGTCGCGATGCTTATTCTTGTCGGGAATTCTTTTAATGACCCATAGTCTCGTTGGCGTTTCTTTTTTTCATGGCTTTTTTTGTGGAATTTTTTTTACTAGGCGATTGCGGACTCTCGCTATCCAGTTATTTTGGAGCTGTGATCGATAGGCAACCGTGGTCACTTGGAATCAACGCGAACTTTTGTTTGGATGCGACCCTAACTTTCGTAGCGATGCTGCAAACAAAACTCTAGCTTACTTGCACCTGTGCCCCTTACTATCAACCAAGTAATTATTTTTTGCAACTCCAACATGTTTCAGTTCTTCACGATTACCACGCTCGAATTTGTTGGCTTACGTGTTTTGTATCTCTTGGTTTTTTTTCCTGGCCTCTCTTTGTCAACGACTGGTTATCTAGCCTTTCTTGTACTCCCGTTCGGGGATATGTCTTTGTGCTGATTTTCATCGAGGCGCTACGCATCCTTACCCATGGGCTACGGCTCGTCACTAATTTTTTATCGATTAGGGTGCTGTGAAGCGATTGGTTTCGGTCTGTGTCTTTTTTCTTTTATTGTCATTGCCTGGTGTGAGCCCTGTTTTTATTTCCGGGGCTGCAATGCCAAAGACAGCATTCGGCTTGGACGTTTTGGTTTATCTGTTGGCTTGCACCCAGCACGCTTTGGGGCCCCGCCTGGAGAGCCCAGACTCCTCCGAGCACCCCCATGCTTTACGGTTTTGATGACTTTACCTTCCTATGACAATTCGTTATCTGGAACTGGCGATCTCTTTGTTCGGTGCGTCCGTACACTTTTGTCGTTGCATGTTTTTGCGCCCAACATTTGGTGTTCGCAGCACTAAATATATGCTTTTTGCTGTTACGGATCATATCAAGCATGTTGTACGTTCCGCGGCGTATATTCAGTGTAGAACGTCTTCTCATATTTATCATGGACTCCAACGCATTGCGCTCTCTTTAATGTTTCTGCGCAACAGTGTGCGATTGCTGTGCTCTACGGAACGATACTGCAGTCTCGTGCACAACTTTATGTTCCGTAGACTGCTATTGGAACTTTTACGTATGTCGCACTAGTGCAGGTATTGCATCGACAGCGATCGACTCACCGATGATCCATATTGCTTGTGATCCGCTTTCCACATAATCTTCATCGTAGGCCTCTGGAATCTGCAAGGGGGACAAACTGTATCACCAGGTATCTTTTGCCTTTCGGGCTTCAGATGCCAATCTCTGGAATAGATATCGAATGCTTCGTGGGCTCCTACTCTATTTAAGACTGTATATACTCGATAACATACTGTATCACCCTTTTTCATGGGCAAGATAGCGCACACTACCATACCGCTTAGGAAAATGTGTGGCAGCAAATATGAGAGCACAAATTCACAAATGAACATACAGTACGGGCGTATACCTTCAGTCGCTTGTCATGAAAGCCTTCATCTTCATCGATGGGTCTGCCTCCCTGGCCGCCGTTTCTCGAGAATCCGGAATCTTTGCTCTGATTCCGGTATCCTCTTCCAGAGATATCTCCATCTCTGCTGTCGAACTGGATCATCACCAGAACCTCCTTTACATCGCCAGACTGCAAGCTGCTATCCAAGGTCTTGCGTTTATGCTCGATGCCAGGCTGCTATCGCTGCACAAGATGCCTGATCATGCATTTTTCAAGTGGCTACCGCTATCGATCCAACATCACCATTCCAACTATCATGAAGCAGACAGACAAGCTCTTTTGACCACTTTCAATATGCCAAGTCTATTGACTATGACAAACTACTGCATTAGCGATCCATTCGCCACATCAGCAAGCACCTACTTCATGGCCGCAACGAATGAAGCGTAAATTTGCTGTTCCGCCCGTCCACTGCTGGTACTATCATTCGGCTATCATCATGACACCTCTGGTACCCTTTCTGCCTAGGGTTGCATCTTAGATCCGTCGCACCGGTGCTCGCAAGCGTGCCAGAGCACAACGCACGCCGTCTCTTGAGACACATGCGACCCGGGTCAACCAACGAAAACACCGTCAACAACCAAGAGCCCCGATCGCGCCGGCTATTGTTGCCTTCCGTCTACACTCAAAGCGATCCTGGTCGGCACTGCAGGGTCTCGCTAGTTCAGGTCAGCATCCAGGTTGCCGTCGCTTATTAAGATCATGTCTGCGAAAAGCACCTCAATCCTTTACACTATTAGTCGGTGGCCGCCCCGTTCAGATATTGCTGCGATGGCGTCCATATGATAAAAGAATCCGCGACTGTGTCAATCGTGAAGCTTGAGACCTTCTTTAGTCGATACATCATATTCTGCATCTCGGTTGCTCCCTTGGCCGGAGGACAAGCCTCCATTCATCAGCAGTAGATTCAATCATAGGGCATCTCGCAACCACCTTGCACATAATCGATAGGTACGGTTACAGAAAGAAAGCGCTCAGGTTGCCTTCAACTCTGCTCGCCGTGCTGCGGTAACTCTCACTTTGGCTAGATTCGCCCTCTGGATCTCGCTGTGCGCTCTATCTTGCCTCTACGATTTAGCACGCTTGCGACATGTCCATGGTCTTATAGCTTACTTGCGCCCTCTGCTTGGAGTCATTTTCTCGACAACAAGCCCAAATCGGGGACTGGATCCCAACAGTGCGCTACAGTCGTTTTTGTACACGTTTTGTCCAACAGACAGCAGGCAAGAGTCTGAGAACTTCTGAGACGACCCTTCCGCATTTGGAGCAGGCAATATGCGCTTTCGATGCTAGAGCTGTACATGCGCTCTGATGCTGGTAACTCTGCGACTTGCTTACTCAGCGACGCTGCTGCAGATGAAATGGATTCATTGATATGTACGCTTACCCTAGGGATACCGTATTCTGGTGAAATGTTCAGTTGCACGGATCGAACCGCACTTGCTCTGGAACTACTAGTCGTGGACAGAATGCGAGCTAGTACATCAATCCTACAATGCTTACATCCGTTTGCGTCGTCGCACAAAACTCGCTAGTCGCAACCTGTGCACCGGGTTTCCGGGGCAACGAAGGCAAAGTTTTGCAACTCAGCGACGTGGCCGAAAAAGCGATAGTCATAGGCGCGCTCGTGCTCATAGGTAATCATTCCTTTAGGTTCCGAGAGAGAATTCCTGCCCCGTCGTTCCATGTGTATCGCCTCTGAATCACGCCCCCTCGGCAGGATTTCAGAGTGCTCTCCGCGCACATCTGTAGCCGCATTCATTCGTTCGTTCGTTCGTTCATTCATTCGTATTCACCGATCTTGTGTACATGTCTGCAACATTGTCATAACAGAGGATCAGCATAGACATGATATAGACCTTAAACGACGTAAACGTCAACGCGCATACTCAAGCAGAAACTGAAGCTGAACCCGAAACCGATGTTGACGCACTCGCAGACACCGCCGCAGAAGCTGTCGCAGACACCGTCGCAGAGGGTGTCGCTGTCGCAGCCACGGGACTCGGAGTCGGTGTTGAACTAATCACGACACACTGGTTGTTGATGCACTCCTCGTCAGCGCGGCAGCAACGCATCTTGTTCACAAGGTTATCCGAAGGGATCAGGTACGTCCCGCACTGCTTTGTAGGGTCCTTGCACACACAGAACGACGGCAGCAGCACCTGTTGTTGCTGCTGCTGTTGCTGCAGTTGCAGCTGCTGCTGCTGCTGGTTATTGTTGTTGCTGAACGGGATGTACGTGCAGTTCTGCGTCTCGGCGTTGCAGCACTCCGGGCCACACGGAATATAGCTCGAGTTCGATACGTTGCCGGTCGTGCCGCTCAGCGAGTTCGACACATACCCGTAGGTCTGGCACACGTACTCGGTTACCGGCTGGAAGCACTCGTTGCCGAGCCCCAGGCAGCAACCAGCCTCCAGACACTGCTGCGGCGCGTAGCTCGTGCGCTGCGTCCCGTGCTGCTCTCCGTACAGCAGCGTGTTCAGCAGACGCACAAACTGGTTATTGTTGATGTTATTGTTGGTCAGCTGCTGGTTCTGATTCACCGCGTTCGTGCACGGCTGGCGCTCAAACTCACCCACCGCGCACGTCTTCTCGGGCTGGAAGCAGTACGGGTTCGACGTAAAGTCACTCTGCTGCTTGCCGTTCTGCACCCACTGGTTCTGCGCCTGCGAGTCGTAGCAGCAGCCCTGTTCATAGCAGGTAAACTGGTTGATACCCGCGTTGCCGCACGGCTGCCGCTGCGCTCCCGGTGACGGGCAGACGGGAACCGGTGCCTGCACCTCCTGTAGCGCTACAGAAGCCTGGGGTGCATGGTCGATGTCGTAGTAGCACCAGGGCGCGAGGATGCCGTTCGCTGTGGGCTGCCAGCAGCATCCCGGTATCGCAGTGCACTCGTCGGGATAGATGTAGCTCCAGCCGCAGGGGACGCGCTGTGTCACTGGAACAGCGCTGCACGCCGCTGCGACGCTCTTCAGGGTGCACGCGTTCGTCTGGGCGTTGAAGCAGCATCCGACTTGCTCGCAAGCGTCCTGGTTCGTGTACTGTCCCGGGGAACCGCAGATCTCATTGGTGCACACCGGAGTAGATGTAGGCGTTGGCGTCAGTGTGAACGTCGAGGTTACGGTTGCTGTTATCGTAGATGTAGCCGTAGATGAAGCGGTTGCCGAGAATGTTGGGGTCGATGTAGCAGTTGGCGTTGATGTTGGCGTAGGCGTAGAGGTAGGCGTAAAGAACGTTTCACGCAGTGCGAAAACATCATTGAGATAGCCAGGTCTGCTAGTGTTTGAGTATCCAAATCCGCCAAATAGGATCGGATCGGTCCCACTTGTATTCCAGAAAGCTGGTCCATAGCGACCGCCAGGTACAACACTCGAGCTGGACTCGTTCAAAACTCCATATACTGAAAGAGCATCCGCACTTTGGCTGCCATTGATCCACGCCCACTGACCAAGCGTGATATCAAATACCCAAAGATCGTTCAAATTGCCAAAGGATTCGCTTGTATTAGCGAATCCCTCACCGCCAAACAGCTGTAGATTACCAAAAGAATCCACAAAACTCACGCCTGAGTCTCTTGCACCTGGGTAACTGGTTGGGGAGAAAGCACCGAGAGTTCCATACGATCCTGGATTACTAATAGTGGTATTCCCTGTGATAAAAATCCATACGGATTGGCTTATGTTGTAGACCCAGAGATCATTCAAGTCCCCTGGTCCTCGTGCTGTGCTGTTTCCGTAGCCAGCGCCACCGAACAACCAGAGATTTCCTTCAAAATCTGTCCATGTATACGAGGCGCCGCGCGCACCTGGGGCATTTGAGTTGCTCGCCACGCCAGGTGCGCTATAGTTACCGGGCTGGTTAACAAGTTGTGATCCGCCTCTGTATGCCCATACGAATGTCACAGGGTTGAATGACCAAAGATCTGACAGAAAATCCCCCGCAATACCCACACCACCAAAAATCCAAAACAGACCGTCCGTGCCTAGCCAGAATGCCGCGCTATATCGGCCTCCGGGGTTGTAAATTTGACTGTAGATATCCTTCGGTCCATAGACTGGATTGGCGTTAATAGTATCATTCCCACTGAACCACGTCCAGATTCCCGTTTCAGTATCGTACCGCCACATATCGTTCAGTTCGCCCTCATTACCGTTCACATCAGAGCCGAAACCACCAAACAACCAGAAGTGCTGCTCGTCCGCCTGCCAATATGCGCTTGCATAACGACTGCCAGGTATATTGGCTGGGCTGCTTATGCCGAGTGTGCCATATACTCCTTGTTTGTTGACGTCTGAAGAGCCGCCTATCCACATCCACTCGAGTGATGTGAGGTTGAAGCTCCAAAAATCGTTGAGGTAGCCCCCTGTTGTGTTTCCATTCCCAAACCCGCCAAACAAGTATACCAAGCTCGAACTTCCGACCCAGGCTGCTGGATTTTGACGTCCACCAGGGACACTCTCTGGAGACGTCTCGTTCAACGTTCCATACTTTCCATACTTACCTGTGCCCGTCTCTCCACCTATCCAGGTCCAGCTAACCGTACTCACAGGCGACAACGCAGCTACAACCGACACGGAAAACGTCGCCGCCAACAATAGACAACCAGCAACTCCCAGGCCACGCGCCAGAGAGCGAGCTCGAAACATCTCGTTCGACGCTCTCTCAGTCCAATAAATACGGATATTTGTTCTTTCTTGCGTGAATATATCTTCACTATTGTTTTTTCGATATGGTCAACACGAACGTAACCGCCGTGTGTTGTGAAAGCCAATACAACAACGCACAACGTGATAGCGCCAAAAACGCGAAACGCGCGCGCGCACTGCAGAGGAATTTGAATTGGAGTCATCATGATGCGATGAAGAATTCACGTTGATGTCGAGACTGGAGCGTAACGGACGTAGGGATTTCGGGGTTCATAGTCCGAAATATCCAAGTTGAGAGAGGTACTGAAAGCTATATATAGGCTAGTGGGATTTCATTGGAATGAGTAACTCCCGAGTACTGCTCCTTCCAGGTGCGAGTCAGCAGGGCTCAACAGACTATGGCTTGGGGTAAGAAGGATAGCGAATAACGAACTATCGGTTGCTGAGGTTCGTCTTCCACCTGAAAGGCAGATGAATCTCTAAGGCGTATTTTCTATTTTATATTTTAGGAAGACGATTGTAGTGGAAATATTCCGTGTTAGACTTATTGTGTTGCAGTCCTGTTCTCGTGGTGATAGCCAAGCTGAGTAGTTGGGAGGTTTATGTAGGTCTGTACCATTGGTATTTGTCTTAGATAAGAAACATTAACTAGTGAGCTCCAATATTTCTATTGCGAGGAAAACTAAACAATATTGCTCGCGAGGAATGTGGTCTCTGATTCGGGACCCTGCCTCGTTGCTCGAAAACACCCGCACATGTCCGTACCCATGCTTCAGCTATCAACCCACGAAGTGGGAACTCGTAAGTCACTTCTTCATCTAACCGTATTCGGCGTAAGCTTTGAGCATGTATTTCAACTGCCGCTGGCAAGCCTTGCATCACCATGCATTTGCAGGGCTGGCGCAGACCAATGATCCGCGTAGAATACTTTCACAATCGGAGACTTCCTCACGTTTCATCCAATATACCGAAAAATCCTCCGTGGAGTGTATGTTTACATCCCCGCCCCGGAAAGAGAGCTCTGTTGCTTCAGATGACACTGTCTACATGAATGTCGGCCTCGATCCGTAACCCGCCAAGGGCGTCATGACACCAATGAATATCCATGCTCGCATTTCGGAGTGGGAACTTGTTGAACTTTGAAAATGCTCTAGTCTGAATTGGTCTTTTGGCAGCAGCCAAGACAATGGTCCAACGTCTGGGGGCTCGAGAACTGAAATCAGATCATGTTTGCCTGCTTGATCAGAGTCGCTGAATGTGTAGCTGCTTTTTCAAGACGGTGCCTAGCATCATGAACAATTGTATTCCCAGAGGCGTCGTTCCGTAACTGTTTAGTTGAGTAGCGGGCAATTTATAAGTACCATATACACCTTTGGCGATCCGACAGTCTTCCCAGCAGGATCCACGAAAATCTCCGCATAGTTATCGAGCAAACAGCGAGACTTGGCGACCAAGTCTACGGACAAATTCTATGTCGAACTTCAACCGTGCTCAGGCAATGATGCCAGCACCTGTCTCGCAATGTGCTTTTCATACAGCACATTGCCCAGTACATATCCTTTTTTCTTGAACGCTCTCCCCAGACATATTGCCCTGGATTCCTTGTTCTCTTTTGTCCAATGATTCGCGGGAGGCACGATCACCGGCTCTGTCAGTGAGCGGAGCCATGATCCATTCCTTGGGCCTCTCGCATTGTTCTGTGTTCGATGGCTCGCTGCTACGGCTTCATCGGAGTTTATTTGGATGTTCTCGCATGCGAAGGCGCAATCTGGAGTTTAGAGCTTCTTCATGCTACGATCCCGCTTCTGCAATATTTTTCGCAATCTAACATGCGGGCTGCTTGCGTGGTTCACCTGCTTGCCCTACTGTATCCAAAGAAAAAAGAAAACAGAAGCTAAATACATGCTCGCAACTAGATATTCGCAATTAATCCCCCAGAGTAGAAGTTGAAAGCCGAAATCATCCTTCAATTTGACGATTCGCCTTCTTGGCAGAATCTGCCTCGAAAGGGTAAAATCTGTGGAGATCGTACATCCCGTTTCCTCCCCGTAGTGGCGGTGTTCAAACACGACCTACGTTGCTCCTCTTCGGCACCGCTTTCCCAGTACACACGGGGAAGGCTGTGTTGGTCAGCACCGTGCCGTAGTAATCTAGCTTCTTCTAGCCCGCCACTCGATGGCTGTCGCTCGGCTGTCGCAGACTAATGACATGTCCTAGCGCACTGCCCGGAAGGTACGACCCACTAATATAACATGAGAGACCGCTCTGAAACTCGTAGAATCCATTCAAATTCGGAAGAGGGCACTCATAGCATCCCCTGTCCCCAGGCAGCTCCTAGGGACCAGGAAAATCCTGATTCCATGCATCTGTCTCACGGCCGGAGAAAAAGAATCGGATGCATTTCATATTCAGTACCAGGTCACACGATGAGATTCAACAATAAATGTCCCTAATTCTGAACGCTTTCGCGTACACTCCATAGCGGATACGCTATCTGCAGTGGCCGCACATATGCTCTACACTCACGGACGACCGATTTTAGCATACTCTGGCGCATTCGATGCGAAGTAGGTCATAGCTATAGCTATATTAATCACTATTGCAGTACGCTTCATGACTCGCGAAGCAATTTTGGTTCTCTACATCAGGAGGAGTGCCCACCCATCCGTTCAATATCCGATTGTGACAGTGGGGTGTCGTCTCATCGTTACGCTGTTGCTCTTACATCTGTTCTAGAAGCAGCGGTCTGTGCTCCGAAGCCGCATCTCATTTTCATCACTAACAAACCTTAGACAGGGGCCAAGATAGTCGACTTGAGGCCTCGCCTCCGTAACGCCTGGTCGATCAGATCAAGACTCAGTTCGTATAGCTGATCTGCCTTGTCGATTTCGTACGTTGGTTCAATAACCTGCGATTTCGTCTTCTCTCGACCTTCCGTATATTTGCCACGCCACTGACAATACGAGCCCGCGTCCGAGAACTGTCCCTGGGTCGCCACTTCGGCTACACGGCGGCCGGCCTCATCATTCGGAACGTATTGCCGAGTGATATACTTCTGAAGAATCGGGAAGAATACGTACCGGAACCAGCCACGCTTTTCGCGGAAGAGGTTGCTTTCGGCGACACATCCCGGGAAAATCGCCACAGAGGTCACCCCGTCGCGGCCGTATCGATCACTGAGCGCCTTCATTGTCAACACGTTCTCGGCTTTGGCGTCTTTGAAAGCTTTTGTGGGCTGAAACGGGCCACTTTCTACCATGTCCGTCGTCTGCGGATCAAGCCCCGCGGCTAGACCAGATAAATCCCCGAGACGAGCCTGCGGGGGGATCTTTCCCGGCAGCGAATCCGGCGAGTGTGTCTGAGTCGTCAGAAACACAATGCGCCCGCGCGATATTTTCAGCTTCGGCAACAGCTCCCGACATAGAAGCAAATGGCTCAGATGGCATACCTGCATGGTTTTCTCGATGCCGTCCACCGTGAAACGCGGTTTCTTGACCCGCGGATGCCAGATTGCGGCATTGCAGATCAGGGCATCCAGGTGATCGACGCGCGCCACACTCGATAGCCCTTTCACAAACTTTAGTACAGAGGCGAAATCAGCCAGATCACAATGCAGCACTGTATAGGCGTCCTTTGGAAGGTTTACGCTGTTTGCTGCGCGCTCCGCCCGGTCGACGTCACGACATGCCATGACGATGTGCCAGTTGCCCTTGTTGATCAGAGCGTGAGCTGCATACAGACCGACCCCAGAGGACGCGCCAGTGACCACGGCGATCTGCGACTGTTTCGGGCCCATACGAAGATGCAGCATACGATGCCGGCGCGCTACAGGCGAACGCTGCATTACCAAAGGAAGCGGACGCTGGCAGTGGTGACGATGTCCAGCTGTGAAGCACCTGTCATGTTCGGTACCCAGCGGAAACGGTGCTCTACTTACAGCAGGTGAGCGAACTACTCTTTAGCCCCGGTACAGCGGATCAGAGACAAACATGCCTTGTACTTTCTCGGGTTAGGTCGTCTCCGGTGCGAAAGCTGCCGATCACGTCATCGGCTAGAATCGATCGCGTAAGTGTGCGTATCCAGTCAAAAACCTCTTTTGCGTAGCGGCACGAGTGATCGCCCGTCAATTGTCCAGAGTCCGAGCTAAATCTCCCGTAGATTGTCTAGCGTTCAGCGCAACTAGCACAAGCGCTCAATGCCTTTTCAGAAACTAGGCAGAACTCAGACCATTTCGAACAACAACTTCACCAGTACGTAGTGCCAAGGGTTCCGCAGTGCTGCGCTCAGAAATCACAACGATCGTAAATGGACTTCACCACAGCTCTCCGACGAATACCGTAGAGGAGGCATAAGGAAATTTCCTACGGTGCTCTGTATTTTTTGCAAACGTCTGCACGTCAGTTGGAGACTTCATGTCTAGGGCAGGTCATTCGGCACTATTGTACACCGCGGGCGGCAGCGTTTTTCTCAAAGGCATTCGTTGTTCGCTTTGTCGCTTCCGGGCTCGATGTTCGGGTTAGGCTCTTGAAACTAATCTTATAGAGTAGATCAGAATACAGTATGTGCTTTTGGCGGATGCGTCGGTCAAATGGAATGCTAAGTATAGACACTCTATGTATGCGATGCCTCTACCAAGATCACCGGATCCGGGAGAGTAGCAAGCACCATAACTTGGACAAAGACGATAGCATGCAAATGGCTTGAACTGCCATCAGTACCAGCGTATGACGCAAGATCGAAGCACAATTCAGGTCATTTCCTCATTGCAGCGTCCGTGCGGCATGCATAACAAGCATCACGAACAGACGCATATACGAGTCCAGGAATACTACCTTACCTTGTTTGGTTACGATCAATAAAACAAATGAAATTCCTAACGAGAAGATTGATGCACAACTCATCCACACAAGCGGAAGCTGCAGAGAACGCTACGCTTTTGATAGAAGCGTCGAGGGGTTTTGTGTCAGGCCCCAACAGCCCCTTGTATGTCGGGGCGGTACTGCGATGGGCAGTAGCGTCGGCACCAGCGACAGAGTCTATAGCAGGAGATCGTTCTACGTCAATTTCCGATCTACGATAGTTTATTTCAGCTGCAGTGCGATGCGTACAAGCATGTGCCAAGGCGGGTTGTCGAACACGTGTCCTTCATCGATCGCTGAGGCGTCTCGCGCGGTGCAGGCATCGCGCTCGGTGAGTGCACCTCGGAGATCAGACAGACATGAGACACGACGCGCGTGCCGCTGTTGAAGGGAAACGTGATTATGATCTCTAGCGTGTTGTTCAGCTGGAAAAAAGTTAAATTTCCGTTCAGGTCCTAGCAAAGTACAGTGTTTCTGTTCATTTTCGTTTCAAGCTTCAAACAAGTCTAGTCAAGTGTTTTGCGCAGTATCTAACAGAAGCGTTCAAAGAGCGTTATCTTTAAAAAACAAGAAAAGGAAATTTATGAAAAAGCAAGCCCACGATCCTGGAGGTCCAAGGTCGCCGGCTGCCAGAAAAGAACAAAAAGCAGTGCCGAGTCCTGAAGAAAAGGAAGAGCTGAAGAACCGAAAGCAGGAGGCCCTACATCGAAGGCGGCAAGAAAGTCGACTTTACAACGAGAAGGTGGTGAAAACCTTCCTTCTTGGACATATCAAGGATCCCTACAGGGTAAGTTGCGAGACGCTATCGAAAAACATGTGGCCTCTTACTCCAAGAGTATTGTCAACGCGTTGTCAGGACTGATGCATTTGCCGAGGGAGATGGATCGCGACGTGACCCACATGGAAACGGTAGAGATTCCGAAAGATTTTTTCGACAAGACCTTTGTTAGTCAGCTGATGCTTGGCACAGAGGAAGCTCGGAAGGAAAATGAGCGGGTGCATGCCCTCCACGAAAAACATCCCTTTTACAGCTTCAGTGGTACTCGATACTGGGGTTACCGGGATGTTCACTCATATGGGCCCATGAAGTACCCCACGAATCTGAAGGACCATTTGACAGTGAACCTCGAACGTTTTATGTTACGTGCCGTGGTTGCACTCTACCCGGGCCTATCTCGCAATGGAAAACGGGCGACTATCAAGGCCATCACGAAAGATCGCAAGCGTGAAGATGAGGTCGAATTTGTCAGAGAGAAGGCGTAAACGAGAGCGCGAACGAAGCTTCTGCGATCCGTGCGGCTAGACAAGAGCAACGTGCGGTACTGTGGTTGGCGAATCCAAGAGATATGATATCAGAGTCGAAAAAAGATAAGGAAAGATACTATTATCTCATAATGCGGTATTTTGTGTTTCTGGACCGGGAGCTCGAGCGGAAGGCGGAGATGAAGCTGTTTGAGGAAGAAATGAAGAATGGGAGAGACGGAAGGCTGTCCTAATGGGGAAGCGCTTCAACGTGGTTCTAATGAGCAACATCAAGTCACATTTTGTGACTATCGATTCAGGCGTCCTTTACGGCATCATGAGGGAGATCAGTCCGGAGTTCAATGTTAACAGGGAGGACCTCACCGGTGAAATCCGGGAGCCTTTGTGGAAGAATATCTTCGATTTCAAACGTGTGAAAGTCAGCAAATAAAAGGTATTCACAGGGATGATCGAAACCGATGGAGTAGCCATGTCTGTACACTATCGGTGGTTGAAGAAAGATCGGCCAGTCCCTCCCTCGGCTGCGCCCGTCACGAAGGATGAAGAAAAGGGGGAGTCTGATCCTGCAACGCAGGAGGTGGAGAATAACGAACTTGTTGTTGACGCGGTGAAGGATCAAGATGAGAAGGGGGCGGAACCTGCGACACAGAACGTGCAGGATAACGACCTTGTCGTTGGCGCGGTGAAGGATGAAGATGAGAGGTAGGCGGATCCTGCCACACAGAAAGTGCAGGATAACCACGTTATGGTTGGCGCGGCGAAGCATGAAGAGAAGAAGGAGGTGGATCCTGTGACGCAGAAAGTGCAAGATATCGACTTTTTCGTTGGCGGGGACACCGGAAACACAAATATCGTAACCATCGCTGTACCCAAGCGCGCGGAAGATGTTACTGACGGTTACTTTCGTCAGAACGATATGCGCCTTTTGAGGTTCTCGAGAGCGACATACTATCGAGAATCCGGTATATTGAATGAGTGGAAGAAAATCGAGATATGAATGCTGGACTGAAGAAGCACCTGGAAGCTATGAGCAAGGTGACGAGCCGTGGAGCGGACTTTGAATCTTTTCGGAATATTCATGGAAGTTCGCATTGTGCATTGGGATGCGGTGTGGGAGGAGTATATAAAGCCCCGATGGACTCGTTTGCGAATGAATCTGTATTGTGGTAAGTAGCGAGCGTTCGCGAATTTTTTCAATCAGTTGAGCGCCTTGAACGAGGGTGAAAATCAGAGGCTAGTAGCAGCATACAGAGCAGGGCGCTGGGCGCCCAAGAAAGGCACTAAGCCAGCTCCAACGACGAGGGTGTTCAAGGAGTGCGCAAGGCTTTTCGTTGCAAAACCGATAGATCTGTTCCGAACCTCCTACACACAACACGAGCTAGGGTGCACACTTCAGAGGGTCGAAATGGAAAATTGCCAGAGGAGCCCTGAGGAAATAGCAAAGTACGGACCGCTGACGGAGGAGGAAGTGGAAAGGAGAGCGAAAGTTCGTGGACTACTCACGCTAGTAAGTACAACCAACGGGGGCACGAAACGGATGGAGTTTGTGGGCCGGTACTTTATCGCCGCTATCAATACAAGGCGATGTGCAGTGCTGGAGGAAACACCTCCAGAGTCGACAAGAGAGAACATAGTTGGACAGCCTCTCAAAGTCGAAGTATATGAGAAAAAGTTGGATGCAGTAGTAGTTGGCCGGTCGAGAAAGACGCGGAGGCGTCTGCATAGCAGTCGGAGACTTCTTGTCTAGGGCGGGTCACTCGCCACTACTGTACAACGGTGACGTCGTTGAACTTTCGAGAGGTGTTTGGAGGCGGCGGTGCCTCCTTTCGAGGTGTGTGCCGGAACCAATGAATCGTTATTCAGGATAAACGAATACAGACCGCGGTTGAGCAATTAGCGAACGGCTCCTGTTCTAATATATTGCAGCGCATAATGGGGGCAAGGTTTTTTGTCGAGTCTCCAAGTTTACATTGTAAGAAGATCCGGCGATCGGGACAAACCTGCCGGCCAACTGCTCCGTGTGTCCTCATCTGGTTGGTGGTGCGGCGAAATCAAAGCTGTTCTTATGCCGCGCAGATTCTCCCAGGAGTCGCGGGAAATTCGTTCTTTCCACAGGTTCCGGCCTTGTGTCCACGTTCCTCACATGTGTCGTACTGTGCGCCTGGATATGATACGAATCAACAAAACGCGAAGCCATTCTGTGAGTGTACAGAATTCGCAAAGACGCATCCAGCGGCCTTGCACTATCCAAATGCCCGGCACCCGGTGATCCTAGAATGTTTGACGGACTGTAACATGATTCCTCCAGGCACTCTCGTTGGAGCTTGCGGAAGGGACAAGCGTCTGCCGGGACGCAAGTATCCTTGCGCAGGCTGCGAACAAGAATTGTAAATTTTTCGGGGATCGGCTAGTTGCTGCAGAGTCCCGATTCAGAAAATGACTTACCTAGGCAGTGGTTTCGAGCAGATCCCGAGATTCTCAAGTTTCGAAAAAAATCTTCCAGTGACCCGGACTCGAACCAGGGACCCTTCGGTAGATGCAAAGTACCACTACAGCCGAATGCTCTACCAACTCGTAGCCTCGCATGGGAAGCGAGTGAGCTATCACTGGATCTCTGCTTGGCGCACACCGCGCCATGCCGGTGGCGATGCAACCGTCTAAATTTATATATATACTCATAGCGCTTGGATCGCGCCGCATTCGAGATCGCGCCTCGCCTCGGCCCGAGCGCTTCGATCACAGCGGTCGATTTCTTTTTTCGATGACAATCCGTGGACAATTGACCATGGATCCCAGAACTCGAAATCGATAATGGCTCCCGGGGAATCGTCCGCCATAAGGCATCTACCTCCAAGTTCCATAACGCATACTTGGTCTCGGATATACTGGTCGTTTCGTATGTTCTATCCTGCGCCGAGTACCTGCCGCGAGCACCTTCCGTAGCGCTGATATACTGCTGAAGCAGATGCTGCACTGAGACGTAGCGGCTTTGCAAGACCACTGAGGGCGTCGTCTCGAGGCAGGGCTCATCCGACACGGGGTCGGAGTACATCATCGTTCTGGGAGCCCGCGCCAGGGCGAACCGATCTACCAGGAGTCCACTGCGACAAGGGCGACGCCCAGGCGCGGCTTCCTTTCCCTACTTCCCGATTGCTTGTGTTGCAGACGAGCTACGCAGGTCTCGCCATAGCACCTTGCACTGGAGGAAGCATGAAGCACTAGCCCCGCAGACTCGTCCGGACCGCTGGACCTTCCGTCTGGAAGATAAACTTTCGAAGATTCGGAAACTTTTCCCGATTTCATCGATTGCTATCAAGGTCGAAAGAAACTGTTATCGAGCTGCTAGTCAGTGGTTCGTTTCAGTTCTTTCTCGCAGTCGTCGATGCCGCGCTTGTCGCTTGTCAGCACCCTAGGTGCAATTTCACACTCAACCCGCTCCAGTTCCGGAGGTTTTGCACGGATGCCACTTGCATATTCCCACAAAAGCATCAGATACGGAGTCGACCAATCAATGGACTTGCATTGGGATGCATGGACTCCATGCCACATATCGAAATATGCAGAGCATCGAGCGTGACGCGGGCCTGTAGTTTCGACAGATCCTTTACTGATGTTGCCCTCTTGGTTCCGTCGTCAGAAACGCATGAAAGCACTGCGCTGCTACAGAATTCCAGATGTGTTCATGCACAGTCATCGACGTGATGAGAACCGGTCGAAGATTGGCTCCAGTAGTCTTCGGCGTGCTGCAACGCTCGTCTCTCAGGTCATCTTCGCGCCTGCTGGCGAGACAGTTTCCGCGAACAACCATTCATGACCCTGACATGATAATCGGGAAAAACTCTGAGCATAAAACGTTCCGAACCTCTTTGTCGATGATGAAAATGACCTGGAAAGCTCCCTAGTGAATCATTTCTACACACGGCCGCCGCGTCTCGCCAACGTCTCAGCGCTTGAAGCATCTCATGGGAGGGCCTCGAATCCACGGAGGATCCTCGGCGGGCGCGGCTCTCGCTCAAGTATATATGCTGTGCTCTGACGTTTCAATCATTTCGAGAGCTACATCAATAGCCCGGGAAACGCACTCAACTCGTAAAAGATTGTTTACTGTTCTTCTATTCGTATGTTCCGAACAGTTAACCGCGAGCGCCAGCCTCGTGTCCAGTATGTCCAATTCAGGTTGTTGCTACTAGAATTGCCGAACCCTTTCTGTCTCGAGACCGTTCCGAAAACAACGCTATACTAGACACCGCAAAGCCCAGGAGTTGCAAAAGTCGTCCCACTGGCCCGTTTCCGGAACATGTTTGACACTTACGTGCAGAGCTCTCAATAGCACTCGCAGTCGACCCGCGACCAGAACTGAGACCTCCCGAGTGACTCGTTTTGCTGTTGCAGCTCAAGACTCCCCCAACATTCCTAACGCGACGAACACTCCCGGCGCAGCGACACCGACCAACTACACGTCCGATAGTCTCTACGGCACGCTCTCCCCCGGTGTTGCACTGCTCGGTGCGGAAGCGTCCAGGGACCCGTTCTCAAGTGGCTCCGTGCCTGTGGCTTCTGCGGCGTGCGCATCCTCAGCATCGTCCTCAGCTTCTCCTTCCGCGTACGGTTCTTCGTCTTCCTGTGCAATTCGCAGCGCCTCCTCAGCTTTTCCTCCACTCTTTTTCAGAACACGAGAAATCTCCTCGTCGAGGCTGCCAGGGGCGCCACCGCGTCCGTGTCCTCCCTTGTGTACCTCCCGTTCCTTGCGCTCGTGGGCCCTTGCGCCCTGGGAAAACCCACCATGATGGCGTTCAAGCTGAACTAAGCCTTGCTTCACACTTTTACGGAGCTCGTACTGCTCCTCGTCGCGTTCAGGCACCGACTGCACACGCTGTGGATGCATCGCTGGAACAGAAAAGAAACGTTCAGCGCCAATTTTATCTTCAATCGAGTCGATTCGGGGACTTTGCGCAGGTCTCCCATGAAGCTCGAGGCTGCCTCTGCACCGCCTCTTGATGGAGACCCGCACGGGTTTGCCGACTTGGAAGGTCTCCTTGGTTTACAAAGTAACGCTGCTTCCCAGGAGGGAGAACAACCACAACAAAGAGCAAGTGTTGCGGTAACGACTCCGAGAAAGCACAACAGTCGACGACGCTTTTCGGCGCACCGGGCGGCCTTCCTCGCGTACTTGGCGCTTGCATCCGGAGCCGTGCTTGGTCTCGGCATCTACAATCAGGTGCAGAGTGGGGACGCACTCGTCAATCGACTGGCCTGGAACGGACTATACCGGGCGTTCCTGGGACAAGGAGTTGTGTACGTGGTTCTCGGGAGCTTGACGCTGCTGCTTGCGATCGTAAGTGCGCTTGTTCCGAGACAGTATGCTTGGCGTATTCTCTACCGAACAGTCTCGCTGCTCTGCGCAGTTCTGCTAGCGCTACTGGCGGCGCTATGCATCGTGTATGCTGCAGGCGATGAGTCAGCTGAGCTTGCTGCTTGGCGGGATACGAGACCGGAACTCCGGTGTCTGTTCCAGCACATTTATCAGTGCAGCGGGTTCTATCGAGCTAGCGATGGGACCGCTCCGCCTCTGTGTGGACCAGTTGGTAGAAACGTACCAGGATGCCAGTACGCATTTATCCGTCCTAGTTTGAATCCGTATCTTGCTGTACAGGGAATGGCGTGCTTGTCTGTGGCAACGTTGCTCTTTCTCGAGTCCATTGCTGTGATGATCTGCTTCTAACATGCTCTCCATCCGGCCAAGAATAAGGCGCGTGAACGCGATTCTTTGTGCAGCCTTTTCTCTAGGCAGTGCGTGCGGATACCGCTGGGCAATGCGGCCTGGATCTCATTCTCGATATGCCACCAGCATTTCACACGCCATCTTCCATCAAGACACCAACGATGAATTGGCGCAAGGCTGCGCTTATCGTGTCCTCCGTTGCACAGTGGTGAACATTCACCATGTCGATTGGAGACAACTCTGTGGAGCTTCCGGAGCCCGGCGGCGCTGGGGTAGCAGTGCTTTGTTGCGAGCACATCCCCAGCAAAGCGCGAAACGAGGTGGCTGGTAATTGTCAGTCTGCCTGCTTCTGCTTGGGGACACACAATTATACGCTTCTGATTGTTGCATGCCTCTTGGACAGCGAGTTTCATGAGGCAGCGAGAGTCTGCTTGATAGTGCTTACCGAGGACGATGTTTTCGGCGTCGCCTGGTGTAAAGATCGCCTGCAGCAAAGCGCGCAGACATCGAACCGGTTCCCACTGACACGTGACCGGGCCAGTAATTGCCTTCAACGACCTGGGATTTGCGGTATTCTCTGGACCACAGAACAGCCGAGCACCAACCAGCAGACCGTAACGCTTGAAGCGATTTCTTCCAGGTCCGAGCGTGCAAGCCGCCGGGTGACGCTCAAGGAGGCGATGCAGCGCCCCCAGCGATGCCATTGTGGCGGGTGACGAATCTGGAGGCGGCCGTCATTCGGATTCTTCCGAACGCCGCAGTGCAACTCTGGTTGCGTTTCTCGAGGACAGGAATGGAGGTAGCCAAGCGTGCTTCGCGCTCGACTTGGTTGCCAAGTAAGGCACGGGCCCTCTCTAGCGTGGAGAACTGCAAGGCTGGCGACATTTCCGTCATATTTTTTCATGGGACAGTAAACCGCTCGCTTTTATCCTTGCATTCGATTTTTCCGAACACTTTATAAGTGAACACTCTCGACATTTGAATGCAGTAAGAAACGATAACTAATGTACGCATATTTTTAGGATTCTTGGTCGTTTTTCGGAGTGACTAGGTCGACGCTTTGCCGCTGAAATTCGTTTCTGCACCGGGATCAAGATGATTCGCAACGCCCTTGATCGAGGTCTCATGAAGGATATCATCCATATCATTTTTTAGCGGAAACGAAAGAGCCTCCACGCTTCCCCCTTCGTTTCATACAGCAATCTAAAATCAGACACTCTGCACGCTTTTCGATCTATGCGTATCAAGGCATCTCGTGGGTGCAGCAATACAGGGCCCTGAATTGACGGGAATTAATCTCGACGTCGGCTATCGACAACATGGAACGCTCACGTCGCATGTTCTCTGCACATGCAACGTTGTTATAACCGTTCAAGCTCGAGGCACAAATCTTTCTTTCTTTGTGGGCATCCACTGAACGGCATTCCACGGCAGCATGATACCCCTCGAAATCTATGCATGCAGAAGATCCGGTCTCTTTTGCTTGTATGTAGAAGTGCCTTGTACTCGGACTTGCACAGCTGCAACAATAATTTCTTCTAAAGTGTGCACTAACTTTTTGCATTTCGGGCGCATAAACCGATCGACTCTTCTCAATACCTATTCCACCATGGATTTTCATTCTGAGCGTCGTTCCTTCACGGACAACATCACATTCCACAGTGCTTGCATCGAATGGGCCCTTGTGCGTTTGCAGGTGCAGCGGGCAACCTAGTCGCCGACGGTACCGCACTGCAGAAACGAGTGATCGCAGGGTGCAGCTCTTGAATCGAAACCGAAGGATCGCATCCAGGCGAGCCCTCTGTGCTCGCCAAGGGCATGTACCAAGCGAAGAGAAATACATTTGCGAGCCACTGAATGGCCCTCGGTGGAGGACGTGTGCTGGACATTGGGGAATATCTTACGACAGTTAAGTGTCACTGCTGTGAGGGGCGCATCGAGAATACGCCCAGAGAAGGTGCAAGCGCCAAGCGAAGCGATCATCGCAATCTGCGTCTGCGCATGAAACGATTAGACAACAGCCAGGAACAGTGAAATCAAGCTGGTAATGCTAGTGTGAACATACTTCGCCCGCTAAAATTGAAGCTGGATTGACAAGAGAGTCCGACGTATTCAAATCCGAAGAAAACAGAGAGGGAAAGGAACAAGTCGCTGAAAAACATCTCAAAAGCTGTTGTTGATGACAATGGGATGAGGTCCACTCGTTAGCGTATACACTCGAGCAAGCCAGGATGACCTGATCGTTTTTAAGTTTGATATAGAAGCAGAAGCGGCATGCAGACCGCGGCATTCCAGCAATCTGGGCAGCAGCCAGGTCGAGGCCAGCGCTCCTTGGGACTTCAGGGATCGTTCTCCAGCATGTTACATCCAGATCGCAATGATGTCACGCTGCCTGCTCGGGCAGACGCTCTGCTATGGATCCACGGAACATCATTTGGTTTGCTTACGGTGAACAGCCAGCAGTTGCGCTCGCTTCGCATTCTAGAGCAGTTACATACCGTGAACAAGGCTACCGCTGTGCTCTCGATGCCTGCTTGCGAGGCAAGCAACCTAGAATCGCGAACCAAGGCACCACATCGGTATTTCTAACGCTGTAGCACCAACGCATCCAGCCAGAATCTTCGGTTGCATCAAAATTGACCGCATTTCAGGTCCGTGCGTCAGATTCCCTGTAGATGCGTCGACTTTGCTTGGACTTCAAAAGATCAGACGACTCAGGAGTGCATATCAGATCAAACAGATGGCCGCGTCGCTTGTGGGCCCGTGCTCAACGCCGTACGCTTGGAGCTGACAGCCCGTGGCTCACAGTTCCACTATGCATATCCCCCGTGGACACCTAAATCTTATGAATCGAGCTGCACGCCTCAGAAGATTCCTTGCACTTCTGAATGCAGCTTCTCCACGTAACGAACGATGCACAGCTGGCCGCACACGTGACAGAACGGAGACCGCTCGCCTCTGGAGTACTCGTGCCCCAAGACGCATCGCGCAACAGCACTACGACGGCAGCAGGTTCCAGGCACAGGGCGGAGGCTAACGGATCCGCCAAGGCCAGCCTTGGACGCCCATACCACCAGTCACGGGGCGTCGAATCGCCCAGGAACCGGGGATCGTTCGTAACGCCCACAGCGTACAGGTCGCAGAGTACCGTGCCGACTGGCGTTCAATGCTCTCTCTCTATCGCCATCCGGGGGTGTGTGCTCATAAGGTCGCGTGCACTTTGTGTCCCTGATGCTGGTAGATAAATGCTTAAAAAGCACTTTTTCGGCCCCAGATGCTCGTGTTAGCGCCCGCCATCGCCTCCCAAAACCGAAAAGGATTCTTGCAAAGTTGCATTTGCAGCTCCAGTGCCCCGATTGGGAATGTCCACGGACGTAACGCAGAGCAAGCGCGAGAACAGCCACCATGACGCTCCAGGCTTGCACAATGTAATGCGTACGCAGCGAGCCGAGCTCCGATACTTGACTTTGTATCGGCCTGCGTTTCCGCTGGAATATTTGTAAATGGGTCAGTGGCGGTACCGCTATACGACGCAAGAAGCCGTCCACCACCACATCACCGTTTTCGCACACCACCGTCTAAGACGTCGGTGCAAACAAGCTCCGCGCTCGGACGGTACAGACACCACTGTCTAGTCGCACACGGTGTCCAGGAGTGCTCCCTTGGCATCAGAGCAAAATATCGTCCCGAACAGCTCCATGATGCCACTGGGTGCGATCCAACAGCCAAAAGGCGGACGCAGCTTGCTGACCTTACCCACTCAGATGCGGCGGCGTTGATGTCACGAGTTTTCCGCCGACGACGGTGGTTTCAGCATGCGCCACAGCGCACTAGCACCAACTCCTAAAAGCGCAAACGCGACAATGAGTCCACCGATGCGTCCCATTAGAACGAGTGCAATCATGATGCAGCCAGCGATCGCGACGCCCGCCGCGATGGAGACCAGCGCAAGCCAGATGTCCATTTGCAGAAGGAACGCGGCAATAGCGCCAGACCACGCTCCAGTGCCCGGCAATGGTACGCCAACAAACAAGGCCAGGGCCAGCGCCTGACTCGACGGGGTATTCGCATGACTCGGCAGGCGCCGCGCCACAGAGTCCAACAGGGGGCGCGCGAGGCGACGCATCCGCTCGTGTCGAAGACCAAAAACTAGAAACGGTATTGGAAGCATGTTGCCGATAACGCAGAAGAGAAAAGTCTCGGCCGGCGACAAACCGAGCCAGAGCCCTACCGGCACGCCACCGCGTAGCTCAACAACAGGAAGCGCTGACACCAACATCAAGGTAGCCCAGTCCGGCAGACGGGTCTCGCGCCGAAGCCAAAACGCTATGCGGTGTCCGAGGTGCTTTTGGTGCTGTTCAACGGAACCAACGCCTACCGTAGCCACAGGGACGCGAACGGTTCGCACTGGCGCGCTCCAGTTGCGAAGATTCTGGGTGTTATTCACCGACACCCTGGGGGCCAGTGTCGCCGGCACGTACCATTCCGTCGTGCTGACGCTTGCGCGCACCAGTCGCTTGCTCCTTGCCCGGTGCTTGCTCACGTGTCGTAGAACAGGTGCAACAAACACCATCACGCGTGAGTCACTGCAGTAGTTGCTACCGAGATGCTGCCCTGTCCAGAAGAGGAACGCGCAGGCGCACGCCCGATCCCGTACATATAGCTCCGGAGCATCGGCGAGAGAACACGAGGTCTAGTGTTGATGACGTAGGGAACGGTGCTTCACGTTCCGTACATGTTTTGTCCGATATATCCATTTTGTTCGATGGCGTTATTGGACCCAGGAAATGCAGTGTCCAATCTATTCATATATGGACCTAAAGATGCTTTTCCTTCCGTACTTTTTTGTCCCATATATTCCATTTCTTCCAGAAAGATTGCACATCCTTTGAACGCAACGACATTTAAGCCTATTATTATACAAAACTACCATCCAGATGCACCGGATACGGCCTTCTTCCCAGCAGCGCCGCATCTGATGAAAGCGTCGCCATGCGGCAGCAGAGTCGCTATCCAACGCAGCATGTATTTACGTATCGCGCATACGCCAAGCTCGCCGTGCCTGCCACCGCGGTACGTTAACGACGTGTATGCGCCCTGACACGCGCTCGAGGTTCGTTAGTGGCAGCATCAGCACTATTATTGCTTACAGTATCTGCGTACGTCGCGTTGTCTAGGCAGCGGCCTCGTGCTAGGAACCGAGTCGGCGAGTGCGATGCAGTCCAGCGATGGAAACGACTGGGATGCTTTTTTCGCGAACGACCCCGAAGAAGACGCTTCGAAGCGCTTATTCCAGAATGAAATTCGCCAGATGCTGTACGGTTTCGGGGATGCGCGGCAGCCGCGGCGTGATACGGCTGAGCTTGTCGAGGACTTGTTGCGGACGTACCTCACCGCTGTCGTGCAGCGCTGTGTTGAAGTTGCGAACACGCGTGGCCGAAAGTACCCCGATGTGAGTGACCTGAGGTTTCTTCTGAGAAAAGATCTGCGCAAGTTGCGTCGCGTGAACTACTTGGTAGCGATGAAGGAGGTCATCGACGAGACCACGCGACGAGGTGGCGAGCTCGAGTCGCTTGGTCGCTGAGCGGTTTCCGCGTCACCCTCGGGACTTGATGTTTACGTTCCTCGGAGCGTCGTCTTCGGCGCTGTACCGTCTGCGGTGGGCTCTGAGACACCCTCAACTGGTTCCTTGTATGTGATGCTGGACGGTGTATAGGCACATGGCTCAATGCGCCAAATGCGCTCCGCGTACTCATGGATACTGCGATCAGAACTGAACTTACCCATGCGAGCCGTGCTCACAATACACTTAGCCAGCCACGAGCGCTGGTCCCTATAGGCAGCGTCGACGCGATCCTGGGCTTCCATATACGAGGTAAAGTCGCGACTGATCAGGTAGTAGTCGTTGGCTGGATCGAGGGCTCGTACAATTTCCTGAAAAGTGTCTTGACCGCAGTACATACCGCGACTGAGCTGACCCAGTGCGTTCTGGAAGCGCCCATCGGTACATTTCCAGCCATGGTACTTGAGTTCATTGCGCGCCTGGTCAACTTCTTGAGCCAACAGACCGAAAATAAAGATGTTCTCCGGCCCGATTTCTTCTCGGATTTCAATGTTCGCTCCGTCCATAGTGCCGATGATGAGACCGCCGTTCATCACAAACTTCATGTTGCTCGTTCCTGACGCCTCCATGCCGGCAGTCGATATATGCTCGCTAATGTCGCTCGCCGGAATGATGATCTCGGCAAGAGACACGCTGTAGTTTTCGAGAAATACAACTTTCAGGAGGTCGCCAACATCTGGATCATTGTTGACCACGTCTGCTACACCATTAATGAGACGAATGATGCGCTTGGCTTGTGCGTAACCAGCCGCTGCTTTGCCTCCGAAGATGAAGACCCGCGGCACGAGATCACGCTTGCCCGACTTGATCAAATTGTAGCGCGCAATCACACCGAGAATATTCAACAACTGGCGCTTGTACTCGTGAATTCGCTTGACCTGGATGTCGAAGAGGGCATTCACATCCACGTGGACGCCATTCTTTTCTCGAATGTATTCAGCGAGACGCCGCTTATTTTCCTTTTTGGCTTCGAAAAATTCCCGTTGCAGGTCAGGGTTCTCGGCGTACTGTTCCAACTGGCGGATCTGGTTCAAATCCAAAATCCATTCATCGCTCTCCGTCCAGCGGGAAAACACCGCACTCAAGGCGGGATTTGCTTCCAGTATCCAGCGTCGAGGGGTCACACCGTTTGTGATGTTCACAAACTTTTTCGGCTCGAAGCGGTTAAAATCAGGGAAGAGACGGGTTCGCACGAGTTCCGAGTGTATTTCCGCGACACCATTGACAGTATGTGAGCCAACGACGGCCAGCTGGGCCATGCGCACCATTTTTGGAAAACCCTCCTCGATGATGCTCACTCGCTCCAACAGATGGCCATCGTTGTTGCTTAGACGAGCATACTCCTGGAGATGACGAAAGTTGATTTCGAAGATGAGCTGCATGTGGCGAGGCAAGAGCCGTTCCATGAGTGGCACAGGCCACTTTTCCAAGGCCTCCGGCAGCACCGTGTGATTCGTGTACGAGAACACCGCTTTGACGGTTTTCCACGCATCCGTCCAGCCCAATGCGTACTCGTCCAGGAGAAGGCGCATCATTTCAACAATCCCGATCGTCGGATGCGTGTCGTTCAGCTGAATGCACACTTTTTCGGCAAGTTGCGTGAGTGGTCGGTCCTTCTTCAGGAACCTCCGAATGATGTCCTGCAGCGTCGCCGAAACGAAGAAATACTGTTGCTTGAGGCGCAGCTCCTTGCCTGCTTCAGTGCTATCGTTCGGGTACAGGACGGCGGAGAGCGTCTCACTCGTCTGCCGCATTTCAAGAATCTTATAATAGTCGCCAACGTTGAAAGAGCTAAGATCGAACTCACGCGCAGGCTTACTGTCCCACAAGCGCAGATTGATGCAATTGTATGTATCATACCCGGGCACAGGAACATCGAATGCCACCGCCAACACGGCCTCGGCTGGCTCCCATTTGAAGCGCAAGTTTCCCTTATTGTCAGTGAACTGACTCACGCTGCCTCCAAAATACACGGGATAGGTCACATCGAGGCGCTCAATCTCGAAGGGATTACCGCGCGTCAACCAAAAGTCTGGCAACTCAATTTGATACCCGTTCTTGATCCGCTGCTCGAACATGCCGTAGCGATAACGAATACCGTAGCCCCAGCCTGGGTAGTTTAGCGTTGCCACCGAGTCAAGGAAACAGGCGGCGAGCCTTCCGAGGCCACCGTTACCGAGTCCTGGCTCTCGCTCCTCGGCTTCCACCTCGTCCAGGTCAAAGCCAAGCTCGATGAGCGCCTCCCTGTACTGCTCTCGAAGTCCCAGGTTGATCAGCGCATTGTCAAGGAAACGACCCATGAGAAACTCCAAAGATAAGTAGTACATGCGACGACAATCTTTCTCCGTAAAATACTGCTGTGTATCATTCCATGCTTCGATCAGGCGATCCCTCACGGAAAGCGCCGTCGCGTAGTACGCACCAGAGCGATCGAAGTTGTACCTGGTCCGCGCCAGTGAATACTCCAGATGGTTCACGATGTACTTCTGAATGGATGAAACGTCGCGTGCCAGGTACGATGACATAAGCGACCAGAGCAGCTGCCGGCGACGTTCCTCCTCCTCCGGACTCAGCTCGATCGTTCCCAAGACTTTGCTCAGACTCTCGACTCCGACGGGAGTAGTGGATCCACTCACAGCCAGCGGCTGCGGCCGCATTTCCGGCGGTGAGACAACGCCCACCGCCAGATCCTGAAATGATGCTGTGCGATGTTTCCGTTCGAATGGCATGCTAGTGATTGATCCGTCCACGTTGCTCGTGTGGCGTCCGTTTTCGTACCCACCCCGCAAATATCTGTCACGCTGGTAAAGTCGGTGCTAGCGATCAACTGTGATCGTACCGCTGGTGCTTTCTCTTCTCTTCGTATCACCGATCTGTTCCTTTGATAGGTCTCAAACGAAAGATCACAGCCTTGCCTACCTAGAATATACTACCAGGCAAGGAGAACAATACGACCGGCTCGTAAGACCCGCCACACGCGAATCAACGAAACGCAGCGCAAGCGCTCTAGAGGCCTAATCTGTTCCTGGAGCTGCTGCTGCTGCTGCTGCTCATCGCCGCTGCTGCTGCGCAGAGGCAGTGCGCCGAACGAATGGCGGGCGTTGGCGCGGTGTTGCGCACGGATGCGCGTCACGAGGGCGCTGATGCGTGCGCGCCGCACGCCTCAGCGCATTCCCCCGGGAGGCCAATCGTCGATGCACTTTCTTCGGGAAAGCATGCCCAAGTTTGAGTCTCGTACCAGTTTCTTGGACAGCAGCCTATGTGGGTTTTCTCTGCGAATGGTTCCTTCACCTCACTCTCACATCTCGGACTTTGAGTGCTCCAGTCTTTCCGTTCTGCCAGAAACCTTAATCAGCAGCCGAAGGGTGGTAACAGCAGGGTGCAGAGCCCCATGACGCTGCTTCCAGCTGCTACTGTTGCCCAGCATGGATAGACGGAAGTTGCGATCTAGACTTTGTTTTTCAATTGATGTGTGCTTTGTGCACAGGCTCGGTGTGCCGCTCGTCGCAGTGACACCTGCATGTGCTCGAGTGTCGTCAAATCGGCGGTACAAACTTCTGTTTTGAGGGACGTCCTCTGGTGCCTGGAGGCATTCTTCACCGCACGGTACACGGCCTTGACGTGTCTCAAACTCTCCTATGGATGGCTGGGTGCGTGTCCGCGTCCGGTCTGTACTGTCCGATCACGGAATTGTTGTGAGCAATCTCATCGGCAAGTACGCGCTGCGTCGCACGTGCGTGCACTGCGCATTCCGTTCGGCGGATGATTTCAGGAACGCAATGTTCTCTATGATGAAAGTAGCACGAGTAGGAGACCCATACTGGACATCAAGACGAGAAGCTTCGAATCGTCAATGCTCCGTTTGATCCAAGCGGTGACGCATGCCCCAATGGCGAGTGATCGATACGAATCCTACAGTTCGATTCCAAAACCTTTTTCCGTGCGAATAGAAGAGATCGGAGCCTCTGTGAGCATCTCCCGTGAGAGCCGTCGTGGTGCTACTCTGGTATGCTGGCTCGTCCATGGCCACAATGAGAGACAAATTCGTCCATCGAGCTGCGTCGCTGACTAGACGTGACAAATTTAGTGAAGATTTGGCATAAGCTTGGGAGGGATTCGTCAAGGAACGACGCTGAGTATTTTCCCGTAACAAGCCGAGGGGCGCGAATTTCCGCGCACGAGTTGACTTGAAACAGAACGATCGAAAACTTGGAGGATACGCGATAAGAGCATGCCAAATACGTGGAATGGAGAAGAGTGTAGGGTTCTGCTTCTGAATCGGATAAAGATACCGGCTGTTTTACGGACCCTGGCTCGACGACATCGCGAATCATCTTGATTCCAGTTTCGTCACAGATTCTTGGCGCAAAATGTCAAAGGTGCCGATCCGTAAGCATGCTCGAGACGCGTAAATCGACGTTTGAGTACCGTAGCCCTCATCACTACATTTGGAACGCAGAGAACGTATATTTAAAAGAATAAGGCCATAAATCAAAAATCTGGGATAGTGCGAGCAGTTCAGCGTTCGTTCTTAATCTAAAGCGACGGTTAGAACTTGGGCGCTTTTCCTATGTTGCTGCATCGCGCTGGAACGATGTGCGATCGTCGTGGACATGTTGCATGCTGGTGTCGATGCAGATGTTGAGAACACAAGGGCCACCGCGGCAAACTTAAGGTTCGTCAACAGCAGTTGCCCTGACTGACTCGCGAAACTCGTCTCCGTATACGAGTTCCCGGTGGGAACCGTTCACCAGCATCGCATTCCTCGGGTTGTGCGCGTGGAGAAACACGGGCAAGGAGAGAGCGTCTCGTACGGAGCACGATTTATCCGATGAATATTAGCAGGTGTGATTCGGGAAGCAATGCTGCAGATGCCTCCGTGGCCAACTCGGCGCGGGATTCGGTCAGGTGCACGAGACGCACGGCCTCCAGGCATCCGGCTGCGATGCCTTGCGAGCACCCAGTACAAATGGATTACGCAACGCATCGCAGTGTTATCATATCGGGCCAACGAGGACCAAGGCTCAGGTCCTTGTAGCTCCTGAAGCTCTGTGCGTCGCAGCGGCGATCATCAAAATGGAATACAAAGGCGAGTTCGGAACGAAACGCAGACGCTCGCATTCCCGTTGATTGCGAATGCGGGATGATCAGGCGCAAACTCGCTCTCAGGTTTGGTTCTGGACAGATGTCATGAAATGGCCCTCAGTTCGATCACACCGAATGCTTGTGCTGCAATCCGAGGGCGAATATTCACTTATGTACAAGAGGCCCCTGGACGTGCGGTCGATACGACTTTGACCGCAGCGAGCATCCATGGGATTTTGGGACTCGAGTGCATCGCTGCCGCAGATCGGTGCCGAACATGGGCGCAGCATGTTGTTGCCAAATAGCGTACCACAAACAAATGCGCATGCTTTGGAAGGCAACCGCTTTGCGAACGATCCTCCGCACACATGACGGCGTCTCGTAAGTGGTCATCGCTCGGGCTAAGGTAACCTGCATATGCAGAGCAGGACCCGTCGGCGCCTCCTATGCCTACCAATCTCCAGAAGCTGATCGGGTGACACGCTTGCGCTCACTCGTGCCGTGAGCAGGTGGTGCTTCAACTGAGCCATGCAAAGCGCGGCAAATACGATCACTGGCAGCGCGCAGCCTGCAAGACTAACGACTCTTTAGGTGCCGAGCTTGCCGTAGGCGCTTGTTGTGACGCTGGATGCGCTGCTCCGCGATCAGCACAGAGAGATAGAACGAATTCGCCACATGCGTTTGGGCGTCAACTCTAAAACCAAATCCGATGCACATTCCATCCATTAAGGCACTTACGGGCCACCATCTGACCTGTGACTACCAATGGGAGAACGTACGCGACTCCATACACAAAAATGCAGCATATTCGTTCATCTACACGCGCCCTTCAGGTTGAGTATCGCTCGCCATGGATGCATCCTGAATGGTACCAATGCATTCACTCACTCTCAATACCAGTGCTGATCGAGAGACACAAACGTCGCCAACGAACACAGGGGCAAACGTGTGTTGCACTCGAAGCGATGCCGCTGCAATCGAACAACGTTCTAGGGGCAATTTAGAGAAGCATACTCACTGATCTGGGCAATTTTTGATCTGCATCTCGTAGCGAATAAGGTGAGGTGCTACTAACCAGTAGGAATCGCCCAGCAACATCCGCCGAACAAGCAGTAAAGGTGCCTCCAGTCACCTAATGAGTAGGATGAACACCTGCGGCGTCTTGTGCCCCGCACAGCTGCTGCCAGTACATCATTCGCGAGCACTGTGAGCAATTTAGCGTCTCTGCGCCCTAAGTGGATCCATCAAGTGGCGCAATGACTGTGCAGAAGACACAAATACACACGCGAATGACAGCGGAAAGGATACTAACACGCGCAGTTATTCGCTGCCGCCCGGTTGTTTTGCAGGGAATCGAGAATGGCATCTGGTTCATAGCCGGCTGCTTTGTGCACCTGTTCGTGATAGAGAAGCGCTGTTCGCGCCAGCGTCGTCATGGCTCGGTCAATGCCCGTATTCTCGAGAGCGCTGGTCTCAAAAAATGGTATCGCGTGATGAGCGGCACACCACGAAAGCGCATGCTCGCGAGTGGCTTCGTATACCGATGTTTGGGAGCGCACAAGGTCGACCTTGTTTCCCAGAAGCACAAATGGAAACGTAGACGCAGCTGGTGGTGCCGCTAGCAACAGAAACTCTTCGCGCCACGACGTTACACTCGCGAGCGAACTGGCCTCGCTAAAGTCGAACATGAGGGCGCAACCGTCTGCACCACGATAGAATGCAGCACCAAGTGACTGGTATCGTTCTTGTCCGGCCGTATCCCAGATTTGCAGACACACTTGCCGTCTTCTTCCGCACGCTTCGGTGCTGAACTCGCAAGTCGCTACACCAGCGCCTCCAGGCTCCGACGTTCCTGTTTTTTCTTTGGGAGCAGTGACGCCTTCGTCGCAGGGGCTATCGTCAAAAAGTTCCAGTTCTTTCGTTAAAAAATCGGCTCCGATGGTGGCCTTGTACTGCAGCGAGAAGCGTCGATTAACGAAACGCTCCAGACACGAAGTCTTGCCTACTCCAGAGTCACCCAGGATGACCAGTTTCAAAAGGATCGGAGAGGTCGACATCAACGACGACTCCAAAAGGCCCTCACCACTCTACGATTGTGTCCGATATGGTGGGCCCTGAGAAGCGCACCCATAAAAAAGCGAATAGAAGCGCTCAACATTTCCTCGCGGATGCTCCACGAACGCGCCCCACTCCCTATCATAGGCAGCGCCCCTGTGACTCCATTGCAAATGCACGACACTGCAGGCTGGGATGTGTATGCTTTTTCTGGCCCGGATGCAGACTGCTCTATGTGTAATTCGGATTATCGGAAAAGCACGACACTGCAGGCTGGGATGCGTATGCTTTTTCTGGCCCGGATGCAGACTGCTCTATGTGTAATTCGGATTATCGGAAATGCACGACACTGCAGGCTGGGATGCGTATGCCTTTTCTGGTCGGGATGCAGACTGCTCTATGTGTAATTCGGATTATCGGAAATGCACGACACTGCAGGCTGGGATGCGTATGCCTTTTCTGGTCGGGATGCAGACTGCTCTATGTGTAATTCGGATTATCGGAAATGCACGACACTGCCGGCTGGGATGCGTATGCCTTTTCTGGTCGGGATGCAGACTGCTCTATGTGTAATTCGGATTATCGGAAATGCACGACACTGCAGGCTGGGATGCGTATGCCTTTTCTGGCCCGGATGCAGACTGCTCTATGTGTAATTCGGATTATCGGAAATGCACGACACTGCAGGCTGGGATGCGTATGCCTTTTCTGGTCGGGATGCAGACTGCTCTATGTGTAATTCGGATTATCGGAAATGCACGACACTGCAGGCTGGGATGCGTATGCCTTTTCTGGCCCGGATGCAGACTGCTCTATGTGTAATTCGGATTATCGGAAATGCACGACACTGCAGGCTGGGATGCGTATGCCTTTTCTGGTCGGGATGCAGACTGCTCTATGTGTAATTCGGATTATCGGAAATGCACGACACTGCAGGCTGGGATGCGTATGCCTTTTCTGGCCCGGATGCAGACTGCTCTGTACAGGTCGGGTTCTCTCGCCATTTTATTTTGTTAGAACAAAGACCGCTATCCTCGATTCAATTTGTCTACTCGATGATTTCTTTTAGGCATCCAGTGCGCTCTCCGGGCTTGAATCCATCCCGGTCGATGCGTCTCGCACGATGGTATAGCGCGGATGCCGCTGAACTGGCTGGTCTCTGGACAGACACTGAGATCGATACATTGGCACGATCGATAGAGGACGCTAGCCAGCAGCTGGGATAGAATACTTTACAATTCCCGCATTTCCTATACAGCAGTGTATAGGTGCGCAACTGGAGTCGCGGAAGCGGGCACGCCTCTTGCCGTTCGTCTCTTTTCGAATCTGCGACACTGGTGGTGTACGTGATACGCATGTTGTGAACCCGTTGCAACATGATAACCATTGTTTGATTCAAGGCGTGGATGAGGATGCAAGCTCACTTGTGCCGCAATACAATGGACATGCGCAGCGTGCCGGCGGACTTTGGGACTCGAACAAGAAACTCGGGGCATGCGGTGCCCGATGCATGATCTTCTATTCCTGCTTTATCCAGTAAAATGGGCAAGAAGCATCCACGGGTTTTGCTTCCGCTGCGCGCCTCGCAGCTGCTGCTCCAACGACAACGACTAACGACGACATCGGAGCGTTCGCCAGCACCGCGCGGCACCAGTAGCATGCTGCGGTCCACCGCCATGCACAGAATCTAGCGAGGTACGGCGTCGTTTGTTTCATTCATCGTCGTCAGACAAACTCGAATCAAGCGAGGCCAGCACTGCAAAGTCGTTCCGGGCCAATATGGACCCACTGGATTTGTCAGGTGCTGCAGAAGCCTTCCCGTCCTGCTCTCTGAGTATCTGCGGGCGGAGACCGTCTGTTACGTGCACCCATCCCTGACGCGAGGCCCGAGCTCTCCGCGATCCTTGGGCGCTGGCTCCGGTGCGTCCAGTGCCGTTCACATGATGCCCAAGTGCTGCGCCTTTCAAAGGTATGGTGGGCGCGTTTCCCCGTCGGTGCTGGCCTGCAAACCGCGAGTCCACACGTTCCGAAGGCGCTGCTGAGGGTGTTCGATACGAATGCCGCCCTCTGTGTGCAGTGCGCGTTGAGCCAGAAGCATCCGCTGTTGCTGGGTTCCCGGCGTATTGCGCAATGTCCACAACAACTGCACATTCGTCGATTAGGGTGCCGTGACGTTTCAGCGCATCGGAAAGGGATTCCGCGTTTGCAAAATCCACAAATGCAGCGCGGACGACTGTGTGTTTCGTGCTTGTGCCCGAGTCCAGCTCTGATGCGTTTCCACCTGGGTCCTTGCTACCGCTTTCCGGTGCCAGAGGCGCTCGACGCAGAAATCGGATACGACTGATTTGGCAACCATGGAACAGTTGTCGGATCTGATCCTCCTGGACCCCAGCGGGTACGTGACCAACGTACGCTCTGTAGGGAGGCTCGGTGGGAAACAAACGCCTCGAGCGCGTCTCTCGCTCCCTGTCTTCACGCAGAAGCTGCTCGGTCCCTTCGGCCTCGTCTCGAGCATTCTTCACGATGCGGGCATTCAAGGCATCCACTTCCGTGACGTCAGGCTCGGGAGGCGCTCCCTGCTGTGCGCCGTTTGTTGTTTCATTCTTTGTTGCGGCGGGTTGAGGATTCAGTGATTCCGCGCGCACGGATATACGCCCAAAGGCTTCGTCGAGACCTTGCCGCATACCCGTCCGTGCAGGCGAGCGCGTCTTCCTGCCCTCCTGTGGGCAGGAAGACGCAGCTCTTCCCTCCCTCTGGTGCGCGCTGCCGGGATCCTTACGTGCGCTTGCCACTTTTGCAGATCCTGGAAGCGTGGAACGAACAGTGCTATGCTTGATCTCAGTGCTTTCAGCGGCATGGACAGAAGCGTGCTCCCCATGAGACTGGGACGAGCGCTCCGGTGCCAGATGAACGTCTGTAGCGACGCCCGAACGCCCAGCAACGGTCTCGCCACGTGACTTCGCACCAACGCCCATCCATAGACCTCGCCTTTCCTCATAGCTTCTTCCGAACCCTTCCACCTCATCCTCAGCCCAGTCAGTCACTGGAGGAGAGGCCATATTCCAATCTCGAAAAGAGCTCTTTGCCGGGATAAAAAACCCCCCAAGCACAGCCTTCGTTGCTGTTCTTTGCGGCCCTACCGCACCACGACGCAACGTTGCGCACCCGACGCTGCTGCCAGAACAGACGCAAGGCCGTCGTGACAGCCCTTCTTGTAGGATGAAGCTATGCAGTGGGCTTTTGTGTATGGCGTACCCAAAGCAGAATCTTTCTGACTGGAGCACGCCTTGCAGAAGCTGGTGTCCTCATACAACGAAGCTATGCATTGGGCATTTGTAAGGCAAGCTTTAATCAGAAATACTCTGCGCTCGGTACTCCCTGCAGAATGTGTTGGTCTACGGGCTTGGTATTCCCTGAAGGTGACGTCTTGTTGACATCTGATGGGTGCTGGTCCTGAGCAACTGGTCGACTAACGAGCGAACAGGGTCACGAGGCCGACCGCTCTTCCAGTGCGAAAAGAAATCGTCGTGCAAGCGCCCCTTGTACGGAGGATTCACCAGAGCCTGAAGTGAGCGGCTGTTTGGATGCTCACTGGTCGTCCAAATGAAGCGTGTAATAGGAATTCGGGGTAGCATCGTGTGCACGGCATGAGCGCTGATCGATGCAACACGGACAAGTGGCTTGGAGCGAGTCCCAGGTCGGCGCTGACCGTGGCACATCACTTGACCCGTGCAGCAGTTCCAAGCGTATTGCAATGGTCCTCGTTTAGATTGACGAGACGCATAACGCATAGTCCGAGCGGATTACCGGGCGGTGCCCGACTGGCACCTACGATTCGGCGCTAAAGCGTCGAGCATCGCATTCGAGACGCCCAGACAAGGCAGCGGAGATTCGCTTGTGAGGTACATGTGAGACAGCAGCATCCATCGCTGGACTCGAGCGAACGAGCGTTGCAAGTACCAGGGGGCGCACAGGAGAGCGTGCGCTAGAGGTGAGCACTTCGACTTGCTCCATGAGGGCGCCGTGTTGCTTGGTCATGATACGGGAACATCTCTCTGGACTGCAAGATGCTCCAACACTCTTCTAGTCGTACAAAGCTGTCTGGGACGTCGTGGAGCGACTCGTTCGCGAAACTCGATCCGAGAAGAGCTCTACATCAGATGGTGCATTCGTCGGGAAATTCCATATGGTGCAGCGGCCAAGAATCCATGTTCGTATGCATCTGCCGGGAGACTTGCGGAGACAGACAGAACGAACGAGTTCTCCGCAAACACAAGTCATGGGCATCCTGCGCTGTTAGCGAAGTTCGAACGGGGCTTTCGCCAAACGCTTCCGGATACGGGAACGTAATCGCATAGCGAGCCATAAACCGCGCTTTATCTGCAGTCATGAACAGATCTCGTGTATACAGCCCCGACATACGACACAAATGACACGTTTTTGCATTCCAGCACCACGCCATAGCATGCAATTGCACGAAACCTGCCCGTGAAGGGTGCATGGAAATGCGTCCACGAGGTGCCAAAAGGTAAACCCAGGTATCGGAACACTGCATCGTGGCGTGCAGGTGCTCGAAACCTCCCCAGGTAGCGTTCGTGAAAATACCCGCCAGAGGTGCAAGAGACACACGTTCATATCCGAATAACGCACCCTAGCATGCAGGCACACCGCACCAAGTGTATTGAACATGTCTACCGCTGAAGCGTCTCGAGCTGCGATTCGGTATCATAGATTGATGTGGGATAGAAAAGAGAACAGAGACGAACCACGAACTAGGAACGAGATAGCGATTTCTTTCCCTCTCTAACGTAGACGGTAAAAGGGGAAAAGGTTTCCGTATTATCGCTAGTTTACCTTCCAGGCGGAAGGTCCCGTGAGCCGGACGAGTTTGCCGCGCTTGCGCTTCTTGCTCCCCACTGTGCCTCGTGCCTCAGTGAGATCTGAGCAACTCGTCCGCAGTGCAGTTTATTCCAGGACTAGGGGCAGTTAAGCTGCATCTGGATATCACCCCGGTCGCGGTGGACTCCTAGTTTATCGCCTCCCGGTACCGCAGGCAGTAGGTCTGTCTACGCAGTTTGCAGGCTCCCAGAATTACTACGTACTCCGACACCGTATCAGGTGCACCATGCCTCGAGCCTACATGTCTATGGGCATACCAACGCCGTTCCGTCTCCGCGCTTCATCCGCACCAGCGGTAAAGGCGCTACGGCGAGCGCTCACAGCGGGTACTCTGTGAACGATAGCATGTACAACACGACCAGTATATCCGAAAGGAAGTATACGTGACGGAACTTGGGAGTATTGCCCTGCATAATGGAAACATTCCCGAAAGCCTGTATGGATTCAGCAATCTGGGATCCACGGTCCATATAAACGTTTCGTCATCGAAAAAAAGGGATAACAGAGCCAGCGCACCGGCACTGCGGCAGGCGCCCGCAGCCTTACTTTTTCAATGCTCAAAGTGCTGTATCTACGTGGCTGGTAGCGGTTCAGGAAAGCGCCGTTTCGCCTGTGCTTTCAGCTGCAGGGTGACATGTCGACTTCACCAACTGAAAATATCGAGTTGGTAGCCTCACTACCGCCAGAGGGTGCTTCGCGAAAGCGCCAACGGCGTGTGCCGCGGCAGACCCCAAGGTCGCCGAACACGCACCCGTCCAGCGGCACTGTGGGAGTCAACGAAGCTCCTCACTCGGAGGTCGCAAGTCACGTAGTTCCGGGTCAACGCAGCGTCCCCGAAGTTGATGTCGGCTCGGACGACTATTTGGACGCTGAAGCTGTCTCTGAACAGGGCGGTATGACACGGCTGCTAGTCTCTCCGCCGTTGTCTCGGTTCGTGCAGGATGTTGAACGCACGCGAATGACGGGCGGAAGCAGCCTGGGCCACTCGCGACCAAGTGATGCAAGCGCAGTAGACGCTGAGAAAAGTTATACGGGAGCCATGAGCGTTGATCCTCTCTCTCTAGGGATCCGAGAACTCGTACGAAGCCGCCAGCGCCCCGTCAACCGCACTCCAACTGTGGACCGCCGTCGACGACAGGCTGACAACCGTACGGGTACCGCACACTGCTCACCTGGCTCTGAAGAAACAGTTGCGGAAGCGTCTGCGAAAGACATCGGGTTGCAGATACCCGCAGAGACCGAGGGCCCATCGCCTAGGCAAGGCGGTGTATCAGGGGCACCAGCCACACGTGATGTGTTGGTTCCTGAACGACTCTATGAATCGCCTGCTATCGTGGAGGACACACAATCCGACAGGCTCGACCGACGGATCCCTGGTGCAGATACCGTCGTTCTTGCACCACAGGTCCGCTTAGATAATCGCGGCAACCTTGTCCTGGATGAGCGCTCGTTAGTCGTCACCGCTTCGCATGTGGCGGATGCGCACGCTGATGCTGGACAAGAAAGCGTGCACCCTGAACAGCATTCAGATCATGCTGGTGCGGTGGGAGGTAACGCTTCGATGGCGTCAGCGGCTTCGGGTCCAGCGTCGGTCGAGTGCGATCTGCAGCGCCGTGTCCAGCGCCACCGTCGAGCGATACGCGCTGAGCAGCAGAGACTTCTGCGCACTGCCATAACGAGCGAGCAGCGTCCAGCAGAGAACGAGAACATCTCTGTTGAAACGCATACTGGAGCGCCTCGCCGCGGTGCTGCGACCATTGCGTCCTTCACGAATCGCGCCTCTTGTGAGCGCTGGCCGCCTGAGGAGACTGCGCTTTTCTATCGTGCGCTACGAGCTTTCGGTCAAAACTATTCTATGATTGAGCAGCTCTTTCCCAATCGAAACCGAAAACAAATCAAGAACAAATTCAAGAAAGAAGAGCGTTCCAATCCAGCCCTCATTGAAGCGGCACTACGTGAGCACGGCGCTCGTCGCCATCACTTGTCGCTTGGTCGGCATACATGCGCTACAGACACCACGCTTTCGGACAATTCAGAACATGCAGTGCCAGAGGCTGGCATTGGCAGTTCAAAGGCAACTGCAGAACGTGAGCAAATTTTTCAAGGATTCGATAATGACTACATCCAAAGGGTGTTCGGGGCAGCGTCCCCGGTGCTCCCCGAGGAGATCCCGTAGTGGCATGGTGCAGTCACCAGCAAAGGCGCTGCCCAGACTCCAGCGAGTTCTGATCCATGGCCTCTGCAGTAGACAGAAGCATAGCTGGGTCGATAAGCGGCCTGGCATGCGATTCGCTGCCTATTGTACTGCAGTTATGCGGTGGTGATGTGCGTAGCTGGTGCTTGCGAAGCTGTCCTAATCGAATGTGTTGCAGACATAAGCCATGAGCATCGTGTGCAGCAAAGACGCTCACTTTTGACGCGATGACGCATCGGCAAGCTTGGATAGCGCGGTCACGCTGCCCGAAGTCGTCGTGGTGACTCCTGATCTAAGACTCATGAAGCTAGCAGGTCTCGTTCGGATGCGGGATTGCTGCTGGCCTTTGCCGGCGCTTCCAGTCCATCTCTCTGACAGACGTTCGACAGGGGTCTGTGGCGATTTTTGTTGCGAACTGCAGCCGCGTGTGGGACAACCTACGCTTCGGGCGATGCGCAACAAACGCACGTGCATTCGTTGTGGACGTTGGCGCTCGCGAAGAAAGCATCCATCGCCTTGGGCAATGAACACCTTGGCAATAGAGCAGGAGTATGCGCTCCCATCGAGCATTCTTATAAACTTCAACGAATGCCTGCGATTTCGTCCGATGGTAAACGCAGAGTCGCGTTCAGTAGTGTTTTGAACGAGGGAATCCGAACGAACGCCGCCCCTCGCAGCCAGGCAACACAGTCTCGTTTTGACTGCTCGTCGCGATCGCTCGTACGGCTCGAGGCTGCTCGAGAACATCGAGCCCGTGAGCTGCAATGAAACCTCACCTGGTAACGCTTCGCGTTCGTTTAAAGCCATGCACTTCCGATACAGCAGGCGTTGCTGCAGAACGCCACAGGTGGTTTTTCGTGTGTCGCTGGTAGCGCCAACGGGGCAAGAACGGCGCCAGTGGAACGTACATCACTGATCACTCTTGCCACCGCGATATCGAGTTTGGAAGCCTGGAAGTGAACGTTCTGTAATGAAGGGCTGTTCGATCGCTTCCCGGGACACACGTCGCGAGCGAAGCTTCCTGAACGGACTGATGGAGCAGCTCGAGCCACCGCCGACTTGTCAACAAACACCGATGACCCGAACATTATGCTGGAGCAGGTTCTCTTCGGTCCCGGTTATGCAGTTCTGCGAGTAGTCGTGTCCAGGGCCTGGGGCGATGGCCTTCAAGCACAGCTCTAAAATCGATCGTTTTTGCAGGTGTTCGTGACCCGTTGCTTAATGGCCTGGAGTGTATGCGGAGAGAGGCTAGTCACACACCAGCAGTTTCTCGGTCAAACTTCGTGCTGCCCTGCGGGATGCGCCCCCGCTGCGATCATCGCCCTTGCGCTGCGATACTAGAAGCTGCCTCCGATGTGATCACTGTCTTTTACCAATATCTAGGACACTGTCTCTGCGATGATGTCCGCTGCGTATCGCACCATACAGCCGCATGTCTGTGGTCAAGAGCGGTACGCAGCGTTCCCAGAACAAGTCCATGCGCAGCGCGATGAACAGAACAGCACTCGTTCAAGAGACACTCGGTGAGTTTTACTGTTAAACGAGTTAGCATACTTGATATCTGCGGGTATGCGTTCAATCTAAGTTACATACGAAGCACAGGCTTTGCCGCCGCTCGGCGCACGCACCGACGACGCGAACAGGCAAGCAGCATCAGTGCGGCCTCGATAAGAGACCAGCGGGTGGCAGGAGTCGAACACCATACCGCCACGGCATTTGTGTTCAACATGACCTCCGTGTGCCTCCCTGCCTGTCCACTGTCGAGGTACGCACAGCGTCGGCACTAGTACCAAGTCGGCGCTCGCATATCAGCGATATTTCTGACTGAATGCGTCTTCTTTTGACCACATCACATTTGTAGTTCATGTCAGGAGACCGTGTGTGGGTAAAATAGAAATGAGGTTGAAAGTTTCAGTTGTTTCAAAAGGTTAAGGATTAGAGATTAGAAGAGCGTGCCGCTATTGCACGGCAGCTCAGTGGCAACACGCTTCGTGTGTGCGTGTCTGACGGTAACGCGGGACACGAATGTCACGGATGCGCATTCGTAAACGCACACGACACAGGCGCACCTACGGGACTCGGGTGCGACGTGCTCGCACCGTTGCCGTAAAGCGCTGCATAACTGATGACGCATCCGCACACGCCTTGTCCGTGGACAATGCTTCCCTTCGCGGAAGCGCGGGAGGTGCTCTCGTCGTTCGCGTTAAACGCTGCACATCTGATGACGTACGCCGAACGCCTCGTCCATGGACAATGATCCGCTCGGCGGGGCAGGCGAATACCCACTCACATGCGTTACCAGTCCTTCTCCAGCACCATTGGTGTTAGATAGGATGGTGTGAGACGGTTCGGGGACGAGGTACCAGCCTGGTGATACGGCGGAGCGCTGGACGATGCCGATCTCAGGGGTGACCACTGCGACGAGAGCGGGCTGCTCGCGTACTCCACGTACCGCGCTGCATCTAGGAGCAGACGGACACCTTTGGTAGCAGCATCCACAGGCTCACGTTCCATGGTTTTCGTTAGTGAGCCTTTCGCGGGTGCCAGCGGCAGTGGCAGTGGCAAGGCAGTTTCCCCAGATGCAGCGCCTTGGGCGTGACGCCAGTCATGCTCACCTCCGAGGACGTGCGTACTTGTATGCGCAGCGTCGGGCAGAGGCATTTGTTCGGGCAGGTTCAGCTCCAAGTCATGGTAGTTGTCGGCACCGTCACCATCCTCGGAGAGCGATTCAATGGAGACGTCATCCCAGGACGGTATCGCCGCTGGATACCCAATGGGGTCCGACGCCAACGCCCGTTCACTATCGACGCGAACGAACAGCGACTCACGAATCAAGTGGTCCGCCGGTAACGTTGTATGTTGTGTTCCGGGACCACGACCTGCATCCTTTCGCACAATATTAAGAGGCGCGCTCTCTCCGCGACAAGGAATACTGGGTGCGAAAACAGAGGGCGCAAACTGCTCTCGCACGACCGGTGCTGAGTCCTCACGATCAACGTCAACGTACGCACAGCGTGTTTCAGGCGGCGAGCTACTCCGCCTCGGGTGTTGAATTCTGCCAGAGTACTCGAGTTCGGACGGCACATACCAACCCGGACGGACGCTTCCCCGGAACTTGCTGAGGCTGCGTTCCGGGGAAGGCAGTTCCAGCGCATCCGCGACGGCACCTGCTCGACGAGGTCTTCCATATACCGCTCGCGGATGCCTCTTTCCCGTGTGCGTTCTGGGCACATTACAGGCACCGGGACCGAAGCCATCAAGCTTCCCCTTTTTCCACTTCACGCCACAGGCGTTACACAGAGTCTTGGGTCCGCGAGGGCCCGCGCGCCATAATGGCGTCTCCGTCGTCTCACAAAAGTCGCACCTCAACATTGTAGCGCTTCTATTCTCCTTCTAGATCACTGCTGGCGCTCCTAAATGAATCGATATAAAATGAGCGTGCTAAGTGCGCAGGCTTTGTTCACGAAACAGAGTCGCGAGCACAACGGCGAGCCCTGAAGTCTGTTTGCGATCGCCATCGCGAGCGCGATCTCAATGTCGGCGTCATCCGCACACGGGTCGTGGGCCTGCGCGCTTCCTCGCGAAGCGACGCAACCACACAACGCTGCGATCGCGCGTTGATCACAGGTGGTCAGTTTTGGCCAAGGGCGCGGACAGGAGGTTGTAGAGCGAGCGCACTCCAGCGCGTTGCATAGGGGCAGCAGCAGCAATAGCCAGTTTTCGAACTGGTGGGCCCTCGAGTTGTGCCCGACCGTGAGCAGCGAGCTTTCTCCTAGAGACGAAAGAACAGAAACTAACAACTGACTAGCAACTCGATAACAGTTTCTTTCGACCTTGATATGACTCATGGAAAAGGGGGAAAGTTTCCGCATCTTCGAAACTTTACCTTCTAGGCGGAAGGTCCCGCGAGCCGGACGAGTCTTCGGGGCTAGCTAGTGCTTCATGCTTCCTCCAATGGCAGGTTTTGTGGCGATACCTGCACAACTCGTCCGCAACGCATTTCATTCGGGGACTTGGAGCAGGATGCTGCGTCTGGGCGTCTCCGTGGTCACAGTGGACTCCTTGTAGATCGCTCCGCGCTGCCACAGGCAGTGCGTCTGTCTGCGCAGCTTACAGGCTCCCAGATATATTATGTACTCCGACCCCACGTCGGAGGAACCACGCCTCGAGTCGATGCCTTCAGTGGTATGGCAAAGCCGTTCTGTCTCCGTGTGGCATCTGCTTCAGTGGTATAAGCGCTACGGCGGGTGTTCACGGCAGGCTCGGCGCACGATAGAATATACGAAACGACCAGTATATCCGAGAGGAAGTATGCGTGATAGAACTTGAAGGTAGGCGCTTCATCGTGGACGCTTTCCCGAAAGCCATTATCCATTCCGAATTCTGGGATCCATAGTGAATCTAACCATTTTTTCATCAGAAAAAAAAACGCAGCTGTTCCCGAAGAACGCATCATCGAAGGCTGCTAGCGAACGCCTTTCGAAAGAAAAACGTTGCTGCCGCAAGTGGTATAGTAGTGGCGACAAACGCACCGTAGACAAGGAGTCTTCAGCCGACGTGCAGACGCATCTCAGTCTTTCTCGACCGGCCACCCACTACTTCTTCCAACATTTTTTCATATAGTTCGAGTTTGAGAGGTTGTCCAACAAAATTCTATCTCGTCCACTCTGGAAGTCTATTCTCCAGCACCGCACGTCTCCTTATATTGATAGCGGCATTAATGTCTCGGTTCACAAACTCCATCCGTTTCTTGCCATCACTGGATGTACTTAATAATGCGAGTAGTCCACGAACTTTCGCTCTCCTTTCCATTTGCTCTTCCGTCAAAGGTCCGTGCTTTGCTATTTCCTCAGGGCTCCGCTAATACTTTTCCATCTGGACCCTCTGGAGTGTACACCCCAGTCCATGGTGTGTATACGATGTTCGGAAGTCATCTACGGGCATCGTAACGAAACGCCGTGCGCACTCCTTGCACGTTTTTGTCGTTGGAGCTGGCATAGTCCCTTTTGGGTCTTCCAGCGCCCTGCTCCGTATGCTACTACGAGCCTCTGACTTTCATTCTCCCTCCGGGCGCTCAACTGATTGAAAAAGTTCGAAAACGCCCGCTGCTTCCCACAACAGAAATTCATACGCAAACGAGCCCACCGGGGCTTGGTGGATTCTTTCCACAGGGCATCCCAATGAGCAGCGCGAGCCTCCATGAACTCCCGAAATGCTTCAAAGTCGGCTCCTCGGCTCGTAACCTCGCTCGAAGCTTCCAGGTGATCTTTCATTCCTGAATTCCATGAAACGATTTTCTTCCTCGCATTCATTATACCGGATTCCCGGTAATATCTAGCTCTTGACAACATCAGCAGACGCTTGTCTTTATGACGTAAATTGTCGTCGACACTATCTTCCGCACGCTTGGGTACAGCGACGGTTATGATATTTGTGTTTCCGGGGTCCGCGCCAACGACAAAGCCGTTATCGTGCACTTTCTGTGTTGCACGATCCACCTCCTTCTTTTCTCGATGCTTCGCCGCGTCAACGACAAAGCCGTTATCGTGCACTTCGTGTGTCGCAGGATCCTCCTTCTTCGTACCTTCATCCTTCGCCACGGGCGGAGCTGGACGATCTGTCTTCAAGCGCCGATACTATACAGACATGGCTACTCCATCGCTTTCGATCATCCCAGTGAATACCTTTCGCTTGCTCACTTTCAGACGTTTGAAATCGACGAAATTCTTCTTCCAGTACGTCTCCCGGTTTTCGCCGGAGAACTCCTCCCTGCTGACATGGAACTCGGGACTGATCTCCCTCATGATGCCGTAAAGGACGCCTGAATCGATAGTCACGAAATGTGACCTGATGTTGCACATTGGAACCACGTTGAAGCGCTTCCCCATTAGGAAAGCCTTCCGCCTCTCCCACTCCTCATTTGTCTCCTCATTCAGCTTCATTTCCGCCTTGCGTTCCAGCTCTCCGTCCAGAAACACGAAATAGCGCAGGGCGAGGCGATAGTATCTTTCCTTATCTTTTTTCGACTCTGATATCTTGTCTGTTGGACTCAGCAGCCCCAGTGCCGCACGGTGCTCTTCTACAACCGCACGGATGACAGAAGCTTCATTCGTGCTCTCGTTTGACGCCTTCTCTCCGACGAATTCGATCTCCTGTTCATGCTTGCGATCGTTCGTGACGCCATTGGTAATCGCCCATTTTCCTTTGCGAGCGATGCCAGGGTACAGCGCAAACACGGCGCGTATCATGAAGCGTTCGAGGTTCATAGTAAAATGGTTCTTCAGGTTCCTGATGTACTTCATCGCTCCGTATGTGTAAATGCACCAGTCAATTTTGTATCGAGTACCGTCGAAGCTCTAAAAGGGATGTTTTTCGTGGAGGGCATGCACTAGCACATTTTCCCTCGGCGCTTCCGCTGTACCAAGCATCAGGTGTCGAATAAAGGTCTTATCGAGAAACCCGTCCGGAATCCCGACCGTTTCCATCTGCGCCACGTCGCGATACATCTCCCTCGCCATATGCATCAGTCCTGAAGACGCCTTGACAATACTCTTGGAGTATGACGCAACACTGTTTTCGATAGCGTCTCGCAGCTTTTCCCTGTACGGATCCTTGATATGTTTAAGAAGACAGACTTTGACGACCTTCTTGTCGCACAGTCGTCTTTCGTGCCGCCTTCGACGCAGAGCGTCCCACTTTCAGTCCTTCTTCTCTTCCTTTTCTTCTGGACTTGGCACTGTTTTTCTGTTTTTTCTGGCAGCCCGCGACACTGGGCCTCCAGGATCATCGACTTGCTTTTCATAACTTCCTTTTTTTTGTTTTTTTTGGAAAACAACGCTCCCTCCAACGCCTCTGATATAAACAGCGAGGAAAACTTGAATAAACCAAACTGAGGGTTGAAATATAACTGAACTGAAAAGTACACTCTGCTATGACTTTAACGCAAATGCAACTTGTACTTGAGAGCAACACGCTCAAGATCGCGATCCCGTTTCCCTTCAACGACGGCAATTTTTCTATTGATAAGACGTTTACTTGGGCCAGCATTCTCCTATTGTGCGCTTTTTCTTTTCGTTCTCTTTTGTTTTGCGTTTTACTTCAGCGCGCGGTAATATATCCATAAAGCCCCCTCCCTCCAAGTTACATTACCTATACTTCTTCTTGGAGATACTGATCGTCTCATACGTCCTGTCGTGGGTACCTAATACCTGCCGTTCCATATCCGCCTTTGCGCTTGAACCGCTGGGGCAGAGAGTTTATCGAGCTAGAACGGCTTTTCCATACCACAGAGGGCGTCGGCTCGAGGGGTGCTTCACCCGACGTAGAATCGGGTCTCGTCGTCAGTTTGTGCTCGGACGGTCTGCGGATGCAAGCTTGCCTTCGCGGCACGACACGCTGGAGACACTTGGCCGTTAAGATATATTCTGGGAGTCGTCTCTCTCCTTCGTGATCATGCATGGAACGCGTTGTTGTCGGTTGGCAATGCGGGTTTGTGCTTGACGCTCACCACAGTGGATAGGCGCAGAAAGCATACTAAACCCGTGTGCGCGTCCGATTCGCTAGACCTTCCGCTTGGAAGGTAGCACGTGAGTCTGTTGGCCACGAATGAGCGCTGAGGCTCCGTTAGCGGACCATCAGTTGCCAGTGCTGCACTCAAAGTGAGTGTCCGGCCTTCGACTATCACGGTGATACCCGGCTGATGCCGTCCTTCAAGGAGCTCGCTGCGCTCCTGCTTCCAGCGCGCGCACTGTAAGCCTAAATATGTCAGCGTCTCGGGTTTATCGTTTCCACAGCAGGGACAGTGTGATTCCCACTGCGATTCCAGTGTTCCTATATGGTTTAGCGCAGGTGCTGGTAGTCAGCAACCACCAACGCGGATTTTGGCGAGCCACTGGATACCGCGAGCAAGTCCCGGGAACTCCAGCGCCTCCCACCAGTACTCGCATGTGTATGCTAGGTTGTAGTTCCGGTATAGAGTCAAGGCGGGCGTTACTGGCGCGACTGGTTCCGTGTCTACGTTCCCATATGGTTGTTCGAACAGTTCGCTTGAGGCGGTAGGAGCCTTCTACATTTCTGGGGAACGATTCGAGCGTGTTTTCGCATAACCGTCGCTTCAGCCAAATCTGCATCGATTTCATCCAAGTGTTCTTGCGGTGCGTTGGGGTCTGCATGGATATCCGACTGAACCGGGTGCGCATGGTGGGCCCCTCGGCCCATACAGTGCCAGGGGGCATCGCGGTCGATACGCGCACCTCCATATCTGGCAGGCATGAGATACGACGCGCATGTCGTCGTTGAAGGGAAACGGGATCGCGATCTTGAGCGTGTTGCTCTCAAGTACAAGTTGCATTTGCGTTAAAGTCATAGCAGAGTGTACTTTTCAGTTCAGTTATATTTCAACCCTCAGTTTGGTTTATTCAAGTTTTCCTCGCTGTTTATATCAGAGGCGTTGGAGGGAGCGTTGTTTTCCAAAAAAAAACAAAAAAAAGGAAGTTATGAAAAGCAAGTCGATGATCCTGGAGGCCCAGTGTCGCGGGCTGCCAGAAAAAACAGAAAAACAGTGCCAAGTCCAGAAGAAAAGGAAGAGAAGAAGGACTGAAAGTGGGACGCTCTGCGTCGAAGGCGGCACGAAAGACGACTGTGCGACAAGAAGGTGGTGAAAGTCTGTCTTCTTAAAAATATCAAGGATCCGTACAGGGAAAAGCTGCGAGACGCTATCGAAAACAGTGTTGCGTCATACTCCAAGAGTATTGTCAAGGCGTCTTCAGGACTGATGCATATGGCGAGGGAGATGTATCGCGACGTGGCGCAGATGGAAACGGTCGGGATTCCGGACGGGTTTCTCGATAAGACCTTTATTCGACACCTGATGCTTGGTACAGCGGAAGCGCCGAGGGAAAATGTGCTAGTGCATGCCCTCCACGAAAAACATCCCTTTTAGAGCTTCGACGGTACTCGATACAAAATTGACTGGTGCATTTACACATACGGAGCGATGAAGTACATCAGGAACCTGAAGAACCATTTTACTATGAACCTCGAACGCTTCATGATACGCGCCGTGTTTGCGCTGTACCCTGGCATCGCTCGCAAAGGAAAATGGGCGATTACCAATGGCGTCACGAACGATCGCAAGCATGAACAGGAGATCGAATTCGTCGGAGAGAAGGCGTCAAACGAGAGCACGAATGAAGCTTCTGTCATCCGTGCGGTTGTAGAAGAGCATCGTGCGGTACTGGGGCTGCTGAGTCCAACAGACAAGCTATCAGAGTCGAAAAAAGATAAGGAAAGATACTATCGCCTCGCCCTGCGCTATTTCGTGTTGCTGGACGGAGAGCTGGAACGCAAGGCGGAAATGAAGCTGAATGAGGAGACAAATGAAGAGTGGGAGAGGCGGAAGGCTTTCCTAATGGGGAAGCGCTTCAACGTGGTTCCAATGTGCAACATCAGGTCACATTTCGTGACTATCGATTCAGGCGTCCTTTACGGCATCATGAGGGAGATCAGTCCGGAGTTCAATGTCAGCAGGGAGGAGTTCTCCGGCGAAAGCCGGGAGACGCACTGGAAGAAGAATTTCGTCGATTTCAAACGTCTGAAAGTGAGCAAGCGAAAGGTATTCACTGGGATGATCGAAAACGATGGAGTAGCCATGTCTGTACACTATCGGCGCTTAAAGACAGATCGTCCAGCTCCGCCCGTGGCGAAGGATGAAGGTACGAAGAAGGAGGATCCTGCGACACACGAAGTGCACGATAACGGCTTTGTCGTTGACGCGGCGAAGCATCGAGAAAAGAAGGAGGTGGATCGTGCAACACAGAAAGTGCACGATAACGGCTTTGTCGTTGGCGCGGACCCCGGAAACACAAATATCATAACCGTCGCTGTACCCAAGCGTGCGGAAGATAGTGTCGACGACAATTTACGTCATAAAGACATGCGAGTTTTCAAGTTCCCGAGAGCGAGATCCTACCGGGATTCCGGTATAATGAATGCGAGGAAACAAAATGAGACCTAGAAGTCAGGAGTGAGGGATCACCTGGAAGCTTTGAGCGAGGTGACGAGCCGAGGAACCGACTTTGAAGCATTTCGGGAGTTCATGGAAGTTCGCGCTGCTCATTGGGATGCCCTGTGGAAAGAATCCACCAAGCCCCGGTGGGCTCGTTTGCGTATGAATTTGTATTGTGGGAAGCAGCGGGCGTTCTCGAACTTTTTCAATCAGTTGAGCGCCCTGAGGGAGAATGAAAGTCAGAGGCTCGTAGTAGCGTATGGAGCAGGGCGCTGGGCGTCGAAAAAAGGCATTACACCAGCTCCAACGACAAAAACGTGCAAGGAGTGCGCACGGCGTTTCGTTACGATACCCGTAGATGACTTCCGAACATCGTATACACACCATGAACTGGGGTGTACACTTCAGAGGGTCGAGATGGAAAAGTATTAGCGGAGCCCTGAGGAAATAGCAAAGCACGGACCGTTGACGGAGGAGCAAATGGAAAGGAGAGCGAAAGTTCGTGGACTACTCGCATTATTAAGTACATCCAGTGATGGCAAGAAACGGATGGAGTTTGTGAACCGAGACATTAATGCCGCTATCAATATAAGGAGACGTGCGGTGCTGGAGAATAGACTTCCAGAGTGGACGAGATAGAATTTTGTTGGACAACCTCTCAAACTCGAACTATATGAAAAAATGTTGGAAGAAGTAGTGGGTGGCCGGTCGAGAAAGACTGAGATGCGTCTGCACGTCGGCTGAAGACTCCTTGTCTACGGTGCGTTTGTCGCCACTACTATACCACTTGCGGCAGCAACGTTTTTTCTTGTAAAAGGCATTCGTTGTCGGTGTGTGCGTGTTCTCCATGGCAGCGGAGACGTCGACGACGGAGGGATCGCCTGCCAGTTGGGAGAAGCAGCTACAACGAGAAACGGAGTGTCTACGGCAGGCGGCAGCGGCGTACCAGCGCACAGTGGTAGCGCTGCGGGTGCTCGAAGCCCAGCTAGAGCGCTTCGACGAGAGACTGGATGCGCTCGTGCGCACGCTTCGCTTAGCTGTTGACGTCCTGGCAGACGGTGCTATCGTGGAACGGATCGCTCGTGGTCGTCCGACCGGTTCCTCATAGGAGACCCAGCGCAGTCACCGCGTCAAGCTTCCGTGACAGAGACCCGGCCGGCCGTGGTTCAATTTCGCGTGTCTATTGGTGTTCTGCTGTCCAACTGGGACGCTCAAGTTATGCCAAATAGCTTCAACAGTGTAGGGTGGGCGTGGGGTGTACCTCAGAAACTCACGCAAAGAAAGCCTGGCTGAACGGGACCGACCAGTCTCTCCGCAGCTGGCTGGTTTGGACCTATTCAAGTGGTCGACTTTGTCTTCAGCAAGTCGCATCGATACCCGAGATCGCTTGCCTGTCTGCGGCCGAGGAAGCGTGCTGTGGTAAGTGGTCAACCGAGTGGCTCACGAATAAACCAGGTGTTCCTTTCCTTGGTGACTCAAGCGGAACATCGGCGCAAACATATGAAATGGCTGGACCTTGTGCTGCGCTCGTGCGGTGCACCGTTGCATACTGCATCCGCTAAATATCCTCCGAACCGAGTATCTTTCGATGTTTAGACCGATATACTGGACATCGTTCGTATGCGAATGCCTCGCTTGTTGCATAGCGCTGGTGTGTGTAAATCGTACTTATCATGTCCGTGTACAAGCGAACAAATAGAAATGTTGGATTCCGTGGCTCCACCGCACAACGAAACGCTCAGTCTTGGAGCAAATAGGCGGGCTTTGCGCTACCTTCCGAGAAAACGTAGCATAAACAGAATGAGCAGCATAACACCGGACGATGCAAGCATAGCCGCGCGTGATGCTTGGTTCGCGCGTTCAAGTTCCTCCGCAGAGACGCTCTCCTGCGACGTGAACCATTCTAGGGAATATTTCGTCGGCTCTCTGCGGCGCTTGCCAGTGCCAGCGAGCGCTGCAGAGGAGCCGCTTCCGAACCGGTATCTCCGTTGCCTCTTCTTCCACCCGGGAATATCGCGTGCCCGATTCTGATTCAAGAGGGCGTCGAGGTCGATTTTCACGAAAGACTCTGGGCCGAGACGCAGCCGCGGTGCCTGCAGGATAAACAATAGACTCTCAGCTACCTGGCGCACGTCTCTGTCTTTGTGATACTGCAGGCGTCGGAGAACCTCTTGAGCGCGCGCATTCTTGCCCTGAGCATCGAGTGCCTGGGCAAGCCAGAGCAGATATTCGCCGCCAAGTCGAGTCTGCTGTCCAGGCAATGCGGATGCCTGGAAGATGGCATCGCTCGCTGTGGCATAGTGACCGTCAGTTAGAGCTTGTACGCCTCGCGCGAAAGCCCGCTCGGCTCGCTCTTGTAGCGTCTGGCCCGGTGCTTGCATCGCAGCGCTCTGGATCCGATCCAGTCTCAGAACCTGGTTGTCTAACCAAGCACCGAACACGCGTCCACGGTCGAGAACTGGATCCACATCACTGTCGGATGAAATATCGTCGTAGCCATCATCTTCATCGTCGTTCTCGGTTCCCGCACGTGAATCATCCAACTCTCCCCAACTGAACAAGTTTAACAAACTGGGTTCTGTTCGCTTAGAATTAAAACGGTTCGCGGAGTTGCTCTTCGTCGCTGGGTCGCCTTCGTTCGCACCAGGCGCTGCAGACATATTCCAAGGCCAGATGCAGCGGGTTCTGAGTGTGATCAAATGGAGTGCGTCTAGTGCGCGACTGCGAGAGCGCTGCACGAGTGTCAGGTTCGGCAGCAAACGCACAGGCACTGTGGGTGTTGCGGTTGAAAGAAATGCACTTTGAACAGGCCGCATCATCTGAGGCCCGCGATTTAGGTCCACAGGACTCCATTTCGCGTCCATGAGTGGAAGCAAACCTGCTGCGGCTCGTTGCCCGAGAAAACGCGCAGGTCACTCGAAGTCACTATCCGGGCCAGCGAAACGCACGAAGCCTCCCTCATGTAACGCAGTTGAATGGCGATCCCGTACCTCAGACCAGCGACATGGATATGTCCTCAGGATTCCTAAAGGATATATTATATCCAGATATATACCTAAAGTTACACAATGGACGCGGCCGTCCGTTGATGGATGTCCGCCTGCCGCCCCCGGGGATCTGGACGGAGCAGATGGCACGCGATCCGCGGCCTCGCTGGGCGGCGATCTGCTACGGGCGGCAGGCGCCCAGCAAGGCGTCAAGTGACAGCGTTCGTTCGCTGTGGGCCAAGCGTTGACCGGTAGCGCTCTCTATTGGGAATGGAGCTCACGAAAAACAAGAATCGTGTTCCGGAACTAATGGCGGAGATTCAGAAAGCGAAGAGAGAGGGGCGGTTTACACATCAAGTACGTCCTGGAGACCGTTATGTAAACCTGTTAATGGTCGGCGTGGCACTGGTAGGGGTCGTTGCGCTCGGAAACGGCATGTACAGCCTAGTGACGGGAACAGGCAAGAAGGAGGGTTTCTAGGCAATGTCCATATCGAACCAGGAATGTCCACATCGTTGTAGGGACTCTGCGGCTAACTGCAGGCGCCACGTCCTCCGAGTCCGTGCGGGCCGGTTTTCGTTACGGGCACTAAAGCGTGCGGGGTCGCGCTCCGTGTCGACGGGCAGGCCAGCTGCAGTTTCGCTGTTTTCTAGAGCTCGCTTGCTTGAAACATAAATGATATACCCCGTCCAATCATTTTTCTTTCGGTTCAAAGACTCTTCGCAGAGTATCGACGGGTACATGCGAACACGAAACTATTTCCTGCCCTGCTGGAACACGAGCGTCCAAGCGATTGCAGCCGTGTAGCATGTGCTTCATGATTTGCAGCTCTGCGAGCAACATGGACGCTGTCTATCAGCTGGTACATCTATCAGGTGGGCGGCTCCGGCTGGAAGCGCTTGGCGATGCTGTACCGCGGAAAGCATGCGCTCCCAGAGTGCGGGCTCATTGCCACACACTCCGATACCGCGCTGAGAGCGCGTATTTCGTTTCTGTGGCTCCAAGCAGGACGTCGTACCTGGGAGCGACACGGTGCGTGACGCGCTCTCCGATGCAGCGCTGTAATGTAGGTGCGGACCTGCTGATGTTCTGCGCTAGGACTGTTTCGAAAGCTGGACCAGTTTGTTGGTTGCTCGAAACCAGCGAAACCGTCAAATTCGTTGTTAGTCAGAAAACGATTCCTTGCTGAGACACGCCAGGCGAAGCGGCTGGCGTGTGCACAAGCCTCACCACGTGTACTCTTGACGAGTCCTGGACTCGCAACATCCACGCATGCGGCATCGATACTATGGAGCTTTCTAGTGCATTCGAGGTTACTCTGCTCTACTGTTTCTCAGCAGGGAAGCAGTCCAGCGTCTGTGAAGGGCACGTATACATGTTTCGGAGCTGGAACTAGTGCTTCAATTCCATACGTACAACACTCATCCACCACGAATAGGGGTTTGAAAGAGTCTGGCTGAGCGCACGGGCTCCACAGTCGCCAAATGATCTTTGCAGTTTAGGAAACACCCGCTGTAAATCGCATTCTCGGGACCAGTGAGCAACGCTGAGTTGCCATTACGAGCAGGCTGGCATCATTGGTTTTTGGTGGTGGAATCGAATGAGGCAGATTTCCCAAACGAGGACGTAACGACAGAAAAAGCATTTCTCCAATAATGAATGCGGGGTGCTACTTCCCGGAGACTAGAGAATGCAGAAGAGGGATCTCGCTCTGTTGATAGAGCGAGCAAGTGGATGCTTCTGTAATTAGTCGCACAGAGTAAAGCCCGATCATGACCTCAGTATAGCATTGACCGGCTTCCGTCGGCACGGGCGGTGCACCTTTGGTCACTGGCGTACTCAGCAAGAGGAAGCGTTTCCAACGCAACGATACCAGCCCGTCATATCATGACCACAGTATAGGAACGACTGGCGTCCGTCGCTATTGCCGTTGCACCTATACATAGCAGTGTACGCTTCAGCAGGAAGCGTCTGTACCGAAATGATACAGCCCATAAAACACGCCTTCAGACGGTGCCCGTCGTGCAGGCGCTAAGTTGATGCGCACACACATTGTTGTCCAGTCCTTAATGCATCTTTTTTCGTGCAGCGTTTGCGACGCACCCGTGCAGCGCTGAAGTCTTTGTTAGGCCCCAAGCAACTTTACTGTAGGTTACAACCTTCAGCGCATAGCTTAAGGTATGAACCTCTTTGATCGATTTATAAATCGTGGCGTCCGGAAACGAGAGCGGACGCTCGACGCCAAACGAAACGCCCTGGGAAACTCGCTGCCCAGCAGAGAAAATGCCGCTTTCCGGGGAACCCGGGATTCGAATAAACCCTCCCGGTTGGGGCGGGTGTCACAGTACTCACGGGATCGGAAGCGTTTCCAGCTGGATAGTGTCGAAGGCAGCGATGACTCACCGGTGGAACTCGAGGAGGATCGTGGCGTCCCAACGACGTTGACGCATCACGGGAAACCTTTGCTCGATGCAGCCAAGTCGGGCCGAACGCTCGATCGCAAGCGACATAAGACTGACTTGACCTTGGATTCGTTTGATGCGCTCCCTGACGATCGCAGCGATAGTTCTGGGGACGTAGGCGGGGCAGTTGACCTGCTCGCTGCAACCGAGACGAATGATTCCGGCGGCGACTCGGAAACGTCCCGTTCAAAACCTCGGTTTAGAGACCTCATGGAGAACTGGGCACTGCAGCGCGAACGGGTCAAAAAAGAGCGGCAGTTGGAGCGCCTGCTTCACGAGCAGCAAACAGAACGTCTGGATGCAGTGTTCCGCGAGCTTAGCGACCAGCTCGTACGAAGGAAATCCACCAACAAAAATGACGCAGCGAACGCAGATGCTCACCCGACCGTACCCGTTGCAACGCTGGATGAATACGATCTGATGCTTCAGCAGCTAGCTGAGGAGCCCCGCTCGAAGCCCGCCGAACCAGAGTCCATCAAAGAAACTCGGCGGCAAGAGCGCGCATTGGGCCTGCTTGCAGCAAAAGAGCTAACCAACGATACTTTCTCTGTTGAATCTACACCGATGAGCCAGAAGCTTCTTTCAGAAGACGCGAACGGAACTCCGTTGCTTCCAATGGACCCTGACTCGCTCAGTTCCGATGCCGATCCCGATGAATCACACAGCGACTCGCTCGCACAGCACGCTGCTGGTGCAGACGCGCACTCGGCCCTGGCTCATCAGCTTCACGCGTTGGAGCAGCTCTGGCAACAAATGCCGCCGATTCGTGAGAACCCCGCACTCGATACCTGCCTCGCAAAGATTGACGAGGAAGCCGCTCGTTTTCTGGGCGGGAGATGGCGTCCACGATCTGCCTCGCCAGCGAAAGCATCACCCCCAGGTCTGGTGTCTGTCGGTGCTGGCAACGCCGCTTCCGATATGGAGATCAGTGACCACGGTAGTCATGTTGCTGCCACGCTCGGACAGTGGGCACTGCACCAGCTCAGACGATTGGAGGAATTGCTGCGTATTGCACCAGATCAGTGGATGCATTGGACTTGTGAAGAGGCTGGCTGGCGACGACTCTGGTCAGCGGCACTAGTCATGCAGGCACTGTGTCGGCTGTTTCCGAAGCAGCAATCTCGGCATCCGGTAACCGCACCGCTCGCCCTGCTTCTCAGCGAGTTCTTTGGCAGTATGACACTGGCATTAGACGCCCAGACAGGTTCGCATCCGGTGACCGCAGAAATGCCGCCCTCGACTTGGCGCTCACTGGCTTTGCTGATCGTCCTGGCACACTTATGGATCGATGGCTTGGTGCTGGCCTCGGGACGACTCCACCCCGATGCGTACGCTTTCCTGCGCGCGTTGCTGGATCTCTTGCGGCTCTTTCGCCAGTCCACAAAGTCGTTCGCAGATCGCCATGGACTCATCGAGAACAGTGTCACCCGTGATACATCCGCCTCGGAGGCTCTGGATCACTTGTACCAGTGCGCGGTACCAGCGAGCACTGCCGTGGTCGACCCGGCGTTGTTGTCGCTCGCCACAGGGACACTCTGCGAGCAACTGGAACAGAACGCACAGATGCAGCGGTACCTCCAGCTGCCGCTCGGTGTCGCATTACAGTCGTCTTTGCGGGAATTGTTTCTGGTGATGGACACGGACCTGCCGCCCTGGTGCAAGCGATACACCGCAGCGCTACAAAAAGCAGAGCGTTCACTGCCGACAGCTCCGCGGCATCGCTATCGCGCGAACGAGCCCAAGTTGCTGAATCCGCGGCTGGACATGGACCGAGCGGGGCGCAGTTCCAGCCAGCAAACCGATGAGGATAAGAAACTGCGTCAGCAGTTCCGACGTGAGCTGCGAGCAACCGGGAGAGTGCTCCGACGCCGACAGGAGGTCTTTGCTGCTCAGCGGTTGCAGGCCGAGCACAGTAGGCGTGTGCAGCTGCAGCGCCGCGCGCGCCAAGCCACCGGTCTCATTGGTAGCGAACAGCTTCGCTGAGCTGTAAAAATCTTTGGTCTATGTCCTGCATCTATGCAGCCGAAGCGTGTAACCTGATCAGAAAATGCATCGTTGTTCCAATGGGGACGCGGCATGGCGCTGCGCTCACAGCGGCACTGCTTGGAGTGCACCATCGACGGTGCACTGTATTCTAGTCATTGTCATGTCGTCGCTTCATTCAAAGATTCATCGGCATACTGTTTAGACAACCGTAATAAGCACAGGAGCAGCCGCAGAATCTCTGGAGGCTTTCGAAACCAAGCGACTTGTCTTTGGGTCAACTGGTGCAGTCGGTTTGGCGTCTTGGAAGGATGGGACAACATTGTCATTCAGAAATTGCCTAGGAAAACCGTGCCTTATGTTTATGTACGGCGCTCTAGCCTTATTGGATTCCTGGAACAAACCATATCGGAACGTTGCCCCAAACGGGTACCCGTTCGCCTTTCTCCTGGCCATTGCTTATGTTTCTCTCATCGTACGTGCTCGACTTTGCAAAACGATGCCAACTCTGAGCGCTAGGCGGTTCACTCGCGAGTGCGACGTGTACAAACCCACCGGATGCTCCCGATGCTCGATACTTTCCCGTCCGTTCATCGAAGAGTTCAAGTGTCAGTGCAGCGTGCGCTTTCGCCTGCACTTGCGGGTGGAATCGCACCGAAGCAAGCTTGTTAGCTTCGACTGCTCCGGTACTTGAGGATCGGTCATCGGACTGTTCACCATTTCAGAAACGCGGGTCTGGTTCACGATCGTCTTCGTGAACTGTTTCAGCTTGCACCTGTGCTCGCGATGCGCTGATGTCATTCAAAACGCTTTGACTGCGAACGTGCTGTATCGGTCCGCGTACTCGTTGTGCGCTGCCGCTGAACCAGCGGGAGTGTAGTTCTTGCGCGTCACAGAACGTCCAGTGCCGTAGGCTACCACCTAACGAAGAGGCTTTTCAGTACTATCTTGATCCGATTCAATAAACACGCTGCACAATGCATGCCTCTTGCCTGTGTGCAACCGTATCCGTTGTACACTTCTAGCGGCCTCGGTAACTTCTTTTTTTCCGATTCAATGAACACGCTGCAAAATGGATGCCTCTTGCCTGTGTGCAACCGTATCCGTTGTACACTTCTAGCGGCCTCGTATACTTCTGGAGGATATCGTTAGCACGATCCGTTTGGACGTTCATACGCGCTCGGACTGAAGCCTACAAAGCATACACCGATCAGCTGGATACGGTGGTCAGAGAATCGAAACATGTCCCGTCACCGTCATTCCATATGTTCGTTTGCTTCTTGGGGTCCATCACGTCTGACACTGAATGGTACCGAGCTCTAAAAAAGTTGAGGAATATGATCTGTTTCGGTTTCAGGTCTTTGGCTCCGTTCTCTTGATGTAGAGGGACGGCGACGGCGATGATTTTGCTAGACGTGGGATCCACGCTCACCAGAAAGTGATTCTCTGCATCTACCTTGAAAGGTTGCGAAGGATTCTGGTTGCTAGACTCATGTATAGGTGTCACAAAGTAGGCATAGACTGATATGTCGTTGGTCTATATCGTCCCTGTAAAATTTTTCCCATCTCTTCCGAGTAAACGTGAAACCTCGAGCGAGCGAACGTAATGCCCTTCGTGAAGCTCGTCGAATTCTTGATGCTGGGCTGCAGGGGCCAGTCGCAGCTCGTCGAAGAGGCCATACAGCACGTTACGAACGTGCCTGCAGTGATACAGTGAGCCTTGATGTAGTATATAGGGATCGCTTCGCCAGGACGCGTGAGGCGGCTAGCTGGCGCCTCAGATTCGGGATGAGCGTCACTTTCGTTTTGTATAACTCTGTTCAGGAAAAGATAGCATAACAGGGCGCTAGCAAAGCGGCTATCGAGTTCCAGAAATGCTTTGGATATGCATATCGCCGCAGCGAGGCCGAAAGCAGCACCATCAAGTTGAGTGATGCGGAGCGACTCTCGTTCTCGTTGTGACATCGTTTCCGAACTCGCAACAGCCTCGATGTCTTCCGCGAACACAAGCTCGTCACCCGTTTCCATCGACACTCCAAGAATCCCTCCCATATGTTTGCACTTTTCGGGGTTTGCAAGACCAGGCTACAGCGAGCCGAACGCCCAAAATACACGTGTGCCAATGTCGCATAAAGCGCTCGATATTGACCCGCATATGGATTTGGCTCTTGAGAATGCGTCGGTACCCCTTGGTACCGGTGCAGGCGAGGTTCTTCTCGACGCGGTGACGCGTCAAGCTATTCTGGAAAACGCCTCTCCACAGCGCTCAACCGCTGATCAGGCCGTAGTGCGTTTTCTGTCTCGGATTTCAGTCGTCGCTTGAAGGTTTCATCGAGAACCTCGGTAGGGTTGTGAAAGCTGGCAGCCATGCGTCCAGTGCTGCTACGAATAGATGCTTGATGAGACGTGTCAGGGTAAGCGAAGATACGCGAATCCTACTGGCGTCCTGCAGCGTACGTTTCGGAAGATACATGCCGAAGTTGTGTTTTGATAGCAGGCCTTGACACCGATTGCAGATTGGTCTTTCCGCGTCATGAGTTCATCGTTTGTGCTCCATTGTATCTTCCTTTCGTGAAGATGCTTCTCTTCTCTGTCTATTGGTTTCTTCTCCTTCTCCTCTACGGGCCGGCACGGTGTGTATGTGGATGCTATACGCTGTATCCCTCCTTTACCCCGGGATGAATATGCACTGGTTAGACGGTAGGACCGAAACAAGCTGTTCTATGAAAGTGTCTGTTATTCCTCGGGCAAGTTTTCCTCACCTTCCGCGTTGTAAGCACGCCTGCAGACCGAAGCGCGGCCCTGCGCTTCCTCCCGTGCATGAGCAAATGCGCAGCAACACAGGTCTGGGCTGGTGAACATTGAAAATGATTGGTTGGAGGACGGTATGGCGGATGCGAAAGACTCGTTCATTGATCCGTGAGCGTCAAAATGGAGGTGGATACCAGCGAAGACGCCCTCGACTCGATTCAGCAGGGCAGAGGAGGCCAGATCGAAAATTATCAGCTGAAGGCCAGTCTCAGTCGAGTACTCCATGACCGCTAAAGAGCGATAGAAAACGACGGTGTCTACGAGCACCACAGATGTATGCGCCGACGAGAAGCCACAGAAAGCTTCTGGAAAAGAATGAGATGTCCAACGATCATGTCAGTTTCGCGATCTCTAGTCTACCACAAGACGCGATTGCCGCTAGGGCGCATGTTTCCAATGTGCTCGCCGTTGCTCGCCGTTCGTAAACTGGTTTATCCCTCTCTGACAATCCGTATACATGACTCCAGTTTCTCTCGGATGGAGTCTGGTCGAGTTGGACAAACACCAGTTCCTCCTGTGAAAAGTGCTGGTGCTTCAGTAAGAAATCAATAGCTTGTTGATCCGTACGCGATACTCTCGGGTGGAAGCGTGCGCTTTCACTATTCAACTGAATCTCTTCATCACCCTTCATACGAACCGTACGGAATCTCTAAATCCTGCGGCTCCTTTCATAGGATATGGTAGAGAACGGAAGCCAAGAATGGATTGACAAGGAGGCAGTCGAGTACATCGGACTGGGCAAGCTCTGTTATGAGTTCACGACGTCCAGAGTGGAGACTTCGAGACTTGTGGTCTCGTCAAGCCACGTTTTTTCGGTAGAATGATTGACCTGAACAACCAAGACCGTTCTCTTCTGGGGAGCAGCGACAGCATCAAGGCTCTCCATGGCCTTTCTACGAGCTGCAGGATACATTCCTTCCATTGAATACTTGCGAGAACAACAAACAGAAACAAAAAATGCATGTGGGTACCAGATTTCGAAAGTTCACTGGTATGCATAGAGAGCTGTTCTCGCTGCAGAACCCTTGGATTCTACCATACAACATTCTTTATCTTGGGATTCTATCCTGGCGTGGTATGCACGGCATATGCTTGCTGATGTCCCTATGGTTGCAAAAAGCTGCAAGGCACTCGAGTTGCCGCATACAGAGGCAACCACTTTTCATCCCTCGGGATGCCACACGATCGTTTTCACGAAACAGCGAATTTGCGATTGTCCGCAGGAGCGCTAGCCAAACGGCGACTTCTTCGCTACACCGACCGATACCTCTCAGCTCCATTAGACAAGCCGCCATTAACCAGGCTTTCGTGCGACTTCACCAGCTAGATCCATACCCCTGTGCTGTTACGGGAAGCGTTGAACGAAAGCGCTCATTCCTCGACAGGCGGTGCGTTGCGGTTGCAATAGTTTGTAGGGCACTCGCTCTCGAATGGCCCTGGTTCGTGGGAGCGCTCGTTCCGTCGCTCAACAAGTGGTAGCTGCGCGGTGGCTGCTTCCAGTATGGGATGAAACCCATGCCAACGAGCCGCTATGGCTGGAAGATCACGCGCTTGTTCTAGAGGGTGACCGGATAGCGGCCGTTCTTCCGCGAGAAGAGGCGTGGAAGCGGTACCCCAGCGCCGAGCGAGTGTGCCTCTCTGAGCACGCTCTGCTTCCTGGTCTGATCAACGCGCACACACACGCTGCCATGAGCCTGTTTCGAGGACTTGGAGACGATCAAGCGCTAGACACCTGGCTGCGTAGCGTGATCTGGCCACTGGAACGCGAACTGGTCGACGAGCACTTTGTTCGTGACGGTAGCATGCTGGCGGTTGCGGAACTGCTGCGAAGCGGTTGCACCACCCTAAACGATATGTACTGGTATCCAGAGGTCACCGCGCAAGTGTGCCGGGAAGCCGGCATGCGTGCAGTGCTCGGCATGGTCGTGGTGGACTTTCCGAGCCGCTACGGCTCTGGCCCAGAAGAATACTTTCAAAAAGCGAGCCGCTTGACGCAGATCATCGCAGAAGGCACCCTAAAGGACTCGCCAGAAAATCCCCACCGGGAGATTCCCTTAATGGAAAGCAGCTACGCGCCCCATGCAACTTACTCGGTATCAGAGGAAATCCTCCGTGAGGTCGGGAAACGAGCGATGGATGAAGGCCGACGGGTGCACATCCACATGCACGAGACAGCTGCGGAGGTGAAGGCGAGTCAAACGCTGGATCGTGGGGTACTTGTCTGCCACCGCAGCGAGTTTGCAGGTGCGCCACTGGACAACTTAGAGCGACTCGGCCTGTTGGCTGCAAACTGGACTCTTGTGCACATGGTGCATGTGACGGATGCGCATATCGAGCTGGTGCGCAGGAGAGGTGCCTCGGTCGTGCACTGTCCAGCGTCGAATTTGAAACTGGGCAGTGGTGTTTTTCCGCTTACCAAGATGCTGGACGCCGGCATCAACGTCGCCCTCGGAACGGACAGCGCTGCCAGTAACAACCGACTCGACATGTGGGCTGAGATGCGCCTTGCAGCGCTCTTGGCCAAAGGAAGTACAGGTCGCAGCGATTGCCTTACGGCCTATCAGGTGCTGCGTATGGCGACGATTCAAGGCGCCCGAGCACTGGGACTGGACCACTTGCTGGGTTCCTTGGAACCTGGCAAGGCAGCCGATTTCATTGCCGTACGAGTTGCAGATGGCCTCTCAACAATGCCTGTGCACGATGTGTGTTCGGCTTTGGTTTATGGAGCGGGACCGGACCAAGTGACGGATGTTTGGATAGGTGCTCGCCGGGTGGTCCACGATGGAGTACTGCAGACGATTTCGCAAGCGAAACTCGTTGAGCGTATCCGACACTGGCACCAGCGCATACGCACGCTGGGGTCTCAGCGAGGTGAGGACGGCAGCTATGCTGCTACCACACGACACGCTTCACGGAACTAGAGCGAGACGCACGCTGATCACCTTCAGTTTGTGAGGTATCTCTCTGGACGCGGGACGTACACACCCATGACATGAACTGCAAAGGGTGGAGTTCGGATGAGCGTCCGCTCTGATCGCATTTCCCAAGGCTTGATATCGAAAGAGGCAAGATGCGAAACACTGAATCGGGTGGCGCTTGGCCTTGGACGTGGCTCCTGGTCCACAGCTTCCCCAGTTTCGTGAAAGGAATGATGAGCGTTCACGCGCGCCGCTCGTACTCGTTTCATTCAGTGAATACAATGGCGCCTGCATGTGCACGGGTCGTACGTAAGAACGTTCGCGTGGACCAAGATGGGATCGAGGCTTTCAGTATTTGCGTGTAGGGTGATGGTCTCTACAGGCCCTGCGCAGTGCACGCTGCCGCATGCGTGGACAGAAGAGCCGAGCAATTCTCCAGCGGACAAGTGCTGAAAATGATGATCATGATGGTGGTAATGGTGATCGATTTCCCGACGACCAATGACCAGCACGCATCAGTGGGGACCTTGGTTACATCCGGCGTGCATGGAGCAAACAGATGTGTACCTGTCTCATATGTTATGTTATACGCGGGGTGTGCGTAGCAGCTCGACACCGAGAGTCTGGTCTGCGTCAGCACAGGAGCCTGAGTGCCCAATATTGCCGCGAACGATGCCCCGGCTGGGTTCTAGACTGTAAAAACCTCGCGTTTGCTTGCGGATACGCTACGTGAATGTCTCGCATCATGCAACAACAACGGTATAATGGAGTTGAGCAAATGTTTATGGATCTTGATGGAGCACAGCGACGCTGCAAAGCACAATCTTGCTTGCTTGCGGTTGATCGACAGAGAGTTTCCTGATATTGGTATCTCTGAATCCAGAGACTTTTGGAATCCGTTTCGGATCACCGGCTGCATGCGATGCTTTCCGAGAGGTGAACCCTCGATGCCAAACGCCATCAAGCACGTTAGGCACTTGTCTTTTCTGCAGCGAGGTACACGGCGGTGAACGTTCGTGTATGCACGTGCACGGGTAGATGCTCATGTATCAACGCATCGGGGCTAGTATTCATATGCATTTGTCTGAGTTTTTCTGTGAGCGTATGCATGTATTCGTGCACGAAACCGTACGCATGCTCGCAAGCGTTTGCATGGAGGTATGGCTCCTCTGCGAATGCTTCCGCCTGAGCGGGCACTTGTCGATGAGCCCCAAATTCAATGGAACGAACGAATATCCTTGAACGCATGTTCTTTCGATCTAAAAGAACTGGTAGAGCAAGTCTGTATGCATTCGGCGCCATAGACAATCTCAGCTGCCGCGTTGCCGGTCCGAATGCCGCTTGTCACGGCCATGATCTATTTGTCATCGTGCTCGAATATCCAGCAATGCGCAGTCACTTGATACTTTTTTCGCACCAAGCATTCCATTATAAAAGGAGCGCTCGTATAATCCGACAAGCTCCAGTTTCGACACCATTTCAAAGCGTTCTACGGGTGAACGACTCATACGAGGCGTTCAAGCGAGATAGCGCGAGACCTTGCAATACCCTGCCCAGGTTACAGCGCTCAATGTCGCAACGTCTCAATCACTCGGTCAATAATTACCTCTACGCGTTTGAGATTAGCCTTCACATTGTCGTGAAATTCAGCAATCTCCGTTTGTTCTGCTCCACTGATCAGACCATTCGCCAGGTTATCGACAAAGCAGACTTGCATGTAGGGGATTCCCAGCTCGCCACAGCAGACGGCCTCGGAGGCACCAGTCATACCTACCACGTCTCCGAACGTTCGCAGCATGCGAACCTCGGCAGGTGTCTCGAAGCGGGGTCCAGCGGTTTGCACGTAAACGCCACCGTCGTGGAAACTCATTGCTGCAGAAGCCGTTGAAGCCATGACAAACGACTGCTTAGACGACGTTTCTGCTGTCTTCGAATCGCCAATCTGGGAAGCAGCAGACAGATCCTTGAGCGACGTCAGAACTCGGTCGCGAAGCATCTGATCAAAGCGGATGACTGCGTGGCCTCGCATGTCCTCGTCATAAAACGTTTCCGCCCGACAGAGTTGCGCGAGGGAGCAAAAGTCGTGGGTAAGCACACAGGTCCCTACTCGAATTGCGGGGTTCAGAGATCCGACACTGTAGACACCTACACAGCGGTCCACGCCGACTTGCTTTAAGGCGTACAGGTTTGCACGATGGTTTATACGGTGTGGAGGCGTATACGCGTCAACACCACGATGAGCGTCCGCATGGTGCCGCTGCAAGAATACCAGAGACGGTTCTGTACTGTCGCAATAGCAGACGACCTCCCCGTATGGTGTATGGACGTGTCGTCTGTCAAAGCCCGCAAAGCGCTGTGAGTGGAACAGCGACGTGCCACCAATCACGCCCAACATTGCCGTTGGCCTGGAGGTACCAGGTACCTGCTTCCGAGCAGCCTTCGAGCTCGGGACGTTAGCAAGGCAGTGCCGGGAGCGTCCTATACGACGCTTCCACAGCGGCTTTCGGTACGGTATCGTACCTGGCTCGCGCAAGTCCGCACAAAGCGAGACAAAAAGGAGCTGAAGTGGTGTATGGAAATGGGGCGCGCGTGCGAGTCTCCAAACGCTATCGTATGAATACCTGATGCACTCGTCTACCTGCTCCGCTGAACACTGAATAGAAGGATTTCAAGTGAAACGTTGGTATTGCTTTTCATTCTGGAAAACTGACCATTTTCGTGAGAGACCGGTTTCCGTGCTGCACAAAACATGGAATAGAAGGAATACACGCAGGTCGGTCCGGTGCTTCTTAGCGCACAGAGGGATAATGGATTCAAAACCATCTACCGAGAACAAGTATCGCTTGTCGAAGCGGCAACAATTGCCGTTCGTGGAGAGCGCATCATCGCTTTGTACAAAGGGGGTGTCCAGACGAGTCGAGATTTCTCGACTTGATCTTCAGCCTGCATTCGCCGTCTGGCACTGGATTCAATACGAACAACCTCGCGCTCATAAAATCTTCTATCGAATGGGACAGCGTGCGCTTGCGTGTGCAACGGACACCATACTCGTTGACGGGAACGCCCAGAAGAAGCCCGTCATCCTTCCGCATGGCACCTGACCTGGAACCCAAGGAGCGCATCCAGCGGAGCCTACCGAACAAGCCAACGGCATGTGCAGAGCGATGATGAAGCAAGCGTTCACGCGATACACGGAGGTGCCTCCAAGAGGAGGACGATCAGGAGATGCTGTAGACATAGGCGAACATCTGACCACATTCAAATGTCACCCCTGAGGAACGTCCACTGATATTGTGTACAAACAAGATGAAAACAGGAACCGAAACATAGATCGCAACTTCCGTCTCTCCATGGAGCGCGTCCACAATAGCCGGGAACGACGGAATCGGGACTTGAACCTTACCCGCAACATCTTCCGACAGCCGGCAATAGAGCTGGGGAGACTACAGACCGGTGTATTGGAAACCGGAGACGAGACGAAGGGAAAGGAATCGGTTGGAGAAGAATACTGAGGCTGGTGCTGGTAATCATGTGAGGACAACAAAACTCTGTGGTCTACGACCGGGCCACGCAAGTGGACTTCCTCGATCTTATGCTGACAGAGGTGTCACTTGGATGATCCATATGCCGAAGCGAATGCAGTAAGAACGCAGCTGCTGCTGGTAACTTTGCTAGACACACTTTTCTCAACGGGTTGGCGTTGCTGCCGAGTCGCCGCAGTTGCCGAGCAGATCCAAGTGGTTGCTGTGGTTTGCTCGACGAATACGGACCGAGTCGAAAAAGTCGTATAGCAGGGTCTCGGCCGGGTTTATGGGATGCAACCTACGGACTATGTGAAAATCGTCGGTGCAAGTGGGCGCTGCTTCTACGTGCACTACCACTGTGCAACCGTCTCCGAGACGCTACGCTCTATGCTGGAGTCAGGGTTTCGCGAAGAGCGTGAGCGCTGCATAACTTTCAACGATATCGAGGAGGAGCTGCTCGAATGGTGTCTAGACTACGTCTACTATTACCGACAGTGTGAGTGCAACTGGTATGGGACAGAGTTGCCGCGCTTCCCGGTACCGGAGGAGAAGTCACTGCAGTTGCTCAGCGTCGCAAACTATCTAAACCTTTGAAGGTGAGCTGTGTCGCTACTGCTCCGTAGCTTCGACGAACGGAACCTGTTCGCGTAGAAATGTTCGTGGAGCTGGAGCTCCAAAAACTGCACAAGAGGGAAAAGCCACCCACTTGGCGTACGCTCGCAGACCACACGTTGTTCTGGACGTGGTCGTGCTGCGGCTACCGCTGCTGCTACTGCTGCTGGTGGTGATGCTGGTGGTGCTGGTGATGGAGGTGGTTGCACTAGTCGTGAGAAATGGAAGCCTGCACTGCAGAGGTTGCGTTTATCGTCTGGTAACTGACACCGTTTGCGCAAATAGAGCTCAAATACTGGACTTGTTGATCAAATAGCACGGAAAAGCCGCCAGAGGCTTATGCTCGCCCATACCATCTTTTGAGGCAACGCGTGTCTGGGGCTGTCCCTGGTCATGGACGCGTCAAGAACGCGCGTATTCCAGAGAGCGCTCGCTCAAACGCGATACAATCAGGTTGCACTGATATGAACGCCACGACGACGACGACTCCTGTCGCTGAGGATCAAGGCGGTTAATGGAGGCGATGTCTCCTGGAGAAGCACCCGCGAGGACGGCGACGAGGATGCTCTGTGCGTTCCCCCAGGAGCATACACTTGCGATATGCAATCGATGACACAAAACCCCTGCCCGTAGCACAGAACTCTTGCGTCAGCGCATATCGCCCAGTCCGGCGCCAAGCAAACTCGCCTTGCAGCTGATTTGTTGCATTGACGTGCGAGACGGGGGCTCGCGCGCTAGGCACCGTCGGCTGCCCAGGAGCCATGGATGTGCTCCCAGTCACAACGAATCGGTGAGGATGCGCTCCAAAGTGAGGCATGAGTCCTCAGACCGGCACCCTCGACGTGGCTTGCCCCATTGGCATCGATACTCGCTGCACACTCGATTGGCCAAGCGTAAGATGCTTCGAGCATCGCTCCCGAACCCCATTCTGGCGTTCGTAAGAATGGATCAAAATACGGATCGAAAAGCAGCATATGGATCGGGTTGTAGCGCTCGTCGAGATCTACAGTATTCGGCGGTAGGCGACCGCGGAGTGAGCGATCTGCTGTATCGCGGCAGCTGGGATGAACGCAACGCTCGAAAAACTCCATGGCATCACGCTCCTCGGGCAAGAGCATGTCCTGAGCGCCTCGCTCCACCGAGGTCGACAGCGCCGAGGTCCCTGATGGCCGCTGCGTCTCCCAGCGGCGCCGAATCAAGTGCTGGACGACTTCACGGAGATTGCTTAACAGCATTTGGATGTCGCCATACCAGTCTCGTTCACTGTTGATCCGATAACAGTGGTAACGGGATTGACGCTCGAAAAAGTCTACTTTGGCGTTGCTGATGAGCGGCTCGATGCAGGCAAAATCAAAATCGGCGATCACGGCCTCGTATGGTTGTTCGGGGCGCAACCCAAGATACCAAGTGTGACCTTCAAACGCGTATCGGCGGTAACGCACAGGGCCAGCCTCTGGGGCGCTCGATGGACGCACCAGCTGCAGCGTCGATGCTGGTGTCCGTGCACCGGCGCCAGCGAGACCAACCAAGACCTGACACGTGCCAAGGCACGCAGTCGTGAGCGAACCACGCCGTCGAAGCATAACGTTGGCAAGCGAGAGGTCGTTATGCTTCCAGTTCGGATGGAAGCGCAGAAGCACGGCAAGCGTGAACACAATCTGAAAAGTGAGCTCACGCACGGCCGAAATGTCGATTCCCGGTGCAGTACCCCGACAGAGGGCGTGAAAGAGCGTTCCACCGGTGAAACGCTCCATGCAGAGAATACTGCAGCGCTCAGGATCGCAGTTCTGACGCCGCTCTATCCACTGACGAAGCTCGGTTGCGGCGGTACTGCTTCGCCAGAAGGCCTCGGGGATGCGCAGCGTGGACAACGGCACATCGTGGCGCTCCCCGAAAAGAACCGGAAGATGCGGCGTTGCCCGTCCTACCAGGAGCGTCCTCATTAGTAGACGCATCATAGCCGGCTCGCTTCGCGTGGGATGCATGAAGAGTGCGGTTCGAAATCCGGTTTCGTAGAGAGATACTTTGATCGCAACTTGTGGAAACCACCGAGACAGGAGCACCAGGCCAACTGCGCCGGCGCCCAAGGCCTGCAGCCATTCCGCGTGCCGCAGGATCTTGTCGAGGAGCTCATCGCCGTGGAGGCTGCCCGACGGTGACAATCTCAGGGAACGACGCAGCGGGCCGCTTTGGTAACGGGCGTCGACGACATCAGAGGTCTCTTGTTGCAGCGAATGTGGGGTCGCTGGCGAGGTTATCGCGGACTTTGGCGGTGGTGTCGGCAACGCGGTCGCCTCGTCGACCACCAGAGGCAGCCGCATTTGCTTCGAGCCGCCCGGATCTGCGTCAGCGTACCGTGGATCGGTTAGCGGCACGAGGATGTGAAACGTTGGCGATGCTCGCCCTGCGGTACCCGGGACCGGTCGATGGATCTCCATACATGCATTATCTGTGAGTAGTCCGCTGCCTGCAGCGTTTTCGCGTAGCTGCATGGTGGCGGTACCAGTGGGCAAGCTCCAACGAAAATCCGACACAACTTGCGATAGCGTGGCGAGTCGTTGCCGCGGAGAAGGACGGCGATCGGCGTTGTCGCACGCGTCAACGCAGCACACCGGTGGCTGTGACTCGGAGCCGACTGCGCACAGGCACCAGACGACTCGGCTGCAGACGCTTTCCGTGAACTTGTTCTACAAGCGCGTACTCGCTGTGGCGCTACGAGGGCGTTTCGCCTTCGAAACGGTGCGTAATCGTTGTGTGCAAGTAACAAGTTGCAAACAGGCAACTTCCACCGAACCTCGAGGACCCCAAAGTGCACCTCAACTATATGCACACAGTGGCCCACAGCGCTGGGTACCGCTCAGCGATATCGAGCCACCCGTCAATGGCGAACCAGATAACAGGCACAGTTGACTTGACCTCGAACCTAAACCTAACCCAATATCAACCCGTACATGAGCATACAACGACGCTCTGGGGAGGCCAACACCTCCGACGAAACGTCATCGACGGACCAGGCTCATTGACATGTTGCTTCAGGCATCGACGTTACTGGCCTCAGCGGGGATCCGTTTTCGCTCGATGCCCTGTCACGCACGAACGAACGCACGTGCTGATCCGTTTACCGCACGCATGCGGATCGCTCGATACGTGGACACGTAGCACTGCGGCCGCTGCGGCGCTGGCGCAGGCGCGATGCGCGCTTCAGAATGACCCGCGTGTCAACGACACGGGTCATGACGCGCGAACGGGCCAATTTCAATCAGCGGCGATGAGCGTGCGCGCAATCTGATCTCTCCGTAGGCGAAGACACGCTCTCCAATCGTTTCCCCGAAATGTAGAAGGCTCCCGCCGCCTCAAGCGAACCGTCCAGAAAGCAATATGGGAACGTAGACACGGAACCAGTCGTGCCAGTAACGCCCGTCTTGACTCTACACCGGAACTAGAACCCGGCATAAACATGCAAGTACTGGTGGGAGGCGCTGGAGCTCCCGGGACTTGCGCGCGGTAGCCAGTGGCGCGCCAAAATCCGCGTTGGTGGCTTCTGGCTAGCAGCACCGACTCTAAGCCGTATGGGAACACTGGGATTGCACTGAGAATCAAAATGTCCCTGCTGTGGAAACGAGATCCCCGAGACGCTGACATATTTACTGTTACAGTGCCCGCGCTGGAAGCAGGAGCGCAGCGAGCTCCTTGAAGGACACCAGCAGCTGGGTATCACCGTGATAGTCGAAGGCCGGACACTCACTTTGAGTGCAGCACTGGCAACTGATGGTCCGCTAACGGAGCCTCAGCGCTCATTCGTGGCCAACAGACTCACGTGCTACCTTCCAAGCGGAAGGTCTAGCGAATCGGACGCGCACACGGGTTTAGTATGCTTTCTGCGCCTACCCACTGTGGTGAGCGTCAAGCACAAACCCGCATTGCCAACCGACAACAACGCATTCCATGCATGATCACGAGGGAGAGAGGCGTCTCCCAGGATTCATCCTAATAGTCAAGTTTCTCCAGCATGTCGTGCAGCGAATACAGGCCTGCATCCGCAGACTGTCCGAGCACAAACTGACGACGAGACCCGATTCTACGTCGGGTGAAGCACGCCTCGAGCCGACGCCCTCTGGGGTATAGAAAAGCTGCTCTAGCTCGATGAACTATCTGCTCCAGCATTTAAGGTCCAAAGGCGGATATGGAAAGGCAGGTACTAGGCACACACGATAGGACGTATGAAACGACCAGAATATCCGAGAATCAGCATAGGTAATGTAACTTGGAGGGAGGGGGCTTTATAGATACATTACCGCGCACTGAAGTTAAACACAAAATAAAAGAGAAAGAAAAGAAAAATGCGCATAATCCGAGAGCACTGGCCTATGCACACGTTTTGTCCATGAAAAAAAAGAATCGCGCTCGGTGGGCGCATCTGGGAGATCGGGCAGTCAACTAACGCGACGCGTCTCGCCGTTGAAGGGAAACGGGATCGCGATCTTGAGCGTGTTGCTCTCAAGTACAAGTTGCATTTGCGTTAAAGTCATAGCAGAGTGTACTTTTCAGTTCAGTTATATTTCAACCCTCAGTTTGGTTTATTCAAGTTTTCCTCGCTGTTTATATCAGAGGCGTTGGAGGGAGCGTTGTTTTCCAAAAAAACAAAAAAAGGAAGTTATGAAAAGCAAGTCGACGATCCTGGAGGCCCAGTGTCGCTGGCTGCCAGAAAAAACAGAAAAACAGTGCCAAGTCCAGAAGAAAAGGAAGAGAAGAAGGACTGAAAGGGGGACGCTCTGCGTCGAAGGCGGCACGAAAGACGACTGTGCGACAAGTAGGTCGTCAAAGTCTGTCTTCTTAAACATATCAAGGATCCGTACAGGGAAAAGCTGCGAGACGCTATCGAAAACAGTGTTGCGTCATACTCCAAGAGTATTGTCAAGGCGTCGTCAGGACTGATGCATATGGCGAGGGAGATGTATCGCGACGTGGCGCAGGTGGAAACGGTCGGGATTCCGGACGGGTTTCTCGATAAGACCTTTATTCGACAGCTGATGCTTGGTGCAGCGGAAGCGCCGAGGGAAAGTGTGCTAGTGCATGCCCTCCACGAAAAACATCCCTTTTAGAGCTTCGACGGTACTCGATACAAAATTGACTGGTGCATTTACACATACGGAGCGATGAAGTACATCACGAACCTGAAGAACCATTTGACTATGAACCTCGAACGCTTCATGATACGCGCCGTGTTTGCGCTGTACCCTGGCATCGCTCGCAAAGGAAAATGGGCGATTACCAATGGCGTCACGAACGATCGCCAGCATGAACAGGAGATCGAATTCGTCGGAGACAAGGCGTCAAACGAGAGCACGAATGAAGCTTCTGTCATCCGTGCGGTTGTAGAAGAGCACCGTGCGGCACTGGGGCTGCTGAGTCCAACAGACAAGATATCAGAGTCGAAAAAAGATAAGGAAAGATACTATCGCCTCGCCCTGCGCTATTTCGTGTTTCTGGACGGAGAGCTGGAACGCAAGGCGGAAATGAAGCTGAATGAGGAGACAAATGAGGAGTGGGAGAGGCGGAAGGCTTTCCTAATGGGGAAGCGCTTCAACGTGGTTCCAATGTGCAACATCAGGTCACATTTCGTGACTATCGATTCAGGCGTCCTTTACGGCATCATGAGGGAGATCAGTCCCGAGTTCCATGTCAGCAGGGAGGAGTTCTCCGGCGAAAGCCGGGAGACGCACTGGAAGAAGAATTTCGCCGATTTCAAACGTCTGAAAGTGAGCAAGCGAAAGGTATTCACTGGGATGATCGAAAGCGATGGAGTAGCCATGTCTGTACACTATCGGCGCTTGAAGACAGATCGTCCAGCTCCGCCCGTGGCGAAGGATGAAGGTACGAAGAAGGAGGATCCTGCGACACACGAAGTGCACGATAACGGCTTTGTCGTTGGCGCGGCGAAGCATCGAGAAAAGAAGGAGGTGGATCGTGCAACACAGAAAGCGCACGATAACGGCTTTGTCGTTGGCGCGGACCCCGGAAACACAAATATCATAACCATCGCTGTACCCAAGCGTGCGGAAGATAGTGTCGACGACAATTGACGTCATAAAGACAAGCGTCTGCTGAGGTTGTCAAGAGCTAGATATTACCGGGAATCCGGTATAATGAATGCGAGGATGAAAATCGTTGGATGGAATTCAGGAGTGAGGGATCACCTGGAAGCTTTGAGCGAGGTGACGAGCCGAGGAACCGACTTTGAAGCATTTCGGGAGTTCATGGAAGTTCGCGCTGCTCATTGGGATGCCCTGTGGAAAGAATCCACCAAGCCCCGGTGGGCTCGTTTGCGTATGAATTTCTGTTGTGGGAAGCAGCGGGCGTTCTCGAACTTTTTCAATCAGTTGAGCGCCCGGAGGGAGAATGAAAGTCAGAGGCTCGTAGTAGCGTACGGAGCAGGGCGCTGGGCGTCGAAAAAAGGCATTACACCAGCTCCAACGACAAAAACGTGCAAGGAGTGCGCACGGCGTTTCGTTACGATGCCCGTAGATGACTTCCGAACATCGTATACACACCATGAACTGGGGTGTACACTCCAGAGGGTCCAGATGGAAACGTATTAGCGGAGCCCTGAGGAAATAGCAAAGCACGGACCGTTGACGGAGGAGCAAATGGAAAGGAGAGCGAAAGTTCGTGGACTACTCGCATTATTAAGTACAACCGACGATGGCAAGAAACGGATGGAGTTTGTGAACCGAGACATTAATGCCGCTATCAATACAAGGAGATGTGCGGTGCTGGAGAATAGACTTCCAGAGTGGACGAGATAGAATTTTGTTGGACAACCTCTCAAAGTAGAACTATATGAGAAAAAGTTGAAACCAGTCGTGGGTGGCCGGTCGAGAACGGCGGCGAGGCGTCTGCCCGTCAGCAGGAGATGGTTTGTCCAAGACGCGTTCGTCGTCACTACAATACCACTCACGGCAGTGTTTTTCTTCTGCAAGGCGTTTGGTGTCGTTTCGTGGCGTTGCGGCGTTCCCAAGTACCCATCGAACGTCATGTTTATCTCATCACTCAAACCTCTTTCTTTTTCGAAAGATTCTTCATATGCTTTCCTTTCGTCTTCGAAGAAATTAACTGCAGTGGAAACGAGGCAGCGTTCCAGTGCTCCGTACCCTTCGGCGGGCACTGCAGCACTGTCAGTCTTCATGCGTCAACGGCGTGACTTGCGGGAAGAGAAGCGGCTGCGCAACTTGGAATATGCGCGTTTGCACCGGAAACGTGTTCCTCGTGGTCCACCCGGCAGACGTGTTAACCTGAGCGGAAACGCAGCAGCTAGTGCGGCGGAACGAGAGTCTGTCTACAGTCTCTACTTTACGATGATGAACGCAAAGCAACACAGTCGTCCAGGGAAACGAGACAGACAGCAACAGAAACAGGCGAATGATGGCGCTGGTGCGAGCGGGCTAGACGAGCAGTAGTCGGGCGCGACAGGCTTGACACTTGACGCGGGACACCGCTGCGCAGCCACGGGTTGTGAAGGCGGCAGAGCGAATAGCTGGGCGCTGGATCCGGTTTGGCAGTGTAGCCGCACGCGGTCTAAGTGCGGTGTGGATGTGTCGCGGTGTTGCAAATGGCAGTGGAACCACATGCAGTGAAGCGCGTTTCGCGCACGCACATTCATGGACGACGTGTAAACGAGCGGCACGATACAGTAGGTCCGGAACGAGCACGCCACTCCTATATTTGAGCGTCTACGCGCTAGTTTGCCTCGCGATAGGAACGATTCTGGACCAGAGTTCAGTGCAGCGCTCACTGTTGCAGGTTGTGCGCCAACGAACGGTCAGAACTGGTAACATGGCTTACTCGAGAGGTACGGTAGCTACCATGATTCGCACGATTGTCGACGGTACTCGCATTTTGCGAGATGCTCGCTGCTGATGCTTCGACTGTGCATGCCCCCGAAGAACGCGTAACGTGTACAATGCCTTGATACCCGAACGCCACCAGCTGCTCGGACGTCTTGTGCCGTCCCGCGGCATCCGAATCTCTTCTGTGAACTGCTGCTGCTGCTGCTGCTGCTGCTGCTGCTGCTGCTGGCCGTGAATATTGCATTCACAAAGTATGCTGTCAGCCGATGCTATGCCGTCTGGTGGTGTGCTGCTCGGGCTCATCACGTAGCTGTCATATGCAGCATATCCAGCTTTAGCGATTACGGCGCAACGGCTTCTCTACGGCAAAGCAGGGCCAGTACTTCCCGTGGTGTGAGCATGCAAGAACCACCAGCAACTGCGACACGACCGGTGCGTTGCGCGAAACGGTATACATCTCGGGCCTCGCTGGGCATGATACCCCCGGCTACGTACACGATCAGCGTCGGTTCGCAAGTCGCGCCAGCAAGTGCGCCGTTTCCGCTCTGACCTGCGGCGTGCAACGGAGTCTGCGACACCACTGGAGACGGCTTCAGTCCAGAGGGCGCCCCAGAACGTGGTGTTACCGGTGAGGTATACTTGGGACTCGGAGCCGCACCAAGATCCGTTGCGAGCGGATACGCACACTCGGGCCGGAAGACGTTCTCCGCGAACTGACGTAGGATCACTGCCAGACGGTTGTTGTAGCGGCAGAGCTCAAAGTCATCGCTAGCCTCGTCAGCGCTGCCCTCATCGCCGGGCCCACGAGTGGATAGGTTGCTCCAACTGTCGCGGCGTGTTCGAGAACGCGAACGCGAACGAGAGCGCTCTCGTCGTTCACGCCGTTCCGCTCGGCTCTTGCGCATCTCTGTACCAAGTGCGACACTGAGATAGTCCCAGACAGTCCGCAAGGCGATATCAGCCCGAATGCTTGCGGGCGCACGCCTTGCGTCGCCCACACCACCATCAATGAAATCGTTGGTAAAGGAGCTCGGAATCGTGTAGCCGCGCAGAACTTCCAGGAGACGCTCGAGATCACCGGCTCCAACGTCCTGAGTCACCAGATAGAGCAGCGCGACGCGTAGCTTGTCCATAACGCGAACGTTCGGATGCTCGGCAACAGCAAGTGCTCGTCTCAGTGCATGACGGAAGCGTCGGCCTCGACTCGTTCGACAACAGGCCAGATCCTGCTCCATGGCAGCGACACGGTCCAGAGACCAGTCGGAGAAGCGTGTCAACAGAACCTCTATAAGCGCGAAATGTGCTAGGAACGTATCGAGTGCCTCTTGGGCGGTCGCGCACGCCGCCCTTGCCTGCGGGATCCGGTACCATTCGGGACGCTGTGCCGATTCGGCGTCCAGGTTTCGCCTCTGGGGTTGACGTATGACTGCCGCAACGCCAGGCTCCGCGTCCAGATAAGCGTCAAAGGTCGCGGAAAGCGCATCGACCGCATCCGCAATATGCCGATGTCGCACTTCACGCCAGATCGTATCCAGCTCCTCGTCGAGATCGACTTCCGCAGCGCTGATCGGTTCGTGGAGATCCCATTCCAGCCCGATTTCAGTCAAGGGAATGCGGACGCGAGCGCAGGCATTTTGCGATCCCTCGCAGAGGTCCATCGCCATTGCAGCGTAGTGAAAGTCGTGCATGAACAGCGTCGCCAGATCCACCGTTCGATCGCAAATCAGAACGTCTACAGGTCCGGGGCGTTTCCCCGGAGCCAGCTCCGCCAAACGGCTTGTCAGTGCAGGGCCTGTTTCGGTTTTCGAGACGGAGGCCTCGGCAGCCTGGGTGGCGTGCGGCATGTTTGATGCCCATCGACGCCGCAGCTCGTGCGCAAGCAACTGGGCGAGTTGTTCGGCTGGCGCCGCGCCGCCGACAAGGCTTTCGCTCGCGAGTCTCGAGGCGGGGTCTTCGGTCCCGGCGCCACGGACAAAATACACATTTCCGAGCCAGGGCGATCCGTCCTCGACACCAGCCATTACCTCGCAAACCGAGGCAAGTTGTTGCGCTTCGATGGCAAGGCAACGCTCCTGGCGGAGACGCTCCGTTTTGCTGCGTGAAGCGGGAAAGAGATCGATCAGTGCACTCGGGTGGCAAAAGTGAAAAAGTCCCTCCTCTATTGCTACATAATCCAAACGAATTTCCATGAAGCACCCCAGTCGCTGAAGCAGTGACGTGTGTGCCAGCTGTTGACGCACAAGGCCGAGTGCCTCATTGGGGAGATGTCCGCTGATGAGGACGGCATCTTGAATGGAGTCCGCTCCTTCGGACAGTCTGGCCTTTGCAGTGGTTTCCAGATGCAAGGCCATCGCTTCCACGGATGCTGGCACTGAGGTCACGAAATAGATGTGCGGCTTGATGGCATCACCTCGGTGCGCGTTCCGGCTCGCATCGGTACAAGTGAACGTCATCACAGATGCTGCAGTTGTTGCTGGTGTCGAGCCGTTTCGTCCGACTGGCGATTTCCGATCGTTCAGTACCTGAACGGTATCAATGCCCAGCTGTCGAAGCTGCTGCAACCGGCACAGACTTGTCACGATAGATAAGGTTACCATGTCTAGCACAAGTACCATTCCAGTAGAATCTGAGGACGCAGCCGCTGACGCCTGTTCAGGGCTTACAGCAGCGGGTATCGCGCCCCCGGACCCTCGATAGCGCTGATCGAGACCCACGGTCGTGCGTCGACGAACACTGGTGCTTCGACGACGTCGCTGGCTCGAGACAGCACGCGTGACTCTAGCGCTGGTGCGGGAGCGCGCGTCCTCCTCCAACGCGATCGCATCTGCGGCTCTTGGTGCATCCTCAAGAGGCTCCGCACAAGTCTCGACATGTATATTCGAGACTGACAAGGCCATTCGGGCTTTTCGAATGCCATCGATGAAACGCATGCGAGTCAGTTGCCGCAGCATGAGGCCTGCAATAGGGTGCGAAGCTTCCCCAGAACCATTCCAATTGAAAAGGGTCGTTATCACGCGTTCGGAAGGATCCGGTGTCCCGGCGGCTGGCCACGTGCCGGGTAAAGGCATCGAGGGTGGAACCAGCTGCATGTCGGGCCCTGCGTCTGCCTGCTGTGCGTGACTTGCGCGCGAGCTCCGCTTCGCGGCGCCCTCTGACCTCCGGTACGCCTTCCCTCGTTCGATGACGGGTCCGTGCGAGATATCTCCACCTTTGCCATAGACATCCGACACGTGCGCTTCAACGAAAGGGCGTGCCCCGCCAATTTTCTGCTCGATGGCGATACGCGCCTGCTCGAGATCGCCGTCCACAGCGCGGACTTGTTTCCGTAGCCACTGCTTCCGTGCCCATGGATACTCGTCTTCCAGCTGCTTAACAACGTGCTTCAAATGGCGTTCCGCTGGGTCACCCGCTGACCAAGAGCATACGTTACCCATTTAGACGCTGGAGAGCGAGGGAACGGCCAACAGAGCGCGAAGAGCAAATACAACTACCTATAGAAGGAGAAACTGCTCGAAGTGTTCAGGCGTGCTTCCACAGGTACCAGCCAGAACAAACCCGCCCACGCGTAGTCCAGCGCCTGCCCAGCGATTCCTCTTGATGCAAAAGCTTCGAGGTTCGCTTTCCCAGACTCGGTGCGAAAGGCTATTACGGTGTTGCGAGCGTTCCGTGTTGCGACCTGCAGCCGGCTCGTGTGCAAGGGACACGCTGACGCAGAGAAATACTGGCTTCAGCCACGTCGCCCAGCAGAATAGCCTATCGAGCAAACTCGGGTTCCTTGCTGCTGGCTACGCGCGCACACAAACACAAGCAAACACACTGACTGACGCTGTGAAGAACTAGAGCGTTCGCCCGCAAACGCTGTTGGAGCAGCGTCGACGCTCCGCCGATGCGTGTTCGCGGGACGGACACGTCACCACCGCACGCAGGCACGCACGCACAACGCTGCCTCACGGGCAATCCGTGCATGGAGGCAAATTTGGTGCCCGTCCGATGCACACGTTTCCGCATCGCCACGCTACTTGCCTATCCAATGCAAGAAAAAGAGCACGAAATGTGCGCTTTACCCTTGCCTTGGGCTTACTTTCCGGACTCTGGTTCAGATGTTCGGCATCGTCAACCGACGTGTAGTCATAAGAGATAGAGGATACATACGTAGATATAGGATTATAGGTCGCTCATTCGGTGAGGCGCTCTCGACGCCTCGCCCGTGGTGGCACCCATCACGTCACCGGAATCAAGATGATTTGTAAAACCTTCAAAACGGTTTCAGAATCCAAGGTAATCATTACCCAACGAATTCATACACGCTCCCACTGTTTTTCTCCTTTCTCCGGGGGTAGTGCGCTCAAATAACGCATTCTTGAAGGTCTCCCGATTTCTTGTTTCACGACAAGTCGTGGGCGCAGCCATTCGCGCCGCTGTTCTATGGACGTGAAAGAAAATGCGACATGCTGCCTTGACGACTTGTTCACAAGCTCAGATCGAGATTTCATGGAACATGTCACGTCAAATAATCGACTTCGCTCGAAGGTCAAGTCGTCTTATCTTGATGGCTGTCGACGAGACAATAGTCGACAGTTTCATGGTGCCGCTTGAGAGATATGCTCCAAGAAGCGCCCGTCTTTTCTCATTGCATGAATAAGGATCGTTAACTCGGTCGTCAGTCCTCGCAGCGAAAGCATCTAATGTGCCGTACGTCACCTGTTTGCGCAAAGGGAGCGTAAACGGATCGAAATATCTTACCTTGGGTACCAGCCTGGGTGTCCGCATCCGATGCTTATGTCATCGTGGACAGCACCGCGTTCCACAAATCCTTTCTCAAAGGAAACAGCGTTTGCTTGCGCGGGTAGCGGACAGCGTGCTCGCCGACAGAATCGCACAGAAATGGCCCGCGATGGTCGTGTCACGACAGCCGGCGGCGCTGAAGTAAAGGAGGGTATCAGCGCGAACCTTCTTTCACCGCGAAGGTCATGCATCGAGCGATGAAGAGAGCGTTCACGCACCACAGAGCATCCCTCGGAGGAGGAGATCTGGTGGACACAATTAAACAAGCCGGAAAATTGCCACTGGTCACCGCTGCAAATGGCGCACCGAGGCTGTATACAAAGAAGATGAAAATGACAAGCAAGTCGTAGATCCCAATTTTCGCATGTAAGCGAAATAGATCAACAGCGGCCGGAAGCTGCAAACTGGGACTGTAGCCCTTTCATCAGCATGCATCGACTATTGGAAACGGAGCTTCGGGAAAGGAAATTCCAGCGTCATGAAAGCCGGAGCTAAGAGAGGCGAAGGGGAATTAGTAGCAGAACAAGCCTGAAAAGGCTGTTGCAGACGACAATGGGAAGAGACCCAAATTTTAGAGTCTTAGCCCCAGTTGGGTACGTGCACCCGTTCCATTCTAGTCTGCCATGGGTTTATCCGCATCCGAACACCGATCGTCGTGAATCGTGCGGCTTCTGCACCGGCGCCGTAGGCGTCGTAGCGGACGCTCAGGGCAGGCACGGTGCCTGGGGCATCGCCCGAACTGATATAGGTCTCCAAAGGAAAGCGTCAGTGGCGGGTGGCTGGCGGAGTTTCGAAGAACGCCACTGGTTGATGGACGCTTTTCCAGATGCCGATCTTCATCAAACAATCGGGGATCTCTGGTTCAATTCTACGATCCTCCACCTCCGAATCTATGCATCCGCGCGTACGCGTCACTGATTTGTCGATGGCGAGCACGTACCCATCAGCTTCTGGGTACACATATCGCCAACACATCATGAGGTATGCGTCACTGTTCGGGCACTGGGCCCCGGACAGGCTCACGACAGACGGTGCCTGAAGCACCGCATTGTGGACCCTGGTGCCTACACCCTCGAAGGGATAACGCCGCTGTCCTGTATCTGTACAGCGCGTCCGGTATTGCGGCAAGCGTCAGAGGCAGGCTCGTAGCCGCGGCATCGCTCGATCGAACGAGCAGTTGTTGCATACGGACATGCTGCTTCGGTGAGCGCAGAGCATGGACGCTTCTTCGAAAGAAGCAAAACGGTAGACCTGATAAGCGACAGCGTTCCTGCATACAGGGCAGTCTGATTCGTTCCATCAATCATAGGCCGCGAGAAAAGAGGAATCTAGCAACAGGAACCGAGCACTGCGTAGATGTACCCGGTTACAGGCAACGGAACAGATTCTCGCGTGAACGTCGCTTTGTTCCTGCGGCTGTTGTAGAGCCGTTTGAAACTCCTCAACAAGATATGCAAGTGCGGCTTTGATGGCGCGAGTGCGAATGACTCGAAACGCTTTCGCTGCGATAAGCCCAAGTCAGCGTCGACGCGACACCTCCAGCGGAGCGACGGCTCGCAAGCGATCGATCTGGCGTTTATTAGGAATGGAGGCAGCAGGGACGTGCCGACACCACAATCGATTCGACGCTCTGCAGGATGCAAGGTGAAGTCTGCGGTCCTGAAAAGTTCATCGTTTCAGGGGATCCCCGCCCGAATACCGCGCGCGAAGCAAGTACGTTCACAGATGAGAAATCGGCAGTCGAAGATGTGCCACCAGCCGACTTGGCGTGTATTTCCATAAACGCTGGCCAAACAGACCTTGGGGTATGCCTCGAGTCCCGATTCTCCAGGGGAAAACGTTTCTGGCATCCGGAGATGACAACGAAAGCGTCTTACCCGATCCAAAGCGATACTGGGTTATTCGGAATGCGCAGTCGTTGCGAAGCGCCAGTGCACGAGCGTGCGCCAGGCGCATGGCATCTTTGGCGCGTAAGAAGTCTTGGTCGAACTCGCTGCAGACAGCTTCGCTACCGCCCGCAGATTCTCGTAAAGAGCATTAGATAGATCTCGATGGCTCGATCGGCCCAGGCGAGTAACGACATCGTCTCATGCTTGCCGCGATGAGGCGGCCAATGCGGAAACAGAACAAATCATGGATCCTTCGCTTGATGCACGACATGTGCGATGCTCGGCAATGGCGGGCGATGCATCATGAACGCTACATGGTGCAGTCCTTTCTTTCAGGCAATTTCATGCGAATACAGATGATGAAAAAGATGTCTAAAAGCGAATCCATCAGGACGGGAATTCTGGATCGTTTGTAAAGAGTGGCTGGGTTGTCAGCGTCACCAGCGATGCTGAGCGCGCACGCTTCCGCGCATACGAGCGTTTGCAGTCGGTTCCCGGGCACCTACCACCGTGATATTGCTCGGACATGAGGCGTCGCTCGTGCCTATGGAATACGGTAGAGAACGAGATGTAGAGAGAGCGTAGGCATTGCGCTTTTTCTAACTGGGTACGGCTCCTGTCAACGATTCCGTGTGCCAGTGCGTTGCTTTATCTCCAGCGTGTGTGCGCGTCGAGCTCGAGACACGCTAGAATCGGTTCATGGGTGCTCTGTTTCAAGCGGATAACCGAATGAGACCCGGAGCCTGTATGGCACGTTACTGGGAAAAAGACATTCGGCTCGACATGAGCACGGTTTCTGGAAACAACCAGAGCGAGCTATGGCACTCGTCCTGGTAATCATCGAAGCAGGAAGCACAGAACCCCAGTGACAGTGAAAGGTACCGCGATGTTTCCCATATCGGAGTTGCCCTGTGAAAGCGCACTCATGAAAAGATACCCGCGTAGCTCGGCAAAAGACAGGGAGGCAGGCTGCAGCTGTTTTCGCTTCTGGACGTTGAACTCGACGACCAAGGCTTTGGGCACCAGTTCTGGCCCATCTCAAGTTGATAGAACACGTGGTTCAGGCTGATTGTTTTGCGGAGGAGGCCAAGCCTCGGCAGCTGCGGCTAGCCACCGCTAACAGGAGGAATCAGCGCAACTTCATCCTGGCTGTAAACTCGTTGCCACGCTTCCGCATACTCAAGATTCACTGCGACCGCCGAGTGAGCAGCGAGTTTCTGCAACACCTCTGGGAGGCGCTTCCTTAGCGTCTCCACAGTACAGTACTCGCGGCCGTCGTTGTCTAGTTCAGCAGGCACCTCTACGACGATCGAGTCTTTGTTCTCTACAGCCCTGCGACAGGCCGCAAACAACAGGACTCGCACCAACATATCCGTTACCACGTCGGTCGAGCGCTCTAGAATCTAGAATTCTTGTGCGGAGTTGTCGTACCGATGTCTGCGCAGCCGACGGGAATCAGCGTCGAGCTGGGGCTCACATTCACACCAGCCTCAAACCAGATATGTCCATGAACTCGACCGCATACACTCAAGTCCAGGGCCTTTCAGAGTGTAAGCAACACCAGCTTGTGCGGGCTTACTCTGTGACGCCTTCCTTTTCCTCTGTGTTATCTCCGGCTTTCTACACGCCGGATTCTCCTCTCGCTCAGGTTCCGTTGTTAGCAGTCGAGGGCTCTTGATGTCAGGGTTAAAGTTCAGGCATCGTTGCTTGCGGTTGCTGTCGACGGCTTTCATGCGGAGGCAGAAGTTGGCATCTACGCTTCGGTTAACCATGACATCTTGTTTTCATACGGCCTCGGTGCGCCTTTCACAGCTGTAACACTCGAGAGTCGTCAGGTGTTCCCATGTGACCAAGGAACCTGCTCCTCATCATCATCCGCTGAGCGCCGCCCGGTGGCGCTTCAACGCCGGCCTGATCTTTCGTTCGTACCCGGGCCCGGCACGGAATGCTCACCTCGATACCCTTCTCCGTTTCAGTGCCCGGTGATATACCCTACGATCATTAGGTTCTTCTGTACGAGCAACTCGGCGGGTGCTCTGAATGCTGCGTAGCGAAGCATATTCTGTTCCATTCGATAAAGGATTTGTGGATCGCGATGTTGTCCGTGATCAAATAAGTATCGGAAAGAGAACCCAGAATGGAGAGCAAGTTGAGAACTTTCGATCCGTCTCAGCATCCATCATGCTGCGCGGTGACGCTCGCTCCACTCGAAGCGATCGCTGCGATGAGTCAGGTCATTGTCCACGGCGCATTTTCCATGCAAGCGCAAGAGACGGGTGCCTCCGGGGGCGCGTATCCCCTGAGATGTATCGTGCAGACCTCGAATGCCGTTCCATAGATAGAAAAAAGGTGATTTTATCCCGCGAACAAAATCGATTATTTGACTTGAAAAGTTCATCGAACTTTCGGCATGAACTTGTGATGAAATCGTCAAGGAATGGCGCAGAATATCTTTCGTCTTCAAGCCGATGACGCGAATGGCGGCGCCCTCAAGTCGCCTTGAAACATAACCAACTAACGCGTAAAGACTATATTATTTGATCATGGTACACGAATGGACAGGAGAAGCGTACAGGTCTCTGGATATGAATCAGTTAATGACTTCGGGTATTGCACGATCCCTTGTCTGAACGCGGTTCGAATAATCTTGATACAGGTGTGGTCGCCAATTCCAGTGGCAAATCATCGAAGTAGCCACTCCGAAAAAAACCCAACTGAGAATCCCTGAACCACATACGCATCCGCAAGCCCTTATTCCTGCACTTGGAATGTCGAGGACGCACATCTAGAAATCGTTTGGAGAATAACATTATGGCAAGAGCAAGGCGAGCAGGTCTGTATGCTGCTTTCATTGGGCACAAGCGCAGGCCATCCTTCTGATGTGTTATGCATCATCTGGCCTTTGTATGCACCACAAATCCACATTATCATTTGAGCGTTGCGTTTTCCGAACCGAGCAGACGAGTTTTCTAGACTAACTGCATAGACGGCTTCAACCGCAATTCCTGCAACCAAAAGTTCATAGAAAACTTTTCTTCTGGGGCGTTGACGAGTGCGTTCTGGTGAGGCAGGTGTGCTGGGCGCTTCCGTTGTTCGGTGCGTGCTCCACGAGCCAGGTGGAGCTGCGAGCCGCTACAAAGCGCCGAACTGCGTAACGTCTGGGACATGGAAACGAGTGGCACGCCCGAAGGCACCCGAGACTTGTACCAGTGTCTGGGTGTTCCCCGCGACGCGTCTCTGACCGAGCTGCGTGCTGCCTTCCGAGAGCGGGCGCGGGCACTGCACCCGGACCGCCAGGCCGGCGACGCCGGAGCCTTCGCTCGGGTCGAGCACGCCTATCGAGTACTGACGCATCCGGAGAAGCGACGGCTCTATGATCTCTTGCTTGACGCTGGAATTGTTTCTTCAACATCCGAGTCCGAGCCAGTGACACCAAGTGCCTTGCGCGACGCGGGATCTTTATCAGATGCCTCCGTAGAGGCTGAAGCTGCTGCCAAGTAGCTTCTGCGGCGCCGTTACGCCACGATTCCATTTGGGCACGAATATCTTCCGCTTGCGGAGTGAATCTGTCGACCGCCGCAGTACTGCTGCACCGAACGATGGCAAACCGATGCAGGATGCTTTCTTTGGAAAGAACCGGGCGCAGCGAACGAGACGCCACACAGCGGAAGCACCGTGCTGCCACAGAAGCGCTAGAGACTTTTTGCTGAAATTCCTTCGAGGATGAACGCTGCATATGCGACGGGTTTGCGCTGGATCCCGTTCGTTGACGTTGTCGGCTGTGAGCTGCTGGGCCAGTCATCGAGTGCGCGGATGCTGGCCAAATGGCAGCCAGATGACTGCAAACAGTTGGACCTGTCCACGAGCGTGCACGCTGGCGTGCGCACGTGCGCTTGGCGTTGACTTCGGCTCATGCACAGAGGATGACGTTGACTGGGATTTTAAGACAAGTCCACTCGAGACAGGGCGCAGCGTTCAAATGGTGCTGCTCGGCAGGTGGCGTCGTTTTTAAATTGACCAAAGATAGATGGCTTTGCGCGAGCGACGTGCCCATTGCTCAAGTATGCGCTGCTTTTCGCTCCAGCAAACACGTGTTCCATGTGAGCAAGCGGCGACAATGATCGGGCCATTTACTTAGCCGGCCCGCTGCATCTGCTCGCGAATACGCTCCACAAGTCGTATCAGGCGCGGCATGATCCACTGGTGCACTGCTTGGTACCAGAGCTGCTCGGCGCCGCGATACTCCTCTACGGTGCCCGGAGAACGGCTTTGAGGTTGCCACCACATCAAGGTATTCAAAGTCAGATGGAAGCCCAGGTTAAGAGCCTTCTCACATACCGATGCAACGCCGTTGCCCAAACCAAGAGCTGCAAACAGCATCTGCCAGGCAGGCAGGATGCTGCGCACCGCCGCAAACCGCACCGCCCACAGCATACAGGCAAGATTCCAGAAACACAGATGCTGCCGCAAGCGCTCGTAGTGTCGCGGACTAGACCCATCTGAAGCAATCACCCTCCAGGTTCGATGCAGCGGCATGCCGATGTAGTATGCAAATGCAACAAACTCGCCCAGTAAGCCGAAGAGCTGTAATGCCGCAAGTAGCGCTGCAAGCGCCAACACAAAGTTGTAGCGCTGAGCGGTTTGCCACAGTGCCTCCAACGACAAGCCCGATGCTGCAAACCTCGGCCGACCACACTGCGCATTCATAAACGATTTCCATGCGGCCCAGAGCGCACCCGGGATCGCATACAGCTCCGGAAAAGGTTGCGAGCTGCCAGACGGCGTTTCCTCCGGTTGCCTGGAGATATCATCGGCGACCAGCGCGGCACGCTCAGCAACTGGGAGCCGCTGCAACTGCCGTCTTCGAAAGATCTGAGCACCAGCGCCAAGCGGCTCCCCGGTTGCCGCTGCTGCCGCTGACAGACTCTCTTCCCGCAGGTACTTACCGCTAGTTTCTGGCTCTCTCGCTCGGAGCTTCTCGTTCCATAGCTGTTCGTAATAATCCGAGTTTTCGTCATCGATATCGTCGAGTTGAAGACGATTCAGTCTCCCAGCAGGCGGATAGTTCTCTCTTTCGTCCATTGAGCACCGCACGCTTAGCTTAACGAGACCTGCAAAAGGTCGCAGTGCGCGGGAAACGTAGCGTCCACACACAGGGCACAGCTGAAGACAGGTAGAGCGGAGCGCGCGTGCGCATTCCCGCCGCTTCGAGGCAGCAATGCTGATTTGAATGCCCGCCGTGGCGGTGTCCACTTGTGATCGATGATTGTAACGGCTGTACCGGTGCATATGCGACGATGCGTCGGAAAGTGCCGAGGACAAGTACGAATGTGCTTTGTCCCCTATGGTTGGGTCCTGCGGCAGCGTGCCTGGTGCCTGTCAGGCTCCCGATACCCACAGCACGCACTCGGAGATGACTGGTCAGTGTAAACGTTCCGTTGATCGAGGAACATGATCGCCGGTTGGTGACCCTGAAAGTGCGCTTCGCTGCAGCATGAGGGGCGCTCGGGGCTCGCCTGGAGCTCATTTGCGGCCAAATTCAGAGTGACGGCGGTGTTTGTTCAAAGGAAGGAACAGGATTTTTTTCGCCTGCATATAGTTCAGTTGTGTGGTTGTCAAGATTTGGCCCTGGCAGAGCCGGGGACGCAGAGGGTTGCACGCGGGCGCAGCGTCGGCAGTTGTTGCTTGCTTCTTGCCTGCGCTTGAGTCGGACGACTTCATGCGCGCTGCACCCAAGACGACCGCGATACCGTGCTCCCGTGTGATACCCCGAGGATGCACATGAACGCGGTATCGCGAGTCAGGGAAGCGTCGGTGCTGTAACAGCAAAAGATTTTCTCGAGAAACAAGCAGTAAGAAGAGCTGAGTCTGTCGCATGGGATGATCCTTCTGTGCAAATGGGCGGCATGTACATCAGCGCGTAAATCTATTTGTGCCTGTGGAAGCAGTTGCGGCATCGACCGCTTGTCCGCGCGCGTCCGTCGGCTCGAGAAGCAGCCCGGGCCTACGCGCCGTTAAAGCATATCATTCTTGATTCCGATGGTGCGCCACACGTAAACGTGTGCTTTGGGGTGCCCGCCTACTTCTTCAAGTTGTGTCGGTCGATCGACTCCGGAGCTTGCCTCCATGCACAGCTTGTGCGCGGACGCCAATTTGCATCGGTTGCCGGGGCGTTTGCAATGAAGTCATCGCCATGCCAGCTTGTATCTCGGGGTACTGAACAACTCATTGAATTTCAGTAGGGCGTGTTCTGGGGAATCGGTTCAATGCCTCCAGCATCATTTCCAAACGCCCAGAAACGCATACCGATATACCTAGCGGCAACGCGACTTACTCTTACTCGCGATGGACCGCCGCCAAAAAACCCCATTCCGCAGTGTATACTCGACGCAACTGAACGACCACATACATGAGACTGCACACACGTCCAGAGGCACGAAGAAATCCGTCTGGGCTGAAAATGCCTTCCAGGCGGACCCCTGTCCAGTGTTACTCTGAACGCGTGATTCGCGGAACCTTGCCGAACTTCACCAGCAGCGCGGATCCAGCAGGCGCGTGAGCGATGCTTCTATCCATAGGACACATGCACCGTGAAACGACGTGTGTAGATGTATCGCATCGCCTGCATGTCTATGCGCTCTGCCTGCGCGAGCGAGACCCGGCGAATCCAGCGCCAAAGGCAGACTCGCTACCCAACAGGTCTTCGGATCGATCGAGCTGCTGCGCCCGAAGCCAAGAATGGTCCAGTACAGTCGGAACGTACACGCGTCTGCAACAGAGCGCTGATCGCTTCTTTGGAGGCTGGCGGTGCCGATGCATCCGGGTTTTAAAGTCATTCAACTCAATGTTGTTTCGCATCCGCTGGGGTGTATAGCAGGAGGTTGAAATCACGTCGCCATGTACTGTATAGATCGTAGATGAATTGAATTTAAGATAGATTCTGTACTGAGCTGTGCAAGGAGGACTGCATTCCTCCTCCAGGTCAGTTATAACACATTACCCGAATGGCTCAGGAACATTTAAAGAAAGAAGGTGATGCGTTCCGCGCCAAAACCCGATATTCTTAAAACGTGTTTGCGTTCAAGAATAGAAAGCGATCGGTTGATTACCTAATGGAACGCAAATGCGACAATAGGAGTCGACATGGGCGTCACCGGTACCCAGCAGCCTGTTCGTATGGTCCCGTAAAACGCTGGGATATAGTCGCAAAAGAAAGTCCGAGTGCATGCACAGCCATCTTCGACGGAAATCAAAATTATGGCGTTGCAGGCACGTTGCGATCGGTATGAAGCACGGAAACGTCGGTTTGTTTTTCCAGTCAATGAACTTCCCCTCGGACGATCCGATGGTAACCTGTACAGGTATTCGCGGAGCGGGGTGCCTGTTGTATGCACGATCGAACTCGCAGAGAACGATGACATCATTTGTTCGGGCGGCAGCGGATTCATTTGGCCGCCCGAGATTTTGCTCGTAGAGATGGCTCATATAATGGCATCAACCACTGCGTCGAATCATTGAAGACTTTCCCCTGACGTCTGGCGAGGTCCCTTCACTGGCCATCGTGGCATTTCACTACTCCGGTTGCGTTCGAGCTTTTGCCAATTCCATCAGGCTAGAGCTGTTTTGCATTCCTCCGCACTCTACGTGATTCAACCCCATCGAAGGAGAGTTTTCTGTCGTGAAACGTAATCACTGCTCAACTGGGAGAATCGCTGAAGCTTCTGGGGCACGGTGACAAACGGGGGCACGTGTCGTCTTTCCTCTCCATGCCCTTCTTCGTCGGGTAAGGTCCACATCTGAAGGCCATCAAAAAGTGCTTTCATTTGAAGAAATAAGAAATGTGAGAAAAACTTGGGGACATATAAGTCGGGAATCCCGGAGGGCAATCAACACCGGGTTCAACAAAGAAACCAAAATATCCTCTTCTCTCCGACCATTTCGAGAAGAAGAGCAGGTAACGTAGAAGACGGAGAAGAAGGGAGACAGTCGCTTAAACGTGTTTGCCCGAATTGACGATGACAAGCCTGCAGAGGTACAGAAGGTAAGATTTCAAGGAATCCGTGCATTGATGAATTCAACTAGTGGCAACTAACGCATGGAGTTCGTGAACAAAGACTTCAATACCACCATCAGGATCAGACGACATGTGGTGCTGACGACGAGACACGCGGTGCTGAAGCAATCCAGCTTTGTAGGGCAGCCTCTCAGGCTCGAATGGTGCAAAGAGCAACTGAAGCCGGTGGCAGTCGGCCGATCGAAAACGGCTGGGAAGCGTCTCTGAATGTGTATCAGTTTATCCTCTCAAGCCGACACTCTCCGGTGCACGGCATAGTCATCCTTTATCCGAGCTACGACTACACCGGTGCTATAGGCGCTATTGCGGGCGCTCACGCCAGGCACTTGGCGACACATAGAGCATACGAAACGACCAGTGCGTGCGTGAATGTTTTGTCAGAGAAACAATTCTCGTATGATTCTCAAGGCTGAACACATATTAACATATTAGTACTAAACTATATACAAGTACTCCGAGAGCAAACGGCCTGCGCGACGTCAGCCGCAGCCGTTCAAATCGCCAGTGCGAGACGCGGTGCGTGCCAGCCTGCCCGCTGCGACACAACCGCTGCTGGGAGCGCTACTCCAGTACCTGGAGACTCTGGGAGCAGCCGCTGATCAGAAGACGGCATCGTATGAGGAAGCATCGTATGATATGCAGCGAAAAAGGGACACAAACTGAGCAAAACAAACAAGTGCTCAAGTGTTTCGAGTCAAAGTGCCTGTTGGACGATCGCCGACGAAGTAGCTCGCGCACGCGACCGTGCAAGGACTCCACGTGGGCACTCTGCTACCTGAAGACCTTGTCTGAAACTTTAGCTGAACATCATTGCCAACAAGCCGAGACAACACAACAAGTTGGTTGCGTCGCATCTCGAGACCGTACAGAAAACGCTGGAATTCGTTGCGCCTTTCGCCGTCAACGGCTGCAACAACCGCTCCAGCCGGCGGTAACCTGCGCAGACACTCCTGCTGAACTGGAGTTTCTCCTCGAGTTCCTGCAGCAGCTTGCTCGAGCGCTCACACGTCTGCGTGAAGCGCACGCATACGTGTGCTGCGATGCGTGCATGCGATTCTTGTGGTTTGGCGGGATTTTCGCGCTGCGCTGTCTAGATGCGTGCGCTGCATCCGTGCATGCAACGAAGCTGTCACTAGATGCTGTGCACTGGTATACGTGGATATTGGCAGTTCATTTGGTGTTCATCGAGAAACGCTTTTGTAGTATAGCCGAACCTAGAGATGATGCAGCGTTGCAAGCATCAGACGCTATGGGAACACCCAGAGGCGACACTACAATCCATGACGAGGCCGCGACTTCCCGAGTCACTGCGGGAGCAACAGGATCCATGGCAGTGCCGTGGCTGCGTCAGGTCGGGGTTGTTCTGGCGAGTGATGCGCTTGCTGCTCTCGAGTCGGGACTCTCGAACGGGCAGAATTGGAAGCTGCCGGAATGCTTCGAGTTGGAGATGCTCAATGCCACTGCTTCATCGCTTCAGGCCGGGCGGTGGGTGCCCGTTGTACTGTGGGCGCTTGAGCGTTGCGAGGATTTGCCTGGCCAAGGTCATGACGAGAACGACGCCCCAACGGCTTTGCGGATGAACCACGATGTAGACGCTGACACTGATGCGCAGCTAACCGCCCTTGGTTTGAGGATTTTTTTGGCAACGCACGCCTTGGCCCCGGTTTCCGTGGAAGAAATCCACACCATGGCCAGGGATGCAGCAGTTGCTTCGCTGTACATTAGATTCGGCCGATGGCTCGCGGACACCGTCATGTCGAAGCTCACGCGCATCTACGCGGAACTGCAGAACGATGCAGGAACGAGCCCAAGTTCGCACGCTCTGGTTACCACCCGATCGTGTTTCGAAACAATCCGGGATGCACTCCTGTCGAATTTACATCATTGGCAAACGCTCATGCACGACTACTGGAACCGCGAGCCTGCGCTTCTACGCGCCATGCTGTGGATCTCAGCTCGTTTGCATGCGCTTCGTTTCGGGGAACGCACGCGGACACAGGTGCGCTGCCTCGGGCGCCTCGTATGCGAGATCGGTCGCTCAGAGGCATGCGATGAGAACGACCGAAACGCGCTCTTCGGTTGGTTCGTGGAGCAACTGCTTCCATTGGACGGAGCGATGCTGGCGTCATGCGTTCTCGAGGACGAGTGGATGCTTCATTGGCTCCTGGAGGACTGGGCAAACTCGGAATCCGCCAATGCATGCCAACAGCTAGCAAGGCGAATTGAACGCGATGCGCTAGTCCAGCGGCATGACGCCAGCTGCGAGCAGCAACAGCAACAGCACACTGTGCTGCAAGCAACAGAGGTACTCCATCTCTCCGAGTTATTACTACGCGATCCTGCTACATTGCGTGGTGGAACGATTCCAGAGAGGCAGCCTGGCGACTGCTGGCGAGCATTGAAACCACCAAGCACCCTGCGCGTGCTCGTGCGCCGGGCGCATCGTCAGCCGCTCGTGCAGGAATACCTGGTACATGTAGTCGTGCAGGCAGCTTCTCAGGAAAAGATCACAATGGATCCGCGCCTCGCACAGTGGTGTCTAACCCAGTTGCAGCAGAAGCTGAGGGCTGCTGTGTGTCGACTGCGTACGAACGCTGTCGAGGAACACGCTCCAGCGACGCACACTAGCACGCTGAGCTCTGTGGCGGAAAGCATTACCAGCACCACAGACCAGCTTCAGCAACTCACTCAATCAAGTATGCGACAAGCTGCAGACACTTGCGAGCGCGAGCGCCTGCGTGCCTGGGCGGCTGCAGTCCTTCACAACACGGCTGCAGACTTGTATGAACACATTCGCACCGTCTCCGCGAGTGCGACATCAAATGCTGACGCCAACAGCCAGGATGCTTCCGTCCAGAGCGCATACGCGGCCGCAGCGCATTGCTGGCAGCATACGCTGATGCTCAGCTGGCCTCGCGACGCCCCGAGTGCCGGCTCCGACTCTGACCACCATTCGACTTTGCCTGCGCAATGGATCCGCACCGGCCTGCAGCGCCTCGCGTATGCGTTACAGGCGTGGGTCCGTGCCCAGCGCCCCGACAGTGCACGATTGTTGTGGGATGAGTGCAGTCAGTTTCTTTGGAGACTCCATGAATCGAACGCTCCACCAGAAGCATCGCTGCGCGCGACGGCCATCGCACAATCATGCACTGTAGCGCCGCCATCGCCGTTGCCATCGCCACCGCCATGGGAACTCTGCGCTGCCTTATTTCGTCTCGTGCAAGCGGGTTTACGAGGTTGCCCGAAATCGGACGCCGCGCAGCCCTTTTTGGATTCGTTCTCGACCGAGGCCTTGTGCCTGCTGGGAGTCGCCATGGAGCGCGTATGGAGACGCAGCGTTCGCGCCGCCACCACTACAACCACCAACATCAACACCATGAACAGCATGGATGCGCGAGGCGCTTCCAGTCAATTAGACGATACCTATGTCATCTATGAAGCCGTCCGGCGAACAATGGCCCGCAGACTCGGTGCAACAGGCGCCGGTGAGGCTGCCCCGGAACCAGCGTTATCCGCTTCGCCGCTGCCCAGGTGCACATCTGCAGCCGTCGAAACGCTTCATCAACAGCTATGTGTTGCGCGTGCGCTCCTGCCCGGTGCCGTGCTCAGGCGTTGCGTACGAGCACCAACACCAGCAACAACATCACCCGATCTATCCGCTGCAGCACCGTTGGAAACAACGACGCCACCAAGCAGTACCGAAGAAGCCGAATCATATCCAGCTGATACTGACGACGCTTTCACACGGGACCTGGCGGCTCTTTACGATGCTCTGGAACGGATGTTGCAGCACTTGCTTCGATGTCCGGGTTCAAGCGACGACTCCAGCGCCCCAGCGGATAAGCCCACGGACGCAATCGACGAACACTCTACCCAGGCATCCTCTGCAGTAGACGAATCCCCATCGCATGCCGCCAGACACCTCTTTCATCTCGTGCAGAGCTGGCGTCACTCATGGTTACAGGTTCGGTCACCAGCATGTATCGCGCACTGCTGGTTCGTATGGTGGCAGCGCGAGCTCGCCTGGGACGCCTTCGAGGTGGCGGCACGCCTCTTCCAGCTGGCGGATCACACGCTACCCGCTCTGTACTGTTTGGACGCAATGCACCGATGCGCGCGCGGCGATCGATGGCGTCAAGCGCTGTGTGCGGCTCGAGCGATGCTCCTCGCCGAGCAACTAGGCTGGACGCATCAGGTCATGCGGCAGCGACATCGTCTGCGCCAGCTTGTCGAATCGGACATTCTAGAGGCGCCAGCCGCGGCGCATGCAACGCTTTCGACTTGGGGTCAGCGGATGCTAGCCTATACTGCTGCTGCTGCTGCTGCTGCTGCTGCTCCAGATTCAGTGGAGGATGCGGATCGTTTCGAGGCCCCGGTAGCAAGGTCAACGCTCGCAGATGCCAACGCAAGCCTTGCAGATATGCTAGCACTGCATGACTCTGAAATGCGCAGTGCAAAACAGCTCGCATCTAGTCACCTGCTTGTGGAAGCCATCGAGCACGCAAACCGAGCCCTGGGATGTGCGTTGCAGGCGCAGCAACTACTGCTCCCGTGCAAATCGACGCCTTCACCGGCGATACCCGTGCTTGGCGCTGGCACTAGCGTACTCGCTCGTTCCACGGCGGCAATCGTTGGGGATTTGGTCATCGCCACCCAGAGCCGGCCAGTGGAGGCCGCCGAGCTCAGGCCAGTGGACGCAGTCGTAGAGTACCCGACGCGAGCGCTCTGTCGTTCGTTGGATCTCCTCGCTAATCTTAGCATTTGCCTTGGGGCATGGAAAGACGGCCTCTATTACCATGAACGTATTCAAGCATTGTGCGCGGGCCCGCCTGCGCCAGTTCTTCTAGACGCAGCGCGCTCTCGGAGCCTCATGCAGCTCTCCCTGCTGCGGACGCGAGCTGGACAAGCGGAACTCGCGGAGCAGTGTCGACGCCAAGCTGTGGCACTCTGCCGAGCGTGGAATGGATGCATGAACGCGGCGTATTCACTCTGGACGCTACCTTTGGCCGTTCAACAAATTCAGCAGCAAGTTTTTCGACTATACTGGCTACGACGCAATGCGACATCGCCGCGCGATACGACGTTCTATCAGCGATTCCTGGCAGCACTGCAACAGGCCGCAGAACGCGCGCAGCAGCTTGTTGCGCAGCAACTCCACAGCCGAGTGCACTCTGAATCAGATCAAGTCGGCGCACTTCCGTGGGACGCGCTGCTGCAACTCCAGCAGCACCGGGCGCTCCTCGTTTCGACTACAGGTGATCAACACAACAGCACGTCGTCGGCAGCTGCGATGCTCCAGGAGGCTGCCCAGCGATTGCGGGCCCTGTTGGCTGCGTCTACTGCTGGGCAGTGCTTGCCGGCGTATTTGGAGGCGCTGGGTTTGTATTTGGGGCTTGCCAGCAGCCACACCCGATACACGATGGCAAAGCGTCCAGATGCACGACAACTCCACGACCATGTCGCTCACTGTTGGCAGCTGTGCAAAGCGTACCTGCTGCCGCTGCAAAACGGCATGTCCAGGTCGCGTTCCGGTATTCCAGCGCCCGACCTGGGCGGATCGCCCTGGCTGGTAGCGTCCGCAATCTACGCTGAAGTGGCTTTTGCGATGCTTCGCGTCGCTGCTATCGACCGGAACGTGCCTGCGTCGAGGCCGCTTCGTGTGTGCGGTACCGCAACGCTGCTGCGGTCGTTCGCACCGCGATGGCGGCAACGCTGTGCACTGCTCCGGCGTCGGGCGAAAGCCGCAGACGCAAATGCTGAGGCAGATGCGGCGCCAGCGCCGTCCGTCTGGGACACATTGCCGCCCCTGCAGTACTTGGAGCGGCTCGGGCGACTGCTTCCCCTCGGGTGGATGATCATTGCGCTACGGTACGATGCAACGAGCGGCCAGAGCGCCCGCGTCGCTCTGTGGCGCAGTGGCGCGGCACCTGAACCACCCGCGGACCTGGTCGATCAATTGGGCAGCATTTCCCTGCAGCAGCAGCAGCAGCAGCAGCAGCAGCAGCGACAAGATGCCCCACATGACGTGGCAGACGAGTCGCTTTCGTGGACGCCTTGCAATGAGCACGCGGAATGCAGCTGTACCAAGGCCGCACGGGGTTCCGTGCTGCACCTGCACGCCCAGCGGCTGGTACACGACGACCAGCGGCCAGACGCGCAGCAGTTGGCGCGCGAGCTTGCCCAGCTGCTGCAGGCCGGCACGCAAACACATCTTGCCTCGGAGTCGGAGGCGCTCTCGCTTTCCGCTCCGGAGCGACGTGCCTGGTGGGACACCCGCACCCGCCTCGATCAGCAGCTGGGCCGCTGGCTCGACCAGCGTCTCGAGACGCTCCTGTGCGGATTGCCATTGGCGGCTTCGGTGTCGAACGCCGCGTCTGCATCGCAGCTGCAGCAGCTCGATGGTGCCGGTAGCGTGCCAGATGCGACCAGCTCGGATTCCGGTGTCGCTCCGGTTGTGTTGCTGCTCCTGGACGCGGAGCACGACTTGCTGCCGCTCGAGTCGACACCGACGCTGCGCCACGCGGCTGCGATGCGTTTCCCTGCTAGTGCGGCGATCGAGCAAGCCCTGGAGCGCTACCATCACCTGACTCGCAGTGCGGTACCCGGTTGGCAACGTGGAGCTTTCTTGTTGAATCCAGCTGGTGACTTGCGCCGCACCGAGCGTTTCCTGCGGCCTCTCCTAGAGCATCACCCCGGGTTTCGCTTACGGTACGGATGGACCGACCTTGCCGCAACCGCAGCCGCTTCTGCAAATGCTGATAGCGCTGCTGGTGCCGACGACAGCCAGCGCGCCAGCATCACCCAAGCGCTGGCCGCAGTACAGCCCTGTGTTCTGCTCTACTGCGGACACGGGACCGGAGAAGCATACCTACAACCACGCCGCCTAGTGCGTCAAACGACGACCCTGCCCCAGGCTGTGTTTCTCATGGGTTGTCGCAGCGGCCTCCTGGAGCACGCTGAGGCACTCGATGCGCACGGAGCAGCGCTCGACTGGCTCGCCGCAGGTGCCCACGGCGTCGTCGCGCAGCTCTGGGATGTCACCGACGGCGACCTGGATCGACTCACTGTGGCGACGTGGGAGCACTTGTCGGCCGCCACGAGTCCGCAGTGCGTCGGCGCCAAGAGCTCCCCAGTTGATGCTATGGCACCCCGGGGGTCAGACTCGAATGCACAGCCGCCAGCCACAATGCCTGGCAAACCCTGGACAAGTACGAGCTCGGAGGAGCTCTGCCCGCTGGAAGCGACTCGCTCCGAGCCGCACCAGCGCTCGGCAACCACACAGGCGGTGCTATCGTCGTCGATTTCACTGCACGAACGTGAACAAGCGGATGCACAGCGACTCGGTCGAGAACAACCAGTCGAATATCCTCGTCGTCGTCGTCATCATCATCAACACCATCAACGACAAGAACAATTCTACGCTGACTCGGATTGTCGATGCGTCGTCGAAGATGCCCGTTCGACAGCAGCGCCTCTGCTGGTTGCGTCAGCGCTGCAGGCCGGGCGCGCTGCATGTCGCCTGCGCTGGGTGAACGCCGCCGCCTCTGTGGTCTACGGAGCACCGTTCCGGTAACACGACTGCCAGTACTGGTGTTGTCTGTGTCTGTGTCTGTGTCTGGGTGTGCTCGGGTCGCGGTTGTCGCTTACCAACCCTCTAATCTGCGTGCTAGAGTACTTGATCGCTCGAGTGTGTACTCTCCAGGTTCGTGAACCGCAGCGGCCGTGTGACTGCCCGTACACACTGCCAAAAAGGTACGACAACTGGGTACCAGCACCCGGCGCTGTGCTTGGACGGTGCATCGCCACCGAGTTACCTGCTCGTAGAGCAGTGCGAACTGTTGGTGCTCGATCTCTAGTGCAGCGCAAGAGTAAAACGCTGTCCTCCTTAACTGTACGCTCTGGCAAGGGTTGTGGCGTGTTGCCGACACCCGAGCGGCGCACAGACCGGAGCGCTCTGGCGGCAACGCCAAGTGGCTCTGGGCAACAACGAGGCACTTTGGTGCCTGCTCCTGTGCAGACGTCCGTTCTGCCTCGAGTGAGCGTTACGGTCAGTCGGGACAGCGACATCCGAAGCACGATAAGCGTTTCGTCTCGCAGTGCGCATCGGCCGGTACCAGGCGATGGTGTCTGGTGCGCGGAGAACAGCTTGCGGTACGGCAGCCTGGCGTGGCGCTGCGGGTGACACTGGCGTTGAGGTCGGCGTCATCGGTACCCCAGCACGTTGCAAACAGTTCGCGTGCACGCAAGCTGTCGCTGAATTGAGCCTGCAGCCAGCGTTGATCAGCAGACAGGCGCAAGTGACTCGAGCGTTTGCTCTAGGCTGGGCGCTCTGTGCTACTGGTCGCCCGTTGCCACGAACTCGACTCGCTATCTGCTGCAGTGCAGGGCGTTTGGGTCGGCGTGTACGCGCAGCGCACGTCCTCGCTCAACCAGGGACTTGGGTGCTCGCTCAGCGGTCGGTGACGTTGCCAGCTGACGCAGGTGATGCGGTGCGCGTGTCCGGCTTCTGGCAAACGGTACCCACACAAGTCCGTAAGTGCGCAGCTAGGCATCGTCATGTTGTACGACGACGGCTCGAGTGCGCCTGGGTACAGCATCGAGCCGCTATCCAGGTGGATGCACCCCGGGAGCTCGTGTTTGCTCACTATCGTGACCTCGACGCGATGCCGCGTTGGTCGCCCTGGCTTCGCTCTGTGCGAGTCGATGCTCGAGACCCGCAGTTGACGCACTGGACGCTTGCAGCGAAGGGACTGGAGTTCACCTGGCAAGCTCGTATGGTTCGTGTCGAGCCGCCAACAGAGATTGCCTGGGAATCCGTGCGAGGCCTCCGTAATCGTGGACGTGTAGCGTTTCGGGAGCACACGAACAAGTCGTCGCCGTCGTCGTCATCATCATCATCGTTATCATCATCGTCTGTTCCGAGTACGATGCTGGAAATTGAGCTGGCGTTTGAGTTGCCAGCATGGGTAGCGCTCTGGCTCAAGAGTGCGCCCTTGTTGCAGGGTTTCGTCGAACGTACGCTGCTTGCAGATTTGGAAAGGTTTCGTGCGTACGTGCATGAACAGGTAGCACAGGAACGTCGCCTGGAAGCTTCCTGAGTGCTTCATCTTGACGAGACTAGTACGAGACTGCACGTGTAAACAAGTATTGGAATCGATGTGATCATGATCTGCTTCTCTGGATGCCGCTCTGATCGTGATGTGAATCGCCTGTGACACTGGATACACCAGGGGCTCCTGAACGCGCCCCCTTGTGATGTACAGCTAGTCCGCGGATGCGTCGAATGTGTACCAGACTATCAACGACGCCGTATCTGGGGAATCAGTTTCCTGTCTGCGGAATCAGGTCACCAGACAAGCGAGTAAACGTCTTAGCGGGTGTCACCGGCGGACGTACGACACCAGGAGGATCGAGGTAACTGAGCAAGATCGTGGAAGTGTCGGTGGTTGTCGTGGTCGCCGCATTTCGGGTCCATGGAAGAACGTACGATCTCCCTGCTGCCGATAACCATTGCGCACAACCGCAAGTTCCCCGGATCCTATAAACGACACGACACACATATGGACCCGCAAGAACACAGCGCATACGCATGGTGTATGCGGGGAGCACTCTTCGCCCCAGTTGCGAAGATCGCTGGCGTGCGGATACCTGGAGCGCGTACTGCTGAACTGCGGTCATTTGTATGATTCCATGCGAACAGAAGAGACGGAAGGCTCCGGGAGCCCATCCTCTACGAAATGTCGCGCTGCAGCGGAATGCCGTTTCGCCGCCACCCATAAAGATTGGTAGATTTGTTTAACGAACGGAATCAATTGCTTAACATGGTAAGTTCACTGAGCTTTCGGCATGATCTTGTGAAACAGCCCACAAGAGTTGACGTTGAGGTTTTCTTCGTCGTCAATGCAGCTGCTCAAATTGCTCTACACAGGCGTTGCCCGAAACAGAAAGATTGATAACTTGAAGCTTGCATGGTATGAGCTTGCTACAGGCATGGAAAGAACACAGTTGGAGGCTTGTACGCATGCGCTGGATAACGCTATCGTTTATTTTAGGACCCTCTAGGAGAGTAGCGTCGCAAATCATCTTGATCCCGATTCCGTAAAGAATCCTAGCCATCTGACGGTAAAGGAGCTCCTGCAAAGAGTCGACCGAGAATCTCTGAACTACAAATGAATCCGTCCGTCTTTTTTTCTGCACTAGGTTTTTCATGACTTTTCGTCTATGAAAGTTCGAAAAAAATCTTTATACAGGAACACAGCACTCATTTTTGTGCTCCGCGTACATCCGTCACCGCTCAGGTCGGCCAGCTTGCTCCTGATGTGCAGCAAACGCAGCGGTGCGTGCCGTACGCATAGCAATGTTGCCTGTCGATGCCTACTGGTACGTGTTGTTGTCTACTGTTGCGTGTCGATGCCTACTGGTACGTGTTGTTGTCTACTGGTGCGTGCTGATGCCTACTGTTGCGTGTCGATGCGTGTCGATTCCTGCTGGTGCGTGCTAATGCGTGCTAATGCGTGCTAATGCGTGCTAATGCGTGCGAATGCGTGTCGATGCGTGTCCGTTTGGCGGCCGTGCGACGGCGGCAAAAGCCTGATCAGAATCTGCTTTTCTTTTGTTGAATACACAAGCACTTTGAGTCGCCTGCGGAAGCGACTAACCAACAAGAGAGGCAAGAGTAGGGGCTTGAACAAAGTCCTGTTGTTGGGATAAGGCTGGTGAAGGACAGACTTTGCAAGTTTGGGTGATCACGTTGGCCCGAAACAAGAGCTCCTATCGGTCGCGTTGCGGGCCTGGTGTAGACACGGAACGCACTTGCTTGAGCGCCTTGCTGGGACTCTACCGTGCCTTACGTAGTACCAGTTTTTTGGTGCCTGTTGCTCTTGAAGCAGAGGGAAGAAAGTCTTGATCCTGCAAGCGCGTTGACGATGCTTGTTTCGTTTGAGTCCAAGTCGAGCAGGGTAAAAGGCCTGTCTTTTCACCCGAAACGGCCGTGGCTGCTCGCATCGCTGCACTCTGGAGCTATCCAGTTGCTTGATTATCGACTAGCAACGGTTATTGACACTTATCATGAACATGAAGGCCCGGTGCGGGGGATTGCGTTCCATCCGAGTCAGCCGCTGTTCGTTTCTGGAGGCGATGACGCGAAGATCAAAGTTTTCCACTACGGGCTGCGGCGTTGTCTCTTCACGCTGACCGGCCATGCGGACTACATTCGTACGGTACAATTTCATCATGAACTGCCGTGGATCGTATCAGCTTCTGATGACCAGACTGTTCGGGTGTGGAACTGGCAAAATCGCACGTGCTTGGCGGTGCTCAGTGGGCATAATCACTACGTGATGTGCGCAAGTTTTCATCCAGCTGAGGATTTGGTGGTATCTGCGTCGCTTGACCAGACGATTCGAGTGTGGGATATCTCCGGTTTGGGTGGTGGATCTGCGAACGCTGCCCAAGCTATCGCAGCTGTCACGGCTGCAGGTCTCTGGGGATCGAGCGCCAACGCGAATGCTTTGGCACCCGGCCGAGACCAAGGCACCGGCTTCGGTACCGGTAGTGCGCCCTGGTCTGCACTAGCCCCGCAAAGTACGGGTGGAGGAATGGGTGCGCCTAGCATGTCAGGGTTTGGTGGCTCCTCTGGATCTACTTTGGGGTCCGGTGCATATGGTGGCGGCACCGGCGGAATCAGTGGAGTGATCGAGCGCCTCGGTGGCGGGCTCGATGTCGCTGTGAAATTTACGCTCGAAGGCCATACACGCGGCGTGAACTGGGTCAGCTTCCATCCGAGTCTGCCACTCATCGCATCGGGTGCAGATGATCGTACAATCAAACTCTGGCGGTACACGGAATCACGGGCCTGGGAGGTTGACACCCTACGCGGTCACGTGAACAACGTGTCATGCGTGCTGTTCCATCCGCATCTTGATGTGCTCGTCTCGAATTCGGAAGATAAGACGATTCGCGTGTGGGATTTGTCTCGGAGGAGCTGCATAGCGATCTACAGGCGTGAAATGGATCGATTCTGGATTCTGGCAGTGCACCCTCGTCTCAGTGCAATGGCGGCGGGTCATGATTCCGGCTGCATGATTTTCAAACTCCACCGGGAGCGGCCCCCGTTCACAATGCTGGAGAATGGCGTGCTTGTGTACGTGCGGGATCGGTTCGTTCGGGCGCTCGAGCTGGACACAGGTCGAGAGTGGCCCGTTTGTATGGCCCGCGGACGGCAGCCAGCGAATGATACGGGATCATCCTGGCCCGGCATGAGCGGTGAGGGCACCACGGGCTTGTCGGCACTGGGGGGAAGCAACGGTATTTCCGCGCCTGGTGTTCTGTTCGGCCTCAGTACGGGCAACGCGGTGCTGACGCCGCCACCGCGCTCCCTCCAGTACCAGCCTCTGGATCGTGCGCTTTTACTGCAGTACGATGCGGACGGTGGCTTCGCCGAGCTGTATCAGCTGCCACAGCGCATCGAAGAACCGCGTAACGTTTCCGGGGACTCTCCAGATTTGCAGGTTGAACCTCGTCGCGTACCGGCGCTCTCGTCGGTTTTACTAGGACAAGGCCGCTGGCTCACACTCGAGGAAGATGCCTTGCTCCTCCGCGATCTGTCGCAGGGTAGCGAGCGTCGGATACCGCTGCCTGCAACTGGCATTCGATTTATGTTTCCGGCTACGGCAGGTCTTGTGTTGTTTGCGTCCCGCGATCAGGTGCATCTCTGGGACTGGCAGCGGCAGAAACTGCTTGCAACGCTCGACGCACCGCTCATTCGATACGCAGTTTGGTCGGAGGATCGAACGTACCTGGCGTTGCTGGCGAAGCACACGCTCTGGATCGTGAATCGACAAATGGAACGGCTCGCGCTTCTCCATGAGACCATGCGTATCAAGTCCGCAGCCTGGGACGAATCCGGCGTTCTAGTGTATACGACCACGAGTCATCTCAAGTACTGCCTGCCGAACGGTGATGCTGGCATCATCTGTTCTCTGAAAGAACCGCTCTACCTGACGTGGGTACGCGGACCCGCTGTTGCTGCGCTTGATCGCCGGGCGCAGCCGCAAACTTTGGCGATCGATCCCACCGAATACACGTTCAAGCTGTTGCTTTGGCGAAAGCAATATGACCGTGTTCGTCAAGCGCTTGCCGAGTCACGACTTCCCGGCAAGAGCATGATCGGTTACCTCCAGCAAAAGGGATACCTCGATATTGCGTTGTGGTTTACCGAAGAAACACAGACGCGTTTCGTGCTCGCGCTCAGTGCTGGCTATCTGCAGACAGCGCTCGACATGGCGGGCCAGATGGACGATGACGAAGCCTGGTCGAGTTTAGCGGAAAAGGCAATGGAATATGGGCAGGTTCAGCTTGCGGAGCTCTGTTTTCAGCGTCTTCGGAATCTGGAGCGTTTGCTGTTTCTATACGTTCTGACGGGCAACTGGGAGAAGCTGGAACGTCTCTATGACATCGCCGATGCCCAAAAGGATATCCCCGCACAGCTGCAGATCGCGTTGGTCCTCGGCGACCCCGAAAGTCGTGTGCAGACGCTCAAAAAGGCTGGCCTTGATGCCTTAGCTTCCCTACTGAGCGCAACGTACGAACCTGAAGATGCAACGGCAGGGTCATACGTTGCGGGTGTCGAGAAGTTACAGACACCGCTCGCCCCGGTGGACGCCACGCTGGCGCAGGAGAATTGGCCCCTGATGCCAACGTCGGAGTCCGTCGACGCGCATCATGCATCGGAAGGCGTCGCGGCAGGCGCTTTCGACGGTGCTGCGCGGCAGGCGGCGAGCATCGCGCCGGCTAATGACCTCTACGAGGCATCCGTGAGTCAGCATTCGAGCACGGGGTATCTTGCGAGTGACTGGACGGCAGCTGCTGGCCGTTTGGGTGACGCGATGCACACCGGTGACTACACAGAGAGGTCGAACAGCATGACAATGGGCGACGCGGATGCGCATGTCGCAAATGAGGCCGGGTTCCTGGGTTTTGCTGCGAACGCTGCAACGGATGCTGCTGACGGCTGGGCAGATACATTGGACCTGGAACTACCTCCAGACGCAGTGACGTCGCCGAGCAGCTCCCAAGACCGGCATGCGATGGCGGCTGGCGACGCTTTGCATCCGAGTGCTGCATTGGATGCTGCAGCAGCAGCTGCTCCTGCTGCAAGCGTCACCACATCGAGTTTATCACATTCGCTGGCCGATATTCCCGTGGAGCCCGGTCCGTTAACGCAGGAGATTTGGCGTGCCCAGGCCCGGGTACCCGGCGAATGGGTGATTGCGGGAGAGCCTCAGCGGGCGCTGGCACTGCTTGTAGAGCAGATATGTCTGGCGGATCCCGTGGTACTTCATCCGGTTCTGAGGGCGCTTCATGCGGCGGCGTGGCACGCGGTGCCGTCCCCGTCTTGTGCTTCTTTGAGCTTGTCGCGAATCGATCAGACGCCTTGCGTTGCGAGCGCGGATGAGACACCAGCCCCGGCAGCATTCGTGATGATCGATCGACTCGAACAGCAGATGGAGCACATTTTCGGTCTGGTAACACGCGGGGCCTTTGGCGAAGCGGATCGCCTGCTGCTATCACTCCTCTGGGTTATGCCGTTTGCGATTGTTCGGAGCGCTGCGGACGACGCAAAACTTCGCTCGCTGATCAGCACTTGTCGAGAATATCGTCTCGGCATGCGTCTAATGCTGGAACAGAAAACTTGTCGAGCTCGCGGTCTCGACAGCGACGCAGATCGAGCGCGACTCATGCAGCTGTCTGCACTATTCACGCACTGCAACCTGGAACCGCCGCATTTGCTGTTGGCGCTTCGTGCGGCCATGAAGCTCGCCTACGAGTTGCAGTTTGATGCACTTGCTGTGCGCTTTGCGCAACGTGTGCTAGAGACGGAACCAGCGCCGGAACTTGTCGCTGCCGCGAACAAAGTGATCGCCTTAGCGGAACGTCGACGGCGAAGCGAACAACGCTCCAGTACCTCGAAACAAGAAGCAGTGTCACGTGTGCTACCGCTTGACATGTACGATGAGCAGCGCATCTTTGCCATCGATGCGGAGCTGCTGGTACCCATACACGATCGCGGAGCAGTGCGATCGTGCCCGTATTGTACGGCAACATACACCTCGGCAACGCGTTGTGTCGTCTGCCAACTATCGAGCCTGGATGCCTCGCAGCGTACGGCATCGGGTTTGATTTTTTGGACACAAGGCGTGACGTCCAGTACTTGAAGTTTATATGGAAGCGGGTGCTAGCGGATGCGGCAACGCGTAGAACGACAACAACGATGATGATAACGATAACAGCGGCAGCGGCGATGCTGTAGTGCGTATGGTTGTCGTGTCATGTGTGGGTGGCAATTCTCTAAACACGTTCGTGGACATCAAACGCCTTCATGTGTCGTGCACGATGCCGAAGAAAAACCTTGTGGTGTAGCAGGTGACCTGCTCGGCAGTTGGCGTCGCGTTCGCCAAGCAGTGCGCTTCATGAGTGTACTCAGCGTTTCGAGTACGGAGTCCAAGTCGGTGCACTGTTCGACTTGCTCGCACGCTGACCCCAGAGTCGTACCTATGTGGCACGAGTGGCACCTTTTGGTGTCGTTCGCGGTCGTCGCCAGGCAACTGGTCATGATAGAGCGATAGCGCCCTGTGTGTGTACCTGTGAAAGCAGGACGCACACAAGTCGGCTTCAAGAGCGTCTCTTCAGTACCAACAGACTGAGGTGCTGACTCGGTGCTCAGAGCGGCCCTCAGAGCGTTTCGTAGTGCTAAAGCGCAACGACCGTGCGTGCGACCTCTGCAGCCTCAACAGTGACGGAAATTGAAACACATCAGGTTTCTACAGTCCGGACGCTTGTATGCTGTGCAAGACTCTGGTACGTAAGTTGCGTTTCTCTCAGAGTCTCGAGCTGAGTTTCTGTTAGCGCGGAGTGCTGGACTCGTGGACCCGCTTTCGCACCTGCTGCTGTGTGTTGAAGAACGGCGCTAGCACTCGGACAGGTAGTCGTGTGGCACCGCCTTGTATGCAGCATACGAGTTCTATGCGATACGGTGTCAAGTGTATGCGTTCATGGGCGCAACTGGCGGCCAGGCGTCTGCGGAGGACACCAGGTTTTCGCTTCGATCACTGGAACCGTTTGGGCAACCGACGCGTCTGGTCAACAAGATGCACCCTGCCCTGAAACACAATCGGCGGTTTTCGGAGGGTTTATATGGTGAAAAGCGTAAGCGTCAGCAGGTGCCCGCGGAGACGAAAGTAAAGCGGCTTTACCGGTCACTTTCGCGTGCCACCAGTGCCTGTCTGAGACTCGCCCTGGGCATGGCGGTTCAAAGCAGCATCCGTCCAGGCGCGGAGCTTCCTGCAGACGCCGTACAACGACGGAACGGATAAGGATAGCTGTTCCGAGCGTCACCTGGAGGCGTCGGTTCCAGCATACTCCGCAAGCAATACAGCTGCCGTCACAGCGAGACGCGCTGAAGGAACTCGATGACCGGGGCAAAGTTCGGGTGATGGGTCTGCTCACCGTTGTGGTTACCGAAGAAACAGGGTTGCGGGCGCTACGCACAACCTGCGCAGCAGCCCTGACCTGACGACATCCATGTGAGGATGACTTCGAACGGTTACGCTTGGGTAACTTAGACGTGTATCCACAAGTTTGCGTATCCTTGCTCTGTTATGAACCGAAGCAACTCGGGAATTTCTGCGACTGCTTCCTTTTCCTCCATTGTATCTCGAGCTTGAAATGCAGAGGTCTCTCATGTTTTTTGAGCTCCGTTGTCATCCGTCTAGGCTACAGATGGCACCGTTCAAGTCCCGAAATCGTCGTTCTCGGCTATCAGAGATGCATTGAATGCACGAGCAAAAGTTGGGGTCTACGCTCCGCTTTCCGTTTTTCATCCTCTTGATGTACAGCCTCGGTGCGTCGCTCGCAGCGGTAACTCTTGGCTGTTGCCAGGGATTCCCAGCTGTCCACTGGACTTGCTGGTTCTCCTCCTCGTCCGCGGGCTGCACTGTACCACGTGACCGCTTGCTGCATAGCTCGCTGTCTGCCCTGGATGGGTACCGCAGGCGCCACTCGATGCCGTTCTCTGCGTCCGCGCCCAGCGCAGCAGCCAGCAATTGTGGTGTTGTTCTGGGCGATCCTATGGTCAAGTTCCATGTCCGAAGCACATACAAGGCCACGCTGTCCCCACATATGGAGGAGTTGTGGAACGCGGTCTTGCCCTTGATGAAAAGAGACCCCGGAAGCAAATACAGCCCCGTGGACAAGCCGAGAAATGCCGACCTGTTTACGCTGCCTTGGTGCGACGCGGTGGTGACGCACTCGTCATTGGAAGCGATCGCTGCAGGAATAACGCAGGTCCGAGTCCGACGCCCTTTTTTACGCCTACAGAACTGACATTAGCATCTAGGAGCGTACTCACGAACAAGGATCAAGCTGATATAGAATCTCGTTTCACCATTGGCCATAAAAAGACGAGGATTTAAGTCTCGAAAGGAATCGGTTACTTGACGTATACGGTGAATTTTTCAGTAAAAGCTTTTGAACGAATCCTTCGGGATACCTATCGAGATATTTTTCCTCATAGGTACATTTGAACGAATCCTTGCACCCACGACTTGTCTTGAAATGGAACGATCGAAAACTTCCAGCAGGCATGTTGAGCGCGTGCTCCACACAGGAAAGGTGAAGCGCGAGACCAAGAAGAAAAAAACGTATGCACCTGTGAAAAATATCGCTTATTTTCCGATCCCTTCTTCGAAGACTTTACAACTCATCTTGATTCTGGTGACCTAACCTAGTCCTGTGACGTCACTCCGTTGCACAGACTCTGAGAATACCTCCGGGAATCCTAAATCGACCCATGTATCCGTGAGCCCTGATACCTGCACTTGCACTGTCGCGATTGTTCGTAGGATAACCTTCGGAAAATAATCTCAAAACATGAACATAGCCTGAACGTCGATGTCCCAGGCTCATCTCAAACAGTGTAGAAACGCGCAAAACGCTTTCCCAGCACGCCCATACCATCATCGTTCCGCTCATGCTCGCACGACCGACATGAACACCGCACCCACAGGCGCACCGATACTACCCCGCTGCGATATCGCGGCTGCACAAGTTTCGCGCAGGCGCGCGAACGCATCCGCTGTGCGGGCGCAGTGCGCGCTCCAGCGCAACGCGGTGTCGATGGCGATCGTCGCCGAGGCGTCATCATCATCATCGTCATCAGCGGCGGCGGCGGCGTCCCGCCCACCACCGTTGCGTTCAAAGGCGTTACGCCATCGAGGGGCACCAGCGTGCCGTATCGCCATGGCGATCTGCAGCGCGCCGCCGCCGTGCAGCACCCAGGCGTTGCACGCATAACGGTAACGCGCAGCGATGCACGCAGTTCCGGTGGCGATCGATGCTTTGTTTTGTTTGGATGCGTGTATGCGTGTATGCGTGTATGCGTGTTGACCTTCAGTGCTGTCCACGGACTGGTGCTTGACACATCACCAAGGCGCTTACCGCAAAATCGCTCTTCTTAAACGTTTACAGATAAAAGTCAAACGAGCTGCTTTCACGACGACGCTTGGTATAATGGCTCCGTGTTCTGGAGGTTCCGTGGAACCGAACGACCGGAGCGTTCGGGACGCGGCTCCAGCATCAGTGGCGTCTGCTCTGGTGCAGTCCGAGGGACAAGTGCGAGTCGACGCAGAGCTGCAGCGACAATTGGGAACAGAGAAGCGCTCGCCGCAACCCCCGACGCCAGTGCGTGCTGTGGTTGATAAGGTATCCAAGATTCTTTCGTTTTGTGAGTGCTTGTACGATTTTGAGCTCCAGGTTAAAACGTTCAGCACGCTCGGCAGCTGGGCGGCGTTCCGTGAGCACCTCTGCGAGCAGCCGGACATTCTCTATGTGCCTGTTGATGAAGTTGATCGTGAAACGGCGACCGATGCTCTTCCCGTGTTCTTGATTGAGTACGTTTTTGATGCAACGTTGGCGTACTGGCGCCAGCGGGAAACAGGCACCGCGCCAGGGGCGACTGCCGGCCAGACGTCGCCGGCTGCAGGCATGACGCGGGCGTTCTGGACGTTCTGGGCAGATACCCTAGAACTCATCGCACGTCAGACGCAACGAAGCATGCCGGTAGCAGTCGTGAAATGTCTCCTGCGCTGGATACCAGCGATCGTACGCGCTTTCGGCCAGGCTGACGAGCCACGAGACCCTCGTTGCGGTGTTGCGTTGCGATGTGCATTGCAGAGTCTGGGGCGTTTGCTTTCTCATGCGTTATGCCGAGTACCAAATGGCGAAGTCGCTCGACAGGTCTGCACCGCCATTGCTAAGGTCGTCGTGCGCATGCTCTGGCCCAGCCAACAAGAGACCGCTCAGGCTGCGCTCGAATGGGCGCTTGACCGCCTCCATGCGCTTCTGGACGGAGTGGACACCGCCGTTGTAGCACATTCCGCCGCACCGGAATCGATCATGGTGCTGGTGCGAGAACTGCAGCGACGTCTGGGGTCCGCTATTGAAACGATGAACGCGCGCTTCGCCGTTCCCGATCAGAAGATAGCGCTGCCTGGAATCCTTGCGACGATGGAACGTGCGCTGCATCTGGTACATGACCTGGAGAAGCGTCTCGCTGCGCATGTTCAGGAGCCTGCAGCGGCAACCGATCACAGTAGCGAAGCACTAGACGCTGAACGCAACTGCAGCACTGAAAGACGCCGCGCACTGCGCAGAGCAAGTCACGCTGTCGGTGCGTCTGACGCTGGCAATGGTGCTGGCGTCCAAAGTGCTGCTGCTGCTGCTGCTACGGTGGATGCAATGGAAGCGATAGAGACGACGGTGGTGGTGGCGGCGGCGGCACAACAGCAGTCAGAATGCCGCCTCAAGGACACCATGGATTCCACGGCAACCACAGAGGTCGTTTTATGGTCGCAGCTGGAGAACGCTGTGCAAGTACTGCACATCAAACCGGCGGCCGACTGGGAAAAACGTGTCGAAGCCCTCGTCTTCATTGAAGAACGGGCACAGCGATTGTCGCGTGCCGACCTTGCCGAATTCCTGCGCCAGTCGAGTCTGCGCTACGCCCTCGTGGAACAGATCCAGGACCTGCGCTCCCAGGTCGTGCGCCATGCCTGTGCAACATCAGCCACGCTAGCACGCGCGCTGGGCGACGCCTTCGCTGACACGCTCGGCTTGGTGCTGGTACCTTCGCTTCTTCGTGCCTCCATCGTTACCATTGCCGTGATTGCGGATAGTGCGCGGCAGGCCTTGCGCTGCATCGTGGAACACGCACGACTCGGACGTTCAGTAATCTTTCTGTTCCAGGGTCTGCAGGACCAGAAAAGCGCCACAAGCCTCCGCGAAATCACAGCCGAGTTGCTATACGTCGCGTTGGCGAGACAACCTGCCTTTGACATCGAGCGTCATGCGGAAGAATGGCGCCGAGCGCTGCGTACGGGCCTTGAAGACGCCTCCGCTTGTGTGCGTGCTCGCATGCGCCACGCTTTTTGGCGTTACGTCGCTTTCCTGTGCTGGCAAGCCTTGCGCGCATCGGCTCGATCTGACGCGCACAGTTCACGCTACCGAGGCGCAAGTGGAATGCCTCGACTCGTTGCGTTCGTGAACCAGTCGCTGGAACGGGATGTTCTGCAAGCGCTTCGTCAGTGCACGCGGCGCACGCTGATGGAACATTGTCCCCGGGAGAACAGTGAGTCCATTGCGCTGCGTTCGCCGTCGAGAGCAGCGTCGGGCGACGAGCATCAGCACGCGCTCTTTTCCGAACTTTATGCCGCCGTGTGCGAATCTCTCTCGCATCCGGAGCAAACAACACAGAGACACGTGATGAACAAGGAGAACCAGAGTCCATTTGAAGCGGCAGCTACCCGAAAGTCGGCGCATGGCGCGAGTCTTGGAAGCTGTGCGCAGTCAGACGACTGGTCTGGCGTGGGTCGGGTGCCCACGCGCGCCCTCGGTGGAGCGCTCCGAGTTGGTGTGGGCAGGGAGTCAGCAGATGAAAACGTTGATCGGGTGCGACGACACGCGCGTCTGCTGAGCGGGCATCCACCTGCAGCCACATCGCCAGAGCGGCCTTGCGAGCAGGCCTGGGTCCCGAGTCGCGAGTACCAACGAGCAGGCCGAGCGCCAGCAGCAGCAGCAGCAGCAGCAGAGCCTATGCTACCACTTGCCGCAAAATGGCGTCCAGCAAGGCGCACGGTGGCGGCTCAGTCGCCACTTGGCGAGCCAGCGCTGGCTCCGGTGTGTCAGCGAGAGCATGACAACGACGACAACGATGACGCGGACGAGTACGCAGTGCCAGCGGCCGAGGCTATGGCCCAGGACGGAGATGGCTGCTGTCGAGGAACGGCGCTGCAGCTGCTGGTAACCAGAATTGAGGATGCCGGTGCCGACTGGCGCAGACGCCTAGACGCGCTCATTGCGCTGGAGGAGGAGTTTTGTCGCCAGCGCAGCGCATCAGCAGCAGCATCGGCAGCAGCGGCAGCAGCAGCAACGCCAGGTCAAGCGACATGCGATACCGTGCCTTTCGAGCTCATCCAGGAGCTGATTGCCTGTCTGCATCGCTGTCTCGCTGAGAAGCAGCACAGCGTGCTCCAACAGACGGAGCGGGTGCTGCTAGCAATCCTGGCTCTTGTTCCAGACATGCTCGCCGCCACGGATCTGGAACAGGCACTCCACGCGTACCCGCTACTGGGCAGGCTGTTGAATCAGTGGCCGCGTACCCAGCCTATTCTGGTTGCTTTCATACCACGCCTGGCGCTGGACGCAGGCTTGCGGCTCTTTTTGCGACATTGCTCGATGGAGCCGTTGCGTAATGCTGCGGAGAATGCGCATCCACGTCTCGCTGAGCGTACATTGCTGTTTCTGGATGCCTGCTTCCGAGCGACGGAGCCCGAGCTGGTCGCATGGCAACGCGCTCTGCTCGGTTGCAATGCACCAACTGGACGAGACGCTCTTTCAGCGCTCGTGGCGCGTCTTCACGTTCTGCACGATCGGACGCAGATCAAACAGCCTCTGGTGCGCCGTGCTGCTGCTCAGTTGTTGGAGACGCTTCGCAGTCGCGCAGATCCGATTCTGTGGGCGCCGCTGGTGAAGACAGCAACGACAACGACAACGACACCGACACCGTGTAGCCCAGAGACGATGCTCGATTCAAACAATGCCGCACATTTACCCAGGAGCCCGGCAATCGCGAATCGGCATCGACTGCATTGTCAGCTTGCGCTGGCGTCCACGGATGCCGTGTCGCCTGTGCGACTGAGGTCGCCAGCACCTCGCCAGCGGTCTCCCGCGCGAACGCAACTGCAGCTGTTGAACCCGGAGAGCTTGGAAGCGTTGCGCCAAGTACGCGTCTCCTGGCGGAATCGCGCAGCTCCTACAGCTCCAGCTACAGCTACAGCAACTGGTGCCGGTGGAGTCGGCCATCACGAGGCCTGCGCGCAGGCGCACCTGCTGCTCGACTGCGCCGCCCAGCGGGCAAACGATCTGGCCTGGCAGGAGTCGGCGTTGCGTACCGCCATTGAACTGGTGCGGCATATTGGCGCAGCACTGCTGGCCACTGTACCAGATCCGGGCGATGCTGTGGCTGCGGATGCGGACGCTGTGCTCCGAGCGCTGCTATGCTGGGCCCTAACAACTCGCGAACAGGCCAAGCCTGGGTCGCTGCTCAGGGTGTCTGCAAACCGTCTCGCTCGAGCGATACAAGTGACCTTTCAATCGGCTGGACGGTCGCTGGTGGAGCCGTGCGAGGCGCCCACGTCAGCGGCAACGTCCACCAATTCACCGAGCGACGTGCACAGGTGACACCGTTGACACGCAGCGGCATTCGACGTCCCTACGACGACGACTTGTGCAGCGTCAAACAGCAATGGCAAGCACGCGGCAAACGCTCGCGTACTTGCTTTCATTCCAATCGATCGACTGACGAGCACGCTATCCAGATGCATCAACTCATGATGCCAGCCTATGACCGCAGATAGGTCCCAGTTGGCAGCCAGGGTGTGCTGGCAGCGTCTCCGCAGCGCTGCATCCGCTGTACTTGCGCGTGTGCTAGCCGCACGACTCTATACACGAGGCTCTTCGCGAAAGCCGGTAGCGCGTTGTGCGCGCTCGCACTTTGTATGCGCCAGAGCTTGTGTCTCTATGTCTATGCGTCGCAACGGATGTGGTCCATACGCTTACACGCATAGCGTCTAGGGCACGCGCGGAACGCTCCATAAAGCTTCCAGCACCAGCACCAGCACCAGCACCAACAATTGCCGTCAAGATGTGCAACGCAACGCATCGGGTATGTCGCACGCGTCGTTGTCCAGGCTCCTCCGCCTCCGCGGTACAACAGCGTGACCCCGCGTCGCGCCGCTGCCCAAGGTACCGAGCAACTGGAGACGATGCCGCCGTCATCGCCACCACTGCTCTTGCATAGCTGCTTGCACGTTCCTGGGCGCTGCTGCAGTCGCCAGTATGCCCCAGCGCTAGAGTGAGCGCGCACCCACCAACTGGTGATCACCAAGTCACACACACACACACACACAGTGTAACTAGACGCTACCCGAATTGTGTAGTTCCGTTTTAGCTAGTTGCATACAGTAGGTGCAACACGCATACACACGAGCGTAGACACATACCTGTCCGTCTTCAAGGAGCAGCACATGTTCTTTTCCTGGTAACGAGACAGAATCAAAGAAACCTATCAAAAAGCTCCATAGCGCTCAAGAGAAAGAGGTTACAAGTCCACGACACCCATGTCCGTCCTCATGCATGGAATTTGGTGACCTTCAACACCTATGCACGCATACACGCATACACGCATACATGCATACACGCACACACGCATACACGCACACTGCTTCTCCGCGCAAACGCAATACATGACGCAGCGCACCGGCCCTGGAACACTGGGACACGTATGCGCACGTTTACGGCACCTGCGCGCTTACACGCATGAGCGTCACGCGATCATCTCAGAAAATCTAGAGGGCACGCTTCCTATCCCTTCTATTCTCCCATTCCTTCTAGACCTCTTATTCTTCCGATATGCCTCTTATATCCTCCCCCATTCTATAGATCCATTCCGATATCCCTCCAGTATCCTTCCCAGTGGATCTGTATTCTATAGATCCATTCCGATATCCCTCCAGTATCCTTCCCAGTGGATCTGTATTCTATAGATCCATTCCGATATCCCTCCAGTATCCTTCCCAGTGGATCTGTATTCTATAGATCCATTCCGATATCCCTCCAGTATCCTTTCCATTGGATCTGCATTCTATAGATCCATTCCTGTATTCCTCCAGTATCCTTCCCAGTGGATCTGTATTCTATAGATCCATTCCGATATCCCTCCTGTATCCTTCCCATTGGATCTGCATTCTATAGATCTATTCCTGTATCCCTCCAGTATCCTTTCCATTGGATATGTATTCTATAGATCCATTCCTGTATCCCTAAGAAAGGCCCCCTGTTGTTGATGCAGGGCGCATCGAGCGCACGCGCGCTGAACATCCATCGCTGCGCCCCGACGCGCAGCGCGCAGACGCGTCACTCGTGTCGACGTGCGTCCGTCGTACGTTTTGTTTCGCTCGACTCGCTTCGAGGCGTTCGTTGCGTGTCTGTTGTGCGGTTGCAAACGTCGGTTGCTGTGTTTGTTGCACAGATATGGCGCTCAAGCGCATATCCAAAGAACTTGTAGACCTGGGAAAGGACCCACCGGCAAACTGCTCCGCTGGTCCCGTTGGTGACGATTTGTTTCACTGGCAGGCAACGATTATCGGGCCGCCAGACTCTCCCTACGCTGGTGGCGTCTACTTCCTCAACATTCACTTTCCGACGGACTATCCGTTTAAACCACCAAAGGTGCAGTTTACGACGAAAATTTATCACCCGAACATCAACTCGAACGGTTCGATATGTTTGGATATTTTGCGGGAACAGTGGTCACCGGCGTTGACCATCTCGAAAGTGCTGCTCTCTATCTGCTCGTTATTGACGGACCCGAATCCCGACGATCCTCTGGTCCCGGATATCGCACACAAGTACAAGACGAACCGGGCAAAGTACGAGGAAGAGGCACGAGAATGGACACGGCGCTACGCGATGTGAAAAGCAGAAACGGTACGACGCGGTGCACGCTTCTTCAGCGATGAACGCTGATGCTGTTGGGGTATTGGCCGCGGTCGCAACGTTACGGCAACGACGAGGACGATAGCGAAGATCGTACATGGTATGTGGTGGTGTTCACTTCGGACACCACGAGGCAAACTTGGTGTAAAACACATCTTTACCCGCTCGGAAGCGCCTTCTTACCGCACGTTTCCCAGCGTTTCGTTGGTTAGGCTGTGGAGATGCGTCGGATTGCCTGGTTCACGCCAACGACACGCAGCTCTTGCGTACCGTGTTCCTTGAACATGCAGTCACCGTCCTCGTCCACGTGGATGCAGACACCAAGGACACCCTCGAGGTCTCCCTGGTACACAACGAGGGTATCGCCGGGATCGGGCGCTACCGGTTCGAGCTCGGTTCGAGCGCGTGCCTCTGCCTTGGATGCCTCCTGTTCAGTGTGCTTCGATGCGGCGTCTTGTTGTTGATCATACGCTTTGACCAGCCATGATCCGGATTCTTCGGACGGTAAACCGCAAACAACCACGAGACGATTGCCCGCACGCTTGTCACGCATGACCGCCCCAAGCCAGTAGGATGGCACCGAAGATACTGTAAACGCGCCCGGCACTGATTCTGGTACTTTTCGTATTGTCGTTGTCGTTGGTGGCGCTGGTGTGACTGCGTCTGGTGTGTCTGGTGTCGCCGGGTTGCATTCCGACGACATTGCGACTGGGCCGGGGCCCGCGGCAGCTGCTCCAGCTCCTGCTCCTGCTCCTGCTCCTGCTCCTGCTCCTGCTCCTGCTCCTGCTTCACTGGCGCCGTCGTCTACTGCAGCCTTGACGCTCGTTGGCCGCTGCGCGTCCACCGCGGGATGCATGGGCGTCGACGGCCGTACACTGGCAAACGCCTCAGGAACGTGTGCCGGTGTCATCGGACGCCAGACATCGCTGGCACCACCACCACGAGCAGAAGCGCCACCCGCTGCCGTACCTCCGAACTCGTGAGCCGGTGTCATAGGAACCGAGGGATGTAGTGGCGTTGCCGTCAGTGCCGAAGCGTACGGCGTCACGGGTACCGTCGCATACGAAGCATCCATCGCTGGGGTACGCTGCATCCCGGCAACCTGGTTGTTAGGTTGCCAACCCTGCAACGGGGTCCTCGCGGAGGCAACGCCTGCACCAACAGCGGCCAGCGATGAGGTCGCACCAGGCGTGCCCGTCACCAAAGACGCTTGTCCATAGGCACCAGTAGCCATACCGAGTCCGTAAGCGCTCTGTCCCGCAAGCCCTGTTACGAGTCCGGGGCCATAGAGACCCCCGATGACCGATGCACGTCCCAGAGCAGCACTCGTCGCTGCTGAACTGGCCTCTGCACGTAGGCGTACCGCATCCCGTGCCACCGTAATCGTCTTCATCGATGACTCCAGTTCCAGGCGCACACTCGTATCCGAAGCATCTAGAACGCGTCCGGAGAGGCCCTTGTGCGGACCCCGCGTCACCGCTACCCAGCGGTGCAGAAGCGGATCACCACCACCACCACCACGACCACCACCGCGTACTGCACCAGGCGTCGGCTTCCGGCCCGAATCACTACCCCCAAACGGTGCTCTCGACGATGATAAGGGCGCGGTGCTGTTACCGAGCCCCCCGCTCCCGATACCACCGCGTCCAAACGCAGTGCCCATCGATGGACGCCAACCACTTGTCGGTGCAACGAACGGCAACGACGTCGACACGGTGCCGGCTCCCGAAGCGTTCACCTCGGCTGCAGGCGCCTGTGTCAGCCGCTGCACTTCGCTGCCGCTTGCAACCACCATACCTGCGTTATCGAGATGCTCACGAATACGCAGAAAAAGGCGATTCCCAAACACATACATCACAAGCGCTTCGCGGTTACGGTGCGGATGTCGGGCACCGACGATGCGAACTGCATCACCAGCTCCAACCGGTTGCTGGGCGGCATCCAGGGTACGCAGCTGGCTAGTGCGAGCCGTGCTCCCATCGCGACGTCCGCGAATATCCTGAACACTGACCGTCTTGATTTCTCCGACTTCGTTCATCACCTGAACGCGTTCTACAGCGGCCTGTGCAAGTGCTACAGCACCGCGTGCGCTCAGCATCGTGCCGTTTGCACCGTTCGCCATCAGGTCGGTAGATGAGGCGTGCCCCAGCAGGCTACGCAGGATCAACCAGGCATGCCGCGGCTCCGAGTGCAGTGTCACCAGATCGAAGAGATGGTACAGGCCACCGGCAATCAACTTGGCGGCTGTAGCAGCGCTCTGCTCTCCACTGGACTCGCTGAGCAGGTGCGCGGAGACGCGTACGACCTCGTTTGTTACATCGGCGAGCACGGTTACCGACGCTTGTGCATCATTGTCGTTGTCGGCGTTGTCGGTGCTCTTGTCAGTGTCCTGGTCCTGGTACGCGGTAGCCACAACGAGGCCAGTGAGACCGGCATGTTTGCCAGCGGATATCCGCACATGATCCCCGATGGCAAAGTACTTTTCCAGGTCTGCCGCCAACACCTGAACTGACGCCGGTGTCGTCGAGGCATCGTGCTCACCTGTCGCTGGGGTCGGTTGTATGAGGACTCGAGCGTCGGGCAGGACGCTATCCACGATGCCGATGAGGTTCCGCAGGTCACCGCGTCGAACGCGTACACGATCCCCTTTGCGAAAACGATGACGATTGGCATCCGCAGCGGTAGCGGTGACCGCTTGTGTTGCAGCCACCAGAGCAGATGAAGCGCGAAACGCTTCCATGTCCGCTGCAGGTGTACTGGTACCGCTTGCTATGGCGTCGATACCACTGGTGAACCGCTGCACCGTCGCCGCTGCGGCAAGCGAGTCGTCAGACGCTTTATCGCTGATACCAGCACCAGCATCATCATTATCATCATCATCACTATCATTATCATTATCATCATCAGCGGCGGCGGCGGCGGCGGCAGCAGCAACTTGCGCCTGACGCTCCGCTTCCTGGAACGGCTCCAGCTCGTCGATGCTGGGCGGCGTCATCGCTGCTCCATGAATGATATTCTTTCGAGAGACGCGTTTGTATAAAAGACCGTAACGAAACTGATCGTTTTCGAACTCGTCAAACCACTCACCGGTGCGCGAATCACGTCTCGCAAACACATTCACGTGAAGGATACGAGCGACCTGGTCTCGATCAAAGAGTTTCCGCGGTGGACGCACGCCGGACGTCCGCGATCCACCGCGGCGTGCTGCGGCAGCTTCTCCGACTTGACGTGAAGGAGCACCTTTTGTAGCGGCATCGTCCACGTTTTCCATATCGTCTCGGTCGACGGCATCGACGGCACCGTAGCGCGGTTTCCGCGCCAACGCCGTCAAGTCCAGACGCGGTACCAAGCGAACGATAACTTGATCTTCTCGAATTTGATAGACTTGTGCCAGATCCCCAGCGTAGAGGCCACGACGTAGACGCACCCATTGGCCTGGAATGAGCTTCTGACGCTCCGTTGTGGGTCGTACAGAGACGACCTCTACCATCTCTTTCAACGGGACCAGCGTAATCTTGGTCTGGTACAGATGATGGAGTCCTTTGATGGCGTCTCGGACATCGTTTTCACGTGGTGCCTCAATGTAGAGGCAACCGCGCAGATGATCCGGTGCCACGATGCCGGTGATCGCCAGAGGTTGACCCTGATTCGCCCGGTCAACGCATTTCTGCAAGAGACAGATGGTCATTTCTTTTTCCTTACCAGTTCGACATTTCACCAGGAACAAGCGCGGGTCATGCACTGTTGGCAGGAGGCTCTGTTGCTCGATGTCGGTCGGGGGCTTGCCGCGAGCCATGGCAGCCGGCACCGGCAACACGTCCAGGTCGGATGCGGCACCGTGCCGACGGCGTGCTGTTGATCCATCAGCAGCACCAGCTGCACCCTCAAGAAACGCCCGGGTGATGAGGTCGGACTCCTCGTCTTCATCGTCGAGGCCACCGTAACGTTCTTGGACGAATTTTTCGAGCTCCTCAGCGGTTTGGGCGCGTTGCAGAAGCGCTGCCTCCGCTCGACGACGTTGTTCGCGGCGAGCGATGGCCTCCCGCTCCTCGGCAGCGAGCTCCTCTTCATCTGCGGATTCTTCGTCTTCATCGGCGACGAGGTCTTGGATATCATCATCTTCCTCTTCTTCCTCGTCGCCTTCATCGACTTCGGCCTCGAGTTCCAAGAACTGAGCCGCTCCACGTCTTCGGCGGCTGCTGTGCTCCTCTTCATCTTCGTCTTCCTCGTCATCTTCGTCTTCGTCTTCGTCTTCATCGGCTTCCTCATCCGCATCGTCATCGTCGTCGTCTGCCCTTTCTTCTTCATCGTCTTCATCATCGATCCCGTCCTTGATTTCCGCGCTTGGGTATTCATCACCGTCGTTTCCTTCCGCTTCTTCCTGCATACGATGTTGAATCGTGCTCTTGACGTTCTGGCGCGGCGCTCTCGCAAGCGCTTCCTCCTGCCGCCGCAGCGGATGTCTTTCGGTGGTATCGCGCGTCGAATACCCCGACTCTGTCGAGTCCTCTGGTCTCAATGTCTCACTGCTCCCTGCCGCCGTAGCCGGTTGCGGTGTCGACAGCGGCGGGGACGCTTGGGATGGTTTGCTTGGTGTAAAAGCAGGCACATCTTCACCGCTGGTACCGCCTGGTAGAACAGGTGGTACGCCCGTCGCAGCCGGCACTGGAGCATTCGGTATCTCCAATCTGGACGATGGCGATGAAGACTCATCTGCCGCTTTTGTAGAGGATTCTTGATCACGATGAATTTCGTATCTTTCGTGAGCATCATGGCGAAGGGTCTTCACCGGAGGTTCCTCTTCAACCGTGCTCTTCGTGTCTGGCTCCGCAGATTCGAGTCCTCTTTTGACTCCGCGAGCACGACCTGCTGACAATGTGGCTGTTGACTGGACTTCAGACGCCTGGGTTCGTTTGCCCGACTCGGGCACTGCTTGTCCTGCGGATAGCACCTGTGATGCCGCCTCTTCGACAGGAACCGGTGAATCTGGTGGTGGCGGGAGCGCACTCGAACCTGCTGCTGAGCCAGAAGTGTTGCATCCTTCCAGCCCGCTCGACATCTGACCAGCGCCAGAAGTTGTTTGTTGTACATGTGCTGGGTTCTTGTCGTCGTTGGATCCTGTGACGTTGGGCATCGAGCTGGCCGAGACTTGCTGCAACGAGTCCGAGGCGTCGCTCGCGGGTTGCACGCTTGCGTTCGCCGAGTCGTTTCCGGTTGAGGACAACGTCGCTTCATCCCGCATCCGACTTGAAACAGAACCGCTCCCTTGGTCCGTAACCTGTGAAGAGCTTACTAGAGGTGTTTCCGTGTCTGCTGTCCCAGCGCTTGGTGTCATGGAGTTCCCAGTCGCTGCCGTTGGCGACTTGTCATCTGCGCTTCTAGTTTCGCTGGATTTTTCCTGCTTTGACATGGGCCACTTACGACCTCAAAACACGCTGAGTACGACAGTGTCCACCACTGGGATGCGTTCTCCGTTAAACGCCTGCTTGACAGGTGACGTTGTTTCGCCTCTTTCTGTGAGCGTTCGCTTCGAACGACGCACAGCGTCTGTCGGTGGCGGAGCGCGCTCGTCTACAGACTTGCCCTTGGTGCTTCGAGGACGTAGGCGCTGCCACTGTTTGATCAGTAGCGAAGCGTGTACGTAAAATTGGTGCTGGCTGCAGCTTTCGAGGCGCCTCGCTTGGTACCTGCCTCTGCGAACCTGGCTAGAGCTTTTCGGTGGTACGCTCTGGAGCTGACCGAGGCGCTCCCCAGAGCACTCGAGTTGTCGGAGTACCAAACACCCAGAGCTCTTCACTTGCACCAGCGAAACGTTCGCGATTCGTTTCCAGAAGGCGTGCTTTCGAGAGACTTTGCAAAACGCTGAAACAAAACGTTGTGGAGCCGCGGCGACCGTCCTGCGAAAGCGTTGTTGTTGTCGTAGACGAGTTGCTCGCCTCTGAGCCGCTTGACGGGCGAGTTGTCGAACGTTTTAGACAAGGTATACAATGAAACGGTTCTCTGGTGGAACTTTTTTGGAACCAGGTTGATAGCTTTCAGATGCTCTTGTTTGAGGAGAGTTTTTTGTTTCCATCGCTGGAGGAACGACAGTGCTGAGCGATGGAAGACAACTGTATACTCGCGACTGGCGTCCGCAAGAGTCATCGCCGAGTTCGTGCGTTCCGCTAGCGCAAGCACGAGACCTGCACGCTCTTTGCTCAACGTATGGAGTCGTGATACGAAGCTGTCACAACGTCGCAAACGGAGTCTGTGAAACAAGGTTAGCGACGACGCTGGAGCAGTTGCGCTACGTTCTTGCTGACTCAAGTTCTGATGCGATTCATCGGCTCCCGCGACTCTTGACCTGGTTGGAACTGAGCACCTTCACGACGAGCTCTTCTGGATCTTATGTTCTGTTTCGATATTCATTGGCCCGAATAGCCCAGAAAGTGCGTACAGTGCGGTTCCGCCCAAAGCACCAAGTCACAGAAGCGGGTATGCGCTGCTCTCTCAAGTGCCATGATTCCAGTAGCAATAGTTGATGCCTACTGGCCTTGTTTACGTTTCCGTGTCAGCATCTTCGCGGTCTACGGATGCACCTTTTTCAACCGGGGGCGTACACAACGCTTGCCAATGCGCATCAGCGACGCGACCAAGGCTGGAAACTGCCGATCATTGACCATCATGAATCGGCTGGTTGTGCTGCGACTCTTGCTGCATCCGAAACCGTACGGATCCAATTCCAACCTGGCAAAGCGTAGAGATTCATGTACGTTTCTCTAAATGAGACCGCCTGTCCTGATCTACGCTCCCTGCCGAACACGACACCAGGAGCATCCTGCCAAAACGCCGAAGCTGGTGAATGCGAGATCATTGCGAGGCGTGCTCGCTGCGATCGAGTCGGCTCTTTATGGGGAATATATGTGGTGGTTCGAAATTCGCAGATGTATAGACGCTAACGAATCGTCTTGACTGGGAACGTGGCGCATATGCGCGGGTCACAATGCCTGCACTTGCATGCTCACGAACGCATGACCATGTTCCGGTGGTGTAGCGGTTCGTGTATCGAGAATAGGACTCGGCATGGTGTCCGTCGATGGGTGTCGTCCATAGAAATCCCGTAACCAAGTGCGACGATGCCTGGAGTGGCAACTGTGGCTGAGAAGTCGGTGCGAACGCCAAGTCAGGGAATCGACAAAAATCGATTCCAATGTGCGGCGGGATATTCTTGTTCACCATGGAAATGCGTTTTTATGATAGGGGGCAACTGAACAATAGCCAAATCTGAGGCTTTTCGAACGCAAAGCCTGCAGCTTCCTTGCCCAAGGGACGCAGCACGAGTTCTTCACATGCGATGTGCAAGGCTTCGTGAGCGTGCGTCCATGATCACGAGTGACTCTTGGCGGCAGAGTCGATAAATGCCTCATTAGAAAAGGCAATGCTCATTTTTTATCGTCTATGATTGCGGAGCTGTCGCTACCACACCTGGATTTGTGCGGCTATTTTGCGGTACGAACTTAGATACACGAAGACGTTTACCTCGGTAGAACTGCTTGATTCCTCAAAGACAACGGTGAAGCATTTGAACGCTAGTTGCATACGCAGCCGACACCCGTGGGGATCCTGCGAAGCGCCTCATGGAGACGGCGTATGAGGCATCTTGTCTGATCGCGTAGCCGTCAGCGTACTCGCTTGACAGCGCTTTCTCCAGGAATAGCGAGGCAGGTGGAGCCGCGCTCCTGTGGGCATGCATGCGCTGAGACCGCTTGGAACCCCTTAACTAGTCTCACGTTCAACAAAGCGACTAGACATATGTCAGCATAACACGGAATAGGTCCTCGAATACGGGCATAAACGATGGAGTTTGGGTCTCTTCCAATTGTAATTCGCACCAGCCTTTGCGGACATCTCTCCCGTGACTGCTTTCGGTTTCACTCGGTTCGCTCGGGCTTCGAATACGCCAGTCTGAGCCTTTACATGAGCTCCGTGATCTGCATTCGAAGGATGATGATGATCATGATGACAGCGGTCAATTCATGATCACGCTGCTTACGTCCGTTGACGACGCATTGCTTGCACAGACGAAAGTTCCGACACACGGCTTGCGTGCCATTCTCGTACTCTTTGTGGACAGCTTTGGAGCGCCCTCCTCAGCGGTGACACGTGGATGCAGTCAGGTGGTCCGGTACGCCGACCATACAACTTGCTACGAGTACCAGCCCGTGGCGCGCTCAGACTGGTTTCATCGCACCGTTTACGCTTTTGCGAGGTCCCTGTAGATGCCTTCGGTTCCCTTACCCAATGGTTTACCCTGAAACGACCTGCTTCTTCTGAGCGATTGCCTCGGCGAGTACGTTATCGGGCATTCGCGCACTACCGCATTCAATAAGGGATTTGTAAAAGTCAATGTCAATCCTGATGAGACAAAATCCAGAAGCGAACTCCAGACCGGAGATCGCATCAATAACCTTCGATCCGTCGATGCTGCTAACGTGCAGAGCAGTGACGCATGCTCCATGGGAAGCGATTGCTGCAATGTGGGAAATCCGAGTGTGAGATCCTTTTCCATGGAAACAGAAGAGACGGAAACGCCCGGTTGCATATCCCCGGAGCAATACGATGGGGATGTCGCATGCGGTTTCGTCGACGGCAACGAAATGATGCGGATTTATGAATCGTGTGGTGCCCGTAACTTGATGCGGCACGAGCTTTTGAACACGTCGAACGACGCTGCCGACTTTTTCGTGCCCTCAGACAGGATGTCGACATGCTGCGCAGCGTTACCCTGAGGCATGAATATCGAAAAACTGCAGCATGCATCATCTGAACACGCTGCACACAAAAAATGGAGCAGCTCAGCGCCTTGTGCGCACCCACTGGATATTCAAGTGGGATAACGAACGTACGCCTCGTCCGAAGGCGTCGTGAATGAACTCCATTCCAGTGCCAGAACGACGACACACAACTTCCAAAAGAAAAAACGTTGCTGCCGGCAGTGTACAGTGGTGGCGAGAAACTCGCCCAGGACAAGAAGTCTCCAACGGATGTGCAGATGCCTCCCAGCCTTGCTCGGCGGGCCAGCGACTACTGCCTCCAACTTTCTCTCATATAGTTCGACTTTGAGTGATTGTCCAGTAAAGTTCTCTCGTTTCAGCTCTGGAGGTCTCCTTTCCATCGCTGCGCATATCGTTACATTGATCGCGGCGTTAAAGTCCCGGCTCACAAACTCCATACGTTTCTTGCCATTGATGGTGCTTCCTAATGCAAGCAGTCCACGAACTTTCGCCATCCTTTCCATTTGCTCTTCCGTCAGCGGTCCATACTTTGCGATATCCTCAGGGGTCCGCTGGCACCTTTCCATCTCGACCCTCTGAAGTGTACACCCCAGTTCGTGATGTGTATAGGACGTTCGGAACTCATCTACAGGTATCGTAACAAAACGCCTTGCGCACTCTTTGTACGTTCTTATCGTTGGGGCTGGCGTGGTCCCCTTTTGGGTCTTCCAGCGCCCTGCTTCGTACGCTACTACGAGCCTCTGACTTTCATTCCTCTTCAGAGCGCTCAACTGATTGAAAAAGTTGGCAAACGCCCGCTGCTTCCCACAGTGCAGATTCATACGCAAACGAGCCCACCGGGGCTTGGTACACTCCTCCCACAAGGCATCCCAATGAGCAACGCGTATTTCCATGAATTTCCGAAAAGCTTCAAAGTCCGCTCCTCGACTCGTCACCTCGCCCAAAACTTCGAGGTGATCCTTCATTCCTGCATTCCACGTATCAATTTTCTTCCTTGCATTCATTATACCGGATTCTCGATAGTATCTCGCTCTCGAGAACCTCAAAAGACGTATGTGTTTCTGACGTAAGTTGCCGTCAGTACCATCTTCCGCACGTTTGGGTACAGCGATGGTTATGATATTCGTATTCCCAGGGTCTGCGCCAACGACAAAAAAGTTATCCTGAACTTTCTGTGTCGCAGGATCCGCCTTCCTCTTATCTTCATCTTTCGTCACAGACGGAACTGGACGATCTTTCTTCAAGCGCCGCTAGTGTACACACATGGCCACTACATCGGTTTCGATCATCCCAGTAATACCCCTTGTTTGCTCACATTGAGACGTTTGAAATCGAAGATTCTCTTGCAGAACGTCACCCGGTTTTCGCCGGAGAACCCCTCCCTGCTAACATTGAGCTCGGGACTGATCTCTTTCATGAAGTCATGAAGGATTCTGGAGTCGACAGTCACAAAATGTGACTTGATGTTGCACATTGGAACGACGTTGAAGCGCTTCCCCATTCGGACAGCCTTCCGTCTCTCCCACTCTTCATTTTTTCCTCACTCAGCTTCATCTCCGCCTTGCGTTCGGATTCTCGGTCCAAAAATACGAAATCGAGCAGAATTAAAGGATAACATCTTTTTCCATGTTTATTTCATATCTGATACCTTTTCTGCTGGATTCGCCGGCCCCAAGACCGCACGGTTCTCTTCAATAGTGGCGCGGATTACAGAAACCTCATTCCTTCTCCTATATGACGCCTTCTTGTCGACGAATTCGATCTCCTGTTCATGCTGACAATCGTTCGTGATGCTGTCGATGATCGCGCATATTCCTTTGCGAGAGAGGCCCGGATACTACGCAAAGATGGAGCGTATCATGAAACGTTCGAGTTTCACGACCACGTGATTCTTCAGGTTCGTGCGGTACTCCATCGCCGCGTATTCGTAAATTCGCGAGTCACCCCTGTATGGAGCACCGCTGAAGCGGTATTCGGCGTGGTGTTCGTGGAGGGCGTGCACTCACTTATTTTTTGCTCCGCGCTTCCCCTGTGCCAAGCATCAGGTGACGATGAAAGCTCTTGTCGAAAAATTCCTCCTCCGAAACCTCGACTGTTTCGATCTGCGTCAAGTCGCGATACATCGCCTTCACCAAAAGCATTATTCCTGAGGAAGCCTTTATGATACTCACGGAGTACGACTCGACGCACGGTTTCTCATGCCCACCCGCAACTTTCGCTCTGATAGATACTTGATATATCAATTAAGACAGGATCCCAGGCTCGTGCTTCATGCTTCTCCCAGTGGCAGGTACTTTAGTCAGATCTGAGCAACTCGTTCACAATTTCGTTCAGCTCGGGAGTAGGAGCAGGATGCTGCATCTGGGCGTCGCCCAGGTCCCAGTGGACTCTTCGTCTATCGCCTCGCGCTATCGCAGGCAGCGCTTCTGACTGCGCATCTTGCAGGCTCCCGGAATGAGAATTCGCCGTGATTGCGTGTCACATGTAGGATTCCGCGAGCCGACGCCCTCTGCGGTATGGCAACGCCGTTCTGTCTCCGTGCAGCACCTGCTTCAGCGGTATAAGCGCTACGGCGAGTGCTCGAGGCAGGCACTCGGCACACGACAGAGCATACGAAACGACCAGTGCATACGAGACGAAGTACGGGGAATGGAACTTGAAGGTAGGTGCTTCCTAGTAGACGCTTTCCCGAAAGCGAATATCCATCCCGAATGCCGGCATCCGTGGTCAACGGAAACGTGCTGTCATCGGGCAGGGAATCCACACAGCGCCGGAAGGAACGGTCGCCTCGCGCGCAGCGTCGAAATTTTGAGCCGCGGGGGGCGCTGTCTGATCACCAGCACCGCCGCCGCTGCCGCTGCCACCACCACCACCACCACCGCGGATGCTCGCGTCGAACACACGCGGGTCAACCGACGGTGTCCACAGAAACGCCTCTCTGTGGCGATGCGGAATCTGCCGCAGATTTGATGCTGGGTACAGAGCACAGTACCGAGCGTCGCATCGTTCGCGTTACCTTCGGGTTGCCAAAGCGTTACGTCTGGTGTGAACAGTCGTTTGTGTTCTAGTGACGACGACGTTTCTTATTTTGCGTGTCGTAACGGAAGAAGATACGTTTTTCCGTCATATGTACTATGAACGCTCACGCAGCGCAAAGCTTTGAAACAGCGAACTACAGCAGCGTTGGTGAAAACCACCGCGAGCGAACCCTCAGCAGCTCAATTTACGAGACGGACCCGGTGTCGCCGGACACTGCGGTCAGTTCGGAGGCGACCGCGTTTCAAGAATCTTTTCCAAGTTTGAAATTGAAGGAGAAGGACACACCTAACCGACGTTGGTGGCGGTTTTGGGCACGCCCGTCGGCTGCTGGTGAAGATCCCGAGGCAGGCGACCCTAAAAAGGCGGCAAAGGCCTCTGGTCCGGAGAGCGCTTACACCACGGGCGTGACTGCACGGCGAATCTTCGCGCTTGCCTGGAGCTCGTCTGCAACTATGATTGTTATCGGATTCATTGCTTCTATTTTGGAAGGAGCAACGCTACCAGCGTTCGCGATTGTATTCGGTCGAATGTTTCAAGTTTTCACGAAGAGCAAAAGCCAGATCGAAGGCGAAACATGGAAGTATTCCGTTGGATTCGTCGGTATCGGTGTCTTCGAGTTCATCGTAGCCGGGTCAAGAACGGCTTTGTTTGGGATCGCAAGCGAACGTCTAGCTCGGGACCTGCGAGTCGCGGCTTTCAGCAACCTGGTCGAGCAAGACGTGACTTATTTCGACCGCCGCAAAGCTGGTGAGCTCGGTGGAAAGCTGAATAACGACGTTCAGGTCATCCAGTACTCGTTCTCGAAACTCGGTGCGGTTTTATTCAATCTCGCCCAATGCGTTGTCGGTATAATCGTGGCGTTTATATTCGCGCCTGCCCTCACTGGCGTCTTGATCGCGCTCTCACCGTTGGTTGTGCTCGCTGGTGCCGCCCAGATGATCGAGATGAGTGGCAATACGAAAAGAAGCTCTGAAGCGTATGCGAGTGCTGGATCGGTTGCAGCGGAGGTGTTCTCGAATATTCGCACGACCAAAGCCTTCGAGGCAGAGCGCTACGAAACGCAACGATACGGCAGCAAGCTTGATCCCTTGTACCGTCTGGGGAGGCGACGCTACATCTCAGACGGTCTCTTCTTTGGACTGTCTATGTTGGTGATTTTCTGTGTCTATGCGCTTGCCCTGTGGTGGGGCGGGCAACTGATCGCTCGCGGCTCTCTGAATCTGGGTAATTTGCTAACTGCATTCTTCAGCGCCATACTCGGCTTCATGGGAGTCGGTCAGGCGGCTCAGGTCTGGCCTGACGTCACCCGCGGACTCGGTGCTGGTGGCGAGCTCTTTGCAATGATCGACCGTGTACCACAGTACCGACGTCCTGACCCCGGCGCTGAAGTCGTCACGCAGCCTCTGGTACTGAAGCAAGGCATTGTCTTCGAGAACGTCCACTTCCGGTACCCGACACGAATGAACGTGGAAGTGTTACGAGGGATTTCCCTGACAATCCCTAATGGAAAGACGGTCGCTATTGTCGGCGGAAGCGGTGCCGGCAAGTCGACCATTATTCAGCTCCTGATGCGCTTCTACGATATCGAACCGCAAGGCGGCGGTCTCTTGCTCTTCGACGGTACGCCCGCCTGGAACTACGACTTTCACGCCTTGCGTAGTCAGATTGGGCTTGTTTCGCAGGAGCCGGTTCTATTTTCTGGAACCATCCGCGATAATATTCTCTATGGCAAACGAGATGCTACAGATGAGGAGGTCATTCAGGCCTTGCGCGAAGCCAATGCGTACTCTTTTGTTATGGCATTACCCGATGGACTGGATACCGAGGTCGGAGAGCGAGGTCTGGCGTTAAGCGGCGGCCAGAAACAACGCATCGCTATCGCTCGAGCGATTCTGAAGCATCCAACGCTACTCTGCTTGGATGAAAGCACCAGCGCTCTGGATGCAGAGAGCGAGGCTCTCGTTCAGGAGGCGCTGGATCGGATGATGGCCTCTGACGGCGTTACCAGCGTTGTGATTGCCCACCGCTTGTCCACAGTGGCGCGTGCAGACCTCATTCTCGTAATGCAGGATGGTGTCGTGGTTGAACAAGGCAACCACTCGGAGCTCATGGCTCTGGGCCCATCAGGATTCTACTACCAACTCGTTGAGAAGCAGTTGGCCAGCGGTGACATGAGCGCTGCCTAATACATCATGAAACGCGTGAGACAAAGCACTGCATCGTGCGGATGCCATGGAAGCGGAAGATAGACGGAATGACGGGATCGCTTGTGTGCCAACGTATCAACGGAAACGGTGTTACTGAGGCGCTAGTCGCCGATGTTGGTCAGGAGCGTCGTCTTCGTGGACGTGTGTCCGTTCCAGCAGCGTCGTGTGACCATAGCGGATGCCTGATGCGCGCCACAGTGACGTCAGCACCGATTCTTTTTAGCAGTGTACTGGTGCGCACTGGTACGTCCTCTCCAGACAGAACGCATCACGAGCAGATTCTGCACTGCGGGTGCGCTACGCATCAAGGATATCCTTGGTGCAGGATATCGTGCAGGTGCTGTGTACACTGCACCTACGACAAATTTGATGTACATCCTGCATCATGCATCGTGGACGCGATACGCATCACCGATGGGATACACTGCACACATCATACATCCCCTCCATTCATCGCATCGTATACATACATTCCGATCGTTGCTATACGGTGCTTGGTGTGTGTGTGTGTGTGTCTGTCTGTGCGGATGCAGAACACCAGCATGGCGCAGTGTGCTGCGCTTCGAAACAGGCCGCATGAACCAGCGACCGCATATGCGATTATCGGATGAACGGTTGACAGAGATGGAGATTGCCGGTGCTCGGACAAGTCTGGCTGGCTTGAGGTGTCGTTGCTGGCCCGCAAAGCGACCTGCAAATTGTATATGATAGATGATAGAGCACTTTACCTGAAGCGTTAAAGTTTTTCATGTGATCTGCCGAGTAAACACACCATGCGCTAGACAGGTTATCATCTACAACTCCAGTTTGGCGAGCGCGATGACCTGCAACGAATGATCAAGCGACGCATCGACAGCTCATGCGCATTGTCGTGGAATGGAATCCGGCTGAAATGTGTGCGAGAAGGTCGTCACCTCCTGATGGAACGCGATGAATTGCACGAGGCGGACGCATTCAACGATGGAAGGCATCCTCGGTAATGGTGAATCGTGGAGCGCCATGAAAGTGCACCCATTGGCATGCGGGGCCTTTTCCAGTGTCCTGAGACGGAGATCCGGGTGTGCTGGGTGTCCAGCGTTCGCCGTGCCGTTCCATCATGTACGCGTACCTCGTTCCAGGCCGGGATGGAAGTCTGTCGCTCGTGGCGACCGATGAGTTCATCGAAGGGGTTCGGCGTTTCATCCAAGTACCACCCTGGTGAATGACATGATGACCGCCAAAAATGCAAACTCGATGATCAATCCGGAAGCACAAAATAGTTTCTGGCGTTCACTGAGGCGTTCAAGTCTCTGCGAAGAAAAACGGACTTGTGCACATGGTTTCTGGTAGAGTCCCAGCTCGGCAAGTTACTCGCTTTCGATTTCGTGGCAGGCTGACGCTCGGTCATGCTTCCGGACACCACATCGTGGATGTGTCGCTGCTTTACGCTCTCCCTGGATGCCCGCTTCAGCGCCAGTTTGCGCTCGAGATGTGTGAATCTCGCTCCGAAGGCATCAATGGGCATCGTGCAGCACCGATCCCTGCACGCGTTGTACCCGTCCATCAAAGGGACAAACGTGAAGCTGTTGCGCTCTCCAAAACGTGCCGCGTCAGAGGTCTCGAGCATACGACGCGACGCATCGGTGCTGTTGTTCTTCATCTCAATGAAGAGGTTGGCGAGTGACCGCCTCGTGACATGGAGCAACGGAATCGGTTGTTGAGGACGCCAGCATGCTCTCCGGTCCTTGTAGCAAAGATCGTCTGGTCGAAAAATCTGGACCCGCATGTACTCTCTGAATGAAGCGTATGCAGCATCGCCTCTGTCCAGGACAGGGTTCGGGGCATTGGCACGGGTCCTGGTGCCGACCTACTATTCGCTGGTTTCTCACCGATCGTCCGTCATGCCCGGCGCTCGATTATACCGGGTCCATGAACCATTGAGGAACTTCATCTGGTTCCCGTTCGGGATATTGGATCCGTCCTCTTGACTTTGAGGCTTGGCGATCGCCTTGTTGCCCTTCACCCAGGCATTCGCGCTCGCCACGAAATCTCTCCTTCATCCAACTTGAACGGTTAAAAATGCGATCCGTTGCTCGAATGAAGCATAGGCGTGGAAGCGTGCATGCAGGCTGATGTTCCGTCGGTCTCTGCAAACCCGGTAAATGCTTTCGAATTACTCCCTAGTCATGGGCAATTTTGAATTCGCCCAGTGAATGCCCTTGGCAAAGCTGTCGAATGATTCATACTTGAGGGTAGGGACCAGTCGCAGCTGACCGCGCAGACCTTCATACACTGCGGTACAATTCACAAGTCTCTACGGCGTTGGAATGCCCCCTGGTCCGACATGTGTGAGCACCGCATCCAATGGACGCTCGACGAGGCTACGTTACTCGGATATGGCGGGGGCGTCCGCTTCACTCTGTGACGCATTTTGCAGGAACATGTAGTAGCGCAAGACGCGAGAGAGCCAGACGTCAGATATACGAACTATCCTTCCGATGCAACGTTTGTCGGTCGAGGCACGAAGCAACATGATGAGACTGGGCGAGTGCTGGCGATGTTCGCGCCCCCTGCGACATATCTCCTAAACGCATTACCTCTCTGAACTCTTCAGCAAGAATCAGTTTTTGTTGCCTCCACGTACATCCCGAGAATCCCTTTCATGCGACCCCGCTTTTCTCGGTCAGTAGAGAGAAGCGACAACGCGCTCAAGGCGCGCTTCATGAAGCTCCGGTGAATGACCCGCGTATGCTTTTGGTATAGGCGGATGATTTGGTGCTTCTCGGCACCTGCGCGGTAAATGCTCCGACCGCCTAGGTGGTGCGGCAACTAGTCCAGGTATTCTGAAAAGCAAGCGCGCAAATCTCTGATCACGCGATCATCCTGTACTGCATCTTCTCTCCTGAGCATCAGTTGTGCTGTCGCACGAAAGCTAGATCGAAAGATTCCTGAGGAATACGGGCGGTAGATAGCCCTGTATGCGGAACTACGAGAAATATTTGCCTGACGAGGTGCGTTGAAAAGATGAAAGCAAGGCGAGCCTTCTTCGAATCATAGGCTTTGCTATGCGTAATGGCGTCCTACATCCCTCAGTGTTTCTGGTGCGAACGACTCGTTCATTGATCCTTGAGCGTAAAAATGGCGTTGAACGACAGAAATAACACCTCCGACTGAATGGAACAGGATAAATACAATGGCATGAAGAGGTGATCCTCGTAAATACCGGATGCATAATCCGTGACCACTTTTGAATGATGTAAAGTGACATTGTCTGCGAGCAGGGGAGAGAATTCAGGGAGGCGAGCTCACGAAGCCTCCATCGATGAAGGATCAAGTGTGAACCTATCGTGTCTGCTTGTCAGTTTGTACACGACCACGACATTCGATTGCCACTCGGTCTGATGGAATCGTCGAATCCGCTCGTGTTCTGTTTACGTACAGCGCTGTACCTCATTTTAATGACCCATGTGCACGTCCGCAATTTCTCCCCGGATCAAGCATGATCGATTGAGAAGCGCGCCCCTGGTACCTGAAAGCAGAAGCGTTCGTGTCCTCGTACGAAATCAACGGCATGTTGGTCAGCACGCGATGACCTCCCAGTGAAGCATGCTTTCACTTCCTTTGCCCATCGGTGCTCTTTTATTAACATTTGCTTCAGCGGTGCGAACACGGCCTATTCTGTTGATTCTCCAGTAGTAGTAATCCTCAAGGAACGGACAGATTGTAATGGATTGTCGACCAAACAGCGAAGCAAATGGGGTTGAATAACTTCTGTTTTGAGTACGCGGCGCTTAGAACCAGGACAACGAGGCCGGGCAGCGCATCTGCCGGCTGACCGTGGACCGACTGACTCGTATGAGAAAAACTGTTTCTTTTCACAAGCTCGCAATGACTTCATACAATCTCTTTGCGCGACCTTTCTCCAATCTACAGGATACAACCCATTTCTTGAATACCTGTGTGAAACAAAACACAAACCGAAAGTCCGTTCTGGCAAAGGTGTTCCAACACGCTCTGCTTTACGTCAAAGGAGCATAGAATCGCCGGTTCAGTCGCAACTTGCATCCGGCTCCATTCCATACCACAGCATCTGCCATGAATCAGGGACGTTTGTCGCTTTCGCTTCTTCTTTCGAGGATGCACGACACTGCCAAAACGCAGCACTGCCGTCAACTACCAGGCATCTTTGGTGAGCGACACGCTGGCACACACTGCGCTGTTGCAGCGTTGTGCGCATAGCGAGGTGCCGTCCACCAGACGTGACGCAAAGTGTTCCGACCAACCGTCGATGCACTTGTTCAAAGCGTTCAGCGTGTAGAAACGTTCACGATGACCATGAGGAAGCGTCCGCAGCCTGCTGCAGGGTCCCGGGTTCCCACTGGAGCGCGGGCCAACGTACCGCTAGGTTGCTGCTTCATTCAGACACCTCTGCTGCCGGCAACTCGTGAGATCAACTCAACGCGTAAATCTGGTACGCTGTCTTAGCCTTGATCTCGCGAAACCTGAACATTTCCTAATAATAAAGATAATTCTTCGATATTCGGTTCCCAGTTCGCATCTTCAGCAGAATCGTCCGCGGGTTGTACACGTTCGAGCGTGCAACCCAACGTCAACTGCTTTTCCTGGTCGTGCTGTTTTTGTCGCAATTCAAAAGCTCCGCAGTTAATTTCTAATCCTAAAAAGCACTCGTTTCCTTCCTGGAGTCCGTACAGGTTTCAGGCACATCGTGACGTATTCGGCTGTGGCAGCAGAAACCTGCCGGTATCCAACTGACCCTTTTATGAAACGAGCAGCGCAGACGCGGCGCTTGAAGCGTACCCCATCCCCGCTCGAGCGCTTGACCTTGGCGTTCGGACGCTCAGCGAGGCCTCTGCAAAGGGAACGAGCGCTTTTAGCCTGCGCTATCACCGTTGAAGTTTTGACTGGAAATGAGCCTGTCGATTCAATCGAGATCCGGCAGGGAGCTCTTGCGTTTGTCGCTAAGAGAGCCAGGCGCTCCACAGACTGTGGACGACCTCCAGCAACTGCTGTGGCTCCAGGGACCTCGGGTGAAGCCGTTGCGTCAGCGCTTGACGCTGCCCACGGGGGTTGCCTCAGCACCCAAAGCTCGTAGCCTGCTCGAAGCAGGTCACAAACTGGAGGAGTATGGAATTCGAGTTGATGCTGGGGCGCAGGACTTTGTGGTGCACTTCAAAGATCTGGGGCCGCAGGTCTCTTGGCGGGGTGTCTTCCTCGCTGAATACTTAGGACCCCTGGTCCTGTTTCCGATTGTCTTCACTCTGCAACTAGGGGGTCTGGACTTTAGCTACGCGTGGCATCGGGCGCTTCCCCAACAGAGGGCGGCTCTAGTGGCGTGGACGCTGCACTTTGCGAAAAGGGAACTAGAGACGCTTTTCGTTCATCGCTTTTCAAACGCGACAATGCCATGGCGCAATCTCGTCAAGAACTGCGCGTATTACTGGGGCTTTGCGACCTATGTTGCGTACTTCGTTTGTCATCCGCGCTATACGCCGGTCGCGTCTCATATCCAGTTTTGGATAGGCGTGTTGTGCTTTGGCATCGGTGAGCTGGGCAACCTGGTGTGCCACTGGCGCCTGCGGCAGTTGAGACCCGCGGGAACGCGCCTGCGGCAGATCCCGTACGGCTTCCTTTTCGAGCTTGTGTCGTGTCCGAACTACACATTTGAGGTACTGGCGTGGGTGGGATTTAACTTGATGACGCAAACAATCGCAGGCATCCTGTTTATGCTCGTGGGTACACTGCAGATGATGATCTGGGCCCAGGCGAAGCATCGCCAGTATCTGAAGGAATTCGGAACCCTCTATCCCCGGTCGAGGAAACGCATGTTTCCTTTCATTTGGTGAAAGCACAGCAGGTCGCAGAACCTGTTTGCGTGCTGATGGGCACGTCCTGACTTGGAGGTGCGAGGCCGGTGCGTATGTGACGTTTCGTCACTCTTGGATGATGGCGGATTCTATGATCGTTGCAACTCGTGCAGTGAAACGCACCCAGACTCGTGATGATGCTCAGTATTCGAGCAGCGAAAGCGCACTCGGATGATTTTCCCGGCATACCGTGGCGGCGACTCGTCATCACCCTGAATACGAACGTGTAGGGTACGCGCTTGTTTTACATACGTACTGGGAAACCGTGGTGCGCCATACGGCTTGGTGACGCACTGTTCACGACCAGCATGCCGTCACCAGAGCACCTGGTGCCAGCCGAAGCCTTCAGCTTCCGTTACCGATCGTTTGATAGCGCCAGTCAAGATGGATCGGTTCTTGACCTCAGCTCTACCACGAGCGTATTAGCCAACACGCGCAGCTGCTGCACACCAGCCGGAACGAATCGCACTCGACTAGCAGTGAGCTTCATTAATGTTGCGAGATCAGTTGTATCCCAGTGCTCATCCAGAGGCGAGCTCCACTCGATCACAACACAGTGAAAAGGCAATCGAATCGCTTCAAGGTTTTCGCGAAGACGCCAGAGACGCATACGTGGACTACTCGGCTCCTGCAGGTACTCCGCGACGCTCTCGATGCGGACAGCGTCTGCGACGATAAGTGCTGGACTCACTTCAGGATACGCCAGAAACTCGATTCCAATAAAGAGTGTTGTAGGAGAAGCGCTGCGGTCGGCAAGCGATTTCGCCCAGTCCGACGGATAACACACCCGGTGGACAAGTGGGTTCTGGTCGGTAGCGTGCCACCGCCCAAAGACCTCGAAACGCCTCGCATCGTGTCGGTAGGTCTTTGTGTGCGCATCTCGAAGCGACGGGTCCACAAAGTATTCATTCAGTAGGCTTGCGTCTCGAAGCGTCACGTATAGGGTATCTCTCGTGTGCCTATGGAACAAGGTACAGTTCCCTATTGCGAGGATGCCTGCGTAGACTCGCACCCACTCGTTCCGGAATAGCTCGGGGTGCGTTGGCTCGTTCTCGACCTCAACGCAGTGAACTTGGTGAGCTCGGAAAACGGCTTCGCGCTTACAGAGGCAGTGCTCAACGCAACACGCTGCACATTTTCCAGAGTCCGCGCTCATTCCCGAGCGTCGTCGTTCCACCGGCGCCGGAGGTTCCCTATCGCGCAGTCGTATCTCGCACCACAGCGTCTATCGGGTAGAGCCGAAGCTCCTCACACTCGGAGCTGTTTTATTCGCGTTCTTGCTCTAGGGAGCGGTACGCGCGAACGCCCACCCCAAAGCGTCATCCGTTGCGACCTGTGACGCGACGTACAGGCGCGTCGGTGCAAACCAGTAGTCGTATCGAACTGGAGGTGGTCTGTTGAAGTGTTCGTTCTGCGCCTACCTTTCTATTTCTTTTCACTTTTATTTTTTGGTGTACAGCATCTGGATTCGAAGTGCAGCGACCGGGGCATACGAGTTCATGTGTAGTGTCAGGGTTTTCGGTCGGATTCCCAGAGCGATTCTATCGAATATTTTGCGCTGGAACTCGGTACATCATCGAAATCATGGTGATTCACAACGCATCCGAATAAGCGTTCGACATAGAACCCATATCATGAGGTAGTGCATACGTGCAAGCACACATTCTTCTCCATTGCCTCTATGGTGCATGCTCAAAAGAGACACTCTTCAAGTTTTCGATCTCTGGACGTTAAACGCAACTCGTGGACGGTGCGATTCGCACCGCTGGATGGATCGCCATTCTACTACATGCTGTTTCGTCCCCGCGGAGAGAGTATTCGAATGCTTTGTCGCAGTGTATAGTAAGGGATCGAAATATCGATGAAACGTGCCGCATATATCGTAGACGAATGGCCTACAAGATATATTCTTTGCTGAAAAGTGCAACGAGGTCTGCATCCATCCTTCACGTCAGTTATATCACAGTACTCTGATGGTCGAGGAGCACGGGAAGGAAGCAGGATTTGAGTTACGTACCGAAAATCGATCTTCTTAGAGACTGGTTGCGGTCCATGGTTTAAAACTACTCGTCGATCACCTTACGGGAAGCAAAGAAAAGCGATGATCGTAGCCGCAAACGGCGTCTCTGTTTCGCAGAAGTCTGTTCGTGCGGTCCCAAAAACACTGAGACATATCGTCGCAAAAAAGTCCTAGTCCAAACACGGCCATCTTCGACAGAAACAGCAACTACAACAAAGCTCCTGGAAAGTCACTATGGATATGAAGCACAAGGACGTCGGTTTGTTTTTTTAGTCGATGCGACTTGCCTCGTACGAAACGCTCTGAGCGTACACGAGCAATCAGAGTCCGTTGTGTATAAGATCGAACTTGAAGAGCAGCCTCGTACAACAGGTTCAACCACGTTGTCGAATTAAGGGTCCCTTTTCCCTGACGTCTAACGACGTCCTTCTACGGGACAAACTGGCATTTCATCATTCCTGTTGCGTTCGAGATCTTGCCGATTCTGTCTGGATAGAGCTGGTTTTCATTCTTTAGTGGTTTCCGTTGGTCTACCCCATTGAGGGAGTGTTTTGTATCGTGAAACGTATCGATCGATGCATGGAGCGAATCGCTGAAGCGCTCAGCATACAACACTACCGGGGCACCTGTCGTCCTTTCTGCGCAAGTGCTATCTCCTCCGGGAATGTCCTCAGCTAAATGCATAAAGCAGTGCCTTGATTTTAAAATATTATGGGATGAACTGGGGCGTACAATTCAGACGGCCGAGACGGGGAAGAGCCAGCAAATCCTAGAAGATATAGAAAAGTACGGTGAGGTGACAGCAAATGAAATGGAACGGAAGGCACGACTTCAAGGACTCCTTAAAATGGTGACTTCCACCAGCGGCAATAAACGAATGGAGTTTATGAACCGAGGCTGTAACGCAGCAATCCATATAAGGAAAAGTGCGATGCTGGAGACGAGACCTCCAGCGTCGACACGAGCGAACTTTGTGGGACAACTTCTAAAAGTTGAATTATATGAGAAAAAGATGGAATCAGTTGTAGGTGGCCGGTCCGAAAAGACCAGGAGGCGTCTGCAAGTCAGTTGGCGACGAGTTGTCTAGGGCGGGTTTCTCCGCACTACTGTACACTGCCTGCAGCAACTTTTGTCTTTTGAGGCGTTCGTTGTTGGTGTGCGGTGCAGGGGAGAGCGTGGCTCACTGGGATGCGCGCAGCGAGCACTTCGAAACCTGTGGGAGCGCACGAAGAAACAGGCCACCTGGGCGGTGCTCATTCAACGTATGTTTCGTCAGCTCAAGTGACGAACGCTGAGCATGAAAACGAACTGCAGGTGGTTGACCTGCCAAGAGCGCCTCCATCGCTATCGAAAGCAGTCACATACTTTTACATCACTGGATTTGGCCGGTTTGCGCTTATGGAAGACAACCCGACGGAGCGTGTCGTGCTGCGACTACGAGAAATCCTGCAGGATCCAGGTCGCGTTCAGATGTTGCACGAGCGGCTTGTGCGAATCGTCGATCTGCGGATCCTCGAGGTGTCGGCAGCAGCGGCTCACGAGACGCTTGCGGAAATGAAAACCCAGTGCCTCCAAATGCGACAAAAACCAAATATCTCGTCAGATGGCAGAAACAGGACGGTCTGTTTCTTGCATCTCGGAGTTGACGCATCCGCGGATGGTTTCCTCGTCGAGCGCAGTGCTGTGAATGAGGCGCTTTTTCGATTCCCCGATGAAAGAGGCTGGCAACCGACAACGCCGATTCCAATCGTCCGTGGTGCTCAGCTCGGTGCACGCTACGAACTTGACGGGGAAGCGTTGGCCTCTCTCTGTGAACGCACCGAGTCCCTGCTGAACGAGTGGGGTCGAACGAACTGGACAGTGCGTGTCAATGACGACGCGGGTCGTTTCTTATGTAATTACTTATTTTATCTCTCCGCATTTGAGGGTCTTGCGGAGAACGGGCATCATCTGTGGCAGACTTTTTTCCTGCACTGTCCAATGGAAACCGTTGCTCCATTGGATGTGCAAGTAGATGTTGTTCTGGCATTCATGGTTGCCGTTGCGCAATCGAATGCGCAGCAAGGTCCATTAGAGGGGATTTTGGCCCGCTAGAGCAATCTTGGGGAAAGTGCGCTTGCCTAGCTCCATCTGGCATAGACGGCAACGTGCACACAAGCGTACAACCGATGCACGATAGAATCGTGGATTAGCAGTCACGTTGTAGCATCACGTTTGCGATCGTACAGGCCGGAAACTTCTTGCGCGAAGCATGCAGCAAGATTGCCATGATCATTCGCTGTTTGACGCTAGCTCGATCACAAGCGCCTGATCACGGCGTGACTCGGCGTCGTTAGAAAGAGAGCGGATCGCTCCTTGGGTCATTGGATGGCGTCACCAGCGTCCATGGACATGCCTAGCGTCGCACGGCTTCGATGTGGTATCGCGATGGGGAACTTTTCTGTCGCGGGGCACTGCGGCAGGGAGTGGTAGTGGTAGTGGTGGTAGTGGCGGCGGCGGCGGCGGCGGCGACGGCAATGTTCAGTGTTCGACCACGTCCACATATGGATTTGATGCTTGCAAAAATCGCAGCCTTGGTGCAGACATCCAGCTAAATCACGGCCTTTTCCTATGGACCCGAATCGTAACAGGGAGTCTGAATTGATGCCTACGACCCGCCACGCGAGTGCTAAAAGTCGATATGCCTCATCGCGTGGACTGCTCTTAATTCGTCACATCGAGCAAGCTATAAACCACACGAGCGACTTCCCGGAATCAGTTATCACCAGCATCGATGGGATCAATGCTGAACACCGTGAACCGGAGAATGCCCAGAGATACTCTTCGCGCATGACCCCGCGGCTCATTCACTTTCGGGACAGCGTGTGCCGCAGGTGATCACCTTGGAGTCCCTGGCTTCTGGTGTGTACTCGCAATCGCTCCCTTTATCAGGTAACCCAGAGCACCGCGAAAACAGCAGCGGATGCGATCTGCGTCTTCGGGGTTTGATCGTACTCGTGAGTCATGCTGCATCACTGGGCCTTGTCATGCCGATGGATCCGCCATGGGCTCTGGCTCTGCCTGAGTCGAAGTCGCCGACACCGACGACTCGCGTAGCACGCCCGTCTCCAGGTCTAGTTCAGGAAACACGACACCGCGACTGCGCAGGTCCCGCTCAGCATACCGCATGAGTCGAATAAGGCGAGGCAGCTTGTGCGAAATCTCTTGATTCTGATTCGCCAGAATGGCAGCATTCAACTCACTCGCCAACCGGGTCCGCTGTCGTTCGTCGAGGAGTTCTTGAACCATGGAAGTGTCGGGGTGTTGCGTTGCCGTATCGTAGATAAGGAGCGCCATCGCTCTCTCCAGCTCCTCCAGATAACTTTCATCGGTCTGTCCGAGAGGCGCCAGCTCCGCCTGTGCGAAGGTGATCGCTTCTTCGATACAACCCTGTCGAATCAACTCGATAAGGCGCTGTTTTTGCAAACGAAAGTGCAACGTCGGGTTCGAGTCCAGAACTTCAGGGTTAAGCGCGTTCACTCTTTGGATGGCCTCCAGGATGCGACCTTCCTCGACGAGCGCTCGAGCTTCCAGCCGCTGCTGGGTTGCACTGAGGTCCACCCCCGGCTCCATACCCGACTCGCTGGCAAACGCAGCCGCTGCATCCGCATATCCTTCCACCACGAAATAGTTCATCACGAGGCGATTGATATCGCGTTTGTCGACCCGAACCTGTCTAAGGCGTGCCTCCCAGTCGCGTACGCTGAAGGAGCGGCTAGCTCCCGTTGTCGTGGTCGCTGCCGCCGCGACTGGAGTCGCATCTGAACCACCAGTGCCTGCAGCGGTACCAGCACCCGCACCTGGCCAAATTTCAGCGCCTCCCGCCTGCATCGTCGACACAGTGTAGATGAAAACGTCCACAGTTCCCGAAAGCAAACGAAAAGCGTGTTTGCATCAGGGCGTATGCCGACACCGAGCCGCTCCCTGACGATTGTCGACTCGATCGCAGACGCGCTGCCCCTGGAGCGCCCGCGATCTCACCCTTTGTTTTGCCTGCAACGTCTCCTGGAACTTGGGTGCTGCTCGGTAAGGAACTGCAGCTGCGAAACATAGGCTGTGCTACCTACAGGTAGGACACACGCAGGTACATCGTTGGAATGATACAAGCGCGAAGTGCGCTTCGGAAAAGTCAAAAACCCGATAACGGCTCCCGGAGCGCTCTCGATGCTTGCGAGGTCCATGGCAGATGCTGGGAGCATGCCGGTCATTATAGCGTGCGGAATACTTCCGATGAAGGGCATGCGCACTAGACTTTGTGTCCTCAGCATCTGATATGATAGCCAGCAGAGGTCGCCGATCGAGCTTTGCGCTCCGAACGAGAACTTGCTGTCTCTGTTGGCGACTGGCAATGCACGAGTGGACCTGGCGACGGCCGCCAGCGCCTTGCAAACCAGAGTCGGGTCGTATGTGTTCGAGGCGTACCGCCAGCACAGCGTCGTGCAGCGACAAGACGCACCCGCTTGATGACATGGGATGCGGCGACTGTGTTGATTTCGACACAGGATTGCATCTATGGAGGTATGATGTCGGCAAGCTAGAGGAAAATCATCGAGCAAGCAGAGAAACTCCTGGCATATGGGCATCAGAGGCAGAAGCCGTTGGAGGTTTCATATGACAAGCAATGTTTTTCGTGCAGCGGAGGATTTCGAAAAAAGTAAAGTGGGATGTCAGTACTTTACTTACGTACTCGGTAATGGTGAATCGTGGAGCGCCATGAAAGTGCACCCATTGGCATGCGGGGCCTTTTCCAGTGTCCAGAGACGGAGATCCGGGTGTGCTGGATTTCCAGCGTTCGCCGTGCCGTTCCATCATGTACGCGTACCTCGTTCCAGGCCGGGATGGAAGTCTGTCGCTCGTGGCGACCGATGAGTTCATCGAAGGGGTTCGGCGTTTCATCCAAGTACCACCCTGGTGAATGACATGATGACCGCCAAAAATGCAAACTCGATGATCAATCCGGAAGCACAAAATAGTTTCTGGCGTTCACTGAGGCGTTCAAGTCTCTGCGCAGAAAAAAGGACTTGTGCACATGGTTTCTGGTAGAGTCCCAGCTCGGCAAGTTACTCGCTTTCGATTTCGTGGCAGGCTGACGCTCGGTCATGCTTCCGGACACCACATCGTGGATGTGTCGCTGCTTTACGCTCTCCCTGGATGCCCGCTTCAGCGCCAGTTTGCGCTCGAGATGTGTGAATCTCGCTCCGAAGCCATCAATGGGCATCGTGCAGCACCGATCCCTGCACGCGTTGTACCCGTCCATCAAAGGGACAAACGTGAAGCTGTTGCGCTCTCCGAAACGTGCCGCGTCAGAGGTCTCGAGCAAACGACGCGACGCATCGGTGCTGTTGTTCTTCATCTCAATGAAGAGGTTGGCGAGTGACCGCCTCGTGATATGGAGCAACGGAATCGGTTGTTGAGGACGCCAGCATGCTCTCCGGTCCTTGTAGCAAAGATCGTCTGGTCGAAAAATCTGGACCCGCATGTACTCTCTGAATGAAGCGTATGCAGCATCGCCTCTGTCCAGGACAGGGTTCGGGGCATTGGCACGGGTCCTGGTGCCGACCTACTATTCGCTGGTTTGTCCCGTGGCGTCTGCCACGTCCAACTCGGGATCATATCGAGCCCTGAGCGTCTCAGTCCGTCTCACAATATCTATCCCCAGCATCAGAAATTGCACAACGGTTTGATTGAAAAAATCCAGAGGAGCGCAGGCAGCTAGAAGCCCGGCGTTCAGAACGCGCATGGACAATGGCATTACCAGGTGCTTCAAGTCGAGAGGCGCTGCGTGAGCATTCCTCCAGGACAAGACTCTACGATCACTGGTGCCTTGCTGTATCACATTTCCGGGAAACGTTCCCCGTCGATGGATTTTCGTAGAGCGTCCTCGACAGAGGTATTTGACGAATCCCTCTGGCCTCACACTTTTTGCCCTCTCTCAATGCTCGTACTGTCTTTAGGAGGATCTTTCTCTTCATGATGCGGAGGTTTCTTCTTCTTCTCGTTTACTTGGCGGTTTGGCAGGAACGCGGTCGGTATACGGTATATCCGTTCGTTTTTGCCACGGCCCGTGCGCACTGGGTGGACTTTGCCACCGAGACTCGCCTCTTCTGGGTGTATATCTACAGCTCCTCGCATTTTTTCGTCATTTCCTCCATCGGGAGCACGCCCGTGGACCAGAGCTGGCCTTTCACCCCCAAGCACGCACGAGCAGAGAAGCAACTGCGCAGTTGCGGGCTGGTGGAGCTAGAGAACGACTTGTCGAAGAAGTTTGGGGTCCCAGATTCGAATGACTCGTCTATTGATCGTCGAACATAAAAATGGCGTTTGACGATAGAGAAGACGCGCCCGGATGGATGAAACCACTGAGCATAGGCTGGCATCAAGTTTCGCTTACCAACAGTCTCAGCTACGATCTCCGTTACCGTGTAGATTGATGGAAAGCGACGTTATCTCAGAGCAGGACGGAAGAATGTGGGAAGGCGAATGCACGAAGACTGCTTAGGTGACGCATCGAGTGCGAAACGCTCCTCTTGTTTGAAGGTTTGTATGCGAACACCCGTCGACATCGCCGCTTGGCCTGGTAGAGTCGCGAAGCTCGCCTGTGTCTTCTTTGCAAACATTGCATTGCCGCTCGTTGAGTATCCACACGCAGATGTACGATTTCTGCGGAATAGAATCTCATCGAGCGAGATGAATACCCGTCTGTCGTGCCCAAACTGTTCGCGTTTCAGTACGGAATCGATCGTGTGTTGCTCAACGTGCGACCAGTGCGACTACTAGCGTGTTTCTTAACTTGTCCATTCGTATCTGCATCACTGGTCGTCTCTACTATATGGAAACTTCACATCATATGGCTTATTCCGTGGTAGTTCTTAGAAAAGCAATGGATTGGCTCCGATGGACGAGCACACAATCCTGTGAATAGATTTATACTGGTTCCGTTCTGAGCGAACGATATGGAGTATGCGGACGCCGCAAACGATGGGTCATCCATTTGCCGACGATGGAATGCCTTACTTGTACAAGTTCGATCAGATATTCGCAAGCTAGCAATGGCATCGTAAAGAAAGCCGTCAGGCATTCTCTAAGTTACAGGATGCACGCCTTCGTTGAATACCCTCAAGAAAGGCAAACGTGGCGTGCTGGTCCAGGTGTTCCAGATTTTCCCGTTCTGCGCATAACGTTCGACCTGGCATCGAGGGAGCCAGACTTGAGCCCGACTCGTGCCGAGCATTTCAGCCAAGAACATCGACGCTTCTGGCCACGCATGCGTCAGCGTAAATGCTGTCGCGCGCCCAAGCAGCTTCTCGCCCCGGACACACGAACGAGATGCTTCTCTGGAGACGTTCACGAATCACGGTGACTGTCTGCGCAGCACTTTCCAATACCCGGAAACTTGTGTATTTTCACGTGGGAACCGTTCACAGCCCTGTGACGTGTCCTGTTTTCTGGACACGCCTTTCATAGATCACGAATCAGTGCAAACACCATTCCATTCGATCAAGAACGCACGACCATGGATGATTTTTTTACTCAGAGAGCTTTGGAGAACAACCCCCGAGGCACTGTTTCCGCTGAACTTGAATGGAATACGCCCAGCGACCGCTAGACACGACCGGAGGCAGGCGCGCCTGCCCTCGAGCCGATCACGAGCTCCATACTCGCTGTCTGTAGCTCCCAGGACGCTAGCGGCTGCGAGATATCCACCAGCTACAGATCGACATCGAGCGGGAGTCCTGCGGGACATTGAGCGCCCGCTCGTCGCCCGCTTCCAATATCAGACACCTGTCGATCCATCCATGCAACGATCGCTTCATGTAAACGAAGATGGCTCGCTTGGCACCATACGATGATGCTGCATCCCATGAAAGCCGCTACCACCAACGCACGCGAGTCTGCGTCGATCCTGCAAGTCCGAATGCCCACACGTCTTCATGCGCACACATGCGAATGTATCACGAGCCTCCAGTCACCCGCATGCTCCATGATGCGTGAACCGAGAATACCGACGCACAAAACAGCCAAATACCTAACTGCATGATGTGATTGGGGATTCGACGCCCTCAAGTTGCACCACAGCTGCCTGAATACGTCCAGCAGTGGCATTCACGGTAGACTCGCTCCACGGAGAGCGCGTCTTCGCGTGCAGATTGCTGCTGCTGCTGCTGGTGCCGAGGCACTCCAGGCGCACCGCTGGAGCAGCAACGGTCCAACGTTTACGCTTCAGAGGTATTTTCTGCTGCTTCCCGTGGGTGCTGTTTGCATAAAAGCTTCCGTTAAACACGAATATGCCATGTTCTTGGTGACGCGACTCTATCGTCTGTTGTGGTACGCTGTAGGTCTGGTTTGGCGCCTCGGCACGTGGCTCGTAGGTGTCCGGGCACCGGCAACCCTTGCGGAGGGTTTTCACGGAAAGAGGCCACGTTCTACAGTCTGGGAAAGAGAACGTGAAGATGCTCAAGGTGCTGCTTTCGGAGGGCGTTCTGGGAGCCCAGCTGACCGCGCTAGCCCCTTCGCCCCAGAGACCGAGTCGGCAGTGCTCTCGTTGCCGCTCGCAGACGGTCGTTCTGGGAACGCTCGCAATCGGCCGCTCGCGGCTTCTACGAGTGCTGAACTTATGTCCGGTGCTGAGTACCATTCTAAAAATGGTCGATATCGAGCTGGCACACCCCACGGGGATAACCTGTATCCGGCAGTCGGTGGTGAGCGTGTTTCGAGCAGTGCGGCCGCCGACGTTTACGAAGAACAGCACCAGCGGTTAGTCCGCCTCGGAGAGCACGAGCTTATGCCTAGCGCTGGGCCGCGTTGGACCGAACAAGCGTCCGACGAGCTATTGGATGAATACTATACGGGCAATGGTGGCGTCATGTATCCAGCAGCGCATACATCGGTGCGGTATCTCGCGCGGAACGACGCTCGATGGACCACTGCACCGCAGCGGCTCCGCCAGTTTCCTGAAGAGCATGAGCCAGGAACGAGCGTGATGGGTGGCGCTCCATCCGCAAGTGGGGCGACGATCCTCACGGAGGCAGACAACCAGAGCAAGGGGGGCGCACCAGAGTCCGCTGGACCCTCTGGTGCCGATGCTGGCTTGACGTCGAGCTCGATTCGCGAAGCGGTTCTGGAGGCGCTCCGTCAGACCCAGCAAGAGAGCGGCAAATCGCCAGTCTCCATGCAGAGTGATTCTTTTTGGCATTCCAAGGAGCCGCAGGAGATGCGTCGGTTAATGCGCCGTGTCTATATGATCATGTATGCATTTATTTTCTCAACAGCGCTTTTGCTGATTTTCTTTTTTCAACAAGATGGACCTATGACGTCCGAGCATCGTATTTTGCTATGCGTTGTGCTTCCAATCTATGTGTTATGCTTTGCAATGTTGCACTCGTTCGGCGACAACTTTCCCGCAAACCTAGTGATGCTCGTGCTTCTTAGCAGCTGCAGCTGGTTTGCAATTGGATTCCTTTCGGCATTTTACTTGCATCGTAGTGAGCTTGCGCCATTCACCACAGGGGGCCATGCAGCGAAGCTCAGCACATCCCTTGGCAAATTTTCCCGCTGAGTTCGGCTTCTTGCTGCATAAGTCGGCGGAAGATTCCATTTGCTTTCGAGTACTACTTTGGGATGCATTTCACATTGCCTTGTTGATCAAGCGACATGAACAGTGCCCAGCGTTATCCAGCGTCGGAGCGCAGCGCTTTCCCTACGCGATCTTGCATCACAGGGCTGGAGCCTTGTTTCTCGCGAAGCACGCGAAATCTGGTACGCATATGGTGCCTCCATTCCCCTGTGTATCCGTCCAGCAGCCATGCTTCATTCGCAGACGGTCAGAGGAGCACCGTCCAGCGAATCGGGACGGAGCGGGTGTGCACACCTGCGACTCATTTTGTCTAGTAACGGCTGACGCACGGCGTCTTGCATTCCTCTACAAATCGCCTGCTAAAACTGCTTCTACCACGAGGGATAGTACCGGATCAAAGGCCACAGCACTGAACGCGCTTACGACTCCGGTTCCTGAATCGATGACCGCATGGTTGCACCGACCGCGGATGCAAAGAAAGTCGGTAGCCGGTGATGCTCGTCCAAAGTCAAGCGTCGGTAACATGACGTGCTTCCCGCTCGCGCACGAGACGTTCCGCTCTCGAGGCGTTTCAGTTGATTATCCCGCTACCTTAGCGTGTCACTGGTGCGTGTCCTGCAACGCGCTGCAAGCAAGTTGTCGGGCATGTTTCAACAGCGCTGCACAGCGATCGAGCTCAGTCGCTACGGACGCTATTGAACGTGCCAGGTACGCGCGCTCACTCTTCGGTTCCTTTAAGCGCTTCTCTAGTTGACAGTGAATCATTTCCAACTCGGCTTTGTAGTTTCCGAGGCCGCCTACGCTGCCTGCCACCTCGTCCTGTTCTGCGAGTCGCTCCCGTTTTCGCGAGCGTTGCGCTTGGATGAGAGCGTGTGCTTTTTCCGCAAGTGCCTCCGGGCCAGCATCTTCTTCGAGAAGTTTCCGGAGTTCCGCAGCATCTAGCGTATTTTCTTCGCAGTTCCAGTCGGCAAAGTCGCCAAGCCTCTCGTCGACGAGCGCACACACATCGCGTACCAGCACTCGTAGCCAGGTAGTTTGGACTTGACACCGCCGCTCTGCCTCGTCTCGAGCAGCTAGTACTTGTTGAAAAAGTGACTCAGCGCTTGATAAGCATTCCGACACGGATTGACGAGCATGAAGGGCAGTCTCTATGAGCGGCATTCATAAAGCCAACCATGCAACCCTCTTCGACAACCGCTAGGGTGCACTGCGGCCTCTGCAAACCACAAGCGCCGCAACGACCATGCACTGAGGCATGGCGTTACTGCTGCTGCTGCTGCTGCCGCGAACCCGCGTAACGGACGCTTCCTCCAAGTCGGCAAGTCTGGATCCGCATCGTCAGGGAGCTTACCAGCATTCCAAAGGCGTTCTAAGTTCGACGTACCAGGAACGCCTGTCGCTGCATCATGGAGCTGGCTGCAAAAATATTCGGAGCGGCACGTAGCGGCATCAGTGCTGATCCAGGGTCGGATATTCGCAACTGGCTACCGCATATACAGGTACAGACGGGGATGGCGCCTCTGTTCGGAAAACACATCGTGCGTAGTGCACAGAAGTGTTGGCACGAGTGTTGCTGTGATGGTGTCGGAGCACGTGAATACCTCGATGGACGAGGTTCACGATGAGAAGAGGTAGAACCCTCGTGTAACTGACCATGTTTGTGGTTTGTGCGTTACCTGCCGACAGCAGCCGTCGACAGCGAGCCCCAGCCTCGTCTCATCGATGCAGTTCGTGTCGTACGGCAGGCGTCTGTCTCATGTGATGGACTGCCCCGGATCCGTGGTTTGCGGTACCAGCGCATAACAGTTCTTGCGAGCGACCATGAGCTTGTCGTTGAGGATTCTCCGGGAAGCCCCACACCTGTATATCCACCAGGGAACGTTCAAGGAAAACGCTCTACCTCACCAAGAGCAGCACAGTCCAGCTCGACGGCTCTTGACGCATACTATCGTGCTGCTGGGAGACGGCTCGAAGCGTCGCTACGACACTGGGCGAGCGCCCGTCCCGCACGCCCATGAAGCACTGGCAATTCGCGTACGCGCTGAGTTCAGCTTGGCGTTGAGTGTATACCATATGATGGGTGCACATACGCTGGCACTGCACCCATGCATGCCGGCAACGGATATATCTCCGAGCACGCCGACTATAGAGTGCTGGTAGTGCCCGAAGCAATCATTGCCGTCATGGCGAGGATTCGTACGCTCGCGAGTTGCTGCTGGCACCTGCAATGCGATGAAGCCGTGCATGTGGCCGGCGTTAGGGACGACCCCTGCGGTACTCGTCGCTACAACTGGGATGACTGGGGAAATGGCGGGTCAGGCTGAGCCTGACGATACCTTTACTGTTTCGGAAAATAGGCTCATTTGCTCTTCGCGGGTTGCCACTGATAGCATGAAAGTGTTTCCAGCAAGTGCAGCGCGCAACACCAGCGCAAGCACGAGTGGCTCGTCTGCGGGCACTCCGAGACCTGTCCACACCAGCGTGCGTTCTGTGGCTGCACTGGCGGCGCCACACACCCATAATGAATCGTTGCGAGCACGAACGGAGAGACATGCCCGCCTATTCCCGCACCGCGTTACACACATCGTACCCGCGTAGCAGGCCACGAGGTGGTCACCAACGCATCCATCAGAACTGAAAATCAGACGTTCCTGAGAGCCAGCACCTCACAGCAAGTGCAGTTTGCGGCCGTGAATTGTTCATCTCGGCAAGGCGACACCCATCTATCTTCAGAACGCGTGCGCAGGGTGTGCCAAGCCCTCAGAATACCAAACTCGTTGGATACCTTGGAGCGCTGAAGCCGAGCATAACCTTGCCGAATACCAACGTCTCTCTCAGCTTGCAGAGGCACGCTTCACCGCCTGCTGCACTGTCTCAATGAGGTGGAGATGGTGATGTCGCCAAGGCCTTCGCCACGGCTCAAGCTGTGAGCACGCAAACACCGCCAGCAGCCTTGATCCTCTTCTCCGCCGTCTTGGAAAAATACTTTGCTTTCACAATAAGTGGCTGCTTCGGAAGGTGACCCCGTCCAAGCACTTTGAAGAAACCTGCTCGCGTCACGTCCAAGACAGGAGCCGCCTCCTTGTTCGAGGCGTACTTTTCTTTCTCCGCAGGCGGAATGAGCGTCCATAGCTTATCGATGTTGATGCATGGCGTGTATTTCGCATTTTTATCCGCTCCGGCGTTAAAGTACCGCATGCCTACCTTACCAAAGTAACCTGGATGGTATTTATCCAGAAGCGTTCGGTGGTGGTGCATGCCGCCCGCCATGCCGCGACCTCCCCGAGCACCACCTTTTCGGTGTTTACCGATGCGCCCGTGCCCAGCACTTACGTGACCGCGCTTCTTCCTATTTTTCTTGAATCTAGTTGCCATAGCTCGATCGAAGTTCTTGGACACTCGGCAGGACTAGTCACACACCGGAACGCTGGCCCAGAACAAGGACCCAGCTACAAGAAGGCTAACCCTCCCAAGAAAGCGTGCTTGAGCGTACGACTGGGTCAACGACGATGGCCGAGCGACGGCCGCGGCGTGCGAGTTGCAATATTGTACTGTAATGTTATATTCTATACTGATTCAATGATGGTGTGCAGACGTTTGCGGGTGGGCTTGATCCTAATAGCATAAAATGGACAACGTTGTACCAAGGGTGCGCAGACGAAATCTCATGCCTCCTCCCAAATCTCTTCAGAGCAGCCTTTGCGAGCCTTTTCCGCAGTTCAACTCTTTCTCTCTCTCTCGTGTCTGGCTACAAATACGCTGGTTCCTCCTTTCCCTCGAGATTTCTCGTCTGCAGTCCGACGGTGTTGATGGCAGCCTTGAAATCGCGCTTTCGCAGCATTCAGGTGTTGTTTACGCACCTCAAGCCCAACCGGTTCCTCTTATCAACGCTTCGCTCGCTATCTTCTTCACCTTTGCATTCAGTATCAGTGCGTTCTTTGCAGCAGCGGGCACTTGACTGTGGCCAGGTGTTCGCATATGTCCACCACACCTCTTCTTCCGAGCGGTGTCCTGTTGGGCGTGACCACTTCCATCATCGTTCGGTGGAGGTCCTCGCAGGAGCATCAGGCCGCCTCGATGCACTCCAGCTTGTTGACGCCCCGCGTCATATCTGTGACGGCGGACCTGGTTTCCGCGATCCCGTCGCCGACTGCGCTGTCTGCCGCATGCAAAAGCGGACGCCGTTCCATTCGATAGAGGATTTGTGGAAAGCGATGCCGTCCATGATGAAACGAGTACCGCAAGCAAGATCCATGCAGGATAGCAGTTCAAGAAATATCAATCCGTCAACGCTTTGGACTTGCAGAGCGGGAACACAAACGTTCCATTCGAAGCAAGCTTCGCGATGACACAAGTGCGGGTCAAAGACCATTGCTCCATGCAAAAAGAAAAGACGGATACTTTTCGCACCATATCTCGTGACAGCCATCGTGCTGGTTTAGAATGCGGTCTCGTCGATGACCGTCAAGACAGGATGGTATGGATTACGAAGAAAAAAGATCATTTTTGTTACAAGTTCAGTGAATTTCCCACAAGTGCTGGAAAAAAGTCGTCAAGAGACGACACCTAGTCATGTTTCTCGTTAATCGGGCGGCACGAATTGCCGGCCCCATGAGTTGCCTCTGAACAGCATCATTGAAATCGTGATGAATGCGCGATTTGAGTGGACTACTCGGACGGAAAGGAGAATCGTAGAGATTCGCACGTACTTGTTGGAGGATGATGACACTTCTTTGACAAACCCCGGCCATGTGCATCGCGAATCATCCTTTCGACATAAGGAATTCCGGCGCCTCAGAGTCCGAGGAGCCTCTCCGAGACCACACGACCGAGAATCCTAAAGCTATGCATGAATCTGTAAGGCCTTTACGCTTCACGTCGACGTTCGAGGCAGCGCATCTCAAAAAAATTTGGTAAAGTCGAGAGGCGGAAACAAAGCAAGCAGCTCTGTGTTCTCTCCTGATCTGGTACCGGTGTCGCGATCGTGCTGCCGCGGACGTCTCGCAGCCGAACCGCACCATGCCTCGCCAGCGAGCGTGCACCTGTATCGACACGCCAGAGATGCCGGCTTTCATCCAGGTTTGAGCGTGAGCGCTACCGAGCAATCTCTCGGGTATTCGGAATCGTGAAAATCCTACGAAAGCAAAAAATCGACTCCCCGCGGTAGACCGAAATAAACCCGCACGCTCATCGCCTAGTCTAGGGGCGTCTCCTCAGACGCTCGCACAACTTTCTTTTGGGGTTTGGCGCGATACCGCAGTCCATTCGGGAATGCGATGAGCGCTTTCTTGGTGTGCACGACACCAGAACCGCCTATGGCGCAGATCGCTTAAAAACGCTCCTCGGAAGAAGACTCGAACTTCAAGTGTCACCCGAGGGTCCGCTGGGAATCCGCGGAACCCTGCTCAACCGGGCGCGTCGACATCCTTTATATGTATTTTAAGAAACAGTTATTGAATGAAAGCTGTATTCGTTCAGACGGGACCTTTCTACAGTGTCGCGTTCCAGAGACCAGCCTGCATTCCTCAGGGGAATGCGCCGTGAATAGAGAGAGCATGGCCAGAGTCGAAGGATCATCGGCAGGAGTCAACCACAGTTAAGACTCTGAAAGCACGTTGCCGCATGTACACTGCGATGCACTTGCTCGCACACATTCGTACGCGTTTGAACCTTCTGGGCGCGATTAGGAGTCGCACATCTGTTCCCAGTGCGCGATGCATGTGCAGATCGCTTTGGTTTCTCAGTGGCCTTGCACGCGAAAAGTGACCGCCCCAAGCCACGTCATCGACCCGGGGTACGCAACCACCGGATCCGGTGCTCCAGGTGTGTACGCGCTTGAACGCTCATCTACATGCAGCACAGCCGACGATGACCTCGATACGCAACCTCGGAATGTATTCAGCAGCGGGAACGACGAGCACGTCGAACGCTCTTTCAGAAAAGAGTCATCGGCAACAAACGAAGTCGAATAGAAAAGGCGGGCATGCATGCATGCATGCTTGAATACGCGTTGCCACCAGAACTCGGTAAAACTTTAAAAAGCAGTTGCGAGGTCCGAACGCTCCAATACCTCTACATCGTTCTACGCTCCAGAATTCGGGCTCCATTTGATACGAGACTCTCGCTTCAGATCAGACGGGCGTCGATTCTGTATCTTGCGTGGCACTCGGGCAGCCCAGACCTGCTAGTTTACAGTGCTGGCATCGCGGTCCCCGAGCAGTGCAAACCTTGCGCCCATGCTCAATCATCAGAATATGCATCGGGTAGTGGAGAGTGCTTGGTATCAGATTCTCTAAATCTACTTGAGCCTGTTCCCGGGTATGCCCATTCGGTACCCATCCGAGCCGCTTCGCCAGTCTAAAGATATGCGTATCCACAGGAAAACTATCATCGCGTTCGAGGGTGAACATCGCCACGCATGCGGCAGTTTTTGGACCGACACCTGGGTAGCGGGTCAAGTATTCCATGACTTGCGCGGTGGGTACATTGCGGAGAAACTCCAGACCCTGTGTCCAGTCAGTGTCGGTGCCTGTCGTTGCTGCATTGTGCTCAAGTTCGCGCAGAATATCTTGTATGTGTTGAGCCTTCGTTCGTGCAAGGCCTCCGATCCGAATGGTTTCCTCAATCTCCCCGACAGGTGCATGCAGCACGTCCGCCCAGTCCTTATAACGAGACCGAAGCGCCCGATACGCAGCTCCTGACAACTTATCCGTGGTATTCTGGGAGAGGATCGTACGAACGAGAGCCTCAAGAACGCTTCGCCCGGTTGGACGTCGGTTGCGTTCGCCGTACGTCTGTACGAGTGCTTGGTAAACCTGCCTCACGCTGGGGCTAGCATCGCTGTCTTCTGGCGCAGGTTTTTCATTTATCTCACCTGCAGCCTTTCCTAAGCGCTCATTTCGCGCGTCTTCGGACTTGATACAAGTCAATGCCCTGGTCAGCGGACGTTTGCGAAGTCGCATCCTCGAGACACGCAACCAGTCTTGATGCTGACTCCGCTGTAGCTTTTGAGGGAGTCGCCCCACAGACCAGGTGCCAGACACTCCCCGGACACGTGGTCCAGTTACAAACGCCTCGCCTACACTTGCGACCGTTTTTCTCTGAGAGTGACGCAACTGCTCGGCGTAGCGGAAACGGCGCACTTTTTTGAGAAAACTACCGCGCTGAACAAGTGAAAGTTGAAAACTAGCACAGACGCAACGATTGGGTTATGGTAACGGGACCATGCTGAGCCAGACTGGAAGCCCGTCGATGGCGAGTGTGTGTTCACAATCGTTATTCTCTTGATAGAATGATGTGAGCGTTCCGGAGGAGACTGGCCGGCCAGTAGCACGGTTTGAGCGGATGTTGCGTTATTCATTCACCTATGCAGCGTTTCCATTTTTTGTTCGACTAAAGGTTTACATTGAACGTATACCCAAGATCAAATGAGGGATATAGGCATTCGGGAACGTATTCATCATGACGCACTGTACCTTCAGGTTCCATGGCCCATACTTTCTTTAGGATACACTGGTCGTTTGTTATGGTATCTCTCGCGCCGAGTGCATGCAGTGCTGCACCCGTTGTAGCGCTTATACCGCAAGTGCGGATGCAATACAAAGACAGAGCAGCGTTGCCATACCAATGGGCATGTCGGCTCGAGGCGTCGTTCATCCGACACGGGGTCGGCACTCTACATCATTCTGGGCGCCTGCAAACTGCGCAGACAGACCTACTGCATGCGGCAGCGCGATGCGGTGTACTAGGAGATAACTGCAACCTGGGCGACTTCGAGACACACCCGAACTGCCCTGAATCCGAGAATCAACTGCATTGCGGGCGAGTTGTTCAGGTGGCGCAACTGCACCCACCCCTGGGGGCAGCATGCAGCACTGGCCCAGCATACTCGTCCGGCACACGGGCACTTCGGCATAGAAGGCAAACGTTGGAAGATACGGAAATCGTATCCTCCTTTCCAACGGTTATCATGAAGGCCGAACGACACTGGTATCGAATTGCTTGCCAGTGGATATCGTCCGCTCTTTTAGCGGTTGGTCTTGGCAAGAAACGACGATGCATTGGAACAGATTCGCAAACAGCGTCTGTGGCGCTCATTCCATGTTTCTCGTTTGCTCCCAGGAAATGAAGAACGGTCTGCGGGAGCATGCAGAGCGACAAACCATCAGTCTGGATGCACTTGGTGAGGCCTCGCCCAGCGGTGCGCAACGAGACTCTTTCTCAACCGATCCAGGTAGACCAGGAAAAAGATTCTAGTTTCAGCGTTTATCCGCGGGTAAGGCGCTTCACGGCTGTCGCCGCACACGGAGCAACCAAAAGCACGGAGCCGAACGCCTGACCAGCAAACCAGACGGAGCTGCTCAGCTCGACCTGTGCCCGGAATCTTCGAAAGTCGAGCGCTGTGGACGCCACGTGGCATACAAAGAAGCAACATGCAGGCGCCGGGTGCTCACCCGACACGCTACGCACCGGGCCGAGCAGCGCGGGATGCCTTGCACGCTCCATGCAGTCCGTACAGGAGCTTCCAGAGAGGTCACACGAGCATCCCGTGGCAGACGTCCATGACGACGGCGCTGGAGTCGCCCCGGTCTCGGCCATCCGGAGCCAGGAAGCGTGCAATCAAGAGAAAGCCTCTGCACCGGTTTGGGAACGGAAATGAACGACACGTCGGGTCGTGGACTTGGTAGCGCACGGCGCTAGGCGTTCTCTGCACCGACGCTTGAACGTCTCGATCGACAACCGACAAAGTGTCGTGCATCCAGAGCGTCGCGAGAGGCTCTGTGGAGCGAGCTACCACGAACATCGCTTCGTACGCCAGATAGGCATGACACCTAAACACTGGGGAACTGTCGACGATAGCGACTCGTATGCCAGGGGCAGCGGGAATGGATCCCCGCCTAGCTCAGCGCCCTGAAGCGGTTCAGTGCGGCGAACCTGAACAACCAGAGCACCGCATATATGTACACTGGCAAGTATTTTCCTAGGGAATTTGTGAACGAGTGTAGTCTTCCGTTATTCGCTAATTCAGAGAGAATATCTCCGTATGGAGCCGTGCATCGGGATCCACAGCGCCAACAACGTATCTGGGGGCAAGGTGCGCGCCCCGGCGGCACGTCTACGTCACCGGCTCGTGCTAGAGATAGCCCGGGACGCTCGCTTGTTGCTTCCCCTTGGGTATCCGTAGAGGATACCCCAGTATCTAGGACGTATTATTTGGTGAAAGAAATTAGTCTGTAGCTTTTCATCCAAGTCACCTTCTTTGCCAAAAGGTTGCAACTGGTCGCGTTAACGCTGTAACCTGGTACCAGGCTCTCGACGTACCTGGTAGAGGTCGGAAGGCAAAGCCCGCGCTTTCCGCCGCATGTCGGTTCTGCTACGAAACTTCATCTATGAATGCCTTTACAGTCCTAAACGTGGTTACTTTAACCCGGTAAAAGAGGCAGATCTGCCGCTTCGGCGATCTTCGCGCGGCGGGCAGAACGTAGAGCTCAAGTTCGCGTCTCGCGCCGAGTGGGACGCACACGTTCGCGACCTTTACGCTACTGCACCGCGAACATGGCTGACACCCTCAGAGCTCTTCTCACCTCACTATGGGAGAACGATAGCGCACTTTCTGGCAGTAACGCACGACCACGATACGATTGTGGAGGTCGGCGCAGGGAACGGTACCGTCGCGCTTGACGCTCTGAACTATCTCCGGGACTCGTTTCCCGAAAAGTATGCCAAGTTGACATACCACACGGTTGATATCTCCGCTCCCTTCGTGATGCGCCAACACGAGCAACTCTATGAGCACATTGATGCGGGGCGGTGTGTCGTCCATCACCGATCAGCGCTGGAGGAGCCGATCCCGCTGGAGCACCCCGAGGCGGCGGCAGCAGCAGCAGCAGCAGCAGCTAGAGCACACGAGCGATACGAGTCGGGGCAACCGCCACGGGTTGCAGTTCTAGCGCTAGAAGTTCTGGACAATTTAGCTCACGATGCTATCGTACAAAATCGACGTACCGGTGAGTGGTATCAGCTCCTGGTGGACGGCAGAGGCCGCTTCCTGTACGAGCCTTTGCGTGACGATTTGATTCTTGAGGCGTGTCGGGTCTGGGGCTTCGGTCCTCATTTTGAGGCCGAAGAGACTCCATCGAAGATGGGCGATCCGCCGGAACCCTCGATGTATGCAGGACGTGGCAGTGGCATTGTTCGCTCCATCGAACAAATCCGCAGCTTGTTTCGGCGGATGAACGACTGGGTCATCCCCTCGTCTGTTCGTGCAGGTACATCTATGAATACGAATGCGGGTCCAGCGGAAGCGTTTGACGCAGAGGATGTATCCTGGCCGACGTATGTACCGACTGACGCTACGCTCTTGCTGCGAAACATAGCGCGCTCCTTCCCACAAGGTCACAGTTTGCTCATCGCCGACTTTGCCTGTTTCACTGACAGTTTACCGACCGCTAGTGGTACCACAATTGCACCCGTTATTCAGACTTTTGGCCAAGATCAGACCGTTGACTGGCCAGCAGTAAGGCCTGGTGAGCACGATATCATGTTTTCTGTGTCGTTTCCGCGTCTGTTGCGGGCACACCGTCGATTAGAACGGCGGATTGGACTCCAGGAGCTACTCCCGCAACAGGAATGGTGGCGAAAACATGCTGCTACCAATCCAAGCGGCTATAATCCTATTCTCGAGTCGTTTGCCAACATGTTCATGTACTTTGGATCCACGTTCCGGCCTGGTCGCGGTCACCAGTAGCCAGCGTCTGCGACATCATGAACGGTCTTTGGCTAGACGCACTGCGATGCACATTGCACGTGCCTCCCGATACGAGTGAAGACAATCGTGTTTCGAGACCAGGAAACCATGCACAGTGAGCACAGGGGCTGCAGCATACCGTGTTTCGTTTCTGGTAGCCCGAACAGGGAGCTTTTTCAAACAAACAAACACACACACACACAGAGTGTGTGTGTCAGAGGGATGCGCTGGCGATACACTACCGTTTTATGAGCTCTACATCACTAGTGTTGTTGCGCGTGGCATCATGGCAATGGAGCAGATTTGCACGGGTGCCCGGGCCAGCCCTGGACGCTATGTTCTGGACATAGTCGGCAACGATATTCCCGCTGTGGTTGTGACGCACCACGGACGGCCGTTGAAGCAGGCCAGTGTCTCTGGACTAGGGCACGATCTGCGTACGCGAAAGCATAGGATATACTCCATTACATTGCGGAACTCGATGCTGCAGTGGACTAGGATGACGGTTCAAAACCAGACCTGCTGGAATTTCCCATAGACCTGCTTTTTGGATTGAAAAGCAAGCGTTGTATCGTTCACTCAATAGGAACCAGAGCGAAATCTCCAGCGTCACCAGCAAAGTATCTGCACGCGGCACAAGATGTTGCCGCTCGGTAAGAGGTGCGTCAGCGGTCACCGGTACCTGTGGCGTCCTCGCTGAACCTGCAGCGCAGTTTATCGAAAGCACCATCACCATACACCCACTTGCTTTAAAGAGGATTTTCGATCGCTCTCTGCCAGTTAGTTGTCCGAGTCTACAGTGCCCACATCCGCGGCTAGCATCCATGCATGTATCGAAACTGCGTTGTGGAAGCTTCATGCAGAAACTTGAGCGGATGATCGTACCAGCGAATCAGGCCGCTTTATACACAGAAAAGTACTTTTTAGACTGGATATACGAGCAGATCACTTTTGTTCTTGGTTGCTTTTCTCGCGGGTAGTCAGTGAAATGATTTCCCGTAGACTGAAGAACGGTCACGAAAAGCGCGAATGCAGTCACTGCAAGCGTGCGAGAAAAGACTTTTTCGTCTCTCCAAGTCACGTATGCTACGGTTCGCTGGTGGATGAACCACAAGTCTCGTCGAAATCCCCGCTCTGAACGTAGAGCGCCGGAAACTCACCAAACCAAACAGTATCTAGACAACCGTGTCCCCGTCAATCGGTCCCACTCCATACATTCTCTAAGAATGCTGACGACGAGGCCATAAAATGTGATTTTGGCGTATCAGTGATATGAATGGTGTTGAAGAGACACGGAAGGATGGAGTAAAAAAGCGCACTGCTACACGAATTCGTCACGCTGTGAACAACACTCCAGCGATTTCGAACTGAAACGCGAGCGATAAGTACAGGAGCGACGGGTATTCGTCTCTGTCTATGAGGTTTCTTTGGGGAAGAATTGCGCACCTGTGTAGAGATATTCGAAGGGCGATCGAGCGCTGTTTCGAAGAGAAGAGACAAGCGCGTTTTACCACGACATAGGCGCCAGTGGCGATTTATTCATGGAGTCGCGTTCAGAAGGCCAAAGCCCGGGCCCTTTCAATACCAACGCATTATCGTTGAACCATTCTTCGTGGCTTCTCATTCGAACATTATTCTGTCCTGCTCATGGAAAACATTGCGTTACGTCATAGAATGGCAGTAATGGAGTACACGTTTAGGACTGGCGCTCAACTGCACATTGTTCTCGTATATTCTCTCTGATTCGATGATGTCGAATGCAAATTTTCCGCTTCCGGATCCGTAGATGAGCTGTTCGCACCAATGACACGAAACAATGCAGGAAAAACATTCGAGATCGTACAGCTTCTAATTCAACGAATGAACGCCTCGGTGCTTTCGTCTTCACATATGTCGCCGAGCAGGTCTTCGGAGGAGTTCTGGACACTGCGCTGCCAACCGGTCATATTCGCCTGGAATTCTTCGATCAGACCTCTGTGAAGCAGCACAGCTGATTCTCGTTACAGGGGATACAAGACGGCCTGATCGGAGGATCAGATTCTCATGCAAACGCCTCTGAGCATACCTTGACACATCGCTGCGTCTTGTCGGTGATCGAAAAAAGCGGTACAGGGCAGCTGCCAAAAGTATCCATCCAGCTTCACTGACCAAAAGCATAAGCAGGTCAGTGTCGAAGCGCTTTATGAGGCGCACCCACTGGGCATTATATGCATACGCTGCTGACCGTGAACAATGGGAACTGATGGCAAGGATTCCTGAGCGTGTCCATGGGGGGTCAATGACGCGCTGGTAACGCGACACATCGAGGAGGTACCGAGTTCCACAGAGAACTCGCAATGAGAGCGAGACTCGCAGCGAATTCTCCAAGTTCATTGCGCTGCTCAGGATGACGGATCTTTCGACTCCTTACCCGCAGGGTAGCTGACATGGCTGCCGCGGCTTCGCAACAGTTTGTGCGAATATGCTTTCATGAATAGAGCACTCAAGCTTAAAGCGGACGCGCTCATAGTATGCCAGCATAACATGCTCAGCGGGCTTCTATTCGATGTGGTGCCCCTGTCCTACATAAATGCCTGTTCGCGTACTCCACACACTGGCGCAGCGGCCTGTACGGCCTTCTCTGTGAGCTGCAGCTGGTCTTGGCAAGAAACGACGATGCATTGGAACAGATTCGCAAACAGCGTCTGTTGCGCTCATTCCATGTTTCTCGTTTACTCCCAGGAAATGAAGAACGGTCTGCGGGAGCATGCAGAGCGACAAACCATCAGTCTGGATGCACTTGGTGAGGCCTCGCCCAGCGGTGCGCAACGAGACTCTTTCTCAACCGATCCAGGTAGACCAGGAAAAAGATTCTGGTTTCAGCGTTTATCCGCGGGTAAGGCGCTTCACGGCTGTCGCCGCACACGGAGCAACCAAAAGCACGGAGCCGAACGCCTGACCAGCAAACCAGACGGAGCTGCTCAGCTCGACCTGTGCCCGGAATCTTCGAAAGTCGAGCGCTGTGGACGCCACGTGGCATACAAAGAAGCAACATGCAGGCGCCGGGTGCTCACCCGACACGCTACGCACCGGGCTGAGCAGCGCGGGATGCCTTGCACGCTCCATGCAGTCCGTACAGGAGCTTCCAGAGAGGTCACACGAGCATCCCGTGGCAGACGTCCATGACGACGGCGCTGGAGTCGCCCCGGTCTCGGTCATCCGGAGCCAGGAAGCGTGCAATCGAGAGAAAGCTTCTGCACCGGTTTGGGAACGGAAATGAACGACACGTCGGGTCGTGGACTTGGTAGCGCACGGCGCTAGGCGTTCTCTGCACCGACGCTTGAACGTCTCGATCGACAACCGACAAAGTGTCGTGCATCCAGAGCGTCGCGAGAGGCTCTGTGGAGCGAGCTACCACGAACATCGCTTCGTACGCCAGATAGGCATGACACCTAAACACTGGGGAACTGTCGACGATAGCGACTCATATGCCAGGGGCAGCGGGAATGGATCCCCGCCTAGCTCAGCGCCCTGAAGCGGTTCAGTGCGGCGAACCTGAACAACCAGAGCACCGCATATATGTACACTGGCAAGTATTTTCCTAGGGAATTTGTGAACGAGTGTAGTCTTCCGTTATTCGCTAATTCAGAGAGAATATTCGCCATCCACCGGTCTAGAACAATGGAGTTTGAACGATACAGAGCGGATCAAACACGGACCAGCTGCTCGCGGCTGAAGCATGGTCTATCCACTCTTGATCATCCACATCGCCAACGCGGTGCTTCAGGTCACCAGCAAGTCTCCAGGGCGCATACTATGTGCTGCGTTTACCATCAGAAAACCTCGCGCGCTGCAACGACACCCACCGCGTTGTGTACCTACTGCCGATGACGCTCAAGGCGGCCGCCAGTGGCGCCGCTGCGTCACCCGAAAGCCTTCGGATTCATCCACTCGGCGCTGTGGAGCGCCAACATACAAGCGCTCTCTGCGTTCTGCTGGTAACCACGAGGCCCAGTACATCTGAAGCTTGCACACAAGCACAACATCCGTCACGTTCTCGACGAAATCGTCGCCGACTTGACTTCGCCAACGCTGGACCCAGAGACGAAGCACAATGCCATGTCATAGAGCGACGCTGCTGTCATCCGCTGCGGTTCGCGCATCGGCACCGAGTCCATGTCACTGCACTTACGGTCTGGAATTCGTCGATATTTTTCGATCTGTGAACGGATTCGATACTTCTCGCGACCGACGATCCGATAACGAGGCCTCCCGCTCGAGACTTTCCACAAATGTCTGAACATCCGTCTCGCAGGCGACTTCTCGGGCGTTCTTGTACATGGGGCGCGGTGGCCAACGCACGAGCACCAGAAGAATAGCTGCTATGATGGTGAATCCAACATAGTACGCCACGATGATGACAAAGTCAATCCATTTGTATGACGGGTTAGACGCAAAGTTGTAGTGACTGTGTAAATACTTGATGCCGTTCGTGATCGGGCACACCTGATAGGCCGACGGTACACCCGCAGGCTGCAGTTCGCTCGGTGTACAGTGGAAATACAGGCCATCGAATTCATTCAGCATGATGGCCTCATAAGCATAGTGAAACGGATTGATCCAGTAGATCCAACGAAGATACACGGGTATGTTCGGTGGGGTAGCCAAGAAACCCACACTCAGAACCATGAGCATGATCACCAAACTCGCCAGCACGAGCGCAATATCCGTGTAGGGTGCTGCGTAGCCAATCGATTTGAGCAAGGTATTGGTTGCCATACCGGTTAACCACACCATCAAGATCGCAAAACCGTATCGAGGACCTCCCTGCAATTTCGTCATGTACGTGACAAGCGTCAAGTAAATGAGCACTTCGATGAACTGAATCGGAATATCCATCAACCAGAGCGCAAAAAAGTATGGTGGCATTTCATAGAAGCCTGCTCGTCGCTGTTTTCGTATGATTTGCAGAGTAGCCGCGTTTTGCTGAATAGAAGAAAAGCCAGCGACACCGACGGTTAGGAGGACAAGGAAAAGAAGACCGCCACGAACGCGAACGCTCAGTTGATCATGATTGATCCCGAAGAAGAGCGCACCGACCACGATACCCAGAATGATATAACGAGCGAAGCGTACGATGAAAGAGAACGGTGCCGTGATGATCATTCGAATTTCGCGATTCAAACATATGAACATCTGGCGCAAGCGAGGTTGGAGCGAGTTGCGAACGTACAACTTGCTTATCTCGACATAACGTTCCTGGTTGAATGCTTCGCGCTGCTCGTCGGTTAGATAGGAATGCGATTCCACCATCTCTCGATAGCGCCTGGCGATCGAGGAATTGCGGTAGCGCTCGGCGAACTCCGCTGGTGTCCGCGGCACGCGATCCTCATATCCAGGCCGAATGCAAAGTTTCGACTCGAATGGGTCGCCAAGGGTCGCTAAGAACTCAGGAATGAGCCGTTTGCGTGGCCGCCGATAACCAAGCTTGAAGAAGTATCGCTCTGCCTCATTGGTCGGCCCAAAGTAGAGCACTTTGCCTGCCTCCATCAACAAGACCTTGTCGTACGCATCGTAAATCTCTTGACTTGGCTGTTGCATCACAGAAATGACAGTAATATTGCGCTGCTTGGCTACAGCGGCAACTCGATATTGCAAATCCATTGCGGTTGCCGCATCAAGACCGCGAGTCCATTGATCGAGCAGCCAAATTTGCGACGAAAGCCGCACCGCCATCTCTCCGATCGTCACTCGCTTCTTTTCTCCACCGCTGACTCCCCGTAAGAGTTCATTACCCACTACAGTGTCCGCACAATGCTCTAATCCCAGATTCTTAATAAGAAGCTCCACGCGATCTTGACGCACCTTCTCCGCGAACGGGAAAAAGTCTGGTATCAGACACTCGGCTGCAAACCGGAACGTATCGCGTACCGTCAACGAGGCGATGTGTGTATCTGCCTCTTCGACAAACTGCACGATATGCTGCAGTGGGCGCACCGTTCGCTTCTCTGCCGTGTGTAAATCGCACCCATTGTACTCAACTGTTCCGGTGATGGCAGCGTAGTCTTTCAGACTGCGTTGCGCGAGCACATTCAGAAACGTGCTGGTGCCGGAGCCCGGCGGGCCCAGCACCAGCAGCGTCTCTCCGGGAAGCAGGACACCAGTAGCGTCGTCGACTATCGGTTCTAGATGTGCGTCTTTGTTGAGCCCTTGTCGGAAAACGTCCGTCCAGATCCATTTCCCAATATCGATCGCTACGCGTGGCAGTGCGAGCACGGCTTCCTGTGTTTTCGAACCGACAGTCTCGATCCCCGTGCGCCCGTACACAACCGGAACTTTCACCGTCAGGTTCTTCCAGGCAATAGCAATTTGAGGCGGTTTGAGAAGAAGCGCGCTCTGGAGTGCACTTACAACTTCTGTGTAGGCTTGCGGGTCGAATTCGTCCGAGTCGACTTGGTAACGGGGATCGGTTGCAAACTCCGCATATTGCTCCTCGAGCTCCTTGCGGTAGTTATGCAGCTGGCGCCAGTTAACAAAGTGAGACGCCGCTCGCCGTGCAATTCCCTTCGCTGGCTGTGGAAGCTTGCTCTTTTTGAGAACCTCGCTACGATAACTATGTAGGTGCGCCAAGTTCGCGACGTGTTTCTCAAGTTCGTTGCCCGACATTGCGACTCGCTATCGTATTGCTCCGCACGTGTAAGGCCAGGCGAACGTTCCTTTCTCAAAAACTAAACGAGGAAAAGCATATAATAATCGAAGGAACCGCCCTCCAAAGCGCGGTGCGTTATTCGCGTACGCCAGTCGCCACGAAACCGTAATTCGTGCGCGGTGACGAAGGGAGAGATGTGATCTAGAGTCGCAGCGACGCCTTCTGGAGCCGCACGCAATTCGACGTTGGTGTGTCGCACGTGCGTGCGTGCGTGCGTGCGTGCGTGCGTGCGTGCGTGCGTGCATACAGCTGTGGAGCACGCATCACCAGTGCGCAACGTCTTTCTTTCTCTCTCTCTCCCTCTCTCTGTGTGTGTATGTGCACTGTGGCTGTTTGCCGCCCTGCATAGTAACCGTGCAGTTTCCCTGTGATAGACTGGGTGCGTAGTGTTTGATTTTTGACTTTGCAAAGTCGAAGACGGTGTTCTCCACTGAACTCAAGGCGTGGGTAGGTTTTCCACTTTGTGGCCAGGGTGCGTGACTTGACGGCGCGTTTGCAACGCCGACTTTCGTTCGAGTCCTGAAAGACCTCATGGCGACGTCAAGGGAGTACCCGCGACGCCACGGTGACGACTCTGTAAATCCACGTTCTATCAGTGAGTACAGCATCTCACAAGAGCAGGTCACGAGTTTTGGCCAGGCTTCGAGCTTTTCCATAGACCCGGCTGCGCTGCACGTTGAGCGTGCTGTCTTGGAACCGCAACCTCTTATATTCACATGGAAGGGAATTTCGTACTGGGTTCCGGTTCCTAAACTCAAAGAAAAACGTTCACTGCAGAAGTTGGTTCGTCGTAAAAAAGTTAAAGAAAGCAAAGCGGCCACAGTGAAGGAGGTTGAAGCAGAACGGGACCTTGAGTCGGGCTCATCAACCGAAGCACCTCAACCGCCACCACAAACCGAACAAGTGGCTCATGTAGACGCGCATTCCGACGCAGAGGACGGCGAACTGCAACTACTGTACGATGTTTTCGGGTTCGCGCAGCCGCGCCGTCTGCTTGCGCTCTGTGGTGCGTCGGGCGCAGGAAAGTCAACCTTGCTCGATGTGCTCGCGAACCGCAAAACCAAAGGGCGTATCGCAGGCGAGATATGTGTTAATGGGGAACCTGTCGATTACAGTTTTCTGACGCATTTTATGGGATACGTCGAGCAGCGCGACCTGCATATAAGCAAACAAACGGTCCACGAGGCGGTGCTCTTCGCTGCACGTACTCGTTTACCTCCAGGCACTCCAGATAGTGTTGCCAAACAGTTTACGGAGTATATTCTTGAAATAATGAACTTGAGTGTTGATCGAAATCGACTAGTCGGGAGCGAGGCCGATTCGGAAGCATCTGGCGTGATCAGTAGTGATGCGAGGAAGCGCCTCTCCATTGCCGTGGAGTATGCGGCAAACGCATCGTTGTACTTCCTCGACGAGCCGACTTCTGGACTTGACGCCCGATCGGCACTGCGAGTGATGAGAGCCATCCGAGCACTCGCGGACAACGACTGCGCCGTTGTTTCGGTTATCCATCAACCATCTTTTGAAGTGTTTGGTGCATTCGACGACCTGCTCCTGATGAGGTCCGGTGGCCGAACTGTCTACTTTGGAGAACTCGGTGATGCGTGTACTTCCATGACTTCCTACTTTGCACGCAATGGTGCAGAGCCAATCGACGACATGACCAACCCCGCGGACTATATGCTGCGCGTTATTGGTGGTGGAATTGATTCGAAACGCAAAGCGCAAATGCGAGACTGGGCGGACATCTGGCAAGACTCGCAGGAGTGCAAAGCTGCTCTTGAAAAGCTTGAAGAGCTGAAAAAGACATCTCGAGGAAGGTACACGTTAACATACAAGCCGCCGACTCGACGACAGCAGTGGCGACGTGCGTACTACGTGACCATTCGACAGCTCATCTCCTACTGGCGCACCCCAACGTACAACTTCTCGCGCATGGTGCTCGCAGTCGCTCTGGGTCTCATGATCGGACTCTTCTTCCTCAAGTTGCCACGAAATAATACCGCGCTGGACTCTTACGTCTCTGTAGTCTATTTATCTCTACTGTATGGCGTATTTCTAATCCAGAACGTGCTGGGGCCGACTTTTCAGGAAAGAGCAGCTTTCTATCGAGAGATCGCTTCTGGCACCTACAAACCCATCGCCTATGCGTTTGCTATTGGCATTGCGGAAATCCCCTACACGATTGTAGGTTCCGTCATTTTCACGCTTTTAGTTTTCTTCATGGTAGGCTACCCTGCTGCGCAGTATGGCTACTTTTTGCTGATGAATATCCTGTTTAGTTTGTTCACGACGAGTCTCGGTCAACTCTTGGCCGCGTTGTTGAGCTCTCAGGTCGTTGGTGTCATGATCGTGGGTATGTTGATCCCGCTAATGAACGTGTTCTCTGGCTTCTTGCAGCCGTATCCGGATATTCCTCATTGGCTCTGGTGGGCCTACTACGCTGACCCCTACCGATGGGCGCTCGAAGGAGTCGTCGTCGCCTGTGTGGATAACGTGGCCTTTCACTGCGACCCTGGTGAGTTTCGGTTCTTCCCGTTACCACCGAGTTTCAACGGCGACTGCAGCGACGGTGGCACGCTGAACTATTACAACGAAACCAGTGCTTCGGTATGTGCGGCTGCGGGCGTTACAGTAGCAAACGGCTCGGTGGCGTGTTGCCGCTATTGCCCCGTGACCAATGGGCGCCAGATTATTGAAGAATTTGGACTCCATGCGAACTGGAAATGGATCGATATCGGAGCGGTGGCTGGATTCTATGCGCTTTTCCGTATCGCGAACACGCTGGCGCTACTCTATATTCGACATCTGAATCGATAAGCGATCGTGTGGAAGACGTTTCATCATCCTGGTTGGGAAAGGCAACGTAGCTGTTCAGCACGATAAACACGCTGTCCTTCTTTTATGGACACTTTGCTTGTTGTCTTTCACCTCAATTTTACGCCGCATCCAGGTGCATGTCATCAAATGCTTTGTCGCAGTTTATAGCAGACGTTTTCGAAGTGCGTTCATTTGGAGAAATTAAAAATCCAAGCGAAATGTATAGACATGGACGTCTGGATGCAGGAGAGCCGTCATCCCCGGTTTCGACAAAAAATGAAAAAATCCTCTCGTGGCCTACCATCGCGCGAAGAGGACCAAGAAAAGGGGAGATACACGGGAATTGGCGCCTGTCCGACAGCACGATGACGAGACTGTAGTCGCACTGAAGGAACGAGTTCTAACAATCCTTAAATGGATGAGTCCAAGCCGCGGCAATAAACGCACGGACTTTGTCCACCGAGTCTTCAACGCTGCTATCAACATTAGACGATGTGTGGTGCTGAAGACGACCTAACATTATGGTACAGCCTCTCAAGCCCGAAGCGTACCTGGATAAGCACAGGAACCGATAACAGGCGACCGGTCAAAAATGACTAGGAGGCGTCTGGGCATGGGTACTCATGAACCCTCGCAAATCGCAAACATTGTTCGCTGCTCTGACTGTCTGTGGACTCTCCATCAGGACTAGGCGTCACGCGTGTGGATATCTAACATCAAGGCTGAACACTGGACAGCATTCGCTTTGCACTGACGGAATTGTAGAGAAAAAGTTTCAACTCTGAACTGCATTGCCTTTCACCTTGCTTACTGGGAACACGACACCATCAGCGCCGGAAGATGCCCACGGGAGCAGCGGCGACGTCTCCTGCGCAGTTGCCTGCTTCTATCGACGACGAGGAGACGTTTCGACTCGTCGAAGAGAAAGAGACTTTTTTGTGGACAGAAAATGGTCCAGGTAGAGCGCCATCCAGTTGGCAGTTCCCACAGGAGCGGCTCGTCTGTGCCGCCCTGCGCTGTCCTGAGCAGGACGCTGGACTGTGGACGCGAATCACGTTCCGCTGGCTGAATGCACTTCTAGAACTGGGAAAAATCAAACCTTTGGAACTGGACGACTTGTGGTCCTTGCCCAGCATCGATGATCCTACTAGGATTAGTGCTCGGTTCCAGGAAACCTGGAAACGCCGCTGTGAACGCCACCAGTACCGGCCCCGTGCTCGTGACCATAGCCAGGGTCGAGCCACGCGTGAAGCGCCGCACGTACCTCATCCGCGTGGCATTTGCGGGCTCTTTTCACAGCTTCGCCTTTGGATACTGCACAGGTCTGGAGTAGCGATGTCGCCCACAGATCCCGAGGAGGAGCAAACAAACCACGAAGCGTTTCTGGCTTCACCGCATACCGTTGCGAAGTCACCGCGTCCTCTGAGCGTATCTACTGAATGCCGCGAAGATGTCGTACCGAAGCGACCGGAACAAGGTCTCGGAGCGGTCGTGCTGGCCCTGTTAGACGCGTTCGGAGGGCGCTGTCTGGGTTCTGCACCACTCAAGCTGTGCTATGATCTGCTGAACTTTGTAGGGCCACTAGCGCTGGAACGCATGCTGCAGTTCTTGTCGCGTGGTGCACACGAAGAAAGCTCTCTTGAAGGCATGCTCTGCGTGCTAGCACTTTTCACTGCTCCAATGTTGCAATCGATCTGCCTACACCAGTATTTCCATATGAATTACCGCGTTGGGATGCAGGCACGGGCTGCACTCATGGATGCCATTTATCGCAAGACACTTCGGTTGAGTGTTTGCGCCCGCAACCATTACGGAGCTGGAGACATTGTGAATCTGTTGGCAGTGGATACCCAACGCGCAACCGTGGACCTGACCCCGTACCTGCACATCATTTGGTCTGGTCCGTTGCAGATCATCATCGCCATGGTGTGCTTGTATCGAGTGGTAGGTATGGCGGCCTTTGCGGGCTTCCTGTTCATGGCGGCGCTTATTCCGCTAAATGGCTGGGTAGCTCGCTTAATTGGGCAACAAAGTCGAGCGCTGATGGAACGCAAAGATGAACGGATTCGACTGCTCCATGAAATCTTGTCGGGTATTCGACAGATCAAGATCATGGGCTGGGAGCAGGCCTTTTTTGAACGCGTTCAGGAAGCGAGGCTGCGGGAGACGCAAGTTTTGCGTCGCAAACAACTTTTAGAAGCGTTCTCGAACTTTTCTTGGGCTGCTGCGCCTGTCGCAACGGCGCTGGTAACTTTTGGCTGCATGGGTGTGGGCCCCAGCGCGCAGCGTTTGACGCCCGCAACTGCCTTTGGAGCGCTGACGCTCTTCAATATCTTGCGTTTCCCGCTGAGTGTTTTTCCGGACGTGCTCAGTTCCCTTATGGACGCCGCTGTGAGTCTACGGCGGATCCAGGCCTTTCTCTGTCACTATGAGGTACCGGAGCGGTTCGCGTTGGATGCAGTGGAAACGGATTCTGCTTCGAGCGGCACTGAGGTATCCGAGACGCTCGCTGGACGGCCATCCGTTGCTCGAAAGGCGACCAGTAGTTTCCTCGGGGGTGGACCAGCGAACGGACTTGATCGTGTGGCAAACTCGCAGAGCGCATCCAAAGCAGCAGCAGCAGACGTGACACATTTTCCTGTTGCAGGTACCGAAACGATGCGATCCACTGATGCACCGGCAGAGGCTTCATTGTTTATTGACGCAGGGTCAGCTGCAACCCGCGAGACACCGGGTTCTGAGTTGTTGCGAGTGCCTTCACTGCCCTTTTTATCGGATACATCCGCAGCGCGATCCACATCGCTGCAAGAACACCAAGAGTCTCGTCTGCATCAGCGGCAGACAACTGCAAGTCGATTGCTTCCTCCGTATGGTACGAGTTTCCGCGCAGGGCACTGGAACGAAGCGACGCCTGGAATGGAAGCTCCAGGCGACGACGTGGTGATTTCGCTACGCCACATGTCGTACGCTTTTGAGCCTCTGCCGATGCAGCTTGATGCATCGCTGCTTCTGGGAGTACCTAGTGTACACAGTAGCGCATCTGGGCAGTCGTCTATGGGTGGATCATCACTATTGGTGCCCCGCCATGAACTGGCAGCGTCAATTCAGAATCTCGATGCAGTATCGTGTTCATTCGGAGCCAAGCACAATGACGTAGACCGTTCGACCTATGAGGGCAGTGTCGTTCAGGGTGTCCATGGCGGCCTAGTGCCCGACGACAAGGCCGTTGACCAGACGACGGCATCTGTGCATCTGGGGCAAACGTTCCGCAACGCAGCCGCATGTGATCCGGATATGGATACGATTATGGATATGGATACGGACACGAATACGGGCGCCGGGCCTTTCGCTACAAATCAGGCAGGCACCGTTCCGTCTCGGAAAAATGCGCTGAAAAATACCCCGGAGATGACTGAAGCGTCTCCAGGTCAGGGAACTTTATCGTGGGTGCTCCACGATATCACGTTGCAGATTCAGCGCGGACAACTTGTGCTCATTTGTGGTGAGGTCGGAAGTGGAAAATCCTCTCTGTTACTGGCCATTCTCGGTGAGCTGTATGGCTATCCAGCGACTGTGGAGGCTGCGATGAGCACCACTTTCGAAGCCAAAACAACCCGGTCGTTTGCTTCGTCGTACCAGGGCGCCCATCACCTCGTTCGACCAACGACGATCGGCTATTGTCCACAGGAGGCGTATCTCATGAACGCCTCGCTCCGCGAGAATATCCTCTTCTACACACCTCTGGACGAACAAAGGTACCGGGAAGTGCTCGAGGCCACAGCGCTGGTCGACGACCTTGCCCAGATGCCCGCCGGAGACCGCACAGAGATTGGGAGCAAAGGCATCAACTTGAGCGGTGGTCAGAAAGCGCGAGTTGCCTTGGCGCGAGCACTCTACTCATGCGCCTCACTCTTGCTGCTGGATGACCCGCTGTCTGCAGTAGATGCCACTGTGGGTCGTGTTCTGTTTGAGCGAGCGCTGTGCGGCCCGCTGGCTCGAGGTCGCACCCGAATCCTGGTAACACACCACCGCCAGTGGCTTTCTCGTGCCGACCTGGTGATCGAACTTGCGGGCGGACGCATTCAGCGGCACAGCGTTCGTCCGCAACCGCTGAGGATCCCCAGGGGGAAGCCCCGGGATCAGCAAGCGTCCCCCATACAGGTATCGCTTTTGTCGGATGCCGAGAACGATGAGAAACAGCTGTTAGCTTCCGGCGACAAAGCGGGTGCTTTTCGAGTGCCAACGTCGCGGGCAGCGGAGCCACTCGTCATGGAACACAGCAATGAGCTGGAGGTATCAGGCTCTTTCCCGCTGGGCACTATTGATGCTACTGCTGGTGCTGGGCGTGGCGCCCCTGAAGATGCACTCGCTGCGGAACACGCTGTCGGAGACCTGCCCCTGAGCGAAGTGTCGATAGCGCAGTCGTCGCGACCTGGCATAGAGCAAGGGGCGACGCCGCACGCGAAAGGCAATGCGTTCGACCAGTTCGCTGACAACAATGACAACGACAAGTATGCGTTGCGGTCTAGGGCGACGTACGCGGTGGCGAGCAACCACGAGAGTCCTGCAGATGGTGCAGCCCCGTCTGCGGATCCCGAGTCGATGCCCGAAGCCCCAGGCACTACCTCCCATCAACTGGTTACAGCAGAGAATCGAGAAACCGGATCCGTGAAAAGGACTGTTTACCTCGCGTACTTTGCAGCAGCAGGTCGGTTCCTGTTAGCAGTAACGATTTTGGCGTCAGTGTTGGCACAGGTTTTCCGCATCGGAACAGATTCATGGCTTGGTATCTGGTCTGAGGCGGGCTCGCGAGCTGCCACCAGCGCTGCGCAACGAACTGGTGCCGATAAGCGAAACCCCTCTACGCCCTCTGGGTTGCCTACGGGTGCCCCAGGGCTTGGGCATGTCCCGAAAATGTCTCCAGGGGTGCGAACCCGTATCCAAAATCTTATGACGCCTTCTGGATCACATCTCGCTGCCGAAGAGCATCAAGTTGTCTCTGTGCTAACTCCGGATCAGGAGCACAGAGGGTGGCAACAGTACCAACAACATCGCTCTTGTGCAGATGCGCTTACATCACGCTACCAGCAAGGACGCTCGTGGAAGCAAAGCATATTCTGGGGGTTCCCGAACCGTCCGAGTCGTGAACGCGCAGCTGAGACGTCTCGGTCGGATTCGCAGCGCGTACTCCACGCGACATCTTTCTATCTGGGGATTTACGCCCTGCTGAATTTATCCACCTTGCTGATGTTGTTAGCACGGTCCATTCTGGCAGCTTTGAGTACGCTGTCTGCTGCAATTGGTCTTCACACGCGCTTGCTGCAGGTCGTGCTGCGGGCACCGACGATGTTCTTCGATACAACTCCCGTGGGCCGGATCCTGAATCGTTTCAGCAAAGATCAGGACGCCCTCGATGAAGACCTCCCCTATGCGCTGCTGTCTTTCCTGAACTGCATTCTTCAGGTTTTGGGGGTGGTCTGGGTGACCAGCACGGTGACGCCTGTCATGCTCCTGGTGCTGATACCCACTGGGATTCTCTATTACCGCCTCTCGCGCTACTATCTGTGTACGTCGCGCGAGTTAAAACGACTCGAGGCGCTCAGCAAGTCGCCAATCCTTGCACGAATGGGAGAAACAGCTGCCGGAATACCAGTCATTCGAGCTTTTGGACTCGTTCGAGAACATGTTCAGGTCTTCCTCGAGGCAGTGGCGGATCATATGCGGCCGTACCTCTACTCCGTTGCCTGTAATCGTTGGCTGTCTTTCCGACTGGAGATGCTCAGTGCAATGACGGTGTTCGCCACTGCACTCGCTGTGTTTCTCTTTCGCCGGAGCCTTAGTCCGGCGGCGGCAGGTCTTTCGATAACCTATAGCCTCCTGGTGACGCAGACACTCTCATGGCTGGTTCGGATGACCACCGAAGTCGAGAACGGTATGAGCGCTGTGGAGCGCATCCTCTGGGAGATTCCCAGTGAGGCGCCTGCGTACATCGAAGGCTCCCTTCCAGCGCACTGGCCAAGCGAAGGACGGGTCGAGTTTCGCGACGTCTGGATGCGTTATCGACCAGAGTTGCCGCCAGCGTTGCGTGGGGTGTCGTTTACGATCCTTCCTGGACAACGGGTTGGTCTCATAGGTCGCACCGGTGCCGGCAAGTCTTCCATTGCACAGGTGCTATTTCGCACTGTGGGCGATCCGCTACAAGCCGGAGCCGTCATCGTGGACGGGATCGATATCAGCCGAGTCGGGGTGGCGCAGTTGCGTGAACGCCTTGCGATGGTCACCCAGGATACCATTCTTTTCCGCGGAACGCTCCGAGAAAACCTGGATCCGTTTCATCGCCATACTGACGCGGAGTTGTGGCAGGCGCTGCGGTACGTTAGCCTGGCGGAAAACGATACGCATTCCGCGTGGGCGGCTGTGGACCGAACTGCGACGAAAACTGCTGTGGCTGGTTGTCGCCACGGCGACACGAGCGCCCACACGAAGACCGGCACCGATGCAGCCGTGAACGCCGCCGATGCAGTTGCTGAGCACGGAACGCTCGCAGCGCATGGTGCAAGCACTGCCGCTCTCAAGCAGCAGGAAGAGCAGGCGCGGAGTATGCCTGCGTTGAAGTCGAGTAACCGGTTTCCGTCGTTAGATACCCACATTGCGGAGGGTGGCTCTAACTTGTCCGCAGGCCAACGGCAGTTGTTGTGTTTAGCACGAGTGCTTCTGCGGCGACCTCGTGTCCTCGTCCTGGACGAGAGTACCGCGAACCTTGATTACCGTACAGATCGAGCGATCCAGCGGACGATTCGAGCTTGCCTACAGGGCTCGACACTCCTCATTATCGCACATCGTATGGATACGATATTGGATTGTGATCTCATCATCGGTCTCGCCGCAGGGCGTGTTGTCGAATGCGGGTCACCTGCGTCGTTGCTACAGCGTCGAGACTCGCTTTTCTACCAACTGGCTTGGGAACAAGGTGTTCTCGAGCAGATCACTTCGGGTACGTTGTCGTAGCCGGGCTCGGCGGTGCCTCGGCTGGTCCGCACGAGCGATACTTGCTTGGACAGATCAAAACGAAACGAGTAGGACTGAACCTTTCCTATACTTGGTTCCCTGTAGAGAATTTGAAGAAAAAAGCCTTCAGCATCGAGGCTGCGTGCACGGAGACTAGAGGTCAAGGCTTAGGAATGGATGGAGGCGCGACCCCTGGACATTGGCTACGCGTTCGTTTGGGAGGGCGCTGTTAAAGGGCGCTGCAGCCGCCGCTTGACGTCACCTGACCCAGCTCGCATCATGCCCTCATACGGAGGTGTTCTGGTACCCAAGCAAACACACGAGTCCGTGAGCTGGTCTGCTCTTCTCGTTTTTCTACAGCGTTTGACGAATGCCGGGACGAGCGCTTTCAGTTCAATGGTGTTGGGCGTGGCTCAAACGAAATCGAAGCGGCTGGTCTTCGAAGCAGTTTTCCGAATCTCCAACTGAGAACGTGCTCTAGGGCGAAGCGCAGGCTGGCAACAGCGTCTTGACCGGGCTCCGCTGAAAGTGTCTCATGTTACAGAGGATAGGCGGTTAGGTCGACGACAATGCTGGCCCCCGCGGCGCGCTCACGCCACCTGTACAACTTGCACCAGCGTCCAAGAGTACGTCCATGCTCTAAGTAAATATGCAGGAAAAGGCGCAAGGTCTTGGAGTTTCCAAATAACATGGCGCAGCCGCAAAAAGTCCGCGCTTGGTGCGCGGCAACAGGGCCTGTTGCTGTGCAGCCTCGCATCCACTCTTGATGGTAGATGGTAGGTTATTTTTCGATGCGAAATACTGTATGATTCCTGTTTCGGTACAGTGCCAACTAGCCAGTCTGTAGGCAGAGCATAGATCCGCCGCTCCACAGAGCACTAAATGCCAATTTGGATAGCATCTAGTTCAGAGCAGGTGAAGCACCATACATTCTTGTCATCAATCGCACGCGCTCTGAGTATCGCCTCCCGTAGGGTACATCAAGCTTGTGGTGCTGTTGTTGCATTTCCATATGTTGCAGCCCTTACGGGCGCGTAATCTAGCCTTCTGTATACCCAAGTAACGCGCGACCTCGTGGTCTCCTGAACACGCATGTAATATCCTTCTAGAAGTGCACGCACAATGCTGAGCACGCATGTATGATCCTTCTAGATTTGTACGCAGAAAGCTGGACACGCATGTATGATCCTTCTAGATTTGTACGCAGAAAGCTGGACACGCATGTATGATCCTTCTAGAAGTGCACGCAGAAAGCTGGACACGCATATAATATCCTCTAGCAGTGCATGCACAATGCTGGACACGCATATAATATCCTCTAGCAGTGCACGCACAATGTTGAATGCCTGCACCCGTGATTAGAATGCGCAGCCAGCGCTCGCACCAATGTCGCGTCGCCCGCGTTCCAGACAGCTGTTGGCGATTTGCGTTCCTCAGATGACGCACAGTCGCTGCATTTCATGGACGTGGCTGCTGAGGCAACTCGCTCGAGACAATCGTGTTGCATGATTCGTTTCGCACGCGAATCGAGCGTCTCAATGGATTCTTTCTATGCCTGCAGCCAAGAGGCATGGATTCGTTAAAATTCTCCGCCTGCATCAGGTATCTGCTATCGAGATGAAGTGCATTCGGGGAGCAGGCGGAGCACGCATGGCGTTCATGCGAGCAACTTGCTGAAAAAGGCTGCTCATGCATGGATCGCATATCGTGCACCTCGTTTCGGTCGCGAAAGCGATCATAATAATAGGCGATGCTTTTCATGACGTGTCATGAGCACCAGTGCTTGCTACTCGATCATCTTGAAACGCACATGATGCAGCGGATTCAGGTTCGCGCTGATATCACCAGCGATGGGCGACGCTTTGCAAACGGCTAGCACGTCCGGCAGGGTACCAGTTCGTATCGCTACGAGGAAGATTCGCCTGCTTCCAGAGACTGGTCCTCTACAACCGACACCCAGCAGGTTCGTTTGCAAACACTCTGGTCCGCCCAGACGCAGAGCATATCGCCATCGCGTGCGACTTCGGGTAGCATGGTCTCGATCATGTGATAGAATAGCTCCGGACGACGCCGTTGATACCTCTTCTGGTGCAGACGCACGTAATCAAAGCAGAGATCGGGATTGCGTTGATGGGCCAGCTCAATATGGGGGCCTGGTCGACGCAGGACAAGGCAAGTCTCATGACTGCACGCGTATACGCCCGAGGGCGCATGCTCTGCCACCGCTACGGGCTGGTCCAGGCATAGCAGATCGCTCGGCTCTGACAGGAGCGTAGCCACGCGATTATTGGTCCATTTAAGGACGACGCAGAAGCTCTCGACAAAATGGAAACCACCGCCCCCACCTTGGTGCATCTCCTCGCCAAACCAGCGCAGGGTCTCAGCGATACGTGTTTTCGGGACCCAAATAAAGACGAAACCGAAGGGTACGATTTCAGCGATTCGGAGGCTTCGCAACTGTTCAACACGAAAGTCCGGTTGATTCCAGCAGGGCGGATCCAGCACGACGCAACGAAAATGGCGCCCTTTGATACGTTCATGCAGTGTCTTGGCGGCCTGGAACACGTTCGCGAATCGCAGCAGGCGGCCACATTCGTAATTCCGCTCCAGCTTTTGACCCTCTTGGACGGCTTCACGCAGAGGCCTGATCGTCCTGGCCCAGCTTACTGGTAGAGGATACTCTGTGGGAATCGTCTCGCGCAGAACACCCTCTGCCGCTAGCCGCCGTCTGCGGGCCCGTAAGGCCGCGGGGATCATCGCAGCCGCCTGAGCTGCTGCCAGAGCATCCCCTCCAGCGCTGAGGCGCATGAGCAGTGCTGCCCGCGCTCTCCATAACTCGAGCGCAACGCGGCTCGACTCGCTGCGGTCCGGGCGAGAGCGGGTTAGCCGACCTGGAAACCGAGCACTACGATCGCTTTCAAGCGCCTCCTCCCAGAGAAGGTCTTCGCCGTCGTCGTACTCAGATCCTGGTTCAGAGTCGGAGAGCTCCGCACCAAATAGAACAGCGTCGAGGCCGTACTCTGCAAGCACGCGTTCAAAAGAGGAATCATCTAGCGCACCCACCGCGATTAGGTCAGTTGATTCACCTACACCACCCGGTAGACTCTGTGTCGTGGAGCCTGCCAACATGTCCACGGAGAAAAAAGAGGTCTGGCGGAAGAGCTCCGCCTGCTCTGCAGCGGTCAGTGTGACTTCTTCTTTCGCCGTCTGGGAGTCGTTCGCATCACCCGAAGACTGCTGGGTATTTGCGGCTTTCTGAGCCTGCAACCGCTCAAGTGCCTCAAACTTACGCATGATCATCTCTGGAGTCTCATCATCGTCGGCGTACCCGAGGTAGTACGCGGGATCCACCGCAACCGAGCGCTTCTGTGAGCCATACCGCGCGGCTGCCCGTCGCCGTGGTCTCGTTGCTCGAGCCTGCTCTTCTTGCTCGCGCTCATCTGAAGCCGTTGCATCTGTTCCCCGCGGCATGGTACCAAGAGCGTCCACACCAGGAGCGAGAACGCGATCTGTGCACAGCAGCGTTTCAGCTGCTCCAGTGCACGCGCCAAACAAAAGATACACCCAGTGGAGAATCGAAATTCCAACCGACGCGATGCTCACCGTTTCGCGCCAAAAATAATGGCATAGATCCGTGCGACAATGAGCGCCGATGCCCTGGACGAGCGATTGCGCTATCCCGAGCCTACGCGGGCGATGCTTTTCCCCAAAGCAAAGCTGGTGACCTTTATCGGTGATTATTGTGTTCCAGTATCTGAGATACCAGAATGTGATACGCAACGCTTCCATTAAATATCCGGAGGACCGCGCGGGTGACTCTCCGTTTTCTCTTGTATAATGCGATCGATGAATCTAACTGGTTGACAGGACCTCCTGATGCCTCGATTTGCCTCTTTCGGATACGCAACGCTTCCCATAGCTACGCCGTGGAACGCTGGATCCCGCTGCATGCTCTCCAGAACCGCGACTCTCGTTAGCCAATGCTGCCCGGAGTCTGTCACGAGAGGCAATGCAACTGCCTGCAGTCGCTGTACGAATTCGAAATAATATTTTGGAGATTCTGGAGTCGATTGACGTTCTCGTTCGTGCTCAGACTGCGCTTGGTTAATGAAACCTAGAAACCAATCTGGATTGCGAATCCGTTCTGGTCACCGCAGCCTATCTGGTATCTGGATAGCTGCAACGCTAGCACGAAGTTGACCGGCCGAAAACCAAAATATGTAGCCTGCGATGCCTTGACTGGTTTTCGATGCAGCAAATAACGCGGTCCTCAAGGTGCTTTGTCGTTTTCGCAGAGCTTGGCCTGCATGTCGCCGGCGTCGTCGCGAGGATGCTGCGCATCGTTCATCGCAAGGACCAAAGCCATACACGGACGATTCAGCTGTATACCGGTGTTGTGATTAACGTTTACAGTAAATAGAGAAAAAGAGCGGCAGCTAGACCCAGCAGCCAAGCGATGATGCTTCAGCAGCTGCTGCCGCGGCTGCTGCTGCTTGTCGATATGAGGCGCTTCCGCTGCTTTTCTCTCAATCGCGTTCTGAGTGCCGGCAGCATGCGTATTCGCCTTGACCGCCTTTTCTTAGCGATCAAGGAGCGTGGTCCATATCGCCTCTGCACAACTTCCCCGACAGCAGAGAATCTGTTTATAATAAATAAGCGATATTTCGTACCGTGCTCGCGCTACCGTGCGTTCCTGCACGACATGCGGAGTAGCCTTGCAACGAGAGCATATCGTGATGCATGTACGCTGCTCCTTTGACGGCAGCGAACCAGGACTCTCCCGTCGTCGATGCAGCTTGCTTCAGCAGCACGAAGCGGGTGTCATGGCCGTATTGGCGGGCGCGTGCAGAGACGCGCACCAGGGCACCATACCGCGCCGCACCAGAGGAATACGTGGCAGGGCCCCAGCGCCATGCGATCTGCGTTCAGTCATCGACGTGCTTCACGGCTGGCGCTTAAAGTCGTATCCAGCGTTTTTGTGTATAATAGCATCACTCTGGAGAGCAGATGCGTATACCTTATTGGACGCCATGCTCAAGCCGACGCCCCCAGTGGTATGTCAAGGAGGTTCTGCTTTGGTGCTGCATCCGCACCTGTGTTACAGGTGCTATCGTGCACACGCATCACAGACTCGCGCTCTCCACAGAACGTGCGTAATGACCAGCAACTCTGCGGGCAATTACGGATTGTGGCACTAGATGGATACGTGGAACGACGAATGCTTTTCCGAACGCTGATACCAAGCACGCAATCTTGGATACCTGAACTGTACGAAAACAAAACTCAGCCCATGCCGTGTACTCACGCGACGTATGCGTGCGCTGCGTTTTTCTTTCCCGCCAAAAGAGCGTTTTTCGATTTCGCGCACGTGCTATTTCGCGTCATATTTCTGGAAGAAAAATTCTGCTACTTCACGGACTGCTGCCTCTAGGGTGAGCGTCTGGCCGTGCCTGGCAATATAATCGCGGAGCGGGTCCCTGATCCACCGACACATGCAGTTCACTGTTCGCGTATCGCGATAGCGAACATCGAGAAGAATGATCGACGCATAGTCCTTAGGGTTGCGAATGCACCTTCCCAGAGCTTGGTTCACGGTACGATGCGCTTGTAGAACATACCATTGTTTGCCACTCAGACGACTCGTGCTCGTAGCATTGATGGGAGCACCAGAAACTGCACCGCTGCGCTCGTCATTGTAGCGCATCTTCAGCTGGACAAACGTGTCCGTCAGATTGGGGTACGGAATACCGACCATAATGACTGCGCGACCGTACTGATCGGCAAAGTTCAATCCTTCGCTGATCTTGCCCCGGCAAACAGCCAGCATAATGGCCCCGTTTTTGTGATCAGCGGTTATTCGACAGCGCGCGTTGGCAGCTGGTACCGGTGCGCTCGCAGTGGTCTCAGTCCGCGCTGCATCCACCGCATCGTAGTAGACCTGCAAAGCATCGCGGTTTGCATACGCTGACGCGGAGGTGTACGCTCGACCAGCACCGCGTCGTTTCCGCTTGGACCGGTCCCGAGACAGGATACTGGAAGACGCAGCACGTAATGAGCTCGGCCGTTCCCCGAGAGCCGCCACAGATGCATCCGTCCCATATTCCCTTGCAGGGGTAAAGCAGGAGTCGCGCCAACCACGACGCTGAAGTCTGTATCCGCCAGCAGTCTCGGTCGCATATTCTGTTATAACTTGTCCAGAAGAGCGCTCGATGAAGAGACGCTTAGCACCACAAATCCGCTCGATCGCGCCGGTGCTGCTCCAGCGCTGCAACATAGACTCCAAGACTCGATAGCAGGGCATGAAACAGAGCACACCATCGGGAATCTGTGCGCTGCAGTGCGCAAGCGCTTCGCCGATGGCATCCTGATATGACCAGGTAGCGCTCGTTCGGTAGGAACCCTCTAGACGGTCGCCGGAGCTGCTGGTTCCCACAACGCAAACTCGAACGTGTTTCTCTGGATCGATAATGTGGTCGCATTCTGTCTGACACAGAAAATCGGTCGCAAGTTCACTTCGAAAAGATTCCATTGGCGATAGTGTTCCCGAAGTAAGCACGATGGATCGCGCATTGTCTCGCAGATGACGAAAAGCAATTGCGGGATTCATGCACCAAAGTCCAAGTTTGAATTCAACTCCTCCGTAGGTGCCCTGGCGCATCTCGCGTCTCAGTACAAGTCTATAGTCTGTGGCGTGCAGCAGGGAAGCCTCCGCAGGTGCAGCTGCGCCCTTCGAGCTCTGTCCGCCGTAAATAAACTGCAGCGCAATGTGGAAGCGTTCTAGCAGATGGAGCACTTCACCGCACAGAGACGCGAAGCGGGGCTCGGTTTCTGCACGCTCATCGCCCGTCGTGGGACGCGCCTGCACCGACTGTTCAGCATGTTCTTCGGTCGCTGTTTCCGTTCCAAAGCCCGTCGAGGCCGCCATTCCTGAAGCCAAAGCCGGCACCGTGCGCTGCTGTTTCTGACGCCAGCGATCAAGAAAACGGTTTAACTGGCCCATGGACCAGTTCCACTGCTCAAAGTCAAAATTTTGGAAAAACCCTACCTCTAACTCATGCAAGAGAGCACCGTCTTGCCAGAAAACCGTGGCCTGTGCATGAAGACGTTGCGCTGCAGTGCATGGGCCAGACGTCGGACGATGACTTTCGGGAATGCCGTGAATGTCATCTAACAGCGGTATTCGTGTCTCAATGAAGGACGCTAGGGCCTGCAACCAGTGGCGGAACACTCGAAGTAACGCCGTACCATTCAACGACGGACGCCGGACCATCAGTGTCTCCAGGGTGGGCTCTGTTTCCGGCATCTGAACCCCCAGATAGTGATCTAGCTGCAGGAGAACCCGTTGCACCTGTGATAGACTTACGTCTACTGATGCCGCTTCTAAGCACACCTCTTCTATGTTGTGAGCTTCGTCGATTATCAATACGGCACCGGTGATATCGATATCCATGCGTCGACGAATGAGCGGATCCACAAGGTATGAATATGGAGAAAAGATGATATCAGCAGGCTCTATGATCGTTCGTGTCCGCGTTGTACATGAAGTCGCCCGGGCGCTTACGGCACCATCCGTAGACGAAGCGCTTCCCGTGTGCGAGCGTTCGTCGGGGACGCTTGATCCTTCAACAGAGTCTTGATTTGGTTCCGTTTGAATGTCACCATGGACGAGAAAGCGAGATGCAAAATACGGACAACCATGCCAGTGGCGACCGACTTGCACGAGATCTTCCATTTGAAAAGGCTGCGGGGCCGAACACGCTGTTCGCCTCACCGCGGCGCTGTGATGATAGAAGCAGGGCGATATTCCTGCCAGAGGGTCAGCTACTGTGCTGGATGCATCAGCTGCAGACTTGGCCTCCTCCATGAAGCTGAGCTGGACGGCTCGCTGACAAGCTTCCGCTTGCAGAGTCGATGGCGCTCTCTGAATATCCTCATGTACGCAGTAGTGCTTCCGCGACGCCAGCAGTGTGGAACGCATCTTACCAGCGTATGGAGTGCGGCGCATCTCTGCGATGACCTGGGAGAGTTGAGCGTGCGTACGCGAACAGAAGAAAATCCGTGGGTGCCTCTGCTGTACGGCAAGGTTCGTACCCTCCAGGTGCACTGCGACACTGCAGAGCGGGTTCAGTGGGACCTGCTTTCCACAAAGTGGATATCGATGCCGCGTACCAGCCACAGCACCTTGCTGACGCCATCTCTGTGAAGCGCTTTTCAACTGCGATACTCGCGGAGCCGGTCGGCTGGTAAAGTCATCATCATCGTCGTCGTCGTCGACATCTTGAACGCCGCAGTCATCCGCCGCAGAGCGGCTCTCAGGCAGCAATTTCGGGATTGATTGCTTCTCGTCGGCGGGTTCTTCAGTTTCGGGTTTAAATTCGGAGTGCATATCAGCGTGATTTGCAACCGCTAATAGACTGGGCTCTGAGCGCTCTTTCTCTTTTTCGAGCCACGCCAGCGCCGAACAGAGTAACGCCAACGACTTGCCCGTTCCCGTAGGTGATTCTATGCACGCGTTTTGCGCCCGCTGCAAACATCTTATCACTTGGTTCATAATGATCAACTGCGGCTTGTGCGGTTCCAATTCTGTGGGGAACTTTACCTCCAGCCCGGCGATCTCCAGCGTTCGCCAGGTCTTCAGCGTCTGCGCTCCGTTTGGCTCCTCGTGCCGCTCGACATTGGACATGAAGAGCACCTCTGTTGTTGCTCACAAGCCGTCGCCTTTGTGCGGTCTTGGTCAAGCCTCGTGATCGCTTTTAAAAGTTTCTTTTGGCCACGGCAGCGATAACAAACGCCTTTCAAAAGAAAAACGCTGCCGCCAGTGTACAGTAATGGCGAGCGACCCGCCGTAGACAAAACTTCTCCAACTAAAGTGCAGACGCGTCCCAGTTTTTTGGATCGGCCACCAACTACTGCTTCCAATTGTTTCTCATATAGTTTCACTTTAAACGGTTGTCTCACAAAGTTCTCTCGTGTCAACACTGGAGGTCTCGTCTCCAGCACCGCATATCTCCGTGTATTGATAGCGGCGTTAAAAGCTCGGTACACAAACTCCATACGTTTCTTGCCGTCATTCGTTGTACTTACTAGTGCAAGCAATCCACGAACTTTCGCCCTACTTTCCATTTGCTCTTCCGTCAGCGGTCCGTACTTTGCTATAGCCTTGGGGCTCCGCTGAGGCTTTTCCATCTCGACCCACTGAAGTGTACACCCCAGTTCATGGTGTGTATACGATGTTCGGAGCTCATCTACAGGTATCGTGACGAAACGCCCGGCGCACTCCTTGTACGTTCTTGTCGTTGGAGCTGGCGTAGTCCCTTTTTGGGTCTTCCATCGCCCTGCTCCATACGCTACTACGAGCCTCTGATTTTCATCCTCCTTCAGGGCACTCAACTGATTGAAAAAGTTCGCGAATGCACGCTGCTTCCCGCAATACAGATTCACACGCAAACGAACCCACCGGGGCTTGGCATACTCCTCCCACAAGGCATCCCAATGAGCAACGCGAACTTTCATGAATTTCCGAAAAGCTTTACAGTCCGCTCCGCGGCCCATCACCTTGCTCAAAGCCTCAAAGTGATCCTTCATTCCTGCATTCTTCGTCTCGATTTTCTACCTTAGAATCATTATACCGGATTCGCGATAGTATCTCGCTCTCGAGAGTCTCAACAGACGCATGTCTTTCTGACGTAAGTTACCGTCAGTGCTATCTTCCGCACGTTTGGGTACAGCGATGGTTATGATATTCGTATTCCCAGGGTCCGCGTCAACGACAAGGTCGTTATTCTGCACTTTCTGCGTCTCAGGACCCGCCTCCTTCTCATCTTCATGCTTCGCCGCATCAACGACAAGGTCGTTATTCTCTACCTCCTGCGTTGCAGGATCCGCCTCCTCCTTTTCTTCATCCTTCGTCACGGGCGCAGCCGAGGGCGGAACTGGACGGTCTTTCTTCAACCGCCGATAGTGTACACACATGGCTACTCCATCGGTTTCGACCATCCCAGTGAACAACTTTTGCTTGCTCACTCTCAGACGTTTGAAATTGAAGATATTCTTCCAGTATGTCTCCAGGTTTTCGCGGGTGAAGTTCTCCCTGCTGACAATGAACTCCGGACTGATCTCCTAGGTGATGCCGTAAAGGACGCTGGAGTCGATAGTCACAAAATGTGACTTGACTTTCCACATTGGAACCACGTTGAAGCGCTTCTCCATTAGGACAGCCTTCCGTCTCTCCCACTCTTCATTTTTTTCCCTCACTCAGCTGCACCTCTGCCTTGCGTTATAGCCCTCGGTCCAGAAACACGAAATAGCGCAGGATGAGGCGATAGTATCTTTCCCTATCCTTTTTTCAACTCTGATATCTTGTCTGTTTGATTCGCCAACCCCAAGACTGCACGGTGCTCTTCTATGACCGCACGGATGACGGAATCCTCATTTGTGCTCCTGCGTGACGGCTTCTTGCCGATGAATTCGATCTCTCTTTCGCTCTTACTATCGTTCGTGATGCCATTGATAACCGCCCATATTCCTTTGCGAGAGAGGCCCGGGCACAGCACAAACACGGCGCGTGTCATGAAACGTTCCAGGTTCATCGTCAAGTGCTTCTTCACGATCGTGAGGTACTTCATCGCACCGGAGGTGTAAATATGCCCGTCTCCCCTGAACCGAGTACGATCGAAGCGGTATTCGGGGTGATTTCAGTGGAGGGCATGCACTCGCTCATTTCTCTTCGACGTTTCCCCTGTACCAAAGATAAGGTGGCGAATAAATGTCTTGTTGAAAAAATCTTCCGGAATCTTGACTGTGTCGATGTCCGTTACTTCGCGATACACCTCCATTGCTACATGCATCAGTCCTGAAGACGCCTTGACAATACTCTTGGAGTATGAGTCGACACGGTTTCTGATAGCGTCTCGCAAGTTTGCCTGCTACGGATCTCCGATATAATGAAGAAGGCAGGCTTCCACCATCATCTCGTCGTAAAGTCGTCTTTCTTGCAGCCTTCGACGTAGGGCATCCCCCTTTTGCCTCTTTTTCTCTTCCTTTTCTTCTGGACTCGGCACTGTTTTTTTTTGTTTTTCTGGCAACCAGCGACACTGAGCTCCAGGATCATCGACTTGCTTTTCCATAACTTTCCTTTTTCAGTCTTTTTTTTGAAAAAGAAACCTCTTTAAACGCTTCTGTTATATACTGCAACAAATCAATCGAATATTTTTACTTGAGGGTTGAAACACAATCGAACTGAAAACTATACTTGGCTATGAAATTAACGAAAATACAACTGTTACGTTAGAGCTACACGCTAGAGATCAAGATTGCGTTTCCCTTCAACGGCGGCGGCATGCGCGTCGTGTCAGTTGAGTGCCAGTTCTGCCAGGTGCACTCACTGAGCGCGATGCGTGCACCTCGCGAGACGCTACACGGATCGATGAAGGACACGTGTCCGACGTCGCATTAGCACATGCGTGTTCTCACCGACGCACTGCAGCGGAAATCAGGTGTCCTAGATCGGAAACTCACATAGAGTGATCCCCTGCGCTAGGCTCTGTCGCTGGTGCCGACACTACTGCCCATAGCAGTACCGCCCTGTAATACAACGGGTCGCTGGGGCCCGGCACGAAACCCCTCGATGACTCCAGCACACGCGTAGTTTTCGCTGCGGCTTACGCTTGGGCGGATGAGGTATGCGTCACACTAGTCATTAAGTGTTTCGTTAGTATTATTGATCGTAGACAAACTAGGTACGGTAGTGTTCCCAAGCACGGATATACGTTTATTCCCTTTGCTTGTTATGCATGCCGCACGGACGCTGGAATAAGGAACTGATTTGAATTCTGCTACTAGTGTACGTCCGCTTTTCAACAGAAGGAGCACCTTCCACCGGAACCCTAAGTCGACTTGGAGCAACGAAAACACCAGGTTCCGCACTTGGCATCTATGCAAGTGCTTGAGCATGCCAGGCGCATATCGGTTGAGGCAGCGACTCAAGGTATATCGATAGCGCTGTCATAAAGACGCATGTCTGGAGCATACTTCTATGAAGCGCCTTCTTTCACGCGTTCCAGTTGAAGCTGCTCAGCAGCCAGTGTCCACGTCTTCAAGGCGTCCTCACTGAATAGACAGAAACGCACCTCTTGCAACGACTGCTGCGGTGATTCCCCGAGCGTGTCTTGTACTGCCTCGAGTGCAACTCGAGCGGCCTCTCGAAGAGGATATCCATACACGCCGCAAGATATCGTCGGAAAAGCAATTGATCGACAGTTGTGCTCGATTGCTGTGAGAAGGGAGTTACGATACGCCGAGCGCAAAAGTGGCGCACTCTTCTCCGCGTTCTGGTAAATCGGTCCCACCGTGTTTATGATATAGCGCACCTGAGGCAAGTTCCCCTCGGAAACAGGCCATGTGATCTTTATTGGAACCGCTTCACCAGTAGGACACCGCACACCAGGACGCTTTTCGGGTACCCGCTTACAAGCCTCCAGTAGCTCTTTACCAGCAGCTCGGTGGATGGCGCCGTCAACGCCACCACCTCCTAGCATGCGCTCGTTCGCAGCATTGACGATCGCATCAACTGCTTCGCGAGTGATGTCGGCTTGTTTCAGTACCAACCGAGTCGTCTGAGGTGCTGGTGGACGCAGGCGATACACCGTACTGCTGCTCATTCCGAACGGCGTGAGAAAGCCAAGCTTATCCCGCATGGTACTTGCGGGCGCTCACACCCACGAGCAACAAATGCCTTTCAAAAGAAAAACGTTGCTGCCGGCAGTGCACAGTAGTGGCGAGAAGCCCGCCCTAGGCAAGAAGCCACCAACTGTCGTGCAGACGCCTCCCACTCTTATTCGACCGGCCACCTCCTACTGGTTCCAATTTTTTCTCATGCAGTTCCACTTTGAGAGGGTGTCCAACAAAGTTCTGTCTTGTCGACTCTGGAGGTCTTCTCTCCAGCACCGCACATCTCCGGATATTGATAGCGGCATTAAAATCTCAATTCACAAACTCCATCCATTTCTTGCGATCATTCGTTGTACTCACCAGTGCAAGAAGTCCTCGCACTTTTGCCCTCCTTTCCATTTGCTCCTCCGTCAGCGGTCCGTACTTTGCTATTTCCTCAGGACTCCTCTGGCACTTTTCCATCTCGACCCTCTGAAGTGTACATCCCAACTCATGGTGTGTATACGACGTTCGGAACTCAAGTATCGGTATTGCGACAAAACATCGTGCGCATTCCTTGTACGCTCATTGCGAGTTGCTGTAAACCGGAAACGAAATTCTCCTCGACAAACCAAAAAAGTGGTGTTGTGGCTTTCCGCCAGACACGGTGGCTGTTGTTGCCGTGTCCATGACCCTGCAGGTGTGTCCCGGAGTGCGCAGACTCCACAAAAGCCGCGAGTTCGCGCTGCTGCCCTGACATCGGGGTGCTGGCGGCTCCACAGCACAGATACCTCATGATGTGCGGGCGGAGCATGCTGCTTCGGCGCCGTGGGAACCACGCGCTCTCATGCGCGTTCCCTTCTGATCCAATATGTGATCCGTAGAGTGATACTGGCGGCTGTCACGGAGCGTCTTGCATATCAAATGCTGATCTGGGAACTGCGGCCTAGGGCTCGGAGTTTCATGTCAGGAATAGTCCATATGCGCACGATCGGTACTCGAAGCGAACGCGCTGGACACCTTACACTGCTTTGCTGCACGAGAAGAGTGCTATGCTCGTAGCCGGTTAGAGCACCTTACGAAAAGCCAGCATGAACGTCGCTTGCAGGTACGGTGCATGATACGGGCTAGGCGAGAGCGATCCGTTTGCCACGCATTTCGGAATGCGAATTCGCTGTTCATGAGTGTCTTCCCGTAGTAATGCCTCGTTACTTCAGGTCAGAGGCGCGCCTGTTCGAGTTGGTTTAGCTCTTGCATTCTAGCGCGAGTGTGCGACCCTTTTGCCGAGTATCTGCAGTAAGAGCGAATTTACAGATTTGCGTTGGCGCTACACACATCGCAAATCTACTCTATAAACGAGGGGAGGATATGCAGATCGCCTCATCGATCGCTGGACACCGCGTGTGTCTGCAGCACCCAGAGATACGTAGCAGCAGCAGCAGCAGCATCGCTGGCTTCCGAGCTTCCAGTTCCACGACTTTGATAACCCCTCTGTACATTCGTATTCAGCAGGCCTATCTGCAACCCGATGCTCAACGAGCACAAAGCAGCATTTCGATCACCACATGCGCAGTTGCAAACAATGCTGGCTTCTGAAAATGCGCTGCTTGCACCGTCTTTGATCGTTCATCGATTGCGCGCTTGTCGCAATACCCTTTGTGGACTAAGCGAGTCGCTTGTGATGCTTCTACTCATCCAGCAACGCAGCGAGTTACATCTCTTGCAATGCCTCGCGCCAAGATCTATGACGCCGGCGTGCCGAGCAAGCACGTATGGTACGCTGCTGCGGATTGCAAGAAGGAACGATAACCACTGCGACGGTTCGTTCTGCTCTCAGAGCTTGCCCAAGTCCCTTTTCAATTTCTCCAATTCCTCCTCCACCTCGCTTCTCAGATTCCGAACTTTCTCCTCAGAAGCAGCACGGGCCTCCTGTACGCGACGAATTGCATCCAAACGGGACTGCAGCAACCCCTCGCGGGAGCGCTGGCGAGCAATCAGGGACTGAACCTGGCGAATACGAGACTGAAGTCTCCGCGCCTCCAGCGAGAGCTCATGCACCTTAGACCGGGCCTCCTGCTGGGTTCCTGCACTTAGATGTGCATCTTTCGCTCGTTGCTCCTGCTCCGCGCGTCGCCGCTCGGTGAGTTCTAGAGAATTTTGAAGCAAGCGTAGTCGCTGCTCACATTGCTCACGCACGAAACGAGCATCATCCAGTTCTGCTTGGAGAACGTCTTCATCACTCGAAGTGAGAACGCTATTGAGGTCCTCATTCCGCAGGGAGCCCCAATTGGCACCCTGGCTCTCTAGAAATTCGACAAAATCTGCAAAAATACCATTCTCTTTTGTGCCCTCCTGCCAAAGACGTCCGAGCTGCTCCATAAGATCCGAGAAAATAGCTCCAAAAGAATCATTCAAGTCCTCGGGGTACTCCTCGGTGCTGCTGGAACGTCGCCGCTGCGCGCCAGGACCTCCGATGCCCCAGAAAGGCCCCGAACCCGGCGAGCGACGTTGCAAGTCATATTGCTTGCGGGCGTCCTCATTCGATAGCACTTCATAAGCACGCAGAATGCGAATGAACTTCTCGCGTGCCTGCGGATCCTTATTCGCGTCAGGGTGGTTCTGCAAGGCTAGTCGGCGATATGCTCGCTTGATGGTTGCCAGGTCTGCGTCGCTTTCCACTCCTAAAACTGCGTAATAGTCTTCGGTTGGATCAAACTGGACAGAACTCCGCGCAGACAGCGTACCAACGCCAGACCGTTGTTGTACTAACAGTGACTTGCGACTCCAAGCTGCCCGACTGGGTCTCGAAACAATCAACCTCCGTTTTGGGCAACACTGTTCCGGAATCTCGCTACGTAACGCAAACCCTCGACGAACAAGCGGCAAGTTCGCTTGTGTGAACATTACCCGGCGCTTTCGTTAAAAAGCCTCTATTCAATATTACGCTCCAGGTGCACCAGGAGCCACTAGCGAATCAGAGCACGCTGGCTCTCGAGTGAGCTCGTACGTCAAGCTCTGCTCCAAAACTTCGCTGGTAAACTGCTTCCTAGTGCACTCGTCAGCACCGTGGTGGCTGTCACAGTGCACTGTACACACGCTCAGAGAAAGCCTTCAAGGGGTACGGTTAGCCGAAGAACGTTTCACGATCTCGTAGCGTAACCGAATATCGATCTGCAGACGTCTCCCTTTTTCGAGCGGCCACCTGGTATCGGTTTCAGTTTATCCAGGTACAATTGGAGTCTGGGAGGCTGTCCCATAGAATTCAGTCGCGTCACCTTTTCGGGTTGCGGCTTCAGTCCCACTCATCTCCTGATCTTGTCGGCTGGCATGAAGTCTCAGTTCATGAACTCCTTGCATATATTGCCGCTGGTCGAATTCATGCATTCAAGAATTCCTAGAACTCGTGCCCTCTGTGCCACAATGGTCTCGTCGTCGCTCCGTCGGGCAAACAAATATTCTCGTCTATCTCCTCTCTTCTTCTTCGTTACTCGCTCCTCTTCACTCGATGATCAGCGAGAAGAAAATTTTTTCGTTTCTTTGTCGAATCTGGCGATTGGTGCCCTCCAGAATCCTCGAATTCCATGTCCATCTCTATCCCACGGATTTTTTATTGCTTTAAAATGAACGCCTCTCATAATGGACTTAGGTGAGGACCTTTCAGCAAGGGAGAAGGAGTTCCGGAAGATAGAACTCGCAAAAACAAGAATGCGAAGGGAACGATGAAAGGCAACGATGTGCAAGAGAAGGACGTTGTCAGACGTGGAAAGCGTCATCAATGGTTGGATAAATGGAATGCTGTGGTATGAGCCTTCTATTCGAGTTCGATCTTATATTCAATTGGTTTCCTCTCGGCAAATACCGATATATGCTGGGACGGTCTCGTGGGAAAGACGTCTCATCGACTGACAGAACAAACCGATGTCCCTGTGCTTCATATCGATAGCGTCTTTCGGGGAATTCTGTCGTAGTGACGTCCGAGGAAGATGGCTCTGAATGAAATTGGACTTTTAATGTGACGTTATCCCAGTGATTTCAGTACCATACCAACAAACTATTGAGGCACAGTGACGCTTGTGTTATCTACAATCGTCGCTTTTGCTTCCTATAAGTTGATCCACGGGTTGTTTTCTACCACTGAACCAAAGCAGGTTGTGAGAGTATCGGTTTTTACCGCTGTGCACATATAATTGCTCCTTTCAGTGTTCCCCAGTTGTCAGAGTACTGGGGTACGACTGACCTGAAGGAGGAACGTAGTCCTCCGTGCATAATTCCGTAAAGCATATATCCTACATTCAAATCGTATACAATATATACACTACATTGCATCGTAATGCCGATCTCCTGCTATACGCTCCAGCAGTGATGAAACAAACCTGAGTTGAACGACTCAAAGAAGTGCTGCTGTTCAACGCGCTGTCGAGAATGCACCTCACCAGTACCACGATGCCGTGGGACGCGCTTCCAGCGCTAGGCGCAGGTCGCGTTCATCATAGTTTCGGTGTCGTAAACGGCCGAACATAGCAAAATGCCCGCAACGCAGTAGGATCGACGAGTTGGAACTGAGCTGGCGTTACTGTGTGACTTTATATGTGGGCGTTGTGCAAATGCGGTGGTTTTATCCACAACGCGCTGGTACATAAATGGCAGGAGCTCGCCGCTGGTGAGCGTCAACGAGCCCGCGGATCGAACGCTCAGCGACAGCCCCTTGTCTGTCGGGATGCAACAAACTATGATCGCTACAAGTTCTTCCCGAAAGAGTACCGTCGTGCCGGCGCTTCAAAGCGCGGCACACGAACGCCTTGGCAGTCCGCTTCTGGGGCGAGAGGTGCGCCCTACCAGAGGCCGCAGCCACCGCCTCCGCGAGCGCCTCCGAGTCAGAGCGCTGGAGACGGCTCATCAGATATGGAGGCTCAGGCACTGCGCGCGATGAAGTGTCTGAAGGAGCACTTTGGTCTATCGGAGTTTTGGCCGGGCCAACTAGAAGTGATTCTGCGCGTTTTACAGGGACACTCTTCGTTGGCGATATTTCCCACTGGCGGCGGTAAATCGCTCTGTTTCCAGGTCCCTGCAATGTTGCTCGATGGACTGACGCTGGTGGTCTCTCCACTTATCGCCCTCATGCGTGACCATGTCGAGATGCTCCAGAACCAGGGTATCCCAGCGATGCATATTCATTCAGGGATGTCGGCCCCAGAGGTGCGGCAAACCTATCGGCTGCTCAGTGAACGTGCCATACGCATTCTGTTCGTCGCACCCGAGCGCTTTGTGAATGAGAAATTCCGCCAAGTCATTGCAAGACTGCAGGTCTCACTCTTCGTCGTCGACGAGGCGCACTGCCTTTCCGAATGGGGCCACACATTTCGTCCCGAGTATCTGCTCCTGCGGCAGTTCGCTCAGGGCGCGGGTGCCAGAGTCTGTCTGGCGCTAACCGCCACCGCGACCACACGCGTTGTAGACGACATCTGTCGTCATTTCCATATCCATTCTGAGAACGTGATCCGTGCGAGTGTGCACCGGCCGAACTTGACGCTACGCTGTACGCCTGTAGGCGAATTCTTCGGAACCTGGTCACCCGATACCGACAAGGATGGGCGCCTGGAGCGGCGGGTATTCTTACTCGTGGAACGCTTGCTGTCCCGACCGCGCGGAAGCACCATCGTGTACGTCACGACGCAGAAGACTGCGACGGCAGTGGCGGAGCTCCTGGTCACCATGTACAGCCTTCCTGCGGTTGCCTACCATGCCGGCATGACGACAGAGGAGCGAGCTTCGGCCCAAAACATCTTCATGAGCGGGCGAGATACAATTATTGTGGCCACTATCGCGTTTGGAATGGGCATTCACAAGCAAGAGGTCCGTTACGTTTACCTCTTTAACATCAGTAAGAGCATCGAGGCCTACACACAGAGTATTGGACGCGCGGGGCGCGATGGAGAACCCGCCATCTGTGAACTTTTCCTCTGCGCTGATGATCTGCCCGCCCTCGAGAGTTTTGTGCTGAGCAGCACCCCATCTCGCCGAGCTGTTCATACGCTTCTAGAGTCGCTTTTTGGCAGCACTGTAGGTCTCGCGGAGGAGCACATGACGGCTAGCGCTAACGCTCCCGAAAGCCCGAACATTCGGTACATGGAGAAGATCGCTGTGCGCGAAGATCAGGTGGCGCTTTCTTTCTTTAACTGCGGAAGAGCGCTGGATATTGAGGAAACTACTATTCGGGTTTTGCTTGCTTTCTTGGATTTGAAAGGAGGATTTATTGAGGAACAAACTGCCTACTACGCTCACTGCGAGGTCGATCTCCTGCCGAATACGAGTGTCGAGGAGACCTTGCACCTCCTGAGGAGGGATGTCTCTGTGCCCGAAGGGGTTTGGCGAGCGGCCCGGCTCATCTTGAATCCGTCTGTGAAGGTTGGCCGGCGTCGCACCAGCGACAACAACCTATTCATGCGGATCGATATCCACGATGTCGTGCGAGCACGAACGGCGGCATTTGCGCATCCCGTGCCGTCTGGAGCGACCACCCGGGAACTTGTCTACTCTGCTCTCGAGCTTCTCCAGTCTTTGGGTATCGTTAGAAGTATCAAGTTCAGCCATCTGTATCACGTATTTCGTATTGTGGCGAAGCCGAGTGATATGCAGCAGCTTGCGGACGATCTTTACCGCTCCATGCTCCGACGTGAACAGCAAGAGCTTTTTCGGATTCGCACCACTGCGGCGCTTTTCCTCGGAGCAGAACCTAGGCCGGGGAACAAATGGGTTGCGAGCCGGGGCTCTCGTTGTTTTGCCCGCTCGTTATGCGCCCACTACAATGAGATTCTGGTGCACAAGTGCGGTCGCTGTGAGCTATGTCTCGCCGCAGAGGGTGCGCTGGGTGAAACGCCCGGAATGGAACGTCTTCGTGAACGCATCCTCAATGGCGGCAGTACCGAACTGGAGTCTCTGAATGCAGTACTCGCGGACGAGAAATGGCAGCAGCTCATTGTGCAAGTGCCGGTGCTACGCACTTGCTCGCGGTTGTTGGCTCGCTTCGCATGGGGCGCCACCTCACCAAAGATACTATCCATGAAACTACAGGCGCACCCGCTGTTCGGCTGTTTGCAGGGGCGTTACCGATACGAACAGGTGCTGGAAGCTGCAGAGCATCTGCTGCAGGGAGATGATCTGCTTCAAGAAAGCCCGACGACTGTCGCATGAATCGCACGTGTGCTTACGTGTGCCTGTTCTCGGTTTGGGCAGCACGACTCGAACAGCGCCCAGCTCAGTGGTATCCAGAGCAAGGAGTCGAGTGATCGCGACGAAGGTCGCCAGGATGAATCCTCGCGTCATGAGACTGTTCGGGCTATGTTGACGTCCCTAGTGTGGAAGCGGTATCTCGGTTTCTTCAGATGATGCAGCTGCGTCTTCGTATAGCTTGTTTGTCGGAGCGGTTCACGGTGATGCATCTGCTGAAAAGCTTTGTCGTGCAGCTTCGTCACTGGACAACTCCTTCGACCACACGATCTGATGACAGAACAGAGTAATTGTCGGCGACAGCTCCGGCGTTGCCGGCCCGGCGATACAAAAGTTCCTAGAGAAGCCTCCAGCAGAAAAAAGCGAACGTGCTCGTAATCCCAGTTAAATGACCAAGGAATGCAAGCAGCCAGCTGACATCGGCAGATGCTTCGAATGCATTTTCGACGAAATGAATATCAGTCCACGAACCTGGAGCGCGTGCAACGAACGAATACACTACCAACAGGAGCAGGTTTCAAGCTCGTTTGGCGAAGCCGCTGCTTTATACTCAGAGTGGTGAATTCCCGAACGCATGCATTGGCGTCCTTTTTATTTTTGTTTGTTTCTCCCGTGGGTGTTCAAGGAGAAAATGCATCCCGTGGATTAGAGAACGGCCGCGTTGAGACAATATGCTGGCTCTGCTAGCTAGCGAGAAAAGGTCTTACATCTACACATAAGTCTCATTATGGGCAGCGGATCGATGACCCAATCTTCTTGAAATGCATATTCTGGATGCTGTGCACCTTAAAAAACAGAAATTTTCAAACACCGTCGACATTGCTGTCCCATTGCTGCGAATCCATTCCGCTCCAAACGTTCTCCAACAAGGTACCACAAAAGATGGCGCAGGATGAGCAGTTTTAGCACTGTTCCTACGAATCCTGGTGAAGCGATACGTATAGGCAATGGTAAGAAGCTCACGAACACGAGAGAACGTGGCGCCTTGAACAGTAAACCATCAATTTCGCACTCGACGGGACTAGCTTCGGGAGAAACCCTATCACTTTATATCATTACTCTAAGAAGCATAAACCGCAGTTCTTAAAGAAGAGAGAAGCCAGATTATTACAAAGTCATCAGCTGCAACAGCGATTCATTCGTGTGGTCGCCTACGAATTGCCAAATGAACCCGATTTTTCAATACTTCATCTTTCGTCGGTGGACACGCCGCGGCTTCTCCTTCGCACACATTCTAGTGTGCTACGCTTCGATAATCCACTTCAAAAAAAAAGGCGGCCAAGCAGTGCGCAGCTTAGATTCGCGTTGAGCTGCTGTTCGTGCTAGCCTAGCCTCCTCAGTTCAATCAAGTCGAGATCGAGTTCCTCGTTCTCAAACATAACGTAGACACTCGTCGGTCAGTAGGCAATGATTCTCATCCACGACATCTTTCTTCGACTAATCTCTTTTCGAGCAGTTGTTCTCTACCTGAGCAATGCCTTCATCGATCTGTTGCTCTTCGGCGCGTTCGCAGAAGGGATCAAAAAGGCGTGCTTTTGTTCGTATGCGTGCCCGCGACGAAGCAGGCGGCGAAAAGGTTTTTAAGGAGCACGTGATGCATATCCAGGCATACTGGGTGAGCTGCAGCACCACCGTACACTCAATGCATCAAAATTCCAAGTGGAAAAACGGATATGGAGTATAACGACCACATGCGCATCACCCCGCCAAATAAAAAAGAAAAGTAGAAAAACCACAGACCATAAAGAAAAACATCCTTCCGAGCAGAGGACGAGGAGTTCCAGCATGGAAAAACTGTAGACACAGAATGACCATTCTGAAACAGCCGTAAAGGCATCTGTACGAAAACACATTAACGGCAAAAATCTTCTAAAAAGTCCGGCGCAACACGCCATAAATGATAACGTAACCTGGTATTCGAGGAACGCTCAAGTAGCCTCTCTCGCCTTGAAGGCCCTCGTCAAGCAACGGTTCGTCCGCGTTCTGGACGCTGTGGTGCTCGCTGCCCGCATTCCCTTGGAACCATTTGATAAGATCATCAGGCTGCTGCACAGTTGATGCGCTGGACTAAAAATGCAATTCGTCCTGATCGTCGTATCCAAGGTTCGTACAAACGCCTACCAGGATACCTGGACTTGCCGCCCCGCCACAGCGGCGACAGTTCCATGCTCAGCGCAGATTCCAGAGAGCACCAATGAAACCTGATATACCAAATGCTAGTCAATCTCGTGCTCGTCTTGAAGCGCAGTTTGTGGGCGTTGTGAACTCTTTTCACCGGCCCAGAGAAGCGAAGAATTGGGGAAGGGAACTGACGTGCCGATGAAGCCAAATGGAGGGCAGTTACTGGATGATCTCGAGATGGTAGCAGGATCGGAAGAAGAGTCCTAACGAACGCGATCGTCGCTGCTGGTCCGAGTCCGCGCTTCTTGTGTTGGACTCAGCCTCGGGCCTATGGACGTTGTATTTACAGGATGTTTGAGTTGTGGTGTCTGCCTTCCTAGCATTGCTCGCGACTGCGTTTAACTGCACAGCACTCTTCGGAACAAAGCAGATTGCAGCACTGAATGCGAGCGCCATCGTCTCTTCAAGTGTCTATTCGATGTTGTCCCCATGTATCAGTTCAAGACCGATAACATCTGGATCGACACTTCCATACTGCATGGTCTCCTCAGCGAGCTAAGACTGGTTTCCACAAGCGAGTATGGATCATGTGAACAATTTTCATGAACAGTATTCATGAAGCAAATTCATGATTTCTTGTTTTCGGGAAGGAACCGGAAAGGAGCTCACAGAGACAACGAATACGGGCGGAATTTCAGTTGGAGCAAACTTAGTGAAACCTAGGTCTGTGTTATGTAACGAGACATATTTTCGACCATTCAAAATAGAAGAAGAGAAATACTTCATGGATGGCATGGATGCCCAGGTGACGGTCGTCTTCGCCGCTGCCGTGACTCTGCACCCAGAGGGCAAGGCCGAAGACCAGAAAGCAAAGCAGATGAAGCTGCTCAATCTGTGTCGGGCTCCATAGCATCCGAAGACAGCCTTATGGATGCAAGCAGCCATTTCGACAAGTCGGACGACGGCGTCGTGGTCCTTATCGATGTCACGCGCATCGCGTAGAGCAGAGGGTCATGCTTGTTTCGACTTAGTAAGGGAGTACATGAACGTCCAGTTGTCTCACTTGGGCAGACTTTTGCATACATTCCGCGAACGGTTCTCCTGGTAAATAGTTGAAGGTTAGTGTCCTTTCATCTTTTGATATTACTGCGTACACGCTGATTTACTTTCCAGGCTCATCAGTCGATGATGTGAACTTTGTCTGGTGTGTGTTTGGAAATGACCTCCTCCACTCGATCCTGAACACAAACATGCATATCGTGGACTCTTTCCAAAGGATGCGGCTGATTTGGAATAATTGACGGACGCTTCGATCTGAGGCCGGCGCTTTCCGTAGATGACGTATTTTCTGAACCATGCATCATGCCTTCTGGGAGGCCCTGCGAGAAGCCTCATCGGAAGAGCTCTCAAGGTCTGCGATTATATTGATAACTCAAAACATCCGAACTCGTTTCCTGTCACGCTCTGAGAAGCAGACGTTGTCTGTTAGAATCTTTCGGTGCCCGACAACACCGAGTAAATGTTGCAGAGGCGTTTGCGGCCGTCGTCTCATGCACGTAATCAGAAAGCAAAATGGAGACGACGACTCTCACCGCTCGCACTGGCGTAAAATATGGACAAGTCGCACACGCCAGATTTATCGCTTTATCGCTCCAGATATGTGACAGGCCACAGGGACGTATTCGTACAGGACTAGATGCGCAGCAAGCTCGTAAATCGCCTTGCTTTGGTGACCTCAGAAACGCACCTCGTTGCGATGCACAGGCGTGCACTTTGGCAGACCTACTGTACAGCCGAGAGAAACATCCCATTCAGTGCATGGACCTCACATCGATGGCGACGCGAACGCCTTGGATCAGTGATTAACATTCCTACACATATGTTTGCATGGAAAGAAAAGAGTGCTTTTGGATGTATCGGACGTACACGCCCGAGTTGAAGTGTTCTCGTGCAATCAAGAATACCACTCTTTGCTGGCTTCGTCCGCGAATGCCCTATTTTCTTTTCTCTTATCTCCGGACTTTAAAACGTCGGTCATTTTCCTAAATTGACTTCCGTCGTCGGCAGTTGATTGATGTGGATAGCAGCGTTCAACGTGCCGACTTCCCGGCATCCGTCTGTCTTCGACGCATTGCTCGCGCAAAATGTAGCTAGAATCAACGTCTCAGGCGCCACTCGTCATCTTCCTCGCGCGTAGGCTCGGTGCACTCTTCGAGTCGATGACACGAGACTGTTGTCTCGTGTTTCGATACGTCCTTCATGCCTTATCCTCCGAGTACTGCCATGTGGCATGCGAAGGCTTCCTGAATCACGCCATACATGCCGTTGACAGGTACACGTGTCTTGCCTCGATATCCTCGGCCATTTCCATGCCCGGTGCCGAACAAAAAGATAATGGGCATCCTCTGTTCGGCCCCTTGTCGAGTACCCTGTCCGCTGCACGTGCAAGCAGACGCTGCTCCATTCGGTAGAGGATTTGGCGAGCGCGATGTTCTTGTGAGGAAACGTTTCCCGAAATGCAATCACGGCTGAATAACAAGTTGAGCTCTCTGGATCTGTCTCGGTTCCGTTCGTGCAAAACCGCGACAAATCCTGCATTTGGAATGATTGCTGCGATGACTCAGGTCCGAGTCGGAGACGCGTTTCGTGCGCAGAGAAAAGAAGGGAACCTCTGGAGGCATGTCCCGTGAGAGGGATCATGCTGCTGTCGATCGCCATTTCGCGGATGCCGAAAAAACAGAGGAAAATTTGTTTTATGAAGAGATTTTATTGGTTAACGATACAGATTGAGTGAAATTTCGGCATAAAATTGTGAACAATTCGTCAATGATCGACATGTTTTATTGATCGCCGCGAATCACAGCTCCCACTGTTGCCTTGAAATACAGTGATCGAAGACGCGAAGAATGCATGCACTGAGCACACTGCACGTCAGGAAGAGAGAACAACAGACGCTTTTCTATGTAGATATTCCTCTATCATATCAGTTACGTTACGAACCCTAGTTCGAGCGTATCGCGCATCATCCTGACTCCGGTAACGTCGCGAGTGCTTGCGGCACAGCGCCGAATGCGTCAACCTCGACACAGCACCCGGAACCCTAAAAATGAGCATGATCCCATAAGCAATGCTTTCTGCGCTTTAAATGCCTCGGATGCACATCGAAGAATTCGCAAAAAATATCTAGGCAGAAACAGCACGAGCACCTCAACAGTCCATGTTCCTCTGTCACGGCTGTAGCAGCCACTCCGCGCTAGCGCCGTCGACGCCAATGGCGAAATGTTGCCTCAGCTGCTAAATGGCGGCGCTTTCAAGTTGCTGCCGCTATCGTCGAGCGCCACGGTTACGACTTTGTTGCGTTCGTTGCGACGGGGCGCTTGCGAGCGCATCTTTCTCATCCCAAGACTTACATATTCATGTTCACAGTTTGTTTACCGAAACAGCTTTTCAGAGTGCACAGGGACGCCTGCTTTGTTGGCGGTTACGCACCAGCGACAACACCCGGCTGGTGCGCACTGACTAGGGGAGCGGCGAGGCCCGCAGCCCGAGTCGCGAACCAGCGTGCCTCGAACACCCTGCAGAGACGCCTGCGCAGCGCCGCCGAAGGGGAAGCTTCAGGGAAGCCTGCACCCGGAGAGGCGCAACAGGCTACATGGGTGGCTGTGAAAGCGGCCATCGTCATTGAATCACCGCGTTCGCTGGTGTACCGGCTGTTTGCTGACCTCGATCGGGTCAAGGATTGGTCGGCTTCGCTGGCCCAGTGCCAGCGGTCGGAGTCGGAGCCTGGGGTCGTGGAGTGGAAGTTTTCATGGCAGAGCGTGGAGCTGGAATGGAAGACTCGCGATACGCGCATCATTCCGAATCAACGAATAGAGTGGCGGAGCATCTCCGGCCTCGAGCACTATGGCGCAGCACTCTTCGACGATGCGAAGGATAACACCTTTATGAACATCGAATCAACACCATGCACCAGACTGACCATGCACATTCGGTACGATGCCATGTCGCCGCTGGCAGCGGCGGTTCTCCGAACGGGCGTTGTTCGGAACTTTGTCGAGACGGCGATCCGCATGGATCTGAATCGCTTTCGCGACTATTGTCTGCGACAGCAAATGCTCGAGAGGCGGCGAGCACGAAATCCCTCTGGCTAGCGGGCAAGTCTCTGTAAAATCAATGCGCTTCATATAGTCGAATGCTAGATCGACCCTCTATGTGGCGTGCATCGCGCGCACGGTGGGCATCGCGGCCGCGGCTCTCTGGCAGCACCACTCAGAGGTTATGTACCTGGCAGGGCAATGCAGACGCATTACGTCTGGATGTCCGTGTAGGACAGGATGCACTCCACGATCGATACTGGATGTAGTTTGCATGCGCTGCAGAGTAGAGTACTTAGCGACAGTGTTTGCTGTTTGACGCATGCGACCGGAGCCAGTGCATTTTTGTGGTGAAGGATTGATGCACCGCGTCAGTATTCCAGGGCGCACGGTTGCTTTCGGTCTCCAGACACGGGACACACGTTCTTGCGCAATCTCCATCGGCGTGTCATGCAAACGCTCGATCCGAATGTGAACCTCGCCTGACAGGGGGCCTCTCTCTCTCTACAGCACCCTGACATCCACGAGATAGCACCGCGGAAGGCACGAGCAACCACTGTGCACGACAGCGATCATGCCCCCGTCCAAATGCAGCATTCCATGAGCGCTGTTTCACTGACTGAGTCGCGTTGTGGGACACGTAAACGCAGTGAAGTTGCCCACAGAGGCGCATCGCTGCTTGCGTGTATTCGAGTAAAGCCAAGCGCCCGAGCCCCGGGCAGGTAAACGGAGGCGTAGCATGCACCCGAGTTCGCCGATGCTGTACTGTCGATGGCTGGCCACTGCTGAAATGATGCTGCGCTCGTACGCTTTGCTACGCTGCGCCAGGCATCGAATATCGCTCCAGGGATCGGTTGCAGCCCGCGAATCCTCAGGAATCCTAAGGTATGCGTATGTCCACATTTGCGCAGGGGCGCGCGCGCGCTCCGCGATGGCGTCGCCGTCGAGCAGATGATGCTGGTAGAGATTGCAGCGCGAACGCCGCCCCTCGCGACACTGTCGTGCGTACTTGCCGTCTTGCAACGGGCTACGCTACCGGAAAGTTCGCGAGTACGCGTCGAGGTTACCGGTCTGTGCTGTCGGTAAACACAGTTTCGTCGTTGTTGAAACTATGGTTCTGGGCTTTGCTTTTGTTTCACCAACAACATCTGCTTTGACGGTGTTGCGCCAGCACCAGGTCCGGCATGCTGGTGGACGCGTTCGCAGGCACTTTCGAGAGCACCGGCACTGGGAACTGGCCTCGCGTACGCACCAGTTGGTCATGCGGGGCTGCGTTGCCGAGCGCAGCAGCGAGTATTTCGGAAGCGGCGCAGCAGTGCGGAATTTGCAGAGGCTCAGTTTGCATCCAGCGCCCCAGTTTATCGGTTCGGAGTACGGAGGGAACGCTGAATTCGGCGGGAAGAACGGAGGCACTGTGTTGCTTTGGTTCCGCTCCGATCTGCGCTTAGACGATAATCCCGCGCTGTGTGCTGCGCTAGAGGAGGGTGCAAGCGTGCTCCCGGTATACTGTTTCGATCCGCGGCAGTTTGGGAAAACCTCGTTTGGTTTTGAGAAAACGGGAAGATACCGCGCCAAGTTCCTGATCGAGTCCGTAGCGGACCTGCGCAAAGCACTGAAGAAGAAAGGGAACAACTTGCTCATCCGCATAGGAAAACCCGAGGAAGTTATTCCGGATCTTTGCCGTAAGTATGAGATTAAGAAGGTATTTTACCATCAGGAGGTAACCTACGAGGAGCTCGAATGCGAAGAGGCTGTAGCAAGGAAGCTGGAGGATATGAAGGTAGAGGTGCATCCCTTCTGGACGAATACACTGTATGCCGTGGAGGACCTGCCGTTCCCTGTTGAGGAGACGCCCGACGTATACACTGAATACCGCCTCGCTGTGGAGAGCAAGTCGCGCGTTCGTGACCCTCTTGCCGCCCCGGACGAAATCCGAGCCATCCCGCGACATGTCGAGTACGGCACGCTGCCGACGCTGGAGGACCTCGGACTGGGACAAGTCCCGAAGACACCGGAATACGGGTCTGCGAGCACTGCGGGCTCCAGTCTGCATCACTTCCGCGGGGGTGAGTCTGAGGCACAGCAGCGGCTCGCGCAGTACGTCCAAGACGCCAAACATGCGCTCTCTGTCGGGGGTGATGTTGAGCGCGCTGCAGCGCACCTCGGTGCCGACTTTAGCTGCAAAATTTCACCATGGCTGGCCCTAGGGTGCGTGTCGCCACGTCGCATTTTCGCCGAGATTAGAGACCATGCGCTGAACGGCGCCGAGGGTGCCCAGAAATCGACGACTTTCTTCGAGCTCGTATGGCGTGACTTTTTCCGTCTCATAACCTACAAATACTCCACTAGCCGATTGCGCAAGTCTGAAAGAGCCGCAGGAATGCCTCACAAAGCGTCTGTGGCTGCTGCAGCGCCCCAGGCGAGCTGAGTCTCCGATGACGGCGCGCAAGAGCCATCCTCAGGTTAATGCGTTTCTATGATGGATCTGGTGTTTGTGATCAACCCGGGCGAGGTATAAACTCAGTCTGATCTATTCAAATTTCGTTGATCCTCGTTTCTTCGCCTGTATATTCTTGGTGAAAGCGTCTCCGCGGATGCGTTTCACAACCTCATACGTGTGAGGACATGCGCTGTTTGATTCCTTTTCAAAGCAGACATCTTCAATCCGTGCGTAACCAATACAGGGCACTATCCGAGCGATTATTCGATCAGAAACTCGCAACTCTGCCTGCATACGGTTCACACCAGGCTGACGATACGCCTAAACGTGCCCAGGTCGCTCACCCCAAGATAGCTGAAGGCGCGCTTTTTCGGATGTGAACAACGCCAGCACGCCACGATTCTGCCTTTCGACTGCTGTTTCTCGGGCAGCATTGCGCAACAACAAGAGCTCGCTGTTAACAGCGCTTCGGGTGAACTGATTGTGAGCAAGCTCCGAAACAGTCCTTACGGGTGGTGCCTGCATGTGCGTTCTGCGGCGTGCATAAGGCGTCCAGCTTTGCGCCATATCCGCAGTTTTCATGGACTCGTGTCGGCAAGCTCGTCGGATACTTAAGCTCGAACGGCGACGAGAGCCCATACGCGGCTTGCGTTGCACGGAGCACCTACAGCTGAGCGCCAGTTCGGTGAGGTGTTCTTGAACGGCACTTGCATGGAATACGTCGCCCCAGATGCGCGCTTCGATGTACAGTGCGGCGGAACCTTTGGAGCTGCGCGGACGCCTATTGCCAGCAGCATAAAAAACTTATCGCCGGTTACGACCCTCCAAGAGTATGGCGCGGGTCTCGCCTTCCCGAAACACTGCAGAGCGCCGGAGTTCCAGGATCTGCTATGGATCAACAGCCAAAAAGATCCTGTTTCCATTAAGTTGCTACATGCTGTCGAATTCGATGCATTTGCGGGCCTCAGCAAATGTTCAGGTACATATACCTGAAGAAGCTAAAGAGCATATGAGCTCGACGCTTCGCTGTGCACTCGGGCTGCGTAAAAGAAAGTAAAACGTCTCGCTCGGTTGGACCGCTTGCGCTGTTTGACGGCATGACAGCATTTTTGGGCAGTGCTCCGCTCATTCCAATACAATGCCCTGCAAGCTCGTCGGTGACGGGCGACATTCATGATTCGCTAGACGACCATGCATATGACGCCAAAGCGTTGTTTCTTGTGACGCGAGTCCATGGTGCACGCTGCCCGTCTTCCGCTCCTCAACAGCCGCAAAAATAGGGCTTTTCTGCGTGGATACTTGAGCTGCTTGATTCTGGTATATTCGCAACCTGGCTCATGGAAGGGCGCGCTCGGACAAATGGTCCGATTCCAACGAAAGATGCAACCTGGGTGACCAGTTCGCCTATAATTTCTCGCTTGGTGACGATCGGATGCCCGAAAAGCGCACTCTGTCGGATAGCGGCTGGAATATCGCATTGTTCTGGCATGTTGGAGCGCTGCAAGTAGCGCATCACCGTCTCATTCTGACAGACACGCTTCGCAACTGAAAGCGTTCGCATTCAAGCAGGGAAACGTTCCTGACTGAGCACCATTTCGATCGAAACATAGTATTGCTTGAGTTCGAGAAAGCGCTTCCAACCGAACGAACAAACGCTCGTCTTGTTCGGCGACAGCGCTGTTGTTTGACGAGGAACCCGCATCGTTCGCTTGCAGAGAACACGAACTGGAACTCCAAGGGATCGGAGTAGATTTCCATTTCATTGACACAACTCGAGTCTACGTGCAGAAAAGCTAGACCGACCGTGATTGTCGTTGAGAAGCTGCTTATGAGACTGAACATCTGTTCCACACTTGTGGAACAAAAAATGCGTAGAACGTTGCATGTATCACAAGCTTGCCCTAGAGCGGCCATCGACACGAGCATCCTCCAGCACAGCGTAAAATGTCGCTGGGCGCGTAACATATCGCCGCCTTGGACGCAATGGCGTTCAACGTGATAAGTTTCAAGTCGTGCGTCGCTGGTCCCGAATTGACATATTCGTGGGCGTCTTGTCAACGCCAACAAATAAGGATGACGTACGATAACTCCCAGGGCCAAGCTCGGGTGCACAAGTGCGCTTCATAGAGCGTTTTAACGCCGACTGTTTTCCTTTTTGCCAAATACACCTTCAAGATGAAGAAGCATTCAGAGTGCGATTATCGCGAGAACACAGGCTGCTCATAGGCGCTGCAGCATAATCCTCGATAACACATGCATCGTTTTCGAGTATGCACCGCTGTGCGCTCGTCAAGTCGATCGACAGCACTCTTCCGGGAACAGTTTTAGACGAAGGCTTCCCGGTGAACCCTGGTTTCCCATGAGATGCCGTCTCCGCGATGGTGTCTGCTCCACACCGGAAGGATCCACGCCCATACGTGCTCCCCAAACACACTCTTCCAGTTCGCTCTGGGCCCCAAATCAAACGCCTCCAGTACCAATGCTGTAGTTGGATCTGTTGCTTCATATGTCTCTATCGTTGTGCGATTTCTGAGCACAAGGTACGTATGAAACGCAGCGAAAAAAAGTAAGGCAAACGCGAAAATTACACAAACAATCCAGCCAATAAGTCCGAGAATGACGATGACGAACTCTCTTGTTTGCTCGTCAGAGATCTCCATCGATAGGCGCTGTACAATCGCTGGAAAAGATAGAACTGCTGTGACGAGGCATGCCATAAATCCATAGTAAAGAAACTGCACGAAAAACTTGTGATTATAGAAGCCGACAGTGTTATTCGTCCACGGACAAAAGTGGTCCATCTTTAGAACGCAGCGTTCCAGTGCACTGCAATGATGCGCTCGGTCAGGCTTGTAGATCAGACACTTGCTGCAGTATCGATATCTGTTGAATCGATTTCGCATGAGCACAACCGCAGGAAGCTTGACTTTGTCATTAGGGACGAATCGTAGGCCTTCGACGAGCATTCCACGTTCAGAACCGTCCGCTGCGTCGGACAGGTCACTTTTCGCCACGAAATCCCGTGCTTCCGGTGAGCCTCGAAGCTCAAGAGGCCACCCAAGGCGGGCGAAGGACCACGTCGCTGGAACGTGCCCCGGGTCAACAAGCACCACCGCGGCGTATGACCACAGTAACAGCACAAGAATGCAGTGAACTAATAGGAGTAGCACTGTCGCCCAGAACGGTTTCGCGGCCAGCATTGGTACGAGGGTCACCACCACGATTGCTATATAGCCCAGAGCTATCAGAAGGCAGACGGTGAGCACCGGCAAAAGGCCGAATATGCGCCTCGGTGTAAACTGCAGCATACGGAGCCCAGGGTAGAGACTACGCAGAGCAGCCCGAACGCAAGAGCTTAGGCTTACCATGGCTTGCAGGGATATCGCATGGTCTCCGCTAAAGCATATCGCACCAAGCGGAGAAATACGAACCAAGAGATGTTACTTGGGTTCGAGTTCGCCACCAGAGGGAGGTACGTTCTGCCAGCAGCACCTCGCCACTGACGAGAACAAGAATGCAGGAGCGTTTGGGGCGAGGCTCCGGGGCGGCGGCATCCCCATCACCCGAGTCAGATTCATCGGTCGACAGAACGTTACTTCTAACGATACTCATGTCAGACTTAATGGGAAAGTTTCACCTTGGTAATTCTGGCATATGTGCTAAAGCTTTGATAGCTGCCCGCTATCCTGATCGTTATTCTACGCGAGCTCTTCAACGGCTGCTTCCCTTTTCTTCTATCTAATCTCAGACTGATGATACTCCGGTTTCTCCGTTACCTCCGGTTCTGTTCTTAGGAGTCGAACGGTGTTCATGGCGGCCTTGATCCCGACTTGGCATCTTCCGGTTGTTTCCCACGCTTTTCATCAGGAGATGATGTTGGCATCTGCAGTTTGCCTGCTGCGTAATCTTCTTCATAAACTGCGCAAGTGCGTCCCTTACACAGAAAGCGGTTACAAATGACCGTGGTCAGGTTTTCCGATATGTCCACAGCACTTTATCTTCAGAGGGCAAATTCACGGCACGTAAAGGCTTGCTTCATCATTCGGTTCACATGTTTGACGCTTACAGATGGGTCTCCTTGACGCCTTCCTCCGTTTTCGCGCCTGATGCCGCACCCGACGATAAACGGCTTCTGTAGGGCGATCCCCTCGGTGAGCACCCTGAACACTGCTTGGGCTGATGCACGCTGTTCCATTCGGTAGTGGATTTATGGAACGCGATGTTGTTCATGCTGAAACATTTACCGGAAAGGAAATGCACGTTGCGGAACGTCGAATAATTCCGATCCTTCCACGCGCCCTTCGAGCAATGCGATGATGCACGCTTCACAGGAATCGATCGATTCAGGGACAGAAAGTCCGAATCCAAAACCCTCCCGCATGCAAACAGGAGAGCCGGGAGCCTCTGGCAGCATACCCGGTGAACGGCATCATGTCGCTGCCCAATGCAATCTCGTTGGTCGCTACAGAGTTCAGATGATTTTTCTTTCGGAGGGAATCGTTTTTTTGATGGAACAATTTCATTTACCTTTCCGCATGAGCTTACATATAAGTCGTCATGGGATAACGTCGAACATTCATTTCCTCGTTTATCGAGCTGCGCGAGCTGCAGAGCTTATGAGTCGTCATCAGGAAGGAAGATCGAAAACGTGAAGCATCTGGGATTGGGCCATGCTAACCAGAAGGACAGACGAAGAGCGGAGGATTTTTCGGATATACTGGATAGTGATGTCGATTATCGCACGAGACCGTGCTCGAGGGAAGAGTCGCCAATCATCCTCGTTTTAGCAAAGTAACGATATCCAGCGGCAAAGATTCATTAGAGCCACACAGAACATGCGACCGAGAATCCTGATACTGCTGATGTATCCGCGGGCTATTATTGCAGCACCTCGAATGTCGAGGCTATACACCCTATGGCAAAGTTCTGGATAAGAATGAAAAGCACAAAATAGCGAACTGCTCAATGTTCTATTTTGAAGCTAAAACTGGAAAGAGATGCCCATCTAGGCGTTAAATAGGGGCTTTAGAGAGAGTATTGGCGATTCGCCTGGAGAAAAGTCTCAGCTCGTGCGGACTTCAATGTTGCAGCTCAGCGATGTTTGATCGTCCATACTGCTATGAGGATGGAGCCAATCGTAGCAAGTCTTTTTCTGAGTGTAGATCCGAACTGGGCGTGAATCGCCGAAAAGTCATCTCGTGGGAGGCAACTGTTTTCTTTGAAGTTCGCTGTGCTTCTTTATGGCTATCGTATTCCGCTGCACAATCCTGTTGTGGTGTCTATGAGCAGCACTGCAGAGCGATCATTTGTGTGCGTCGCATAGGAACTCGTACTGGCTTCTGTACCGTAGTGCTGGAAATGGAATCACTTTTCACGCAAGGACCAAGTCGGAAAGGCTTCGGTGCAGCTGCCGAGAATTGCGGCGCTATGCATTTTCATTCGCTATACGCTGTCCGCTTTATCTAGCCCAGGAGGAACCATGGCATCATCTTGTAGTTTTGTAGAAACTGGTCGTTTATGTCGAAGGTAGCTCTCAGTGAATCAGAAGCGCGCAGAGCGCCCACCTTATTTCTTCTTTAGGATGTTGAATCATGAATTCAAACTACAAACTCCGAGTAGCGTAGACGCCCCCGATACATAGAGAATAGACTGCCGTGCTTCTCCAGATGCTAATATGCTCCATGAGCTCCAGAGCGACCCCCTGGACGACAGGAAGCCCTCGATCGTCTTGCCGCTGGACGCGTTTGCGCTATGTCCATGTGGAAAACATGTTCGACACGGTAATGCGTATGGAAGCAGCAGACAAGCTTTCCGCTGCTATATTGAAGTTTAATGGTTGCTAATGGCAGACCTTTGCACCCACGATGCATGGATGGCAGAATAGGTCCGGTTTATCCGCCACAAGCCATGATACGGTCCACGCAGAACACCCAATGTGTAACGATTGCAAGACTGAGGACCCTCTGCATATGCCGCGGAGTTTGTGGCCCGCGCTATTTGTCAACGCGCCGTTCTCACGCAGCGGCCAGTCATAAACTGATGTCATATATTAAATGCCCGGCTTGTCGCAGGAATTCTGACCGGGACCAAGATCCGCGGTCTTCTGCGGCATAGTGCGCTTCGTGAGTTTCGCGAGGCAGCGCCCATCGTACAGCGGCAGCGAGCTTCCTTGCGGCACCGATGCGAAAATCGCATGTCATAGAAGTTGCGAGTGCAACAAAGGCCTTCAGAGCAACCGCGTCTGCGTGTACTAGTCGACACTGCGAAGCGAATACAGATGAAATACACACACGGCAAACTGACGTCCGTCCGCAGCCTGGCGGGTCTTTCAATTGGCGAAGGCAACCCGATGTTTGGATGTACGTTTACAGCTACAGAATAGAGAAATCCGATACAAACCTTTCCACATAGAGCATGCAAAGCCCCGTGCCATGCATGAGCAGCGCTGGAAAGTTGCCGTTTTTTCAATGAAGGTATATCAAACTGATTGATCAGCAGCGCTCAGCGACACCTGTACAAGATCGAGCAGCGGCACCCCGAGACATAGCTTTGCGCAACGCCGATGAAAGGTGTGTTCGAAGCGTTCTCAATGCTGGAATATCGCTCGGTTTTTGCGTTGCGGGCTAGTATAGCAGTTTCATCAGCAGGATTGGGCGAGCCCACCGCGACATGGCACTGCGGCCCGGCACGTCGAGCTCCATCAAAAAAATGCTGCGTCAGAAACATAAAAAATTTAGCTGTGCTGGCAACATCAAAAAATCCTTTCCAGACTCAACCCATGCAGGTCATTCTGGTAACCGAATCCGCTCGTTTAGCCTCGGTGTACGTTGGCCTGAGCAGGCTGCGGAGACGGAACGCAGCAGCGGCAGGGGCTGCTATACAACCCGCTGAGCTTTCCCGGCGAATAAGCATTCGAACAGGCTGAGATATGGATCTACAGCGTATATCACTCCCCATCTGAGGCTTTCATCAAAACGGAAACCTCATCAGCGACAGGTTCAGGTAGGAAGGCCCGCATGCTCACGCCCCTCTCATTTCTCTCGATGGGATATGTTCCAAATGGCACGTATCCTCTCCGTTCGCCGAGCACTGGAGAACCTGCATCATGTACCAAACTGGACCTCTTGTTCCGAGGTGCAAAACACGTCGCCAAACGCGAGACCTGACAGCAGCACAGCGTCCCGTTGCACAAGCTCATCGCCGTGTACCCACAATTCAGTGCGCTGGCATCTGCGGGTCATTCATAGCCTACTCCCCGACGAATACCTCGAGTCGGAACCCGCAAGAATATGATAGAGCAACTATGTGTCCGTGTGGCGTCCGCAGCCGCGCTGCAGACGCCCCAGCCGCACGGATGGTAGGCTCGGCACGATGGGAAATCGTTCTGTGAGCTTACCATGATACCCAAGGAGGAGACGGTTTGATTACTGGTTGTTGGCAGAGCCTGGAATTCTCATACGGAATGACGCATGCGGCTCTCGATGTCTATGTCAATTGCGCACCGGAGATAACTGGTCATGTCTGCGATCCTGCACCACAAAAGAGAATTCTCGTAGAGCTGCCCATCAGCGACCTCGTCGGCGACTCGACGCAGCACCGACCCCATCTGCGCGGCGATCGCGATTCGTCCGCCAAGCTCCGGCGATTTGAGCACACATGCGTCCCGGCCCGCGTCACGTCGCACGTCTTTATATACACTTTCTGCGCACAGCCTCAGCGTAGGGGGCATGGAGATTAGTCAACCAGCATAGTGGTAACTCGAGGCATTCGCATTGCCTCGCCCCGGGTTCTGGACAGAGCGCCAACCGATCGATTCCCGGTGCCTCCACGCTTTTGCCCTGCACCACAACGAGCAGGTAGGACTCTTGTTTTAACAGGTATCGGTGAGAGAAGATTTAGGGCCGAAAATAGAATGGCTTCTCCAGATCCGAGTCTCGGGCAGGGCAACGCCGACATCGTTGACGCGGTCCCGAATGGAGAGTCAGCCGCCCACAGTGGGCGACCTTCAAACCCGCTGACTGCACTGTCGCTTTCGACGCGGGCGCTCTGGCAGCGGGTGCAGCTGCAGTATTTGCAAGAGCGCGAAACAGGTGCCTGGGTTAACCTCTCCTACATTTTTTCAGGGTATAGGTCTTCGGAGTTCTTCCAGAACCTTTCGCACTTTTTCTTAGGCGTTTTCGTGGTGGTCTCGTTTGCAACAATCTATGAAGCGTACTATTCGGCCCCAGCGCTGAGTCTTCTCGGCGGTAAGTACCAGTACAACGTCATCGAACTGGCGATAACGTTCCTGTTTCTCATTTTGAGTGGCGTGGTATATCTCACATGGCGCAGAAAGCCCGTCTACCTGCTTGATTTTGCGACGTTCATTCCGCCTGAGCGACTCAAAGTCTCCAAGGAGACTTTCCTGCGGCTTACTGAGGAGGCCAACTGCTTCACCCCAGAATCAATCGAGTTCCAGAAAAGGCTTCTGGAGCGAGCTAGCGTTGGCGACTGTACCTACTTCCCCGAAGCCATGTTCCGGGCGAAAGAGATTGGAGCAAATGGCGGTCGCGGTGATCGCGTTCTCAATATGGCTAGCGCTCGCAGAGAGGCGGAAATGGTCCTTTTCACTACTGTTGGGGAACTGCTCCGCAGCACCAAAACAAATCCAAAAGCCATTGACATACTCATCGTGAACTGCTCCCTTTTCAACCCCACGCCGTCTCTAACGTCCATGATTGTGAACCATTTCAAAATGAAGTCCAGTATTCTGACATACAATCTTTCAGGAATGGGGTGCAGCGCTGGCTTGATTTCCATCGATCTCGCCAAGGACTTGCTCCAATGCCACCGGAATGCTCTCTGTTTGGTCGTGAGTACTGAGAATATAACACAGAATTGGTATTTGGGACAGGAGCGCAGCATGCTCATAACAAATACGCTGTTTCGGCTCGGCGGAGCGGCCGTGCTCCTAAGTAATCGGCTCAGTGATTCTAGGCGAGCCAAGTATGCCCTTTTGCACACTGTCCGGACGCACCGGGGCGCCGATGATCTAGCATACCGTTGTATCTTCCAGGAGGAAGATGAGAAGGGGATTCGGGGCGTCCGATTATCCAAACACATCATGGAGATCGCCGGCGAGACGCTGCGAGAGAACATCTTTCGGTTGGGGCCGCTTGTTTTCCCGCTAGACGTCCACATTCGATTCTTTGTGAATTTAGCGCGCCGAAGGTATTTGGGTCAGAAGCACGTCAAGTCGTACGTTCCGGACTTTCACAGAGCATTCGAACACTTTTGCATTCACACTGGCGGTCGAGCTGTCATCGATACGATCGAGGCGTCTCTCAGACTGACTCCAGAGGATGTAGAACCCAGTCGGTACGCGCTGTATCGTTTCGGGAACACATCATCCGCATCTATATGGTATGAACTCCAATTCATCGAGCGTTCAGGAAAGATGCGCCGGGGAGACAGAACCTGGCAAATTGCTTTCGGGAGCGGCTTCAAGTGCAACTCTGCTGTCTGGAAATGCTTGCGCAATATTTCGGAACGTGAGGTAGCTGCTGAAGCCGTGGGAACGTAGGCATAGGCTTTAATAAATAATTATATGTCACTGCAGCCAAATATGAAGCCAGAGAAATCGTAATTACACACCAGAGTCCGTTCTCCATCATACCGGATCGACTCGCGGATCGTCCTAGAATGTGATCGCATTCCGACTCTGTTGCCTGCGGATCGCTCACCCTTGAATATGTTTTCGTGAGTGCGCCATGCACTGTAACCTTCGCGATGGCCTATCGAATATCTGAAAACGTGCATTCCACGAGAGCTGTGGCACGGACGCACGAAAGTCGAAGCGTCACGGATGACGGCGACGATCATGTCCCAAAAGCAACATCTGGTTCACGGAATGCTGACTTGTGTGTACGTGTCTCCCCTGAGCGACTGAGCGTACCTGAGCACTCGACCCGAGGCGAAGCGTTGATGGTCTGCCTCTCTCGCCCATGTTCTAAGCACAGAGCAATTTTGACTGGTAGCTAGTTCACGGTGCTTGCAAGCACCTTCGTCAATCAGCGTTTTTGCTTACATGGCCGTTGCGGCGTTATGCTTCCAGATCATCCGGACAGCGTTTTTTCGTACAGACTACAGGAATATTAGACTGGAGTGGAGCGGTTCCACTAATTCGGGCACACGAGCTAAAGTTTCGGACACTTACCACTATCATCAACACTAGCCTCAGCGGGCTTTTCTTTCTGCTATGACTAGATTTCCTTTCTCTTATATCCATCTTTGAAACGACGATCTCTCTCGTTCTTACAGCTATCTTGTCAGCAGTCGAAGGCTGTTATAGTAGCATTCAACTCTCGATTTAGCAGCCTCCGTCTATCGTACGAGCGTTTCATGCACAGAAGTTTCTTCCGATCTATGCTTCGCTCGCTCTCTTCATTTTCCTTGCATACAGCCTCGGTGCGCGCTTCGCGACGGTGACTGTTGAACATGCCCAGGTTTTCCTTTATGTCCACAACATCACCTGCTCTAAGCGCTGCGCTGTGGCGCGAGAGCGCTTGCGTCAGGGCTCGTTTTATGCGCTTGATTCGGACACGTGGCTCTCCGCAATGCACTCCTCCGTACCCGCACCCGATGCAGTACCCTATGATCATGGGTTTATTAGCAGCGATCCTCCCGGGGAGTGCGCTGTGCGCTGCTCGTGCAAGCGCACACTGTCACATCCGATATCGGGTTTGTGGAGCCCGATGCAGTCCTCGATGAAACAAATGCCGTGACGAAAACCCAGACTGAACAAGCAATCGAGCTACTTAAATCCGTCTGGGTTTTCTTCTTGCAAAGCGGTGACACGCTCTTCATCAGAAGCGATCGATGCGGTGATTTAATTCCGAAACCAAGACTCTTTTTTTCATGCAAACTAAAGAGCGGGACGCTTCTCGGTGCATGCACCGTGAAAGCTATCATGCTGTTTCAGAATGCTTGTCTCGTGGATGTCCTTGAACTGAGGCGAACTGGTCTTTAGAGTGGAACCGACAATTTGACATGAAAAGTGCACGTAGCTTCTCACAGAAGCTCGTCAACTGTCGTTCAAGAACGATGTCGAGACGTATTCCTTGTGTATCCCGCGGCGCGAATTGCTGCGCCCACGAGTTGCCTTGAAGCAGGAAGACCTAAAATTTGGACAATGTGCGATTTCGACATGATACACATAAGTAAAGGGGTAGAATGGAGGTTTGCACTCAATAAATGGATAACAGCATCGGTTTTTGGACGCAACTATTTCAGAGTGCGTCGCGAGTCATGCTCATGACGGTGACGCAACGAATCACAGCTGCAGGGAGTAGAAAGGGCCACTCTGAAGAGGCGTCCGAGAATCCGAGAATTGCTTATGAACCCGTGTACCTTTTCTGTTGCTCTTGGAATGTCGATGCTGCATATCTTCAAAAACTTTGAAAAAATCGAAAGGCTAGAGCAGAGCGCGCAGTTGAGTCATGCAATTTTAATCCGTCTTACAACGCCACAGCTGCGTGTCTACTTAAGCTTATCGTTGAGTTCTTTTGAAATCTTGGTTCTGATTGGAACGGTCGCTCTGGTTGACTCTTATAGTCATTAAGAGCCAACCGGCGACAGAGGTTGGCGGGGGCAGCATACCCATGGGTGCGGTACGGTAACCGCGTGACACTCTGAAACGTCACGTTCTTTGGAGACCCTGTGGGAGAGGCGTTTTTCGGGTTTTTGTCGGCAGAAAAACCCCTGAGCGCAAACAGGACTATACAATATCCTGGAAAAAGGCTCTTGATCTGGACTGTCTGAAGCTACAGCTCTGCAAAACTTCGCTTCCCGCAGTACCGGGGGGCTGGCGCTCAGTGAGGCTCGGGAGCGTTGACTCCTGGTACTGTTTTGTACTAGTTGATATAGCTTCTTCTAGTTACCATGTCACGCCGCGCGCTCTTCCGGCCGAGGGCCATTGACCTGCAACGCCCTCTGCTCATCATCCGCTCAGATGCGGACCTCAAGTCCGATGTCGAAGTGGTCTCCGCTCAGCGGGCCTTGCCAGAATATGGCACTGGAGTCGAAGAAGGTGAGCTTGGAGAACGCCATCTTCAAGAAGCGCTCTTAGCATCTATGAATCTGCGCATAAAACGCGCAGAGACAAAATCCACCGCACAAGAGGAGGATGCGGAGAGCGCATCATGCGATCATATAGACGGAAGGCGCACAGTTATCATACCCGTACCCGTCATTCGGGAGATTCCGTGTTACACCGAGGCTCTGTTGGAGCAAGTGCGGAACCGTTTCCAGCTGAGCGACACCTACGTAGATGCACGCGCCGACGACAGGGCCCTACTCGAGCGAGAGATCGACTACGAGGCTGATGATGGGGACAAGCGTTTCGCGCAAAATGAACTATGTATCGATCTTGACACCTTCGAGCGTGCAATGGACGCTCTGGAAAAAGAGCAGGGTACCGCTCGGACGCTCATGTCGCCGAACAGCGCCAAATCCCAGCTAATGAAAGACGCCACTCTCGGCTTAAATGAGCAGCATATAGATGCACTATACATGCACTGGAGACGGAAACGTGAGCAGCGTGGCGGTCAACCGATTCTACGTTATCTTCGAGATCCGCCCGATGTGAACAATCCAGACCCGTCGGTAGCTTTCAGGCCACGTAACGATGAAGAACAGAAAAGGCGAGCTCGATCAAACACGTTCGACAATTACAAACGATTACGCAGGATCAGGCAAGACATGGAGAGAGTTAGAACGATCATGGAACAGGTCATGAAACGAGAGCGGATCAAACTCGACCTCGTTCTCTTCACAATTTCGAGTCAATTGGCCACGCTGCAGTTACGCTACCCGCATCTTGAGCTCATTCAAAAAGCTGCCAAGATCCTGCCACTGAAAACGCCGATTGGGGCCGATCTCTATCGCCATTTGACGAACATCGCGGAACTAGCCCGAAAAGGGGTTTTGAAATGGAACAGTGCACACAGAAGGCGCAGCGAAGAGAAAGCATCTAGCGATCACTCGGGAACCTCCGTCACAAAGATTCGAGCAACGAGCGCCGCGAAACCCCCTGATAGCGGCAGCGCTGGTTCTGTTGTTGCAGCTCCGAAACGAGATCTCTACGGCTTTGATGAGAAAGGCTTTCAAGCGTTCCGAAGACTTCGGTACTTCTCAGGGGGTTTCTTTCGTGACGGTATCAATCCATTTGACTGGAGGGTGCACGGAATTCCGTTGTGGGCCGATCCAAGTCTATCGCATTCCGTACAAGAGCGTTCGCAGCTTGGAAACATCACTGCCGAACGCAGTATCCCTCAGGGTGCGCGTCCTGCACCATCAATGGAGCTTGAGGCGTCGCGCTTACGAAAGCCGCTACGCTGCGCATCCACGCTGATCGCGCGTCTGACGACGCCAATGGCATACGCTATCCTCGACGCTGCAGCGTCCAAGAATCATCCCGAGGAGCAAACCTCTCTTGTGGTGAGCGCGTCCAGGATGAGCTCCGATGGCATGAAGCGGATCGCGGACACGCCAGCTGTTGGCCCGAAGCGGCTCATGTGTTTCCCAGACTCGACTCCACTTTGTGACCAGAGTACAATGGTTAGAACTAGTTTTCGACCAACGCTCGTACGCGCTCGCATAGGATGTGATGATGCGATCTATCTTGATCGCATCACTATTAGGCGAGAAACCGATAAGCTGTCAGCGAGCGAGTCGCCGGCAAAATTAGACGCCTGGAGCAGCAGAGAATGGCAACGCCCTTGGCCTAAGCGGCTGAAGCATAGTGCCCCGCCCACTGCAGAGTCCGTGCACAAAACGGCATCTCTTGATGCAAAGCAGTAGCGCTTCTGCCCGTAGAGGGGTATCGAAAATTGACTTGGGTCCTACAAAAGAAGCTGCACTAAAGTCTAAACGCAGCTGACGTTTGACTGAAGCCTCTGCCTCGGTCAACAACAAGTAGTCCTCCAGACCCGCTGTGGAAACAAGAGAAACTCGCCACAGCCCTTATTCGGGAAGTTAGCGGAGGTTTCATTGTGCCTATCAAGATTAGTGCGTGTGTTCAGGCGCTATTCGACCACGCAGGGAATACAAAACTGGTCGAGCACTAGCGCCGAAACCAGCGCAAGAGTACAAGCAACTGTTTGGTTGGCATCAAATAAGACATGCACGCGAGCATACGAAGCCAGGTCAAACGGATGATGCAACGACCGCTTTGAGCGCGTTCGACGGACCTGCACGAACCTCAACGAACATGCATGAATAGGCTCGTTGCTCTGAGCAGGGCCACCGACAACTTCTCCTCCATTACTGGTATCGTCACTTGCTTGAGAGGCGCAACTAAGCCTCAGTCTGAACGCTGCTCCACATCCATTTTGTGGTCGTCTCGGATGATACACGGTAAACTGCTGAGAAGTCTCATCGTTCGGGGTGCAACCGATCGCCTCAAGGTGCATCATAGAATACAGCGAGCTCTGCGTAGCGGTTGGACTCGCTCTCGAACCGAGCTGTCTACTATAGGTGGATCTGCTCTGCAGCAACGCGACACAGCTCCTGATTCCCGTACCTCATGAAGAACATGGCCTTGAGGTGCAGCTCGCTTTCGGCAACTTGCAGTTCAGTCCATTTGGTGAAGCATGCTATCCGTCTGTGTGGAAGCCCGTAATTCGATATAAGTGTGGCTAATTTCAGGGGGACTCGAACCGACGAGAAACGCTTAGTACTAGCCTCTCCCGTTCCCAGTTACTCATTAGCCAGATTCTATGAAGCAAATCGGATGCCCCGCAAAACATGAGTGCTGCCTAGCTCTACGGAAGCCAGCGCTGAAACCCTTCGAAAGCGTTAGCGCGCCTAGAGCTCCAGACCGATAGTCATCATCAGAAGAGAGGCAAGTTCACTCCAACGACTCGTCTGGGCCGACCCTACAGTGAACACTTTTCGCACCACCGTATGCACCTCTACACGGGCGCTCCGCTGACAAATCGGAGAATCGATCCGTTCGAGAACCTCCGCTCCTGTCCATTATACGGTCAATGGAACCAAAAATGCCCCACGACCATATCGGGGCAACTAATACCGACGCACGGACGCCAGCTAGCCTTTTTGGCCGGTTGCATTCTATCGCTTCCAGTTTACGCAGGAACGCTTCGATCCTGAGAGGCTGCCCCATGGAGCTGGATCGCGTCAGATCCTCGAGTCTCTTCTCCGGCACCGCACATCTCCTGATATTGATGGCAGCACTCAAGTCTCGATTCCCGAACTCTATAGGCTCATTGCCACTAATGGAACGCATCACTTCACGGATTCCTAAGCTTCTTGCTCTCAGTGCCAACCGATGCTCCGTGAGCGCCCCGTGCTTTTCTATCGCCGAAGCGCTCCGCTGCCTGCTCGCCATCACGACCTTCTGAAGTTTAAACCCAAGCTCATCCACTGGATTTTCATTTCTTGAAATGAACGCACTTCTTCTTGCACTTAGGTGGGACCTTCCCGATGATAAAGAAGAACTTACGGAAGAAAGACGGGATGCATATCAGCGTTACCGTGTACTGAACATTTCAGCAATGCGCCCAGTGGAGCGATCATTACGTTTCTCGACGGGAAGCACTCCATGGATGGGGTCGAACCACGGAGAGTACGGAGGAGTGAAAACCACTTCTACCCCGACAGAATTAGCAAAAGCTGGAACGCGACGTGAATGATGAAGTGCAACTTTATGCAATAGAGGGGCGTTATCAGACGTGGGGAGAAGGCTTCAATAGTTGGACATACTGAATGCCGTTGTATGGACCCTCTCTACGAGCGAAACCAACGGCGCCAAACGAATCCTCTTGAACTAGAACAGATGAAGATGTCCTCGTTCCCTACCAGCTCGATCGTACGTACAGCGGGTTTGCTCTGAGCCAATACGCATATTCGTGCCGACTGTTTCATCTGAAGCAAGTCACATCGACGGAAAAAACATACCGACATCTCTGTTCTTCACAACCATGGCGACTTTCGAGGAACTCTGTAGTTGTGATGTTGGTGGAAGATGGCTGTGCATGAAATTTGACTGCTTTTTTTGCGAATGTATCCCAGTGTATTCAGTAGCATACGAACAAGCTGTTGGGAAACAGAGACGCCCGGATGGATTCTAACGTCGCTTTTGCTTTCCGCAAGATGACCAATCGGTCGTTTTCTACAATTGACCTCAACCAGTCTTTGAGAATATCGGTTTTTGGCGCGGAGCGCACTTACTTCTTTCTGTCAGTGCTCCTACACCATCTGTGTACTGTAGTATGTCTGAACTGAAGGAGGAGGAATGCAGTCCTCCGTGCGCCGGTCATTGAAGAATGCATAGCTGCAGTCAATTCGTCCCCGATCTATTGGTTACACTGCATACTGAATTCGATCTCAAGCTATGCACCGCAGCGAGGCTAAAACACATTCGAGTTGAAAGACTGTACCATCTCTGAACGGAGGTATTGTTAGCGGAGACTGGAACTGAGCGGGCCCAGGTCGGATGGTGGCTTCTTACCTGGACATCCATCATCATTGTGCATATGGGGGATCCCGCTATCCCCTCATCGATATCCCACACTATCGATGAACGCGTAACGGCTCTACGATTGTGCGTTCAGAATGGAAGCGCGCGAGCCGCGCCGCTGTACTTTTATCCACTTCGCTTGGCTGAGTTTTTTTTGGACTTCCTACAAGCACAACGGGTCTTTACAGAGAGGCATGAGCTGGATCCAAAAAGTTGGTGGCAAGATCACCCTAGAACGTCATGGTGCTGGGTTTCCGGAAGAGTTTCAAATGGGTGAGGACGCCACAGAAGGGGCCAGCCGGGTGCCACCCCCGGTACCTATTCGAAACGCGAACACCGTAACTGGAAAAGGGATCGAGTGGGACAAACCGAACTGGCCGGCTATATTCCACGTTGTGCACATAGATTTGTCGGAGCTGGTGCCTCTAGTCCGAGCAAACCCAGCGTTGTACAGTTGGTTCTTTTGGTACGCTATGGTGTTGTTGGTTTTGAACTGGGTAACATGGACTGTTCTCGCAGCCCGTGGTGCAGCCTCAAATCCGTGGGCCCAGTGGGTGGTCTCTTTGCTTAACGTATTTTTGGGGTTTTTTGTCTTGTCTGCCGGTTATTTCACAGTTTTCAGAGCATGCGCGGAAGATGACTCGACTTATTATAAGGCATCGTACTGCATACTCGGTATCATCACGGCGCTCTGCATTGTGATGAGCATCGTCAGCTTCCCGTTTCCATTCAACGGTTGGACACGTCTCGGATGGATTCAGAATAATGCCAAAAATTTGCGGACGTATTGGCGAGCGATGACCATCATTGAGAGTATAGGGTGGACGGTGGCGTATATTGCGTCTACTTTTCTGGGCATCAAATTGTGGCGATACCAGCATCTCATGTGACAGGTACGCGGACAAGCATGGATCTCGGCGGAGCATGGTCCTCTGTGCTGAAAACTGATGGCTTCGGGGAGAATTTTTTCGGGAAGGCAGCTTCATGGAGACAGCTTTACGTGGGCTGCAAATTTCGCGCTCCAGTTTTGCGTAGGAGCAAAATATATGTAGCTTTCCTACTTTAAGCGGTTGGATCTTGATTCATGACGTCTTCATGAAAAGACAAGTTTCCATGTCCGACTCCAGACCAGCTTGCAGGCCCAACTCGATCATCGCATAAGTTGCAGCTCGATAGGAATCGAGATCGAAAGCTTGGACAAAGTCCTCGTGCATCCTCGAGTCTTCTCGTTTTCCCGCGGATGCTCAGAGCATGGCACATACGCCTTTGGCACACTGGAATGCAGCTCTGGGCACCTTGTCCTTGAACGAAGCCGGCTCTCTCAGTCAGCACGTTCACGTATACGACCCAGCGTGCGGCCTGAATGTAAGTCAGCGCGTTCTATCTCCAGAAGCCATCACAACGGCTATCGCCTATCGGGACGCCTCTGGTTCCCTTACGTGGTCATGCTGCGGGGTACGTTTACATCCACCTAAACGCGTCAAAGCCGGTCCATGGACAACAGCAATGGCTCCTACCTACCTTGAAGGTTTCGTTTTGCTTCATATCTTTTTAGCTCTCTGGATCCAAGGACACTCTTTTCAATGCATTGAAACAGTCCCATGGAGAACTGCCCGTCCTGCTACAACGATGCGCACGAAGAGGTATATTGAGTACTGGCTTTTCTTCCTGTGAGGACGTGCTTTTTTCATAATGACTTTACTACGAGTTGGCGGCGTGCCCGAGCCTTTCAACGAGATTTTTATGCAAGCCCAGGAGGGCGCTCTCCCGTCCACGAAGTTACAGGTTGAGTTTCTGGGGGTTGCAGGTGGCAGCGGTGCCGCGCTCGAAATGTTGGCGAAGTGCGAGTTAGACGTAGCGGTTACACTTACCGAGAGCGCTGTGGCACGCACAAAAGCAGCTGCCTCTGGGCTCGCTGTGCACTCTGTATACGTTGCTTCTCCTCTAGCCTGGGGAGTCGCAGTGAGTTCCAAGAAAACCGACTGGACTGATCTGAATAGCTTGGATGCGGCCGTGCTTCGCGGAGAAAGCATCCGAGCGGGATTCTCCCGAAGGGGCTCCGGAAGCCATCTACTTCTTTCTGTTTTCGCTAGTGATCGTGGCTGGATCTCTACAGGTATTCAAAATGATATACTAAAGAGCTTCGAATGCGGAAGTTTCGATGGTCTGATACAGGCCGCAGTTGCCGGTGACATCGACATGTTCCTCTGGGAAACGTGTTTCACAAAGGAGTGTGCAGCTACACGACAGGGTCTGATTCGCCTTGTCGGCGAATATGCGCCTTCATGGCCGGCTTTTGTGCTTGTTTGTCGAGATGATGCACATGTAAGAGCCGCCGTATCGGAACTAAAGCGTGAGATTGAGCCCTTACAGAGAAAGTTTTGCACAGGTGAAGGCTTGGATATTCTGCAGAACAAGTATGGCTTTTCATTAGAATCAGCGAAACTCTGGCTATCGAGGCTGCAATTCGCTGAGCCCGACGAGGCACTAAGCGCAGAGCAATGGCGGAGCGTAGAGCGCGCCCTTGAACTCACGGCCGGTTCACGCTCGTCTAGTAGATAACGGCGGTGGAAGCGATTCTGATGTAGCAACGCCAATGTTTGCGGCATTTGATGTCTTCATGCGAGGTGGAACGAGCTCGGCGTGGGAGAGGTGAGTCGCGTCTTAACGATGATGGTTCTCTGCTTCTCGAAGGTGCGCCTGTGAGGTAGTTCGCACAGGACTGTAGTTTCTGCTGTGTGCCGGGACGCGCTGTCATCGAGCTCAGCCGATGTTAGATGCCGACTGGGCAACTGCAGCTCTAGTGCAGGCTGCCCCATCTGTGCACGATCTCCTCGAGGAGGTTGCATACATCAGTTTCGGCATATCGCAGATTCTCACTTTTATAGCTCAGCCGCATGTTTGCATGCTTGATCACCAATCGAGAATGCAAGCTTTAACCCAGAACGTGAAACGCTGCGGCACTTTATTGCTCAGAAGGTGCAGTTACAGCAGACCAGACGGATTTGGGATCGATTGCACTTTTCAGAGTTTGGACGTAATTATCAGACTGATTGCTGCATGAAACGGTCGCAACTCCTGCACATATTCTGGATCTCGATGGCAATATTAACGCTGGATCGTAATGGCGATGAGAAATTAGCTCACTTGTGCACCGGCATATATATACACTCGAATGCATTTTAGTGGGTAGTGGTTTAGCAGGTTCTATACCAGCAGCCAGATACCACTTCATTTCACGAGAAGGATGGAAGAAAGAGCCAAGCGGGTGGAATCGGTATTTCAGGATGACTCGGTACTGGTTTCATGCCTTGCTGCTGTGGAGTACGGTTCAACGCTTCGGTGCATGATGGGATGTTGCTTTGACGAGATATCTTCATGGGTGAATGTTCCGTTACTGCTGGAGATCCGCTTTCAAACCTGGATACTCGCCCGGTGGAAACCAGCATTTCGGAAGCGACCTTCTCGAACAAGCTGTATGCACGGCAGTGAAGCCCCTCGCGGCGCACGTCGCCGTAAACCGCGAACTCTATGGCGTCCATGTCAATGACATTTGACACGTCTTCACATGCATACTGGCGGATTTGTTCCCTGGATATATTCACTCCTTCTAGAGCGTTCGATTTGAGACGGTTTATGCGCGTTTGAAGAATGTCACAATTGTCAAGACTTGTCGCGCCTCCGAGCGAGTAGGGTACTCGGTGGTCAAACTCATAGCAAAAGCAGCCTAAACAGCCGTGCAAGGGCCGCAAAACTGGATTTCCGTACACATCATATCGCCATCGCTCGGGATCGCGCCCCGGAACGGGCTTTGCTCGCTCCCAAGCAGCCTTTCGTTGTGCTTCTGTGAAGGAGCGCCGACCTCTCGGGGACCGTGGCAGCGTTTGACGCGGCTCCGCGTCGCCAGACGGCACAGACTCCAGTGCTGCCATCTAGAATACACAGCCACAAATAGCTTCCCACAGGTGACTAACGGCCCTCTCTACGCCTTGGCGTTCCTTCCGCGAACGAAAAAGAGCTCCTCAAAATTGTCGACTAAAGTGACCCTTTTCTGTGAGGCGCTCATTGCGTGCAGAACGCTATTGCCTGTGGCAAGTGTATGGATCTGGTGACCTGGGTCGCTGCGAACTGCGGCGGGTCCAGCGCGCTGCTCAGTTCTATATGTTTTTTCTTCGACGAAGCGTTTACGTTGTACATGGATCCCAGATTGCGTGATCGACGTTGGTAATCGAGAAAGCGTTCATCATGCTGCGCAACACGTCCCAGTTCCATTACCCATATTTGCTCTCGGATATACTGATCGTTTCGTATATTCTACCGTGCCCCGAGCCTGTTGTAAGCACCCGCAAAAGCGTCTATACCGCTGGTGCGGATGAAGCGCGGAGACAGATCCGCGTTGCCATACCAATCGGCATGTCGACTCGAGGCGTGGTTCATCCGACACGGGATCGGATAACATCATCCTTCCGGAAGCCTGCAAACTGCGCAGACAGACCTACTGCATGCGGCAATGCGAAGCGATAGCTAGGGGATCACCGGGACCAGGGCCACGCCCAGTGCCCGAATAAACTGGGCTGCGGACAAGCTGCTAAAGGTCGAACCGCAGCACCCGCCACAGGGAGGAGCATGACGTTCTTGCGTTGCAGACTTGTCCGGCCCGCCGGACCTTCCGCCCAGAACGTAAACGTCGGAAACTACGGAAAACTCCTCCCCCTTCTATCGCTCAGCGTAGAGAAGAAAGAAGCTGCTGTAGAGTTGCTAGTAAGAGGTTAGTTTTTGTTCTTTTCGGTAAAAATGCACCGATTCGATGGTAAGTGTCACTGCTATTGTTCAATGGTCCATAGGATGTAGCAACCGGATAGTTTCTTTATGATGATTGACGGATCGTGTACACGAACAGAGTTATCTTCGATTGAGCGCGAATACTATTCGCGTCCGTGAGGGTGTTCATCATTCTGCACCATGACCTCAGGATCCACCATTCACCATCCATTATAGTCTTACAACTCAGTTTCGTTCCACAGCCGGTGCAGTCTTTAGCAAGAGATCGAAATCATGATGCAGTGCACCTTATAAATTGTAGAATAATTGCCTGTAGGATATAGTCTTTACAGAACAGTGCAAGCGGATGACAAACTCCTTCAGGTCAGTCATGCCACATTCCTCTGATAATTCAGGAACACTGAAAGAAACACGTATACGCGCAAGGTGCCAAAACCCGACATTATCACGACCCACTTGCGGTGAATGGTACAAAAAGGACTCCTCGATCATCTCACGCAAAACAAAGGAGAAGATAATAGCAGTTACGGGCGTCTCTGTTTCCCAACAGCTTGTTCGTATGCTACTGAATACACTGGGATACATTCGCAAAAAAAGCAGTCAAATTTCATGCACAGCCATCTTCCACCAACATCACAACTACAGAGTTCCTCGAAAGTCGCCATGGTTGTGAAGAACAGAGATGTCGGTATGTTTTTTCGGTCGATGTGACTTGCTTCAGATGAAACAGTCGGCACGAATATGCGTATTGGCTCAGAGCAAGCCCGCTGTATGTACGATCGAGCTGGTAGGGAACGAGGACATCTTCATCTGTTCTAGTTCAAGAGGATTCGTTTGGCGCCGTTGGTTTCGCTCGTAGAGAGGGTTCATACAACAGCATTCAGTATGTCCAACTATTGAAGCCTTCTCCCCACGTCTGATAATACCCCTCTATTGCATAAAGTTGCACTTCATCATTCACGTCGCGTTCCAGCTTTTGCTAATTCTGTCGGGGTAGAAGTGGTTTTCACTCCTCCGTACTCTCCGTGGTTCGACCCCATCCATGGAGTGCTTCCCGTCGAGAAACGTAATGATCGCTCCACTGGGCGCATTGCTGAAATGTTCAGTACACGGTAACGCTGATATGCATCCCGTCTTTCTTCCGTAAGTTCTTCTTTATCATCGGGAAGGTCCCACCTAAGTGCAAGAAGAAGTGCGTTCATTTCAAGAAATGAAAATCCAGTGGATGAGCTTGGGTTTAAACTTCAGAAGGTCGTGATGGCGAGCAGGCCGCGGAGCGCTTCGGCGATAGAAAAGCACGGGGCGCTCACGGAGCATCGGTTGGCACTGAGAGCAAGAAGCTTAGGAATCCGTGAAGTGATGCGTTCCATTAGTGGCAATGAGCCTATAGAGTTCGGGAATCGAGACTTGAGTGCTGCCATCAATATCAGGAGATGTGCGGTGCCGGAGAAGAGACTCGAGGATCTGACGCGATCCAGCTCCATGGGGCAGCCCCTCAAGCTCGAAGTGTGCAGGACGAAGCTGAAGCCGATGAAAGTGGGCCTGTCGAAAACGGCTGAGGGCGTCTGAGAGTGAGTGTATTTACATTCTCTATGGAAGCGATGCCTTTTCGCTCCACTGAGCATGTAGATCGTCGGTTCGAAAAGACCTCGGGCTGCGGATGCTACCTCGCGCGCTTTTCCAGCTGTTGCGGAATTCGTATAGAATCGGGACGGATATTCTTTTCCTTTGTGGAATTCGGCTCGGTTGGGCAGTGTCTTGCATGCCTAGCGTACCCGTCCACCTGCTCTGACTTGTACTGGCGATGCTTTGTCGAGCATTCGCTGGCGACGCAACTGACTTTTAGTTATTTTCCGGTGTTTCCAGTCTTGGCCCGAAGGAGGCGGCGCAGGCCACAGACTCTTGAGGCGAAGCGCCGCGCCTCGGTTACAAGTTGCCTCCCCCAGGGGCCGAACACGTTTTCCGGCTTTATAGACAGCAAGTTCCGCTGGCTATTGGGAGCTTCAGCGAAAAATCTGGCAAAAATATTCTGAGCATTCTCGTATGAACTGCACCGCATGGAGCAGTGACTAGCGGAAACTTTCAGACTATCATGTATGGGCGTACAGGTTGCTGGATTCCCATATAGAACGCTAATAGGGACGCTGTCAAGATATTGTCAAGGTACGAGCTGCACAGCGAAGAATAAGCCGGAATAGATATCTGGTCATGATCTAATTGACGTGTTTTGCGGCAATCACAGTCTCGTAGATACGCGCTGAGACCGAGCAAGATCTAAGTTCACCCGGGGCGCATAAACAAGGAACCATACTTGTCAAGAAGCAAGCAATCTAGGCGCCGTTGTTCGTGCAAGATCCTCGAAATATCTGGAGTCTGGAGCAGCCAGTTAGAACGACAATCGATGCGCAAAGTGTGATCGGACGCCACTGAGAAACATTGTGTACCACTCAACAAGGCGTCTTCAAGCATCTCACGGGCCGGAACGGAAGAAAAACACTACACTACCTTACATGGGGTTCTGTTATCCTGCCGGAAGCGCTCGAGTCCTGTCTCGATACATTTTAGCTCATGAGCTTCATGAAACGATCCCAGTATTCGCAAGTATCGCCGTATCGGTTAATTTCAGGAACCGATATTATGGTGCTCTTCTGCCCATTTTATTGGGTAATCCTACACCATAATCACTCATCAGTTGCCTACGAAAGTCTTTCCCGATGTAGACAAGCGGCACTCCAGCCTATTCCGAACTGATACACCGTTCCATACCAGTGTCTTGCTCCAGGCGGAAATCCACGATCCTCGATCCCGGCTACTGATTTGTTCTGCATCGGGAGTCCTCAGCGCTCCAGCACAATGCCTACGCTGAGAAGCGAACGATTCTTCCCCGACAACCCGCACGATGCAAAGCCGCTGAGCGCTCCGGAGGCACGTGACATTTCCGAACGTTGAGCGGGACGTTCAAGTCTCGATGCAGAAAGCGCCTGCGCACAAGCTTGCTGGTAGAATCGCACTATACAAAGCCGCTCGCCTTCGAATGCACCGGTATCTGAGGTTTGGTCACCCTGCCGTACACCATCTTATACAGCCGTCTGCGCTTCACTCGCTTCTTCTCAATCAGTTTCAGCGCACACCCGTGTCCGCAAGGAGTGTTTGTCGTCCCGCACTCACCGATGGGATTCCTGAAGAGTCGATTCCTGCACTTGTCGTGCGCTCGCATTCGACGAGCAAGAGTGGAGCCACTGCACGCCGCAACACATCAAGAACCCTACGCTGCCTTCGAACGAAGCGACTTGTCGGTCATTTCCTTCTCCAATTTATAGAAGTGGATGGTCAATGGACGTTTCTTGTCTCCGTGCAACCGAAAAAGTTGGCGACCTCAGCGCGGCCTCGGGTACGCCTGCCAGAGACGCCTTCCGCACGAGCCATTCAGACGCTCACGCAATCTTCGGCTGAAGCGTTCGAAGGACCACCTCTGCTCCGCACGGTATTCAGGGCGTCTATCTGGGTCCTGCCGCGTCCATTCCATCTGTCGGTATGCCTTCTGACACCTGTCATGCGCGACCCTCAATAAGACGGAGCTCTGGAAACATTTAGCTTCTCCAGCTGCTTTCAGTTCAGGCCCTTGGCTTCGTCGTCCTGACCTGGGAGCACGGCGACAGCTATGACGTCCTGCAACCCGGGACCTGCACCCGCCGCGAAATTTTAGATTTCAGCGACGATGAGCGATTGAAACGAGCCTCTTTGCGGGACTCGGGTATCGACTGAGCAGAGTGCAACCAGAGGGATACTCCGTCGGTCTCCACTGCACCTGTCCAGTTCCTTCCTTGGACTCTGCGTCAAGAAACAACCTTGAACGGCCCCCGCCAATGCTCTTCGTAAAGATGCTCGAGTGCTTCATACGTGCTCGCAAAGACCAGTTGTAGCTCATTGAGCAGGTAGTACAGTATAGGATAGGACGGGGCAGTGCGGTCAAGTGCAGCACAGCACAGCACAGCACAGCACAGCACAGCACAGCACAGTGCAGTCCAGTGCAGTGCAGTCCAGTCCAGTCCAGTACACTGCAGTGCAGTGCAGTACAGTAATATCGTGGGCCTCGAAGTCGCGTGCTTGGACCGCGTCCAAGAAGCGCTTGAGTAGGCCAGGTAGTTCGGACTCGGCCAGGGAGGGTGCTCTACAGTGGAGGTTTTGTTCAGGAAACCGAAGTAGCGCAACATGCAAGCATGGCAGGCGTCGCGCTTCAAACATACTCAGGAACGACGTTCGGCGGTCCAATAGCCCTCAGCAGCACCATAAGCTTGAACGATCTGAAGCGCCCACCGCTCTTGCTGCGGCATCTTCTCGAAACTCGCTGCCATCTCGCGCTCCTCCGTAGCCTCCAGCTCGTCACTTGCCTCCATGGGCACCCCTATGAACCCCTTCCATCAGTGCTCACGCTCCGGACCACTGGTGTGAGTGCACAAGCGTACAACGCTGACTGGGTATGCCCGGTGAGGTGCTCAACAATGACCCGCCAAGGAACTTGAATTTTTGGTGGTTCATTTCATCTGTGGCACCTGCGTTGTAGACGTTCCTGTTGCCGACGCGGCGCGCCGACGAGTCATCGTACGCTCAGAGGCATTCATACAAGTCCCTGATTCTTCGATCAGGCCGTGCTGCATCCACCGTCGCGAGCATCAGCTGCGTTGCCGGTCGAAGATTTACTTGGCAAAATCCAGAGGAGCCTGGAGCGCGGGGAGCTCTGTGTCCAGCACTCACGCGAACATGTGTTTGACGACGGGCGCCTCGGCGAGAGAAGCCCGTCGAGACTTCATCGAGTGAGAAGCCTCGAAATCCCGAATGGTGTCCTGAACCCCACATCTTGGAGGCTTGCCCCCATTGATGTGTTTCCGTAGAGAGGCTTCGGCAACTGTTTCTCGCTGATATGTCTGCCCCGGCCGCTTTCCCTTCTGGTTCTTCTTGGTCCTCTTTCTGGGAGGATCATTCACTTCCCGTTTGTCCGGCATTTTCCTGTCTTTCTCCGTCGCCCCGTCGTCTCGCTGGCGGAGTAGTGTGGATGTTGTCGCTATAATCCAAATCCTTTTTTCCTGGGACTCAGGCACACGGTGCGGACGACGGCGCTGACATTCGTGCTTTTCTGTGTACGCAAGCAACCACGATTGCTCAAGTGCCTCATTACAGACTTCTCCGTGGCGAGTACGCTCGCGGCACGGAGCGCGCCTCTGCGCTCCCCCAGCAGAAAGAGCGCAGGAGGAACGCAGCAATTCAGGCCCAGTGAAAGTACAGGACCTGTTCTCGAAGACGTACTCGTTGAAGAATAATTTTACGGATGCGAATGACTCGTCTATAGGTGAGTGAGCACAGAGATGGTGTCTGATAACAGACAAGATGCATTCGACGCATTGAACCAGGAAGAATAGTCTGACGTGAAGGGCGGCTCAGCGCTAGTTCCACCTGCGTACTCTTTGACAGCGTCTAAGACACGGAAAGCGAAGTCTACGAAGAACAGCATAGAATGACATGGTGGAGGAGAAGCCGCGAAGCGTTCCTCGACGAAGGCTAAGGCGTTGACCAATCCTGTCCGAATCGCGATACGTAGGCGACCACAGGATAGCACCGTCGCTAGGGCCGATATTGTCATCATGCTCTCTTGTCTCTGCTGCACGAACAGCGGTTTGACCCTGCTCGAGTCGCCGTGCACATGTCTACCATTTGTCGGGCATAAGGTTCAGGATATCGAGACGAACATCCGTCGAGTGCGAGGCCTTCGCGCTCCAGTGCGAAACGAGGGGTGCTTCATGCAATGCGCGACGGTCTCCCGAAGAAGCATGTTCGTTTTGCTCTTGCATCCGGGCGTATTTTTCTCCGCCTGTATCACCGATGGGGAAGCTGCGCATGCTGTGACTTCTTTGGTGGTATCTCACCGAGAACGTATGGGGAGGAATGGATTGACGAGGCGACCGTCGCGTCCAGCGGGTTTGATAAGTTCTGTTGTGGGAGCACAACGTTCAGGATAAGCAATACGTGAAGGGCGGGGATGTATCCGCCTGCTGGCCGACGAATAACAGACTTGAAGAAGCAAGCTCGTTTTCCGGGGAAGCTAGCAGTGACGAAATCTGATGTTTTCGGGACCTTTCTCCGATCTAAAATATACATTTCTTTTGATGAGTACTTGTGACAAAAGGAACAAGAAGGAAAGTGCGAGCTGATGCACTTGTTCCAGGATTCACTGCTCTAATTATGCTCCCACCAATCCGACTTTCATCGTTTGCAGGTTGGAAGTGTGGAAAGGCTTCTGCTTGAGCACATAGCGGACAAATGCGCATTGTCCGCAGAGTCTATTTGCGCGTATAAAGGGACACTTCCAATCCAGGCTAGGCACCGCACCTTAGCGATTGATGCTGTATCTTTCAAGAGATTTCGCTTTTGTGCAAAGGTGTCGGAATGTGCATGTGCTTGAATACCCCGCCACACGAGAGCCGCAGACATATCCTCAGTACACCCGAATAGATAAACGAAAGCATTTACGCATCAGCTAAAATTAAGCTTGACGAGCCCGCGAACTACGGTGACACGAACATTCATGAAACAGCTTCACTCAATGTTTCCTTCAAGCGAGAGCTCTTTCTCGCTCAGCTCCTGCAGGAACTGCTCAACCGGTCTACCTTCGTAAACGATATCATATATCACTTCAAAAAATGGAAACTCTTTCATAAGTTTTTGGCGCTGGAGTACCTCATGTACTTCTTTCGCTGTGAGCGTACCTTGGAGCTTTTGGCCATTGAGCAGTTCCACCTCCAGTTCTTCGAAACTCTTCCGGCCACCAGCCCGCGCAAATGCCTCCGCGCATTTACGATTTCGGCCACCGTAGCAAGTCGTTATGAGATCCGCCACACCACTAGACTGCAAGAACGTTGTATACTGGACATTCTTGAAAAACTTTTTCGCAAAACGAACCATTTCCAGGAGTCCAAAACGAATAACTGCCGCCTTCGTGTTGTTTCCGTAACCGAGGCCATCACAGAAACCGGCTCCAAGAGCAACCACGTTTTTTAGGGCCCCACAGATCTCTACGCCTGGGATATCTGGTGCACCTGCGATCCGAAAGTAGGGCTTCTGGAAAATGATTTGCAATAGTTTCGCGTGCGCGGCATTCTTGTACCCGATGGTGGCCTCACTGAACTGCTCATCTGCTATCTCATTGGCAATATTTGCGCCCATCAGAACGGAACACTCCACACCAAGTTCCTTCGAAATCACGTCGCTAATCAGCACAATACCGTTTTCATCAAACTCCACGCCTTTAATCAACGAAACTGCGAAAGCGCCCTCGCGAACGTTCCCTCGGAGCTTGGCACAGAGGCCTCGCACAAACTGGTGAGGCAGCACAAAGACGAGAATATCGGCCCCAGCGACAGCCTCGATCGGGTCCGGAACGGCAACCACGTTCTCTGGAAGCTTCTTACCTGGAAGGTACTTGACATTCTCGTGATCGCTATTGATAATCTCGGTAAGTTTCCGTCCGTCGACAAGCTCCTCGTATACCCACACGCGAACCTCCGGATCAAACGATTCTGTCTTCGTTTTGACGTTCGATCCCACGATCTTCGCCACCGTGCTGCCCCAGTTACCTGATCCAAGTATAGCAACCTTATGTTTCTCCGTCATCAGCCACTCTTGCTCAAAAGATATCACTAAACGCTCGCTGAACTGCGCGCGCCAACTGCAAACCCCCACCGTACATTATCGCGAGACAGCTGCCGCGCGCTGCGCCAGCGGCAATGCTGCCACGCCATTTGTGGAATCGCGTGATGCAGCTATTGCGACGCATTGCAAAGCACACATCCAGATAGCCAGGTATCCAGATAGTCAGGTAGCCGGGCACATAGGCGCTGCGTTGATGATGAGCGGTTGGCGATGACCTGCGCCTGCCTGCGATCTCTAGCGGCACCCAGGACGTATGAGGGTACGAATGGGTCGTGGAAGTAGGAAGTGCGGCGTGCAACGATGTAGGCTGCACTACGCACTAGTATCAAATGCGCAATCGAGGATCCCTGGTACCTGTGTGGCGATGATGTGACCAACCAAAACGAGCAGCTTCTGAAAGGATGTTTGGACAGGGTACCATGCGGTGTTTTGCACAGCTTGGCACTTCCGCTGTATTGTTGCAGCGATGCTAGCTTGTTGTGCTCGCAGCGCGGCGCTTCGTGGGTCGTGCGCGCATGAGCGCACGAACGCTTAATAGCGTTGGATATGAGGCCTTCGCAGGTCGTTCAGTTCTTCGAACTTGTCGCGCGACTCAAGGCGCTGCAACGAACAGGATGGGTGCGCTCGGGTGTGTGTGTGCCCGAGACAGTCGCTAGTCACTCGTACGGTGTGGCGATGCTCGCGCTTTTGCTTGGTGACGGGGATGCTCAGGTACTGAAACTTGCCTTGGTGCATGATCTGGCGGAATCCCTCGTTGGAGACATAACGCCAAAGTGTGGGATTTCGCCACGGGAAAAGGCAGTCCTCGAGGATGAGGCTTTTCGGAAAATCCGGGACGACGTCCTCTCTGGCTCTGAAGCGGGTTGCGAACTGTACGCACTCTTTCGCGAGTACGAGGAAGCAAATACCCCAGCGGCCGTTTTTGTTCACCAGTTAGACAAACTTGATATGGTCTTGCAGGCTCTTACTTACGAAAACACGCAAGAAAACATGGAATTGACCGAATTTTTTGAGGCTTGCAATGGAATTCAGCATGAGAAGCTTCGGGAGATCTGCAGCTTCTTGTTGCAGCAGCGGCAACGACATTGAAGCGCCGTTCCCATTGCTGTGTTAACTGCGGAAGTTTCGCTGACCCTGAGTCCAGTTTTATTTCCGAAATCCGTTATGCTGTATGGTCGCGCTCTGAACCGCCAGCTCATTGACAAGCCTGAGTTTCTTCATGTTGGGCCCTGCTCTATCCAGCGGTCATCTTCTACATTCGGCTCCATTCGGGTTGAGCTGGTTGCTGCAATCGCATGGGCGGGGCCTTGCGAGAGACCAGTGCAGCCCGTGGGAGTCGCACATACAAGACTTTACAGGTGTCAAAAGATAATCGCTGCGTGGAGGTTTATATGAGTTCGGATAACGAGAGTCAGGAATGTGTTTCACGCCAGGTTTCGAGCACATATGCACCGTCGTGACCTTCAGAGGCCAAAGATGGTGTGCGCTAGCAGCAAATCATTGGAAACTGTGATATTTGATTCTTGCAGATGGAAGTCGTCTGACATCAGGACGTCTGCGTAAAGTGAGGATGTTGACGTACAAGCCATCCATCCAGATTCACAATTGATGCATGATTATCTTGAGGCCATAACATGTCCGCGAGAAAGCAGGTTTTCATGAAAAGTCGAAGATTTGGTTCTTTGTGGCGCCTCACGTTCCTGAGCATGTGTAAAGACGCCACTTTGGTTTTCGAAGCGCCGCGAACTCTGGACCACCATATTCTGTGTCTGCCTATGTCCTGCGGCGAGTGAGCCTGTTCGAGGTTGCGCGCAATGCCCACTAGAGCGCCGAGTCTTCGCGGTCTGGGATGGGCCCCTTTCGAAGAAGACTCTGTAGCATGTCAGCGATAGGCAAATGTCAGATACCCACGGCAGTGCAAGCGTCGTGTTGCTCGGGCTCATCGACTACCTGCTTTACGGTCTCGTTCGAGACTGCTGTCCACTTCGACGGAACGAGGCGGACACTTGCAGCATCCCTCGCAATATCTGCTCTCGGAAGCTAGTATTCCACACGTTTCGGCCTGTTCCATCCTTGGATGTCTATCCGTTGAGGAATGCAGTGCACGCTGCACTAACGTGTGTCCCTATGCCAACGTAGATAGATTTTCTCTCATCGAACACCCCAAGCGCCATTGCCTTCGCATAGTAGGCGCCAAAGTGCAGCTGGTGAACGCGATCGTCGCAGATGCTCGTTGCTCTACTTTTTCTTCTGAGGGCTCTACCCGTTGCCTATTACCTCGGTCTCCCTCGCCGAAGTGCTCTCTCAACTTGGCACGTGATAACTACACGGGCTGGAATCTCTGCTTGCTTATAACGAACTGACACTGCATGATATGTATGAAATGCAACGGTACCCGAGAAGAACTTTCCACGTGATGTATTCATGCCGAGGCCTCAGATGCCGACCGAGACAGAGCGGAAGCTTGAACGCTAGGTCCGGCGCATGTCTCAGAAACGCTAATGCTCCTATGCTATCGGAAAGACTCGTCAAGCTTTGGCCGAAGCCTGCTGACCACCAGTACAGGAGCTACACCTACGTCAAAATACAACGAAACGGTTCCACTGACACGGGCATATACACCACAGTTTTGGTTCTTTTTCTATTCTCATCAATACCAGGTTCGCCGGCTTACTCGGTGACTGCGACCGTTCCCTCTCTTTTCTCTTTGGTTTCAAAGGCGCCGGTATCTCTTTTCCCTCTGGCCCCTTTGTCAGCAGTCAAACGATGCTGACGGTAGCGTTCACACCCTGATCTCGCCGCCTCCCGATGCTTTCTTGGCATCCGAAGCATAGTTGAAGTTTGTAATCCACGCTTCGCTCGCCGCATTCGTATTCTTTGTGTACAGCGTCGGTGCTCCCGGCGCGGCAGTGATGTTAGGTTGCGGTCAGGTGTTCCCTTATGTCCGCCACACGTCCTTCTCGAGCGTCACGCTGCGGCTCGTGAACTCATGTTGCATCGCTCGGCAAACGGCCTTGGAGGGTATACATGGCCTGCCCCGACTCTCTGCCCTGTTGCCGCACGCTGTGACGCTCCCGACGATCACGGACCTCTGCTAAGCGATTCCCTAGAAAACCACCATGACTGCTGCAGGAGCAAGAGCAAAGCGTTCGATTCGATAACTCACCGTCCGCTTCGAGGCACGCTCCTCGTCTGCTGCCAACATACTCCACAACACGAGCCAATGACCGTGATGGACATCGACGAACCTTACCTTCTGGTGACCATCGTTCCTATAGATCCCACGAGCTTGACGCAATGCTGCGAACGCTTCCGTAACTAGAATCAGTTTCGCTGGCTCGCTCGCTCGCTCGCTTATCGGACCATTCCTTCATTTGCTCGGTTCCGCTGAGAAGAACATGATGTACGTGCGCCTAGAGCCTACGCCTTCAGGTTAGAGTCGGATACTTCGGATCTTAAGCCTTCCAATTGGCGTCGGTTGCCACCTGCGTGTCTGACCTCTCGTTACGTCTCATAGGAGCGCAGGTGTATGGGTTTGCTCTTCCTGGGTCCGGGCTGACGGGTGTCGTATTGCGGAGCAACTTCGCGTGGCCGCGCATCTGTGTTGCGTTTTGTTCCTACGCGTAGTCCATTTCTGTGCATGGGGTGTGGTCGAGCTCAGAGGGGCTCGTGAAGCGTCCCGGAAGCTTGCTGTTGATGGCGATCGAAATACCTATACCATCGGCCCTGATAGAAGCCAATAGGTCCACTCGTCGTTGTGAGAAACTTCTGCTCCTCATGTTTTGCATTTCTTTCGAAGCATTCTTACAATCCTTTCGCTTTTCTTCCTCCAGCGGTTCGTGCATTGTTTCAATCTTTGGAGAAATGGCGCCTACTTCGCTTTATGAACTCCATGTCGTTGATCAACCCCTCCTCTTCGTTGGTGCTTCAGTCCTCCATCAGTCGCATTTTCGCATCTGTCGCAGAGACACCCACTCCACAACGAAGCGAGACAGGCGCGCATCGCGGGGCTGATGTGAGCGTCAGCACGGTGCCCGTGGAAAAGCCGAGGGTCTGGTCCCTCTAGGGGCTCTGAGCCCCACGCCGAATGCAGAAGCAGCATCGCTTCTGAGGGCAAGCTGCTCATTGGCGGCAGGTCGATCTGCTCCCTGGCTTCTCCGCCTTCCAGGAGTATTCTTCAGAGGTCGATCTCTTTCTGTCTATCCTCTGAGCAGATGGGCTTCGACGAAGCGCCGGTCATGAAGAGCTCTGTCGTGCGGTACAGCCTAGTGACTGTGTCCTCTCCCGTTCGTCTCTGCATTATCGATTCCATCACGCGACCCTGTAGGTGAATGCCGGCTAGGTCCAGCGTGACCATGCATATTCTTCGCCCACGTGCTCCTTCTTGGAGGCCTGGCGGATATGAGACACGAAGCGAGCGACGCCCTTGGCATCGGCCAAACTGCATATCTGGGCATCGGCTGTGGCGCGTCGTGTGTGTGTGTACGCGAGGAGCTGGGGAGAGAAATGGCCATCAGTGCCGACTGTGCCACTACGAAATGCTTTTTTCGAGGTCCCCGATGCACTCGAGGTACACCGTCTTAAGTACGAGCTAAGCGCCGTGCCGGGCACATTGTGAAGGATCGCGTATTCTCGTACGCGGCCTCTGTGTTCCGGCGGGGAAAAAGTGCATTCCAAGGGATCCCGCAACGACCGCTGTATCGTAGACTAGCGATGTGCAGTGCTTTCCGTTCGAGCGAAAGCCCAGGCGGCGAGCTCCGTGCAGGAAGGCGTCCCGCCGGAGAATGAGCGAGCTCTCTTTGAGCGGTACGCACATTTTTTCGGAACGTTCCCGGATTCTTTTGTTGCAGTAATACTGTTGTTCCCCCGGCAAACCTGCTGTGCTTGAGTGTGTGTATCCATCGATAAACAAGCAATATGTATTTATTGTTTGGACCTTGTTCGTCTCTTTTCTATATGCCTCTTCGCAAAGCCGCCATTTTCCAGTGTCAAGGGCTTTTCCGGGAAGAGCTCCGACGAGCCTGTCGGCCTCAGGCGCGTCGCCGAGGGCATCGATCACTGGCTCGTGCCGAGGACGATCTGAGTCATCGATACCTGTATTTGCTTCACTGAACCTGTTCTTCGAAGCTCAAAAGACGTTATCGATCGGTGTAATCGAAGCAGAATAAGTAGTTTTGTGTGAGATGTCCCATTCTCTGTTCTATGCTATTTTCCGAACCGAAGAGCATTTGAGAAACACGGTGTTATCCGTGAATGTACCAGAGACAGAGGGAACACCCAGGCTTGATAATAAGATGCGGAATTTCGGTCCATCGAAGCTTCGCTCCTGAAAAGCGATTATGTACCTTTCCACTGGACGTAGATTGTGCGAGAACTGAAGTCCGAGTCGAAGATCCATTTCTATGGACACATAACAGACGAGAGTCTCTGGCATCATCCCCTGTGAAAGTCACCAGTCTTGTGTCGAATCTTATTTCTTCACTGGATAGAGAGTAGCATTTGTCATTCGAACGATACCGATTACCTGACGTGACAAATTTAGTGACTATACTGAGTGAGCTTGTAAATTAACCGTCAATGGGCGACGTCGAGATTTTTTATCTTCAATTCTGCTCCGCGAATTCCTGCATTCATGAGTTGCCTTGAAATAGAAACATTACAAACTTGAAGGAAACATTATTTAACCACACAACGCGAAAGGTAATGGAGAATATTGGAACCTTCTTTGTACGATTTTGATGATGATATCGGCTAAGTTGAAGTCTTGCTCCATTGCATCGCGAATCATTTTGATACCCGAGACGTAACGAATTCCAGCGGCATTGGTTAGATGTAGCTTTTCCAGAAAGACGACTGAGAACCCTAAAATCACGTTTGAAACTGTGTAGCTTTATTGCTGTCCCACCATTGTCGAGGCTGGATATCGGGCAACAAATTTCGAAAAACTTCGAAAAGCATGAACTGAATAGGCTGCTGAGTGTTTCAATGGAATCTGAAATAGGTTTAGGGGAAGTACATCAACAGAGCGCTCTCGAAATGCATCGGCACTGAGCGACGGTTGCCAACGAGATTGTTCGCGGATTTCGCAAAAGTGCAAACAGAGCAATTCGTCGAGCCGGTTTCTGCTTCGAACAGGTTTCCGCAGACAAGGTATGGAAACTCTCATAGTTACAGAACCAAGTTCGTTTTGGGAGCCGGGTACCAGTTCAAGCCGTGGAGACCTATCAGGTTCCAGTCTTTTGGGTCTGCCCTTGTCGCAAGGGGTATCTGTAGCGGCTGCACCAGCAACAGAAGGAATCTATGGTTTTTTGTCGGAGAAGGTCTTTCCCCACTTCGGACAGTCCACTTCCCCGCAGGCGACGGTATGCGCTCTAGTGTTTGGAGCGAAAGGTCGCTCGTCATGGGCAGAGCGCGTTATCCTGGACTATATGCTCTCGCAGTTTCCGAACTTTGGTCCTTTGGTTGTCGACTTTGTTGCTGTCGCACTCTACAACACCGATAGCGACACGCCTATTCAAAAGGATCTCATTGCAGAAACCATGAAACGTTCAATGAATCTATTGCAGCGGGAAACTGGTGCAGTAGAGCTCAACTCGATTCTCGACGGTCTATCTCTGGTGTCTCAGTCCAAAGAGCACCTCGAAGCGGACTGCTTCGTTTATCAGCTTGTTGTGGAGGGAGCCAATGATTCTCCGCCGTCTGTATTTACCCTGATATGTGTACCACCTGCAAGAGTGGAGGTCGTGCGAAGAATCATCCTCTGGCACGAACTATCATGCAAACGAGGGCAACCGGCCTCGCCACCTGGAGCAGGCCTTCGAAAAGTCGTCTGGGCGGCCTCGGCCCTGTACAATATCCTTTTGATCGATGACCTTACTGGGAAGATTCTGCTTCCATTTGTTGCAGCAGTTGCTCGACGAATGCGATGCTCGGAGCGACAATCTAACAAAAGTTCGTGAAAGCCTCTCTGAGGATTTGCGCTCAGCAGGCTCGCACGAGTCGCATTTTGCGAGACACTAGCTGAGCTGTTGCTTTGAGGCTCCTCCACATCGATGAACAACGGATGATGTTGCGATTTAGAGGTGTCAAGGTCGACGAGCGAACGACCCGCATTTATCTCTTCCACAGGAATGAACAGATCTGCGATTAGGATCCAGTCTGTGGTGCGTACAATTCTCGAGCCAGATGCGTTGTCAGGAATCCACGAATTTCGTCTATGTACATCTCAGAATAATCGAGGTCGTCAGGAATTTTTTGAACTTCGAAATATTTTCGTTCGCCGAATCCGCTGGTGTCAGGAAGCCTGGCATACAGCTGCGAAAGCCGTCGCTAACGCAGGCACGGCGTTGACGACAGGGCTCGCTCAACTTTGCCCATCTTATTGAGTAATCCTACACCATAATCACTCATCAGTTGCCTACGAAAGTCTTTCCCGATCTAGATAAGCGGCACTCCAGCCTATTCCGAACTGATACACCGTTCCATACCAGTGTCTTGCTCCAGGCGGAAATCCACGATCCTCGATCCCGGCTACTGATTTGTTCTGCATCGGGAGTCCTCAGCGCTCCAGCACAATGCCTACGCTGAGAAGCGAACGATTCTTCCCCGACAACCCGCTCGATGCAAAGCCGCTGAGCGCTCCGGAGGCACGTGACATTTCCGAACGTTGAGCGGGACGTTCAAGTCTCGCTGCAGAAAGCGCCTGCGCACAAGCTTGCTGGTAGAATCGCACTATACAAAGCCGCTCGCCTTCGAATGCACCGGTATCTGAGGTTTGGTCACCCTGCCGTACACCATCTCATACAGCTGTCTGCGCTTCACTCGCTTCTTCTCAATCGGTTTCAGCGCACACCCGTGTCCGCAAGGAGTGTTTGTCGTCCCGAACTCACCGATGGGATTCCTGAAGAGTCGATTCCTGCACTTGTCGTGCGCTCGCATTCGACGAGCAAGAGTGGAGCCACTGCACGCCGCAACACATCAAGAACCCTACGCTGCCTTCGAACGAAGCGACTTGTCGGTCATTTCCTTCTCCAATATATGGAAGTGGACGGTCAATGGACGTTTCTTGTCTCCGTGCAACCGAAAAAGTTGGCGACCTCAGCGCGGCCTCGGGTACGCCTGCCAGAGACGCCTTCCGCACGAGCCATTCAGACGCTCACGCAATCTTCGGCTGAAGCGTTCGAAGGACCACCTCTGCTCCGCACGGTATTCAGGGCGTCTATCTGGGTCCTGCCGCGTCCATTCCATCTGTCGGTATGCCTTCTGACACCTGTCATGCGCGACCCTCAATAAGACGGAGCTCTGGAAACATTTAGCTTCTCCAGCTGCTTTCAGTTCAGGCCCTTGGCTTCGTCGTCCTGACCTGGGAGCACGGCGACAGCTATGACGTCCTGCAACCCGGGACCTACACCCGCCGCGAAATTTTAGATTTCATCGACGATGAGCGATTGAAACGAGCCTCTTTGCGGGACTCGGGTATCGACTGAACAGAGTGCAACCAGAGGGATATTCCGTCGGTCTGCACTGCACCTGTCCAGTTCCTTCCTTGGACTCTGCGTCAAGAAACAACCTTGAACGGCCCCCGCCAATGCTCTTCGTAAAGATGCTCGAGTGCTTCATATGTGCTCGCAAAGACCAGTTGTAGCTCATTGAGCAGGTAGTACAGTATAGGATAGGACGGGGCAGTGCGGTCAAGTGCAGCACAGCACAGCACAGCACAGCACAGCACAGCACAGCACAGCACAGCACAGCACAGCACAGTGCAGTCCAGTGCAGTGCAGTCCAGTCCAGTCCAGTACACTGCAGTGCAGTACAGAGGAGTACAGAGCAGTACAGTGCAGTGCAGTACAGAGCAGTGCAGTACAGAGCAGTACAGTACAGTGCAGTACAGTGCAGTGCAGTCCAGTGCAGTCCAGTACACTGCAGTGCAGTACAGTACAGTAATATCGTGGCCCTAGAAGTCGCGTGCATGGACCGCGTCCAAGAAGCGCTTGAGTAGGCCAGGGAGTTCGGACTCGGCCAGGGAGGGTGCTCTACAGTGGAGGTTTTGTTCAGGAAACCGAAGTAGCGCAACATGCAAGCATGGCAGGCGTCGCGCTTCAAACATACTCAGGAACGACGTTCGGCGGTCCAATAGCCCTCAGCAGCACCATAAACTTGAACGATCTGAAGCGCCCACCGCTCTTGCTGCGGCATCTTCTCGAAACTCGCTGCCATCTCGCGCTCCTCCGTAGCCTCCAGCTCGTCACTTGCCTCCATGGGCACCCCTATGAACCCCTTCCATCAGTGCTCACGCTCCGGACCACTGGTGTGAGTGCACAAGCGTACAACGCTGACTGGGTATGCCCGGTGAGGTGCTCAACAATGACCCGCCAAGGAACTTGAATTTTTGGTGGTTCATTTCATCTGTGGCACCTGCGTTGTAGACGTTCCTGTTGCCGACGCGGCGCGCCGACGAGTCATCGTACGCTCAGAGGCATTCATACAAGTCCCTGATTCTTCGATCAGGCCGTGCTGCATCCACCGTCGCGAGCATCAGCTGCGTTGCCGGTCGAAGATTTACTTGGCAAAATCCAGAGGAGCCTGGAGCGCGGGGAGCTCTGCGTCCAGCACTCACGCGAACATGTGTTTGACGACGGGCGCCTCGGCGAGAGAAGCCCGTGGAGACTTCCTCGAGTGAGAAGCCTCGAAATCCCGAATGGTGTCCTGAACCCCACATCTTGGAGGCTTGCCCCCATTGATGTGTTTCCGTAGAGAGGCTTCGGCAACTGTTTCTCGCTGATATGTCTGCCCCGGCCGCTTTCCCTTCTGGTTCTTCTTCGTCCTCTTTCTGGGAGGATCATTCACTTCCTGTTTGTCCGGCATTTTCCTGTCTTTCTCCGTCGCCCCGTCGTCTCGCTGGCGGAGTAGTGTGGATGTTGTCGCTATAATCCAAATCCTTTTTTCCTGGGACTCAGGCACACGGTGCGGACGACGGCGCTGACATTCGTGCTTTTCTGTGTACGCAAGCAACCACGATTGCTCAAGTGCCTCATTACAGACTTCTCCGTGGCGAGTACGCTCGCGGCACGGAGCGCGCCTCTGCGCTCCCTCAGCAGAAAGAGCGCAGGAGGAACGCAGCAATTCAGGCCCAGTGAAAGTACAGGACCTGTTCTCGAAGACGTACTCGTTGAAGAATAATTTTACGGATGCGAATGACTCGTCTATAGGTGAGTGAGCACAGAGATGGTGTCTGATAACAGACAAGATGCATTCGACGCATTGAACCAGGAAGAATAGTCTGACGTGAAGGGCGGCTCAGCGCTAGTTCCACCTGCGTACTCTTTGACAGCGTCTAAGACACGGAAAGCGAAGTCTACGAAGAACAGCATAGAATGACATGGTGGAGGAGAAGCCGCGAAGCGTTCCTCGACGAAGGCTAAGGCGTTGACCAATCCTGTCCGAATCGCGATACGTAGGCGACCACAGGATAGCACCGTCGCTAGGGCCGATATTGTCATCATGCTCTCTTGTCTCTGCTGCACGAACAGCGGTTTGACCCTGCTCGAGTCGCCGTGCACATGTCTACCATTTGTCGGGCATAAGGTTCAGGATATCGAGACGAACATCCGTCGAGTGCGAGGCCTTCGCGCTCCAGTGCGAAACGAGGGGTGCTTCATTCAATGCGCGACGGTCTCCCGAAGAAGCATGTTCGTTTTGCTCTTGCATCCGGGCGTATTTTTCTCCGCCTGTATCACCGATGGGGAAACTGCGCATGCTGTGACTTCTTTGGTGGTATCTCACCGAGAACGTATGGGGAGGAACGGATTGACGAGGCGACCGTCGCGTCCAGCGGGTTTGATAAGTTCTGTTGTGGAAGCACAACGTTCAGGATAAGCAATACGTGAAGGGCGGGGATGTATCCGCCTGCTGACCGACGAATAACAGGCTGGAAGAAGCAAGCTCGTTTTCCGGGGAAGCTAGCAGTGACGAAATCTAATGTTTTCGGGACCTTTCTCCGATCTAAAATATACATTTCTTTTGATGAGTACTTGTGACAAATGGAACAAGAAGGAAAGTGCGAGCTGATGCACTTGTTCCGGGATTCACTGCTCAGAGTATAACGGACGCAGGTCTCGAAGGGACGCTTGCAAATGCAACGCCAAGCAAGGCTGCCTTCGTATGGTGCCAGTGTCGTAGCTGCTGCTGCCACAGCCTCCAGTGCTGCACCAAGGGGATGTGCGGTGCGCTCGGCAGCAGTGCAATCTCTAACGCTGAATCAATCTAACTTCTATTCCTATCGTGAAAAATGCCTTGAGCATTGTAGGGCGTGGAAGCGGCCTTCAGAGAACGGCGTAGTCGCTGCCAGACTGCAGATTTGTGGCACCTGTGTGTAAGGTGCATCCGTGGTCAGAAATGCTATTATACGAAGCACTATCACAAAGGGGGCGGCTCTCGCCTTTGTGGAAACCGTCAATAAGAGCTTCGCCGACTGCATCTGGTCTCATGCAGCGGGCTTAGAATATCAGAACTGAACGCACTTGCGTTCCTCAGCTACACTTGACGTTGAGTTCTTCCGCCCATTTACTGCCAATGCATGCTCAAGTTCGTACGGAAGAAACAGACTTTGGGATCCGTCCTGTTTCCGAGTTTATTCCGGATGAACCAGACCTGCAAGTCCGCATTATGGTATTCAGGAAAACGAGAGAAAGAGCCTCTGTCTCCAGTGCAATTCTGCAAACCTTGTGCAAATGTGTCTTCCGGAGAATAGTTTCCCGAGTCTCTGGCTAGGCATAAGATGCCGAGATGAACTGGAAGCTCCTTTGTCATATTTGTAAAGAAAACGCTGGCGCCCTATGTGTATTGCATTGAATTCTTCTTTGAATGGTGAGCCTGCACAAGATCCATCTCATATTGCCTCGATTCTTCGCAGCACGATTCGCTAAATGGTATATATGTTCGAGATACGCCATGTTTATAAGCGTCACCTAGAAGCGTTTCATCGTGCTCGGCTCAACGACGCATCAATGATCCAACCAGAGAACCACAGGAATATCTATCGCGCGGTCTAAGGCGCTGGAACGCGTTGGAGAGAAACGGAATGTCCCATGAAATTGGGGCCTCGCCAGACTCACTGGACTAATCCTGACGCATCCTCATATAACCCCACGCTAAGCGTGGCTGAAACGCATCGTCGGTTCTCGTACGGAGGCACGACTCTAGACGCGTGACCACTCTCCGAGCGACTGAGTGATTCACGCACAGCTTGAAGCAGCACGACAGCCTTGAAAACAATCTTCGTTGTGAATGCATTTGTGTAAGATTATCCTAAATCCTTCGCAGAGGATTCGGTTCAGTTCACTGCGGTACGTTTGTGGCGTTTGTTCCGACAACGGCTCCCAGCGGCAGCATCGATTCATGGTCGTTTGACGTAGCCATCGCAACAGGATGCGTTGAGCTGGTTTCTCTCGCAGCGAACTTCTCAGATCATCCTCACCGATGCGGTTAAGGGCTAGGCGTAATGCAGTGCAGATATTCCGTTTCACAGTTTCAGGGCCGTTAATGGAGAGATCAAGGAATACTGACTGCATCTGGGAGGCGAAAATGGAAATAAACCGTCGGAGGATTCGAGGATGGCTTGCGGTTTTGCATTTCGAGAAAAAGACAGCAGCGTCCGGTGCCTCCGATGGGATAGACCGCGGCATCCGTAGTAGAACTTGGGCACTCTGCAGATCGAAAATCATGCCACACCATTCGATACGGGGTTTCCTACCGCCTGCGACGCATTTTCGAGTCTTCCCGGGAGATGGCATCACGCCAAGCGCTTTTGAGCACTGCTGAACCCTGTTGCAAAACGCACGGAAGATGGAAACTTCACTCGTTACGAAAAACACATCATCTACGTAACGCATCAATAAGGAAGGCGGATCCTTTGTACTATTAACGCGAAGGAAATCCTTCAGACATTTTCGCTCAAAGCATCCGAGGTGAAAATCGCATAGGATGCTCGATATTGGTAAACCTTGGGGAATGCCCCGGCGCTGGATTAACGCTGAAGAATGATCGCCAAAATGAACTTGATTGCTTCCGATAATTCGACGTAAATGCGAAATGATATCGGCGGTATGCAGCGAACAAATCACGCCCTCGTCGGCAATAATTTTGCTGCGGGCTGACTGCAAGTACTGCAGAGCAAAAGCGTCGTAACCTCTAGTGACATCAGCAATAGGGCAGGCAAACCACTTTCGTTGTGGAAATCGAAATTGTTTGTCTGTGACAATGAACCTTCGAAGCGCGTAGGCCTCTGAGTGAAAGAAATCCGAAAGCTCTCGCCAGAGAAAACGCTTCAAAGGTATAGAATCGAAAGCCTGGCGGATATCGAAGCATAGTGCAAAAAGAGGCGGTCGCCCAAACCGTCGCCATCTCTGGACGAAGGCGGCCCAACGCTGGTGCATTTCAGTTAGAGAACGAATGCTCGCGCCGAACGCCTCAGGTCGAGACAAGCGCTCGTACAGGCAAACAGCGTGTATTAGGGTTGTCTCCTTCCCCTGTGTGTCAGGGCTCATTTTTTGAACAAGTCGAAAGCTGTTCGCTTTCGGCAAAATACGAACACTTGTCCAGTGACCAGTTCGCTTACCGAGATTCTTCCGCATGCGTTCAAAGTCGCCACTGCGTACAAGGTGAGCAATGGCTTGCGTGCGGAAAACGAAGAGCGAGTCTCGACGTAATATCAATCTCCGCATCTCAGCGCGATCGGCTGCGCTGAGAACAAAACATTCATCGAAGACGTGTATGACGATGGCGTTGAAAAGAAAGCTGAAAATATGCTGAATGTGCAGCGGATGGTTGCGGCATACTCCAGCGTCGCCAAAAGACATAGGCTGATGCTGCTGAAATTGTACCGTTTCCATCAGCTGAGCGACATGAAGTCGTACATCGTAAGGCGTGGAAGATATTTTGCTCAGAAGGAAGGAGGATATCGCCTTCCGTACCCAGATTTCAAATGTAAAGGACTCAAACACACAAGTGGGAACAATCGATCTGAATATCGCAAAGAGGAAATGGAAAACAGAGCGGCGTGAAGAGGCATATTTTTTCATAACTGGTTGAGACTGGTCCACAGTGGTTGCTTTCGATGGGCAGTAATGGTTGAGCATTCCCTTCAGAGGAATATCCCACGCTCGCACCAGTATGCAGCGAAAAGCGTCAAGGAAACGAATACAGGAGGAGCAGCGAAGAGGGAGACACACCCCTCCATGATACTCTTCGCGTGAGCACAGCCCTGCCGCAGCGAGCGCAAGCAAACGTTTGGCGTTAGATTTTGAGGGATGCATGGCAAGATACGGGTTCCTTGTCGTTATGCCGTAGGGGCCGAGCGCGATGCTTTTCGTCGAAATCGGGAGAGCATGTGCCTTGGATGTTTCAATGCGTGCTTTCGTTGGACATTCAGTTCTATGCGGATCTGCGTTGATATGCAGTCTGTGACTAGCGCCGCGCATATCGCATGGGATTTCACGATGAGTCTGGGGTGCTTTCGCTGACTTCGCAGAGAGCCTTTCTAGTCCGACCCGTCCGCTCAGTTGTATGTAACAGGAGGGACCAACTCTTTCCAGCAAGACGAAGTCGGTGATCAGCCGGAGAGCGACGCAGTCGCCCAGTGCACGCGTGAGCGCTACCCATTCTGGAGCCAGAAGTCTTGCAACTGATGCGTTCGGCCCAGCATAGCGGGAGTCCGAGTGACCTCGGATCAATACGTACCGATCGTCACCGCGAAGAAGATCAAGAGCAGTTCTGAGTAGCTCCTCTTGAGACCTTGACACTGGCACATCAGCTTCCATCAGCGTATTCAGAGCAGGTCGCCAGCGCAAGCGCTCACGGTGCTGAGGATCCTGGCCTACGCGAATTCCATCTATCCAGTCGAGAAGCGAACGAGCTGACGTGATAGGCCGGTCACCGAGATGCCAATCTTGCAAAGGGCATCCCACACTTTGAAAGTAGTTCAAAATGTGAGACCTCCAGTAAGCTCTCGAGTCACAGAGCGAGGCTCCAGGTTCTGGCGGGTACGTTGCCGCTAGCCACTCTGGAAGAGGCTTTCCGAACATGTGGTCAACGATAGTCCGTTACGAGGCCCTACGCGAGAGAAGTGAGAGCAGCTTACCATCGAGAATTTCCCAAACAACGAGACGACAATAACTGCTCACGCGAAAGATGAAAGTTCCGCCTGCAGAAGTATGTCGGTTGCCGCGGCACAAGGCAAGGAGAACGTCAACAAAGCATTGCGTACAAAATATTCTAATGGCGAGACCGGAACCGCGTTTGGCCGTCGGCCACCTGGCGAGGACCACTTCCGCGCATGGAGCGAGCCATCAGGGATAGTACACATGGCATCTGATGGATCGCTGAAACGTTCTGACCATGTTTCGGCACGAGAGGACTTGTCTAGGCTCCATTCTACTTGGTGGTGTCTGGAACGGTATCGTGCTCAATTCCCTGACCTCCAGTTCTCCGAGCAAGCTCAATCGCGGAATTACTGGTCAGCCCCAGATTCTGCACATCAAAGAGTACAGCATTTCTGAGAGCGCGACTTTATAGAAATAAAAAAAATTCATTTAGTCGGGTAAAAGATTCGTCATGAACACCGTGGGAAATTATCTTTTTCAAGTGCAGCACGCCACTCTGAAAGAGTTCCGAAAAGCGCAGAATGCCATCTCTTTGGGGTGCATCATTGCCGCCTCGCTGGGGCTCACACCTGATGCGGGTGCAGCGCACATATGCCTTTCCAAGAGAGAAAACCAGTCTGCTGATCGTTGTTTCCTCTTCGCTGCAATCGCATCGATTGAAGAGAAATTAAGGCAGATCGCCCAGCTGATCGGCGACGCGAATAAGTGCACAAGCAGCAGCGAGCACACTCTGCTGCAGAAAGATGTGCATGGCATCCATGAAACACGATGCTACTATAACATAGTTAAGGTGCAGCGCATCGAACGCAAGAGCAACAAGGGATAGAAGCCCGGAAGTCATTGAACTTCTGGAGTAGGCTTCCAATTGGCTGCGAAGGACTTTGCGACTCAGCATCGAAGCATGCGGAAAGTCATCCGATTTAGCTCTCTTGAGCAGCGCCGGACACAAAGGGCTCAAGAGTTTGCGAAGTTTCTATTTGGCCTCTGGTTTACGTATTGCTGAAAGCCGTAAGCGTATGGTACACGTTGCCAGCTTGCTGTACATGGACAGGTCGTCAAGGAACTCGGAGTACGAAGTGGACTTTGTCAGTCTTTTGGCCCATAGCTTGCGAAAACTTCAAAGAACGGCAGCAACTTAGAATCCTCCGAGCATCAGCATGACGGTAGTCGCTTTCACTGTCATGATCGCCAAAATAGATGACTGCCAGCAGTGTTCTTATACGAAAATATCTTAGTCCGTTACTTCAGGTATGTTCACGACGGGGCGAAGTACGCCTCTGCTCAAACCGTGACGGCATATGCCAGCAAACATGAACATGGCGAAATGGATACGAATCTTGGCACTCCGGCTCTTGAAGCTAAATAGACGGCAAACAATTGTACTTGAAAACAAATACGAATGAGAGGAAAATAGAGGGCGAGCGCCCGACCCCAGAGTATAGCATCGGACAGCTTTCCTTTCGCCAGCTGTAACTACTGAAGCGAGTTCTTTTCTTTTTCAAGGTCAGCGCTTCTAGGTGGCGAGAGAATACCTGATACTGTGCGCGTGTCACAACCAGCGTGTGCGGCCACGAGCAGCGCTCGTAGCTCGGCCCGGTGCTCTGGCGAGCCAAAGCCCAGAAGAAATCTTTGTCCCGGGCTCTGCGTTTGTATGGTGTCCTTCTGGTCCTCTGTTTCCGGTCCTTTCTCTGTAGTTTCACATAGACTTCCTTCCCAGTCATATGCGCACTGCTCAATTTCCGTTAGTCGTAGAACCGCTAGAGCACCGAGGGGGAAGGCTGCTGTACACGCGTCCGGACCGCTTTCGCTCTTAGTATTTCCGAGATCGCCATCCAAGACGTTTTGTTTCGACATGTTTTCAAAAACGAACGCACTTCAGTGCATAGAAAAACCTTGGCGGCACAAGATGGCATTCGTTACAGAGAAAATAATCATCCATGTTTCATTCATCGCTTTCGCGTCGCGCACGTGCTGCCACTGTCAAAATCTGCGCGCGCTCGAGCAACCCCGTAAACAATGCACTGAAATGCATTGGCCCGCCGGTGGATTGTTTTGCAAACGAGCGCCAACGCATATGCAATCGCGTTCGATACGCGCGCCTCAGGGAGATGCTCGACATCCCCTCCCGTCGCTCGTGGCATCTGTGAAGCTCGGAAAAAAAGTCATTTTCAGGGAAACGGACGCTTCTTCCATGGATCCCTGTTTAGCTCGCCAGCTCCAAAGCAGCGAAACACTTTCACGACTTGACGACACGGTTCAGGGCCGTGCTCGCAGTTAACCAGGTAAACTGTGTAGTCGAGCAGTGAGTGAGAAGGTTCGTCACTTAGTGCGAAACTCACTTCCTCAGCGCTGCTCCGCTGTTTGTTCTTATTGCCTGGAGGGCTATGAAGCGTTCCTTGACTAGGCATACAAACTTTTTTTGATCCCAAAGTAGCATAGCTGTTATGTAATTCAGTTCCCTGAGAATTTGCCACACTATAAGAAAAATCGACTTAGCTTGAGCTGCCGCTGAGAATGGGCTGTATATTGCTTCCAACCCGAGAAACCCGAACAAAAGCAGGCGACAACAAGCGAATAGTCTCCCCGAGAGATATCGTAGCTGTTAAAACTATTTGTCAAACACGCGCGGCATGGGACTCTGAACCCGAGCTCTTATTGAAGAAATTCGAAACATTTCTTCAGTTATTGCAGAGAGGACGATATCTCTAACCGTAAAAATCCCATGAAGGATTTTCCACATGTAGCATGCATGCCGCAGTACACAGCAAGAACAAACATATCGTCAATAAGGTTCGTATATCACTTTCTAGTTCGAATCGATTGTAGCTATGATGAACATAGTTCTGGGTTCGGCGGTTTCAGTGGGTGCAGGCTCGGAATAACGACTTCTCTGGCATGTAAGAACCTGCTCTTTGGATGCCAGGTGCAAGACACGCTCCTTGCCTAACGCGGATTACGAGGGAGCGTTTTGCAAAAAATTCATCTCAACGGAAATAGTCGTGAAATGACGTACTATAAACACTCCGCGTATGCCTCGCTATAAATACCAATTAATAGTTCTATCAAATGGCTAATAGGTATTTAATATCTATTGAACGCTGCGCGATAAACATTGGAATTAAAGATGGGTTTCGAATCAGGCGGATGTAGACCGGTAGCGTGTTCATCAGTCACGTCGAAGATCATAACGAGAGGGAGATACTTTAGCATGTGAAAAATTTATATATGTGGCTATCCTGACACCCGGCGTGTGTAACAAATTCATTCGTTCATACACGTCGAAAAAAGATGAGGCAGGTTTTGGTTTTCCAACAAAAACAAGGGTTCTCGCTATGGCGATAAATTCGATTTCTGAATGCAATTCATCAGTGCGCCGCGTGCGGATTCGCACAAGCGATTTCAATTTAAACGCAGTCGCGTGGAGTTATATGGAGAGCGTTGCTGCAGTCAGGGAGCACGGCCCAGATACTCCACAATACTGTTTTCCGTCTGCATTGCTTCGCAAAGTACAAGTCGACACATAGCTTCGCTGAGCATATAGGCCATATCGTTATCCCCTTCTCGAGAAACTGAGGAGAAAAAGTCTCTTATTCGGAGCCGTGGGTCAGGAAATCCTGTGCGCAGTGGGTTAAATGAGTTCCCCCGTGACGGATTACTGTACCGCCTCGCTCAGGGTCTAGTGCTTTCTGGAGCGAACGCGAGTCATCGAGGATATCGTTTTCGAAGCTCACAATAAGCGTTTGACGAACTTTGTATAGTGTGCGAATTGCCTCCATGACCTCGATAGGATCAGGGTTGAATGCAAAAGCTCCATCAGCGACCTCAGCAAATAAAGGTGGAATCTGCTGCGCAAGCGCCCTTGACTGTCGCACCAAGGCGAAAAGCTCACTATCCCGAGAACCAGGGAACACATCATCTGTAACAGTGTCGAACAGAGTGTCAGAGGTCTCAGGCCCATCGATAACGAGTCGCTGGATCACATCAGAGAGTTCACCAGTCCGGCAACTGTCTTAATTACGGGCGCGATAAGCTCTCTGAATAAAGGTATCGCATCTTCCGCGCGGCGATTATTAAATGCAATCAGTACATCGGCAGCCTTGTACCCATCCGCGTTGCAAAACAAGCTGCCTCCAAGGGTGTGCAGGAGAGCGCCCAAGGAGCGACCGATCCCATCAACAGGGATAGGATCATAATCTAGAGCGAGCATTCCCGCTGCTGCTGAAAACCTGGTGAGCACGTCATCCATCGTCCAAAGGTGATCGAAGGAAAGTCGATACGGCGTCGCGGCTACTACGAAGCCCTTTAAAGCCAACTGCTCGAGAAACCATCGATACGCAACCTGCGGCGCGGCGCCAATGAAGGCGCCCCCGAGAAAATGAACGAGGGCTTTGGGAGGCAGCGGTGTACCGTTTCCAATCCTGTAGGCTATGCGCTGTGAGGGCCTTGCGATAACGTGCGGAGGCCTGAAAGTAAAGTTTCCCGCATATTCCTCCCAACCTCGTGTACTTGGAGTGTTGCCGGCACTCTTGTCAGTGTGCACCAAAAAATACCTTGGAGCACGTGGATATTGTGAACCAGTAAAAAGCTTCCCGCAGACTCGAAGATTTGCCGAACTCCTACAAAACAAATGCCTCCGAACTGACAAGCCATTTAGAGTGGCGAACCCAAAAGCTGCACCTTTGCAGCTCATGTTGTGAGATGCTTATCGGATTCAGCTTACTTTCAGTGCCGGAGGGTCGAGTAAGGAAGCCTTAGATTGGGCCACGTATCCGGTCTACTCGCCCAGTTGCATAGCAAAAAGGCCTCAGCTGTGTTGTAACAGAAAAATTTTACACCAATCCGTTGACAACTGGACAACACGATATCCAGTAACACCCGTCTTGTCCCGGAACACCACTCGGTTTGAAACTTATGTGAAAGTAGAATGTCAAATAATAAAGCGCCCTACAATTGTACAGCCTCCGGTGCGGTGAATCGCGCCGAAGTCCCGGTCGTCTTTCAGCGTTCATCTTTGGAAATCGATGCGCATACGGCGATATGCACTTCTCTGTGGCACGCAACAGATGCCGAAGCGACGTGTGCATCTGCCAAGGTGCTTGTGTTGCTGGTATGCAACAGCATCAGAACCCTATATCGACGCGGATGGATTCGCTTCCCAAATATGTATGCCGAGCAGCTACTTGGCGAGTGTTGGTCCCAGTTTTGAGCTGTTTTCGACCAGTAAGTTGGATTCGACGCAATTGCAAAGCGTGAAAGTTTCAAGAAAATGCGGATGCAGGATACTCAATAGCAGCAACGAAAGCTGATTTGCCGTGTCGGCAAGAAGTTTACGGTTCCAGATCGCTCCAGATGCGCCAGACTTCCAGGCCGTAGATGCAATCCGTTCATGCTAGCCCCTTAGAGAACTCCCGGCGATATCCGTCCACATCTCACCCAAATTTGTGAGCGCTGCCACCAGTCTATGCGCCCTAACTGGCAGCTGCTTCTTCTCCAGCTGTGAACCAGAATCATAGCTGTGCAGTGCTCTCTAAGATTTGTGTTTAATCCGGCCAGAACCGGCGAGCAGGTACAAACAGTCTCGTAATCCAAATGCCAACGCTTCGCGCCGAGCATCTTTCTAAGCAGGAGCCTCCGCGTGGAAGCGCAAGTGAGGTGACCTTTTTGGCGCTGTCGTGGCTTCTACATCCGAAGCACAGTGGCCCCAAGTTTGCCTGTAAAATTCCCCCGCTCTATCGTTATGCCGACGAGTTCGACAGGAAACTCGCGTTTTTCCCGAAATCACCGGATACGGGCAACCTTGAAACGGGCTGCTTATCATTGCACCGACGAAACAGTGACTCTTTCGGAGACTCCCAGACATTCGTCCGCATCGCCTGCTTCTAAAATCCATGCGCACGTTCTGCTCAAGACTTGGGTTTTTGGATTAACTCAATCCAGTAGTCGTCCGGGTCCCGTACGAAAGCAATTTCGCCCACGTTCTGGAAGGGTCCCGGTTTCCGCGACACGACATAACCCGCTTTCTCTACGGCGGCACAGCTCGCGTAGAGATCATCCACGAGAAAGCCGATGTGACCGTAGCCCTTACCCGGCTCCGTATTCCCGTTTGCGTACTTGAAATTCGGATCCTTCTCAGTTCCCCAGTTATGTGTAAGCTCAAGAGTCGGGTACTGACGCGAGAAAAGCCACTTTGCCCGCTCTGGTTGTGGAGCATCTTCCGCCGGCACTGTTGGATCCTTCTCCAGTGCGAAGAAATAGAGGGAGAATGACAGTTCCGGAAAGTCGAAGCGCGTCAGAAAGTTCATACCCAGCGCCTCGTAAAACTGCCGCGACTTTGAGGGGTCCTTGATTCGAAGCATCGTCTGTGCGAACACGGCGTTCTTTCCGAGAAACCCCCCGTTAAAGCTCATTTTACACCTGGAAATTCTACTTTTCGAAGTCTTATATCTAGACAAAACCCTTGTTGTTTTTCGCGAGAAAAACGCGCTCTCGACTCTACCTGCAACGAACATGAAGCGCCTTGCCCGCAAACCCGAAGATCCGGCTTGAGATCCGCAGAACGCCCGCAGCAAACCGCCACCATAGCCTTGGAGGTGCTGGGGCGGCGCATGCATGCTGCCGCAACCGGTTGGGCATTTCTGTACAACTTTCTGAAACACGTTGCGCCCCACTTCCAGCATATTACCCTCTGTCAACGCACTGAATCAGCAGCTATGGACTACAGACTTGCAACGCTGCTCAGTTCTCGCGCACTGTTTGCCTCTTTCCAAAGAATATAAAAGTTCCGGTGTTTCTCGCGAACCCAACAATCGAGAGCGGCAAGAGGGGCAATTCCTGGGGAGATATGTCGCCGCCATCGAGTGCTCGCTTTTTGGGTCGCACATCGCATTCTGTGCAAGACGCACATGGATACTTCATATGGGTGCCCCGCTCGTATTGCCACGCAGGTCTTGCGTACCAGTCCACAAGCCAGATTTCCGTAGTTCAGCGCTGGGCGTGGGCCACATGCACAGAGCACCAAACCCACGATTCTATTCTGGGTTTCAGCGAGATGCGTCCACTCTGTGGGGTCCGCGCTTCCGCTTTAAAGTATCGCTTTCGATGAGTTAGGAATGACACTGGAGGTGACAGCATTGATGTCACGGAGCGCATGGAACGGATGACGTTGCAGGAGACCTGCTGATGCGGGCCGCCGTATCGACCTTGCTATATGCGACGAACCAAATCCACATCGATATCCACGCTGGATCTCGTGTTCCTAACGATTTCGCCTTCCGAGAGCGAACCTCCGTTTCTGGTATTCGGTGGACTCCGCATCACTCTATATTCGCACCAGCTCCGGATGGTCAGCGAGCATTTCGCTCTCAGTAAGCGCATCCTCGCGCGACTGAGGTGACCAGATGACCTCCACGCCCTGGAGTGCTTCCCGCGGGATGCTGCTAAGTGCCCGAAGCGCCGCCTCGATGTCACTGCTTCTTCGAATCTCTGTAGGAACGCCTGGAACTCGGCCAGACGCAGCAACAATCAGTGTGACCACAATAAACTCGGGTACTCGCATGTCGGTGGAGTCGCGTTCTGCAACCTCCCGCTTCCGAATATCAATCTGTCCACCAAAATTTGATAGTGTCTCTTTCTCAAGTTTCCCGCGTTCAGCGAAAGACTCGTTGTTGAATGCAGCCTCTGCCTCTGAGAGCGACGTGCGCTTCACGTTTACGCTCCCGAAGCTCCAATAGTCAGGGTTTCGGTACAACGCAAGCGTTGTCTCCTGTAAGACCTGCTGCAGGCCGACAATAGAATCTGTCTTACTGCGGAGCGCAATTTCTTCCAGTTCCTGTTGCAGCTCGCGAGCTGTACTGAGCAAACCCACCTTAAGCTTCACCAGCGTCGTCTGTTCTGCGGCCAGTTCACTATCCTCTGCGGCAGCAGAAACTCCAAGACCGGATAGATTCGAGCTTAGAGCACGTGTGGCAAACGCGAAGAATGCCGCCGCAAGAAGAAAAGTCCCTATTCCGGTGAAACCAAACGGCACAACCACTGGCCCGAAGTAGAAGGGCGTGAAAGGCAAAACTGGTGCCGGGCTATAATAATATCCTCCAATACCCCCGGAAGGAGCGCGATAGCTCCGAGGCGGTGCGCTCCGAGTCGCCGGTGCCCGAAAAGACGAGCCACCGACCCGACCGCCTCCCTGTGCTGCAAGTGCGGCTTCTGGGTCACCAAGCAACGGAGAGATTGCAACAGCTAAAGCCGCGAGCACGGCCGCACCTTTCGCAAGCAGCGGTTGCAAAGGGCGTCGAGGAGCGCCCGCCGCGTTGCCTCGAAGTGTGAGAGCGCCGCGGGCTGTTGAAGAGGCGACAAGAGCCCTACCAGCCGCATGCCGTCCCGCAGTAGTGCCCTTCCACAGCGTGCTGCTCCTCGAATGCAGACCGTGTGCGGGTATGACACGAAACTTTGCACTTGTAAACAGCGGATAGCACACGAAAGCCATAACAGTCAAAAACGTCTACTTCCAAACGAGAGGAATTTCACGTGGCAATGCCGTTAAACGCTCAACGAAACGAAGAATGTTCTTTGATATTTCGAAGCGCTTCGCGTGGGAGTGATCCCGTTACTGGCCGGTGTTCTCAGCGCGCCCGCTCCAGAGAGCCAGGCTCACCTCGGGGATGCGGTGCCCGTTCCGCACCTGCCGAGGTGATTGCAGCCCAATCGGTCTGTACGTTTTGTACATGTTATGTGATTGGTGGATTTATTCTCCGTCATGTTGATGAATGAAACACAATTATAGTTTAACAGTTACCCACGAACATTGTTCGTGGCGAAAGTATATGGCAGTCCAGCCTTGATACAGTGCAGACCGTACCATACAAGTGGCTTGCCCCAAGCGGGGACTTAATCGCCGCTCTGATGATACATGATGTTTTTCATCGAGAGTCCGCAGCATTCCAGCACAATACCCACACTGCATACTAAACAATCGAATAGAAGTCGATCGCTCGACTCAGAAGCTGCCACGCTGCGTGTGCTGCGTTCGCGCCAGGGCGCTGTGTGCGTCGCTCCCAGACGCGATTGACACATCTCAACAAATATACTCGTTGCGATTCGAAACCGCGGCATTCTGGAAGAGACAGCAATTCTCCCCAACGCAAGGGCAGCGCAGAGTCAAGGGATGGGCAATGGCGCATATCACGTCTCGCAAATAAGTTCGCGCTACAGATATTATTCTTTAACACACACTAAATGCCTGGTCTAGGCTAATCTACTAGCTTGCCACATAGGAATAGCCCAGCTGAACGGCTATGAGTATCACAGGTGCTCGTCGCACACCTTTGAAGCCCTCAGTGATGAGCTTCTCCATAGGACGGATGGTGCACAACGGAGCCAAGTGGATCAAGCAAAAGAGGCCTGAAATCGTGGTAAGTTTCGGATCCGCGGTTCTCCGCGCAAGTGGGTAGGGGCGCCTGCGTGACCTGTTTGGATGATGTACGATAGATGCGTGGACGGCAAGACCGTCGGCAGCGAATGCAGGTAACATAGGACAAGAACACATGATGCAGCTGGCAGCGTGCACCGGCATGCAGAGCGATTCGAGCATCTGCAGATCGGGGATAATCTTGAAGGGGTTTAGCGAACCTACCAATTGAAAACGCTAACCAGGACGTCGACTGATGATGGTAGATTGACTTTGTTTGTCCACCGGGTTGAGTTCGGCACACTTGCGTCGTTTACCGCTGGACTCCACTGGAAGGTGCTTCAGTGAATGCGTGTGACGTAACTGCTTAAGGCAAGCTTGCGCCAGGGTGCCGAACGCTGTGGCCCTTTTTGTTGATGGAACCTCATAGCTCCAACTCCGCTGGTGCTCGGGGTATGCAACAGGAGGTGCCTAACCTCTTGCTGGTGTATCCCTCTGTTGTAAAAGCTGCAAGCGCGTTAGAATTTGTTGCAAGGCGGGCGCACTTGTTGTGCGGAACCTTGGAGACCTTGCAGGAAAGCGATCGCGGAGCTGCAGCCCAAACCTCTTCTCGTGTGCGTTGTCCTTCATCGGAAGCGGTCTCTCAGCAGGGTACGCCGCTGGGAACCAAGTCGGACGAGTCGCTTGCGGGATACGGATCGAGGGAAAACGAGCAACTCGAAGCGCGCTCTCGCGGGTCAGCTGAAGGAAGCGTTGCACCTTTCTCTTACCGACTTCGCCGGGACGCAACGTGGAAGTCTCTGGACGTCCAACCTTGCCACCTAGCGGCAACGCGAAACCCCTCAGCAGCGCCCTTGGACCTGCTGGCCCAAGTGCAATGCCTCCGCTTGGCTCGGCGCCTTCTCGAGCGTGCCTGCTCTGCGCTGGAGGATGGCTCGTGGCTAGAACTTGTGAAGGCGCATGCCCTATACGTACGCAGCAAGGCCGCCCTGGGGAATCCTGTGGAGGATACGAAAACCGCAACACTGCGTTCTGAAAGTCTCATTCACGAGCTACGAGTGAGGCTGCATGAACAATGTGCACTGCTCCGAGAAGAGATCGTAGAGCGAGCTAGAATGACGGCATGTAGCATGTGCTTTGATAGTTCTTCGATAGAGTATCCAATGTCTGAACGGCGAAAGCGCTTTGCTGCGCTCCTCTGGCTCCAGATCGACCTCGGCATGGATTTAGGCGAGATGCTGCATACTCTGTTTCAGAGTCACAGTCGGATTGTTTGCGAACGGATGCGCAGCCGTGGACCTGAAGTCACGCTTACATTGGTGCGACAGGCTTTTTGTGCAGTCATTTCATTCCTTGGGGCATTTGCGAGCCTCGAGGAGCAATCTGCAAATCACGAGGCAGTCACGCTCTCTATTTGGTCTGCCCAGCCGCTGGATCTGGTCGACGGGTATGGTGACCACCCGGAGCGCTCCCCGGACTGCGAACCCCTCCGGCTGCGACCGACTATTGTATCCACACCGGCACCAAAACAAGAGTCTCTGCTTGATGCATATACAAAACAGATTTGGCAGATGCTAGACACAGTCGTCGAGAAGCTGGCGGACCACGGAGCGAACAAGGCAACCGCCGCCTCACTCACTGGCTTGCTTCAGGAACTTGATAGCGCTTGTCGCTTGGGGCGATCACGAACAGCGAAAGGCCCCGCAGCGCCGGGGTTTTTCGCCGCTTTACAAGCAGAGATTCTCACTATGTTGATGAGGCCGCTAGAAAAACTGGTTCCCGCCGTGCTGTCGCAGCATGCGGAAGATCTGGTAGACGGCTATACACAGATTTTGCATCGACTCATTGGCGAGTGTGTTCGAGATGGAAGAGCTTTGCTGCATGAAGAACAGGTGAGTACTGCTCTTTGCATACCGAAACTCGCGGACTTCTCGTCAGTTGCAAGGAAAATGCGTCCGTCCCGATTCCGCTCGGTGTTCTCCACATCAATACCGGAAACGCTACATATTTCGTTGGAGCGCATCAGCCCAAAGTCGGGACCTTTGCTTGACTGTCAACTGGTCCAGGCGGCGTACTCATGCGAACCTAATCAGTCTGTTGCTTATACGGTGGGCATGCCTGAGGCGGAATCCCCGCTCTGGTATGCGACCTGTACCTGGAATGAAATCGAGAGCTGCACACAGCGCATAATGAAGGAATTTAGCTTGATATGTCGTGCATTTCCAAACATGAAAAAGCATTTCCTGCGGCAGCTCAAGGAGCGGATTCGTGGATTCACTACAGATATTGCTTCCGGCCGCATTTGCAGTGTGACAAGCCTGGTGCAGCTGTTCGAGCGTGGGCTGCGCTGGGTTCCACTTCTTTTGGCATATGCTTTTTGTCACATAGTGGATAGCCTGCGGCTGTTTTATGACCAGGAAGACCTTGGAGCGCTAGACAAGGAGATAACTGAATGGCTTTTCCAGGCAGCGCGCGCCATGCTTGAGGTATGGCTCCGTGGCGTAGCAGAGGTCGCCACGGCGTTGCGGGACCGACCGGCAACACTTGAGCAGCAGTTTTCTGACATACCAAAAGGCGTTAGTGGTACCGAGGCTAACGACGCTGCAGATGAACCAATCGCGAGCTTCTGGAAAGGCTATGCACTATACGCGTTACGCTTTGCAGCACCGAGCGCCAGCTGGCGAACAGTACTGAATGAGCTTCAAGAGAGAGAGGCATTTCGCTCCCACTATTCGTGGACGTCAAGTTGCCTTGCGCCGGGGTCAGCGCAGCACACCGGCGCGGACGCACCTAGCGACCATTGCTCGAATAGAGAAGCTCAGCCTCAGCAGCGTCAAAGGACACGCATCGACATCGCTTCGCCAGTACATAGCCGTATGCTCGTTGGTGCTCAGGTTTCCCATCCGAACCCCGTACATTCACAAGATTCCACTTTGAAGACCGCCTGAAACGACACATGACCTAGTCCGTTTTGCCGGCATAAGTTTGCACCGGTGTTGCGTAATTTCCTAGAAGGGATCTGTCTGGCTCTTTCCACCATTTTGAAGTTCCCCTCCTAGAGTCTAGCGGAGCATCGTGCGCATGAAATTGCTTTTGGGGCTTTCAGCCTTCAGCTGCTTTCCAAATATCCAGTATACGCAAGCAGCAGTGTGACTCCGATGAAGTGCTAAAAATCACAATTTCGTGTACATTCTTGGAAACAATCGTGATCAGACCTCTTAGCGCAATCCGACAGCAACGCAGATTTCTGAGTACTCCAACAGATCCACAAAGAAAAGTTAAAATTTAGGAGGTAAATAGATCGCACAGTGCAGACGCGCCGTTTTGCGGATGTCTAACGCCCGCTGGATCCAGTTTTTCACATGACCATCTGAGATGGAATCACGCTTTCAGCCCGCTCAAACTCAGACCCACAATACGGACATCCCTCCGAGCCATTGGTACGTATTTTCATAGCCATGCAGACGTAGCAGAAAAGATGTCGGCATGGGATGAGAATGTGCGGCATAAGAGGTCTCGATTTTCCGCAAAGTCGGCATCGGATTTTGCCCGAGTGCTCTTGAGACACAACTTCACGCGATGCTGCTCCAAAACGGCCATGGAAAACGGCCTTCCTCAGGATTCGATGCAGAAGCGGTGACTGCAAGATGGGTATCACCGATATCGCAAGTTCCGTGAAGCCCTCCCAGACAAGCTGTCGATTGAGCATCTCAAAACTTAGAGCGCGGGTTGCGCCTGTCTCTGCCCGCCGCAAGCGCAGCCTAAAAATGCGCTCCAGTGGATTCCGGTACTTTCTCATCAAAAAGAACAGGAAAAAGTTCAGAGATTCCATAGATTTGAGAAGGTTGTCGATCATTTCTGCGCTCGACGCAGACGGCACCCAAGGGGAGCCCGTGTAACGCATCGTCTGGTAACGCTCCAGCAGGTAGTGCCCCAGGACGTAGGCACAACCGTAGAGGAACCTTCTGCCCCTGGTCATGATAACGGAGTCTCCCTCTGACACAGTATTACCAACATCTACCCTGTATGTGAGGTTCTGGTAAACGTCGCCAGGAAATGGTCTGCCGACACCGACGCTGAATGCAAAATAGAGGAGGCGAAGCAGCGCTCTGAGCTCTGCTTCGAGCACCTGAAGTAGTCTGGGGTTGATTGAACTGACTGTGGCTGCAAGGCTTTCCCACAAAGTTGAGAACACCTCCACGTTAAGCTCCCTCGCGTCTAGGCAGGCAACGAGTTGTGTCTCAGACTGATGCTGGCCCGGGGCCAGGAGTCGCTGAAGCGAAAGAAGAACGCGCTCTTGATCCATATGAACGAGTTGATAGTCACGGAAGGTTTCGCAAAGTTTCCACAGCGAGTGCAAAAGAGTCACAAATTTCTTTCGAACAGCTTCCTGCCGTGGAGCTTTAAATGTTCTCTTTCGTTAATAGTAAGTAACTCTCGGAAAGCCAGCGCCTCGTTGCGAAAGTCAAACACTCGCTGACTTTTAGGTGTTTTAAACAAAAAGTCTCAACATATTGCGGAAGCTGGCCTTTTGAGTTGTCCACGGTGAAACCAGCTTTCCGCAGAGAAGCTCGAGCGCTTCCAACGTAGCCGCTCGCCAGCACTACACCCTGTCACTATGAAATGAAGCAGTTCCACCGACACGAGCGTCCAGGTTGAAGTTTGGGACTCTTTCCACTATTAAAACGCAAAGCTTTGAGGGTTCTCTCTACAACAGCTTCCTTGTCGTCTTCCTATCTTCGGATTCTCATACGCCAGCATCCCTTTTTTGCCAGATCTGCTGTCAGTCGAAGACGGACATAAGTGCCAGCGCCCTGTTGGATGTTGACGGCGCGAAGCGTGGAACAAAAAGTGCAAAATGCGTCGCATCGCTTTACGATCGCTGATCATGTTCATATTCTTTCTGTTCGCCGCAGCAATTGGCCTAGCATTGTTATATCGGTCTTCGCAACAAATTCAGAGCAGGAGCTGTGAACAAAGATTTAGCAGCTCGATAATGCAACGGATCTGAGGCAGTGCCGAGCGCAAAAGACATCCATCAACCATTGCAATTCTCCGCAGAGACGGGCTCTCTCAGCACGCGCTCGTTTTGTTATTCCTGCATCCATTTAGCTGCCTCTAGTGCGTAGTACGTGAGAATAGAGGTAGCACCTGCTCTTTTCAAACTTAACAAGGTTTCCAAAACGACCTGCTTCTCGTCTATCCATCCCCGTTGTGCTGCTGCTTTGATCATGGCATATTCACCGCTGACGTGATAGGCGGCGATGGGAACAGGGAAGGCATCGTAAAGAAGGTGAATGATATCGAGATAGGGAACTCCAGGCTTCACGAGAAGCATGTCTGCCCCTTCCTCGAGGTCAGCCGCTGCTTCACGAAGCGCTTCCCTCGCGTTTCCCGGATCCATTTGGTATGTCTTTTTATCCCGCGGTGCCCGACTTGTTTCCCGTGGAGCAGAATCAAGCGCACCTCGGAAAGGTCCATAAAATGAGGAGGCGTACTTCGCAGCGTAGGAAACGATCGAGACATCCGTGAACCCCTCTTCATCAAGGGCGTCACGAATTGCCCCGACGCGGCCATCCATCATATCCGAGGGTGCAACGATATCGGCTCCAGCCCGTGCGTGGCAGAGCGCCTGACGGCAGAGTTGCTCGACAGTCTCATCGTTCAAGATTCTGGCACAGCCGCCGTCTCCTAAACTATCGTTGCTTACAATGCCATCATGGCCCTGATCAGAGTATGGGTCCAGAGCGATGTCCGTCCAGACAGTGATTCGAGAGCCGAACTTCTCTTTGAGCGCCTTAATTGCGCTGGGAACAAGACCTTTCGGGTTGTAGCATTCATCCGCGGTGTTGCTTTTCAGATGCTCTTCGATTTTGGGGAAGAGAATGATGTGGCCAATTCCTAAATCCAGAGCCTGCGCTGCGTGTTTCAGCAGACTCTGGATGCTCAGGCGCTTGCATCCAGGCATCACGTCGATATCTTCATCGTGGTCTTCGTCATGAATGAAGACAGGATACACAAGGTTCCCCGGTGATACGACGTTCTCACGCACCATTTCTCTAACCGCATTTGTCTTGCGATTCCGGCGAGGACGTGATCTCTGTACCACCCACGGTTCCCCCTTATCGTTTCTCGGAAGCAGAGGCGAGTTTGCTGAAGTAGAAGCCTGTTCGCTCGAGCGACGAGGAGCCGCAACTGCAAACAACGAAAGCTTCCGGCGCTTGGGCGCGGTCGCAGACGGCTTTATGGCATTCAAACTCGGCTGTCCTCGAATGCTAAGCGGAACCTTTGCCACAAACATTTTGGCCAACACAGCGGATGAGTACTAGGTAGCAGTGCTTGAAGTGAAACTTGCGTGTCCTTTTGCCAAGTCGGCCACTTGTCTGGCCCCGTTTTTACAGTCCGCTGCTGTCTCCAACAGCGGCTTGTAACAGGTCTAAAACCAAAAAGTTGTTTCGACGGCAACCTTCTCGGAGAACAGTCTATGACTAACGCCGCCGAGAGTCGTGAGCAACTTACCACAATGATCGATTGGAGCGCGATTTGTCTCCTGGCGCTGGTACGCTGCTGCAGAGATCTCGCTGGCCTCATCGGGAGCCCGCGATGGCGGCTTTCATGCGCACGGACGGAAATGTCCGTAGAGAACAATATAATCTATTTTGGTACATTGTTCGCCGAAATTCTGGATTCTGGTTCCCAGTTGACACATTTCTTAATCTTATGGAAGACGTCGGTTTTTCAGTAGCACAATGTCAGAATAAAATGGAATGGAGTTATTTAACTAACCGAATATATCACCTACAATCTGGCTCTCTCCTAACTATTATTAACACAAGCCTTTCCGGGCTTTTGTAGTGCTGCTTGCTTTCCAGCTCCCAACGTTACCCATGAGAACGCCGGAGTCTCATTTTGTCCGGCCCCTTTGTCAGCAGTCAAACGATGCTCACGGTAGCGTTCACACCTTGATCTCGCCGCCTCCCGATGCTTTCTTGGCATCCGAAGCATAGTTGAAGTTTCTAATCCACGCTTTGCTCGCCGCATTCGTATTCTTTGTGTACAGCGTCGGTGCTCCCGGCGCGGCAGTGATGTTAGGTTGCGGTCAGGTGTTCCCTTATGTCCGCCACACGTCCTTCTCGAGCGTCACGCTGCGGCTCGTGAACTCATGTTGCATCGCTCGGCAAACGGCCTTGGAGGGTATACATGGCCTGCCCCGACTCTCTGCCCTGTTGCCGCACGCTGTGACGCTCCCGACGATCACGGACCTCTGCTAAGCGATTCCCTAGAAAACCACCATGACTGCTGCAGGAGCAAGAGCAAAGCGTTCCATTCGATAACTCACCGTCCGCTTCGAGGCACGCTCCCCGTCTGCTGCCAACATACTCCACAACACGAGCCAATGACCGTGATGGACATCGACGAACCTTACCTTCTGGTGACCATCGTTCCTATAGATCCCACGAGCTCGACGCAATGCTGCGAACGCTTCCGTAACTAGAATCAGTTTCGCTGGCTCGCTTATCGGACCATTCCTTCATTTGCTCGGTTCCGCTGAGAAGAACATGATGTACGTGCGCCTAGAGCCTACGCCTTCAGGTTAGAGTCGGATACTTCGGATCTTAAGCCTTCCAATTAGCGTCGGTTGCCACCTGCGTGTCTGACCTCTCGTTAGGTCTCATAGGAGCGCAGGTGTATGGGTTTGCTCTTCCTGGGTCCGGGCTGACGGGTGTCGTATTGCGGAGCAACTTCGCGTGGCCGCGCATCTGTGTTGCGTTTTGTTCCTACGCGTAGTCCATTTCTGTGCATGGGGTGTGTTCGAGCTCAGAGGGGCTCGTGAAGCGTCCCGGAAGCTTGCTGTTGATGGCGATCGAAATACCTATACCATCGGCCCTGATAGAAGCCAATAGGTCCACTCGTCGTTGTGAGAAACTTCTGCTCCTCATGTTTTGCATTTCTTTCGAAGCATTCTTACAATCCTTTCGCTTTTCTTCCTCCAGCGGTTCGTGCATTGTTTCAATCTTTGGAGGAATGGCGCCTACTTCGCTTTATGAACTCCATGTCGTCGATCAACCCCTCCTCTTCGTTGGTGCTTCAGTCCTCCATCAGTCGCATTTTCGCATCTGTCGCAGAGACACCCACTCCACAACGAAGCGAGACAGGCGCGCATCGCGGGGCTGATGTGAGCGTCAGCACGGTGCCCGTGGAAAAGCCGAGGGTCTGGTCCCTCTAGGGGCTCTGAGCCCCACGCCGAATGCAGAAGTAGCATCGCTTCTGAGGGCAAGCTGCTCATTGGCGGCAGGTCGATCTGCTCCCTGGCTTCTCCGCCTTCCAGGAGTATTCTTCAGAGGTCGATCTCTTTCTGTCTATCCTCTGAGCAGATGGGCTTCGACGAAGCGCCGGTCATGAAGAGCTCTGTCGTGCGGTACAGCCTAGTGACTGTGTCCTCTCCCGTTCGTCTCTGCATTATCGATTCCATCACGCGACCCTGTAGGTGAATGCCGGCTAGGTCCAGCGTGACCATGCATATTTTTCGCCCACGTGCTCCTTCTTGGAGGCCTGGCGGATATGAGACACGAAGCGAGCGACGCCCTTGGCATCGGCCAAACTGCATATCTGGGCATCGGCTGTGGCGCGTCGTGTATGTGTGTACGCGAGGAGCTGGGGAGAGAAATGGCCATCAGTGCCGACTGTGCCACTACGAAATGCTTTTTTCGAGGTCCCCGATGCACTCGAGGTACACCGTCTTAAGTACGAGCTAAGCGCCGTGCCGGGCACATTGTGAAGGATCGCGTATTCTCGTACGCGGCCTCTGTGTTCCGGCGGGGAAAAAGTGCATTCCAAGGGATCCCGCAACGACCGCTGTATCGTAGACTAGCGATGTGCGGTGCTTTTCGTTCGAGAGAAAGCCCAGGCGGCGAGCTCCGTGCAGGAAGGCGTCCCGCCGGAGAATGAGCGAGCTCTCTTTGAGCGGTACGCACATTTTTTCGGAACGTTCCCGGATTCTTTTGTTGCAGTAATACTGTTGTTCGCCCGGCAAACCTGCTGTGCTTGAGTGTGTGTATCCATCGATAAACAAGCAATATGTATTTATTGTTTGGACCTTGTTCGTCTCTTTTCTATATGCCTCTTCGCAAAGCCGCCATTTTCCAGTGTCAAGGGCTTTTCCGGGAAGAGCTCCGAGGAGCCTGTCGGCCTCAGGCGCGTCGCCAAGGGCATCGATCACTGGCTCGTGCCGAGGACGATCTGAGTCATCGATACCTGTATTTGCTTCACTGAATCTGTTCTTCGAAGCTCAAAAGACGTTATCGATCGGTGTAATCGAAACAGAATAAGTAGTTTTGTGTGAGATGTCCCATTCTCTGTTCTATGCTATTTTCCGAACCGAAGAGCATTTGAGAAACACGGTGTTATCCGTGAATGTACCAGAGACAGAGGGAACACCCAGGCTTGATAATAGACGTATGATCGAAGAGCCGCAGCGAGCTCGCAGAAGGATGATGGTATCGAGCGAAGTCTTCTGGAACCATCAGGTGGACCTACTGAACGATGGCGCGAGCATTCACGCGCCACAGGGCGGCGCTCGCAGGAGGAAGTGTGGTGGATATACCAGATCACTCAACATGGAATATTCCCAGCGCTGCGAAGTGGACACAGAGGCAGCGAAAAATGTAGATGCGAATGGCAAGCAAAGCATAGCTCGCAACTCCCACCTGTGCATGGAATGCAACGACATCTGATGGAAATGGCGAAATCTGAACTTGAACGCTGCTATCAATATCGTTTTACTGCTGAAAAGGAGCTTGGGGAAAAGATTTCTTGTCTTATTTATGAGCGGAGAGGATATAGAGGTAGAGAAACAGATGCAGAACAATGTTCCAAAGGCTGCCCTTTAGCATAGTAGGAACGTTTCCATTTTTGTCTGTACCCGAGTATGCGGTCCACTTCCATTTTGTTCTGGAAAGGGAGCAGCTAAACTGGACTGATATATGCTCCATACCGGTTGAAGATGGGCTAGAGTTTAAGCACCCTCTCCACACAAGGAAAAGGGCACTCTTCGTGGCCAAGGACTACCAAGGCCAACATTTGAGTGGATATGGCAAACAACAGCGCTTGGGTCATCGCGATTGCCCATTACAGACCTGAGATTATAACGGCGAGTTCGTAAGCTTGATTAAGACCGCAGCACTTATAGTCTTCGCTTTTTCCACTAGTTTTTGCTTCTGGTTGCATCGCTGATAACGCAGTATACCTCCGTGAGTTTCCTAAGTATATTTCCTGGACGTTTGGGTCTTGTATATGCAGAGCGTCAAACAGCTCTCACGAAACACAACGGGAGCACTGCAGCTGCTTCAACGAAGCTCGAAATCGCTGAACCTTCTCGCTTCCAACGGGCTTCGTGCATTCTGTCAGGCTCCTGGAGAAAGGCTTTTAGAAAAAGAACAAAAAGGCCTTGATCTCTTGCAAGCAGTGAAAGGGAGAGCACGAATAAGATGGACACCACCGACGGGACTAACCTTTCCTGTAGAGCTGGCATCTACAGCAGAGGGGCGCCCTATCAATACAGGAGCGTCGTTGGGCAGGCCCTCAAAGCTCCCTTTTATAGTTTATCGAACTGAAAAGGGCAACAATATTCCAGTTTATAGAGACTTTCGTGGTCATAACAAAGTGTACACAGTACTGAAGCGAGTACGTGGGCGCGTGGATCTCCTAGCTGTTGACATGGAACGCGTATGCGGTGGTCGGAAAGTGACCGTCCGCCCGGGACCAAGGCTCGTGGTCGAGGGCGACTTTCTCTTCCCTGTTCGCGAGTGGGTGCGTGCACTTGGATTTTAGAGAACCCCTGCCAGAGCGACACTCTTGGTGAAGCATCAGCCTTGCAATGAACGCGTCAGCGAACGGACGCAGGGAGAGCGCACTTTCATCAGCACACGATTCAGTTGCTGCTTGTCATATGGAACAAAGGTTTTCCGTACATGATTCTGGATTTTGGCGTAGCTCGGAAATCCTCAGCATCCATTGGTCCTCTTCATGCACGTGGAATGCATGCTTTGTGTTGTTCGGAGAAATCTTTTACTGACGCTTCATGCATGTTTTTTTAGCGGAACATGATTCGCTTCGAATCATCTAGATGTGTAGCAACCTATCGAGCATGTGTTTTATGCAAAACTTATGTCCCGAGGCATATGCTGTCCGGCCTGGTCGAGAGGTCGATTTGGATGTATTCTGGAGAGCATGCATTAAATTGCCGTAGGACCCCTAAAAAGAGCAGTTATTGCTTTACAAAGTGCTCGGCAATGCTGGTCGCTACGTTCGCTCATGTGCCTCAAGCGTGTTTCACCTGCTATCGACGCATTTTCCTAGCGAGACTCGTCAGCCCTTGTCCCGTGTTCTCCGCTGTTATCGCTTCGGATATTCCATGAAGCGCCGATAGGATATCGGCTTGGTTCGTTTCAAGCACGAGTCCACCGCTGATTAATTCATCAAGGACGTAGTTTACTTTCTCATGATGGAACACAATGTCGAGTTCGCAGACGTTACCGAAGTATCTGTCCAATGTTTCAACGAATACCTGGATCAGGTCAAGAATCCCGAGCTCGTTCTCATTTTCGTCCACGATAAAGACGAAGAAAAGTGTGGCATAGTGGCGAAATACGACTCTGAGGTCTCGTCCATAGAGCCGTGTTTCAGGCCGGTCCGAAGCGTCTCTTCGTGGGCGATCGTGTCCGACACTTGCCGCGTCTGAGTTTCCACCAGACGTGCGCCCCAAACCAGCAGGCTCGACACTTTTCAGGGGAAAGGCCAAAATCTCACTGATCTCGCTGTCCGTGCTGAACAAAAAGTTGCTGGAGCCCGCATTTCGCGTGCTAGCAGCACGGTAGCACTTCCAAACGATAAAGCGTTTTTGACTCAATGGGAGGTTCTGCAGACGAGTATCGTACCAACGAACCAGTCTGGACTTGCCGTGGCTATTAAACACCAACACTCCGAGAATCATTTTTCATGCGTACTGAAGCGGTACAAGTTGACTGGAACTGCGGTTGCCCCTGAGAAACAGTCCATATGTTGTTGATAGTATTCAGGAGCCAGCTTCTGAATCAGGTTGCGCAGCCTTTCCGGCCACGGCAAACTACGAGAGATTTCGAAACTATACTATTCAGAACAAGGATGGATAGGTGCTCGTACGCGTTCCTCGAGCAAACCTGCGCCGCCACTCAGCGGCGCACCGCCGTCGAACTCGGAATGCAGTGGATGACTTTGTCTCCATACTTCGCAGTACACTGGTTCTGAAAGGTAGAACCATGGGAGTTTGGGAGCTTTACAACTCCAGCGGCTTACATAAGAATGTCATCGAAGCGCTCATCAAGGAGAATGAACTCTCAGACGAGTCCTACTCTACAGTGGCGGCTGTTGGTGTCGAGGGCTCAGGCAAGACCACGTTTCTGAACGAAGTTTTTGGCACGACTTTTCCGGAAAGCAAAGGCGTGTCCGATCGATTTAATGGGCCTTCACCTTCAGGCGGCCGCGGAGCCCCAGGAGGCGCTCGTGCATCGCCGCCAGTTGGCCGCGGTGAGCAAGATGCGCCTGAAGTGCGTGCGTCCAAAGGTGGCACCGTGCGCCTGAGCCGAGCGGAGCCGCTCGCACGCTCCCTTATTCTCGCCCAGCCACCTCAAGAGCTACTGGTTTTGGATGTGGACGGTTTGTCTACAAGCACCTTGGGGGCGGGCTCCGTCCTGCAAGTCCGTAGGCAGGGTCTGTCGGGGGCTGTACATGACGGGGCTACAGCTGTGGAGCTTGGCGTAGCCATGGCCGACGTGCTCGTTTTCAACGTGCAGTATCACAGCTTGTCCAGGTCAACGGCATCTGGCCTGCGTGGTCTGGGCAGCGCCCTTGAGACCTATCTCCGTCTTTGCGCGTCCGGCATGCTTCATGGGATGGGTCCGATGCCGCATCCGTCACGAAAGCGCATGCTTTTGGTCATCGTGCGCGACTTCGAGGATGAAGAAGTTTCCCGGGACGAAGTTGCTGCGGCTTTTCAGGAGGATCTCAACGCGCTGTGGTCCAGAATGACGAAACCCTCTCGTTTAGGAAATTCGAGATTCAGTGAGTTCTACCAAACAGAATATGCGTTTCTGCCAAGCGCTTTACTGCGGAAGATTGATTTCATGCGGCGCGTTGGAGAGCTGCAGCGTCGTTTTCTGGACCCGACAGCAGATGGATATTTTTTCCAGAGGGACAATCGTTCTGGCGAGAGCATTGCAAGGTATTCTTGTCCGGTGCCGCTGTCAGAATTGGAATTGCACATTGAAAACGTCTTCAAGGCACTGAGCCAATTCCGGAAAGATCGCAGCGTTGGAGAGACTGATGGTGGACTTGAAGTCGAAGGAAGCTCTGAGCTCGAAGCTTCGTATAGGTGTGATGAGATCTGCAGTTTCATATTTTCCCAGTATCTGGATAGTGCACGCTCCTGGAAATCACGTGCAGAAGATGGTCGAATAATCGAGAATTTTGGCACCGAGGCTGATGGTCTGCTTCAGAATGCGCTCGAAGAGTACGATCGTGATGCTGCAGCGTTCCGTCATACCAAGACATTCATCAGGAAGCGAAACGAACTCCGCTCCTCCATTTTGAATGACCTACGTACCATATATGCGAAACAGCTGCTGAAGCTCCGGGAGGTCGCGTTCGATAGGTTCAAGCTGGCATTGACTCGGATCCAGGTAACGAATAGGGTAGAGAAGGACGTAGAAAGGCAGATTCGGGAGAATGAGAAGTACTTTATCGAACAGGCTGACTTACTCAAATGCCGCGATGCGCCACGCGGCGGAAACGCCTCATCCAATGCCGGTGCGCTTCCGTGGCGTCATGAGATTGAGCGTCGAGCACTTGTCGATGCTATGCGCGAAGTGGCAACAGAGCGACTCCAGTTTGCACGCCTACAGGGGGCGTACGTGCCCACTCAAAGGCAACCGGTTCAGTTCTCTTTTCATTACCTGCATCCGAATCCATTTGGAACAGACAGCCGTCAGGATCGACTGACGTCAACGGACCCTATCCGCTACGATCCGACTGTATCTCGTGTTGCCACTGTCCTCCGTGCTGGCTCGATTCGGCCACAAACTGACAACGTTCGAGCTCCACGGAAATCTAGGCAAGAAGCCGCGAAAACGAAGGTGCAAGGCACAAAAGAGTCTGCGGTACCAGCGAGATCATGATTGAAAAAATGAGCCAATGAATGGCCTTTTGTGAACGTCACAGAGCGATGCTCGCACGATGTTGGACTTGATGACAGGATGCGCTTGTTGGCGGGTGCAAAATGAACGAAACTACGACTCTCCAAGGGCTTTCTTAATCGTGACTTGAGCAGCAAGGTACTGTCGAGCTCCCTCGAGTAATTGCGCCTGCTTCAACAGCCTTTTTGCGGTACTGCGCGTTTGCAGTAGCAACTGCTGCTGCCGCACAGGCATGTCGAGTATACTGCTTACGGCAAAACTAAATAGCTTCTGCCGATGGAAATTCTGCTCCGGATCCAAATGCCCCTCGGGAATGCTCAGCACCGTCTCAGGGCTATTATCCACCACGAGCTTACTCAAACTCACCACCCTGTTGTACAGCTTATTTGACAGCCGCAACACGTCACCGAGCGCCGACCAAACGCGTCTCTCCAGTAGCGTCAAGCTTTGCTTGGAAATCCTGCTCGTTTCCTGATCGCCGCTCTGCGGTAGCGGCTCTTTCAGGGCCGCTAATATTTGCTCCACGCTCTCGATGCACACTTCGTCGTCAAAGTATTCCACAAGCGCAACTAGGTACGGAGAGTCCTTCGTGTACTTGAGCACTCTGAAGCGCTCGCGTCCGATACTGCTTGTCATGATTCGACCGTCCGCAAGGGGTTCGTATACATTTATTTCGGCCATGGTGCCGACAGCAGCGTGTGCGTTCCGGTCCTTGTCATACATCACAATACCGAAACGGCCATCTCCTTCCCGAATTCGCTGAAACATCTGACGATATCTCATTTCGAAAATATGCAGGGGAATGGGCTGTCCAGGACTCAGAACAAGGGGCAGTGGAAACAGAGGCAGTTCAGCGAGCTTTCCCGAAACCGGAACCTCTGTGTCCCTCTTTTCACTTGGGCTGAAGTACTCAATAGCCGTTGAATCCTCTTCAAAGAAAGATCCTGGTTCCGGGGTTGCGTCTTTTTCCTCAGGGTCATTAGAGCCGGAGCCTCCACGTGCTGAAGAGCGTACAAGTTCTGAACGGTTTCTCCGGCGAGTTTGCTTGCTGGTAGCAAATCTCGTGGTCGGGCGGTCAACCTGTGGCAACCGCCTCGAAAGCTCAGTTGTGCCCCAGAAATCACCACACGCTCCTTTTCGTGGGTTTCTGCGACTTAATTCTGAACTGTATCGGACCACCAGTTTCTGGTGGAAAGCATTCGTTACAGAATTGCAGTTCCAGCTTGCTATAAGGAACATGCTGGAAGTTTCACTGCGTTGCAACGAACTCGAACGCTGCTTCGTACCGCTCTTGAGGACGCGTTCAGCCGGACGCGCACATGCCCGCGCCGGCGAAAATCGCCGTCCGCCCGAAACGCCACATGATGCACTTGCGAGCAGCGCTGAAGGCAGTGCGGCTGAAACGCCCGAAATATGCGTTTTCTTGAGCTGGATAGGACAGTTTCTTTTGCTCGTGCAATTATTGGGAACAAGATATAAGCTTTAGACTTCTGAATTCTGCAGGACTCTGACAGTTTGTGGGACGGGAGCGGCCGATGTGAAAAACTCGCATTGATATGCTACGAAACGCGGAAACGCGTGAAAAGTATGGGCGGAAACGCACGCCCCGGAGATGATTTAACCATGAGCAGCGGTATGCCACGTTCTTCGAGACCGAGGGCTGCGTTGTTTTAGAACTGAGGCTGCGATATGCAGATCGTCACATCGCTAACGCTGTCGTGGGGCTGCACGATAACGCTTTCGTGTGGTAAAATACGCACTGGAGGTGCATGACCTCTGTGCGGGAATGGATTCAATATCTGGCCTTGTCGAGTTCTCTTATATTGATACTTGCAGTCTGTTCCCTATCAGGATTTTCGGAGGCAGCATTCACTGAAACGAGGAGTGCAGCTAGGGATTTGGTGCGCCAGAAACTGCCATTTTCCGCGCTCACTGGCCGGAACGTTAGCAGCGGAGCCGTCCTGGTGACCGCATACACTGCGGCCCAGAGCGTTCGATCCACGCACTGACTGCGCGTGGGCGCATCGGGTTACTCTTCGCCGACGGGAGCGTGCCTTAGAATGCATGCGTATACATGTCCGTCGTGGAGCTTTCACAATCCTCTTCCGAAGGGGACTCTCCACGGATGCGGGTTGGCATCATCCACTCCCTCGAGCCTCGAATTGACGTCCATTTGGCACAGCAAAGCCGTTCTCTCTCAATGCGACGACTGCCTCAAAGGTGGATCCAGCATCGCAGCAAATGCCCACTGTAGCTCCAACATATGAGCGGATTCTAGATGGATCTAATCAGCATCCACGACGAGCAGCCTTTCCAAAGGTCAGTCGAGGTAGCCGATTCTGGAAAAGATCACCATGCACCCCTCAGGTTACCGACAGCAGTCGTGCATTTAGCGGATTCCTGTTAGATTGACGGATCTGACTCTATAGCACAAAGCATATCGCCCATATATCTCGCAGACGACAGCGGTCGTGCGTCGACTGGATTTCCTTCAGATTCTCATACCCGGCACCGTAGAAAAAAGGAATCTGCTTTCTTCCTGGTTATCGACAACAGACCTATGTCCACAGAATTCCGGTCAGAATCATGGGACATGCACAACTAAAATCCAATAGCCAGTTCGTGAGCATCCACGACAAATGCATGGCGCTGAAGCAACCGCCTCTAAGCAGACACGCTGGCGTTTCAGCCAGCAGCAGCCGATACCGTGCGATCGGCTTGGCATCTCCTTCTCGACACGCTTATGGCAGGAGGACCCCATCAGCGTCGATGCCAGATGATCGCCTTTCATTCCTGAGCGCAGGTGCACGTGTGGATCGCCTGTTGGCGTCCCCGTGCGGTACCATACTTCCAAAACAGTCCGCCAACATACAGAGTTTGTGAGTTCACTGAAGACCATGCAGCCATTTCCTCCAAACGATTGGAGTTGCCGTTTTGACGATAATCATACGCTCGTTTTCGTTTACTAACCGCTTGATGTTAGGACGAAAATCTATCCATTCGGAACGAACAAAGTCCATTGAGGTATATTGCACGCCTCTGGCAAGAATCCTGTTGCTCGCCACAGATCGCCATCGTCTGGCGTTCTATCACTTCATCAATCAAAAGATTCTGGCACTTACAGCTATGAGGAGCATACATCATTATTCCCAGCCCCCAAACCAGTTCTTTTGGTGGTACACGGGGTGCCCTGGTACGACACCCAGTCGAGCGCAACGTCCGCGGCCGCTACGTGGACCGGTGCCAAGCATCTACCCCGACGCACGTCGTCCTTCGTGTGCGAGCAGTAGAGGCAAATCCTGGCCAGTGCACTGCACGCTCGCACTGAAATGGCCCCCTCCCCAAACGATACTTGCAAACGACTGCTGTGCGGACAGAGAAATTTCACCACGCAGTGCTGCAGAGAAAATGGATAAACCGGCGACAATGAATCGGTTTCAGAGAGCAGCTCCCCGAGGCTGCTCTGCTCCGACGCTGTCAAGCAATCGACGACGCATGCCAGCGTACATGAAGGTAGCGATTCTTAAACAGCACGCGTGCGAGCTGCTTCGATGATCGGCTCCAGGCTCGGGTCAATTTCCGTGATGCGTACCGGTCTTTTGAGTTCGAAGGAACGTCTAGCGGCCATGGCCATAACCACGGCGATGCGGCCGTCGAAGTCCGACGGCAACGGCAAAGCAGGCGTACCCGCATCCGTTCCCGCTTCGGCTGTGCGGGCGCCGCCTGCCCGAATCTCTACCAGGTGCTGCACCCAGGCAAGCATCTCCTGCAGATAAGCCTCCGCGTAACGTTCCATGAAAAAGTTCAACGGTTTGTCCCGGTGCTGTCCAATCACATCCATATACTCAGCAGTGTTGGGATACTCGTTGCCGACGGTGATGCAGCCCTCGGTTCCAAAGAGCTCCGCGCGCTGGTCATACGCCTGATGCGGAGTCGATCGCGAATTGTCGATGACGCAAATTGCGTCGTTTGCGAAGCGCACCTGAGTCATGACGTGATCGCAGTCCCCGATTTCCGCTATACTCGGTTCGCAGCAAAGGCCCATGGCAAACACTTCGACGGGCTCTGACTTAAGCAGAAATCGAGCCATATCGAAGTCGTGGATCGCCTGGTCGAGCCAGATGCCGCCAGAGACTTTGAGATAGGCGAGCGGTGGCGGCGCAGGATCCCTCGACACAAGGTGTAGCTTGAGTGGCCTCCCGAGAAACCCGGAGTCATGGGCAAGGCGCGCACGTTGGAAGTTTTGATCGTATCTGCGCTGAAAGGCAACCATCAGCTGGATGCCTGAGCGTTGCAGTCGACGCAGCCGGCGATCATGCTCGAATTGTGCCAGGCTTAGATTGTCAAGTCCAGTCTCGCCGCTGACGAACAGGCTCGGGCGTTTTGCTTGAAGTCGCAGCTCTTTGACGTCCGCATTCGCAGCGTCCAGTGTTGCCAGCGCATCATCGATCACATCAAGGCCGAGTGCAATCGGCTTCTCGCAGAAAACGTGCTTCCCATAGCGCGCGCACTCCTTCATAAGCGGTGCGTGGGTGTCCGTCGGCGAACAGATGACCACGGCGTCCACTCTAGGGTCATGCACCAAGTCCTCCGCATTCGTGTACCAGATGGGGACGTGGAAACGCGCCGCAATCCGTCGGGCAGCATCCTCAATGGCATCACTCACAGCTACAAGCGCAGCGTTCGGCACGCGGTTCGCCAAGTTATTCGCATGAACCTGGCCGATACGCCCACATCCGATGATCCCGACTCGCAGCCGCGAGGCATTGTAGGCCGAGGCCGCACTCTGTGCAGAAGCCGTGCCAGCCACCGGGGGCAGCACGCTCTCGCTCAACGTTCCTACAAGGACACGGCTATGCGCAGGCTCGGCAGCGTCTTTGCTCAGAGCCGTCTCTTGTTCTGAAGAGTCCTCAGAATCAACCTCAACCAGCTCCTCATCCTCTAGACGAAGCGCTGAAGCGGTCAAACGAACAAAAGACTCTAGCTCCTGCCGAAGCATCACCTCATAAATGCGCTCCTCAGGTCCTTTTCCAACTTTTGACTGGCGAGCTGCCTGTTCCTTGCTTGCGAGGCTGAGCAGATCGCTGCTCGAAAGCTGGCGTGGATCGCGGCCCGGCTGCACCGAGGCGCCACCCTGAGCATTTTTCAAGTTGCCCGACTGTAAAGTTTCAGCCTTGGATCCCGATCTGCGCAGCAGTCCAGCTCTATAATCAGCGCGGTACTTGAGTCTCGTGAACGATTCAAGAGTTGAACTCGCTGCCTCACATAAAATTGATAAAGAAATGATCGGCGGTGCGATGCGGCTTGCAGCGCGGATCAGGAGCGCAGGCGGTGCGATAGCGCATGATCCACCACACATTTTTCGGGGGGCGCTTTTGCATTCTTGCCTGAATAAAAGTGGATAGGTCTACTTGTCGAACTCGCGTTTGCATCATCAAGTTTGGGATGCTTCCCGACGCTATCTACACCAGCGTTGAGGAGATTTTTCCTCCAACCATTTCCATATTCTTTCCCATACCTTCATCGGGGGGCACGGCGGCCTCTCGTGTCCCTCCAGTTCCGTTGTCAGCAGTCGATGAATGTTGGTGCCGAGGTTCAAGTCGCGATTTCGCTGATTCTGCTTGTTTTCATTTGCGTTTGACGCACAGGTGCACGTTATGAGAGACGCGTCGCATGCCATTTTCGTCTTCTTTGTATATAGCCTGGGTACGACCCTGGCAGTGGTGAGGCATTTTAATGGTCCGGGGTTGCGCTGTATCCACAACACATCTCACTCCAAGGCGGGGCTGTAGCGCGTGAACGTTCGCTGGATCGCTCGATATATTTCCTTGACGGGTACCGAGGGCTCGCCTGAACGCTCTCTTCCGTCCCCGCGCTGTGCCATGCCCTACGATCGGGGGCTTGTTGTGGGCGATGGCCTCAGTGAGTCATCCGTCCGCTGCACACGCGGGCGTACGTAGTACCATTCTATAGACGATTTGGGGAGCATGATATCGTGCATGACGGAAAACGATCAGAAGGAAAACCAAGCTGGAGAACCAGTCAAGAAATGTCGACCCGTATACGCTCTCGTCGTACAAAGCAGAGACGCACCTTCGACATGAAGCGATCACAGCAATGACTAATTTCCGAGTCCGATACCCTTTTGGGTGCAAACCGAGGGCACAGGAGCCTCTGGGAGCGTAGCTCGGTAAAGGTGTCTTGTAGCTGCGTAAACCTATATCAACGATGATCAATCAGAGAAACGTACTTGTCTTTCGAACGGAATCGATGATTTGAAGTGACATGTTCGCTGAGCCCGCGGCATGAGCTCGTGAAGATGTTGTTAATTGACGACTGCTTGACTTTTACCTCGTCAATGCAGCAGCGCGAAGTGCTCTGCCTACGAGCTGTCTTTAAACAACAAGCTCGAAAGCTTGTCGAATATGTAATATGAGTTTGCTTCACGTAAGGAAACGATACAAGTGGAGGAATGTACGAATAAACTAAATGATGAATCGGTCATTTTAGGAACCGCTTTCGGGAGCGTCGCGAATCATTTTTATCTTGGTGACGAAGCAAACTCGAGCTGCGAAGCTCCGACGGATCCACTCCGAAAAGACGACCTAGAATACTTAATTTGCGTTTGAATCCGTAGGTCCTTATTACTGCACTTTGAATATGCAGGCTGTACGCCTAAGAAGCTTGGGAAAATCGCAAGGCAGAATCAAGGCGCGCACATATATCGTGAGCGAAACGAAGCACATTCTTCGACCAACAAGCGTACATACATCTACGCACGCACAGACGCCTTCCAGCCTTTTTCGGTCCGCTGACAGCTACCGGCTTCAGCTCCTCACTGAACGCGTTGAGCCTGAAAGGCTGCCCTACGAAGCAGGATCGCTTCAGCTCCTCGGGTTTCGCCGTCAGCACCAAACATCGTCTAACATGGATGGCGGTTTTGAGGTCTCTATTTACGAACCCTTTGCGTGAATTGACGCTGGTTGAACCCAGCTTTGCGTGGATTGCTAGAACTCGCGCCGTCTGTACCAAAATATTCTGGACATCGTCTCGTCGGGCAAACAAATATTCTCGCCTATCTCCCAGCTTCTCTTTCTTCTTCGTCATTTGCTCTTCATCGTTCGATGGTCGGCCAATAGGTTTTTTCCTTTCTTCCGACTGCCGGCGACGCTGCGCTTACGGGATGCCCCAACTTTCACCACCATAACGTTTCCCTGGATTTTTACTTCTGAACGTGGACGCTGTTTGGACACATCTGCTAAAAATCGCGAAGAAACATTTGATGGCGTGCACCTGGTAGCGGAACCCAATTAAGTTGAAATACTACAACTGTTGCAAATTAATCTAACTTGGATACTGACAGTTGGTTCTGTTTGCTTCAGAACGGACGAGGCAGGTATCGCTCTCCGCGAAATCCACAGTCTCGTTTTCTGGGAAGAAAAGCGTCTTTTTGGAGCTTATGGCAGCTCGTTTCGCTGCTTCCGTGAGAACAAATGGGGCTGCTTTATTCCCGTATGGTTTTTCAGCCTCCGCGCCCCCCGCAGTATTCCGTTGAGTCGGAGAACGAACTTTTTTGGATATGGACCGCAAGTGGGTCGCGCATTCCAGTTATTTACTACGACGGAGGTGTGGCTCGAAAGCCGACCCCACGCAACCGCTCGGAGCAGCGAACCTCGGCGTCTCCTGTGCAAGAGTTGCGTCGCTACAGTCGACCGTTTTGGAAAGTCTGGCCTCGAAAGTCTACTCACGTCGGTCAAGAGGCAAAAGTTGATCCACGTGAGGTCGCAGCCTTGCTTGATTTGTCGAGCAGGGCTGCGCATGGGCAGAAGCTACAAGACACCCCGTTGGAAAGAGGTCAGGGTACCTCCGGGGGGACTGCAGATTCCCGTGATGAAATGGAAGCTGGACACGTTCTTGATATTTTAAACCAAGTGCCGCAACCCAGGAGGGAACGAAGGGGATATCCGGAGGAGTTTTTCACGATACTCTACTCGCACGGCAATGCCGAGGACCTTGCTTCTGCAGGAGCATATGTGCAGCTATTGACGACGGTTCTGGGCTGTAAGGCGATTGCTTATGATTACACCGGATACGGTCTTTCGTTACCGGCTGGTGTTCGCCCCTCAGAATATCGTTTCTATAAGGATACGTACGCGTGTTATCGTTACCTTATCAATCTAGGCGTGCCTCCCGAGCGAATCCTGCTCATTGGCCGCTCCGTTGGATCAGGACCAACAGTTGAGCTGGCTTCGAGATTTCCCATCGGTGGTGTCGTCCTCATTGCACCACTCATGAGCTGTTTACGCGTGGTGTACCCCGACATTCGCTGTACGATTCCCTGTCTGGACATGTTCCCATCGATTGATCGGATCCATCTCATCAAGGCTCCGGTTCTCATTATTCATGGAATGCAGGACAATGTTGTTTCAATTTGCCATGGAAGAGGGCTCTATGAACGCTGCAAAATGAAAACTGAGCCCCTCTGGCTGGAAAATGCCTCACATAACGACATCGAGGTGCATTATCTTTCAACTGTTTTGCAGCGGATCCGCGTGTTCAGCAGATATTGTGCAGCCTTTTTCGCCGAGCGTAATATCGAACGGGCCTAGTCGATATGCTTCGCGCATGTGCAAATGTTTGCACACTAGGACGAGTTGAATTTGAACATAACAACAAAATTTGTGGCGTATTGGCGGACTGCAAGGGTCTGCGAACAATGGCTGCAATTGGCAAAAGTTGAACCACAGCCTTTGCATAGAAATCGCCCTGCTACTTACTCTCAATTACGAGTCAAACGGGAAAAACAAAGTCCGCTGTATTGGAATCGGTCCCGGTGGTGGTTCAACGTCGCGGATGCTGTGACCTGTTTCAATTGTAAAAGAGACGCCTGATGTCTGGCGGAACCGGTCATGCTAGCTGTGATGGACTCGATCACGTCATCAATGTTCGGCAATGCTCACACGCTGGAACAATACCGGTCGTTGCGCCTCTCTCCTTATCGATACATGTCGAGCTTCGGCGAACGGCCCGAAAAATCGGTAGACCTCTAGATGCATCGAGGAAACGAACTGCGCAACGCGGAAGTATGTGCCGCAAAGGATACGTTCGTACTCTTTCACACTGTTGTCCTCAATCGGTGAAAGATTGTCGGGATGTAGCGGGGAGCGCTAAGCACTGCGGGCAGACGGTTTTCGATGCGCGATCGCATGCTCCTGTTGGGTTCAGCTTGGATGCCCATGAAGAGACGCATCCTTCGAAAGCAGAGATGCGGTGCGCGCTGCGGAGCTAATACTGACAGAGAGAGCCAAGCGGCGGTTTCGCATGTACAGACACGTCATCAAGCAGTAGAGCAACCTTTTTCCTCGCAGATCCGTGGACTCTTCGGGAATTATACTGGTATTTTTTTTCAAATTTTGAAGAGCCGAATCTGTCCATCAAAGTAGACATCGCGAAATGACTTTGAGCTTGTGCTGAGAATACACAGCAAGACGACAGAAAGCAAAATTGCTCCCCTCGCAGATAGCGTACAGCTCACTGTTCTGCTGTCCGTGGCATCCGTTGACCAAATCCTGACAACAACCAGATGCATCCTCTCGGTCGACGCCTGCGGGAAAGTCATCGGTGCCGGGGTGGTGTATCTTGCCCCGGATCCGGCACTGGCACGGCGAGGGGGTTGCATCTCGGAGTGGCGCACGCAGCGCCGCGACGAGCACACCAGCAGGTAGTCGGATAATTCAAACATATTTTCACCAGCGAAACGATAATCTGATCCAAGAGGAACCTGGAAGCGTCTGCGTACGCGCTGAATCTTACAGCCTGCCAGCGGGCTGTGTTCGCGCTTGCAATACGTTCAGCTTCCGAGGATCGATCCGGAATACGAACATTGCGAGTCGCGAGCTACCAATTCGCCTTTCCGAAACGAGCAGCATCTATGGTGCATAGCATGCGTGCCAGGAATTGCATACCAACCTCTATTTCCGATGAGAACACAGCTCCGAAGCTTTGGGATTATCGCATACACCAAAGAAGTATGCTTATCGCTTTACTCGGTACCCTCTGACCCGGGCTCTTGAGCTCATCTGGTTCCATTCGTCGACTCGATGCCACCGCAACTTTAGGTCGTGCACCTGCTGAGTACAGCAATAAAGAGCTTCAAACTGTTGCCAGACAGACTGACAGACAGGAAAGGAAGTCGAGCTCACCAATCCATACCACCGGTTGCACCGTCAGCGATTTGAACACACACCGGTGGGGCGCACGATTCCGCGGCACGACCTATGATTCCACGCAGGTAACCGGCGATAGGGCTCGCTTAACGCAGCTCTTGAGCATAATCAGCTTCTTTCCATGTCGTATATACGGCTGGTAACATGGAACGTTGACTTCGACTCTCCGTTTAACTACGAGCGGTTTACAGCTATTGCCGAAGAGGTCCTGGGTGCAAAACCCGGCGTGGTGCTTTTTCAAGAAGTCTCTGATTTACCGTTCTCCTCTTGGCAGGGCGAGAAAGAGCAGTCGACGATTACGTCCGCTCGTCAGCATGATTCTTGTTACAAGGTCCTCTTGCGTCGTCTTGAGGCTCTATATGAGCCAATTGTTGATCTCGGCTTACCCTCAGAGCAGGCATACTTCGTGATGGCGTTCGTTGACCGAAGCAAGTATCGAGTTCACGGATACGAATACACTGAATTTGAAAACTCTTCACAGGGAAGAGGTCTGCTCGCAATACAGCTCGAGCCCAGAGATATGTGCGGAGATTTCAAGTTTCGAGTGCTTACATCACACCTCGAATCCGGAACTGCCTGTTCGGAAGTCCGAGTTCAGCAGATGAGGCAAATCGCGTATGAGATGCTCGAGGGTGATACCCCGGCAATATTTGCAGGAGATACCAATTTTCGAGAGAAAGAAAAAGCAGGATTTGAGAAGGAAATCGCTAAAGCGATCGGCTCAGAAGAGATGCGACTTTTTGACCTATTTGTTGAGGTAGGGGAGCCTTCACATTTGCGTTTCACCTGGGACACACGCACAAACACGAACAAAGTCAAGGAGTTGCCACCTCGGTTCAGGCCGCGGGCTCGTTTCGACCAAGTGCTTTTCACTAGGCCTTTTCAAGCGAACGCCATGCGGCTTTTGGGTCGAGAGCGACTCGGGCATGCTGTATTTCCATCTGACCATTACGGGATTTACGGAGAGCTGCGCTTCTGATGAACATCACCACGATTGGGCACTATTCATATGAGAAGGGCCGGGAATATTCGGTGTACAAACCATGGCATTTGCTCATGGCAAAGGCGTCTTTGCGACCTGATATCGCTTGGGATCGTTCGCATGGAATCTATATCGGCAATCTGTGTCTCGACTTGAAGCCAGTCGCTCGCAATGAGAACATTATTATATCGACGTCTAATGTGGAGATATTGGAATCATACCTAACGAATTACGGATGCCCCGTCAAAGTTCATTCGAGTTTTGCTGGCATAACTTGCGATGAATCGGTTCTTCCTGTCGAACAGCAAATCGTGGCGGGCGCATGGTCAGGGGCGGGAACCGCATCCCAGCCTGAGGCTCAGGAGACGTCTCTTGTGGTTCCAAGTCGAAGAGCAGGTCCGGCTCCTGTAAAGCAACAAGCAACAGGAGGCACTTGAGCTCAACCATCGCGAGCGGATTACCTGCGCACATTCTTCGACCCCTTCCGAACGGAATGTAGCAGTAGTCGGATGGTGCATCTCCATGGCGAGCAACATTATCCGTTGGGCTGATCCATCTTTCCGGGTTGAAAGATTCTGCCTGTTTCCAGTACGCCGGGTGATGGTGCTGAAGCCAGGGAACAGCCGCCACGAGGGTTCCCCCGGGCACAAATACGTCGCCCAAGTGAGTGTCACATTGAGCCTGCCGCTGAATCAAAGGAAACGGTGGAAAGAGCCGCAGCGTTTCGGCAATTACCGCATCAAAGTAGGAATGTTTCTTCAACAGCTTGGATAGACGATTCACGTCAGTGGCAATGTCCGATGCAGTCAAGTTTGCTTTTTGCGCTGGCGTAGTCTGCGAGGTCTGCGAACCCTGTTGGGCGACACCTCTGCCCCCGTTCACACTGAGATCTTCAGAAAGCAATCGTCGCGCCTCGCAAGCCAACTTCTCACGAACATCTTCGTGGACGCTTACCAGTATCAGTGCCCAGCTAGCAGCGATAGGCACCGTCTGCGTAGCCGCCATCAATAAGCCGAGCACTTTCGCCAACCTTCGCAGCCGACCTGCTTTACCAAGCCAGCCATTTATCCACGAATTTGATGATATCCGCAGATGGCGGAGAATCTTCTGCCCGAAGATAAGCAGGACACTTGTATGGTAGATGTAGCTTACGTTGGCGAACCATGCATAAAGGGCTCGTTGTGGCAAAATCATGCGTCTGCTGAACTCCGCACCAGCCTTTTCGATAGCGGACGCAATGCGTGTTGCTTCAGCATTATCGACCACCAGCCCGAATAGCACCTTGCAGTTAAGCTGTACGTAGAATCGTTGAATAAGCTTGGATGCGTCTTTCCCCACGTTGTCTTCAGCGCGTAGCTCTGCGAGAAATTTTTCTGTACTCGAGGCGATTTCAGTGAGCGAGCGGTCAATCAAGTCCAACAAAGCCGCCCGCGACGGGTCTTCGCGAACTCGTTGCTGCTGATCTGGGTCCGCAGTCTCGATTTTTTCACGTAGAAGCTCGGCCCTTTGGTGCAGCTCCAGAGCGGTCTTTACAGTGCGGGAACGATACCCGAAATACTGCGGCTTCTCGAACGTGCGACTCGTTAGTACCTGTTCCACCAGATCAGGAGCCGAAACGATCAACAATGGCGTGCTGCTAAGCCAAAAGACCGTGACCTGGCGTTCCAAACAGGACTCGTAAAGGGCACGGAAGAAACCGACGCGACTCAAGTAGAGAGCGTTGCCGAAACCCGGAACCGGTACCGGCCCCAGCGCTGTGACGACTTCAAGGAGCCCGCGACTTACAGGGCGGCCAGCGCGCTTCTGTTTCCAGAACCATAGTGCATACTTCGCGACTGTGCTACCAACTTGGAAGAGCGAAAACGCTCCCAGCGCTGCGACAACGTACAAGCTGGGTCTTGGTACATGGAGCAAGTTCCTCGCCAGTATCATGCGCACATCAGTGTTGACTGTTAAGCTTAGCAGACATCGAAACAAATACACCGGGTCGAAGAACCTAGCGTACCGTATGTACCAGATCTTCTCAAAATGTACGAGATATCAATGATCATCAATGACGCGGATCCTCTCACGATTCCGTTGACGGCATATGTGCACTGCACTGTGATGTGCGACGGAGCCTGATATAAGCGATCCGCAAAAGCGCCCATCGCTCTTCCAACCTTCAAATGACATTGCCTGTACTTGTTCTCGGAGATAGCGGCTATTTCCTACGGTCCACGGGGCGCCGAGCCTGCTGTAAGCGTTCGAAAGTTCGTCCCTAGCGCATGCATGGAAGCGACACGGAGAGCGTAGTACGTAGCGATGCCATTGAGGGCGTCAGCTTGAGGTATCGTCCATCCAGAATAGGGGCAAGACTCTGTGTCTATTTCGGACCCAGCAGGCCCCTTCCAGAGAGCTGATCCCAAAGGGGTGCACAAGGACATGCTGGGAGACCTCCGCGACCTGTGCGACGCTTACAGGCAGGCATCCGACTCCCAATGCTGGAAAAACGCCGCTGACGCCGTTTAACTTCGTGCGGCAACGTTTCATGGTCGACGTGTGCATGGGTAAACTGAAGTAGATAGCAGATGGCTGTTCAAAGAACGCTCGGAGGCGTCTATGAGTAGGTATATGCATACGCCCTGATTGTGAAATGTTGTACTTCATTTTATTGATCATAATGGTAACCTTTGCCCTGCAGTAAGCCCCTGGGACGCTTGCTGACGTGGGCGCTATTCGAAGAACCCGCTGTACTGCTTCCAGCTGCACACAAAACCGAACTGTGTTGTATATGGAATGCGGAAGCGTCTGTGTACTCAAAGATGGCTCTTTCCTAACCGTTGACGCTTTGCACTCTTACATGTGTGGGGAGGATGCGTTTCAATTGGCGGAGACAAAGCATGCCTTTTATCGAGCGCTGCTCGGGCGTCTCAAGATGGGTTTTCCTGTTCCAGGGCGAGATACGAGCTCTTACGTTTCTATCGGTCGTCCTGGGGGCGCGAACAGAACGGAAGCGACGTAATGAAGGAAAAGGCACCAGCTTGAAAGCATGCTACTCGTGTTTCCTTCCGGAAAGGGTGTGCTCGCTTCCGACACTTGTCCATCGACAAGTTCTCGGCAGCGATTATTGTTGGGTCTCTCCATGTTATACCAAGGACGCGGTTCTGACCATGTTTTCTTCTCACAGCGACTTCGTTCAGACAGGAAAGCACCTGGCGCCAAGCACTCCGGTATGCAGCGTCCACGACTGGGACTTTCACCGCTCGTCGCTCTGAATGTTTACAGGCCCGCAGTTTACGCTCTCAGAGCCGAAGCGGTGTAAATTTCACACCAGAACCATGAATATTGTAAAACTTGTTCTGGAATTCAACCCAGTGCAGTCGAAGCGCGTGCAGGAATGCGGAAAGCGACTCCATGAGCATGAGAACGCCAACTGTGAGACCGAACCACAGCACGAATCCAATCATGGTAGCAATCACATTTTCGGTAGCCAGCGCAGTATACAGAATTTTCTGAAGAAAGACGTCCGTGAGCTCCGCGTGTGCGAGTGATAGCGCCCAGAGACGCAGGTAAGACGCGGTGTTTGAAATTGCACCGAGGACGAACTCGATTGTATGAATCATGTTATTCACAAAGATTTCCGCAAAATTGCCCACCGACTCGTGAGGCTCTGCCTTCCTGCTCTCCGCCTCTGAACTATTCAAGTTCGCCGGAGCGTCACGTCGATCCCCATTGTGTAGTGGCGTGTATGCATGAGGTCGTTGCGTCCGCATCCGACGTCGAAGTACGAGCGGCTTTGCAAGGAGCATCCACGGGACCGTGACGATGGCGATAGCGAGCAACACAAGCTGAACCACATGTTGGCCTGGGAAAAGACGCAGGCTTCGTGGCAGTGACCCAGGCGACATAAACATGGCAATGAGCACCGCCTTGAGGTCAGGCGGTGACGAAGCTCCCGGCGCATTCCAGTCTGTTGACCATTTCAGGAAGATGAGAAGAAGCAGATAGCCAAAAATAGCTAAAAAGAACAGAATCTGCGGCACAAACACATGCCAGATATCAAGCGACTGCGCAAAGTATCTCGCATTGCTGTACGATAAGATGATACCCAGGGTCATCTGCGCGACCGCGAAGCCGATACTCATTTTCATTTTGAAGGAGTTCAGCATTGTCAGACTATTCTCGGCTATTTTCCAGGCGGGGTCAAAGCCAAACGGATAGGTTCTCTTGGGCGGCATTCCCAACTTGGGCTGCTCGCAGTGATCGATCCCACAAGCGACCGCGGAACCGTCTACCCACTTCCAAGTGGAGCCGAATAGATTGATCGGCACACCAAAGCACTCATTGTAAATCAAACCGGTAAACATCGAGAATACACCCATCATAAGGATCAGATATCGGCCATCGTACATGGTTTGCAGGAGATCTCCAAGCTTGCGATAACGCCACTGACGCTCACGGAAGACGACGTAGAGCGCCGCGACCGTCATGAGCATGCCGTGCCCAACATCGCCAAACATGATTGCGAACAGAAAAGGGAAAGTCGCGATGGACCACGGAGCCGGATTCATTTCCTTGTAGGCAGCAATACCGTACGCCTCGACGATATCCTGCCAAACCGCAGTGAAGCGATTGCATCGGAAGAAAGTAGGAGGCGCTTCATCCGTAGCGCACTCTTCCATGATGGAAGGCGCCTGGGCATTCGAGCGGATATCGCCGATATGAATAGCTGCGCGGGCCTCTTCGATCTCCGCTCGGGGGCACCAACACTCGCCTACGAAAACCCGTTCGGAGACGTCGTAATTCAGCTTATCGAGTGTGAAGTAGATTGCTTTCTCTTTGGCAACTTTCTCGGTCCAGAATGTTACGTTTGTAGCTACCTCACCGAGTACATCAGCTCGTTGTCTTTGTGTTGTCTCAATGATAGCCTCTAGCTCCTGTCTCCGGATTACTAATTCCGTTTTCAGGCGATCACGTTCACCAGTTGAGTCGGGGAATGGATAGCGCGTTGCGCCGAACCCTTCGCAGATGCGGGTGAGCTTCGATCGCAAATGCTGACCCGGAAAAAACAGAACAAATACCGTCTTCGCCACAGACTCATTTCGCTCTATATCAAAGATGGGTTCAGGTATTGATACCCATCTCAGAAAGCAGTTCCCTCGCGAGACACGGAATACCATTCGGGAGAATGCTTCCAGATGCTTCGCCGCTATGGTACCCGCGAACACATTAAGCACTGCGTTCACAGGCGTGTAACCCTGGCCTTGACCTCGTTCAACGCGCTGTCCTGCGGATTCGGAATCATCCGGGGGTCCGCGACGTTCCGAGATGACGTCTTCACCTGTTAGAACGTTGGATTCCAAAAGCGGCAGTGTCCCGTACTGTGACACTGATATGCGTTGTGTTCTGGCCTCCGAAAAAATGGCTTCTCCGAGCTCCAAAACGTAACCGTGCTCACGAATGGTAATCAGCTCACTCTGCAGCGCGTCCCAGTGAAGGTTCATTTCCTCAAGATCCGCTTCAAGTCTCCGGAGCTGCCCATTAAGATCCTCCAACGTCACGGTGTCCGTTGCTTGTACGCGGCTGTACCCAGGTCCAGCTTCGATCAGCTGTTGTGATTGCGCAGCCAAGGTTGTAAACGTCTTCTCGCTTGGCAAATATTTATTTGCTTGTTCGGAAAGAAACCGAAGTTTCCGCTGTAGTTCATCGCACAGCTTGAGCTCAGCGGCGAACGTTCGCTGCAGTGCCGAGGTGTTCGCGTTTAGGTCCCGAAACTCTACAAGACCCCGGCGTCCAAGTTCTTCCACACAGTCATGTGCGGCTGTTCTTTGAAAATAGACGCGGAGTAGAACAATATCCTCAGAACGAAACATTTATCCGTGTAGCACTGGCTTCCGGAGACTTGCGGTGTGCGCGAGCACTTCCGATCTGCGTCGTAAAAGCGCTAGACTTGTCCTCAAGAACCCAGAACACTATCAAGCGTTAGACGTGTTTACGTGCTGGTAGAGCCCAGCAACCACAGTGTCAGACGCAAGAACAACACACACAAGCCGATGCTCTGTATCACACGCACTGTTCCAAGTACAAAGGCAAAAGTATTCTGCATCGATACAGGCGGCCTGTTTGCCCATCCATAGCGCAGCGCTGCGCTCGGATGTGCGCTCACCAGTTCCCAGCGGATCTCAGATGTGAGTTTTTTGACGTTTGGTGACTGTTCTACACACACCGTGTTGTGCTATATCAGGTGCTGATACGAAGGAAGGTAGGTGAACAGCGGTGGTCTTCATTAACTTGCAGATCGAGAGTTTGTGCATTTCAAGGTGCGCCGCGGAGGTAACGTTGGCACCGCAGCGCTCAGGGCGGTCGCCTCGAGAGCTGGCACCGAACGACGGCCGCGTCTTACCAGTGGCGCGAGGTCGTTGTAAATGGGCTTCGACATCACCAGTACACGGCCTGCAGCATATGGGCGGCTTCAAAGATAGCGGAGCTGCAGGCGCGTGCGAAAGGTCACGCAAGAAGCCCCGTCTCGTTGCGTAGCTGGTTGCGCGCTCACGCCTCAATCAAGTGTTGTGACATTTCAGTTTTCGGGGACTCTGGTGATGGATAGAGGTACGCAGATCGAGAGAATATGCCAAAATGACGCAAATGGGCGTGTGCCAGCAGTTTGCGCTGAGCAGCAGCGACGCTGCAAACTAGCCGCTGCGTTCGTTGCAGCTTTGAGCACTCCGTACCGCTCTCAAGCACAAGCGATGCACTGAGGAATCTTTGGCTGTCCACAGCACAAGTCCAGTAGCACAGTCTCGCCGTTTGGCATACAAAGCGATGCAGCCGTTGTTTTGCGTGTCATCGTTTCCAAGCGGGGCACCTGCGGAATGCTGTGCGATATCTTGGGGAGAACGGTGTTCTGGAGAGTGGATCTGCGTATAGAGGCGGTTTTTGAGGAACAATGAGCATGGTTATTGAATCTGTCTATCATTTAGATCCTGTTTCGAGACTTGTATTACATGTGGCGAAGATCCTTAGCAGCACCTGGACGGCATGTCCGCCTGAGCCGACGCATACAGCACGCTGCGTAGCTGAACTCGTGCGAGGCCTCAACTTGAATTTCCCATGGATTTGGAGCTGAGCCTCAAAAGACAGTCCCTCAGCGAGAACACGAGTCACAGCTCTGCGATTCAAAGGAGCGATACGGGTTTGAACCAAATCAAAGCACCAGAGAGATCGTTGCGGACAATCGCATCACCTGTATCAGCAGTTCTAACCGGCTCCAAGACGCATGTGCTGCCCCCGAGCTTAACTGCGACATCGGACTCATCAGCGTGCTCCGCTACGCTTTGAATTTTCAGCCCGACGCCAATGATTGCCTTGTAAACTTCTGAAAACCAATTTTTTTCCAGACAGTCGATGAATCATCCAATCTGCACGGTTCTAAAGAATACACAACCTGACCGAGGTCCAGCAGCAGCTGCAGACAACTCGTGAAGTCAGACGCTCCCGTCATGGTCCCTGCAGACCGAACTTGTCGCTACCCGAGCGCCTAGACGCTAGGGGCCCGTGCAGTGCACGATCCAGACCTCTAGACGCAAATAGCACCCTACGAAGGACATATCAGTCTATCGTCCCTGACGAAGGCAATTGCTACTGCTGCGCATTCCAACCAATCCAGTATAGGACAAGCGATGCACACGTAACTTGGCCAAAGATATACAAGCACCAGAAACAATGCCTTTATCTTCGTTCGGAATCATCATCGAAAGAAGCAAGCAGGAATCACCATGCTGCCTGTAGGTCCTTCGAGAAAACATGAAGCGAAGACGCGCTTCATGCGTCATGCTTCGGAATCCAAGCACTCGACACGACGTTCCTCAAGGCTCCCTCATCGATGCCGGATCGCTGCCGATAGTCAACGCGTAGACTGTAGGAGTTGTTCAGCGTACACGTGTCCGCTGCGCGACCTCCCGCGCATGCGTATGCGTGCGCGCGTGCGCGCGTGCGATCTGATCGACGCGTGTCTGATGCACGTGAAATGCGCGCTCTGCTTTCACATGCAGCGCCTGCTGCATAGGCTGCTTCAGCGATTGACAGATATTCTACCTGCACCGTAAAACATACGTTTGCTCCTTCGCCTGGTATCCCGGAGGTTTGGATTCTTTTTGAAAGCTCTGTTGGTTTCAAGAGGCGTTTGTCCCTGAGACTTGCTGAATTATTTCTGTTCAAGAGAGGGAGCGACACGTATCAGCACGCTCTCGCTGGCGCTGTGGTGAAACTCGTACCGAACGTCGCGTGCAGCGTTGTTACTCCGGTGAAAGTCACGAAAGCTGGGGGCTCATGTTCGTAGAAACATTTAGTTTGCTGTCGCGTCCGCGGCTGCGCGTGTACTGCCAAAGCCCTCGTCGTCCTGTGCAGCCGGGGCTCTCCAGCGTGGCCCCGGCGCGAACGCTGAACGGAGTGTTGAGGCGGCTTGTGGCATCCTTGGCAGCGTCTCCTGAAGAAAAAGAGCCTGGTGAGAACGGTCCGCGTAACAGTGGGGACTCTTCTGGAGAAATGGCGGTCATCAGCCGAAAAAAGTGGCCTCGAGACAATCGCGACAAACTGCCTTTTGATGTTTACGTCACGACGCCTCCGCCGTACTACCTCGGGCAGTTCAAGCTCGATCCTCGTGTCCATAACGGAGATATTCTCGAGTTCCAGAATCATGCCTACGTGATTAAGCGAACGCGGCTGCATTACTATTATCGGAACGGTGAGTTCCGCGTCGGTCGAAAGTCCGTAGACGTGAACACAGTTGCGCGTTCTCACATTAACAGTTTCCTTGACCGCATATATTCCCGTTCGAACGTTCACCGATCTCCGTAGTCGTATGCTGGGATTGAAGTTTCCAAGGCGTCCACGCTGTGCAAGATGGTCGCAAGCTGTCCTGCATGCTCCGGGTATTTTCCGTTGAGTATGTCGCTAGGCACCATGTCGGAACATATGTGTTAGCGGCCGCCGCAGAACCGCACTCTGTGACGTTGAGGTCAAAGCGTCGGGCGCGCGTTCAGATAACGCGGTCCTGCGAAACGTTCGATTCTTTCGATGGTTCCACATTATCGAGCAATACCTCATCGATGAAAGCATTCGTCATGATGCGGTTAGGGTCCAACATCCTATGCGCGCGTCCAAAGTTGTCCAATGGATACTTCTCCCGAACTCTTTTCAAAATGAAGTTTTTGTATCGGAGTGCGTCCTCTGATCCCATATACGATGGACTGGGGATTTCAATCTTGGCCCAGTGCTCGGCGGCATCGTACGCTTCCCATAACTTTGCACATAGGTGCCGGTATCGCCAGAATTCCCTGGTTATACTTTGACGCGCAGCCTCATCATCTGTCGGTAAATACATGATAATCCCAACCCACGAGTAAACGTCTTGATCCGGCGGGAGCGTATCCGGTCCCCGGTAGACAGGACTCATCAGAGATCCGCTTCCCGAGGTCCAGCGCTGTTCGATTGGTGCCGGTGCTGGTATTTGGTGATCTTGAATGAGGCGCAACAGCTTCGTCATGTATTCGAGATCACGACGCTGGCCAAGCGGTGCATGAAAAGCGACTTCACTTACCCATTGGTGGCCGCCACAGTCAAAGCCCAGAATTCTATCGCTCCAATCGATGCGTATGCCTTCACTGCGTTTCCAAAACGCTGCCTCGGCCTGATTCACTCGCCGAATCCACTCGGTATTCAAGGGGTCTCTCGCAATCAGGTAGTCCCGCATCTCCGCAAAAGACATTCTCTGTACTTCTTGTGGCGACAGTCTGTTTCCAGCGCTCGCGAGTAACAACTCACGCAATGGTGCCAGTTTGTAATCGTTCGTAAGGTGCTGCATATCCGCACTGTTTGGCGCAGAGGCACGTTCTAGCGGGTCCGAGTAGACAACGACCACAGAGTCCGTGTACGGTATCCACATATAGCGCACATGCTGGTGTTGACTTAGTAACTCTTCATGCCTATCTCGCAGCTCTTCGTGCGTCATCACCTTTGTGTATTCGACGAGTTTGTGTGCTGCGGTGGCTTGAAGAGTGACCTCGGTCACAACGCCGAAGGCACCGAGGCCAACACGCAACAATCCGAACAACGGATGACCGCTGCTTATTTCTATCGAGCCTACGGCAGGTGTCGCTATCCGGAATGATACCACCTGTTCATCGACAGGAGGGATACGGATCCCCGTCCCGTGTGCACCCACCTGAAAAAAGCCACCCACTTGCTGTTCTGAAATGGAAGCGAAGTTCTGTAGGACGAGGCCTCTCTTGCGAAGCTCATTCGTCACTTGCGCGATTCGCGCACCCGATTGCACGCGTACTTGAGCCTTTTTCTCATCTATCCATAAAATCTTATCCAGAAGAGCCAAGCTTACCATGCCGCCCGCCTCGAAGGCCAACGCGTTTGGCGACAGTGCGCTGCCAAGCGGTCTCAGTTTCTCCGACTTTGCGTGGCGATCCGCAACAAGCTGTTCAACTTGATCAACGCTTTCTGGTACGAACAGAGCGTTTGTATGGACTGCGTGGGTTGCCGACCAGTTCAACAACGTGACAGCGTCTGCTGCGCTTTCCTCGATGCCGTGCACCGCTGGGGCTTCGCTGTGCACCGGTACGGGCGAAAGCGCTGCTCCGACTAGTGCAGCACTCGTACCGAAGAGCAGAGCCCCTCTCCGTAGGAGAGACAGCACCATAAAAGACTAGCGCAATAGCAGAATTCACCTGTAGGGAGGGCGACTCGCGAACCGGTACGTTTTCGCAGCTCCACAGTACACGGCGGTGTCTGCAGTGCCCCGAACGACATGCCCCGAGCCGCCACCGCTCCATCGACAACACCTGCCGGTGTTGAACGTGCAGTCGATATGCGAAGCGCTCTGCTTTTTGTTTATGGCAAGTGACTTGCCTCCGTTGTGGACTCCTTCGAAAACCCTATCCAAGAGGCCTTCTTCTGGGCACAGTCAGCACGCCAGCGGTGAACAAGAACCCCACGAGACTGGTTGGCGTGCGAACGCTGAAAGCGAGCCGTCCTCGAAGGGGCCTGCGGACTCGCGGGCTCTTCAGTGGCGGTTGGCGCTTGCTGAGGCCTGTGCGGAGCTCCTCGAGTCCAGTCTCGAGAGTTTGCGACACGCTTATGCTGAATACTTGCAGCATGGAGATCTCGGGGCGCCAGTCCAGGGTCGCTCCAGAAACACGGTACCGTCGAGGGCTCGTCTCCTCGAGGACCTGGGCTTGAACGCACCGCGCGACTTTGTAGACTACGTTCTTATGCGCACCCTGCGCGAACGGGATGCCTTGGCTATGCAGAACTCGCGCTCCTGGACGTTCAACCTGATGGACCGCTCTGGTGAAGGTCGAGCGTACCTTGCCGAGTTCGTTCGGTATGCGCCTCTGATGACCCCGGTGGCGGATAGTGCTGTTGTGGAGCTCGTCTTTCAGACGCTGTCAGAGGCAAGCTCAAAGGCAGCCACAGATTCTATGTACGGTGGAGACAAGACGGGAAAGTTTACAGAAAGGCAAAACGTCTCTTTGGAGCAACGTGACATGGATTTCACGTCCGGTACGTTGACCGAGGGCGAACCTTCGGAGGCGCATGTAAGCTTCGCAGTCTGGGATGAATTCTTAATCGCACTGGGCAAGATTTTCTCCAAAACAAAGCCCGAATGGACTGAGGCGAAACGCCTTTTCGGAATCGACCACGCCGAACCACTGGTCAAGGCCGGAGCCGCTTTTGATCACTCTGGCACGATACCGATCTTCGGAAAATTGTTTCTCTCGGAGCGATACCTCTGTTTCGCAGCGAGCCTCGGCTGGGGGCACTTCTTGGTCCCACTCTCAATGATCCGAGAAGTGAAATCCACTGAGTTGCCGGTTTTGCGACGCGATGCTGTCGTGATCAGTTTCACCGTGCCGAAGAACCTTGAGAAGAATGTCAACGGTCCATTCTCGAAGCTGCTACCCACTGGAGCGATCGACAAAGGTTTGGTGCTCTCGTTTAACGAGTTTCGTTCAACACGTCTCCGGGATGCGTGGGTGATGTACATTCGCGAGATGGTCGCCGCCCATGTAGCGAGCAAGCAACATCACGTCGATCACCTTGATGCAAACATCGTGATGAGCGTAGACGAAACGAGCTCGAGTGTCCGGCTTCGACAAGCTCTGGATCTGGCAGAGACGACGCGATTCGCAGAGGAGGCAAGCCCTGGAGTTACGCAGCAGCGGGGCCAGCGCCTCTCGCGGATGCGTGACTGCTCGCCGAACGCATCACTCGCGGCTTCGACTACAGCGCAGACCGCAGGCGTTAAAGTGCCAGCGTCAAGCTTCGAGGCAATCGTTCAGTGTCCAACTCCGGCATTTGCACGCATCGCTAGGTTGAATATTTTGCGTAGCAGGGCACTGAAACGTGTATTAAGCGGACGTCTACCGCGTTCGTTATTCATCTTTAGTGTTGCATCTGAAGCGGACGTGGTCGTCGAACACCACCCCATGTCTGTTGATGACTTGCGCGGCCGCGAGCTCAGACGAGCTGCATTTCGGAAATACGTTGATGCTGCTCATCGCATTACAGCCGGTGAACGCTCCTGGTGGTTTGTTCGAGCAATGCAACGGGTGAACATGAATATGGAGGCAAATCGGCGGAGGCAAGGCGATCGCGACACTGAAACCCTGGACATAGTTTCACTGGGCAACCAGATCTCGACCTTCATAGAGCTGGTGGCCCCCATAGGCTGCATGCTCGATGCTGTTTGCTATGTGATTCGCTGGGACCGACCGGCGGTGTCCGCTGCAATCTTCCTCTTTCTGCTTTTCGTTGTGCTGCTGGACGCTGTGACGTACCTGATACCGCTGGCGATTCTTGGTTACTGCGGCCTTCTTTTATCGGTCAGGAAGGCTGTGCAGAATCCAAAACATGAATCGTTGTCCGAATCTTCGAAAATGAAGGCCTCGTACCTCAGCGGCTTCTTTGTGCGTATCCATCACGGGCTAGTAGCGACGCAAGTCTGGTTGCAGCACATGAACAGACACTTGGAAAAGTTCGAGAGCATCCATCTGTGGCGGGATCCCGCACGAACCCGCCAGTACATCTATGGGCTTGTGGTGAGCGCTCTACTGATCGCCGTCGTGCCCTTTCGGTGGATTTTTGCCGCCCTTGTGATCTACCTCTTTACGCTCCAGTTTCGAGATCCCGAGCGACAGGATTTCATTGATCGATGGTATGCATCGGTGCCGGGGCGTCCGTCTTGCACCTAGAATGCGCTGTATGCTCTGTTCGATATGGATGGATCGAACTGACCCTGTTTGTATTTCTGGTGCGTCCGATACTGTAAAATGAACAGAATGCGCCCACTGGCTTCCGTATAGCGCAAATGGATCGAGCACTGCAGACGCGTGCGCCTTTACCCCTGCTCGACGGAGTTTGTGGCTCATATGTTTGGTCCACGATGCAAGGGCGCCGCTTCTTGTCCATCATTTCAGGTGATGTATAGAAGGGTCCGCCCGCTGACTCGAAGCGCGGGTATGCGATCTTCTGCCGCCATCGCTTGCCTGAAGCGACGACTGCCTCCATGTCGCTGGTGGAGCGGAGAGCAGCAGTGCGGGAGCGCACCCCGCCAGGCAGGACGACTCCGTTCTTGGTTAGCGAAAGTGCCGGCAAACTCCAGCGATGATCCAAGTGCCTCAATTTGACTTGAAGCATTGGCCCGTAAATTGTGTTAGGAAAAGGATCTTTTCTGGTCTTTTTCGCATAGCAACCTGGCAAACATATGGCATGACATGAAATGGCATTCGCTGGACAGCATGCCGGTGCACCAGCGTATCGGACGGTAAACAGCGATGAGGCGAGGCGCATAAATCCTCCATAAACTGCGCCAATATTCTTGGGTCTTTTAGCGGAAGACTGTCTAACCAATGAGTCGCTTTTCAGGGTCTTTGTACGGAGTTTAACTTTTTCAGAAGATCCTCGTTTACTTTCGCTTGCATGCTTCTCCAAACACTCCAAAACTATACGCGCACTTTTGGGTACACCTGGCGAACGCTGCAAAGCCTGGGCTGGCAAGGTGCCTCGCTGTTCAGCGCCTCGCAGGAAAGGAGAGAGAAATCCGCCAGCTCTGTGCCTGCTGATCGACTGCACCCGTCGCAGGTTCTGGCCGTCAGGGTGCGCTGCACCCGCGGCCTCTATCTTGCAGCCGTTCCAGGCCCTGAGCTAGGCAGGGACGAACGCTGCCTCCGCGCGCTGAAAAGACAGCGTGGTGCGGTGAACTCCACGGTTTTGCTGCTGCACTTGCCTGAGGTTGCCGAAGGGCCTTGGAAGCTCACCGACCTCCAAGGGAGAATCCTTCGCATAGAGGCCGCCGTGGAAAGCACCGTGCCGCAGGGTGCCAACGACGATGAGGCCGCCTGCCCCCAACACCTATCCGTCGCTTTTGAGGCTGGCGGGACGGACGCGCAGCGAGCGGTCGTATATATTCGTGTAGGAGCACGTTACCTTTCAGCGAATCCTAGGTCTGGGAGCGTGGTGGCAGACAAAGTGCATGCAAAACGCTGGGAATGCTTCCAGTTGGAGCTCCTTCCAACGTTTGGAATCGAGCGTTCCTTGACGCTTACCTGCCGATTCGCGGCATTTATCCGCACAAGGAACTATTATGGAAGGGATACAGGATGGTTATGGTGCGGAGTGCTCTTCACTGGACAACTTGTCGCGCTGCCGTGGCATCATGAACATCGCGCGAAGCGCAGTTCTCAGAGTGTCCAACCGTCGCCATTCTTCTTTGAATACGCAGACATGTCCCGAACCGCACTGATTCGAGATGTCTCTGGTCGATATTTGCTCGCGACACATGATTGCGGTAAGCATGTGATTGCGCATTCAAATCTACCACATGCTGCGGAGTACTTTGTGGTGCGTGCATACCCACGCAATATCATTCAACTCGAATCCCGATGGGGCTTCCTTTGCGCAGACCAGTCGCGGATGGGACCAAGCGGCTTTTTCAGCGTCCGATGTGATCGCAAGCAGGCTGGCCCATGGGAGACTTTTCAGATCATTCCCGTGATGTACACGGGATCATTAGCGGATTGGTGGCAATCTCAATTGGAGCTCGAGGATGCGGCGTCTGAGCGGAGGTTGCAAACTCTGGATTCGCTGGAGATCGACACGGTGATTGAGCTCAGCGAAGGGACGCATCGCAGAGTACGCGCCTCCGCCTCTGTGCCTGGTGTCAGCGAATCCGTCGCCTTTCAAACCGTTACAGATTATGAACATTATGGCAAGTTTTGCCGAGGCGTCGAGCAATGTCGAATCGTCGAGAGTCACCAGGGTGAGCACGGGCGCATCTCTCTGATTCGCACCACGCAGTCACGGTCGCTGTGGATTTTCACGGTGAAAGCGAAAATGCTGCTGCGAGCAGAGGAATACCCCAGCCGCGGAGCTGTGAATTTCGTGTTCATCAGCGGCCAAGGCGTGCGTCGGTATGCTGCCAACTGGGAAATACGACCAGTGTCCGAGGTTGGCGCTGCTGCTACTGCTGCTGCTGCTGCTGCTGCTCCACAGCAGCAGCAACGGCCGGCTTGTTACATGTCTCTGACGATAGACTTTCAACCTGTTGTATATATTCCGAAAAAGTGGCTCGATGCGATGGCCGTCAACGCGGCACGGGACGCGTTCAAAGATATGATGTTGGAAAGCAGCGCACGGATGCGTGCACGCAACTGACACGTAACTGCGTTTACCCGCGCTGCGTCAGAGGTTCGCTCGCTAGAAATGCATTGTCTTTAGGAAGGTTGTGCGTCAAGCAGAACGCACCGATGCCGCATATTCTGCACAGCGAAGAGGTCAGCGTTAGTGGGAGCTCTCTCACGCGAAAGGATCGGTTCATCGGCCGGTGACTCAGTGCGCCATAACGCACACAAAGTGCCGGCGTTGGAAGCTGCGTTATATACAGGCCCTTGAAGAGTGTATTGTTTTTTGGATGCTCGTGCTCGTATACTCAGCACCATCGAATTACCGAGCATTAGTATCATCAGCTAATTCCCCTGGGAGATTCTTTCACGGTGCATGTGTGCGGCGTTCCAGGCGTGCAGCTGGATTGCTGAACCGTTCCACACCAGTGCCGTACTGGAGGTGAGAATCCACTGCACTCTCCGGGCTACAGTTGTTTTTCACTGCAAGTCTGCAGCATTGAAGCACAACGCCCACATTTAGTGCTAAAGAATTCACTCGATAAAATGCTCGAAACAAAACTACTGCACGCTCTGGAAGCACGAGATATATTCGGATGCCTACCGAGGCGCAGAGCCTCGGTGCTGAAGGTGCTTGCGCGTATGGTCGCGGTTGGCATCATGCGATGACAAGCAACGCCTCTTCGACTGTCTCGTTATCTGACGTTCAGTCAGCGAACTGTACACCATCGCGTGCATCACTCTCTGTTTAACGCTCATTTTTTGTTTACCTCATGCAGCGAGCACCCGCGCTCGTGATGCGTGAAAGTCGTCATGAATGCATCACTGGAAATCTCGAAGCATTGACTCATACACTCGTTGTGCGCTCCCATCGGACGGACAGAAGTGCTCGCCCTTGCGTGACAGAGTAGGTGCAGCGTCATGGACTACAACTGAAGGACGCGAAAGATAGATTATTTCCATTTCGAACGATGCAAGGAATTCGGTGAATGCATGCATCTTGACTGCGGACCTCAGAGAGCTCCGGCAGCCTAGCACGGGCGCATGAACTCCTGGCGAAGCTCGTCTGCGTACGCCATTTGGACGCTCGTGTACTCTGTCTGGATGAAGCGTGCATCGCATCTCCTCCGCCTGAGACGGAGCTAAGGGTGTCGACAGGCGTCCTGACACCATCATTTTAGTAGGTGGTATGCGACCTGGGGTGTTTTATGCCCGACTGTTTACAATAGCATACAATAGAAACGTTGACCAGCTTTGGATGCTTGCCGTTGACGATGCCTACCTCTCCATCTGTCTTGCGCAGTTGAACATGGCCTCCGATACGCAATGCAGACCGGGCTTGCCGACTTCGAGCAGGCACATGCAGAACGATACGCCGTGCGTCTCAATCGTTCGTGTAAAGTGATCTCCATTTCCTTACCGTAAACGGAAAGTCTTGAAGGAGTCCCGCCACTGAAATATCTGAATTCGTTCGAATGTTGCATCCTTGCTCGCAGAGACGAAATACATCTCACTACATGGGCCTTCCATATCATGAGCGTCTAGGGTGATATCATGGTCCCTGATGTGTCGAATTCGGATTGCGTCGAATAGACGCTAAAGGAGACACGGGCGCCCGGACTCTGCGAAGCAAGTCTGCTTTGCTCGAGAGGTCTCTATCCGCGGAAACTTGGCAGCGCAAGATGCAAGACACGCCCGCATCGCTTCTCAACTCTTCTTTGGACACGACGTGCGTCAATCCGCGGTCGACAGCAACACGATACGCTTGGGTGATCTGCAGCGACTCTGGCTGTCGTTGCGACCTCTGTTCCGAGCTCGCCACCATTTCTACCTTTTCAGGCGCCAGCTCGTCATTCGTATCTATCTGCACACCAGGAATCCCTTCCATGAGTGCCAATTTTTCTGCGCAAATTAGGTGAGGCTGTCACGCCTACAGGTTGTGCTTGATGAAGCGCTCTTGATCGACCGGCATATGATTTTCTAGGTTGTTTGATATTCGTTGGCACCTGAGCTGTTGACGTTCTGACCATCAACGTCGCCCATCGACGTGTCAAAGTATGTTTGGCAGCGTTTCCGCACATCCATGATTCATTCGATCTGGTCGGGTTGCATCTTCTGTCCCAAGCATCAGGTGTGTCGTCGCTCGAATGTTCGATCAAAATTTCCACAGGAAAATGGACAGCTGGCAGGTCTACGTCCGTTACTTTTACAACCCGTTGCTCAACGACTTGCATCAAGTCGAAAGATGCGTCACAATTGTCACCCTAGACAGATGGAACGCTACGATGAACGGCAACCTGCACTTCAGTTTTCGGAAGTTTCACCCGGTTCATACGTTCTGCTAAGCAGGATTTTCCAGTTGCGTATCAAACTCATGTTTCCGCTCCAAGAGAATGTGCTTCCTGATCTTTCTGGTGATCTTTTCGGGAAGATCTCGCTCTTCTTTCTCCGTTGCTCTCTGCTGCTTCAAATTGTCATAGCGTGTTCACATGGATGCTGTCGTTATACTCTATATTCGTTTTGTTCTTCCGGATTCGTACGCACTGGTTAGATGGAGCGAATCCAGCTCATCTTTCTGCATACGTATTTTCTAATCCACAAGTAGCTTTCCGTCGCGCGCATACCGCCGGATCCGAGTGCGTTTTCTCGCTCTTTCTCGTTTGCGAGCCAGCAAGCAACACGGCAGTTCAAGGCTCGTGAATAGAGTACAGAACGAGTTGTCGAACAACTTCGGTTTGATCACTGCGAACGGCTCGTGTACTGACCCGTGAGCTTAGGCTAGCGATACAGCAGCTCAAGGCCAATCGCAGTTGCATGCTCATTGACCGCTTCTGAGTTATAGACAGCGACGTTGTCCGGCAGCAAGACAGAGTTATTTGGGAAGGGGAAGCCACGAGGTGTTTCAACGAAGAATGAGATGTTGAGCAAACTTTACCGTCTGGCGCTTTAAAGGCGACCACACGTTTGAATCGCTGATATGCCTGATATTGTCGTTATGCTCTGTTGTCTGTGCCGGATGAACAACTGTTTGCCCCTCTTCGAGAACCCACTCAGAGGTCTAGCATGTCGTCCGAATAAATTCTCATCGATGGCGACGAGCATCCTTCCCTGACGTAACACACCGTCGCATTTCGGAGCGAAATCGGTAGTTTTTTGTGCAATGCAAGACAATCCCCCGTAGAGGCGTGCTTTTTTCTTTTTGTGAATCCGTGTCTCTTCACCGCGATTGAAATCCATGCTGGGGAAACCTGAAACCGCCTGGCTTCTGTTGTGGTACTCCCCATTGCATCTATGGAGAGGAGTGGGCCGACGACATGACATTCGCGTTGACAGCGTTTTACAAGTAGGGTTTAGGGTTCTGATGCACAGGCTTAGACATCGAGACTGGTGTTCATCCGTTTGCTGACCATACAAAGACTGACTTGTACAAGTTGGCCCGTTTTTCACAAGCGAGCAGTCACAGCATAAACTCTTTCCGCGACCTTCCTCCGATCTACGAGATACATTTCTTCTATTGAATATCGATGAGGAGGACAATCAGGTGCAAATACGCATGCTGGTGCAGGTGTTCCGGAACTCGCCGCTATGCTGGTAGCTGCGCTTCACGAAAGCCACGCGCTCCATGAAAGCTGAGGAATCGAGCGAGCTACATACCATTCTATTTGCAAGAGTAAATGGGCTCGGTAGTGTGTATGCAGAAGCTGACCTTGCGCGTCCAGACGCAACTGATCAATCTATTGCCGAGCGGCGACAATGTAGCTAGACTCCTCTGCGATCATTCCATATCGCGATATGGACACGATGGCTGTAGCGGAAGCCGAGGCGCAGACACCAAGGGATGACTCGTTCTCTGGCAGCAAGTGCGAGCGATTCGCTTGTCGTGCCTTGCGGCATGAGCCAGACGCGGGTCCTCGGTAACTGCAGTTCATTCACAATCATTTCCACTTCAGCGAGGTCTTCTTCGCGATCAACAACGAACTTGAAGATTGATTGGTGCGGAAGCTGGGTCGCGTAGTAATGGAGTATATCCCATCGCAATCGCTGTTTTGCTGACTGAAGCGAATTCGCTAGCTTAGGTGAAACATTGAAGTGGATTCGCTGTTTCGCTTCGTGATCGACATCAAGCAGGACCTGCGGCATGATCGTGCCGTTCGTTTCGAATTCGACTCTCAGCTCGAGATCCTGTACGAGATGCTTCACGAGCGGTCGTAGAGGTTTTAGATGCAGAAGTGGCTCACCCCCAGTGACCACTACAGCATCTGCTCGCGTTCCTTCCCGGGCGAGCTCGATGCATCTGCAAACTTCCTCTATAGAGAGCCGTCGCAGCTCCTTGTGTCTATCAAAAACTGTACAGAAGTTGGCTTTCTGCGACGCAAGCGGCTGCTCCTGCTGCTGACTTGAACCGGGTGTTGTGGCACTGCCGTCACGGGCGCGACTACGGGACTGCAGCCGGGCTAGGCGCTGCTCGCTAAATAACCAAGTGTATTTCGTGTCACACCAGATGCATTCTAAGTTGCATAAACCGAGGCGTAGAAAAATCGAAGGTGAACCGCAAAAGGGACCCTCGCCCTGGATCGACGCAAATATCTCGGAAACGAGCAAACTGGCGTGCTCAGCGGTTCGCTGTGGAGGACTTTCGGCTTCTTGACAAGTCGCCCGGCTCCAAGAGTCATGTTCAGTTGCAACGGCATCATCAGCAGCGCCGGTCTCTGCTTTCGGTTTGACTGCAGTTGCCAGCTCGCAACGAGACCAGCGTTGCAGCAGCAGCAGCGGCAACAGTCGTCGTTGTCGATTCAGAAAGCTTAAACCTTGAACTGCACTGCTCAACATTTTTGTGCCACGGTAGCGCTTGTTTGGGCAAGCTGTTCATACTCGTCTGCCGCGAGGTCTTGCTTTTCCAGAGTTTGCCTGCCCAACGCTCGGCGCGGCACGATAGAGCGCAACCTAACAAAGATACGTCGCTGAACGTCCAGCAGTTGCAAACTTCGACCGCGCGCACGAGCAGGATCGCTTCACTGCCTTCGCGCGAGCAGTGTTCGTACGAGAGTTTTGGCTACCGCGGGACGTACGCCTTCATACCGTTCATGGTTCATGCACGAGCATCCTATGCGTCTGATATGCTGTGCCTGGAACATGATGATGGATGCGAAACTTTACACTGTCTTCGTCTTAGAACGGTGCTGGTCACGAATTTCAGCTTCAGCTTGTGAGGCAGCGTCGTTTCTGCTACAAGTGAGGTATCCTGCTTCAGGGTCATTTGTCGGATCCGTGGTGTTGCCTTACCGATGAACCATCGAATTCACCGCGAGGCTCTTTGACAACTTTCTGTTTTCAGATCGCTTTTCGGAAATACCCATGTTTTAAAAAAGTTTTCTCCCGATAATCGATCGAATGAAGAGGTGCTGGAGGCACGTAAAGAAGGACATTCACCGGGGGCGCTGCTATTCATGCCTTTGCGAAAGCATTCTGCCGTGAGGATAGAGCGCTCCCCCAAAATCCGAGGTCGTCAACGGATCTATGTTGCACAAGCACGCGAGTGTGCACATACTCATGTATACTCGTTTGCGTTCGAGAGTGCAAATGTGCACGTGTATATGAATGTGTGAACGCGAGCGACTGCATCGCGTGTCAGTTTTATGCGAATGCAGCATGCACGAACGCAACAGAGGTCCACGGAGCACGCTTTTCACGGTACGCAGAACGCTAGACTTATGTACGAAGCGAAGCCGGACGTCGATCCCGGATTCATCAATCCCCTCTGCACCGTAACAAGACTGACCCGCTTACCAACAAGCCTATTTTCGTGGCTAATTTGTAAAAACCATTCTGAAGATCGTCAAGTCGCCGCGCGTGCGTACCCTGTGGACTGCCCGTAAGAAGCTCAGAGGACTGGTTCTAGCCAGACAAACGCTTAGCTGCACGCTGCCAGTCTCAGTTCGATGTAGGCAACGGTGTCCATGACGGGATGCGCGGATAGCGAGCTGCTGACTCGAGCACCTCTTTGATCGAGGTCAACCTCGTTCCCCGCAACATTTCTCGGGCATCGTTCCACAAGTAAAAGCATCTCTCTGCCTGCTCGATGGAGCGCTGCTCGAGCGACAGAATCCTTTCCTCCTCCTCCCTGATTCCATCTAGAGTCTTGGCCAGATTTTCTACTTGCCGGAGCTCCAGTACGAACCTGTCGACACAGAGTCTCAGCGCCCGCTCTTCGTTTTCGAGAAGCTCCACGGAGCTTCCTAGGTCTGAGGCTGCTTTTGAGTCACAAACTCCCTCAGTGATGCTCTCTGAATTCTGCAGTTCAAGACCCAATAGCGCAAGGTTCTGGAAGAGTCTCTGGCAGGCCACTTCACACCGCTCAAGTTGGGTAACGACAGCGCCTTTTACAGTCAGGTCATGCAGTTCGCCGGTATCCATCAGGTTCAAGTCACGCAGTTGCGCTGCCTTTAATCTATCCGAGACAGTGCGAGAGCAGATGCCGCCAGGTCGACTTGCTCGAGTTTGTTACCGTGCGTAGGAGCTTGGACCCCGTGCGGGGCTTGTCCGAGACGAGAGGGTAGAGGTATGTGTAGACTCCGCTGCGCACGGTGAATCGCTACCCCAAGGTTCCAAGCTATCGATCGAAGACTCTTGAGAGGCACTATTGAGAAAGACTCTCATTCGAAAACGACCCGGTACGCGCTACCAGCGCAAACTCATTTGTCAGTGAAACGAAAAATGTTCCACGGCCACATAGGGTAGATAGGTATCCACCCGGCAGGCGTCTCCCGGCCGTTTACGACCGGCCCGCTGCGATCGGTTTCAAATGCTTCTCGTAGAGTGCCACCTTAAGAGGTTGCCCGACAAAGTTGGCTCTCGTTAGCTCGGGATATCTCTTCTCCAATACAGCACGTCGTCTGATATTGATAGCGGCGTTAAAGTCTGGGTTCACGAAGTCAGTGCGTTTGTTACCGTTGGTAGAGCTCACCTATGCAAGGAGTCCTCCAACTCGCGCCCTCTGAGCCATTTGATGCTCCGTCAGCTCTCCGTGCTTTTTTATATCCTCAGGGCTCCACGGGCACTTTTCCATCTCGACTCTCGGAGGTGGACATCCCAGTTCATGATCCACATACGATGTTCGGAGCTCATCTACCGGTATCGTGACAAAACATCGTGCGCACTCCTTGTACGCTCTCGTCGACGGGGCGGGTACACACCCTTTTCCGGGTGCCCAGCGCCCAGTTCCGTATGCTAGTATGAGCCTTTGACTCTTGTCCTCCATGAGGGCAATCAACTGTTTGAAAAATTTCGCGAACGCGCGCTGCTTCCCTCTGTGCGGATTCATTCGCAGACGAGCCCATCGCGGTTCTGTTTGCTATTTCCACAGCTCCTCGTCACGAGCAGCTTGATATTCCATGAATTCACGAAAGAAATGAAAGTTCGATCCACGACTCGCGAAATTGCTCATAGCTTCCAGGTGCGCGCTCACTCCTGCATTCCATGTCTCACTTTCCTTCCTTGCATTCATTATTCCCGATTATCGGCAATTTTTCGCTCTCAAGTACTTTGGAAGTCGCATGTCATTGTGGCGTAAGTTGCCGTCGATACCGTCTTCCGCACGCTTGGGTGCTGCGATGGGTACGATATTCGTGTTCCCGGGTCCGCGCCAACGGCACAGTCGTCCTCCTGCGCCTCCTGTTTCGTACTGCCAGCCTCTTTGTTTTCTTCATGCTTCGCCAAGGGCGAAGCCGATGACGGAACTGGGCGATCCGCCTTCAAGCGCCGATAGTCTCCACACACGGCTACTCCATCGCTTTCGATCATCCCAGTGAATAACTTTTTCTTGCTGGTGTTGAGGCGCTTGAAATCGAAGATATTCATCCGGTAGATTTTCCCGTCTCCGCGGGTGAACTTCTCCCTGCTTGCATTGAACTCGGGACTGATCTCCTTCATGATGGTATAAAGGATTGTGGAGTCGATTGTCACAACGCGTGACTTGACGTAGCATAACGGAACGATATTGAGGCGCCTCCCCGGAACCGCAGCCTTGCGTCTCTCCGACTGCGCATTTTCCCCTACTCAGCTCCATGTCGGCTTTGCGTTCGAGTTCTCGGTCAAAAAACACGAAATTGCGCAGGATTAGGGGATAACATCTTTCTTCATCTTTTTTCCTATCTGATATCTTTTCTTGTAGGTTGACAAGCCCCAAGACTGCACGGTGCTCAATAATAGCCGCACGGATTACAGAAGCTTCATTCTTTCTCTTGCGTGATGTCTTCTTGTGGAAGAATTCGATCTCCTGTTCATGCTGTCGATCATTCGTGATGCCACGGATGATGACTCGTATCCCTTTGCGAGAGAGGCCCGGGTACAGCGCAATGACGGCGCGTACCATGAAGCGTTTCAGGTTCATGTTCATATGCTTTCTCAGGTTCGTAGGGTAATTCAACGCCCCGTAGGTGTAAACACCCGAGTCATCCCTGTATCGAGTGCCGTTGAGGCGGTATTTGGCGTAATTTTCATGGAGGCCATGCACCCGCTCATTTCACCTCGACGTTTCCCCGGTGGCAAGCGTCAGGTGGCCGATGAAGGTTACGTTGGAAATTTCCTCTGGAAACTCGATTGTTTCCGCGTGCGTTATGTCGCGATACACTTTCGTTACCACATACATCAGTCTTGGAGCGGCCTTTATCATACTTATGCGGTACGACTCGACACGGTTTCTGACGTCCGCTTGCATCGTTTGCTCATACGGATCCTTGACATGTACAAGAAGACAGGCGTCCACGACCGTCTCGTCGTACTCTCATCTTTCGAGCAGCTTTTGACGCAGGGCCTCCTGCCTCTGCCTCTTCATGCTGTCTTGTTCCTCTTCGCTCAACACTGCTTTTCGTTTTTCTGCGGCAGCCGGCGAAATCAGGCTTCCAGAAGTCTCCAATTCCATTCGCAGAACTTTTTATTTCTTCAAATGAACCCACATCGAGCACGTCTGCAATGAACCGCGGAAGAGCATTTGATTCCACGCACCTGGCGATGGAACACAATTGAGTTTAGAGGATAGAAATGCACAGATATCGTATACCCCGACGATCGCCATTCATTCACGCCTCAAGCGCCCGCATGCGCGCATTGCATTCACGTGACGTGTCCAGCGTATCGAATGAACAATTTTGGGCTGTGCTCGCATGCTTGACGCAACCGCATGGCGTATCGAGTGGAGTTTCTCGTGCGTTGGTGCATCCCGTACGCGAGCTCAGCAACGATCGCTCGATCGTTTCTACGCTGATCTGAGCGCTCTTTGTGCGCTGCCCGTAACTGACGTGCAATCTCGTATCAATGCGTCATTTTTCTTGGAACCAGAATTGAGCCTACGAGTGTATAAGCACTTGCGTGTAGGAGAGTGGAACTTAGAAAGTAGCAACCAATGATTTTTTCGCGGTATTTTGCAGTTGCACTCACCATATGGGCTATTGTTGTAGTTTCATTGAGTGCAAGCTCCGCCAGAGCTGCACGGTGTCTTTATGACTGCGGTTCCAGTCGACTGGGGCTGTTCAGCCTGAAAGTGGTCCCCGATACAGCCTGTGAGACGGAGTGTTACTGCGGCGCCTTATGCCCCTCTTCGGCACTCTGCGTGTCGACGTGCACGATTGCTGCCTATAATAGCTCTTTTGCGCTGCAGCCGCTGCAGACGCTGGAGTCAATCACTGTCCCGGCCGGAACTTATAAGCTCTATACCACGCCGATCTCCGCGACGAACTGTACGCCGGAAATCGTCGTTCGCCACAAGTTTTCTGCACCGGGTACAGTTCCGAGTGGAAACGTGCTCGTTGATGGTGTCTCCTGCGCTGCGTTCAACATGACCGCAGCAGGGCCCGTTGGTTTTCCGTTCGTGTTGAGCAGCGGGGTCGTTGATTTCGAAAACTCAACAAACTCGGCGCTTGGCATCCTGCCGTCAAATTGTTACCCTGGTAACAGGGAAACCGCATTCACAATTGATCCGATCCAGAACGGTACCCAGCTGTACGGCGCATTCATCTATACGTTGTTTGTGAGGAGTGCAGGACCACCAGGCCATTGCGTCTATAAGATGGAATGAGGCGAGCGAGCAGCAGTTTCGAATACAACGACACCAGGGAATGTCGCTGGTGCGGATATCTGGTACAAGAGAAGATGGTCATGGAGCCAGGTTGCCCTGTATTAGATGGGAACGTAAAGAGCATGGCGATACTCAGATTGTGCTGTGACTCATTCAGTTCGGACAGGCCGGTGCACTTGTAAAGCATCCGATATGAAAACAAATATCCGAAGAGTGCCTCACTGGGGCACAACCACTGTTGCACAGCTGCGAACTGCAGCTTCCTCAGCTGGATGGAGTTGAAGCATCTTCAGTCTGCAGTGACGGAAAGTGCGCCTCAAGTTCGATAACGATTCCAATGAGGTTGCTGTGCTGCATCTTATCGGCTAGGGCCTGTTCCAATGCCTTCGATGCCAGAAAGTGATCAGCTCGGAGAGGCACGGGTTCAGGGGCCCAAACCCTGTTCGACCGTTCAGAGCGCAACGAGTTGCATCACGACACCTTGGGACCGCTGAGCGCCACCGGCAACGCCTCCGTTTCTCAGTCACGACAAGCGGGAGCTAATCTTAAGCCTTCGAGAAATATTGAGAATATCCAGGCAGGCACTTAAGTTGTCTCGTGCGAGATACGTACAAGATTAATTCGAAAAGTGAACTGCGTGCTCTGTTCTCCGTCACTCGATTTCGTCCCAAATTATCCATAAATGTCAAATTTCTACGCCCGAAGTACAGCGATACCGACATACGGATTCATACGAAGGTCCAGGATACTCGGTCGTCTATCTGATGTGGCTCCGAAGCTTAGCCGCTGGAATTCATGAATTTGACGGAATAGAGGCGATTCGCAACGCTATCGAATAAGGATTCCTAAAGTAACCGATATCATTACCCAAATCATGAGTACATGCGTCCACGTTTCGCTCACTTCCGAGTTCCATGCTCAAATCACGCTTGCATCAAGTATTCGATATTTCTGTTTCGTCGCAAATCGTCGACGCAGCGATTCGCGCAGCTTTATTGAACAGGAAACAAAATGGTTGTCCCTGGATGACCTCTTCACACGCTCATTCCTAAAGTTCACTGAAATTGTCACGTACAATGAGCAATTCCGTCCGAAATCCAACACATTCCTCTTTCGTGGCTATCGACAAGACCGCATTCGACATCAGCATGATCCCTATTACAGGATGCGTTGCCAGATGCTGTCGTCTCTCATCTTCAGATGGACAAGGGTGCTGGACTCGGACTGTAATGATCCCAGGGATCGCCTCCAGTCAAGTGTGCGTTACCGATTTGCACGGATAAAGCGGGACGAATCGAAGTTTCCCGACTTGTTGACCAGGTTAGCTTTTCCTCCCTGCAATTCTTTCATGACGTACAAAACCAAGCTCGACAAAGCCTGTATATCGAATAGAACAGCAAGTACATGCATCTGCAGCAGACAGAGTACTCTCCCGGGCCAGCATCTGGAACAAGCCCGTAACGGGAGAGTACGATGCAGTACGCTAAATCGGAGGACGGCATCGACGGGAGCCTTCTTTGCCCGTCAAGGGCAGGTACCGGGCGATGCTGCGGGCGTTCAAACTCCATACGGTGATCACCGGAGAATGCCATATAGAGTGAATGTATGGGAGCACCTGGCGACGTTCCAATGTCACCGCTGCAGAGTGCCTACCAAGGCCGTTTGCACAGCACAGGAACGCGTGCAACCCAACAGAAATCGCAAATTCCTTCTGTACATAAAATGCATGAACAATACCCGGAACGGCAGAAATCGAGACCTGAGCGCTTCCATCAGCGTCTTCAGCTGTTGCCAATGGAGCTAGCGGTAAACCCGATACCGTTGTATTTATAGCCAAAGATAATATAAACGGAAAGGAAACACACGCAGAAAAAGCCTGTAAGGACTGATGTTGACGACAGTGAAAGGTTACACGAGCTTGAGCATCTGCACGCTATAGTCTTTCAACTCAGTTATGTTTCACCCGCGCCGAGTGTTGCCGAATAGTTTTGCGCAGTGCATCGCTGGAGATCGTAATCACGATCTCCATGTTCGGCACAGATCGTAGACGAATTGCCTGCAGGGCATACGCTTTACTGTACAGTACAAGGAGGACTGCATGCCTCATCCAGGTCAGTCATAAAAAAGCTCGCAGATGGCTGAGGAACACTAAAAGAAAGAAGTAGATGGGCCACGCGTCCAATACCGATATTTTCAAAAAATGCAACCGGTCCATGGTTGAAAACGACACGTTGATCACTCTACGGAAAGCAAAAGCGACGACATTAGCCACCAGAGGCGTGTCTGTTTCCCAACAGTTTGTTCGTTTGGTCCTCGAAACACTGGAATACAGACGCAAAAAGTGACCAATTCACGCATGGCCATCTTCCACCGAAATCGCAACGACAGCATTCGTGGAATCTCGCGATTGGTTTGCGGCTGAGTGACATCTGTTTGGTTCAGTCGGTGAGACTTGCTTCTGATGACACGGTCGGAGCGTATATGGGCATTCGCACTGAAGGAGACCGTGGTATGCAGAATCGAACGCGAAGAGAACCAGGAATCCATCATCTGTTCTAGATGTAGTGGATTCCAGTAGTGGCCTCAGTTCCGCTCGTAGAGAATGCGCATACGATAGCACCAACCATTTTCTCAAATCATTGAAGACTTTTCTCCCTGACTCCTAGAGACTTTCCTCATTGGACAGCGTGGCATATCACCATTCCCTTTGCGCTCGTGCATTTGCCGATTCTATCCGCGGGCAGAGCTGCTCTTCATTCCTTAGCGCGCTGCCTGGTTCAAACCCATGGCTAGAGTGTTTTCTATGGTAAAACGTAATGATCGCTGGACTGGGCGACTCGCTGAAGCGTTCAGCACATGTAGACATTGGGGCACGCGTCATCTTTCTTCCACAAGTCCTTCGCAGTCGGGGGAGACTCCTCACCTTTGGGCATAAACAAGTGCGTTCATTTGAAGATTTAAAAAAATGAAGGAAAGTTATGGACACGCAAGTCGGGGATCCTGATGGACTCTCATAGGCGAATTTCACAAAAAAGAAGAACCCTCTTCACGCCGACCATCGAGCAGAGAATAGCAAATGACTAACAAGAAAAGGGCAGATAGGCGAGTAAGGCAGTTTGCTTGACGGGACAATGACGAGCCTGTTGCGGCAGAGAGGGTACAAGTGCCAGCAATCCCTGCGATGGTATATTCAAGCAAGACTTCAACATCTCCATCTGTATCAGACGATATGCGGTGCTGAAGACGATACTCGAAGAGCTGAAGCGATCCAACGTCGTGGGGCAGTCTTTGGCACCCGAACTGTACCTAGATAAACTGAAAAACTATAACAGTGGGCCGGTCAATAAAGGCTGGGAGTCGTCTGCTGGTGCGTATATATACTCCATTCCCTGAAGACATCTTTTGTTTCAATGGTATGTCTTGGTAAAGTACCTGTTCCATTGCATGCCAACACGGTTGTCGGTCCATGCACAAGAGCCAGCCCAACACTTTCGCATACCACAGCGTGTCGCTGATGAAACAGAACTTTATGGAATAAACAGGACACTCGCATTATGACCTGCCGCCCGACGCGCGCACATCGCCACCGCCTCCGTGAGCCAACAGCGAGGGTGCCTGCGGCGGCTGCGGCGGCTGCGGCGTCGTACCCACGGAGAAGAGCGCCCCAGCAGCGCGCTGCGCCTGACGTGCGCCTAAAGCTCGCCCACAATCTGAGCGTAGGTGCGTGAAAGTCTAGCAACGCAGGGCCGCGTCCCGCTCTTCTTCGGCAACGCAAGTGACTGAGCGGGCTCAACTACTCTCAACCATGGGCACACAATCTCTGCAGGCATTTGTTTCGAGTTTTGCGGGGGTTCAATTAAATGTTGTCCAAAGCACGCCTGCGTTCTGGGGCGGGCGTGTTCGAGAGGTCTCGCAGGGGCACCGGCCAGCGAGCCCGTGCTGGCGTGCTGGCCGTTTCTCTCTTGTCGCTGCTGGGGACCGCAAGAAGAAGAATCCTGGAAGTAAGAGAACGCCACCCAAGTCGATGCGGAGAGAAAAGGATACGCAAAATGGACGTACGGATACCGATCCGGAGAAAGAGGGTGCGATTGAAATGGAAGGCGTTATCGTCGAATCTCTTCCAAACGCAATGTTTCGCGTGCAACTGACCAATGACGTTGTGGTTTTAGCGCATGTGAGTGGAAAAATTCGGAAAAACTTTGTACGTTGTATCGTTGGGGACCGCGTTCGCGTAGAGCTTAGTCCATACGACTTGTATCGCGGACGCATTGTGTACCGTCTCAAGTAAATCCCTCGGCAAGGGACTGTAGCTCTCTAACTGAACAAGACGAAGGGCGCCGAGCGATCTGCGACGTTGCGGTGCTCGGGAATCCATTTTTGCGCCCCTGAAGCAGGCGCTCGCTGCCCAGAGCCGCGTAGCGCGCGTACGCAGCTGTCATGGTGACGGGACCTCTCTGATACCTGGCTCGCGCCCGGATTATCAGAGCAGCGATAGCTCTGCTGGCATTGCACGCAAGATTGTTGCGTAGGCACGTGAGTCCGTCATTAACTTGCAACGGCTCTGGGAGATGGTACCTTGCGACTCGCGGCTGTCACTCGCTTGCCCCGAGATGCTGTCAAGGCGCTCTGCCGGCGTTGAATCGCCAGCGTTTTCGCAACGATCGACCGTGACGATGCCCCGCGGCTGTTGCGAATCGACGAATGCAAACGACAAAATGGTGGAGCGAAGGGATCGTAATGCGATCCAATCGCTTGTGATCACATGATGTGAGCGATACCCGCTGGTGTCTGTGTGAGCTCCGTTCCTTTGCTCGACGTGCCTCGTGCTTTAAAACTTGTGTATGTCGGAGCTTGTGAAGAATGTCATCTCCGTGATGCTGGATAATTACGCACAGTCGCGGCTTGCAATTAGCGTCCAACAGTGACCGGATAATGTGCTTCGTTGCGTAGCGCATAGCATCTCCCTTGCCCGTGTGCATCAGAAAGTATCCCAGGTGTACGGGAGCAAGCCACGCATCGTCTGTATGGTACGGTCGAGACTGGGCTTTATGCAGGTGGAAGAAGCACAATCCGCTGTGTGTACGAGTACATCCTTCGGCGCGAGGCAACAGGCATCAGTGTCGCGCCCGGGGGAGGCAGGGCCCGAGTAATCGGGCTGACCGAAAAGCTGAGCGTCCCGATTCGAACGGATGCTTACGGATCTTGCAGGTCGACGCGGTTTGGAATGCAGACACCACCTGGATTCGTGTACCGGTCGTATGTACATCCGTATAGCCCGCATATCCTCACCGATGGTATGCACTGAATGACGAAGAGGCTCGGCCGACTCGCACACATCGGCTCAATCATCTGCAGCGGGCGAACGCGCCGGAAAGCACGTCGTATTCGGAAAAATACGGAAGCTACTCGATGCATGCGTTGAACTCAGTCGCAGTCGAACGCAAACGGTCTGCTGATATCCGGAATCAGCCCGCGATCAGTAAATCTAGATACTATAGCGTTTCGCAGGTTGTGACAGTGACTGCAAAGTCGAAGCGGCTCTCTGGCCACGATGATTTTCCAGATATGCGAGGCAGATGGATCCTCTGCCGTCACCTGCAACGAGAAACCGTGGTGGCAGTTTATGGCGTTTTTGTTCGCGCACACACACGCCCACATCCGTTGCTCTTTTCCCTCCGAGACGCGCATAAAGTACGCATACGCAAACGCGCACACGCATTCACGCTTGCACAAACGCACATATGCCCATAAACACATCTGGTTTCCCGTGGAGCATCTCAGAGAGGGCACGGTGCGCATCGTGCCAAGCATCGCGCCGGATCGCCAGGGTTCCTTGAAACCAGGGGTGAGTTCCCCCGTAAACGCCACGCGTCAACTGTTTGCTGGATGCGCACTCAGGCGCCGTTGTCGATGCTCCTGGCGATATCGATCTCGCCCGCTCCAAGAGCATGTCGTCCGGGGAGCGCTCGTTTCGGTGATGGTGCTTCGGGCAGGATCTCTCGGGGTCTTCTGGCGACCTCAGCGACGGCGCTTTGGAATCGAGCGGACAGCACGCGGTGCTGCCCGTATGGCCTCGGGGGAACTGGCATTCGTCCCAGCAAACAGTTTCCATGGTACGGCAACGGATTGCCTCCAGCAACCAGATCATCACGCCCGGTAAAAGGACCGTGGGTTCATTTGGCATGCATCCATGAAAAATAGTCTTCATAAAAAATACGGAATGATGCCTCGGTTCTGTTCGCGTCGGTGCTCCTCCTCGACTTCTCTGAAGATGCGAAACTCCCTGTTCAGATCACTGTCGAAAGCCAGAATCGCTGCTACATTTCCACAGCGATAGCAATAGTTCGGAGCCGACCATACCGTTACCAAAGACTCATCATCGAACATGTACCTGTAGCCCTGTTGAACAAGCTGGTGCGCCCGACAAATGAGCTCCAGATCGTTGATCTCATTGAACTCGTGCGTTACCTTGGCCCCGAAGAGCCAGCCGGCGCCCCGGGGGCTCACCGCCCATGTTTCAATGTTTTCCGGGTCGCTCCACATGAGGTCACAATACGGGCCCTCGTGTGGAATCTCCTGTCGACGGTCTATGAGTCTGATTTGATCAAGGGTGCTGATATCTGGTGAGAGCCCGCCATGGACGCAGAGTATCCTAGAGTCGATCAGCGCCGCCACAGCAAGGTAGTCAAAAACGTCCGTACACCACTTCCACGCATTTGCTGAACCGTACTTTCGAAGACATTCGTCATAAAATCCATAAACCTGGGTGATTTGGCGAGACTCGTGGTTTCCGCGCAAAAGCGTCACCCGAGACGGATATCGTGCTTTGAGGCAGAAGAGGAACGAGAGCGTCTCGATTGAGTCTCGTCCACGATCCACGAAGTCGCCCATGAATATGTAAGATGTTGCGGGGACCTCACCGCCTGTTCGAAACAGCTCCAACAAGTCGTAGAACTGGCCGTGAATGTCGCCACAGACCGTTACCGGTGCTGCGACTGGTTGGACGTTACTCTCCTCGATCAACAGTTCTTTCACATATTCGCACAGCTTTTTTAGGTCTGATTCTGGAAGTATGTTTCCTGTTCTTAACGTAGCAATCCAAGCGTCCAGGTTCATAACGTTTTCGTAGAGAAGCGTGGACAGCTTCGCTCGTTGACCTAGAAGCAGCAGCAGCAGCAGCAGATCCGCACCATTGCCGAACTCGGAGGCGCGAAGGCGACCCGATGGGCATCCACAGAGCAGCGCCTGCCGCTGTGGACGCCTCGCAGCGAAGCCCCCCTCGACCTTGGTTTCTGGATATCATCAGCGGTTTCGCAGTCGTTCGGAACCGCTCTGGTGATTCAGGATCCTCAAAGGCAACCATGATGACAGACGCAGCTCGAGACGCTGCTCAGGTTGAACGCATGGTGTATAGCGCTGTGCACATGGCGGTTAGCGCTGAAGAGGACTCCGCAAGGCGCCGTGCTGCGCTCTCCCGCGTTGCACTGCTGATCTGTATGCAGGTCAATGCACGACTGCTTCATTTTCAGTGCGTTGGGCTTGGTTCATGTTCGGACGGGCGCCGAGTCTCGAATGCGCTGCTCGTCTGACAGCGTGGCTATGGCGAAGCAGACTCGAGCACTGCTCTGAACCCGCACTGCAGGGCCGGAAACCCAGCTGGGTTCAGCATCGTTCGGAGCATAGAACGAAAATAGGATGGTGAATGCGGCTCTCTCCGCTAACAGCTGCAAAACACGCGGAGGCGACCCGACGAATCGGGACAGCAGTTGCGTCTGCTGCGCCAGCAGCCTCGAGGAGCGTGCCGCGATCAGTACTGCGCTGCGAAAATCGCCAAGCGTCGGGTGCGCGCCGCACGCCACCTGCGGTCGACGAATTCCCGCGTTCACGCTTTATATATGAATTTATGATGATTTTCATTTGTGATGCTAGACGGTCGAGCGCAAGTAGTTTAACGGTCAGAACATCACGTTGTGGCCGTGAAGATCGAGGTTCGATTCCTCGCTTGCGCAAATTTTGCAATACAGAAGCGTTCTCTACACGAGCTTCTCTGGGGCCTCGCTGCAGCGGTCGCTCAGGGCGAGTTCCAGCCTCGAGGCCTGTCCAAATAGTAGCACGCCCGCGCTGACGTATTCGGCTGCGCAGCGGTTGCACTGCTGCCGTCTGCGTGACCAAGGAAACCTCTGTGCGTGAACAGCACCTGTTCGTGCACTGTCGCTGGTTGCAGCGGCAGATCTTTGACACGCTAAACCTGGCGTTCGCGAGCGCCCACGCCTTGACTAGCCCGCTCGCTCATGCCTTTGGTTAGGCGCGCGCCTTCCTTCCCGAGCACTGCCCAGCATGAGTCAGGAAACACGCCAGTTTGTTTGGCGCCTGTACGCGGAACGTTATGGGACGCGCGTCCCGCTCTATCTCGGTGCACTGCATACAGGCGATGCAACGCAGGCGTTTACTCGGTCTCGGAGAAGGTCGAGTCTCGTTCAGAGCTTGTGAAACGCTGTGGTAGAAAAACAGATGGTCCAGAGGGTCTCTGCACGAACCCAAACGAAATCCAGACCAGCACTTTCAACTACACACGCTTCGTTCCCTGCTCGCGGTATCACTGTCAGTGAGGTCGCCAGTCTGGTCGCCCGCGCATCTCAGGCTCCATGCCCGCGGCAAACGCGCATTGGCATCAGTGCAGCGTCGAGGCAGCGTCTCCGGTCTGCAAAGGCAGACGCATCAAGATACGTACTGCAGCGTTGGACGAGCGCGCGACGGGCTCTAATCCATCGCTAGCTGCAGAGCGCCTTCCTCGCGCCAAGTGATCGCTACGTCATCGGTGCGGTATCTCTGAGTCACTGTGCAGTCGCTCCAGGGCCATTCGAGTTTTTCGGAACCAAGCAAACGCGCAGCTGACGAGATTTGAAGCCAGCCGGTCCAAGCGATCATGGCACCGTTATCCACACAAAAGCGCTCGTCTGTACAGAAGGCCCTTCCACCTCGATCAGTGCACATGGTGGTCAGCATCTCCTGGAGGCGCTCATTGCAACCGACACCGCCCACCACGAGGACATCCCGCTGGCCACAGTGCGCCATCGCGCGCTCAGTGACTTCAACCAACATCGCAAACACGGTCTCCTGAAGCGAAAAGCAAAGGTCAGGTATAGCGTAGGATCCGATAAGATCTTGGATTCGCGAGAGGATTCCCGAGAAACTCACATCCATACCCTTGACCGAATACGGTAAAGGAACGTAGTGTCGCCCTTTTTTGGCTTCCTGCTCCACCTGAAACCCAGGAGATGGGTCGTTGCTTAGACCGACGAGTCGACAAAAACGATCCAGACAATTCCCAACCGCTATATCAATTGTCTCCCCAAATATGCGATATCGTCCCTCGGAATAGGATATGATTTGCGTGTTGCCGCCGCTGACATAGAGCACAGCAGGATTGTCGACACCGGTGACGAGTCGTCCCATCTCAATGTGCGCGACACAGTGGTTGACCGGCACCAGCGGAAGATCGTGCATGAGCGCAAACATGCGGGCAGCAATCGCGCAGCTCTGAAGTGGGGCTCCCATGCCCGGGCCTTTTGTGTACGCGACTGCACAGAGGTCAGTCGGACGCACCCCGGCGGTGTGAAGCGCCTCTTCTATGAGCGAGGCGACGTGTTTTTGGTGGTGCCGCGCCGTCTCCCGCGGTTGAAAGCCCGAGCCTGTCTTTGGCACAAACGTCCGCCTAACGTTTGCTAAGATCGCACCATCACTCGTCACAATCCCGACCCCGATTTTATTCGCACTTCCTTCAATACCGAGAACAAGACGTTCTCCGCTGTGCATAGTTTTGCACGCTTTCGAGGTGAGAATGTGCTCGTAGCTGCTGTAGCCAACCTGTAGTATCGAGTCAGTGTGCTCGAGTGCGGTTCTTCACACTCGTGTTCTCTTAGAAACGAAAACCAACAGCTCACACCTGGTTGGAATGGACGAACGCTCAGCCCTGAAGGAAAAAGCGCGGCAGTGAACGCCTTCTCCTCGTGACGAGCTCGTCGCTTCCGAGACCAGCCTGGAAAAATGCGTAACCAGTCGCAGTAATGTATTCGATCCGTTCGTGTTCAATCCTTTGTCCCAGTGGAGTGCTGCTCGCAAGCGCACGACAACGTAAGCTTTCGTTTGCGAAGCGATGCTGGCGTCGCGCGCGACGCGCCCCCAGCTGTACAGGGTGCTGTGCATGACTTGCTTCGTGTTTCACGGTGGATCGTTGACTCACATCAGGGATACCCGAGTGCACGTTGGTTACCGGCATGAAGGTAGTCAACTACCGTACTGCACCAGACGTCCGAGTTCCAAGAACTATGACCATCCAGACCTCGCCTTGGGGGTACGGTGCACTCGAGCGCTGCCATGCATGTCTTGCTCTGGTGTGTGTTCCCCGAAAGGTGCCTTGTCACAGTCTTCGATATCGTGGCCGATATCCATCAAATGTTTTTCCGAGCATTCGTCAAAGTTTGAAACCTTACGACCAGATGCAGTGGCGGCATTGTCTGAGTGGAGGCGCACTCGCCCGCGCGCGAAACTTCGGTAGGCGAGAGCGCTGCGCTCGGGGCCCCAGCTCGAGAGGAGCGCGCTACGCGTGGCGCGCTTCCGTCCTTGAAGCGGGCGCAGTGTCTATGCCCCGGATCAGCGGGGGCCTAGGTGCTGGATAGATCGGCACGGATAGGCCGTTTCTGTTCAGGGCTACCGTTTGCAACTGGGTCCTTCAGAGCCTTGAATCAGGTCCAAGCTTCCGAAAAACCCATAATGAGCAGCGCCAGTATCTGAGACGTCTCGCGAGCGGTGCATATATGCTGCGGCTTCGGCCACAACGTAGAAGCATGTGACCTGCATCATGTATCCGAGTGCGTGGCGAAACATGAACGTAGAGCTCGAGTTAGCACGATCGCTGGACAGCGCCGATATCCACAGCGCGTACAGAAGACTCTAGTTCGATTCCTGGATATCGTGTGATGGAAAGATCGGCAATGGATCGCTTCCGCTGCATGTTGCTGCCATGATTGTCGGTACGATCCATTGGGATGCAAAATTGGTGATGCGAGCTGAACTGAACGTCGAACGCCCCTTTCGCAACTCGGTACCGAGAACACCAGAATGAATCCATTCATGTTGATGCGGGCTTTATACAGAGTCAAACAATAGTTCATAGAGAGGAAACGCGGATCCATTGCTTGCATCTTCCGTAGTCTGGCTCGCGGCATCGCTATCGCGCGTATCATCGGCTGTTTCAAGAGCCCGAAGCAGCGGCAGCAGACAGCGCGCCCTGTCGAGATGGGCGTCGCCAGCATCGCCACCAGCTGCTTGTTCGGATGGCCTACGTCTCAGTAGTGCAGTCCCAAAAGCGTGCGCAAGTCTCAGGGTTAGCGACGCCGTTGGATTCGCGTCTCGCTCAGACCGCAAATCCAGCGCAAGTCGTTGAAGATGCTCTCTTACCATGGCAAGCACATACACAAAGGTATTACGATAGATAGGCGGGGCTCTAGTCATGACGTGGAGGACGGCGCGTGCGTCGCCAGATCCGGCTGCTTGCATAAAGTCATCATATAAGTCGAATGGGACGATTGGTGTCTCGAGGTAGCGCAGAAACTCTACGAGTACCTGCCCAAGGGCCAGGGGCGGCGCCTTTTCAAGCGCCTCTTCGCGAACAGCTGCGGTGGTGTTTGCCAAGGCATCGCGTAACGATTCGACTGCTTGCGTGTCTGGGCAATTTTCTACGAAAAGGTTGCGATTCGTGCCCAGGATGCGCCGATGCAAGAGCGCATCACCCATGAGCCAGAGTTCCGGCACCATGAACCCATTGCCACCGTTCCGCGAGGCCAGCAGCTCGAGCGAACAGCCGTAAATTGTGGGCGCATAGCGGCCGTGTAGCGCTACAAAGCACGCCGCACCGTTTTCCGCCTGTGCAACGAGCGTGCACTCTATTCGCGGTGCCTCGGCGAGCATGGCTGAGTATCCACAATGCTCGTCGACGAGAATTTTGATTTGGACGCGCACTTGTTGCTTGGGTTCCAGCTCTCCACTCGACGGAACGCAGTGCATCCATTTCTTGATGTACTGCAGCGGAAGGTACCAGCGTGTTCGGACGCGGCCCACGTTGGTGATGGTGAAGTGTACATACAGCGGTGATCGAAAGCGAACGGTTCCGATGACAATATCGTTTTCGGAGACCGCCAGCCGCGGTATGGTCTCATTTTCCCGTCGACTAATCTCTCGCCACAGACGATCACATACGGCCTGCCGCCGCTCGCGATCGATCTGCTGTATAGGGACTGTGAAAATGGCCGAAACTGGTCGATGATCGGAAGCAAAAATCTCATGCCTTCGATACGAGCGAATCCGCATCCCGTTTCCGCGGAAGAGGATGCGATCGCACCAGGCGGGTGTCCGCTTCAATGTACCCGGCTTGTCCGGATCACTATCATATTCGTTCTCGAATGGCTTGTACTTGTAGGTCGGTGCAAATTGTAGAGGTGCCTCAGAAAAAGGCTCGAATGCGAATCCCATGGACCGGCAAGAATTCAGCTGATCGTGGCTGGCCATATACTGCCAATCGCCGGCCTTGATGCATCGGAGAACTTCTTCGGGGCGCAGCGCGATACGGTAATTCAAGTCACCGAAGAAGAAGACCACATCATGATCGAGGATCGAAGTTGTTTGTGGTACGGCATAAGAGCCAGGATAGCTCGGCAGCAGCGGTGCAGGATTCCCGTTGTCATCGCTCATCGGGTTGAAGACGACCCGTTCCATGATCGCACGATACTCGGCATTGCGTTTTTCCAGATTCTGTTCGTGCGCGCTCAAGTGGCAGCATACACAACAAATGTTCGTGTCATAGAGCTGGAATCTGGCAGCCACGCCGCCTTTGTTTCCACCCACACCTGCAATCCCAGTGCCAGCGCTCGTGATCTGAACATTCTGCACGGCGTTTGCGTGGTCTGCTCGCACAAAGACGAGCAGCAGAATGCCCACCAGTTGCCTTTGCACCACGCAGACGTATGAGCCGATGCTGTCGAGCAGCGCTTGGATAGAGTCACGCCAAGGCCGGCCTTGGGACTCGTCAGTGATGACCGCGGCGGTCCCGGAGAGCTTCTGCACCTCCTGGAAGCCAAAGATGAGGACGTCGCCAGCGTCCGCCGCTACTTCTGGGATTCCAGCTTTCATACCAGCGCTGGGCGGCCCGAGGGCAGCACCGTGAGCGCCTGCCCATGACTCCCAGAGCGCGTCGCGTGAAGCTGGTGTTGCTCGGTGGTCTTTTAACAGCGGCGAAAGGTCAAACACCGGCGGTTTGGCGTTCACGTTAAAAGTACTGACAAAAAAGCGAAGTTCTCGGGTGCGTGTATACTCCGCCGCCCTCCGTTCTATTTCACGGTTCACATAGTCTCGGCGAAGGAAGGCACCGCGGTCCAGCTCGGGTACGCTCTGGGCAGCTGCCGCTGGAGACGCTTGCGGCTGGCTCCGCTGGGTTCCCGCGGACCACGACAGACTCGTGGAAGCTGTGGACAAACGCGCTGTTGCCGGCACTCGTAGACGAAGCGCATCGCTTGAACTTATTCGACCACCGCTCATCTTTTCCCAGCGGAAAAGCAGAGTGGCAACGAAAGCTGCTCCGCACCCTTGCTGAGTCAGCGTTTCGTTCGCTGCACGCTTCGCGGCCAACGCACCCCCGGACGGCCGAGCCTTCTGCCACGTTTCCACCAAGAAAACGCTTCGAAAGGCCCGCTCACCAAGGCGTCTGCAGAGTTAGAGAAGCACTCAAGTCTCCAGGGCTCACGAATATCTTGTTAGTCGCGAACCATAGACTCAGGGCTGAATACCATGAATGCACAATGCGCGGGCGCGCAGCGGCTGCGGTGCAATCCAACGAATCGTCCGCCATGGTCGTGTTTCGACTGAATGGTGGACCACGCCTGCTGCGGTGGATAGATGGCGATCAACATCACGATGCCAGGTACCGCATGGATTCTAGACGAATTGACTATCGGATATATGTTGTTTACTGCGCAGTGCAAGCAGGATTGCATTCCTCCCTCAGGTGAGTCATACCACAGTGCTCAAATGGTTGTGGAATACTGAAAGAGAGAAGGATATGCGCTCCGCGCCAGCAACCGATATTTTTAAAGACTGCTCGCGTTCTATAGTAGAAAAATGACCCGCTGATCACCAAGCGGGATGCAAAAGCGACGATATTAGTCGCTACGGGCGTCACTGGTTCTCAGCAGCTTGCTCGTGTGGTCCTGAAAACACTGGGGTATAATCGCAAAAACAGAGTCCTGGTTCTTTCACGACCATCTTCTGCGGAGATCATCGCAACGGCAGCGTCCCTGGATCTTCGCGCTCGGTATGAAGCACAGGGACGTTGTTTTTCTCAGTCCATGAGATTCCCTTTGGACGAAACGGTCGGAGCGTCTATGGGTATTCGCCGAGCAGGGCGCCCGTCCTATGTACGATCGAACGCGAATAGAAGGCGCAGACAACTTCATTCACCTTGTCGAATGATTGAAGAGGTTCCCCTCACGTCTAGCAACGTCCATCAGTTGGACAACTTGGGATTTCACCAGGCCCTGCGTGTTTGAGCGTTTGCCGATTCTGCTGGAGCTAGAGCTACACGAACAAAGTTGGCTCGCGTCAGCTCCACGAGCATCGTCGCGTAATGATGGCAATGTTACGTTTCGGTTCACGAACTCCGTACGTGCATTGCCTCTGGTTGATTGCACCGGTGCGAGGATCCCAAGCGTTCTTGGCCTCTGTCCAGCAACAGTCTCGTGACTCTCCCGCAGGATAAACACTTTTCTCGCCGGTCTACCCTCTTCGTCGTCTTCTTCGCCGTTACTTGCGCTTCCTCGCTCGATTGTCGGCGAGGGAAAACTATTTTCATTTCTTTTTCGGACACCCGGCTATAGAAGCTGTCCAGGACTCCCGACTTTCACGCCCATCCATTTCCCTCAGATGTTTAGCGCATCAAAGGGACGCACTTCCACCGCCTCTGCTATGAACCACGAGAGAGCATTCAATGAAACGCACCTGGGCATGGAACGCAATTGAGATGGAAAAGCATAACGGAGGCGCGCACGCGGCGGGTTGCGTGTCCCGTCCCGTTCGCTCTGCTGTCGTACGTGGCGGAGGCGGCGCCGCCCAGCTGCGCGGACACCGCTGTTAGATTGGCACTCAGTTTGCTGGACAAAACACTGTGCGCTTTTCCTGTGTAGAGAGCGGGGTAATGCAAGCACCGGAACAAGCGTCTATAGCCGCTTTAGAGGAACTCTTACTTGCTGTCAGGGACATGAACTCCACCGTGGAGAGTCTGCAGTCGAAAACTCAAGAACTCAGCGAGAAACTGCGTCTCGTGGAGCAGCTCGCTTCGGCGATTGATACTTCGCTTCGAGCTGCTGTGTACGAGTCACGAACACTGGGGCCCGAGTGGAAAGACGATTCTTGTGATGCCTCTGCTCCACACGCGGGCGGTTGAAAACGGTGCGCGTGGGTTGCTGGCTCTTGTTCGTAGCGTACGCAGCTGCAGAGTAGCTGGTCTGGAACGAGGCAGCGGCGAGGACCCGGCCGCTCTCACGTGTCACAGGGTACTCGAACGAAAACCATTGTTTTAGTGTCAATCGGTTGCAATCGCTCTCGGGTCTGGCTGCAAAGTCTACTTTCGTGAACGTGTACGGGTATCGACACCGGGGTAAGGTCGGAACAGGGGAAGCGCTTCGCTGAACTTGTGCAGCTCTCGCATGTGTTCGTCTGGCGCCTGCCATGAGCTGTCGAGGCGCGAGGCTCTATTGCCAGGGGACTCGCGCTTTGCTCAGACAGAGTGCCCCACAGCGACCAAGTCGCGTCACGGCTGATGGGTACTGTATGAGTCTGCTCGGCGGCATTCTGAGAATAACTAGATGCTTGTTCGGCATTATGGTCTGTATATGAGCAACAGGCGGTATTCAAAATCGAACGTGGATGATACCTGACCGTTGTTAGCGAGCTCAGCTCGAATCTTTGTGACTAATTTGTAAAGAGGGAAATCGAAGCCCCTAGAGGAATTCGTGGACTGCAGGGCGCAGCTTCTGCAATCATGCCCGTCCTGAATGCTCGAGTGCGTCGCCCAAGTAATGCTTTCGTGTATCGATTCCGATAACTCGTATATACTTTTTGATTTCGTGCTGCAAATCGCATAGGAGCGTCCTGTAAGACAACTGAGGTTTTGTGTCGAACAGACCCGCCAAAACCTTCCCGCAAGATGATGCACGATGCACTGATGTACATGAACTGCTCTCCGAAGCGAGTTGGTTGTATGGACAACGACCGCTATGTGTCCTATTCGCTTGAAATCAGTACAGCGAGCTTTTGCACAGCGTGCATGGTCCATCGAGCAACAGATCCTCGATTCGCTCACTCTGCATACGAATGCTTAGATCTGGTGTTCGAACAGCCGAGTCCTACTCCTTCCGCTCCTATGTGGTAAACAGGGGGCAGAGCAGCGTCCGTCCGCACGCGGCCTGTGTCGTGTGCCCGTACGTTACGGGCCATGTTCATCAATGCATTGGTCTAGCATATGCTCGCGCTGGCATAGTCTTTCACCTTAATTGCATTGCACGCTCACTTCCGTGTCATCAAATGCGCTTTCGCGGTTTATTGGAGAAGCGTTCAAAGTGCGTTCATTTGAAGAAATAAAAATCTAATGGGAAGGTATGGACCGGAAAGTCGCGGATCCTGGAGGGCCATCATCGCCGGGTGCCCGAAAACAAAACGAAAAAATCTTCTTCTCGCCGACAATCGAGCGAAGAAACGCAAGTGACGAAGACGATGGGGTATATGCGAGAAGAGGTGTTTGCCCGACGGGACGATGGTGAGACTGTATTTCCACAGAGGGTACAAATTAGAGGAATCCTTGCGCTGGCGAGTTCATTCAGCGGCAATAAACGCATGGAGCTCGAGAACCCAGATTTCAATGCTGCCACCAATACCAGATGATGTGTGCGGTGCTGACGACAAGAGACTCGCAGAGCTGCCGCCATCTAAGCTTACCGGGCAGCCGCTCAACACGAAGTGCGCTGCGATAAAAACTGTAGCCGATAGCAGGCGGCCCGTCGAAAAGGGCTCGGAGGCGTCTGTGAGTGGGTGTTTATGTATGCCCTCTGTGATCGCAGCGCCTTCTTCGTTTCATTCAACACACATCTCTCGCTTTCAATGCACTGGTCTCCTCTGTCCTTCTGCGTCTGTTGTCAGTAGTTGAAGGATGTTGATGGCAGCGTTCAGTTCCCGATTTTGCTGCTATCGACTGTTGTCGGGGCGCTTCACACACGAGCGGGCGTTGCAATCTACGCTTTGCTTGCCATCTTCGTGTTCTTTGAACACAGCCTCGGTGCGCCCTTCGTTGCAGTAACACGGGAGTGTGGTTTGGTGTTCAGAACGATCTACCGAAGGAGCTCCTGCTGTTCCAGGCACCGCCTTGTGGCGCTTGAAAAAGAAGCATGCTTCCTCGCTCTGTACATGCCCCTAACGAATGCAGAGCATGACATGGATGCTCGCTTGTGATTTCGCGCCCGGTACTGTCCACGATGATCATGGGCTTCTTCGGAGCGATCCCTCGGCAAGTCCTCGGTCTGCTGCTCAAACTAACGCACGCTGTTGCATTCTCCAACGAATGATTTGCTTCCATTCGAGACCCTGGTGACGATCTAACTCGGGTTGAATCACAGAGAATAAGATGGCGTCTGTACGATGAACCGTGCTCTGTTCGCAGCTGTTTCCGAATAGAACCGGATTTGTGGAACGCGATGTTGTCCGCGATGTAACAACTGTTGAACGGAAAAATCCAGGCCTGAGATCACGTCAAGAAACCTAGATCCGGCCAGGATGCGTTCATGCGAAGCGCTGACGCTCTCCCGAATGAAGGCGATTGCTGCGAGAACTCGACTTCGAGTCCAAGAACATCTTCCCTGCAAACACTAGAGACTAGAACCTCTGGGAGCGTACCCTGTGACAAATATCATGCTGGAGTAGAATGTTGTATCGCCGATAGCCACCAAGAGACTAGGATATTGCATAAGTACAGGGTCAATGATTTCGCTTGACGATTTCAGAGAGCATGCGGCATAAGTTTGTGGGCAAGTCGTCGAAGGACGAGTTCGAGTACGCTCCTAGTCAATACATTGGTTCAAGTTGCCTTGTTCACCTGTTTCCTTGAAACACAAAAAGATCGAAAACATGAGGAAGGCGTGATTTCAGCTTGCCACACTTGAGAAAAGGGGAAGAATAGATCCGCGTACGAACGAATCCGATGATCGTATTGGTCGCTTTAAGAGCCCTGCATCGAGGGTGTCGCGAGCCATCCTCGTTTCGGAGACGCAACGAATTCCAGCGGTAAACCGTCGAAGAAGCCACTCAGAAACGATGTCGGCGAATCTCAACACGACGCATGCTTCCGTGAGCCCTTATCCGTGCATTTCGAATGTCTATGCTGCACATCTGAACCAAGCTCGTCGATGTCGAGAACGACGAACGAAGCAAGCATTCCTATGTTCCACTTGAGTCTGACGCTTGTCTGAACTCGGCGACGGCGCACAGACAAAACCTGAAAGAAGACCCGCCACTCGCTGGCGAAAATGCCCGCAGGCTCTCGTCGACGCATGCACTGCGAAGAGCTCTATGAGCGCACGAAAATTCTTCTTGATCGAGAGGGATCTGTTCCTCTCGGGTTTGGGGACAGGTTTTGGGCGAAGAATTAAAGAAAGCGTAGGCTGGCCTGTAATGACGATAGTGTCCCCGAACCTCTGCCCCGAGTGGGTCGCACTTTGCCGTGCAGCAACTGCACGGAACCGGTTCGAGAGCGTTTCGGAACTCGTCACAGCGTGCCGGCAAGCGCTGCCCACACACTCTGAACTTCTGGGAGGAGGATCCCTGCAATCAGAGCGGACGAAGTTTATAGAGAGAATGCTGGAACGGCTACAGCGAGAGTCGTTGGAAACTTTTGCTGGAAAGGTGCTTCCAGACGTTCTTGCGCGGGGCGAAAAGACTTTCCTCTGCGGTCCGGTGGTGACTGCTCTAGACGTGGCAGCAGCTCGAGCAACTGCACCAGTTTTTGAAACTTGGGTAAAAGATGGTCTTGACGCTGCGCAGAGGAGCAACCTCGTACAGGTATGGCGCTGGTTTGACCTCATGCAAAACCTCCTGCATCGGTACGGCCACGCAGACCGGGTTGAACTCGTGCCGCTGCCTCCGAAAGCGTGGTTTCGATCAACCACAGCTCAAGCACCGATGTTTGGTGTCGCGGGACTATCGTCTACAGCTGCAAGGTCTGGAACAGAGTCTCAGTCAGGGCAGCAGGAAGACCAGGAGACGAGGGCGGGTGTTGAAGCTGCGCCCGCGCCCGGAAGTGCAGTCGCCTCGTCGAAAACGGCAAAGACGACGCGAGTTGAAACGCCAAAAGACGCTTCGGGGGATGGCCGAAGCGACCTTGCTCGCGTCGATATTCGGGTCGGGGAGATTCTCACTGCAAAGCCGCACCCCGATGCCGACGCACTCTATGTCGAGGAAATCGATATTGGTCGAGACAGCGGTCCCGTTACGGTGTGCAGTGGCCTCCGCAAGTACATCCCCGATGCAGCAGAGCTACTCGGGCCGTGTATCGTGGTGGCAAACCTCAAACCCGTGAAAATGCGCGGTATTGTTTCCGAGGCGATGGTGCTCTGCGCCACCTCAGCCGACGGGACACAAGTGGAACTCGTCAAGCCGCCTCCTGGAGCCAAGCCCGGAGACCGCGTCTACTTTCCCGGTACAGATGCAGACCGCGATAACCAGCCGGATGCGCAGCTGAATCCGAAAAAGAAAATATTCGAGAAAGTTGCGGAACATTTCCGCACGAGCACGGATCCGTCCTGTGAGGCTCGTTACGGTGACATTCCGTTTACGACGGATAAAGGACCGTGTCGAGCCGCCACCATTCAAGGAGGCACGATTCGCTGAACGCCAGGTGTGCTGCGGGTTGCCCAGCGATGGGGTAACGTCCGAGTAGCAGGCTGTGTTGTTTGCGAGCCCGTGAACAGACCAGTCTGGGTATCGCTGCGCTCGGGGATGCGGAAGCTTCTGATTCCGTCAGTGCCTGGTGCCTCGTCCTCATCCGCTTATGGTATAGGGTTTGTCCAAGCGACTTGGTTTGGTGCAGCGTTAAGGTGCAGGTGTGGCCGCCATTTTCTGTAGCGTAAATCAGCGTTTCCGCGTCGTGGTGTAGGTTCGTATGCGTTAGATTGGATCTGGCAGTGGTGGACGGTATCAGTTCGTCTACGCATTCGAGGAATCCCTTTTTGAAGGATGCGTTGTTATTCGTCGTAAAGGGAAGTCGAATAGACGGAATGCCAAAGGTGTCAGCTCGTTTATGCATTCCGTCAAGCTCTATTCAAAACGCCAGGTCGTTCGTTAGATAAATGACTTTGACGAATACAAGTACTGTCAGTATCAGATTGTCGATGTATTCGGGCAATCTCCATTCGAGCGGTACGTCCTTATCCTATATGAAAAAGCACAAACGCTTGTCGCTCATGCGTTCGCAGCGCCCTGCAGCTCCCGGATCACACCACGTATACCAAAAAGCACCCTTACTTAATGCAGTCGTTTGAGAGCATGGTATCCTGTTGCCACCATAACAGGAAAGCGAGCAATCACTCGTGGCGAGCGCAACGCCTCCGTATGGTCCATCGAGCACTGAACCAGAGGCATTCCATGCGCTCCCGCGATGATAGGCGAAGCGATAAGCACGCTGTCGATTCAGGTCATCAGCCTGCGCGATGACGCACGAGTTCGTGTGCATCCAGCTCTATAGCATAGGCCTGGCGCGCACAAATGAAAGCAAAGCGACCAGAGCAAGTGCCTCAGCAGGCTCTCTGATGCCACTGCACGATCGACAGTCCAGGGGATCCCTGCTCGCATCCAGAAAATGAGGTGCAAAGGCCCATTGTCGTACCGCCGGACGCGTCTGCGCTTACCGCTCCATCCACGCGAACTCATGATCCAACACCAGCTCCAACGGTGCCTTTCCAGATTCCAGTTCAGTGCTCAAACCTGATCCAGCTGCATAGCACACACTAATGCTTTCAACTCGTTCGCTGTGCAGCGGATGCTGCTCCAGCCTCGCGCACACCGCGAAGCGCCTGCACGTCCTCGTCAAGCAGTTTTCGTAGCTGTGCGCAGGTCTCTTCGAGATCCTGGTTCTCGATAATAGCATCGAAGAGCGAGGGTTCTTCATGTGCTATCCGCAGCTCTTCGGCAGCAGTCTCGAGGCGGCGTTGGATTTTGGCCTCGTCCTCCGTCCCGCGACCACGGAGACGTCGCTCCAGCTCCGCCATGCTCGGCGGTCGCAAGAAAACGACGAGCGCTGGAAGCTTTGCAGCTCGGATGCTGCGCACGCCCTGCACATCAATGTCCAGTACGCAGATTCGTCCAGTGCGACGTACACGTTCAATGGCCTCCCAGCTCGTTCCGTACCACTGACCATGCACGGATGCAGTTTCGAGGAAGCGGCCTTCAGCGCGGGCTCGCTGAAACTCCTCCTCCGTGACAAAGTGATATTCGCGCCCGTCGCACTCACCAGGACGCGGTGCCCGCGTCGTATGCGATACGGAGAAGCCGAAGACGTCCGGGAGCACTTGACTGAGACGCGCAAGCACGGTTCCCTTGCCGACACCCGAAGGGCCGGCAAGCACAAGGCAACGAGGCGCTGCTGCCGCTGCACCCATAAAACTATTGGTGTGCTTCCAATAAAGCAACGGTGATGAGCAGGCAACAGTCGTCGTTAGGGTCCAGGTGCGCTCCGCAACGTGGCGTTCCGTGACGCACGACACTGGTGCAACGTAGCGAGTTGGCTAGATGCTACGGTCGAGCGGGTGCCGTGAGTGTCGGTGCTGCAAACATGCACTATAAACGTTCACGAAACCTCGATGCGTACGCACACACAACAAAGAGACGTACTCGAGCGTGTCACTCGAGTCGAACTAGTGTGCGTTAAGCGGTGGTGTTGCTTCAGCACACAAGCTTGCGCGCTGCCTGCTGTCGTACGCGACGTCAGACTTGACCGTTACCGTTCCGTAGGACACGAACACTGCGTTGTTTCTGCCCTGTGAAGCGTGACACGGACACCGGCTGCGCGAGCCAGGAGTACACGAGCAGCGAATCGTCGTCAGTTCGTGGAGAGGTTTGCTGGTCGGCTCTATGCCGTGGCTCGACGCCACAGACCCCAAAGTTCGCGCCTTTCTGAGAGCAGCGACTCAGGGGCGCAGCCAGCGCGACGTCATTTCCGGGCCTGGTTCAGTGCTTGACGACACAGCGACCTTCGAGAAGTGCTGGATATCGCACAGAGAGCTGCTGGACGTCGCGCTCGGTTCGGGATACACCCAGGATGCGGTGCGTGAACTCGTTCAGAGCACGCTCGTGCGCTGGCAGTTGCCGCAGGATGACACTTCGTCAAGCGCTGACGATGAAGCGCGGCAAAGGTTCCGAGCGTTCCTCGCACGACTCGAGTATGAGCAGTGTACGCAGTCTCTGAGGAAACAGGCGACTGCCCCGTTGCACACGGGTTCCGGGAACCGAGACGCCCTCCTCCTTAGCCAGCTCCTTTTCGGCAGTCTGGCCCTCGGCGCGTTCGGCTGGTGGCTCGGAGCCGTGCTCACGGATCTCATCCATGAACAGGTTGTGGACGGTGCAACTGGCTTGCGGGCAGTGCCACTCTCTTGAGCATATACTGCCGTTGGCATAATACTCGGTCGATCCCTGGTGGCTGCAGTCTGGGAACTTGCTCCCATCGAATGGAGAACGTTTACGTGTAGGGACGCAGCGTCAGCGAAGCTAACCAGCATCATCAGTGAGCAAGCAAATCCAGATTGCGTACAACAGCATGCCTTTCGCACTGCCCAACATTGGAACGATGCGGTGTCGAGGCCCGAAACCTGCTCTGCTCGAACGCAGCAACATGATATGGGCAGAGGCACCTCGGGAGGCATCTCTGACCGGCCCGCAGCAACCGCTTACGAACGCTTTCCGTCCAGTACGGTAAACGGAACCGAATGCGCGTTACGGGTGCAGCTGTATATCCATTTTTTGAAGCACTGGCAGCTCTTCCCACGCTCGATGCCGTACGCACGCTAAGAGCTACCGAACACCCTCTTTGCACACGATACTGCGCACCAGAGCTTTGCACGAGACTCGCGGGTGACTCACCAGGTAGCGTTTTAGCGCAGGAGACTGCGTTGTACCCAGACTCCACTGATGCATGATTGAAAAGAAAGCCTGATATGCTTGCTCTGTTCTTGCCTTTTGATTTTTCTCCGAACTTTTGTTTCGATGTTCAACCTCGACATTCCAAGTGCAGCGATCAGGGCTTATTGATCCTTGCGTAGTGTTAAGGTTCTCGGTTGTCGTTTCGAAGCGCATTCTTCGACGCTTTGCCACTGCAATTCGTTCCGTCACCGTCATCGAGGTGATTCGCGACGCAACCGAAAAACGATTTGTGAAAGATCCAATATCCATATCCAATTCATGGGTTCACGCAGCAACGCTTCTGCTGTCAGCACGTGTAGCATGCGGGATTCACGCATGCCTCAAGTCTTCGAATCTTCTGTTTCAAGACAACTCGTGGGTGCTGCAATTCTCGCTGCTGTGTCGACGAGGAGCAAACCTGACGTCGATTCCAGATGGCTTGTTCGCAAGCGCATGCCGAACGTTGAAAGCACTCTTCACGTCAAATAATAGATTTCGTTCCAAAGAAAAATCCTCTGCTCTTTACGGCCATCGACGAAATTGCATTCCAAAGCAGTAGGACAAATCGAATGGGATACACCCCATGAAGCCTCTGTCTCATCTGCTTCCATGCAAATGGGTCTTGGACACGGACTTGAGTCGTGCAAGGGTCGCTCCCAGTGGAGCGTGCGCATCGCTTTGTAGAAAGGGAGCGAATACGGATCGAAATTTCTCGACTCGTTCTCCAGCCCTAACTCGACTTCCGGGACTTGTTCCGTCATTGGGAACTTCGCTTTCCGCAAATCCTCTGTCGAATGAAACAGTGTGCGAGCGCGTGTGCTTCATACAGCGTACTCGCCGACGGGACCAGCCAGAAGAGGCCATTGGTTGCAGGATACGGCAACGGCGGGCGGAATCGGATGCGAGGAAATCAAGACGAGCGCTCTGAACCCGTCGAGGGCATCTGCTGATCAAGGAAGCAAGTGCTCACGCGGCACAGAGCGGCTCTCATAGGAGGAGGTTTAGTGGTTGTATGAGAAGACCTGATCATACCGAACTGGTCCTGTGGTGAACCGCGCACCCTGAATGTCTACGAAGAAGATGACAATAGCAAGTGAAACAGAGATCGCAACTTCCGCTCGTGCATGAAATGCGTCAAGAACAGCCAGAAGCATCGAGGTCCAGACATGAGAGGCGCTGCCAACATCCTTCGACTGTTGACAACGAAGCTGGAGAAAAAGGGATGATCGGCATATGTAAAGCCAAAGAGAGAAGGAGTAAAGAAAGCAGTCGCAGAAAAATCCCACAAGGCTGGTGCTGGTGATCGTCGGAAGCGCCCCGGATTTCAATGGACACGCCATTGTACGGATTTAGTTAGGTTTGTTCTCATATGGGTATATCATTCCATTCTTTCAAGGCGTTCTTGCTAGCACTCTTCCGAAACCGGCCATACGCAACCCAACGGGATGCCTCGCTGTTGACCACTGGAACAGTCGGTGTTCTGTTTTACGTTTATTAATGTTTAGGAGTAGGCGCTACTATTCATTATGTGCTCTGGGAGCTTTCCGGTACGGCCAACGCTGACCAGAGAGGAGCTCGAGCGTGAGACAAGTGAACGCACGCGGGTAGCACTTGCGGAAGTGCTCGCTCGAAAGCGCCGGGCTGTTACCACGACTTCCAAGCACGAGCAAGTTCGCCCATTCCCATACGAGCTTCAGCGCAGTCTTCGGGAAGAGGTACACGAACTTGCCACGTCGGACGCAAGCGCCCACTCACAACGAGACCTTCGGAGCTTGGACCCGTTTCGACCGCCGAGACGACAGCGACGACGTAAGAACTCGGCAGGTAACAACAAAGGCTCCCAGGACCTCTTTGACAGCGTGCCTATCCATGACGACAGCGAGAGCGCTGGTGCTGGCGGGAAAGCTGCCGCAGCGTCTGACACTGACGCTGAGCCGGAGTACCAACAAGTGTCGCTTGTTCGTACAACGAACTGCAGTATGGTTCCGGTGTCTGCCGCACCAGCGCTACTTGACAGCTCGCAGTTACAGACCAGCGTTAAGCATTTGCGCGTTCCGCCAGTGAAAAATGGCCGTTTTGGTCCAAGTGCAAGGCGAATGTGGACAGGGAGTACCGTCGATGCCACCGGTGGTATTCCAGCATACGGATACGGGAGCACGTTTGCTGCGCCAGCCTTCACCGAGTTCGCTACTGCACTAGCGCGAGCAACTGGAGACCTATCCAAGCAGCGCAACGCACTGCGCTCAAGCGACGGGTGTACCCGAGAACATCTGCAGCCGACCGAAGGCAAACACGGTATGGGGAGTCAGAAACGATCACAGCCGGCCTTGGAGTCGCAGGGGTCCCTGAAATCTACACGCTCGTTGGAAATGGAGAGCATCCCCTCGAACGAAACTTTCCAGAATGGTTGCAACGCGGTCGATGCGTCTGCTTCGCCCACACAGACCACCAGTACCTTTACGAATCATCGACGACGACGAACTCGCTGGGATCGATAACGCATCGTGGTTTGCTTTGTGTGTGTTCCGCTGGAAACTCGCAACAGCCTGGTCTCTACAGCGAATTTGCCCTGTTCGAGGCATGATCTTCGTAACTTCAAAGCGAGACAAGAACCGTCCCAACGGATGCACGCGACGAGCACGAGCGCTGAGCGTTGCAGCGATATACGCCCCCGCGACATCGATGAACGCTCCCAGGAAAGGGTTTCACGTTTGCTTGTCTAGAGCACCGCGTCGCTCCGCATGCATGCAACCATAGACGAGGAGTATCGGTGACATCCGCTCAACTTAGACGACGCGGTACTGCCGTTGCTGCTGCTGCTGCTGCTGCTCGAATGGAGTCGATTCTTAGGAACGTTGGCGACTACGTACCCGTTTGCTTACGTCGCTATTGCAGCTCCTTGTCCACTCTAGGTGCAGATCCACCCAGGTTGCCACAGTGCGACACCGGATGTCGAGCGCTGTCCACCAAAGTGTCCGACACCAGTGCCACGCGGGGATCAGGTGGAACCTTGGCCTAAATGGCTTTTTATTTTCATCATGGACGCCAGGAGGTCGTCGCCTGGTGTCGTCTGCACGCCGATTCTCGGTTTGCGCTTCTGTTTCAGATGCTGCCGCGAAGGCAGAGTATGCATCCTGCAAGCCATGCTAGAGGTCTGTGACCGCACTCCCAATGCAACTGCTTCATCGTCTCGTTGGATCAGCGAACGAGTTGCTCGCTGCTCGGAGTCTTCGTTTGATGGTGCGCTGGACTTGTCACAGAGCCCGCTGACGGAGCTGGAGCTCACCGGCGTCCTGCAGGAGCTCGTGCAGCTCGGCGTTGCTCACCGAGTACGCTTCCTGAACCTATTCATGACCAATGTGCGCAAAATCCCTGATGTTCTCAGACGGAGCCTACCGCACCTGGAGCGACTATGGTTAGGGTGCGCGCCACTGGTCGCAGTGCCCACGGGGGGCGCTTCCGGTGGAGCTCGTCGAACTTGACCTCAGCTACGGTGGTGTCCTGGAGCAGCTCCCAGACGATGTGTTCTTATCGCTGAAAAAGCTCGAGACTCTATATTTGGGTGGCAATCAACTTAAATTGCTGCCGCCCTCACTATTCGACCCGGAGAACGGAAGCGGTGCCTCGTTGATGCATCTTGATGTGCACGGAAACGCCTTGAAAACAATGCCGCCCGCTACCGGGTGTTGCACAGCACTGCTTACGCTGAACTTGGGTCGTAACCAGTTAAGAACGCTTCCTTCCGAACTTGCGATGTGCAGCGACTTGCGCTCATTGCAGGTTTACGAGAACGATCTGCAGCTGCCGTTGCCAGAAGCGTTCCAGACAGCGTATCTCCATCTGGGAAACCTCAACTGGAGGGGAAACCCAGCCTTTGCCCACGTTCCAGCGGTGGTGGAGCGGCAGGGCCTGCGGGCTCTGCTCACGTACTTTACTCGCCCGTTAGCGGCGTCGGCGTCTCATCGAGTGACGGATGCTGGCCGCTCATAGGGCTCCATTCTGGAGACAACCGAGCACATAGCTGGCTGGCGAGGCTACATCGGAACGACCGCGCCTGTATGTATGGCTCGAGGCGCAGGGCGTGAATGCGAACCTGCCCCAGACGCGAGACAACTCGCGGCGATTCTCCAGGCGGCTCAAGAAACTGCTTTTGCGTTGCAGAAGCGGCGCACGAAGCGCGGCTAACAAGCCCCTACCCTGGTTACTGATGGGATGGGACGCGTTCGTACCCGCGAAGAATGCACACGCTGTGCAGTCGTGTCGGAAACTGTTTGCAAATGTGCCGGCAAATCCCAGTTGCGTCCAAGCAGCACCATGTTCCAAGCGACGACAACTTTAGACTGCAGAGGAAGTACGTTCTGGAGATGTCGCATGCATACGGTTCTCGAGGTCGCATTGTCGGCTCCTGGGTTCCATGACGAAGCGTTCGCATTCTCCGTGAGAAGCCCAAGCAGAAACGTCAGAAATCGCCACCGGCTGGAGCATGCACCGACCTGTATCCGCACTCGAGGCGGGCGCAGATCACACCTGAATGCGTCCTTTCTTCGAAGCACTGATCCAGAGATAATCCCCGATTACCAGTGGTGCAGTGGAAACGGGGCTTTCCGACGAGCCTATACTTGCATCTCCATTTGGTGCGCTAGTTTGCGCTGCGCTTGCGTGGAGCTCCTTCGGTTCAGCATCGAGGATTCCGTTGAACGCACGTTTTGGGGATACCAGCAGTGGACTCTCCTCCATCATGTTTCTGGGCAGCTCTAAACGCAAGCGACGTATGCGCCTTCCAGAGAATAGATCACGACGTTCCGTACCCGGCACGGTTCTGCTTCCGACATCAACCACTGTTGGATTCAGCACAAGCGTCTGAATGGATAACATGGGCTCTGTCGGTCCTTCCTCTGGAATGACGGAATCGGTTGGATCAGCGCCAAGCAGTGTCGCGGGGCGCGCAGCATCCACAGTTGCGCCTGCTGTGCCATGCTGTGCGCGTTGCTTCTCATTGTCGAGTTTTTGCCACCATTCCAGCATGCCGCGAATACCCTGGCCGAAAGCGACATGCGGCAACTCACAGCAGGCCAGCAGACGGCAACGGGACGCTGTCGCTCTCGGATGGCGCTTACGCTTGGTCATCCAGCGACGTAGCACTGCCGCCATCGCGGCGTCCTGCACAAGCGCGGCCTCGGAGAAGCTCGCGAACGAAACATCGGGATCCGTGGATCCGTACCGACGCATGGTCATGAAGAACGGCTCCAGTACTTGAGAAGCGAAGAGTCTGTATGCCGGCGATGATGCGTACTGCACTAGCTCATCGCAGATGCCTTCGCGTTCAGGGAAGTACAAACGTCGCACGGCATGATTCTCCTGGAGGTATCGCAGTCCCTGCTTTTCAAGCGCCTTACGATGCGTATTCTGCATACTGAGCGCCACGAGGTTGACACCCAGAGATCGACACGTTCGAAGAAGGTTCAGATAGCGCTCGTAGGGCCACATACATCGTTCATCCCATTTCGTTCGCTCGTAAAGCTCCTCCTCTTGAATACGGCCTTGGATGAAATCGTCCAAGTGACTCTGGTGCGCTTGTTCGAAAGCGTCCGATGCGACAGCGAGCGAGCTCCTCTCTTGGCTGTAGTCTTGGTTGGGTGCGACGCGAAGTGCCAACGCAGCGACGATTCGGGCTTCCATCGCGTGGTCCGTTTGGGAGCGCGGATGGTCTCCAACGAGCACCAGGTCCGCGCTTCTCGCAAGCGCATCCAAACAAGCTTCTTCATCAACCGCAAGCACTGAAGCGTGTTCACCGCTCGTTGCCAGCCGATAGATTGTGTCAGACGAGTAGGGTGCGAGGCGCGTTGCCCAACTCTGCTTCCCTTGGGGTTCTCCAAGCACCGCTTGTGCCTGGACTTTTGATTTCTCGTACGGAGCGCTTGCTGCAGGGGACGCGCTCACCGCCAGTAACCCGCAGCCGAGAAGCTGCAGCAGCGTGCGTCGACTGAGCTGGCAGTCTAGAAGCCGCGGTGTTCTGCTTGCGTACCCGGGCGTAGCGTTGTCTGCGCCACGAGCCAGAGAGAACACGAAACAACGACGAGCCCTGCTCGTTGTGCGCTGGAAACCTCTGGAGCAGGCGCTTGAACTCCTCGAGGTTCCAGTTTTCACGAAGCTTTCGCTGGCGACGAACATACATACATACCCACAAAAGGCCTGATGCTGCAGATAACGATGAGGAATCGCGGGGCGCTCATACCCTGACCACCACGCTCGTACGCCGCTTTCGCGCAGGCCGAGTTCAGGGATAGCACCGACGCAAGCGTTTGCGCGATGCGAAAGTAGAGCCCACGGGGTATGCAACGGTCGAGGTATAGTGACAATTTTCATATCGATGCAACGTAGCCGGTATGCGACAGTCGAGGCGCAGAGGAGTACAGTCGTCAGAGGAGCACCGGAAGCTGGAAGCAGAGGCGAAGTCGTACTTGTTCGGTAAAGCCGGAAATAAGCGCACGGAAAAGAAGCAGCCCCAGAGAAGACCCAGACTTTAAAGTGTACGCTCGAGTTAGAGCACCCGTTCCGTTTTATGGTGACATGGGTGTCGTCTGACACGACGCTGGAAGCGCGTTTCGCGTAGCAGCGGACGACCTCGCGTGATGCATCGTGCCTGACTAGGCAGCGGTATGTGCTACGCTATGCGGTACGAATGCCGCCACCGATGCAGCACCAAAGTGCATTCCGACCGTAGCGTGTATGTAGAGAGACCGACGTGCAGGTGCTTCGCGACTTTTTTTGACCGGCCCCTTGGTACTGATTCCAACTTGTCGTTGTACAAGTCGACCGTGAGCGGCTGTCCGACTGGGCTGGATCGCGTCAGCTCCTCGGGTTTCTCGTCTCCAGCACCACACCCGTCGCTTGGTATCGATCGTGGTGTGAAAAGTCTTCGTTGATGAACTCCTTATATGCAGTGCCGCTGGTTGAACGCACCAATTCAGGGATTGCTCAGAGTCGAACACCCCCCTCACCCTCACCCCCCTGTACCCCTAGAGTCTGGCCATCGCCAGGCCGGGCGAACGCCTTTCCTCGCCTAGATGCCCTCTTGTTTTTCTTTATCGCCGTCGCTCGGCAGTCGGCGACAAGAGACATTTTTTTGGTATTTTTTATCGCATCCGGCGATGACAGCCTTTCTTCCTTCCAATGAACGCACTTCTAACGCATCCGCTATGCACCATGGATAAGCAATTGGTTACCCACACCTGAGGATAAAATACACTCGAGGTAAAGGCCCATAAAGCGTACGCCACGAAAGCGCCTGCCTCAACGATCGTTCCCCCTGAGCTGCGCCGGTGGACGCCCACCGGCGCTTCGCTCCAGCCGCAGCGCATTCCTTGCTCGTTATTCGACGTTGACTGCAGCGTCAGGCGTTGCCTGCGGGCAACTGCAGCGGAGCCAGAGGTATCCGCTAGCAGCTGGGCGAAGGTGCTTTGCGCGAAAACGAACACGTTTCATGCGTCAAAAGCTTTCCTCGGCCTTCGCAGTGAACGTGACGCGCTTGCGTTTACGGCTGAGGGTGAAGCGAAGCAAAGCTTGGCAAGCGCCAGCAACGAAGTGCGCCCCAGCGGTTGAACCAGTGGGCCCGCGGTGCTGCCTGCGCGACACGACGGCCTCTGAGCGGGTGGCACGTACCCAGTTCGCGTCATCGTCGTCACAAGCAGCAGGCTCTGAGCGACACCTGGATTTGTCGTGCGCACAGGTAGCTGCAGTGGCTGGAGAGGAGCAGCTCGTGCATCTACACGAGCGTGAGCAGGCACCGTCGTGCGCCTTGGCCATGCAAGGTGCCGGAAAGTCGGACGATGACGTTGCTGGTGGCGAAAGCGTTTTCTTGCGTGCGCAAGCGACGCCACAAAAGCTCGTACGTTGTCGTCAGCACTATCGGACGCGGTGTCGCAAGTGCTTCCCACTTCAAGAGACGGCGCCCGGTTCGAAGCGTGTTACAAGGCCTGTCGCTACGAAGCATGCGCCTCATGAACGTGATGATGGGTCATTGGAGCGATGGCTTGGCGAGCTCGGTTGGTTGCGCCCGACGCGGCACAGGCACGATGATCTTGGCATGGACGAATCTGGGCGGCAGGCCTTTCGTCTAGGCAAAAAACTTCAACAGTTGCTCCGCGAACATCCTGAAGCGAGAACGACGATTGTACATGCAGTGTCTGAGGTGTTGGCTCAGTTCATGGCCGGCTCAGTGGAATCCGGTCGCGACCGCGTTCTGTTCATAGCGGCCTGGATGATGCAGTCACTCGTGAGAGACGCTCCCGTGACGCCGTCCTCGACCCGACCAGCGTTTTCGTCTTCAATGAGTGCCTCTCGAGATCAGTTTGTCTGGACGGACAATACGTTGCGAGGGATTCTAACTGCGGTCGATGCTGTCTTGTGTCGAGACAGCATGTGCCCTTCAAGTGCGCATCGGTGGGCTTTCGACGATCATCCGCAGCTCGATACGGACGTTGCACAGGACGTTGCCCCTGCAAACATTCGTCAGCTGCATCAGTCGCTGGCGAGTGAAGTGCTACACTGGCGACTACTGCTCGCTCCGGAGGATGATGCTGCAAATGCAAAACGCTTCGCAGACCCTCGAATCTTGGTAAATATGATCCGCCAGTGGCAGCTCCACACATTGCACCCAGCAGCAGCCGAACAGGCAGTAGTGCTCATGCGGGCGTGCGTGTCACGCAGGTGCTGGCGTGCTGCAGTCGATTTGCTGCAAATGCTCGGCCGACTAGGCGTACTCGACGGTGTCGTCTGGGGAGAGGAGCGATCCCGTTTGTTCCAGGAGCTGGTTGCCCAGCAGCAATGGTCGCTCGCTCGCGAATGCGCCGAATCTTGGAATGGCTTGCAAGGCGTGGATACACTGCACTTTCTCCGCGGTCGAGTTGTTGCGGATCCGCCATGTGTGTCGTCTGCTGGACGCGTTGCCGATCTGAGACCCCTCCATGGGATCGCACTTATGGACTTGGATGCGATACCAACGCCCGCGCTCACAGCCCAGCGTACAGGCGAACCCGCGAGCCAGGTAACCGATTCAAGCCCGACGACAGCAGCAGCAATGGATTCGCCTCCATTGAGCGTGCTTCGGCTGCCGCCGCATGTTCGCATCCACATGGTTGATACACCCGTTGCCGTCCACACATTGATGCAGTTTGTCGAGAGCATTTTGCATCAGCATTCGGACTCGTGCACTGCGGATACACCGTGGCTCGACCCTCACTGCGTCGGTCTTGACGTGGAATGGAGGCCGGTGCGAACGAGCGGCCTTCAACCGCGATGTGCACTTCTCCAGATAGCGTTCCCCGCGGATGTGTTTCTGGTAGACCTACTACGGATCGATGCGGATGCGTTGTTCGCAATGCGGCTGAATGAAGCCTTACGCCGCCTTTTTCGCTCACCAGCGATTCTCAAAGTCGGTTTCTGCTTCAGCTCCGACTTTGTGCGCCTCCGACACTCATACCTTGGTCTCTCCTGCTTTGACGCAATCGTCGCATTGCGAGACCTAGACCGGATCGGTTCAGAGGGCACGGATGCGTTTTGCGCTGACCTGGCGACTCTGGTTGGACGCACCAGCGTGCGACGTCGCGGACGTCTCACAGTGGGCCTCGCGCAGCTCGTTGCCGTCTTCCTCGGACGCGCGTTCGATAAGCGACCCCGTTGCAGTGACTGGGAAGCCCGCCCGCTCACACGAGCGCAGATCGAGTACGCCGCCCTCGACGCGTGGGTGCTGCTGGCGTTACGGCGGCACGTTCCGTGCGCATCCGCGTCGCTGATACGCACTGGATGGCGGACGGCGCAGGCAGCGCTCGCACGCATCGAGCGTATCACGGTTGCCGCTGCCGATGCATCATCCACGCTTGGACACGTGTCCGGGGAAGATACCTCACACGCACTGCATTACGATGCGCTGCAACGCGTATGCGATGCGCTGCAGCGGGCGCCCGAGCGATGGCGACGTCGCCCTGTGTATCGTGTGGGCGAGACGCTGCTGGCAGGTCCATTTTGTCTCGTTGATCGATTGGCCGCTTTGGAGCGGGCGCCGGCGTCGCTGCAGCGCGCTGCTGCGGATCGCATGGGCAAGTGCATCGCGCTCATCGCTGGCGGTGCCGAACAGCGCCCGATTCTCGTCGTCATGCAGGGGCAGCGTCGAGCACCACTGCGCGAGATTGCCGAACGTTTGGGTCTTGGCAGCGGGGCGCTGCGTTTTGCAACGCCTTTTGAGTTGGAAACTATTTTTGGTTTCGCGTCAGGTGCGGTTTCGGCCATTGGGCTTCGTTGCGAGCGGGTGGATGGTGGACACGGCAGCTGGACACCGGTGCTTACATTCATGGACGCTGCACTGCGTCGTGGCGAGGTCGCTGACGGTGGCAAGGATGCTGCCGATGATCTCATGTTCTTGTCTGGCGGCTCGCCGGAGAGCGTGGTCGCGCTGCGGGCCTCGGATCTGCAATGGCATCGTCAGGCGGTCTGGTTAACGACGACAGCGACAACGTCACATCCAGAGTCGAATGTGCGTGCGGTGGTGTCGGACACGGCCGCGCTGCTCACCGACAAGAGACGACTACGCGCATCGGCGACCTGGACGGAAACATACTTTGATGATCGTTGCCGGGGGTATTTTGTTGTGGATAGTACCATGGGTGGCCTGGTCAGACGCCTGCGTGCCCTGGGCCTGGATGTGCTGCATACGTGCGGAAAAGATCTAGCGCTTCTCTTCGAACTTGTCTGGACCCGGGAGGAAGACGTTCGATCTCCTTCGGCAAGCAAGCCGAGGGTGATCCTCACCCGCGATGCAGACGTGCTCGCACGAGCAACTCGGTACGGCGTGCCATGTTATTACGTCTCATCGACAAAGACGGAATCTCAGGCTCGTGAGGTGCTGGGAAAATTTCGCTTATCGCCAGCCCCGGAGAATTTTCTCGCTCGATGTATACAGTGCAACTGTGCTCGCTTCGAGCAGCGCTCTCGCGAAGAAGTGCAGACGTTGTTGCCACAGCGAACTGTGAATTCTTTTCATATCTTTTACGAATGTGCGCGATGTCACCAACTGTACTGGAAAGGAGCGCACTTTACGAGAGCAACGCGCCAGCTCGAAGAACTGGTGCGTCAGCTGCGTTGCGATGCACAGCAGACCTGAGTATCCGGTGGAGTGCACGCACCGAGCTGGCGTAGGCTGCGCGAAATCCACAGCGACCCGCCACGCGGTGTTCCCGGCAATGCCCATACCAACGACAAGCGCGAATAGAAGACTGCTTCTGACTCGGCCGCCGTCGCTGCCGCCAAAACCCTAGAATCAGCCGACAACCCTGGCCCCTGGAATGCAACCAGTGTTCTGCGTTGCATACGCGCGATACCAGGGCGGTACGCGGATGCCATTGTAATGCGTCGTCGAACGTGCTGCAACCTAAAGAGCGTATCGCACTGCAGACAGCGTGACTGCGCCGAGCGCGGCTCGGTTCTCTGTGATTTGCGTCTCGTAACGAATGGGCCCCGCTCCAGTCAGCATGTCGACGGGAAATACGTGAACTCTCGGTGGTGCCAAGTACGCCCGCTTCATCGATAAATGCTATGTATCCTTGACCGTGACCCGCTTGGTTTATCGACAGATGACGCCAAGGTATGGAATACACATCGCTTCACTTGCGTAAGAGGCATCACCGCTGCACATTGGCCGCGAGGCGCACCTATCGATCAGCGCGCCCGCATGCAGAACACCTCGCGACAACTGCTTTCCACGATGGGCAACAAGCCGCAACGGTGCTCGTGGACGACTGCATCGCCGCCGTACGCTGTGGCACTGTCTATATCGACCGCCCGCACGCTGCGCTTGGGTAGCCTGTGCGTCCGCGCGGGGTTTTGCGGTCGCGAGGCACAGGGTGCCCAGCGAGCTGCCCCCAGGTTGCCCTGACGCACACCCTGTGCGCACCTTCGCTGACATCGACCTTTCCATTCGCCGTGACTACATGCCCAAATTGAACCCGCTGTCCTTCAGTATAGACCGCGTCGAGCATCACGCTGCCCGAGAACGACATGCGTCGGGCGCTCGTCGCAAGAACGCCACCGCAAGTACGTCCATGTGCTTCTCGACGTCTGCGACTGTGACCAACCCCGCTAGTCCGTCATGCTCGATCCCAGAGCCGCTGTGTGTAGCGGCTTCGCGGCGACTCTGGTGCTGCAAACCGCGCTGCCTCCTGGGTCTCGTCGGTGTGGCGATGCCGCCTCTCTGAGCACTGTGCGCGGACAACACGCCTACACCTAGTCGTTTTCGCGGAGCTCGCCGCCAGTGACTTCAAGCAACTCCTGCTCGCGTCCTGGTACTTCATCGAGGCGCACTTCATATACGACCGTCGCGTTCGGCGGGATCGCGGGTTTCCCGGGGGACGGCTTGCGGCCCTTGCTCCCAAAGGCGTACGCGGGCGGCAACTCCAAGCGCCACAAGTCCCCGACGTGCATACGTTTCACTGCCTCCTCGACGCCTTTCACAAGGTTACCGGAACCAACACGCATGTAGAATGGCTCCGACGAGTCCATGATGTCGTCGAATACCCGGCCATTATAGGCCGCTCGGAAGCGGATCCCCACGAGGTCGCCCGTCTGCGGCTGAGGCCCGGTACCTTTTTCTAAGACCTGCACTGGAAACGGTAGTTCTGGGACATCTTTCTCATTCGCTGCTCTGGCTTTGTCCCACGCGAGTCCGCTCAGTGTCCAAACGAGCGCCTGTCCGAGACCCAGTTGCAGGAGGCGCCTCCGTGTCAACGTCATGGATGTCGAGACGCTGCCCGAGCGAAAAGCCCCTGCCGCACGTCTCCTGCACCCTGGTCGCACGTTTTTTATGCCGGCATTCGTTGCTCGTGTGTGCACACCTATCCCGTCAAGACCTATACCCGAAAGAAACATTCCTTCACGTTCTCCGATGATGATTGCTCTTTGGGAGCAAAGCGCGTCCCTCGGCAGAAGGCGACTGACGTGATCGCGCCCGCGCCCTGCGCATCGCCCGGGTGCACCGCGAGACCCAGGCACTCGTTGACAGGCCATGACGTTGGAGGAGCTGGGATGTTCACGCGCTCATCCTGCGGCTGCAGTCGCTGACGGCAGCTTTGACGTCTAGGGTGTTGTTGTCTATAGTTCGGTGGAAGGATCTGAGGTGAGTTGTACGTTCGCCAGCGGTGCATCTGGTGGGACACCACCGCAGTCATACTTCGTCATGTTGTTCTCTGAGTGATAAAAGGGCCTGAGGTGCGGTTTATGGTCGCCAGCGGTGCATCTTTCGGGACACTAGCACAGTCATACTTCGTCATGTTGTTCTCTGAGTGATAAAAGGGCCTGAGGTGAGTTGTACGTTCACCAGCGATGCATTCTACGGTCGCGGGAGCGGACGGCGCTGGCTGACGTTTGCGCGGTTTGGGATACCAGGGCAGCACGTTTTCGCGAGCTTCAACGTTTATGGTGATGCGGGACCCTTGGTGTGTTTCTCGTGTTTTTACGGTATCTTTCTCGGGCGCAACAAGATACGCGATAAAGACTGGCGCAGACGAACTCGGTTCACGAAAGTGACACACAACCGTTGCATTTTCGATAGCGGGAACAAGCATGCGCATCCATCTCAACGGATACGATCGGACAAGCGCAACCTGCCCGTTGCTCCAAGTGTGTCGCTGGTACCTGCCGTCCTGGAGCTTGTCGGCTGCACTGCGTGTGCAGTGTAGTGTGCTCGTTGTTAGCGGCGATACTGGTACCAGACGCTGCCGCTGGCACTGCTCGCCACAGCGCATAACAGCACTCATATGGAAACAGATACACGGAGCGCCGCGCATGCAACACAGGTCAGATGTCCGCGTCGCTCCGCATAGAACCCTTAAATGCCATTCTTTCCTGTCCGTTCCGTTCAGAGAAGAATCTCACCGCGTCGGAATCTCTGGTTTATATCGTCGCTTGCGTGACCGCTCCTTGATCGACTTGGAAGCACAAGCTCCATCCACAAGCGCTGATGCTCTCGACGCACCGCCGCATGCTGCAGCAAGGCCCTCAGTGCTGCCCGGGTTCAGTTTCTGACGTCATGGAGTTTGCCCGCACCTTGACCCACGGCCGCCAAGGGATCTGGCGTGCGGCGTCCTCAGGCCGTTCGGAGATCCGCTCAGAGTAGATGAAGATCGGCGTCAGAACAAGAACGAGGCCGAACGCTGCCACTGCAGTGTTCCTACGCCAAGCGCGAGGATGCGGCCACCAGCCGCCAGCTGGCGACCAGACGTCGCGTGGGTACGGGTAGCGCGGTGTACCACCCATGCTTACCGGTGGTACGCTGTTCCAGTTGTCACTATGACACGTTCGTGAAACCGCCAGTCGAATGTTACCACACTTTTCTGGAAGCAGCGACCTTATGGTAAAGAGCGTTACCCGGCGGAGGCGCGCACTACACCCGTTACGCTGGCGTCTCTACGTGCCTGTCGTCGTACGCACGAAGATGCGAACTCACGCGCTCGCTGAACCGAGCCCGCCACCAGCGGGACGCTTTCTGGGTAGCAGTCACACCACAAGAGGCTTCGGTGCTGGCACTCCTGGTACCAACCGCTTCCGGTCGTTCACGCGAGAAAAAGCGCCCTAGCGTAACGCAGGTCGCTCGTACGCAACCGTCGTTGAACGCTGCCTCCAGCTATACCGAATCAAACGTACTCCCCTCGTGTGCTTCTGCTGATGTTGCTTCTGTTATACGACTGCGATGTAGGTGCCGCTCTGCGTCCCAGTCTCCGGAAGAGCACCAGCTATACGAAGCCGCGCTTTCCGGGCAGTGCAGCAATGCTGCGCGCATCGCGTCGACGGCTGACGGCGGATGGCGCAGGGCGCTGCGCTGCCTCCCCTATTGGCTGGAGCGTTTTGTTACTGAAGAGCGCGCACGATCGTGTACTTTTTGCGTGTTTGCTAGGATACCTTGGGAGACTCTATTTTGTGTGTGTGTGTGCGTGTGCGAACGATTTGGGATCGGCCGGTAGGATATGCGGTTCCCGTTATCGTCTGGTGGGTTCGGAAGTGGTGGCGGCGGTGGCGCTGTGAACACGCGCCTGGTTGGCCTCGGGGTTACGGCGCTGGTGGGTGCAGCGGCCTTCTACAAGTACGCGCTCTATAATGGTAAGCATAAGCGAACTGGGGATACGTCAGAATCCTGGGATCATGAACACAAACTAACCATGTAGACATTCTACGTCGAACGCAGTCGAAGGAGGACACCGGGCTGTCATTTTTAATCGCCTCGTGGGGGTGAAACCCACAGTGGTGCCCGAGGGCACCCACATTCGGATTCCCTGGATCGATGTGCCGATCATCTATGATGTTAGGGCGAAACCACGCTCTATTTCAACGTTAACTGGTTCCCGGGACTTGCAGATGGTTCAGATCACGATACGCGTGCTCTCTAGACCCGACCCGCGACAACTACCAGTCATCTACCAGACGCTCGGTCTGGACTATGACGAGCGTGTGCTGCCTTCAATCGTGAATGAGGTGACAAAAGCAGTTGTTGCACAGTTTAATGCGTCGCAGCTGATCACGCAGAGAGAACAGGTGTCGCGTTTGATTCAGCGGAACCTGATCGAGCGTGCCAAGGACTTTAACATCCTGCTCGACGATATATCCATCACACATCTAGCGTTTGGCAAGGAATACACGGCAGCTGTTGAGGCAAAGCAGGTTGCGCAGCAAGAAGCGGAACGCGGTCGCTTTCTCGTTGAAAAAGCCATGCAGGATAAGAAGGCCACAATCATCCGGGCGCAGGGCGAAGCGCGCAGTGCCAAGCTCATCGGCGATGCCATGAAAAGCAATCCGGGCTTTATTGAGCTCCGCCGGATAGAGGCCGCCAGAGACATCGCGCAGAAAATAGCGAAGAGCTCCAACAAGGTATTCCTGGATGCGGGTATCTTGCAACTGCAGCTCGACTCTAGTGAGAGAGACGAGGACTTGGTCCGCGCGCTGAACGCTAACCCTGGTAGTAAAAAGTGATGCAATGCGGATACCTATTCGATTGAGTCTTGCTTTCGGGTCCGCGCTCTGTGCCGTGCGTATGCGCGTAGACATCAGCTGCACCTTGGACGGCGTGGACTGGACAAGAGTCCAGTGCGCTGGACTTGTGTCGTGTCCATCACGAACGACCAAACCGCGAGCCTCAGAGTTCGTGCGGAGCGATACACACCGCACGCACTTTGAACGCTTGGACACAAGCGGTATGCGCTTGGATGGTTTCACCCGCAACAGCGCGATACCACCCGCTCGCGGAGGCTATCCAGAATCCGACATGAGTCCAATGCCTTTGAATAAGGGACATGGATTCATGACAGATGGTGTGTCGTGGTTGTCAGGTCAAGACTCTCCGCGACAGAGCAGCACGAGCGTGATCGGGCGCCACCGATGAAGAGCCCAGATGCGCTCGTGGTGTCTGCAGCGATGCCGTGCTTCCGGGCATGCGAGATGGCTTTGCTCGCTCCTGGTTTCTTCTTGCGAAACACATTCGTTGAGGATGTGCTCACTCGAAGACAACCGAGCATCAGACTTTGAGCTGCATTGTAAACATCCATTCACGATCGAGTTTCTGGGAAAATACAAGGTCTGATGCTGCTCGACCACTGCCTGCACTGCGTCGGCAACCAGTCTGTGATGAATGTGATGTGAATAGATCCCGCAATACAGCAGCGGGTGCCGGAAGCACGCGGTACCCTGGATGCCACGGAGACACGAACTTGTCACTCGGTACTGTTTTGCGTGCGGGATGCATCGACGTGAGGCGAGCAGCTCCCGAGTAGAGGCGCTGCGTCGGTGTCCCGCTAGTGGTGCATTGCCCGACGTCCGAGGCACCCTGAATGTCACAGTGGCCGTCTGGAGAGTAGGCAGCGCGAACACTTCATCGCCGCCCTGTCTGCGATGAAGCGCGGGAATCGAGTACGCGCCACTGCTTCGCAACAATGAAGGCATCTTGGAGGCGCTCAGAGCCTCAATAGCTATCCGCCAGTCCGTGTAGGCGCTGCTTCCAGGTCGATATAATGTTCACGTCGAGGCCAGTACGAGGGTCGTATCCACACGTTCGATGGGGCTGTGGGCTCGAGCCAGGTTCGCGGCTCCAGCCAGTCACTCTCCAAAACGAACGCCCATAGCGCCAGCGAAGCACAAATCACAGCGGTGCCTGCGGTGCAGATCAGGGCTGCGTCTGCCGGCACCCGCCGGCTCAGGAAGAGAAACGCGGGGAGCGCCAGTGACCCAGATATTGACAATGACAACAAAAGGCGAGCAGTGCAGCGACTAGCTGCATTCCCAAGCGCGTTCGATGCGAAGCTCAGTGCGCCCGCGGAAGCCCCACGGAAGCTCTCCGCTCGCATCAACCACAGGAGCGCAAGGAAACCGGTCGCATACGGAATAGAGACAAGCGCCAGCCAGGCGTTGCCGGCCAGTCGAATGGCGTGCCAGTCAAGCCAAAAACCGCCGATGAACCCACCAACAATACCGCCTACCACACAAAGCACCAGCAACGGATAAAGAAGCGCGTAAAAGAGGAAGACACGAGCGCCACGCCGCGTCACCTGTCGCCACCAGCTCGGCGCTTCTGTGGTTGCCTGCAGTGCTGGCTCAGGGCGCTGTGCAGTTGAGCGCTCAGCGATGGGTTTCCAGTCCGTGCGGTGCGCAAGAACGGGCCCCTCTTCGAAGTACCGCTGCGAGTCGTTTGGTGGCGGCATCCTCGCGGAGGTACGCGAATTTTCAGAGCGGCGCCATCAACGCTGTTCTAAAGTCGAACGTCGCCACCGGTGTACAGTAACGGGGACCGGCGCCCTAGACAAGAAGACGCCAACTGATGTGCAGGCGCCTCGCAGTCTTTTTGGACCGGCCACCCACTACTGCTTCCAACTTCTTCTCGTATAGTACCACTTTGAGAGGTTGTCCAATAAAGTTCTCTCTTGTCGGCTCTGGAGGTCTCGTCTCCAGCACGGTATATTTCCTTATATTGATGGCGGCATTAAAGTCTCGGTTCACAAACTCCATCCGTTTCTTGCCATCATTGCTTGTTCTAACCAGCGCAGGTAGTCCACGAACTTTCGCTCTCCTTTCTATTTGCTCCTCCGTCAGCGGTCCGCACTTTGCTATATGTTCAGGGCTCCGCTAGCACTTTTCCATCTCGACCTTCTGAAGTGTACATCCCAGTTCATGGTGTGCATACGATGTTCGAAACTCATCGACAGGCATTGTAACGAAACGTCGTGCACTCCTTGTACGCTCTTGTCATTGGAGCTGGCGTACACCCTTTTCGGGTCTTCCATCGCCCTGCTCAGTATGCCACTACCAGCCTTTGACTTTCATTCTCCTTCAAGGCGTTCAACCGATTGAAAAAATTCGCAACCGCCCGCTGTTTTCCACAATACAAATTCATTCGCAAACGAGCCTACCGGGGCTTGGTATACTCCGCCCACAGTGCATCCCCATGGGCAACACGAACATCCATGAATTTCCGAAAAGGTTCAAAGTCCGCTCCTCGGCTCGTCGCCTCGCTCAAAGCTTCCAGGTGATCCTTCATTTCTGCATTCCACGTACCAATTTTCTTTCTTGCATTCACTATACCGGATTCTCGATAGTATCTCGCTCTGGCGAGCCTCAAAAGACACATGTCTTTCTGGCGTAAGTTGCCGTCAGTACCATCTTCCGCACGCCTGGGCACAGCGATGGTTACGATATTCGTGTTTCCGGGGTTCGCGCCAACGACAAAGTCGTTATCCTGCACTTTCTGTGTCGCAGGATCCGCATCCTTGTTTTCTTCACGTTTCGCCAAGTGCGATAGCGAAGACGGAACAGGACGATCTGCCTTCAAGCGACTATAGTGTACGAATACGGCTACTCCATCGGTTTCGATCATCTCCGTTAATACTTTTTCTTGCTCGTTTTGAGATGTCTCAAATCGAAGATGTTCTTCTGGTATGTCTCCCGGTTTCTCGCCGATGAACCGTATCTTCCTCACATCGAACCCTGGACTGATCTCCCTCATGATGCCATGAAGGACTCTGAAGTCGAATGTAACAAACATTGACTAGATGTTGCAAAACGAAACGACATTGAAGCGTTCCCCCAGTACGAAAGCTTTCCGTTCCAACAACTCTCCATTTTTCCCCCATTCAGCTCCTTTTCGGCCTTGCGTCCGAGTTCACGCTTCAGGAACACGAACTAGCGCAGGATGCGGGAAAAACATCTTTTTTCATATCTGAAACCTTTTCTGTTGGGTTGACAAGCCCCAAAACCACGCGGTGCTTATGAATCGCCGCACGGATCAAAGAAGCGTCTTCCTTCTCCTGTGTGATGTCCTCTTGTTCACGAATTCGATCTCCTGTGCATCCCGACGATCGTTCGTGATGCCAATCATGATGGCCCATATCCTTTTTTTTCGAGACAGCCCAGGGTAGAGCGCAAAGATGGAGCGTATCATGAAGCGTTTCAGGTTCATGGTCGTTTTGTTCTTCAGATTCGAGAGGTACTTCATCGCCACGTAATTGTGAACATTTGAGTCACCCCTATATCGAGTGCCGTTGGAGCGGCACTCTGCATAATTTTCGTAGAGTGCATGCACTCGCTCATTTCTCCTCGTTGTTTCCCATGTGTCAAGCATCTCGTGGCGAAGGAAGGTCACGTTGGACAATTCTTCCGGAGCCTCGACTTTTTTGATGTCCGTCACGTCATGGTACATCTCCTTCGTCAGATGAATTGGTGCTGAAGATGCGTTACAAACACTCAAGGAGTGAGATGCAGTAGGGTTTCTGATGGCATCTCAGAACTTTTGCTTCACGGGATCCGCGTTACGTTCAAGAAGACAGGCTTTCACTACCAATTCGTCGTACTGTCGTCTTTCGTGCAGGTTCTGGTGTCGGTTCGCCCCCTTTTGCTTCACCGTCTTCACCTGTTCCTCATGGACGGCACTGTTTTCCGTATTTTTCTCGGCACGCGGCGGCACAGGCCCTCCAGGATCCTCTACTTTCATTTCCATAACTTTATTTATTTTTGCAAACGAGTTCACGATTAACGCTTCCGCTATAAACCGCGAAATATCACTTGAATACAGTTACTTGGTGGTTGAGACATGATAGAACTGAAAGACTATACTTTGCTACGACTTTCATGCAAATACAACTTGCCAGTCACAGTAACAAGTCTACAAATGATCAGGATCGTGTTTCGCTTCAACTGCGAGTTGCAAGTCGTGTCTCACGCCCGCCAGATCTCCCAGGTGTGCTAACAGACTGCGCTCTAGGAAAAAGAACAGCAACGAGCGACCACGCAGTAATGAGATAACAATTTCGTTACCCCTCTACGAGAAACGTTAAAAGGGGAAAGCTTTCCATATTGCCGAAGGTTTACCTTCTTGGTGGAAGGTCCCATGAGTCGTACGAGACAGCTAGCCTCGTGCTTCATGCTCCTCCCAGTGGCAGGTGCTTTGGTCCGATCTGAGCAGTCCGTCCGCAACGCAGTTTATCCTGGGACTAGGAGCGGGTACGCTGCTTCTGGGCGTTGCGCTGGTCGCAGTGGCTCCTAGTACATCGCTCCGCGCTGCCACAGGCAGTAGGCCTTTAAGCACAGCATGCTGGTTACCAGAGTGATTATGCACTCCGAGTCCGTGTGAGGAGAAGTATTCCTCGATCCGACGCCCTCAGTGGTATGGCAAAGCTCTTCTGTCTCGGTGATGCAGCTGCTCCAACGATACGGGCGCTATTGCAGGTGCAGCGAGGCAGGCACTCGGTGCACGATAGAATATACGAAACGACCAGTAGATCCCAGAGGAAGTATAAGTAATGGAACTTGAAGGTGGAGCGAAGAATAATGAGCGCTCTCATTTATTTCAGTATCCATCCCGCAATCTGGATTCTATGTTCTATGGCAAGGTGTTGACATCGGAAAACGAATCGACGCATAGTGAGCGCACCTGGGAGATCTGGCAGGCATGAGACACGACGCGCACGGTGCCGTTGTTGAAGGGAAACGCGATTTTGATCAGTAGCGTGTTATTCAGCTGGAAAAGTCGGATTTCCGTTCAGGACGTAGCAAAGTATAGTTTTTCAGTTCATTTATGTTTCAAAACTCAAACAAGTCTAGTCAAGTGTTTTTTTCGTAGTATATTGGAGAAGCGTTCACAGAGTGCTTTTTTCAAAAAAACCAAAAAAATGGAAAGTTATGAAAAACTGAGTCGACGATCCTGGAGGCCCAGGGTCGCCGGCTGCTGGAAAACAAAAACAAAAAACAGTGCCGTGTCCAGAAGAAAAGGAGGAGAAGAAGAACCGAAAGAGGGAAGGCCCCACGTCGAAGGCGGCAAGAAAGACGACTGTACAACGAGATGGTGGTGAAAGCCTGTCTTCTTAATTACATCAAGGATCTCTACAAGCAAATGTTTCAAGAGGCCATCCACAACCTTTTCGACTCGTACTCTAAGAGTATCGTCAAGGCGTTGTCAGGACTGATGCATCTGGCGAGGGAGATGTATCGCGACGTGGCGGCCATCAAAACAGTCGAGATTCCAGACGAGATCTTCGACAAGACCTTCGTTCGTCACCTGATGCTTGGTTCAGGGCAAACACGGAGGGAAAAATGAGCAAGTACATGCCCTACACGAAAGACATCCCTTTTACAGCTTCAAAGATACTCGAAACAAGGGTGACCGAGATATCTACAGCTATGGGGCGATGAAGTACCTCACGAATCTGAAGAACCATGAGACAGGGAACCTCGAACGTTTCATGATACGCACCGTGTTTGCACTCTACCCGGGCATCTCTCGCAATGGAAAATGGACGATTATCAATGGCATCATGAAAGATCGCAAGCGTGAAGATGAGGTAGAATTTGTCGACAAGAAGGCGTCAAACGAGACCACGAATGAAGCTTCTGCGATCCGTGCGGTTATACAAGAGCATCGTGCGGTACTGGGGCTACCGAATCCAACAGACAAGGTATCAGAGTTGAGCAAAGATCAGGAAAGATACGATCGCCTCATTCTGTGCTATTTCGTGTTTCTGGACCGAGAACTCGAACGCAAGGCAGAGATGAAGCTGAACGGGAAAAATGAAGAGTGGGAGAGACGGAAGGCTTTCCTAGTAGGGAAGCGCTTCGACGTGGTTCCGTTGGGCAAGATCAAGTCACATTTTGTGACTATCGACTCCAGAATCCTTTACGGCATCATGAAGGAGATCTGTCCGGAGTTCGATGTTAGCAGGGAGGAGTTCTCCGGTGAAAACCGGAAGACGTACTGGAAGAACATCTTCGATTTCAAATGTCTCAAAGTGAGCAAGCAAAAGGTATTTACTGGGATGATCAAAACCGATGGGGTAGCCCTGTGTGCACACAATCGGCGCTTGAACGCGGATTGTTCAGTTCCGTCCTCGGCTGCACCCGTGACGAAGGATGAAGATGAGAAGGAGGCGGGTCCTACGATGCAGGAGGTGCAGGATAACGACTTTGTCGTTGGCGGGGATCCTAGAAACACAAATATCATAACCATCGCTGCTCCCAAGCGTGCGGATGATGGTACTGATTGCAACTTACGCCAGACAGACATGCGTCTTTTGAGGCTCGCCAGAGCGAGATACTATCGAGAATCCGGTATAGTGAATGCAAGAAAGAAAATTGGTCCGTGGAATGCAGAAATGAAGGATCACCTGGAAGCTTTGAGCGAGGCGACGAGCCGAGGAGCGGACTTTGAACCTTTTCGGAAATTCATGGATGTTCGTGTTGCCCATGGGGATGCACTGTGGGCGGAGTATACCAAGCCCCGGTGGGCTCGTTTGCGAATGAATTTGTATTGTGGAAAACAGCGGGCGGTTGCGAATTTTTTCAACCGGTTGAACGCCTTGAAGGAGGATGGAAGTCAGAGGCTCCTGGTAGCGTATGGGGCAGGACGCTGGGCGTCGAAGAAAGGGAGTACAACAGCTCCGTCAACAAGAACGTACAAGGAGTGCACAAGCCGCTTCGTTACGATACCGATAGATGAGTTTCGAACGTCCTATACACACCATGAACTGGGTTGTACACTTCAGATGGTCGAGAAAGAAAAGTGCCAACGGACCCCTGAACATATAGCAAAGTGCGGACCGCTGAAGGAGGAGCAAATGGAAAGGAGGACGAAAGTTCGTGGACTACCTGCGCTGGTTAGAACAAGCAATGATGGAAGAAACGGATGGAGTTTGTGAACCGAGACTTTAATGCCGCCATCAATATAAGGAAATGTACGGTGCTAGAGAAAAGACCTCCAGAGCCGACAAGAGAGAACTTTATCGGACAACCTCTCAAAGTGGAACTATACGAGAAAAAGTTGGAACCAGTAGAAGGTGGCCGGTCCAAAGCGGCTGGGAGATGTCTGCACATCCGTTAGCGACTTCTTGTCTAGGGCGCCGGTCGCCACTACTGTACACCGGTGGCGACGTTCGACTTTCGAACATCGTGTTGCTCGAGACCGGTATCTTCGCTTGCAGCTTTCTAACACATATACAAACTTGTAAAGTATCAGGGAATCTTTTTTTGAACGGAACCATATTTTCAGAGCTTGCTTGGGAGCTGCAACCGCGAAAAGACCTCCGTGCGCTTGAATGGGAACGGGTGCGCTTGTTCACGTTTTGGGGTTTAGCACCGCTGGTAATGCGGGCGGTGCGAGAAAGCTTCCAATACGATGGCGACGTCGCTCCGGTTGTGGGTGCTGTGCACCGAACCAGTGGTCTTATTCGCGCAGCGCAACGACGACTGTGGCCTTCGCCTGGGACTGGCTGCTGGCGCCGCGGTCCGTTGTCGAGAACAAAGGCGTACTCGCCGCTTTAGCACAATCAAATGAGCAAGCTATCGTTCGTATGGTTCGGGAACCGGCTCGTCAACTTTGGGTAGAAGACGGCATTTCGCTTCCCGCTCCTTTCCCCGAAACGAATATGCCAACGTTGCCATTTTCTGAGGGACTGACCGCGGCGCCCAACTTGCGCCCCCACTGGGAGGGAATCCGTTCTTCTGAAACCGAAGACCGAACCTTAATTCTTTTTGAGAACCTCTCTGACTCCGGTGTTGTCGTCGAAGTGAACTGGATTGATTTCAATGGTCAAGAGATACCGTTTGGGTGGCTGGAACCCGGCAAGAGCCGCTTCCAGCCCACGTACGTGGGTCACCCGTGGATCATTCGGGATAGCAACACCGGCGAGGTCATGCTGCTTTTTGTCACGCAGAATGCATTCGGGACGGCCGTCGTGCATTCGGGACACCAGGTTGAGTACTCTTATCCACTGTAAATGCTCCGATCCGGCAAATGCTAATCCTCGCAGATGGCGCGAACCCGCGAACATGACGCTTTCGGAAACGTCTGCGCCTTATCGTGCGGTTACCCGAGGTTGACGCCCGAGTCCGACGAAGGAATACGCGCGATTATCGTCGCTGATCCTAACCGAGTCAGTCAACAGGTGCATGTGTGCGTGTGCGTGTGCTCGGGCGCCTTAACTACAGCACTTGCGCTTCGACGAGCGATTATCATGGGACAAGTTACCGACGGAGATCGTCTCGCCACGCCCCGCTTGGTAGACAGCACCCGAGGCGGATTTAGCGACTGTCGGATCACCGCTGGCCAGATGGCGCTTGTGCACTAGGCGATAAATATCGGTGAGGATGCGGACGAAGGCCTCCTCCACGTGCGAAGCGTCCAGTGCGCTCGTCTCAATAAACGATAGACCCCTTGCGTCTGCGTACTGCTGACCCTCCTCCGTGGTCACAGCTCGAAGATGCTTCAGGTCCGACTTGTTGCCAACGAGCATAATCACAATGTTCTGGTCAGCGTGGTCTCGCAGTTCTTTCAGCCACCGTTCCGCGTTTTCAAACGACGACCGCTTCGATATATCATAGACGAGAAGGGCGCCAACAGCCCCCCGATAGTATGCTGAGGTGATTGCTCGATAGCGCTCCTGCCCGGCAGTGTCCCAGATTTGCGCTTTGATCACTTTACCGTCGGTTTGCACCGAGCGCGTTGCAAACTCAACGCCAATCGTTGACTTGGACTCTAGATTGAACTCGTTCCGTGTGAAGCGCGAGAGCAGGTTGGACTTTCCCACCCCGCTATCTCCTATGAGAACAATCTTAAAAAGATAGTCGTACTCGTCATCTGGTCTTACGGACATTGTGTGGAGCTAGCCCGTCGAGCGCCCTGCGTTTCTAAACAGCGCAACCGGTGCACCAGAAGACTAGTCGTCGGCTGGCGTTGGCGTTGGCGCCCGCCCGCCCAGCCGCGTGGCGTCGAATGCGCGATCGCCTCGCGTGCTGGCTCGATACGATCCCATCAGTGGACGTGTTGATGGTGATTCTGCGTACGATATCTAGAGCATGCTGTGAGATGAATGACGATCCCTACAGTGGACGTGTTGATGGTGATCCTGCGTACGGTATCTAGAGCATGCTGTGAGATGAATGACAATCCCTACAGTGGACGTGTTGATGGTGATCCTGGATCGGATATCTAGAGTATGCTGTGAGATGAATGACGATCCCATCAGTGGACGTGTTGATGGTGATCCTGCGTACGGTATCTAGAGTATGCTGTGAGATGAATGACAATCCCTACAGTGGACGTGTTGATGGTGATCCTGCGTACGGTATCTAGAGTATGCTGTGAGATGAATGACAATCCCTACAGTGGACGTGTTGATGGTGATCCTGGATCGGATATCTAGAGTATGCTGTGAGATGAATGACGATCCCATCAGTGGACGTGTTGATGGTGATCCTGCGTACGGTATCTAGAGTATGCTGTGAGATGAATGACGATCCCTTCAGTGGACGTGTTGATGGTGATCCTGGATCGGATATCTAGAACACCCTGTAAGGTAAGAAGTTACCGTTGCTCTCGAAACACGGAGGCAAATCGTATACCGATAGTCAATCTCTGTGATGCAGGTATTCATGGCCCACTTGAGGATCTCTGGTCGAAATCAACGTTTCCGCGATCAACAAGAAACGCAGAGCTGTACATGGCGCGCTGCCTGCACTAGGCCTCACTTGTAGTTTACAGCACGCACCACGGGATTGGTGGCGTGGGCAGAAGCATTTTGGACGACGCTGTACCCGAGGCGTGCGGTGCCAGTTGTCGCATATGCAGGACAAACGCGCAGATGCGGCTCTGTAGCTTGGATTGCGCTCGAGAACGCACCCGGCTTTAGCATGAGCAGGTGCTCCAGTAGCGCTCTACGCGACGATCCCGGGTGCCCGTGGTGATACGCGCGGCGACGCTAGATGATGCGGAGGTTAGCCGCGTTGCCCGCAAGGAGCTCTGCGATCACCGGTCATTACGCTGCCTGTATGTACGCCAGGCAGCGCGCGACTCGTGGCCGTGTGTGCGATACAGTGCACCGGTGGAATCGATGACACGCGTCCAGAGGTTTTCGCTCGGGCGACAAGCTTGCTTTTCATTGAGGCGCGCAGAACTTCGTGTTTCATGTCCTCGATGTCAACTCGAAGGATCTGTTCGCTGCAGATCATGCGTTCTCGAGCGCTTCTGTGGAGCATTGCCTGGCGTGCTCGTCAAACACTGTGGTGTTGTGTGCTGCTATCCGTGAGTAGTATGCAGTTGACCTTGTGAATGATTTGAGCCCGCAGGTCGCATACTGCTTCAGCAATAATCATTAGTCTTGAGCGAGTTGGCGGCCTCGTCAACTGCACCGAGGCGCCTTCAGCATCCCAGGGCCTGAACACGAGTACGCTCTGATGCCTGTTATCGTCATCCAGGCAAGCGATCATCGGGCGCTCTCTCCAGGTTTCCCTGTGTCCTAAATGCAGCATCTCGCATCAGGCGACGAACGATTCGAATCCTCCAATACGGATACACCATCGTGCACTGCACCATATCCGCTATAGATGCACTGCAGGATGCACGATCACAGCAGCGCCCCAAATGCAGCATCTCGCATCAGGCGACGAGCAATTCGAATCCTCCAATACGGATACACCATCGTGCACTGCACCATATCCGTTATAGGTGCACTGCAGGATGCACGATCACAGCAGCGCCCTAAATGCAGCATCTCGCATCAGGCGACGAGCGATTCGAATCCTCCAATACGGATACACCATCGTGCACTGCACCATATCCGTTATAGGTGCACTGCAGGATGCACGATCACAGCAGCGCCCTAAATGCAGCATCTCGCATCAGGCGACGAGCAATTCGAATCCTCCAATACGGATACACCATCGTGCACTGCACCATATCCGTTATAGGTGCACTGCAGGATGCACGATCACAGCAGCGCCCTAAATGCAGCATCTCGCATCAGGCGACGAGCAATTCGAATCCTCCAATACGGATACACCATCGTGCACTGTACCATATCCGCTATAGGTGCACTGCAGGATGCACGATCACAGCAGCGCCCCAAATGCAGCATCTCGCATCAGGCGACGAGCGATTCGAGGTTTACCCGCACCAGGTGGCGCCATACGCTATTCGGCAGAGGTGCTTCAAACCGTTTGCTGCTGCGGTTGTGTCGCGCACGACAACCCTGGTTCGTGTTGTGCTAGTTGAAGACCGTAGCAGAAGCGCTCGAAAGAGCTATGGAAGAGGGAGCGCCCAGCGGGTTTCGTGGTTACGCGACGCTTTTCCGTTGAGCGCACTGCTCGTAGCTTCAAGCGCCCAATCAACGTTGAGTGAGCGAGCGCACGGCTCGAGGTGCGACTAGGACGCGCGCTGGTGTCGAAAACAAAGCCCACAGACTCCGGTAGCACGAGTCAAGAAAACCAAGCGTGCGGGCATGAAGTTTATGGACTTGCCGAGTGTCTCGGCACTGAATGCGGACTTGAACCAAGTGCCGCTGCCCCCGGGTGGTCACACCGTCCTCACGTGCGTCTTGGAAACGTACTCCTGCAAGGCGACGAACTCGGATAAGAAAGTAGCGCATTCACTGGAAAACCGTTTGAGCGAACAAGCTCAAGTCGAGTGCGTCTCGCCTCAGGGTGTCGGTGCGCGTGCGCAAAGAACGAACCCTCATCAACGCAAGGTGCTCATCTACCTCATTCTCGCGCTGAATACATCGTTTCCGGAATATGACTTTTCGGGAGTTGCCTCCAGAGCGCTCGAGTGCTTCAAGCCATGTCCGCCCACAGCCGTACAACACGACATTGATTTGGCACTGCAAGAAGCGTACCGATACATTGATGAGCAGCACGAGAGCCTCCGCCGAGGCCTTCCCCGGAACACGACCTCGTTGTCGGCGAAAGACCATTGGCCATCTGGCATTGGACGCATCCCTCGCAGGCGACAGCACGCTTCGGGGAGGTGTGGTCCTCAAATTCAGTCTGGAACCAGTGCCCGAACGCTAGCGATCGCATCCGCTCCGTATAGGAGGAAACGAGTGCTTGACCACGAGCGCGTTGTTGCGTCGGCGCCGTGCTCGCAGCGGGGTCTCGCTGGCAAGTCGCTGGCATCGAGCGCGCTCGGACAATCGTCCTGTGAGTCACTGACGTCGCTGCTTGGGACTCGAGAACGTCTTTGGACGACCGTCCAACAAGTCATTGCCTTCCCAAATTGCGAAATATATACATATGTCGAGGCAGACGATACTGACGGACCGTTTCATGAACCGGGAATCATCTGGTCATTCAATTACTTTTTCTACAATCATGCACTGAGGAGGGTTCTGTTCATGAAAGCAACGGCAGTACAGATGCTTCATCCGGAGCGTGTACCCACGCTTGAATGGCTCGAAGGTGAGTCGTTCATTCAAAGCGACTCAGCAACAGAAGATGAACGAATCGCAGAAGGGACAGTGTCACCGATGGGAGAAACGCGCGAATGCGAAGCGGCATCCGGGGCAGTCGGTATACTCCGAAAACACCGGAGCGATGCGCAGCTCATCTTCGACTTGAATCCATGAGTATCGGAGGAGATGTTTGCCGGAAAACTCCGGATCCGCTGCCGGCATTTTTGCCGGAGGTGTTCTGTGCCCGCTTCCGGCACCTCCATCACCTCGTTTCGCTCTGGACGCTGTACAACTAATCCACGGCATCGATGCATTTTCTCCCTACACATACTTTTCTTTCCAGGCATTGACCAGCAGTAGCAGCACACGGAAATGTGCCGCTCGCTCCCGCGGTGCTCAGCTCGCGCACAGTGCCTATGCAGCCAACCTGGTACACGAAACCCCACGCCTCTACGCTATCTTCGACATTCGTTAAAAATTGCGACCTCTAAAGCCAGCGAGACGGCTCGCATCTCCCTCGCATCGTCCGCTGCGCACCTGGTGCATCGCTCGGAACCGAGTTCCTCAGACGCGCATCCAACAACATCTAGACCTCTTCAGCAGCTTGCGCAACCTTCCACTGCAGGTTCGATAGCTCGTATGGCTCGGAAATCAGCACCTCTCCACTATCCGACACCTTAGCAACTTGCACCGATCGGAGCGCGCGACAGTCACGATAGTAAAGCACCCGAAGACACTCTTCGAGTAAACGCACGCCCTCATCCATAGCGAGCGCTGCGTGCCACTGTTTCCGGATCAAAGGCAGGGCTAGCAACGCACCTATGCCGGTCGCCACCGCTTCCGACTCAAAGGCGGTGCCGTAGAGATCGATGCAGCCCAGGAAGCGACCCTTCCCTGCGACCGCTAGGCTGTTATACAACGGGTCCATTCGCGAGCGTCTTCCGTACAACACACGCGCAAGATAGCTGTGGAGAGCGCGCGGCGACAGCTCATAGCCGTCTTCTTGACAGAACTCTTGGCGAAAGATATTGTCCGTGATCCGAAATAACTGTTGCAGGTCAGAGTACTCTCCGCCACCAGCGATAACGACACCAGGCGCCGGCTGGTGCAGCCTCGTGATGCGTTGAAACCGCGCCAGCGAACCGTATGAGGCAAGCGTGTCACAGGCAAGCACGACACCGTCCACGCACTGGACTCCAAGAACAGATGAACCTGTGACTATCGGTTCTGTTGTATGGGTTGGAGTCTCTATCATTACCTTCGAGCTGGTTGATACGACTGGTGCAGCGGGAAAGAGCCGCCAGCGGTTCAGCTGCTCGAAGCAGGCCCTGCTCCTGGTCAGTCGTCGAGCCAGCGGCGCGATGCCGGCGGGCAGCTTTCGACGTACTGCTTCGAGGTATGCGGCAATCGAACGTATTCACTGCAGCGTTTCCGTCCTCGACACCTGAGCATGGGTTTTTGAGCGTGTTTGGAGACCGAGGGGTGGATGAAAACAAGTCGAGCTGCAACAGCAGCAACTGTCGTAGCGGCAGCGGTAGGGGCATTCGCTCTACGGGGAGCGCGCTCGGGCCAGCAGGCTGAGCCAGCTCCACCAGTGTTGCGCTATGGACAGGGTCCATCGCCAGTTGCCTTATGCATAGGAGTGGTGCTATCGACACTCTGGAATGCGGGTCGGTTGGTTACGTTGTGATCGCGAAGGTCAGGCTTGCGGTTTCCTCGTTCGTTTTGCTCAAAGCAGCCGCCGCAGCCGCCACCGCTCTAGCGCAAACGCGTAGGTCGTGCTTTGCATACGTTTCCGCTGCGGTATGATCATGTGTCGTTTAGTGTTGTTTTCTTTCTGGTTCGGTATCTGTTTGCGTCCGATGAGGTTCGCATTGGCGCAAGCACCAAACGAATCCCGGCCAACCCACATCAGCTGTTGCACTTTTGTTGACATAGACCCTTCAACGACGCGACGCTACCGTTGTGTCTTCAGGTCGTCGGCAGGCGGCGCGCTCGTTCTGGTACCAGGAATTCCACCTGAAGACTGTATTGCATCCAAAAACACGGACTGAACCAAGTCAGTCTCCAGCGTGACCGCCACATAGCCGCTTCGACAAGCCGGAGCGATCACCAAGGCTGCACCTTGAATGCGAGCCGAACACAAGGTCAAGACTTGAAATGGCTCGCTTCTGTCCGGTCACGAGCATGCATTCGATCAGGTCTCCAGTGCCCCGAAAAACGATCAGGTTTCCATAATCTCTCTCTGTTTCCAGTGAACTGGTGGAACCGATGCGAAGAGCGAATTGTGTAGCGAAGCAAATCGCTCCCGGATCGCCGCACTGAACCTAGGCTGCTGCGTCGGGGATGCTCGCCCCAAATGCGCTACAATGAAGACACGGCTACGAAAGCTACTAGCGAACGCCGAGCACTCCGCAGAGCTCTGGGTAGTCAGCACGCCGCAGGAATACCACGGCGCCCTGTTTCTACGTGTGCCAGGAACGCACCAGCGCGAGTCGCCACTTCACATGAGAGACAAGGTAGCGGTACCACGGTTTGGACTGGGTGTATGCACGCGCGACACGGAAGCTGCGCAACTGCATTTGCACTCTGTAGGAGGCAACGCGCACAACGTGGCACTTTGTTGACATTTTGTGCGCGTCTAGCGATTCGGAGACAGCAGCAATGGTAAGGATGCTTTTGTTGGCGTAGCGCCCTTGCACCGGCCGAAAACAGCGGTGCTGTTGCCAGCTGGAAGGCAAGTTGAGGTAGCGTAACGCACACCGAGCATTCTCTTGCGCACTACATCCGGAAACTGCAACGCATCGGGAGGAACCGCAATCCTGCCCTGGAAGCCATGTTCCTGTTGTGCTGGTGCTTCGCAGGTGCGCCCCCGTCTCCTCATGGTCCGTTGCTGCCGCGATCGCTAGCTAACGAATACCGAGGATGGAGCTCTTCGGTTACGTTTCCGCGGGGGCCAGCATGCGGCGCGGATCTACTGCTTGGTCGAACGCTTCCGCGGTGATGTAGCCACTAGCGAGAGCCGCTTCCCGTAAAGACAAGTTTTCACGATGAGCTTTCTTCGCGATCGCTGCTGCCTTGTCGTAGCCTATCACTGGATTTAGGGCAGTGACGAGCATCAGCGAGCGCTCCACAAGGAAGGCAATGCGTTCGCGGTTCGCCTCAATGCCATGCACACAATGCAACTCGAACGATTTCATTCCATCGGTGAGCAAGCGTGTCGAATGGAGCACGTTATACGCTATGAGCGGCTTGTACACGTTCAACTGAAAATGCCCATTGCTTCCGCCAATCGTCACTGCGACATGATTGCCCATGACCTGGGCGCAGAGCATCGTCATGGCTTCGCATTGCGTTGGGTTGACCTTCCCCGGCATGATGCTGCTTCCGGGCTCATTTTCGGGGAGTTGCAGTTCACCGAGGCCACAGCGCGGACCGCTTCCCAGAAAGCGAATGTCATTGGCGATCTTCGTGAGGCTCACCGCCAGTGTATTCAGCGCGCCGCTGGTCTCGACCATGGCATCATGGGCAGCCAGCGCTTCGAATTTGTTGGGTGCAGGCCGGAAGACGGTTCCAGTGTGCTCGCTTAGCTCCCGGCAGACGAGCTCATCAAACCCTCGTCGTGAGTTCAGCCCAGTGCCCACCGCGGTTCCGCCGATGGCCAGATATCGAAGACGCTCCAGCGCGTTCAGCATCCGCTGCTCGCCGAACTCGAGCTGTTGCACATAGGCACTGAACTCTTGGCCCAGCGTTAAGGGCACGGCGTCCTGCAGATGCGTTCGGCCGATTTTAATGATGTCCTCAAAAGCGGTGGACTTGTTCTGCAATGCGTTTCGGAGATCGCGCAGGCCTGGAAGCAGTTTGCGTTCTATTTCGAGTACAGCAGCGATATGCATAGCACTCGGAAACGTGTCATTACTGCTCTGGCTCATATTCACGTGATCATTCGGATGCACCGGGGACTTGGATCCAAGTTCTCCACCAAGCATTTCAATTGCTCTATTACTGATAACCTCATTCACGTTCATATTGGTCTGTGTACCCGAGCCTGTCTGCCATACAACGAGCGGGAAATGCTCATCGAGCTTGCCAGTCGCAACTTCCTCCGCTGCGCGCACGATCATCTCTCCCAGCCGCGAATCGAGAACGCCCAGCGCCATATTAGCCTTGGCGGCTGCACGCTTTAGTTCGCCAAACGCATGGATTATTGGGCGTGGCATGCGATCTGTGTCACGACAGATATCAAAGTTGCGAAGCGAACGCGCTGTCTGGGCACCATAGTACCTATCTGCAGGCACCAGGATCGGGCCGAATGTATCTCGCTCTGTTCTGGTATCTCCCTGCATTGCTGGACGCTCCACAGAGCTGCCGAAGCAGCGCGTGTACGATGCAACCGGCGGCGTCGTCTGAAGGGCGCTGCGCACGCCACCCCCAGGCAGCGCGTGCTCTGCGTTGTGAGAGGTACCACCGCGGATCCCGGTCGAAGCCGGTCTTCGCTGAAACACAGGCCCACCCTGATACTCTCCTGCTGCCAAGTACGCTTCCAGTGGCCGCAAGCTCGCCCAGAGACTCGAAACGGCTCTGGCACGCTGCGCGCTCATGAACGCGGATAGCCGCTGCCACCGCCTGATAACGAGCGAATGAACGAGAGGCTCGCTAGTCGCGCTCCGCGCACGCCAATGCTTCATGTGCGCATCGCTTCGCAGCGCTGGTGCGATGTCCAGCGCTAGCGACACTTGCAGAATGTACATAGGTATACTGGAATGTATACATATGGACAGAACTTGAATGGCGAGGCATGCGCATCGCTTCGCAGCGCTGGTGCGATGCCCAGCGCTGGCGACACTTGCAGAATGTACATAGTATACTGGAATGTATACATATGGACAGAACTTGAATGGCGAGGCATGCGCATCGCTTCGCAGCGCTGGTGCGATGCCCAGCGCTAGCGACACTTGCAGAATGTACATACGTATGCTGGAATGTATACATATGGACAGAACTTGAATGGCGAGGCATGCGCATCGCTTCGCAGCGCTGGTGCGATGCCCAGCGCTGGCGACACTTGCAGAATGTACATAGTATACTGGAATGTATACATATGGACAGAACTTGAATGGCGAGGCATGCGCATCGCTTCGCAGCGCTGATGCCAGCGACATCGCTCGGTGCCCGAATAAGCGTCGCTCTCCGCGAGCCCTATTGTGAACGTTCGCAGACGCATAGCAGACGCCTCTGGAAGCGAGAGCGCTTCTCAACTAGGGCTTCGTTCATGTTCGTGGGTTCGGTAAATGTGTTAAGGAAGCCACGGGGCTGCTGCTTTCACGGTTGGAAGTACTGGGCGATAGAGCGCCAGGAGCGACTTGAACGACGGCAGCGACACGTCGCGTTTCGTTCGCCGAGTTCGAAGACTGGCCGGCCGTCGCTTTCTATGGAGCTATCGGATGAGGTGCTGACTGCCCTGATAGTCGGCGGATTGGGTACCATTGCGGGTATAGGTTTGCTCGCGTTCACAGAGGTGCAAGGTGAGCGCGGGAAGGCCCGGGGTCGGCGTGAACCCTGCGTGGAATGTCGTGGGGACGGTCAGGTTGCCTGCGGGTACTGCCAGGGCCGCGGCAAGCTCGGTTTCGGGCAGTATGAAAAGGAATGTTCGTACTGCAAGGGGCGAAGCACTGTGGTTTGTCTCAACTGCGGCGGGTCTGGTCTACAGCCCCGATATCTTGATCGCATTCGGCCGGAGGACCTCATGGACTAGGCTGACGCAGCGAGTCATCGTTCAGTGCTTATAGTCTTTCTCATCAATCGTGCTCCGACTCCCAGATGCGTGTCGTCAAATTCGTTTTCGCAGTTTAGAGCGGATGCGTTCGACGTGCGCTCATTTGAAGAAAAGTAAGAATCCAAGGGAAAGGAGCAAAGATGGGCGTCGGGGATCCTCGAAGGCTGTCATCACCGGCTGCCGGGAAAGAAAACGAAAAATTCTGTTTTCTCCACCCATCGAGGGAAAAGCGCAAGTGTCGACGAAGAAGAAGGGGGAAATAGGCGAGAGAGGGCGTTTGCGCTACGGGACGATGACCTTACTGCAGTGCCACAGAGGGCTCGAATTAGAGGCCTCCTTGTGCTGGGGAGCTCCACCAGCCTCAATGCACGCAGGGAGCTCGTCAACTGAGACACCAGCGCCGTCACCCAGCAGCAGACGATGTGGGATGCTGAATACGAGAGACCAGGGGAGCTGAGGCGATCTAACTTCATCTAGCAACCTCTGCTGCTCGAAGTGTACTGTTAGAAACCGAAATAGATGCCAGGGGACCGGTCACGAACGGCGCAGAGGCGCATGCGCGTGGGTATACGTATTTACCCTCCATGGTCGTTGAACGTTTTTGTTTTACTTCTGGGATACCAGGCTAGCACGCCTGCGTAGCGCAAAAAAGCAGTACCCGAGCGCTGCACTGCGGCAACCACCACCATCTTAACGGACGGTGTAGAAATGCGGTGCGCCGTCGACATTTTTGGCAACAGTCCTGGAACAGGCGCTAAAGAAGAGCGGGGGGATCGCTCCAACCAGCGCTGGGGGCACCAAAGTCCCGGTCATCAACACAACGTAAACGCTCGATACATGTCGATGATTTGCTTTCCACCCAGAGCACGCCGAGCGCCTCGAATCCGATCGCTGCGCAGGCACTCTGTTTCTAAAAATGCATTCCAAGCACTCCGTTTTATCGTGCAGCGTCGAAGCATGCAACCTTATGTAGATGCATATAGTTAGCGGCATGACGCACGGACATCCAGCGGGGCGGCTGGTAGGCGTTCCGGTGCGCGCGCACAAACACACCCACACACACACAGGACTCGCGGGTTCGGGCTAGGCGCCGCACTGACGCATGGCTTGCGTTGCCAGATGCTATGCACGTACATGTGGCGATACCGGGGGCGCATGGCGATTCCGACGCTGGGAATCGTCACTCGGGAAATGTAACTAGAAGCGAGAGGCATACACAGGACCTGAAAGGTTTCCTTCGCCCAGCTGTAGGCGTATCACTGGACGCTTTTGAAAGTTGCTTGGCAGATCATGATCTGCGTGAAGGAGAACTCTAAAGGAGGCGCCCAGTCCTGGTCGAAGCGACGAGTGCTTCAGCCATGGATGAGCGTGTTGACGCGGAATCGCTTCCCATCATCCATTCCCTGGGTGCCAAGGGATTCTTTTTGGATCCCAGCGAGTTCGATGAGGCGCCGGGGCAGTCGCAGTGCGCGAAGCTGCCGGCCATATCCCATGTGGTGAAACCCGGAGCCAAACGCAAGCGTACTTTGAGCGCGTCCTGTGCGAGCGCCTCTACCTGGTCGGCGGCGTATGAGGTATGCACGGCACATGTGAGGACTGTCTGTTGACCTGCAAAGCAGCGGAAACCGCCGCCAAGCATTTCCCCTCTCACGTGCATGCCTGGATGGGAATCCAAGCACCCATCTATCCATCGGTAGCGGCAGCAGGGTAACGGACAGGCAGCACGCCTCCACGAGATGCGCTCGTCCGACAGGCAGCCAGTACGGACAAGATGCCTTCCACACATCTCTATCGAAATAAAATAGAATGGCCCTGCTCGCTAACTTGGGCTTGCTCTCCAAAGTCTGGGTCCCTTGCCACTGTGATCCTCACCAGAATGTGCGCGCTTTTTCTGAGACTGCTTCCGCTTCTGCTCTCGCTCTTCTCCGGGATCGAGTACGTGAGTCGCTCCTGTCCCTGCACCTCCGTCATCAGCAGCCGAAGGATGTTGATAGCTGTATGAATGTCTCGAGTTCGCCGCTTGCTGCTGTTGTCAACGTATTTCGTACGTAGGTAAAAGTTGCGATGTGCATTTTACTTGTCATGTTGATCTTGTTTGTAAACAGCCCCGGTGCAGCCGTCGTACCAATGACACCTGAGCAGTTTCGGGGTCTCCCATACGTCGACCCCGATGCCTCGTTGACCTCCAAATGCCGTCCTCTGGCGCGTGACCATTTGATTCAGCGCTCGGTCCACGACCTCGACGAGCACAGAGGGATGCCCTCGATGCTGTCATCAGACTCGGCGCCCGGCGTCGTATACTGGAATCACGGGCCTTTTCTGGGCGATCACCTCAGCCAGCACGCTTTATGAAGCACACGCGCTCGCACACTGCTCCATTCGATAGAGGATATGCGGAACGCAATGTCATCCATGAAGAAACAGGTACCGGAAGCAAAATTCAGGTTGGATCGCAAATCGACAGGTGTCGACCGGCCCACGCTCCCTTTGTGCAAAGCGGTATCGCGCACCCCACTGGTATCGATCCCCGCGATCACTGGAGACCGCGTCCAAGAAGATTCCCATGAAGACAGAACCGACGGTGGAGTCTGGATGCGTATCCCAGAAGAGGTGTCACGCTGCACTCGAATATTGCTTTCGTCAATCGACATAGAGACAGAATTGTCGTTCAAAGGGCATTGATGATTTGGCATGAAGAGTTCAATACACGTTCAGCGCGCACCTCTCGACGAGCTCTCTACGGACGATATCGAATGGTTGCTCCCGTCAATGCAGTCGCGCAAAGTACTGCGCTCACGCGTTGCCTTGAAACAGAAAGTTCCACGTCATGAAGGACGCGCGATTTGGGCACGCTATACACATGAAATCGAGACACGCGGAGTCTTGAACGCATGCATTGGACAATGATATTGGTTATTGAACGAAGCCGTATTCGAGGGCGTCGCAAATCATCCTGCTTTCGGTGACATAGCGAGAGCCAGTGGCAACGCGTCGAGGGATGCACTCCAAAATCACGCCCGAGAATCTTACACCTATGAATCCATAATGCTTTATTGGTGCAGTTCGAATGTCGACGCCATGCAAATCAGTAAAGTTCGGGAACAAAGCTCATGTCACGGACCGAGCGCGTATTTCAGTGTCCAATTTTTTAATCTGATACGGGTCTAAGGCCAATGAACCCAGAAATTGACCAGACTCTGGTTGAGGGGTTGTCGTTGTATGTGGGCGTCATGTGCCGGCACCGCAAGCTTTTTTTCTGGCCCGCAGAACGTCGACGTAGACCAGGGAACGCAGCCAAAACAACGCGCGCTACCTCTGACTTTCCGCCGGCCACTGCCCGTAGATCCGCTGGGAGATAGCGGGTATTTCTGGCATTCCGCCGAGCATCGAGACAGATTCGGCTTTGCTATGCAAGGGAAAGCGCCGGCTAGAAACGTAAGGCACCCAACGCGGGTTTCACGACTCGCCACCAAAAGTCTCGGTTCACAGTGCTTTGGTACGCAGGCATACCTTTGCGCCTCGAATCAACAGAGATACCCGGCATTCGGAGCGAATCCTGGGTACTAATTACACCGCCCTTCGGAATCGTCCGGAGCATGTGTCGCCGTTTTTCGCGACACAGGCGCCGGCCTGACACGCTTCTGAACGCGGTTCTCGACTGCCTGGATCGCGGTGCACACCAGATTCACGCGGATGTTCGCGTACGAAGCGCATCGCACACCGTGCGGCGCGCTGCGCATGCATCGCGCTGGTGTGCTTCCGATATCACTTGTGTCCATTTATATATATTATTTTGTCTATCTGTCCATTCGTGTCTTGAAATTTCCATGCGTCTGTTTGGTAACGCCAGCGTCATCTGTGTCAGCGTCAGCGGGGGCGTATCGCGAGCGCGCCGTCGGCCGGGCGCTGGAAACGTTCCAGTGCAGTGCGCGCGCGCGCCCCCGCTGAGCACCCCAGAACGTGGTTTGTGTTTCGTGCCGGTGCGAGTGCTGGAGATGAGCGGGAGTGCACTCGAGCGGCTTTCGAGCGAGACCACTGACAGCTCCAGATCATCCCCCACTTGTAAATATGATCGCCGAGGGGCTTCACTAGGGAGAGCGGTGGGCTCCACGGGGATGGCGGCGACAGCTACAGAGCAGAGCGCTGGCTGGCAGGATGCCCTGCGCGAAGCGAACGCTTCGGCCCTGCGCAAGTGGCTCGCCAGCGGGCGACTTTTACCCTCTGAGGCGTCCGACGTGCTTGATGTTTCCGGGGAGCTGTGCGGATCCAACAGACTCGAAGGAACCCAAGTTGTAGCTTGTCAGTCGTTGTTCCCGAAGGAGTTGCGAACACCGCGAGGTGCCTCGTGGCTCCTGCTCTCCCAAAGGCCGCGAAATGATGCGCGCTCGACAGTTCCTAGCTATGTAGATTTACTCGATAGCATTGGCACGAGCTTTGCCCGCTATAAACAATTGTGGGAAAAGATTGAGCAGGATATTCCGCGGACGTTCCGTGGATGCGACACGGTTCGTCATCGGGTGCCACCGGAGGCGCTTGCGCGCGTTCTCCTGGCGGTCGCGGTTCACAACAACCAAACGTATGTGCAGGGCATGAACCTCTACGCAGCATCGTTCCTGCACGTATTGCCCGAGCCTGAGGCGTTTCGGTTGCTTGTGTGCCTCGTGGAGGATTATGCACCGCGCTATCTCCAAGTGAATTCGGTAGCTGGCGCCTACGAGGGTTGCCGGCTCGCCGCCCGTACCATCCAGCATGTAGACCAGGAGCTCGCCACAATGCTCAGCGGAGATCCATTGGGTCTGGAACGCGCGCTTCTCGTGCACGGGTTCCCGGCGGTGCTCTCGTTTTCTCTTTGTATCCCGCCGTTCGAGGATGCCATGCCGCTCCTCGACTGGATTCTCGCGTTCGGCGCCCATTTCGGTGTGGTGTTTGTGGTTGCTCGACTGCGTTGTGCACGCGAGCAGCTTCTGAGTCGAACGGTTACTGTCAAAGAGGTTTTGAACCCCAGAAAAGAGCAAGACGCTTTTCGCATTCCGCCGGCGGCTATCATACGAGAATCCCTGAAAATTGTCGCGCAGTTGCCAGCGCACTTGTGGCAACAGCTGCAGAAGCATCCGTTGGATGCATGATCTCCCCAGAATCATGGTCACACTCGAGATCCGTACAGCACAGGCGACGTGACCGATCACCTGAGCAGGATTGCTCTTCCATGGATAGATGCTGCTCTTTCGATCTGCACGCTGTTTATGAAGCTTCGCCCGTACCAGGCTCCTTGTTTGGTGCAGATCACCGCTTCATCGTCTTTGGAGAAACGCTCATGATGCCGTTACCGCCCGCAGTACCTTCATCTTGCAGTACGCGCAACGCGAGACGTACCATCAGCGGTCTCGATTCAAGCTCGTTCAACGATGTTGTCGCCACCGTGCGCCCTGTTCGGCAAACGGGCCGCTTCGCTTGCAACAGTGACGCGCGCGCGTCCGTCGTGAAACACCCATTCACGTCGGACTCTTCACCCCATTATGGTTCATGCACAGAGGCACGTGGTTGTGGTGCTCCGCTTGCTGTTCATCGTCGCCGTTGCCCTGGTGACGAAATGCTTCACTGGAAAAAACTTACGTGTCGGTTCCTTACATGCGCATCGAATCCATGCTGGGCCTCGGTCCATACAAGTCCGAGGTTGGCGCTGACCCATGGCGGCGCTTGCATCTGGCAACATACGCGCTTCCAGGCCGCATCTGCTGCGTCGCTTCCATCCTCAGCTTCGGAGTCGTCCTGAACGCATCCTCATGGTCGAGGTGTTTCGGTGTCCGCGACGCAGTCAGGCTGCTGCTGGGTTTCCAGTTCTCTGCTCAACCGGACGAAACATCGATCATATGTTTGTAAAAGCGCTTTAAGCATACATGCACGCGAACAAGTGGACAAGTAGCGTTAGTACGCGACCACTACCGTCTAGTATCATCTCATGCTGTCGACGACTGCGCACGGTGTGCACGTCGTTGTGCGAGTCACACCCGAGTTCCGGCGAGCTGATGTGCATCAAATCGTGGCGAATGAACGCCGACTTGTTCATCGCTGAAGACGAAAGCGATAGAGCAGCTTTGGCACAAGCACCAATATTCCCCGTGATTGATGCTGTTTGCAGGGTTCAACGCCTGCGCATGACCGCCATACGGAACTACAAAACCCTGCGTAGAACAGAGCGGATGCTGACGATGTCTTCTGTGTGGAGTGCTGTTCTCGGGGTCATCGACACCGCAAAACGGCGCATCGTTTAGCGCCACTTCAAGCGCAGCACGCTCCACGCTACTCGTGATATGGATGCAGCGGTTGCGAATCAGTCTCGTGGACAATGCTTGCCGATGACGTGTCCCGAGTCGCGACCTGCCGCGGGTCCTGCACGGAGCTCTGAACCTAACTAGACAAGTATGAATATTTAGATAAATAGAGGACATTATGGCCCATGGATGGAGCGCGATCACCCTGCACTGCACCCACGGTATCCTTCATAACTTGCATATCTGTGGTGTCTGCGCTGTGCACTGGGGCGACTTCCACGAGCCCCTGCGGTACGATGGCCTTCCAGGTGTTTATCGGAAGCGGAAGACGCAGTACATCCAGGCTCGGACTGTGTCGAACTGTTGTAAAATCGCGACCACGGAGCTCGGTGTGCGCGATCAAGAGGGCAGCTCGTACGCCACGCGCCTGCGCCTGGGTGACGAATGAAGCCTCGGTGACAGCACCAGGCACGAAAGGTGTCCAGTCCATCGAGTCGGAAACAGTTCAAAATAAAAATACGCGGATCAAGTGGTTTCTTGGCGCAGGTGTGCTGTTCTGTGTGGTCGTGGTTTTTTACCAGCTGGGACACCAGCCCTGGGTGCACGCGCGCTTCTCGAGCCTGGTGCAGCGGCTGGTGACACTGGCGGACCAGCACGGTCCGGGTAAGATTGCTGCAGCCTTCGCACTGCTGCACTTTGTCGCTATCGTGTTATGTTTCCCGGCATCGGCGTTGATCGAGGTCGCCGCTGGATACACGCTAGGTTTTCCGCTGGGGTTTCTTTCGATGCATCTGAGCAAACTGGGGGCGGCGATCGCGTGTTTCATCCTTGGTCGCACTGTGCTCTATGGTTACGTGCAGAAACAGTGCCAACGATTTCCACGTTTCCGGTACTGGTTGGACATCGTCCGCCGCGAGGGTCCGTCTATGATGTTGTACATGCGGCTCTCACCGGTACCCTCGTTTATCAATAACTACCTGCTTGCGGCTGTGGGCGTCCGATTCAGCGATTTTCTCTGGACGACGACTTTGGGCATTGTGCCAGGTCTGCTGCCATTGGTCGGGGCTGGCGTCGGCGCCCGCGACCTGAGCTTACTCTCGATGGGTGCCGACGGAGCGCTTCCAAAGGCGGCAACGGTGCCCAGTTGGGCCCATACGCTTCGTCTAGGAAGCACGATCGTGGGTGCTGTTCTACTCGTAGGATTCCTCGTGCGCCTGTATCGACAGCGAATCGAAGCTCGATCCCAAGTGCTCGCAAAGGAACCCGTTGGCGAGGACTCGGCGGATCGCGGCCCGCGCTGACACCCGTCGGCTACGGACAAGTCATGAAGGCTCATCCTCGGGTCTGGTGCTCAGAGAAATAGCGGCGCAAGACCATCATGGATAAAGCCTCGACTTGGGGTGCTATGTTCTGCCAACACACTCGTTGCTGTGCACTGGTGAAGAACGGCTGGAGTTGTTCGCAAGCATTATCCGCGAGCTGCAGCGCAACGGTGAACGTCGAGTTGTCGTCTTCGTCGTTGTCGTCGAAGACGACCGACCAGCAAGGCCGCACGTTTAATTTGGCCCGCAAATGCCAGATAAGCGAGGCCCAGGTATCCTCTGGTGCTGCTTTGGGAGCATAGTCGAGGAGTGTCCGGCTTATGCGCTGCCAGAAGCGACTCCGCTGCACTCGCTCTGACGTTGGTGACGGAAGACCGCTGAATGGACCTACTGCCGCCGGCGGTATATCGGTAATAGATACGCACTGGTCCGCTTCCCAGCGGATTTGCTGCGAGGATAACAAGCTACGGACCCTTTCGTACAGTTTTTCCAAGAACTGGAGCCAAGATGGCGCAGTGGCGGCAGCAGCGTCTGCGACAGCGTACCACGCCTGATCCACTGACGGTATCTTTGGCGACGGCATCGAATCCTGCAGCATCGCCAGTGGTGCGGCTGGTATCTCCAGTTGAAGCGGATCACGCTGTGTATCCAAGAGAAACCGTCGCAACCATTCCACAGCGTATTCCCGCATCATGAGCTGATCACCGTGCATGCCGCCGAAAAGCGCCCGCAACAACAACGAGGCAACGAGCGCCCGCGCTGGTGCCGGTACCAACGTTCCAAAAGCTTCCTCGCACACCGCCCAGTCGTGCTGGAACGCCTCAATGCTGTGATAGCGTCTCGATACCTGCAAGTCACGAACGGCGACGCTGCTGATCTCAGCCGCGAACCGCAGCACTGCATCGACATCGGCTGCAGTCGGTTGGTAGCCCTTACTCGCTGTGCCCATGAACCAGGCCAGGATCGGCATGGCTGGGTGTGCCATACTATCCTCCACGGTGATAACCAGCAGTCGCCGCGCAACCATACCCAAACCGTATCGATCGATCAGGTAGCGCGAGAGGCGAACAACCTGGGGCCAGCGAGCCCGTCGGATGCTCTTCTGCAGCGCCGACAGCAGCAGCGCACGCGGGAGACGCGGCTCGCGTCCCTCAAGAAGCTTTGTAGCCGGCACATATGCGTCATGCTCGAAGAGGGACTTGTGCGCCAGCCAAATGACTTGGGTTCGGATTTTGCTGGCGTCTGCGTACTGTTCGCGAACGTTGCTAGGTCGCCAGAGTGCGTCAGCGAGTCGCGTGCTACCCAAGCATCGCCAACACGGCTCTGTAAGCAGGCGCTCTAGTCGCGAATCACCTGCGAAGAGCAGTTCCGAGCGCAAATAGGTGCCGTTCGCACCGGTGGCATCATTCCCGCGATAAAAGCGTTGCATGGTCCAGTAACAGGCTAGGTAGCGTTGAGGCGTCATCAGTAAGCGAAACGCGTTCCGCGCTTCACTGTGTGCAGAAGACGTGTACGGCACGTCTGCTGTGAGTGTCTGGTATGCAGCCTGCAAACTCGTATTCGTCGTTGACACGTCTGGCTGGGAGGCGGTCGACGACGACGACGACGCCGCACCAGTTGTGTTTCGGTGACATCCAGCAGACTCCGAACTGTTCTGCTGTGCTTGCGTCTGCGCCAGGCAGGCGTCCCGAGCGGGATCCGCTGATCCAGGTGTCTCGTCTGGCAACCTGTCCCAAGTACTGATGGTGCTGCTGTTCGCAGAAGCGAGCACGTCCTGTGACCTCCGTTCGCTGCAGTCATAGAGGGTGTGAAAGCTCAGACTCGCTGCCGCCAGACGTTCGTGGCACGCTGGGCAGCAGACCCAAACCGAAGACTCGTGCCTCGGCACCGGCTTGAGTTGTTGTTGCCCAGGTTGCAACCGCCTGAGCGCTCGTTTCCGCTTCATGCGCGCGAAGCACCCTCGCACTTTGACCTACACTACGCCGTGGAGTTCATCGGCGACATCCGGGCCCGCTGGCACAGTCTGACGGACAGGGGCGGTTCCCCGCCAAAGCAAACTTTGCCTTTCAGGTGTTATATCCTCGTAGGTCGCGTCTCGAGCGCGGTGCGAGCTTTTCAAGCGCACCATCGACTGAGAAGCGGTCAATCGGGGTCCGATTGCCGTCTGGCTGGCGGACACAGCGCCTTTTCCGGGGTACCGGTTCGAGGGCACGCGCTTGCCTGCACCAGTGCAGGCAGCGCAGTTTGCTATACCCGTGTCAGGTGAAAATGGAAGAAGATTGTGTGAAGAGGACTCGGGCGTCTACACGACGTTCGCATCCGCATAAAACGGAACCGGTGCGCTAACTGGGATGTATATTCTAAAGTCTGTATCGCTTGCCGTTGTCATCGACACCAGCTTTGCGAGGTTTCTCTGCGAATGATTCGTTTTCCGCGCTGGTTGTTCCAGCTCCCACTGTACCAGTCTATGATTTCCCGGGAGGACCGGTGCCTGCATGCGAACGATGGTGACGGCAATATGAAAGTCTCGATGCTCTGCTGTTTCCGGCAGTTGTGGATGCATGGTATGCTCAAGCCGATGTTGCGATCTACGGGTCGCGTACCGTTTCCGTTTGCTTCGTATGCAGCCTTGGCGCGCATTTCGCAGCGGTATGACTTGGATTTGGTGAGATGTTTCGATATCTACGGCACATATGCTCATTCAAGGTCCGTTGTATTTCACGCGAGCGCTTGTTTAATCGCTCAGTATACACGGCTGACGGGTACAGAAGGCTCGCGAAGCTGCTCTGCTCCGTTTCCTAGCGCGGTGCAGGTTCAATGACCATGGGTTTCTTTGAGTCGATGTCCACGTCGACTACAAGTTTTGCTGCATATGCGAGCGCATGCTGTTCCATTCAATCGAAGATTTGTGGAATACAATCATATCCATGATGCCGCAATTACCAGAGGGCAAATCCAGGCTGGAGAACACGTCGAGAAATTTCGAAACGTCTCCGCTAACTTCGTGCAAAGCGGTGACGCATGCTCCACTACAACTGATCAATGTGATGCCGGGAATTCGAGTGCAAGACGCTTTTTCAAGTCAACACAAGAGACAGGGGCCTCCCGGAGCATTTCCAGTGTATGGCGTCGTGCTGCTGTGGAATGCTCTATCGTCGGTGGCAGCAAAGCAAGAGGGCTATGTCTTTGAAACAGATTCGATTCATGGACGTGACATGTTGAGCCTGGCCTCGACATGAGCCTGTGAACAAGTCGTCGAGTCATGGCATCGAGTATTTCTCGTCATCAGTCCAGGAGCGCGGATTCCCGCCCACCGTGTGTTGCCTTGAATCAGAAACATCGAAAAATTGAACCATACATTATTTGAGCACACTACTCGCAATTTAAGATGCAAACCGAACTCTTATACCTATGATTTATATGAGAATATCGGCTGTTTTGCAAACCGTTATTCAACGACGTCGCGAAAGATCGTCATGCCGGTGGTGTCGTGAATGCCAGCGGCGAGGCGTGAAACGAGCCACTCCCGAAAATGCGACCGAGAACCTCAGAACAACCTCTGAATTCTTCAGCTCCCATTGCTGTGCGTTGAATCTTATGGCTGTGCATCAAGGCAGAAAAAAAACCGCAAGGCAGTTACAGAGCTAGTATTTTCATGTTCCTTTTTAAAGTCACACAGGTTTAGGGGCTGATGTGTACGTGTCTATTGCAACTTACTGTCGTCGATGGGCGCAAACGCACACAAACGCATCGCGTTCTTCGCAGTCGATGCATCGGATCTGCAGCGATCGTTAGCGTGCTGCAGCGGTTTATCCATCGGCACTGCGGACCCGTGTGTCTGTCTGTCTGTCTGTATGTCTGTCTGTCTGTGTGTGTGTATGTGTGCCCTACAGATGCCGACGACCTTGCTCATCGAATCCAGGAGGGCGTTCCTGCCAGGGCAACTTGCGACCCTCCATTTCAGCCTGAATTTCCATTCGCTCCAGCTCGAACACGGATAAAGTGCGCATCCAGGCCTCATCCTGAATCTCGCGTGGGCTTTTACCCACAAGCTCCAGTAGCTCACGCGCCACTTCGTCCGCTTGATCACCGATTTCGCGGCAACGAGAAACAAGTTTCTCGTCAATGGCTCCGTATTTTTCAATGAGCTCGCGGAGAATTTCCAGGAAACGCTTGCCGTCGATTTCCATTTGTGCCTCAGAGTTTGCGTCCGGAGCAATGAAGACGCGATCCCGCGGGGAGAAGGCCGCAAACAGCATTTGCCGCCGCTGTTCGGGGTCCTCGGTGCGCAGCAGCGCACGCACCAGACGCAGCTCCTTGTCTTTCACAGCCTCGTCAATAATCCGCGATGCCTCCTGCCGAAGCGATTCCAGTATGGAAATTACTTGCGCGTTCGCACCTTCCTTCTTCGCCCTCTCTATATTCGCCTGCATAATGAGCATAAATGCCTCATCAATACCCCCGTTCGCTCCGATTTCCCGCAGCTTCATAGACATTGCCTTGGGCGCGCCGCTGCGCAACACCTCTGACAGGCGCTGCGCGGCTCGATCCATACGCGATTTCATCTCATCATTGATAGCCTGGGCGACTTTGGCGGCTTCAGCGCTGTTATTCTGTTCTCCGTGGGCCCTCTCGAAGACATAATTCAAGAACGCAGCAGTGAAGCGGTCATAGTTGGCTGCGACTGCCACGCGGAGGCGATCCTCATCGCTGGCGTGCTGCGCCAAACTCTGGTACAGCTGTTCAAGTTCCCGCTGTAACGTCATTTCAGAGTCGTCCGGGCGTTCCTCCGGTTTTGCAGACTTCATTTCCGATCCCTGCTTTCGCAGCAACTCGTTCATCAAATCGGTAATAGCATCTTTCAAAGTACTCAGCGTAACGCGTTCCTCGAGGTCCTTTGTGGTGTCTATTTTTTGCTGGAGAAATTCGTAAAAAGCGGCATCAAACTCCTCCAAATTTTCCTCGATGAACTTGGGGAGCAGCTCAGGTTGCATGAACACCAGCTGCCCAAGCAAGACATCCTCCCGGCTGGGTTGAATGGGGGTCGCTTCCGCTGTCATGTGAAGGTTTCGGCGTGCTGCTTTCAGTCCGCCTCTCGGCGTTCGCCGCTGTCGAGCGCCGCTCGCCACAGCACCAGAGGCCAGTCGTGGCCTGTGCGAGACCACACCCGAGCAGACCGTGTTCGCCCTGAGTCGCCACAAGGTCGCCAAACGCGCACCAGCGAGCACTGCGAACGTTTCAACAAACATGATGCGCTACCGAGCAGGGACGTGTTCAAGTCTCCGATAACAAGCTTCAGCACCGTGTTGTATAAACTCGTTCCGCGGTTCCCAGACAAAAATTTACAAAATTGGCAAGCGTTTCCCCGTATGTATTTTTTCAGCAATTCACGAGCGTTTCAGCACAGTGTTTTGCACTGGAAACGCAGCGTCTAAACAATGCAACCCAGAAAGCAGTGTATCGATTGCGGTATTCGCCCCGGTGGCCGCCGCCGCCGCCGCCGCCGCCGCCGCCGGACGCTTGCGCACGGCGATTCCGGTGGCGCTGCTGCTGCTGCTGCTGCCTCCGTGACCATATCACAATGAGAAAGATGAGGAATAAACGGACATGTCATCTGGGGATCATCATACGCTGCACGTGGCGGCGCGGCCCTGTGCTGCACGCCACAACGCCGGACGCACATCCGCTGTGTCGTACAGGCGACGGCGGCGGGTGCGGTCGTCAGCGCGCCCGAACGCCACCTGCGCCATCCGCCTCGTACTCGTCCAGAACGTAAGGGTATACGAGCCGGCGTTGTGGCTGTGCCAGACAGCAGACGCTGTCGTTTGATAGGCTTCGTTGCGCAGCTGGTCGCAAGCGCCTCTAGCTGGCGTGCTCTCAAGGCTGCGCGCTCACCACCCGTATAGCGCTGCTTCCTGGGCGTTCGGCAGTTGACTTGTGAGTGAATCGCTTGCGTCTACCTGGAAAGCGTGCGTGAAGCTACCTCGTTCGCGTATCGTGTCAGGAGGCAGTCCATCCACGACACCAGGCTCAGGTCTGCTGTGTGTGTGTGCGTGCGTGTGCGTGTGCGTAGTTCGTTGGCACCTCAGCTCGAGAGACAGAGCGAGAGAGACGCGAGTCTAGCGCCTGCACGCAGGAAGCTCGCACCAGGCTCTCGTAGCGGTACTACGTAGACGCGAACGAACGGTACCTGGTGGCGAAGAGTTCGGAGCTTCAAGATCGGACGGGTTCAGTCGGAAGAGTTGGGTCTGGAACCATTCCGGCTTTGCGTTGCTTGGCCAGCATGGAAGTAGCCGCAGACACCCTGAACATTTCGACACGCTCCGCTGATGCAACAGCCGATGCGACGCCAGTTGCAGCGCTTATAGACGAACTTCGTCACGACGATGTATCGCTACGCATACACGCGATACAGGAGCTTCCACGGATAGCGAAAGCCATCGGGGAAGAACGAACACGTACGGAGCTACTGCCTTTCGTGCTGGAGACCATAGATGATGAAGATGAGGTCCTGCTCGCGCTTGCGGGCCAGTTGGACGAGCGCTTTCTCCCATACGTCGGGGGAAAAGACTATCTATCTGCGATGCTCGAACCGCTGGAACAACTCGCTCAGGTTGAGGAGACCGTTGTTCGGGAGCGTGCTGTCGAATCGATTCTCTCGCTCGCTCGCTGCTGTGAACCGGGCGAGCACTGGTTTCTGGACGCTTTCTACCCATTGCTGAAGCGGCTCGCCGAAGGTGACTGGTTTACTTCGCGTATTTCGGCAACAGCGCTTTTTGCGACCACATACGCTGGACTTGTGGCGTCTGAGACAGATGCGCGGGCGGAGCTGCGGTCGCTGTTTCTCTCTCTGGCGAAGGACGACACGCCGATGGTGCGGCGGGCAGCAGCGTCGCATCTTGCTGAGTTTGCGGCAGCGCTCGAGCCAGTTCACGTGTCGGGTTTCCTGCTCAAATTATTCGCAGAGCTCGCGGAAGATGACCAGGATTCTGTGCGACTGCTGGTTGTAGAGAACGCGGAAAAAATCGTGAGCCTCTTGCCTGAGACAGATCGACCGACGCTGTTCGCACTAGTTCTCCGCTTGGCGGCAGACAAGTCGTGGCGAGTTCGATACTTAGTCGCAGATCGACTGAGTACAATCAAACCCGATGGTATGGTGGGTATCTTTTGCCGCTTGCTTCGTGACGGGGAAGCAGAGGTACGCACTGCGGCAGCGCTGAAGCTCGCCGATGTTGTCCGAGCTGCCAGCTCTGAGGCCACCGTACAGGAGCTCGTTCCCGTTATGAAGGAGCTTGTCCACGATGCCAATCAGCACGTCCGAACTGCAGTCGCTGGCTCGATCCTGGCACTGGCGCCCATCATGGGCCGTTCTCATACGCTGCAGGTATTGTTTCCACTTGTTTTGATTCTGCTCAAAGACGATTGCCCCGACGTACGACTGGGCGTGATCTCGAACCTCGACCAGCTCAGCGCAGTAGTGGGCATCGAGCGTCTCGTGAGCGACCTGCTTCCTGCTATTGTTGAGCTCGCCGAGGATCGCAACTGGCGTGTCCGTCTAGCCATCATTCAGCATATGGCATCGTTGGCCAAGCAGCTTGGGCGGCAGTACTTCGACCTCGATCGCAAGCTGGGCCTGCTCTGCGTAGCGTGGCTCACCGATGCGGTATACGCTGTTCGAGAGGCAGCGATCAAAAACCTGGCAGAGCTGGTGCGTTTATTCGGGGCTAGCTGGGCAATCGAACAGGCGATACCCTGTGTCCAGCGTATTTTTGAGACCAGCACCTCCTACCTGTACCGGATTACAGCGTTGCAGGCGATGGGAGAGCTCGCAACTGTTCTGGATCCGGGAACCAATGAAAAGTACCTGTTGCCCCTGCTGGTCCAAAAGGCGAGCAGCGACCCGGTTCCGAACGTGCGTCTTGTTACCGCGAAAACACTTATGCGACTGGCTCCATACATTTCGAAGCAAGCTCGTATGACGCAGTTGCGGCCAGCACTAGAGGCGCATTCCTCAGCGAGCGACGCCGAAACCGACGTCGACGTCGCCTACCAAGCCGACAAGGCACTAGTCCATCTCTCCGCCATGGATCAGGAAACACCGTAAAGGGCACTGGTTCAACAGGAATCGTCACGAGCGACGTAATGACGTGAATGTGCCCCATGATCGCAGGCGAAAATCGTGGCATGGCGCGGGACGCATGCTCTCGATCCACAGCGACCTGGACTAGTCGCGGATTACCAGGGGAATCCGCGCTGCTCGCTCTGCTCCAGCATTGCGATTTTTGCGGAAGATGTATCAGAGTGGAAAGCATCAACATTCGAATTCCAGTGATTAGTGCATACGGGTGCATAGAAAGTTGTGGGTTTCTCGGTAGTCGATTTGGGGTTGCTGCTTGGATCCTTAGCCGCTGGAATACGGTACGTTACCAGAACCAAGATAATGGGCAACGGTTTCGAATAGGATTCTTAATATCACTGGTGTCGTTAGACTTTCCATATGTACAAGTATACCCTGTTTTCCTGTCCTTCGGTCTAGCATGCTCAAGTTACGCATGATTCGAATTTTTCGATCTTGCTGTTGCAGGGCAAATGATGCGCGTTGTGATTTTGCGCTGCTAGATGAAGGAGAAAACAAAACTCATGATCGTGTATGGACGACTTGTTCACTTGCTCGTGTCGAAAGTTCACTGAACTTGTCACGTTGAAATAATCGATTTCATCCGTAAGACAACTCATCTTCTGTTTATGGCTATCGATACAACGGCAGTCTACAGCGGTATGATATGTTCAATGGGGTATGCTCGCTGAGGCTGCCGACATTTTTACTGTCTGCATCGGAAAGGATCATGGACTCGGGTATGAGCGAACGCGGCGATTTTTCCGGGGAGAGTTTTTCACCGTTTTACACGATGGGAGCATGGACTGGTCGCAATGTCTGCACTAGCTTTCCAGCCTGGATTATGCGTCCGGTGCTTTTGTCATCATCGGTAAGATCGCGTTCCACAGCTCCTCTATCGAATAAAACAGTGTGGGCATGCGTATGCGGGAGAGAGCGCTCTCGCCATGGGCATCGCCCACACGACCCCATGATTGTCAGGGATGGCACTTGACGTGGAAACGGAACACGACATCGAGGGGATCCCACTGTACACCTCGTGGGTGTACACCAAGCGATGAAGCGTGCCTGGAGGTGCCGCAGGGCAGCGTTCAGAGGACGAGATGTGGTGCACATATGCGATCACCCGGCCACAGGCAAGTTTCACAGATGTAGTGGACGCATCGATGCTGTCTACGAAGAAGCTGAGCATGAAAATCGATGCGTTGCTCGCAACTTCCGCTTATGCATGGAATTTGTCGACAGCATCCGAATGCCGTGCAATCGAAAATCGAAACGTCAACGCTGCCATCAAAATCCTTGAATTGCGGTCAACGGAGCTGGAGAGCCAGGAGAGATAAACGTATTCAGAGCCAGAGACAACTGAGACGAAGAGGCACCCGTCCCGATAAAAGCCGGCAAAGGCAACGATGATTGATCTCTGTAAAAGAGACGAACTTTAGTATATACGGAAGATAGACGTATTCAGGGCCAGAGACAACTGAGCGGAAGAGGAACCCCTCCCGATAAAAGCCAGCAAAGGCAACGATGATTGATATCTGTAAAAGAGACGAACTTTACGACCGTATTATGTATATGGCCTCTTTCTACTCTGGTGCGACATTGGTCATTCTTCGATAACGTCCATCAGCTGACGTTTGTATATCTCCGTGTAGAATACTCACGCGCAAGACGCGAAACTCGATCTAGATATCAATGCAGCTGCTGTGTTACAGTAACTCGCTGGTCTCGCTTGTTCGGCTAGTGGTATCGTCGGTCGAGCGTCGATCCAAGCGACGAAGACTGCGAGACGGGATCGACGGGAAGAGGATTCACTCGCTCCCGAACAGCTTTATCGTATTGATGAGCGAAAACGAGTTTTCAGCGCAGATTCAGGGGAAGCGGGGCCCTGTTCCCTTCAACTGTTGAGGCAGCTTTATCTGAACACTGCGGGCGACGACGGTGTTCGAGAAACGTAAGGAGCGTCCAGCTCGGGGTTGTGCTTGTGCCTCGGGAAAACTGCACCAAGGGTAATTCGACGACATGCAAGAGCGCGTCCCGTACACAAACTACACCAAGAATGGTAAGACTTAGAGACGCGAAATTCGTCTTCAGACGCGTCTGAACAGCTGCTCGAGTGCGATGCCCTCGAACAGGAACCCGTATGCTACCACGTGTCCTTTAAACAACCAATTCTAGCGTAGCTCGCCGTTGCTTCCCGTTCTGTTCTGCGCAGACATTCGATACCGGAGCCGACGCTCATTGCTTCGACGCTTGCGGACTTGGGCAGCAGCGAACTGCCTCAGAGACGACGACATCCCGGTCAGTATCGCCCGCAGGATGACGACGTGCACACCAGCATCGTCTACGAGACAGCGCGTACAATAGCGTCGGCATCCTGACCACTTGAAAACGGTATTTCACGAGGCATATCGCTCAACTAGGCGATGGTTTTACGATCAGGAAAGAGTTGTGGCAGCTGTTCCCCAGCGCCAACTTGTCGATGCGGAGGACTCCATCCGCCCTGCCGCTGGAGCATTCGCTCAAACGCCTGTCGTGCTGCCTGCACATAACGCGGGTCGCGTCGACGTGAATAGACCATGAGCATCCGTTCTTCGAAATGGCTCGGAATCAGGGAACTTACCTGCTCTCGACGTACGCCAACGGTCTCATCGGTGGACCAATCGACAAAGAATCGCACCTGCTCGACGGGGTCCGCTCCACCTTCCTTGCCATAGTTTATGACTTGATGGTGCACAATGAGATCCTCTGGTCGTAACTGAACGAAGCCGTCGCTTTGCCAGGCGGTTAAGTCACCAGCACTAACAGACGCACACGATACTGGAACCAGCGCGGCACCAACGAATCGATAAAGCTCACGTCGTTGCAGCTGTTGGATCAGCGACTTGGCTGCGCCAAGCGACGCCTCCGTGGAAAACTCAATCCGCTTCAGGATCCAGTCACTGAGCTGAAGAAATGCCTCTGGGTCCTGGATAGAACGCGAAAGACCCAGGAACTCGTCAGCCAAGACCATGGCATCCGTAATCATAAACTCACAGGCCTTAACCGCTCGGTGGTTGTAAACCATTTTGTGCATGCGCATTCTCGTACTGAACATGTCGTACAGGTTGTTCGCCTCCTTGATGTGGTAGCAGATCTCATCTCCGATGACGCGGCTGAAGCGCAGGAAGCGTTCATAATCGAAACCTGCAGAGCGCGGCAGGGTGTAGCGTGCATCCCGCGTCAAGTAATCAAACTTGTCCACATCGACTCCAGAGCGTTGATTATTCACCACAGCGAGCAGGAAACGGTTCGTTAGACGTGCACTCTGCGGACTCAGCCTACCCAGAATCATATCAGTAACGAGCGCCTCTTCCATAGCGTCTAGTGCGACCTCGAACTGCTGACACATGTGCGCGAGAAGCATTGCTGAGCGCTGCTCGTGAAAGCGCCCATACACGTCGCTCTGAATACCTCGTCGCGGCAGCAGCTGATGGTCGAAAACGTGCGAGAAGGGTCCATGGCCCAGATCATGACACAGTCCAGCCAGACGTACGAGACGCAAGTCACGCTCGAGATCCCGCCAGTTACTTTGCAGGCCTTGACGTGCGCCAGAGTCGGTGGCGGTCGACGAAGTGAGCGCCACAGGGTCCAGCGGGTGCGCTCGAGTCGCTGCTCGTTCGCTCGGTTGTGCAGGGCCGCTTCTGGTGGCCAGCTGGGGTGCAATTGAATCGCTCCTCGAAAGAAGATTGGTGACCATGGAACCTGCCAAGTACGCAGTTCCGATGCCGTGCTCAAAGCGATTGTGGCTCGCCCCAGGAAAAGTCCAGTACACGACTCCGAGTTGCTTCAGGTCACGCAGGCGTTGGTAGTGTGGCGTATCGATGACGCGCACGCAGTAGTCTGGCATGTAAATGTGGCCGTGTATGCTGTCGTTGAACACTTTCCCATTAGGTTTCCCATACTCAACGTTCATAGTTGGTGGCAGTGGGTGATCCTGGGTACCCCGCAAGCGTCGCTTCCCCGGGAACGCTTGCCCAGCGCCCGGCGCGAAGCGCCTGAAACGTACCGTACACTGGGCACGTGCTGTGGGGACTTGCTCGCCCGGGAACGCTGGTGTCAGAAGCTGTGTACTATGTACGGTGTTCAATGTCGCAAGTACAGCGAGTATAAAAGCTGTCTGTATCGAAGGGTTTCTAGTCTTAGAAAACGGGGTCTTTCGCCGAGTTTGGTTGAGTGCCTGGCAGCAGCGAATGAACGGGCGACCAGTAGCCTGTGTTGTTGTGAGTGCTAGTGCTCGTCGACTCTTATAGCGGCTTGTGGATATGCGTCTGCAGGGTCTACTGTGGCCGCTAGCGTTGCACGTCTAGCGTACGTCTTGACGACTGCGACCGGTCAGACGGCGCTGACCGCTGTTACAAAGGGAACCGAGTCTGACGCTGCCGAAAAACTACAGTAGACTCCAGGTTCCAGGTCTGGTCGCGTGCAGTGCAGTTGGATGTGTGCTACACGTCCTTTGGATGCTTTTGGATGCTTTTGGGGACAGGCTTGCCGACGCGGCTGCCGCTGCTCAGGCGCCTGGTCGACACGTCAATGTCAATGGAGCGCGGCGTTCCCGGAGTTGCACTGTACGAGACAACCACTACAGCCTGCTTTAGCTTCTCGTTGTTGCGATAGCACACGATGGCCACGGTTTTTCGTTGAGTTGCAGGCGGCAGTTGGAGGCGCTTTGACGAGCCTTGGCGAAAGGATGCTGGCCTCTCGTCAAGAACAGGAGCAGACCCTGTTCTCCAGTTACAAGGGGTTCCACACGCGGATCGAATGGCAATTTTGAGATTCGGTTGAGAGCCCATCGGTTGCAAGTGGGCAAAAGCGCGTTTCGTATAGAGCGCTACAGATTACCAGTGCTCTCGGTGTGATTGTCGAACTGAGGCCATCCGTGAAGACCGGCCTCCGCAAATGCAGAACCCAAGCCGCACGATGAAGAACGCTGGATACTGACTTGAATGATCTAATTTTCGAGACCTGCAAAGGCAAGCATCCCCGTAATCAGACCACTGACACCAGTTGCATCGTTGCAAGTGAGAGATCTCAGGCCGGTTTCAACGCAGAAGATAGAGAAATATGCACTGCGTGCTCATGTGGCGACCGTTATGCGCAACGCAGTCTCGCCAGTGCGGTGCGCTGATCAACTTGATCGAAACAAGTTGGCGTTCAGTGCGATCATGAGAATCATTCAGGTCTGCTGCGAGTCGAGAAATGAGTGTCTGTATGATCTCTGAACGCTCCTCGAATGGTGCACCGTTCTCGAACTAGAAACAGAAAACGAAACATGCGCACGCATGAGCATGCTTCGTTGCCACTGAGAAGTGCGCTGGGAACCCATGGGGGTGAACGGCATGCCCCCGATGCTAGTTCGCATTTTACGTCCAAGCTGAATCGCCGGTGACCTGAGCGCAGTACTTGTTGGATCACGTGCGAAGCTTCCAACGGAAACCACGCGCTCTTTGCGCAACCATGAGCAGAGTCGCCAACCAACGCGCAGCCTGCACAGCGTTAAACCCGAGAGCACGCGCTCAGTCCGCAGTCTGAGCTGTTTCGGAGTCCGACGCCGTCGCCGCCGCAACAGCTGCGGCTGCCTCTTGGGCTTGTTTCGCCCGCACCTCAGCCTCGAGGTGTTTCCATAGCTTGCCTTTGTTGTATCGCTCCCAAGCGCGCTCCACTGAATTATTCATTGCCTCCGATCCAGCATACCCCAGGGCCACGATAACAATCGCAAACACAGAGGACCGACGCATGAACAAGTTATACACTGAGTTGCGGACGGCCGCAAAGCCAGCGTACTGGGCTCGTGACGCGGACATGCTGCAAGCAAAAAGCCGTCTTCTCCTCCACCGAAACTGTGAACTACGCGAAACGTTCCCCGAAGAGCGCTTGACACACACGGCAGCGCTGGCTAAAGCCTCCGGTTACTCGATTGAAAGCGCGTCGCTCTCGAAGAAGCAGCGTTTCGGCGCTGGGGAATGAGTGTCTGCAGTGCAGCACGCACGGCAGCCGCGTGATGCATCGGAGGCTGTCCGCTTATGTATACATTGTACTGTGATATTCAGTTTCGTTCATTCCCGCCAAAAGTGCACGCATTGCATCTATCGGCATCTGATGCGTGCGCAACAGGCATGTGTTGGCGTTGCAGTCCTTGCTGGGAACTTCAGGTTCATAGGGATGACGTGCTGTTATCGAAGACCTGGTACACACTCAAGGCTTGCAACTGTACAGGAACCGCTATTCTAAATAGTAGCAACGGCAATCTGCCTCGTAGGCCAGTGTCCACATAGGCTTGACGCTGCAGCTTCAGCGGGGCAGTGCAAGCATACCCCTGGCCTGCTCTTCGAGCGCACACCGGTTGCCGCCCCTGTTTTCCAGAAGCTTGGGGGTTGTTGTCGCGCGATCAGTCTTTACAAAGGTAGTCTCTACTGCAGTCTATCGTGGAACGGGGATAGGAGCGGTTTCAACGCTACTTGCTGCGACCGGAAGATACAGCCCAGCCGTCGAAAGCGTTCTAGGGTTTCTCGTTCATGTCGTCGATAACGTTGCCCGATGCGATTCCGCCTAGTAAGGTACGTGCTTTGACTCAGCCATATCGTTGGCTTGCTCGTCCTTCCTTCACTGGGGAATTCTTGGGTTTGGATGAATCTGGCACCACGACTAGAACGACACAACGCTATGCACTTCGACGGCGACGGCATCTGCACGATGCCGAGCAACCGGCATCATCTCCGGACATTGTAGAGCTGGGACCAGAGCATGCCGCGCTGTTTGGATGGCTCGCTCCGTTGCAGAGCACGGGGCATCCGCTTCGGTCCTGGCAAATTCAACTCGAATGTCAAAAGCGTGAGCTACTGCAGCGCTGGCGTGAACGACTCGCCCAGGAACTCACTGATCCATATACGCTGGTGCTGATATTCGGCGGTGATCGATCCGACGTGAACGAGTTACTACGAGAGCAAGTCACCCAGCGATGGCGCTGGCTGGATCTGTGGCCATGTCAGAGCGTTCGCAGTGTTCTCGAGGATGTTGGCAACGATTCCGTCTCCATCCTGGTGGTGGACTTGCTCGCAGTGCTGGCCGATACCGCCGCGACGCAGCAGCTTCGCGATGTGCTCTACTTTGTCGCAAATGGAGCACGATCGTCATCTGCGACTCCGTCGCGATTCATACTGTACAGTGCTCTCGGTCCGAGCTTTGTGGGCAAATCAGAGCAGTCACCACAGTTCTCAGAAGCAGCAAACTCTGCGGCAACGCGGCGAGATGATCAAGAATCCGTGAACGTATCTAGTCCCAAAACATCCCTCATGGACGCCTTTACGCAATCCGTGCTTGATGAGTTGCTAACCGTTCGTGAACGTCCACATTTCAACACGAAATCGATGTGGATTCCGTCGCTGATGCGTCCCCTGGAATCAACGATCATGGGAAATGGTTTGTTCCTTCCGGGACCGCTGCTTTTCGACGCTACCGCACTGATGATGCTTGATAAGGCGCTGCGCTGCGGAAGGCTCGCTTTCCCCGGCCTCCTGCAGCTGATTCGTTACGCGTACTGTTGGGTACAGGCACGCCTCGTAGAGCAACCAAATGCACAGGCCGCACTCGAATCGAGCCAACAAATGTATGCATCATGGATAGCTGATCTCTTGCCCGCTTGGGAGATGCTTCAGGAGACCTGTGCGATTCTGGAAATGTCACTTACGCCGCTTGCGCTTCAAGCCCATTTGATGCGCTCCGAATTCAAGAATGATCACACGCTGCAACAGCATTTTCGAGCGGCGCTGGCGCATGCCTCGCGTGACCAGCTCCTGGTGCTCTCTCGTGTATGGAAAGACGCTGTCTTAGAGGGATGGATACTGGAACCCGCTTCCGTCCTGCAACCAAGCTGCAACTCGAACGAAGCTCGCGACTCGCCGCCAGCGTCCATGCCTGCTGCAGCTCCGACGTCGAGGTCATCATCGAGAGAACAGACCAGAACAACAGCTTGTCCAACAGCAGCTGAAACAACCACCGTACATCTGGACGAAGCAAAGAGCCTTGAAACAGTGCTGGTTACGAGTAAGCGCCGCAGACAACAACTGCAGGCAGCTTTGGCTGCGACACATCAGCGGCCCGGCTCCTTGCAAAGAATCCGCATGCTCGCCGTGGAGCGCTTTCTAACAAGTCGGTTGGTGCAGGCGTTGCGACCACCGCCTGCACCGGTCGCGGCGCTCTTTGCATTTCCGGGTGCAGCGCTTGCGGAGGCTTCGATCCCGACCTCACTGTTTTCTAGCGTGACGTTGCCTGTGGCTCCAGGACGACGCAAGAACGCGCGCAATTCCGACTCCTCCACCAGTAGTGCGTTCGAAGATAGCGATGCCGCGCATCTGAGTGATCGGTGACGCCATGTCAGTGCGACGCGGGGCTTGTCATGTTTTCACGCTTTCCATGGGTAGTCCAGCGATCGACAGCACATCGGTTCGATTCGATTCAGTCCAAGTCACTGCCGTGCTGGACAGGATCGTAGCCTGTCGTGATAACGAGCATCCCGCGTCTCGCCGAACGCCCATAGATATCATGTTTCGTGAGGTGGCCCATGAGCAGCAGCAGTTGCTGCAGCTGCTGACGCACATGACGCTCTGTGGCGCCTATATCCGTCCGGGACGCTACGGCGTGCTCCAGATGCCAATAAAGGTCACCGAGCATCGTCTCGAATACTGGATTGCGAGTATTTTTATTATGGCGACAAAACGTGATTTGAAAATTCACGATGTGCTCGACAGCATCCTTGCGCCATAGACATCGTATCGGGTGCCTGATGCGGTGATTCATGTTCATTCTCCAGTTCTACTGGTACTAGCTCGAGAGGTGCGCTCCAGTGACCCGACGCTTATGCATTCACGTAGAGCAGCGTTTATGAATCTAGTGCGTACCCAGGAACGCAGCACGAGCCAATTGACGCGTAAAGTATCGTGTATTCCAATTGCTGGTTATCCATGGAACAAACGCCTGTCTTTATACGGATACCGGGGTGTTCGCGGGAAACCCCTGAATCCATACCAGGTATGCAGGCAGCATACCAGTGCGCTAGTTCATATCGAGTTCGAGCGCAGCGCTGCAGCGGAAACAAGCACCCAGGCGATGCATTCCCAGAAATGCACCCGACACGGGAACAGACGTATCGGCTGTGGATCCGATATGCGACGAGGCAGCTTGCAGGCACCGGAACGCCGTCACGAGACATGAATCCAGTGACAAGCAACTGCACCTGGATCCACATGGGTACCACGACGCTTGCACGCGAGTACCATGGTATCCTCCTCCGCTGGTGACATGCGCATATCGATCAAGTCGGGTACGTGTGTGCGGCATTCCCGCGGACTCGGGCGAAACGAATGCTACTGCCGTTGCCGCCAAGACGCCATGCAGACTCTGACGATGCCCATCTAATCGGATGTAGTCGAGAGCTGCGGCGGCAACGCATCATCCCGGAGCGATGACGGCGGGTCAGCGTGCTCCTCAGTGGGCACCAGTGCCTGCAAGTAGCGCTGCACGAGCGGATCTGCAAGACCGGCGCGCTCGACACCGCTCACCAGGGTGACGAACGAGGCTGTCCCCGCTGCTAGCCCGGTCTCCGTGGTACTGTTCAGTACTCGGATCCACAGGGTGTTGAGATTCGAGCTCATTGCATCAAAGCCGCCCTCTACGGGTGCAATCCAATCCCTGCTCGCAACCGAGGCAGCGCTTGAACCGATTGCAGGAGGCGGCACGAACTCCACTTGCCGTACCCGGTACAGGTAGGAGGCCTCAGCGTCGCTCGTCGATGCCAAATCGACTTGCGTTTCATACCAGTGACCTGATGCTTGCAGCTGGCGCACCGAGCGGAACCCGCACGGAACCAGGAGTTGCAGACTGTCGTCCGTGGACGCCGATGACGCCGGTGCAAGTGCCATGGAAGACGGCGACGGCAACGTTCCCAGCGAGAGCAGTACCAGGCCGTTGCCGAGATCAACGGGTTGCGTGAGCTCTCGCACTTGCCCGGGCGCACCTGGCATTCGCCTAGTGATGAAGCCGAGAATTCTGAGCGTCTCGAAGATACGCGGGCGACCTTTCACGTGTTGCACCGACGAATGCACCGATCCACTCATCGGCTCTGACGAGGAGTCGGCGTGCACATTGCTCGCTGGCTGCTCTAAACGATGCAATGCTTGATCGTCCGCGCAAGCGATCGCGGCACTCTTAGTCGTCGTTGCAGCTGCCACCTCCGCTGAGTCATTCGCGGCATCTTGTCCAGACGTGGCGTTCGACTGACCAGTCGGTGCAGTCCGCTGCAGTCTTACCGGCACGTTGTTTTCTGCCAAGAACTGATACAGGAGGCGCTCCATCCACTTGGATTCTGTGCCAATTCGTTGCGCTCGTGCAAGCGCCGCATCGCGCGCCTCATCATCGTACAGACTGGTCTCGGTGGGCAGCGGGCGCGCCTGTAACGCAGCACAGATCCAGTCCATGACAGCTCGCGCTCGACGCAGGGCTGCATGCACTCGAGGAAAGCCCAGCTGCATTCGCAACACCTGAGCGCCCTCGAACGTCTGTGCAGCACAGTAGGACTCTATGGATTGAGGGAATCCCAGCTCATGATCCTGTGCGATTTGTTCAAAGGCACCCTGACCCAGACCATGGCGATCGATGCCGTACAGAAGCGCACGATCGTGAACAGGTCGCCACCAGACCGGCAACTCGCCCGCTGACGACTGGGGCAGTTTCACCGAACCCAAACTCTGTATGAGATCGGCAAGCGACTTGGCCGGTAACGCGAGAACATACAACCGAAGAACCCGAAACAGATGCAGTCGAACGAGCGCCTTGCGGGCGCGCTTGCGATCCAGATTAGGAAAGAGCGTCGATGGTGGAAAGTCACGCGCTCTCTCTAACATGGCGGGGTCAATACTGGCCTCGGGGCTGGCCGATGCGTAACGATTGGACGAACTGGAAGCGTTCGCAACGGTGTCAGCACTAGGCGCCAGCGTACTGTGCTCGGCGACAACGGCGGCGGAGGGCGGCTCGGGGGCCGCAGCGGCGCTCTCGTTCGGAGTGCGTTCTTCGTCGTGGTCGTCGTCGTGGTCGTCGTCGTCTTCACTGCCTGCTGGTTCAGCACTCTTCCGCTGCGGTGATTCGGCCGGGTCAGTGGCCAAGACTCGATAACACTCGCGGACAAAGTCAATATAGTACTCTTCTAGCGTCTCCGGGAGCATGTATTGAACAAATGGACAGCGACGAACAAAGCGCAGCCAGTCATGAACGATGCCATGAGGATCATCGGGTCTCTCTGTGGGCAAGTAGTCGAGTCCGTAATTCACAAGCGCGCGCTCAAACTCCTTAACTTGCCTTCGGTTGAACCGTTGGGCCTTTTCGAGTCGGCCCCGGGCCCATTCCAGACTCGCTGCGTCCATCATTAAATCATTTTTCGTGAGCGCATCCGGCTTGGGTGTTAGGAGCGCTTGTTGCCGTGCGATGCGCGATACCGCTAGTCGCTTCACACTGGTGGTGCAGTCGCGGGCGAGAACTGCGTCCTCGTTGCCAGGCCATTCAGGGGCGAATGCGGCTGGTGTGGCCAGTTGCGCCTCCTCTTTGTTGCGAGGCTCGATAAGACGCGCCACTCTGTTCACAACAATGCGCAGACGGCGAATGAGTTCTACCGAGCTCGGAAACGGCGTGCGCTCATCTCTGCTCGTCGATTCCGGACGCTGCGACTTGTCGACGGCAAAGATCCCTAAATCGTCAGCCGGGCTACCGCCCCCGAGTGATGCTGCTTCCGTGAGCGAAGCTTCATTGTTGCTGAGTGATACGTCAGCTTCCGGTGTCTCCGCTGTTGAGGCCGCCACAGAACTCTTCTTGGATGGCGAAGCACACTCGCCAACAGTTGGCAATAGGTTTCGCTGCTCGTCATGTTCAGCCTCGCGGGAGGACGCTTCCGAGCCCTCAAATGGTTCGCCTGTCCGTGCTGCCTGTGCGTCTGAGCGGGTGTCCTCTTCCACTTGCGGCGCTGAGGCGGTGACGGGCGCTCTGTAGCGCTCCCGAAAATGCAGCGTAGGCTCTTCCCAGAGGCGGTGAAAGTCTCCGAATCCAAGCTTGTAGACGCCACGGAGCAAATCTGCATCGTCGATCGGGCCCCAGCAATCAGCAGGCGGTTTGCCAGATATGTCTAAATCACCCTCTTCGATCCGCTGCATCACAGCCGCGTTTTGAACGATGCGCTCAATCCGATGCAGGAGACGGAAACGCCGTGCCCAGCGCACGTACTTGCGTCTCTCCGTCTTGGTATCAGACAGTCCCGCTGCAACTGAAGAAACCTCCTGCTCGAGCTCACGCTGTTGGGACGCAGCGGCCGCTGAGCCACTGCCCCGTGTGCCTTCACCAGAACTCGCGAGAATCCGCAGCATCGCTCGATTCTCCGGTCCAACCGCATGTAGAGCAGCCATGATCACCATCCGACGGGCCATGATGATCAGCTCATCAAGCGGTTTGCGGTCCAGCCGCCCACTCTCTGCATGCTGGAGGATCTCCTTCCACCGACCATACCCGAATCGCATAAGGCCTCGCAGCAGCGCCTCTTGGTCCGATTTATTCCATCGAACACGAATCCGCTGAAAATCGCGTGCCAAAGGCGCACTGGATGATCGTGCAGCCCCGACTCGTTGCAGCCCGGCTCGACTGGGAGCTAGGCGCTGCACGGCAGGGTCACTTGTCGGCGATGCTGTGACGCCCGCTGTAACTGCCGCTACCCCAGGCAGCACATGCGTCGCCTTGGGTAAAACGAACACCACAAGGCAATCGCCGAGCAAGATCGTGGAGTAGGAATCTAACGGCTCCGCCGCGTCTCCCGGTCGCAACTGACGATATGTGTCCGCGTGCACCACTAGAATCCCGTTCTTACCATTGCAGACAACTTCGAAGCGTTGCTGATCTGCATTCCACTGAATCGTAGCGTGTCGTCGCGAGAGCTTGCTCGAGAAGCCGGCTCCGAGGTCGACACCCTCCGCTGCGGCTTCAAACGCCCGCTCCGGATCCGGCGCTGTGCTCCGACCCAAAGAGACAACCAGCTTTCGAATAACATACTCTCTTGAAGTGGTCTGCCCTGTATCAGGATCAAAAGCCTTCAGGAAAAGTTTCGCGTAACCACCGGAAGGGCCGGGCTGCACTGGGTGTGCCTCGAGGGCTGCCTCCTCGGAGGCAGCGCGCTCCGCACCCTCGTCCCGCATCGTCATCCACGAGGTGCGTTTTGTTCTACACCAGAGTCTCTACTTGGACGTAAAACCCCCAGTAGCAAGGATGCAGGTTTCAGGTACTGCAACCGTTGCGTCCTCCACACACACACACACACAAGCGTTCGAATAAGCGCAAACGCACTGCACAAAACGCACCACCGCCGTCATTAACCACCGTTGCCGCGCATGCACGCATGCTGTGTCTGTGCGGTATGCATGCGTGCATGCGTGCATGCGTGCGTGCGTGCGTGCGTGCTTGTCGATGCACGCATTTTGTGTGTGATTCAGCAGGCGGCGGATGTGTCGAGAAAGCGCATTGAGACTGAGCGAGTAAGAGGAGCACGAGGAGGATTTCATCGACAACGCGTAAACGCTCGTGTTTTATTTCATTGATTCTGGGATGCAGAAGGAAGCGCATAGCTGATACTCGGACGCAAACAATTAGAATAGAGCACTGGGATCGTTCAACGCTTGGAGAGGAAGATCGTTCCCAGTGTGCTCGGAGATGAGGCCTCTCACTTTGCAGACTGCTGGACGTACGGTATCGGTGGATTCATCAAGGTAGGAGACGTAACCCTTGCCTTGCGACCATTGGGTGTTTGTTCATCGAAAGTCGTCGGCGTTTTGAAATGCTGCTCGATACAGCGTAGGCAACGATACCCTGGAAACTGTGTTCGACACGAAGCCGCTTCATGCCCCGGCACGATGCTTCTGTCATGGATGTTGTTCGTGGGACCCTAACTTCGGTGAAGCGTGTGCTTTCGGGACTGGTTACTGGCGATTCACAGCATGGCAAGCCTCTCACTTGCCATTGTCTCGCTGCGTCACGTACAGTTTGCTTACCGTACATTCGGCTTTGATTCACGGCTTTCTTCTCCATCCGTTTCAGCATGTACCCGCGCTTGTGATGCTTGGATGTCATCAAGTGCACATCGGAGCTGCCCGCACCGCATCGATTCCAGCACTCGCTAAGCGTTGGCATTGGCGTTGGCGGACGAGGAGTACTGCGAGGGCGCGTTTCGGCACGTTCAGCGCCGCAGGCTATTACAGAACGACGCAGCATTTCCAAATCATTGGAAAAATGGGTTAACGCACGTTCCATACCTCTGTGGAACCGCAGCCACTGGCGTCATCAGCCTGGTTTCTTGTACTCCAGCCAGAGATCTTCTGCATGAGCCAGTCGGGTGCTCACGTCGTCTTTCTGGATGAAGCGTCCTAGGTACTTCCCTCGGCCCAATACAGTACTCAGCGCGTAGAGATTTGGCCTGACGCTGTTAGTTTCCATTTTCGTATGCCCCGTGGCGTCCATCATACCAACATCATCAAAGGACTGCGCCCTGGGAGATCTCAGTCCCTGCAACCGCCTTCCGTTGAAGAAATTGGCTTCATCTGCCTGATATGGAGGTAGATCGTCAGCTATGATGACTTTCTTCCGGGGATCCGCGCACTACTCAAAATATGTCCCTTTATCAATCTTGAACGATTGAATGTGAGACTCGTTGCTCTATTCTGGTCTGGGTTCCAGGATGCGCAGGTCGACCGGATCGCCATTGGTCTCCATGGAACGTGGAACCGTCTGTTCTTTACCTGCCGATAAACGAGAAGCCTTGATCAAGCACCGCCAGTGCACTTTGCGGTGTTGTTCGAATGATGCATACGTGCTCGCAGAGACCAGCTCCCTCTTCGTCTTTCCTCTACCTGACAGAGTACCATGGATATAGTCCCTCGACTCTTTACCCGTTTTTCCATCTGAATTCAGATGCACTTGGTCGACGCTTGGACCAGGATGAGCCTCTTCAACGTACGTGTCTACTTCTCTTCAGCGCCATTTGCGTTACCTGGTTCCCGGTGAGCTCGCCAACGAAGCAAATCACGCCGTTCCGGTCACTAATCCGCACCAGGATTGTACCAAAAGAGCTGTTCAGTGCTGGTAAAGGTAGAGAACGACTTGTCAAACAGTGCCGCCAAGACGCAGACGGATCATCTAAGTATCTACCAGCGTCAAAATGACATTTTTATCACTGTGAAGATGACGCCGACTCGACTGACCAAGCAACGATCGGCTGGTACGAAGCGCAGCTCAACGCCGATCTCAGTTGTATATGCCATGTTAGGTGTTGAGTGATGGAGAGTGGCTTTGTCCAGGAGCACGGTAAAAGAATATGCTAATAAGGAGCCACGACATGCTTCGAAGAATCATGACGTGTTCAACGATCCCGTAGGTTTGGTGACTTTGGGGACCCACACGACTGCGTCGCATCGAAGACTGATATTGTCAGCATGGTCGCCACTCGATTATTTACGAACATCGGCTTGTAGCTCTCCGGCTTTTCATATACGTGTCTACCATTGCGCCCAAATGAAACCGGATCCACTGAGATGAGCTCTATTGCTTCCCGTGAAACGCGTTCGCTTTCCAGTACGGAATCGAGGGTTTGTTGCTCAATGCATGATGATCTTCCATCAAAGCCCATATGCTTCTTTGTCCATCGGGTTGTCTTCATCGCCCTTCGCTCCAACCGAGCGGAAATATCGCAACTTGCGGCCCCTCTGTCGGTTTTTCTTCCTTAATGTATAAACTGGAATGAATGGACGACAAGTCAGTCGTGCAGGCAGCGTTTCATCCATTCTCTTATGCGTGCATGTCGTTCAAAACAAGGATCAAGAGAAGAGTGGTTCACCGTGCCTGCTGACCGTCGGATGAGCGACTCAACCTAGCAAGATCGTTTCTCGCTTACTAGAAATGCCCCCATAACGTGTTTTCACAACCTCTCCCCAATGCACTGGATACGTTCTTTTTGTGAATACCTGTCGGAACAACAAACAAAAACTTGATCTGGTGCAGGTATACCAACATTCACTTCTCTACGAATAACCAAGCAGAGCAGGCAGCAATAGTGCAGCGAGCGTATGCGCCCGGAGACGCCTCGAAGCGCGCTCGCAGCGCACCCTCAAAGAGCGTGTCAGCAAGAGCATACATTTCGCATCCTCTGGAGCAAAAGCGTGAACGATAGCGTTGGTTTTTCGTACGCATTACCTGTATATCCAGCAATACCAAGCGTTGCGAAGCGTACCCACACGACGCCAACCCTCGCCCAGTGCACCAATATACCGCCGAGTTTCATAGCGATAACGAGACACAGCTGAAGATATTCGAAGATGGTTCTAATACTTTTTTAACTTGATGACGCCAAGTATTTTGACATCAGATCTGGATCAGGTGTATGTATAGCAGGCGCCTGGCACGAGCGTCCCACAGGAATGCCTCGTGAGTCCTCCCGAAAAACTCTACTCTGTTCCCGCTGTAAACAAGTGGACGCCAAGTATTCGTCCTCACGGAGCACAAGCTGCGACAAAGCACCATATGCAGGTTTACAGGAATCTGCCGTTGCGTAAAGGCAAGCTGGAACCTTCTTCAGCCAGAGCTCAGCCGCCCGCGTCATCATCGGTCGGCGTTTCTCCTATAAAAACCGGAGAAACGGCAAACACTCGGAGCCCATGGAGGGAACGTTCTTACGAGCAAGCGCTCCACCGACATGCAACTCGTTGCAGCGCATGAAAACCCAGAAAATCCGCTTTTCGATTGTCTATTGGAGCCTGACTGGACACCGGCGTTCGTTCGAGCGGAAACAACGGCGAAAGTATACACATGTCCGGTACGGACCAGAGCACGCCGCTTTGCAACGCGTTCGCAACGACGTTCGCAACGACGTTCGCAACGACGTTCGCAACGACGTTCGTTTATCGCTCGGAGTACCTCCACATAGCCTGAACGTACGGATTGACAGTATTCTGGTCTCTCGGCCTGCATAGATAATTCTGAAGACAGGAACGCTCTCTCATCATCGTGTCCTGACAGAGCTGCCTCGGTGTTTTGGCTCGAAACGATCGAGCTTGGCAACGAACGGCAAGCTCGCCAGTCGTCCTCATACTTGCTGGCATTCAGCTTGTTACTGGAAAACCGCTTGGCGTGACGTAGTGAGCGCGACGATGCATGCTTCGCCATCACCCTTGTAAACCGCTGTCGACAGACGTAACAGGCACGCATCGAGTACAGGCAGCAGCCGACACTCCAAGTCGTGGACGAACACGGGCGACGCACTGGTACGTGCTTCTAGTTGCGCTCTGGTGTTTCCGCGTCGTGCTGTCGCTCGGTACGGGCAACCCATATGACGGACATAAGCTTCGAGACGGTGCTGAGTGGGTCGCATCGAGTCTCCTGGGTGTAAAAGGCTGGGTACCTGTCCAGTTTAGGCGACTTGGTACGGAGAATAGCTTGGGGGCGTTCTCCGATGTGCAAGCACCGGCTATCGAGACCGGAAGTTTGCGGGTTGAAGGCGCGCTCCAGCTGCTAAACTTGGAACAAGGCGCACAATTTGGCGCTCAGCAAGGAAGCGAAGTCGTTGGAGACACACTTTTCGAGCGTTCCGCGGAGAAACTCGCAGCGTGGATGCTCTTTTGCTGGCCCTGGCTGTTGGCGACTTGTCTGCTGCGCCCGCTATATGCAGCTGCAGGTGCAGCACTCAGTCCGCGACTCTTGCACCAGCTACCGTCGGTAGCCTTCATGCAACCGCTCATCGCTTTGTTTGAATGGGCCTTGTGGTCTTGTCTGGACAGCATCCCCAATGCATCCTCGCTGCGCTGGTTGTATATCGGCACCATTTGGTCTTGGCCCTCAGCAGTGCTCTTACTGCAACCCAGCAAGGAGGCCTTCGAGGTACTGGCGGTACTGTCCATTTGTATGTGGCACAACGTTAGCCGAATAACTGGCAAGGCATCGCAGTCAGCTGGGAACTCGTTTCGCAAGAGCGCGCAACTTCTGGAACGCCTCTGCCTCTTTTTCGCCATTTATGCTGCGTGCGTTTCTCCGTCGAGTATGCTGTACACTCTCCCACTGTTTGCAGTCGCATTTTCAGATCATCAGCAGACGGCTACGTCGGCTCGCGTGTATCGACGGAGGCCTGCAACCCAGCGTAGCGGTTTCGTGCTGGGCTTTTTCATCGTGCTCCGGACGCTTGCTGCACTTGCGGATGTACTCGCGAACCGTATAGACTGGCAGATGCTTGCGGACATTGCTAGCCACTGGACAGCTGTATTGTCAGTGCAGACATTCCGGATGGGTATGCTTGGTTTGTGGCGTTTCCAATACCGCTACCGTTTGGACTTTGTATGGAATACACTGCCGTGGATGCTTGGTCCACACGCCCTGTCCGTCGTGTACGGTTGCTTCGAGATCGCCTTTGGGGAGCGTCGTAACCGCTGTATGTTATACCGCAGCTCCGAACAAAAGCGACCGCGGAGCTCGTTGCGTCGTTTTTCGAGACCTTCACCAAAGGGCGGCACTGACTGGAGACGACCCACAAACATAGTGATCACCATGGCAGAACCGTGGCTATGGGTAGCGCTTGTAGGCCTCGCTTGCTACAGTGTGCAGCTTGAACGAGATTGGCCTCGGCTCGTAGCGCCCTGTCTGGGACTCGTGATGTTCAGCTTACTTAACGCTCAACATGCTGGCGCTGGAGCACTCCGAAGCTTTTTCTGCATGATTGTTGTAGTCCATCATGTTCTTGTGCTGCTGTTCATGATATTTTGCCGCGAAGCTGGTCTCGCTCTGCTCCCTATGTACCTTTTCAAGACGGGTCTGCAACCTGAGCACGTGATCTACGTGCATACGGATATGCCACCGCGGATGCTGTTTACGGGACCTTTAGCCTCTGTGCAGGTACATCATCTGCGTGCCCCGTCACCGGCGTTTCTGCACTACTACACGGAGCTTGAATTGGCATCCTCCATAGCGGTGCGTGCATACGAGAACGCAACAACATCTTTAACAACGGACGCCAAAATGCGTACAAGCCAAGCGTCGGGTGACATCGTAATTGCTGTTCCCCGCGGGTATCCCGTGCCAACGAATTGGAGTCAGCTTTACCGCAAAAGTGAGCTGTTTCCGCACTGGAGCGCGCATTTGTCCATTCAGGGACGACGCGATGAGGCACTACGCCCCTGGATCCGTTCGAGGCTCGCCCTGGACGTGTACTGGAGGTCGACGCCCTAGCCCGAGTCCTGCTGGATGCCCAGTGACGAGGAAGGCACTGCGGCGCGTGCTGCTGCCTTATCGTGAAGCGCTGCATGCCGTCGCGGATGATCAAGGTCGATACCAGCTTTATCCAAGCATCTTCAGTTGGTACCGTTTCGTTGGTGTACTCTTGCTTCTGAATGTCGTATTGTATTCAAGGTCAGGAGGTCGGTGCACGTTCATTCCGCATGCGATATGTGTTGTTATGTCATGAAGCGTTCCGCTTGAGGATTGCAGACACAGCCTTGCAATATGGGTTTCTTGCGACCTTTCTCCCTCATATGCAACGAGGGTTCCCTGACCAGTAAAGTGAGCGCTTGCTTTGCCATGGTATGTAGGGCGATTGGCTCGGGAAGCTGCATACTGCAACGAGCTGCACTTTTGTTGATTTCGATGCCCATAGTCAGTTCATCAGCGGGACGATGGACCCTGTAACCTAGCAGCACTGCTTCGGAATTGAGCAAGAGCGATATAGAGATGCGATGTGCGTATGTGCTAGTGCCCAGGTCACGTAAGGGGTCTAAGACGCATCGACGAATCGAGATCACTTCGCTTTGGTGATGCGATACGCTTGTCGACGCGTACCAAGGTCACTTTAGAGATGTGAGACGAATCAGCAAGCAGAGGTGGCAGCTGCGGGTGCTCAAGCATGTACGTATATGCCCAGCGTCAGCTGCGTTATACTCAGAACGGGGGATGCTCGAACACATGCACCTGCACACTCTCTACGTTCTCGGTTGATTTTCTCTCACGTATTCAACAAAAGCAATGTATTCTGGTGATTCGAGAAATGCCACGACAAGAACGTACGCTACTATTGCTTGCTTGGGAGGGAAACGCTCTTAATGCTGGAAGAAAGTTATTCTACCATCCGCAGGTGGATGACGCCCGCTTCTCCTAGTGTTGATGCTTGACCTCGTACAACCAAGACAGAGCAAAGCAAACTCCATGTACATGAATTTTTCCTTGTCCATCCAAGTCAATCTCTAACCTTAGCGAAAGAATACTACCGAAATAGCGCCGTACCGTGAAGCTTCGGCATCTTTAATGCGAATTATGATGAAGCGACCCGGGTGGACAAAGAAACAAGTACGCTTCTGCGGGAGGCAGTCGTGCGTTCAGTAACCGTCTATCGATCTCGAACGAAAGCGCGAGTGCTCATCACCGGATCGAACGGTATTCGTCAAACTCGATGGGACGCTGTTTGAGAGAAGCAGTGGCCGGCTTGCGAACGAAAAAAAAAGCATCGACCGCTGGTTGCAAACAGGAGTCATCCGAGAATGAGGACAATGTCAGACCTAGCGGCGATTCTATCGTATAGTCGCCGACGAGTTGCCATGCGGTCATGATCATTCAGTACTTTGCCTTTCATCGGGGCAAGCTTCATGCCTCCTGCTTCCCACATTTTTTGTGCCGCTGTTCGAATATGTTGCGTTCCATCACTTGAAAGCTGTCAAGGATTACGCAGCTGTGACTCCAGGTACGCTGCTCTTCTTACGCCTCGATGTTCCCTGGCTCAGTCGAGTCCAAGCTGTCCGCTCTGTTATCATATGCCAAGCTAACACTCACGGGTCAATAGATGATACGTTCGCCTCTTTGACACAGTTATTCAACATGCCGTTCTCTACAAAGTTTTCCAGCACTGAATGGCTCTTTGCGTCTCTGCAGGCGTGGGATAAGGAGCGCCATGCCGCGCCTCTGCTCATAGACGTCATCACAACGGAGGACGTGACGAAGATGCAGTTTCCGAAAAGCAGGTATATACGTCTAGAATACAGGTGAGTTTCAGCGGAACAGTGAAATCAGTGGCTATGAATCCCCATGAACAAAATCGATACAGATTAGAGGGATCACATTCTCGCTACACCGCGATGTCAACGACAAGCCGCAGATGAATAAAAGGACCAAGCAACTGAACGAAGAAGGGAAAGACAATTCCTAGGAAGAGAGACGTATGAGAAATACCGAAGAGGAAAGATATTTCTGAAACCCTTCTCAAGGCACTCCACCTGAAACAGATCCACGGGAAGAATTTTCGAAAAAGCCGAGATACAGGAGGCCGTGGGGCTTGGATAGCTTCTTACCCGAGGACGGCTCGCCTAGATGCACTCGCCTTGACATGCTTCGTCAGGCAGCTGCTTCGTGGGGATCCCAACGCAGGGTTGCCAGCTGTCCCTCTTCTTCTGCTGGATTTTTCTGTCAAACATTCACCTGGTAACACAGTTGATGCACGGGCAGGAGATGCAATACGCACTGATCGTGGGATCAGGGATTTGCATTTTCGCTGCTCAGAGTGCCCCCTGGCGTCGCAGCACCACATCGGCGATCGAAGAAAACGTCTACGACGGATGTGCCGAGAAGCGTCCAATGATCCTCAGAAAAACACCGCAAAAGCATACGCTCACCAATGACCAGTCCTCTAAGAAGCACAACCTGTGGGCATGATCATCCCGAGCATAACGGACCAGGAAAGTCGGAGCTGGTGCAGGCGATTCTCGCAATGTCGATGAAAGCGAGTGACTCGCTGCTGGCGGCGGAAGAGCCCGAGCTCGTAGAGAAAACCCTCAGAAGAAACGTCGGGATCGGAGCGAGTGTCGCTTCGGATCGATGAAGCGCTTGGTGCGGCTCGCGGCCTCGGATCCACGAACGTCATGCCCGTAACACGGTTGGAATGGGATGCTTGCGTTCCTTGCCCGTAGCTCACGCGACGACGCTTTCCTGAAGCGCGCTCCCCAGCCCAGCGCAGATGGATGCCCGGAGTTCGAGTGCGCTCCCCAGCCCAGCGCAGATGGATGCCCGGAGTGCGAGTGCGCTCCCCAGCCCAGCGCAGATGGATGCCCGGAGTGCGAGTGCGCTAGCCCCCAACGGCAGCTGTTGGCGGCGCTCCCGGGGCGTCGCTGCAGGGCCCATTCCGTGCCCACAGATACTTGGCTACTGGATGCACTGCGCTGCGAGAGGTCTACTGCTAGTCTCTGGGAGCACGTGTGCAGCATTCGAGCTGCTTTACGAAATGCATTGGCGGGCCTCGCTCCTCGTATCTCGATGAATAGGGGTACACGGGGAGAGCTCTCCAGGGACAGCGGCGACCGACGCAGTGTTTAGGTGCACTTTCCTCGGGAGAGTCGTGCAAGCACATGATGCTTTTCACCTGCGCCGGGGTTCGGAATGCTCGCCAGCATGCAAACGAGCCAGCAGCATGACTGTGTCTGGGCCCGTCTCGACGCCCTGAGCACCGTATCGAGCAGCGGCGGATGCTTCGTACGCTCCATTCAGGGACTGTGCAGAAGCGTTCATTCCTCATGCAGACGATTTTTCGAGCCGGAGGACATACGACTGCGCCGGGCTCGGCAACGGTCTCTTTTCTGTTGGACGGAGGCAAGGAGTGAGCGTTCACCAGCTGCGTCCATGAGTAGCGAAAGCAAGTGACCGAGCGTTCGTGTCATTGTGCCGTAGCGTACAGCACTGGATGTGTTGTGCGGTGCAGAGGCAGCACTCCTGCCTGTAGGTCAGAGCGTTCCATTGAGGTGTGTGTGTGTGTGTGACGGAATAGATTCCGTACGATTGCCTCCGATGCGTACAGAAAGCCATTGACGCACGGGGAATATCGGTACCCGGTGTACCAGTCACAGAAGATGTGCCTTCATCAGAGCTAGTCGCACGAGATGCTGGACGGGAAGGTGCCGAAACCCCAGCTGGCCAGGCAATGGAAAGTCGGACGGCTTCTGTGGTGTGATTCCACGAGCAACCGAGTGCGCAAGCACTTGCTGCATCGAGGTAGTAGTGCCTCGATCAGCATCCAGAAATATGGAATGTCTCCACAGCGCCTGATCGCACGGCGTCGAGCGAGCTCTCCAGGGACTTGTTTCGTACGCTTCATTGGCATTGTACTGAATTGCTGTAGACATCCGCTATGAAACATCAGTGGTCAATGCAATGGGCATTCGCGTGGCGCCTGGTTCGAAGTATCGGTATGTTCGGGTTCAGCAGTCCAGATACATGGAGCGCAGCCTGTTCGCACTGGAGATGTATGTACAGTGCAATAGGTACACGTTCATGATGTTCCACACATTGGAACTACTGAGTATACCTCGACAAGCGCACAAGCTACCGTGTATGCTTTTCTCTCGGACCATGAAACCGATCATCATGCTATGCGTTTTCCTTACGCCATATCGATTCCCAAGCCGCAGCAGGCCTGCAGTCATTACGGATTCGCGGGACTGGCAATCACTAGCAGCAAGTCGTTGTGTTGCCATTGAGCACGCTGGGTGCCTGGATCGTAGCTGGATTGCTACTGCTATTCCCCTGCATAGTTGCGATGGTATCGATGAAGAGCATCCTGCTTATCTGAGACAACACCAACACACTCTCTATGGACAGAGGACACGCTCGCCTGGGCATACCAAACATCCTGACCTCTCCCCGAAATCGACTCGTTGACCGTCACGGACCCGAAAAAGTATCGATTAGCTGGAACAGATAGCGCCATTCGGAGGCGCTCTACAAACCTTTCAGCACTGAATCATCAATCAACATTCTTCAAATTTGAAGATACCTCTCAGCTAACAACGCAATCACGATAAACGATAGCTTGATCATCGGGGGCACTGGATCCCGGCTCTGACCTGGAGTTCAACCTCTTGCCATAGCGGATTCGCAAACATTGCCATGGGGTCATCCAGCACGGCCACTGCAGTCCGAAACGGTGCCCTTTGCGTATCATGACGCGTAAACTGCTCCAAGACTGTAGACGGTTCGATTCCTGTGTGTTCTGGTTCATGAGCCAGGATAATGATTTTTGGAATGAAGCGATGCAGGCGAACTGCACATTCCGATGCAAGCCGCAGGCTTTCCAAATGCAGAGAAGGCTCCAGCTGACGAACCATCGCTGCTGCTCCAGCGGCGGTGTCACAAACCAGAAACTTACGCTCATCCAGAATCTGTCCTGCAGGAGAACGACACAAGGCGCCAACCTGCTGGTACCATAGAGAGCAATCCTGATCGTTTCGAACGCGTAGAATGAAGTACACATCTACAAAGTGAAGCAGTGCAAGTCGTCGAAACCATTCTGGAACCCAGGGCGCCCAGTCGAGGCTCTCTCCGTGCACCCACAGGGACTTGGATGTAACCTCCTCTACGATGGTAATCACCACTCGAGGAGCACCTAGCACGCGCTGGGGCGTCGAAGTCTCCGACACTGGCGGCTGCAGTGGCGGTCCATGCACCAGCCGCTGAGGCCGTGACGAGTTCTCCTCGCGAAGCGCAGCCCCAGTTCTCGTGGGTACACGTGTCTCCGGATCGCGCTTGAAGAGGAGACCACGAACAGCGACAGCGAACACTACCAGCGCCACTGCAGCCCCTAGCGCTGGTGTCTCCCACATCCAGTTCATCAACGAAACGCGATGCCGTACGTGCGGTCTAATGGTACAAGTTTCCCGGACACACACGCACCAAGCACACGAGTTTTCCTTCCAGTCCAGACTAAGTCGCAGCTGAGCGCAAACCAAGATCCGCTTTGTAATTTACCCGTGCAGTGATGAATCAGCGCTGCACAGAGCACGGCGGGTACCGAGTGTGTAGCACGCACAGTGAAGCAAACTGCCTCGACCCGGGTGCTGCGCCGCACCAGTGAAGCTCGTCGAACAGCGACTCGCTCAGCAGGTCCAGCGGTACCTGTTTCCGATAGCCGACTATCACCGTCTCTCTCTCCGAGCGGCGCTTTTTCCTGACGGCACCTGCCCAGTCGACAGAGGCAGAGGTTCGCTTCCCGAGCTCGTCCGAGTGGTAGGCGATGCTCTGCGCGCTCCTCGCGTTGCAGTGGACACGCTACCGCCAAGCTGTACCTGAAAGCAGGTTAGAATCCGTGTTTTGAATACCAAACAAATGTGTTTGCCCGTTATGCAGTACACTCAGCGACTGATACTGAATGACGGCGTTCGAGTCTCGGTTCAGAAACTCCAAGTACGCAGTGACACTGATAGAACGCATTCATGCATGGTTTCCTCGAAGTCGTGCTCCCAGTGCCAATGTATTCTCGTGATCGTCGCGTCGGGTAAGCACCCGTCATCGTCTGCGTCCCCGCTTTTTCGTCGTCGTATTCCTCCTCGTCATTTGCGCTTCTTCGATCGAAAATCGACGACATGAGAATTTTTGGCTTTTCTGCAGCTGGCAATGACGGGCCTCCGGGATCGCCAACGACCATGCTCATATCTTCGCCTTGGATTTTTTATCGCTTCAGATGAACGCGCTTTCAACAAATCTGCTATAATCCGTGAAAAAGCAATGGGAACCCCTACCTGGACCTGGAACAGAATTCATGTGAAAGAATCGCAGCACTTCGTGGGCGCACCAGTGCCAACCGAACGACTTGTACTGTCTCAGTTGTTGATGTTGGTTGCGTTGCTGTGCAGTGGCGGGGCTCGGTAGCGTCACGAGACGCACAAACGTACGCTTGCATGGGAACTGAGACCAGTTCTCTCATACAATACCTGAGTCAGTTGCGACATGCGTTGAACGTGCTGGAAAACGTGGAGTGCTGCACTGGTGAAGACCATCGTCAGTTTCCAGTCTACGATGCCTGGCTCGACCTGGTTGCCGTGTTCATGGCGATAAGCGTTGCGGTGAAGCGTGTTGGAGTCCTGGTTCGTAGACAAGGTCTGTCGGCTGGGGCTCGGCCTCACGAGAAGCATCTCAGTGCCGCTAGCCTCGAGCAAGCAGCGAACCGCGTCTGGGTCGAAGAGCTGGTAGCGAGCCAGCGCAGCTGCGTGCTGGTAAGCGAGGACGACCCCGAACCGCTTGTGATAGATAACGCCACACAGGGCAAGTTTGTGGTTGTGTTTGACCCACTAACAGGACGAGCGCAGCCGCCGTGTGGAGAGATGGGCGCTATTTTCGGCATTTTTCGCCAACTAGGTCAGAGCGACACGCAAGGGGACGAATTCAACCCACGCGATGTGTTGCAGCCCGCACGGCAACTAGTTGGTGCAGGTTATGCACTCTATGGTCCAGCGGTATTGCTGTATGTGTCACTTGGCGCTGGGGTGCAAGCTTTCACCCTCGATGGAGCTATGAATGAGTGGATTCGAACCTCGCCACAAGTCCGCATACCGATCTGCGGGCACTGGTACAGTCTGGATGAAGGAAGCGAGTCCCTGTGGGATGCCGACCTGCGAAGCGCTTTGCATCGATTTAAGGAATCGGTTTCTTTGAATGGAGAACGACGTTCCCTACGAAGGACTGGCTCCATGGTTGCAGACCTGCATCGCGTGATGCTGTACGGCGGTGTACTGCTGTATCCGCCATGCACCGCCCAACCGCAGGGCCATCTGAAGCTCCTGTACGAGGCGGGACCATTGGCATTCCTGGTAGAGCAGGCAGGAGGTCGGGCTACGGATGGAAGACTGGCGCTTTTTGATCGACGACCAACGACGCTGCACGAACGCGTACCTGCATACATGGGCAGTGTGAATGATGTTGAACTGCTAGAGCAACTACTTGCAAAAATAGATAGGGATCCGATGTTCCTACTTCGACGTTCAGTTTCAGTTGATGAATGGGGAGCGCGCAGCCGCTTGTCCGATGATGTACAGGCGACACAAGCGCCGTGGTCACCGCTCCAGACAGTTGGTGGTGTGCTGGCGAGCGTGCCCCCGTTTCTACTGGAAGACTCCGATTGAGGGGTGCCTCGGCCTCCAGCGAGAGTCCTCATTTGAAGAGAGGCCCTTGCGTACGCAGCAACGCTAGTGCCGCGTACTTTCGATGGTGAAGCACAGCACGTCACGTGTCGCTTGTTGCAGACGATGCTCGCACCTTTCAAGTGCTCTTTCGATCCGCTTCTAGCCAAGTATCTACCCCAGCGGAGCGGGTACCTGCACGTATCCTGCCGCTCGACAAAGCAGGAAGCGAAAGACGATGAATGAATCGGTGTGACGGGTGTCATCTGTGCCCATTGCGTTGCACGGCAGACGAGGGTTCGTGCGCCTCCGACCTGTTGCAACGCCCGGGTCGCCGAGACGGGAGCAGCACCCCAGCGATCAGGTTGCCCAACTCGAGAGCCAACTGCAATAGCGACAGCTGGGAAATCTTGTGCCGTTTCGCGGAGCGTTCCGTTGTAGGCATGCGGACGCCACTGCCGGTTTCCGCTGCGACAGAGCGCGATGCATTGAGCACCAGTGCGTACCCTATACATATTGATTGCAGGCGATGTGTCCAGTGCATGCCGCCATCCCAGGAATATGCGAGGTAGAGGGGCACGGCGTGAGCGCTATTTACTGCCATGCTGATGCCAGTGTATGCGTTAGCCAGTTGCGAACTCGGTCCTCGATGACGACGATCCCATACCAACGATACTGGGCGCTGTTCCGCATTGCTACGACCTCGACATCGAAAGGAGGCAACAAGCGACAGGTGAGGCTCGAGGCCAGCGCCACTGTGTTCACCCGTGCCTCAACGCGTAAAAACGCTGACCTGTCCCGGTATGAAAGATTCACGTGCCGGAGGCCTTGGCAGCGCTTGCGATATCACTGGATCCCGCGAGGTACGTAAACCTCACGTGGCCACACCAGCGTTCGTTCTGGGCGAGCCGCACTGGCTCCAAAACCACTGCAGGCTCGATACAGAGCATGAACATCCATTCGCGGTCGTCGAGATCCACGAGGTCGTGGCTTTTCTGGGGCCCCGGATTCCAAACGACAACCTCGGGAAAATCGTCTGTGCTAGCCTCCACAACCACCGTACCTTTCTGGGCGTTCACATGCTCAATACGGATTGCGTTACTGCTCCCTGGTTGTCGTCGATAGATGCGATCCACTTCGTGGTCGCGAAACATGAGAACTGGCTCCGAATCGATTATCATGCCCTGCGGTCGCATCCTATCGACGTACTCGCAACCGGAGAGTCCCAGGACACGAACCTGTGTCAGAGAATTCACACGCAGATACGAATGTAGCGCTGTGGTGAACTCGAGCGTCTCCGACTCGTTCGGTGCCCGATTAGAGACGGACATTCTCAGACGCAGGTCTCCGAGCGCTGCGCCTAGTTGCACCATCATGAGCACTTGCGCATGCTGAAGCTCGGTTTCGAAGATCGTGCTTGTACTCCGAGGGACTGCATTGGCGGGTAGAATGGTTTCCGTAGCTCCCTCTGGAACCGCGGAAGATGCTGGTGCATATCGAGCCGCGGCACTCGTATCCGGTGGCGGTGCCACTGCTCCTTCGGCTCCTCGTGCTGAGCGCGGTTGCGCTCCCGAGTTGTCCTCCACAGCCGGTATCGCATCGGTTCCATTGGTCGTTTGCTCCGTCATGATCGGTGTTTGTAGACGAGAGGGCGTCTGCATCGGCTTGGAACTCATTGCCGTTGATTCGGTGTGGTGCGCGTCTCCGGTGTCGCGCTGGTGGCTGCTACTCGGTGCACCGGCTGTGCCTGCTCCGTGGACATCGGCCGCAGAAGCAGAAGCAGCACCATCTATTGCATTCGCATAGCTTGACCCCATCATCTTCGCTAGTGCGGCCGGCGTAACTGTCGGTAACTGGAACACAACCAGGGGACCTTCCGGATGATCGCCATCCGCGTGGACGAGCTCCCAGCTCATGTTTCGCGCATAGCCATGTTGCTGAGCGAGTGCACCGTACGTACTGAACTGCGGCCAGCAAACGGGTATACCGCCTCGAATGGCACGTCTGCGATCGAAGATGGCCTCTTTGGAGACAAAGAGCAGAGAGCGGGTGCATGACGGAGGTTGCCACGACAACACCTGCGCACCAAAGAAACTGACTTCCGCGCAGGCACCGTCAGCGGTCTGCAGGAGCACCATTTCGAGGCCTCCCTTGCCACGAAAGAACGTTAACCGTCCTGGTGTACCATATCGATCCTGGACTTCCTGGATGGGGTCTTTGGAAATATTCACGGTGATTTTGTGATCCATTTCAAGCAGTTTCCCCGAGCTGAACACAACACAGGGTACCGTACCGGCAACTGCCACGATGCGACCTCCCAAGCGTGCTCAGAAAAGCGCCCTTTCCGAGTCCTAGTGCCGACACGCTGAGCGCTTCGCGGACTTGCCAGCGTCACAGCAACCTGGCGTCCTCAACCGGGACAGAGACGCGTTCGTGCACTCCCGAAGCCAACGCTTCGCACTCGTCAAGTTTCCAAGTATGACTCTGGTGCTGCTTTCCTTTGTTTTCAATGCTGGGCGTTGTTCTGACTGCGCGTGTAGCTATGGGCAACCAAGCGGGCGTAGCGACTGGAGCACCACTCGGAAACATGCGTTTATACCATATGAAAACGACGGGAGATGGTCGTGTTGACGCAAACGCCCTGCCGGATGCAGCGACACGGGAAGTCGCTGGTGTTGAACCCATAGCGCTTCCACGAGCGTTTCACCACTTTACTGCCTCCAGGGCGGATAGAATGTTGTTTGGACGAGTAGTTTAGGGGTTCATAGGCTTACATTGACGGCTGGTGGGTCGTCCGAGTCGCGTTTCTCACGTAGGGTCCTGGGACTGGAAGAAATGATCTCCCGACGTTATGCAAGCGAAAACAAAGGCACAGGGTTTCCGTTCTAATGCGGATGGTGAGAATGCGTTGGTGTTCGACCTAGCGTATACCAAGACCGAACGGACGACAGTAGAGGCCTTTCTTAGCGGAGCAGCACGGCGTTTGGGTATGGTAGTCCTGTTTGGCGAGCGGCCGGTGTGCATCAAAGTTCTAGAGCGGAGCCTGGTTCGTGCGGGTAAGCACCGCTCAAAGAAGAGGCAAACTACTGCATGTCTAGGAACTAAATAGACTCTATGCTTTACGAGCGAACCAGCCGAGTGCACCTGAACGCGCTCTCTCCGGCATATGTGTCCAGGTCAGCGAGCGCTGCTTGCCGCAGCGTTTGGTTCACAAGCTGCCGCAGCGTCCAGAGCGGTCGCTTGCACCAGGTCCGCCACGTAGCTCCGCGGGATCCGTTGCGCCTGGATGCCGCATAGATGCTCTGTACGCGTCTAGTGATCGTCAACTGGAGGTGGTGGTGGTGGTTGCGGCTGCGGCGGCATCTCGCACTGGGTTCGGTAAAGGTCTTGCGCGGACGCCGGAACGCCGAGCACCGCTCTGTTGACGCCTCGCACGTTGCTGGCTCGTGATGCATCCCACAAGGTGCGACCGCTTCTCGCAGAACTTGCTTACATACGGGGAACTGTTGGTATGCGTAGGAGTTGCCTCTTGAATCGTCGAATGGAGCGACGACTTGAGTCGTGATGCGAGTCACTCGTCCAAGTGTCTATCGACAATTCGCCGGGACTGCGGAACATGCATGCCGTCAATGCATCTTCGGCGGCAACTTTATCGACGTCGCCACTGACACAGGACAAAAGTCGAGAAAGACACCACCATGCTGCATTTCCTGAAATACCCGTGATGCACTTTGTTCATTTCCTTTGCCTCCAAAGGACCGGTGTGGCGAATGATCCGTTTTCCGATTCTTCCCGGTCGACGAAGAACCCGCTGGACTGTAGAATCACGGAGTGTATTCCCCAGAACGCTCGTGGGTCTAGCGATATGCTCTGAGGCGTCGCTGCCTATCTGTGAGTTTTCACGCCTGGCCCTATGAAGATTGCGCGTGGTTCCAGTTATCCGTGTTTGGAACATTGTCACGGAGTCGATACGAGCATATGTGCGACGCGAAGCATGATATAGCGCCAAGGGTGTGTGCAGCTTCGCGAGAGGAACTTCATGCAGGCGCTCGAGGCCCAGATTTTTTGTGGTGTACAGTCAGCTACTCGAGACGAACATCCGTAACGTCGGAAGCGTCGGGGGACAGTATGCCGGATAGACGGCTCGTTCGGATGTATTGCATACTTTCTCGAGTATCACTATCACGGCTGACAGCGTTCTCTGATACATACTCTTGGGAATGGCAGACTGCTCCATTGCGTGTATCGCAAGAGCGAAGCCCTGCTCGTTTCCGTGTCCAGAACGCCGCCGCTTGCATCAAAGAAGTCTGGTGTTGCTTGCCCTTTTGAACGCTACGTAGAGCGAGCGATTCCGATACACGCAGCGACATGGGATGAGCTTGTTCACGATAGACACTCGCTGATCGAATCAGAATCCTCTGGGAGCGCAGTTATGGTTCTAGGTAACAAACGCTGCAACCCGGTATCCGCTAGAATGCGGTGCACGTATGCCATCCGACAGCGTACTGGCGACAAGGATGCAGCGCTGGAGGCGATCGCACCGTGTCCAGCGTTTTGAGTCGTCTGGGGTACGCTCCCGAGGGCTGTTTCCATACATTCATGTCAGAGCAAAATGGAACGGGTCCTCGAACACGCGTGTGCGCACTAGTGTTTACGTTTCTGGATACTGTTGCTGGCTCCGACTGCGACTGCTCCCTTTTCCTCTCTCTCGTGCCTGTTCGATGGGCGCTGGTCTCTCCTGTGCCTCGAGCACCGTTGTCAGCAGCCGAATGACGATGGTGGCAGCGTTCAGTTCCGGATTTCGCAGCTTCAGGCGGTTGACGCTGTACTCCATAAGCAGATTGGACTTGCGATCTACGCTTCACTCGCTCTATTCATGTTCTTCGTTTACCAGCTCGATGTGCGCTTTGCAGAGGCGGCGCTTGATTCTGGTCGGGTGTTCCGTTAGGTCCACCACGATCCGTCCTGTTTCGAGCGCTGCTCTCTCGCATACGAAAGCTCATGTCATCGCTCGGTACATGTCCTTGACGGGTACAAATGGCTTCCCCTGATGCCCGCATCCGTCTCCGTGTCCGCTGACGTGGCTTCTTCAGTGCGATCCTATCGGCGAGTATGTTGTCCGCTGCATGTGCGAGCGCACCCTTCTCCATGCGACGGAGCATTTGTGGAACGCGATGTTGTGCAGGCAGAAACTAGAACCGAGAAGGAAAACTCGAGCTGAACAAGTCGAGAAATCTCGATTCGTCTATACGTCGTTCGTGCAAAGCAGTGGCGCACGCCCTATTGGACATGATCGCTGCGGAGCGTGCGGTCCGAGTCCAAGAGCCCGCTTCCAGGCAAACAGAAGAGACACCAGCCTCTGGTGGCATATCCCGCGACAGGTATCGCGCTGGTATCGAATCGTGTTTCGTCAATGGACACGATAAGAGACGGATGTGTTTATCGAGCGGAATCGATGATCTCATATGACAAGTCCACTGAGGTTTCGGCAAGAACTTGTGAACAATTCTTTGAGGACGATGTAGAGTTTTTGCTTCATCAGTTCAGTGGCGCGAGACGCAACTCGAACGAGCTGCCTTGGACCACAGAAATCGAAAACTTGAAAATTACATGATTTGAGCTGCCTAGTTGTAAGGGAAGGGCACAACTTGGATCCATGCGCATATGAAATGGATGATGTTATCGGGTAGTTGACGAAGCCTTGCTCGAGGACGTCGCGGTGCGTTGTCGGTTCGCATCACGTAACAAGTTCGGGCGGCAGAGCGTAGAAGGAGTCACCATGAATAGACAAATGAGAATCCCAAAGCTGCATATAGATCTGTGAGCCATTGTGGATGCATTTTGACTATCGAGGCTGTAAATCTAGGAAAACGTTCGGTACCATATCGCAAGGTAGGAAGCGAGCGAGCAGTCGAATGCACCAGTTTCCTAATCTGACACAGCAGGAGTGCACCTGGCATAGACACGCGCCGGGTTTCTCCAACTTGGCGCTCTGCTATATTGCGGCCTGTGAACTTGAAAAAGCTTTGCGCTTGGCCTTGACAGTGCGATTGAGCGGTGTTGAAGCGCACGAACTACACGCACTTGGAAGCGCACAAGCGCGTCTAAGGAGTGTTCAGCAGGGGCACCGCCGCGTCGTTGCTTGCAAGTCGCAATCGGTACTGGTTCTCGCTGTACGCAAGAAGCGTCTCGAGGGTTTTATTATCCATGGAGTCTAGCGAGCAAGCCCAGGGCGGGTCTGGGTTCAGTCCACAGGTCGTTGCACTAGTGCGAAAAGTTGCCGAACTAGAGGCGGAGAGAGCTGAATATGATTTAGTTTTGGAAACACTGGCTTCGTTGGAGCCCGAGATCTCGCTGCACGCTGAGGCGGACGCAGAGACGCCGGTGCGGATCCCGAGACGCTGTTGGCAACAAGTAGGGGACGTATTGCTAGAGCGTCGGAAAGACGAGGTTCTGCCTATGCTCGAGAGCCAGCGAGAGCGCCTCCAACACGTTATCCACGAACTCCAGCGTCAGATACATGTCATGACGGAGTCAGATAGACCCGAGACCCGGACTCGATAAACCTTTCCATCAAATGATCCCGCTTTCGAATTCTAGGCCCCGCTACGCCCTGTACACCTTAAAGAATAAACTAGGAAATGAACCGGACACTTCGCGCTCGAATAAGCGGGCGCTCTCCGATGTATTCATTTAGAGTCCCACACCTCCGGGGACGAAACGCCTTGTACATTCATGTTGATGCTTGTGCAGACTCGATGGAACCTTGGAAATAGATGCACGTTTGCGCTTCCTTGCTCATTGAACGGCGACAGCACCGCGCCGAAACGCTCCACGACATCAACCACATACCAGAGAGGGACTGCACGTCCATCATCGCGGTGTTCAGGAGCGTTTCGCGGGTCGCTCCGTGGGATCCGTCAGGTGGATCCGACCGATACTCGCGCTCCCCATTGCAAACGCCAACCCTTTTCACCGTATGGCATAGAATTTATCACTCGACGAGGTTTCTTTCGACTGTATGTAATCCAGCCGAGAACTTGTCCTGTGACTCATACTGTCTGAGCGTCGTCTCGGGTGCGGGCGCCTCGCAGGTGTCGCTGCGCTTACGGAAGCGCGTCCTGCGTCGCCAAGCACGGCTCGCCTGTACTCCGCAAAGATCCGTTCGAAACTGCACGTATCGCCTCAACACGTCCATCCGCCGCCTTGCTCGTGACGAATAAGGGCTTCTCAGACTGAAAAACGAGTATCATCGAGCCCAAGGCGCAGAGAAGTAGTGCAAACACCTTCAGCCAAGTAAACTGTTCCCCAAACCGGTACTTTCCAATGAGTGCAGTAGCAGAAATCCCTAATACACACCATACGGTATACCCAACAGAAAGATCGATGTGTGCAGCGAACGCAACAACGCAAAGCACTGTACAAACGCTGTAGCAGAGGCACGCTTTAAGCGCGGCAGCCGGGTGCGCAAAACCCTTCGCTTCGCGAATGAATGTCGTGCCCATGAGCTCAAAAGCAACTGCTACTGCAAGGACACACCAGTAAACATAATGTGGCAAGTTTTGAATCGTATCCGCACTCCAAAACATGCTGATACGATACAGTGAAAGCGTTCTTGCAGGTGCAGCGGCAAGCACTAGACCCCGAATCCCGTTACCGATGCGCTCGTGTGCGGCCTCGCAGCGCACTCGCTGCAAGGCATCGCTTCATGGAGAAAGACGAAACGTTCAGGGTAGCGCGAGGACGATTCCCAGTGTCCTTGGGAAGCAACCGTCGACCACAGATAGAATACCGAGTCCAAGCAGGTACCCAGACCTCTGCGAAAGTGATTCCGACCCAAAAGAGAGGTCGTCTTGGCGTGCAGTGCCTCGTGGGCTCTGCGCGACGTTCACTGTGTCGAAGGTTGGTGGCGTCCCGCTGTAGCAGACGACTGGTGTAGACGCAGCCCCGTGTGAAGCAGATGCGCTCTGGTCAGGGTCAAGGGTAAACAGGAAGCGGCGATCATTATTTTGCCGCAGTTTTGGGTATGAAAAGTAAGGCACCCGTGCTGACCCTTGTCAAGCGTTCGAGAGAACGGCGCTGGTATTCCTATTTCGCCGTGCATGACGTTTTCGTAGCGTGCAGGCTCTGTGGATTGTCTGCGTTGGACGCTAGGTGCGCATAGCACTTCATCGAAATCAGTTCACGTTTTGGAGCTATGGAGCGCCTCGCACACCCCAGACGCGTAAAAGGGGCTGGTGCAAGCAAGAAGCGTGTCCTGGAGGGCGTGCTGCCGCTCTCGCTGGGCTGGGCATCGCGTTGCGCACTGTATCGGAAGCGATCCATTCTAAGACTATTGTCTTGTGGTGGACGGCGAGCGCTCCCATAAAAGTGGCGTCTTCATCGAGCGACGCAGGCCTGCTTGGCCGTCGTAGCGTATGCGCAACTGCTTGCTCTTGTGCAATACGAGCACTTGTCCCAGGCGTCGTTCATATGGACCTGAAAGGCTGCGTATTGCGCCGGCATGACGTTTACGAATACACGCTTTTGGATACGCTAGCATCCGCACGGCAACGCAGCAATGCAGTTCGAATTGCACATCATGCACGTAACGCCTGTAGCATTCGTTCAGCCAAGCCACTGCTTCATCAGCGCAGGAAGCTCAACGGGAGCTCGCGGAAGCGTAGAACGCGCGTTGCATTTTCGGTGAAGCGAATCGAGCTTTGCTTCGACGACTGATCGTCGACTGCGCTGAGCATGTCCTCTGGATTTGGATCCTGTTGCGTTGAGGGCATCGCACACCTAGCACGGGATGCTTGAGGCGACCCCTGGAAACACGCAACCTGTTGAGGCGTAGGCACCTGTAGCACGATTTCGCACGCCCCGCAAGGCCGGTGCTTTGGTTTTCAGGGCGCCAAGGGAGAGCTTCCCTGAAAAGTTTTCCGAAGGCAGCACAAACCCAGCTTGCTCATGACGGTCATCGGGGATTGATTGGTCTTTCCTGCCAGACTTGTAGCGTCATAGCGATACAATGCTGCGAGATAAACATCGTAAGACTATGCACTGGATACGTGAAAACGGCAAGAGGTGTCCAGCTGAGTGCGGTTTGGAAACACTTTCAACGAGTACACCCTGCGACGCAACTTGTAGGCTTTACCCGCAAAACGCACTGCGTATTTCCTTCCACTGTCCTGAAACAATGCTCGGTACGTCATGCGATATGTCGGTGGGATTTTCCTCATTCGAATGCGGGCGCGTCTTCTGCAGTATTCGATCGATGAATCGAACCAGATGCCCGCTGATGCGCGAACGCGCTCAGTTGCCGACATGTCCACCGCGCAGCTCCCGAGGACAAGTGCAGCATCTGCAAGTGCCCGTGCTCCAGCGCAGTGCCTGCCGAATGCCCAGCAACTCGATCCATCCGGCACTCCCCGGGGGCGCTGTGGCTACAGCGGGCGCTTCTCGCGACGCTAAACACGTCACCATAGATGCTGTACCGCTACGGAACCGCCTCACTAGAGTATACTTGTGCAGGCGCCTACTCGATAAGCCGGCGCGCCGTCTGCGCCATGTAGAGAACGGCACCCGCTTTGCATCTGGCTCGGTATCAAGATAATCCCTCCAGCTTAGAAAGCGCTAGGAAAGTTTCATGCTCGATTCTTGAGGCGTTGCATGTTGAACGTGGCACTCTCTGCTTCGATGTCCGGAGCGCCGTTCCTCTCATTCCGCACATGGAGGGGCGTCGCCCAGGCCTTGTTTCCCAGCTTTTCGCCAAGAAACGGAAACTTTTCGTGCACACGACCCGCTATGCACATGGCGTGATTCCAGAAAGGTGATGATATCATCGGTGGTGATCGGTGAAGTGCCCACCGCACAAGCTGACGTCGCCCGTCCTATCGAGCGTTCAGGTTGCAGCTCAATCGATTTCCCCGGTGGTACGCACTACAAAGGCACCCTACTGGCGCTCTAGTGGAACGCGCATTTGTGCTGCAGCCGCTGCGTTTCGAGCCCTAACCTCAGACGGCAGAAGACTCAGGTAATGATCCAGCATTTGTTTCGCCTGCTCTAAATATCCGAGCGCCTCATCTCCATATTTGCGTTGTGCAGGCGAGACACCCTGATCGCTCGCCATGAAAATAGGTGTGTAAAGCGTTGCATCCAGCTGGGTCATCACGTTCGGGAGGTCACTGCTTACCCGCATCGCAGATTCGTGCTTCTCCAAATCGTACTCTGGTGTTAGCAAGCGGTCGGTTACGGCCCGGAGCGCAGTATGTAGCCGCAGCGTTCGTGTACAGTAGTTGACGTTGGACCGAGCCTTGTCCCAGGAACCGCTCTCCACATACCGTGGGATGGGCTCAAGTAGCTCCCGACACACCATAACTGCCTGTACGCCCCGGTCTGTGCCCAGGTCGTACGGGTTTGCCGCAAAAGCCAGGGACCTTTGTGTGACCGTTGGATCCGCAAGCAACCAGACGGAGGCCAAGAGCCCTGCAAGAGCTCTTGAGAGTCCAGAAAAAGCTTGCCTCGCAGCCCCTGAGCCCAAGCCTTCCCCGCTAAGCCTTAGGCACGGTCGTGCTAGACGACTCGTACTGGGCACACACCTGTTTCCAGCACCAGGTGCGTTCTGTGCTCGGAAGCTGACAGGTCGAACGAGTGAGATGAACATCGGCAGATAACGCGCGTGATCCAAGGCCTAGAACAGTGCCTACCCGCCCCCAAAGTACCTGCGATACGGACGAACGGCTTGGATGAGTACCCAGAGCCGAAACTTTCCGAGCTCGCGACAATAACGCGGACGGGAACGATGAGGAGGAGGTCATGGCGGTGCCGGTGATGGTGGCCGACCGAGGCGACGCACCTCGCATGAATGCACTCATGAACATCGCGCATGCGGAAAAGGACTCTTTCTCAGCTATTCGAGCTCCAAGACCCTAGTAGAGTAGGTATCTCTGAGAATAGCATAGCTGAGCGAGTGATCCGAAGCTTGTTTTGGGGCACCGTGACTCGCTGCTGGGAGCAGCTGGCGGAGCTCGCCCCCTGCGTCTAGCCCCGTTGGACGCCCGTATCTGAGAGCGACGTGCCCGGGCGCTCTGGGAACGACGAGCACCACAACGTTTTCAGTACGGGCAAGCGGGTATCACGATTAGCATAGAAGAGAATCCTAGGTTTTTTTTTGTGGAAGGAATAGCACCACGACTTGATTGTCCCGACAAGCTGGTAGTACGACCAGTTGAAAAGGGAGCAATACGGTCTGTTCTTGGGGGAGTCTCCACGACCAGCTACGTTTTCAACGGAGGTTCATAGGTGCTCATTACGTCATGGGTGGTACATTGGTGCTCGAGATACCCGCCCGGGCCTGGCTCTATGCGCTTGGAGTCGGACATAGCGGGCTGGACGGGGTACCCGACGCTGCCCTAAACTATCTCCGCACGTTCGACTACGTATGGTTGCAGGGCGTCTGGCAGACGGGCAAACTGGGAGTCGAACTCGATCGTGGCCTCCCTGAGCGCCGTGCCGTCTACGACCAGGTACTTCCTGGCTGGACCGAGGATGACGTTGTCGGTTCGCCGTATGCGATCTACGACTATCGCGTCGCCGCGGAGCTAGGCGGCGATGATGCACTAAAGAGGTTTCGTGAGCGCCTGCATCCAACGCGTTTATTGCTGGACTTTGTACCCAATCACATGGCGCGTGACTGCCCCTGGCCGGAACGCTTTTTTCTACATAGCATGGACGGCGCTGAAGCGCTTCCACCGGTCACCGAAACCGCCACCAGGCATTGGCAAAACCTTCAACAGGGCGAATTAGAGCGGTTCCAGGAACGCCACCACCAGCGGCTCGCAGGCCGGGATCCATACTGTGGCCCGTGGCCTGACACAGCCCAGCTCAACTATCGCGAGCCGGCGCTGCGGCAGCATCAGTGCCAAGTGCTCTGTCGCATCGCAGATATGGCCGATGGCATACGGGCCGATATGGCGATGATGGTGCTCAACGATGTTTTCGAATGGAGCTGGAGAGACGCAGCAGCAGTTGAAACCGCTGGACCTGCTCCGGACAACAAAGAGTTCTGGGAAGAGGCCATTGCTGCAGTGCGTCAGCGTCGCCCCGACTTTCTTTTCCTCGCCGAAGTGTACTGGGATTATGAGGAGCGACTGCAAGCTCTCGGATTCGATGCCACGTACGATAAGAAACTGTATGACTTGCTCCACCAGCGGCACTTGGATCGATTGCGAGGCTACCTACGAGAACGCTCGGCAGAATTTCACGCTCGTTGTGTACACTTTGTCGAGAATCACGATGAGCCGCGGGCCGCAAGCCATTTCGGTGACGTTCGTGTCGCAAACGCCGCTGCGGCGCTGAGCTTTCTGCTGCCGGGAATCCGCCTCGAATTCTGGGGCCAGTCCGAAGGTCGTCGTGCACGTCTCGATGTGCACCTGCGTCGAGCTGCGGCAGAGCCCGAGCGTTCAGTAAGCTCCGCTCAAACAGGTTTTTATGATCGCCTACATCGTATCTTGATGTTGCCTATTCTCAGGAAGGGCAGGTTTGTCTACAGCGACCAGGGCCCGATGCAGCACTGGCGAATCATCACCTGGAATTGGTACCTGGATAACCGGGCGCCCGGTGATTGCGACGCTATCCGGCATCTGCACATTGCAGCGAATTACTCGGATGAGGCGGTTCACTACCAGCACGCGTATCCCTGCGACTTGCTCAATCCCGATGCCACCAATCTTTGTGAATTATCGCCCTGGACGGTACGCGTTTTATGTGAGCAAAAGGTCTCAGCTTCCAGTTGAGACCCTCGCGGCGCGTGCACGCTCCGCTATCGACCAACGAATGTTCACTGGAGATGCCTCAGAGCATCGCATCGTTGCGTGGCGCTTCGAACTGGTGACTCTATTCGTTTCGTATCTGAAGAGCAGGTTTGTTGAGTCCGGACGATCAGACAGCTGACCATGTAGTCCGACGCACGTCTAGGAACACCAGTTCCGATTGTGTCTGGTGCGTATGTCGGCGTTCAGCAACGTCTTTTGGGAAGACGCTTTCAAGTTGAGACCGGACACGGATGCACGTTCCGTTTCCAACGGGTACTGGTGGCATATCTTGCAGCACATCGCCCGATATTGTAGTGCGCATAGAGATGGTTGTTGTTGGCGAGCTCCACGGCCGCTGGTCGTTTGCCAAGACGACGGGCGGCCCAGGTTGGAACGCAGATGTCCAGCAGTGCTCCCTTCCATGCGCTGTCCAGCTGTTGGAGGAACACTTCTCTTGAGCCTGCTTGTTCCCGTACGCAAAGCGCATCATTCATCTCTGTTTTCCTGTTTCTGCCTTGCTATGATGGAGACAAGTCCAGCTCCATACGCCGTGTATGCGGGCAGCTGTCGTGTCCACTCTAGAATGTGACAGGCTCTATTCACGGACCCGGGAATCATGCGTTCTCGTCTGAATCTCCGTCAAGGCACATGCTCGTGTTTGCGTACTGCGTTTCTTGGAAATGCGTACCCGCATTCCCAACCGCAAGTCCACGATACTTGTACGCATGCACTCTCGCAACCGCACATGAATTGTCGCACATCACGCTATTGACATCCAGTACCTGCGTCGGTTAGAGAGGCCCCGCTGCAATCGCTCGTCTAGGACTGAAATGGATAGCGAGCAGCGTAAAAGCTACAGGTTTCGCAATGCTTGCTCGGGGCCGGCGGCTCGGGGCGCTCAAACAATGCAGCGATCTCTTGGCAGAGTGCGTAGAAGCCTTCATCATCCCGCTCAATGGGAATGAACTCCGTCTGGCCTCGGAGACAGCTCTCGTGACTCGACGGTAAGAGCTCATATCCATCGGGTCGGAAAACGATGAGCGCAAGCCGAGGCACCGCTGGAGGCAGAGGCACCGGTGCTATGCTCGTGTCATCGGCATCGAGGAGGTTCGCGGCTTTCTCCAGTGCAAAAGCATACGCATGTAACTGCATCGCATACGTTTCCTGCAGTTTGGATGTCTCCGCCCGAGAAACCTTAAAGTCCAGGACACCCAGCGTCTCATCTTGGAAGCGGATGAGCCCATCAAGTCGACCTGTGATCGTGAAGCGTACCCACGCGTGCGTCGTCACCTCGAACTCTTGTGAGCGCACGTTTTCGATCGCGGAGGAGCAGTCGATGGTTCCGTCTGGCCAATCATCTGGGATACTTGCGACCGAGCGAAGGTTTCTCCCATGAAATGCTTCTTTCATAGCCGCATCGATATGGTTGAAGACCTCAGGAAACGGAGGCCGCATCGCCACCCCATACCTGCACTTTAACCAGAAACAGAAGCGACACGCGTTCCAGCGAAAACTCAAGTCTGAAGGATACAACCGGATGCGTACCAGCTCACGAACCTTTTTCGCGCTGAGGTGTAGCACGAAAGCTCCTGGGCGTCGGTGCAGGTTTCTGCGCAGTAGCCGCGTTGCGCTGCTGGCGCCGTACCACGGACAACAAGCGCTTGGTCTTTGCTTCCTAACGGTGAAGGGATGAGCTTGTGCAGGCTGTACAAAAGTAGTTTCAAGCACCAGGGATTTCATCAGGTTTAGAGAACTGGGGCCAAGCGAGTCCCTCCGCGAGCCCTCGCTCCGCCAGCGAGCAACGCCCCAGTCCATTCCATTTGCCCGCTTCTGCGGATCGTCCATGAGACGCAGCGCTGGTGCATGCTGATGTGGGAAAGCGTTTCGCCGACTGTTGGAAAGTCGCCAGATGTGCGGGCATTACTCGTGAACGGGCACAAGATCCTAGCTTCTCACGAGACACTTTTAATGTCTATCAACTCGCTGTTGCTGCAATCCCACTAGGTGTAACCGAGTGCTTTTTCGGAGTGTAGAGCAAGAGATTGACATCACGATGCAGTGTGGTGTTTAGATCGTCGACGAATTGCCCGTAGGGTAGATTCTTTACGGAGCAGAGCAAGGTGCGCTACATTCCTCCTGTAGATCAGTCATACCACAGGATTCTGATGTTTGGGGAAAACTGAAAGAAACAAGAATATGCGTTGCGTGCAGAAAACCGATATGCTCACGGATTACTTGCTGCCAATGATAGAAAAACTACCCGTTGATCGCCTTACGGAAAGCGAAAGCGAAGTTCGCAGTCGCAACGGGCGTCTCTGCTTCTCCACAGCGTGTTCGTGTGGTCCCGGAAACCCCGGAATATAGTCGCAATAAGTAATTCGTAGTTTACTCACGGCCATCTTGCATCGAAATCGAAACTAGAGCGTTCGTGGAAAGTCGCCTTCGCTATGAAGCAGAGGCACGTCAGTATGTTTTTTCAGTCGATGAGGCTTCCTTCAAACAAAATCTTCCGAGCGTTTATATGTTTTCGAGGTGAAGGAGTCCGCTGTATGTGCGATCGAACTCGAAGAGAACCAGGACATTATCGTGTTCTTTTGTGCAGCAGTGCATCAATGAGGTTGCCGCGGTCTTGCTCGCAGGAAAGGCTCACACAACAGCACCAATGACTTTGTCGAATCATAGAAGACTTTTCACCCGACATCTGACAACGTCCGTGCATTTGACAATGTGGTATGGTGCGATTCCGCTTGTGTTCGAGCTTTCGCTGATGCTGTCGGGGCTAGAGCGTCTGTTTATTCCTCCACACACACACACGCACCGTGATTCAACCCCATAGAGGGCGTGCTTTCTATCGGGAAAAGTAATGATTGTTCAATCCGGCGAAGCGCTGAAGTCTTCAGCTCGGTGGCGCACTGGTGCATTTTTCGTCATTCACCTGCGAGTCCTTGAAACTCCAAGAAGGTCCGCAGCTACGGAAATATAGATTTCGGTTCATTTTGAAGAAATAAAAATTCCAAGGGAAAGTTATGCACAGGGAATTCGGGGATCCCGGAGCGCCGCCATCGCCGCCTGTCGAAAACGAACGGAAAAATCCCTCATTGCCAAACATCGAGCGCAGAAGAACAAGTGACGAAGAAGAAGAAAATAGATAGGCCGGAACAGCTGTTCACCCGACGGGGCGATGACGAGACTGTAGTGGCTCATAGGGCGCGAGCTCGACGACTCCCTGTAATGATGAATTCCACCAGCGACAACGCACGCATGTTGTTCGTGAGTCGATGTATGGTGCAGCATACGAGCCCCGGAGAACTGAGGCGATCTAACTTTGTGGGGCAAGCTCTGACGCTCGATGTGTGCGTCGAATGAAACTTAATCCGATAGCACACAGGCCGATGGAGAATGGCTCGGAAGCGCCCTTTGACTAAGTGTACATACATAGACTCTGGTTGTGAAACATTCCTCGTTTTACGGGGCGCACCTCTATTGGAGACAATCACGTGTTCAGCAACACGCCCTGTTCATTACAAAATGCAACACAAGCGATTACAGCATGTGGAACGAGTGCGCGTCTCACTCCGTAAGATTTTATTCGGAAATGTGGTAGAGCTGCAGACGGGTACCCAAGCGCGGGTGAATCGCCGTTTGCGGGGAAGCGCCAGACGAGCATGCCGACAACATCAGGTTCAGAGGCGATTGATCTCGTCGCCGCAAACGCATCGTGAAACGGGAGGACCTTGCAACACCTCATCCTTCGTCGATACATTTTATGGCTTCTACTTCTCACATGATTCTGATGTGCCCAAAGACCGTATCACTTTCCATGACTCAAAGGCCGTCAACGAACACATAACTGCGATTGGCGTTCAGCTGCAGTTCGTGCCAGCCAATGCTCCATGGGTCAGTCTAGTCCGATGAGTGTTATCCGATGTCAGAGGTCACTTTTAGGCTACTGGATACATGACAGAGCCGTTGATACCAGCAAAGTTGAGAGGCACGGGACAACATCAGGGTTTGGATAGCCTCTTACCCGAGGACGGCTCGCTTAGATGCACTCGCCTTGACATGCTTCGTCAGGCAGCTGCTTCGTGGGGATCCCAACGCAGGGTTGCCAGCTGTCCCTCTTCTTCTGCTGGATTTTTCTGTCAAACATTCACCTGGTAACACAGTTGATGCACGGGCAGGAGATGCAATACGCACTGATCGTGGGATCAGGGATTTGCATTTTCGCTGCTCAGAGTGCCCCCTGGCGTCGCAGCACCACATCGGCGATCGAAGAAAACGTCTACGACGGATGTGCCGAGAAGCGTCCAATGATCCTCAGAAAAACACCGCAAAAGCATACGCTCACCAATGACCAGTCCTCTAAGAAGCACAACCTGTGGGCATGATCATCCCGAGCATAACGGACCAGGAAAGTCGGAGCTGGTGCAGGCGATTCTCGCAATGTCGATGAAAGCGAGTGACTCGCTGCTGGCGGCGGAAGAGCCCGAGCTCGTAGAGAAAACCCTCAGAAGAAACGTCGGGATCGGAGCGAGTGTCGCTTCGGATCGATGAAGCGCTTGGTGCGGCTCGCGGCCTCGGATCCACGAACGTCATGCCCGTAACACGGTTGGAATGGGATGCTTGCGTTCCTTGCCCGTAGCTCACGCGACGACGCTTTCCTGAAGCGCGCTCCCCAGCCCAGCGCAGATGGATGCCCGGAGTTCGAGTGCGCTAGCCCCCAACGGCAGCTGTTGGCGGCGCTCCCGGGGCGTCGCTGCAGGGCCCATTCCGTGCCCACAGATACTTGGCTACTGGATGCACTGCGCTGCGAGAGGTCTACTGCTAGTCTCTGGGAGCACGTGTGCAGCATTCGAGCTGCTTTACGAAATGCATTGGCGGGCCTTGCTCCTCGTATCTCGATGAATAGGGGTACACGGGGAGAGCTCTCCAGGGACAGCGGCGACCGACGCAGTGTTTAGGTGCACTTTCCTCGGGAGAGTCGTGCAAGCACATGATGCTTTTCACCTGCGCCGGGGTTCCGAATGCTCGCCAGCATGCAAACGAGCCAGCAGCATGACTGTGTCTGGGCCCGTCTCGACGCCCTGAGCACCGTATCGAGCAGCGGCGGATGCTTCGTACGCTCCATTCAGGGACTGTGCAGAAGCGTTCATTCCTCATGCAGACGATTTTTCGAGCCGGGGGACATACGACTGCGTCGGGCTCGGCAACGGTCTCTTTTCTGTTGGACGGAGGCAAGGAGTGAGCGTTCACCAGCTGCGTCCATGAGTAGCGAAAGCAAGTGACCGAGCGTTCGTGTCATTGTGCCGTAGCGTACAGCACTGGATGTGTTGTGCGGTGCAGAGGCAGCACTCCTGCCTGTAGGTCAGAGCGTTCCATTGAGGTGTGTGTGTGTGTGTGACGGAATAGATTCCGTACGATTGCCTCCGATGCGTACAGAAAGCCATTGACGCACGGGGAATATCGGTACCCGGTGTACCAGTCACAGAAGATGTGCCTTCATCAGAGCTAGTCGCACGAGATGCTGGACGGGAAGGTGCCGAAACCCCAGCTGGCCAGGCAATGGAAAGTCGGACGGCTTCTGTGGTGTGATTCCACGAGCAACCGAGTGCGCAAGCACTTGCTGCATCGAGGTAGTAGTGCCTCGATCAGCATCCAGAAATATGGAATGTCTCCACAGCGCCTGATCGCACGGCGTCGAGCGAGCTCTCCAGGGACTTGTTTCGTACGCTTCATTGGCATTGTACTGAATTGCTGTAGACATCCGCTATGAAACATCAGTGGTCAATGCAATGGGCATTCGCGTGGCGCCTGGTTCGAAGTATCGGTATGTTCGGGTTCAGCAGTCCAGATGCATGGAGCGCAGCCTGTTCGCACTGGGAACGATGCTCTGTGGATAATGAAGAGCAATCATGGCATTCCATGATTCGACATGTGGAGCTGAGCTCGATCAAAGCTGGATATGCCGCTTGTCATCAGGACGATCTCTTTTTCTTGATATGGTGCGGTTTACTTAGGAATGTTCGATCCGGCCAGGCTTGGAAATACCTGCTACGAGCCCTAAAACCTGGACGTTACGCAGTCCCGTGCCCAGTCTATAACGCGACGCTATGCTTCAGCGACGGCAGTGGCGACTTTGGAGGCATCTATTCCCGTCAAAGAGCCCACAGAACCACGCTGGTGCGCTTTCATTCTTTGGCGCGTGATCGTTCGCTCTTGCCTGGGTCTGAAATCAAACCGAAAAAGGTTTCGGAAGGCATACGGCTCAACTTGGACTCGGATATTTGACTTGCGTCACCGTTCCCCCGGTTAGACGCACTTGGTGACTCCATACGCTGTGTCACGCGCTCATATGATTCTCATCACGAATTCGGGATGAAAAATCAAATGAGTTTTAACTTTCGGAGGCAGGTTCTATGCTCGATACCTTCTACGACGCTCCGCTGACACAGATTGCGTCAAGGAACGCCCAGCATACACCAGTGTCTATCACCGAGGTCGCCGCATTCACAGGCACCAAAAAGCCGCACCTGGACTCGCATGAAATGAGGCACGCAAACGAGAGCAGGGCGCAGTGGCGCTTACGAGCCTCGACTCCGCTGCCGGGCGCGAGCGGGTTCAAGTGATTACCACTGGACCAGAAATCATGCATCTGCTCGCTCGTTTACCCAGTGCGTATATACGCAAAGAACGGCTATTCTTCTTCTTCGAGCAAACGCTCGGGGCATGTGGCGTTGCTGCACGCCATGCAAGACGCTGGTGAAACGCTGATCTCAACTCTCTCTCTCACCGACGAACATCGACCATGAGCATCGCGAACGAGTACACCGCCTCCATCCACGAACGAACGCAATCCGCAACTTCCACGGGCTGGAATACAGCAATACCAACGCGGCATTCACCCGAACGAGGATGCTGTGCCCTTTTGCGCTACGAAAGACCAGACGCGTCATCCGTGACGTAGCACCACGTGCGATCCATACCTAACCACAGCTGATCATCGGGGATATCGAGGCTCCCTTTCCCGGCTCAATGACCCGCGAAACGGAATCGCAATTTGCGGTCAATTCTCGCGACAGTGATGCAGTTCGCCCCCGGGGGTTCGCATGGCAACCTGTGTGCGCACACGCCTACTGCGCCGCTGTCGCCTTGTCAATGCATTTGATACCGGAGGATCTTCTTCGCGCTCATTTGCGAACCCCGAAAGCGATACGAGATACCTATATCGAGATCGCGAGGATTCTGTGCGTTCCGTCGACAGGCAAGGGTGCCCTCGATGCGCTCGCCCGTTCGCAGCGGCAACGCCCGATCCAAATAGAGCACTGTCTGCTTCCAGTGCGTTGGCGAAGCGTACGGCCCTGTGCTCAGCGTCAACGGTCGATGACACCCACCGAAATGCACGTCGAAGAACACAACAAAGGCATGAACAAAGTCATCTCGCTCTGCAGTGATGTGGAACGGCGCACTCCAGTCGAGATCCTGCGGCTGGAGGCGATGCAGATCCAGCCGCAGCACGGGGCACGTGTCTGTAACGATCTGATCGACGTCCACATAATCCACGAGGGGCTCGGTAAGCGCCAGCCGCTTAACACACGAGAAATCGAAACCGTAGACGTTCTCCCAAAAATCGAATTTTTCACTACGAAAGGAAGCATCCTCGATCCCACAGATGTAGAGCGTTGCGCCATCGGGAAAGAGATGCCCGTCACGAGGTTTGAGCCAGCGATCTCTGGCGAAGAGAACGCTTTGCAGCATGCTCTCGTAGAAGAGAAAGTAGCCCATCCATTCCGATACGATAATATCGACAAGAGGCTCTGCACCCGTTTGTGGGTCCCGCGGCAGCTGCACCTCTTCGATCTGGCCGGTGATGACCTCAACTACGTGGTCGAAATGGTTCGCCTTTACGATCTCGCGCGCTTGTCGAGCAATGTCGGCACATTCGATAGCGTAGACTTTAGCTGCGCCTGCGCGAGCCGCGAAAAGCGACAGAATACCTGTCCCTGCCCCGACGTCGAGGACGACCTTGCCATCAAAAACGTGCCTATTGTCAAGGATCGCTCGCATGTAGGTCTTCGTCCGCGTCTTGTCTTTAATCATCTCTTCATGAATACCAAAGTGGCTATAGGAAGCAAAATAGTAGTCGCTGGAACTGAGGCCGTTGACCACCGGCCCAACGACGTCCGGGGGTGCCCCCCGAGGCAACACCACGTCGAGTGGCTCTGGTTGGGGCTGGGAGTCCGCTTCGGGGTACTCCATGAAAACACAGTAGGCAACTACTGGTCTATGATTGCAAAGGATCTCACTGAACTACCGAATTTCGCAACAGATGATCTCATCGATAAGTGCTATACGCCTGAGCACACACACGCCTACAAAGCGAATTCGCCTGGGCGTTCGAGGCCAATGGCGCGAGGCCATTATCAGTGGCTTGATGCTGCTCCCAGCTGCTGTTGCAGGGAGACGTTGGCTGCGAACTGCCCAAAATGGTGCCTCCAGAGACAGTTGTGAGTATGCTGTACTAGAATATATGCTCTCGTCGTAGATGTATTTACCGCAGCGTTCTGGGTCTTGGAGAGGCAGTGGCCGGACTTTGGCGACAGCGTCGTGCCGAGAGCCTCCGTTTTCGGGTGTTCCCCCGGGAGCGGAACGGCATCACTCCGACGGTGCCGTCGTCTGTAATTGAGAACGCGCGCCTGAAGCGACTCAAATGCATAGCGCGGTGAACGCATAGGATAACTGGAGTCAAGTCTCTGTTCCATTGGTGTGGTCGTCCAAGCATCAACACCGAGGAATAGATAGTCAACAGACGTGCAGGGCGAAGGCGTTCCAGGGTGCTCGCCCAAAAGCCCGCTCACGTACAACTCGTGCAAAGCAAAAGCGATCAACCCGCACTCCGTGACGTTGCGCGATTGTATGGTAATAGGCGTTGACACCGCTTCGCCGTGCAGTGTGCACTCGAAACAACAGTAGCTTGCTCAAGTCGCTGCCTATGCTAGAAAACCGTTGAGCTGAACGAAAGAGCCCAGGTCAGGCTGGGCACGGGGCTTGCCAAGTCATTCATACGCGCGAACATGTTTGATGTCTTGCGCCAGCAGTCTCCGCTACTTGCTTTCAAGTCTTCAAACCTCGTGATAGAAAGGGCTGACCATGTAACCCGGACGCGAGCGACACGAAGTCTGCTGCCACGGGTTTTCGCAAGCTGCGTTTGATTCGACGAAAATGCGAGGTTGAAGAATGCAGCAAAGTTGGGCGGAATTGCGAGCCTTCTACAGACGTGCACACATCCAAGCCCTGTATCTTGCTATGAAGGTATTCCGTGTTTATGAACACAGCTTGAGAACAGCTGAAAGACAAACAGGATACATGGAGCGCAGTATTTCGCGTAAAGTGCACAACATAACAGGGATATCGGATTGTCTGCAGTCTACGCGAAGGTTCCGACTCTGCTACGTCGTACGCGACGCTATCGTTCCACCACCAGGGGAGTCTCTCTGGAGCGTCTCGTGGCTGGTGCATGATGTCGGGCACCAGCCACCAGAGACAATCTACACCATGCATACCCGTGCGGTGCATGACGCTCAACGTCATATCGATGATCCCTGGGATCTCCACGAATGCCATGCAATACCAGCTTGCATAACGCAAAACCAGTGCGTCATGCGTCATGAAAAGCGACATACCTTGCTGCTGCATGCATGGATTCCTTGGCTCACTCGATTAGCGCATCATACAACCCTTACCGCAGAGAGCGGTTCGCGGCATCCGAGTGACTTTATCAGTTGAGCATCATTCGGATGTGATCACAGCAACAATAGATCCGAAAATGAAGTCCACAGACGGACAGACGGTAACCGAAAGCGACCCGGGTATTTCAGGCTGCTACCAAGTAGCAACAAAGCCAATGTGCTTGCTTCTCCTCGAAATATCTCTCTGGGGATGAGCGCTTCCTATTCGCACCAAGGCAAGCGTGGGAGCCTCTGGCTTCGACCGGTCCCGCCCATCCTATGCGCATCGACGTTAGCAACAAACCGTGTCCGAAGCGCTGTATTCGCCCAGCATTGACAGGCTCCGAACAGCGTCAGTGGAGTTCGGCCTCCGGCTTACGACTGCTGCCGCCGCGCACGAAGCTGCTCACGTCGCTTCTTTCCCGGTCGTTTTTTGATTTCTCGTCTTTTCCCCCGAGGTCTCCCCGCTGCTTTCGAGTGATTTCGCTGAACCACTCGCTGCCTGTACCGCTCGCTGCCGACCGCCTGGCCCGAACTTAGACCCTGTTCGCGCTTCCACTGTTCGACTTCGGCAAAACCTGCACGCTTGGACTCCTGCAGACGCACTCGGGCTTCCCGCTGTCGCCGCTTTGCCTCCAAACGTGTCAGTGCTTCAGCACGTATTCGCTGAATTTCGTGGAGGCGTTGGCGCTCCTCGAGCAGCGCCTTGCGCACGCGTGCCATGTGATCGTCGGACTTGAGCATTTCCGCGAAATAGTCCGCAGGACGCTCTGTTCGGATACCGTGTGCTGCACACCATTCAGTGCCGATCCACGCTCCCAGTGCCGCTATTGCCCGGAAGCGCGTCTCCAGTTCCTGGTCCTGGTTGATGTCAGTTCCACCGGGTAACTCCAAGACACTCGGGACAGTTACCTGAAACCGCTCTGCAAATTGTGAACGCTCCATATCAACACTATCCTTTGTCGAGGGAGCTAGCTCCCGTGTGACTGCTCGCAACGCGTCCGTGTCGTTGATGAACTCACTCACCTTTTTGCCCTGCAAAACTCCAAGAGCGGCGGCCTCCACGACCCACTCGTCACTGTCGCTCGTGGAGACAGCACTATGCTGATCGCCAGTCTCGTCGACTGCCGTACTAGTCGCGGCCAGCATCGCTGTAACGCGACGGTGCACTGTACACCTGGGTTCAGCGCAGGCACCAGCCTACGTTGCAGCGCCTCGTACAGCGACGCAGGTCAAGGGACCCGTCGCCGTACGCACGGCAGATTCGACGACGACGACGATGACGCCCCCGCTAGATGTTGATAATGATCCGTAGAATGGGGCAGCGGGCGATCGCACCACCGCCGACGTATCGCTCTGGGAAGCTATGTCGCATTTTACGCGCACAGCATCGTGCATGCCCTACGCGCATGCAAGAAAGCTCTGTTGCGAGCTGCTGCGAGGTGCTAGCTGCTAGCTGCTAGGTGGCTGTTGAAACCCCCGAGATCTGGCGTGACATGATGCATCTTCTCCTGGATGCCGATCGTCATCGCGCAACCGGGGATTCACTCGCAGTGTAAACGATCCCGGCGCTCGAAAAGTTGGCGCAGCGGGAAGCGCCTGCTGGAGCCGCTGTGCTTGAGCATCACTGGACCGGTGAAGTCGCCAGACACACACACACAACACACATAACACACATAACACACTGGGCTGGAGTTTACGGCAAGCAAATGGGTATGCAGTGCGGTGCAGGTGTCTTCTGCGGTTATCGGCAGCGTGCGCTGACGCCGGCGCACCCGACACGATGCATCGATTATCATTGGAAGAGCGAGTCGCACGGGTGCCTAGCTGTGGACCCGAAGCTGCACGCTGTGTTGTGGGTTCGCTGTACGCTGGAGTGTGCTTGTACGACGCTGGAAGCGGCAGATTTCTTTGGATATCATAAAGATTCTGTTTACCATTGCTATCTGCCCGAAAATAAGCGTCAACGAAACGGCGTCAGTTTGAAGTACGACGTCAGGTTTCGTTTTGGGCGAGGAAGGTTCGTGCTTCCGGCGCGCTCGAAGCCAGACAGCGTCCTAGTGCGGAGAACAGTTAGAAGGACGCAAAAGCGGAGACCGTGCGTTTTGGGCAGGGTCACTCGAACCGTGTATGCCCGAACGGCCTCGTTTGGAGCAACGCAAGCGGAAAAACTCACACGACTCGAGAGCTGGAGACGACTCGTTTCAGCGGTGGCGAACGCAGCTCTTGACGCGTCTACGTGCTGCGGCAACCGGCGACGACGACCACGACGACGCACATTCTGGTCACTTTCTAACGCTCTCTGGAGCGGAGCTCGTAAACGGCGGGTTCCCACAGACGCAGCGCCCTTCGCGAGGTCAGACAGCCCTGCTCCTTTCTCACAAAACAAGCGGCACTGGCACCTCTACTGAGTACACTGGTGCTGTAACTTTGCGCAGCGTGCCAACGCGAGTGCCCGCCACAGGAACCTCGGTGAGCGCACTGGCAGTCGGAGACGCGTTGTATCCGCGACTCACTGATACCTTGCCAGCATATCTGGAGGAAGGGCTCGTTCAGTCCCAACGTGCTGGTGGCAAGTTCGGGGCCGGTGGAAACACAGACCGCCGGGTCGGTCTCTCGAGTCAGCTGGGCAGGCCGCTTCGCCGACTGGCCTCAGCCTGTCGCTGGACACTGCTTGGTGCAGCTGGTCTTGCAGCCCTTATTCTGCTGACTCGTCTGGCAGCCATGGCATGGGGTGGCATCGTTGCAGGCAGTTTGCTGTTTGTCGTCCTAACGCTAGTATCTTGGTTCGTGGTGGGTATGATCTGGCGGAAAAACGCAGATGTTTACGCCATTGCGCGGCTTACTGTGTTTATGTCGGGATTCTGTATGTGGTTCATGTGGATCATGTGCTACATGGATCAAATGAATCCCATCATTCGACCGATTCGCAAAGTTTAGCGAACGCCGGCGGCGTCGATGTTGTGCAGGACCCTATGCCTGCGACCGAACCACAGTTCTTCAAGCGCCGCTGCAGCCATATTGCCCACTGGATCCTTTCGGGAGCGTCTGGGTAGCCACGCAGCAACGGTGCACGTGAACGGTACGTCGTGGTCGATACCTGGATCCGGTGCATGTTCCGCCACCGTGCCCCTGATCCAGGGAGTGGGTTCATCTTCAACTGCACACCATGCGGACTCGAGTCACCTATACGCCCACACGGACAGGCATACGAATCATGGACTCGAAGCGACTGTGCCGTCAAGTTCCCGCCACGCGACGAGCTTGCCTCCGACGGTGCTAGCCGTGCGCTTGCTCAGACGTGCCGTGCTGGCGATGTTGCAGGTACGCACCGAGGTCATCGGCGACGTCAACGATGCCATGTGCATCGAAGAGAGCGCGGGCGCGTCGTTCCGTCCAGCGGCGTCTTGAATTGTGGCTGGTGATCGGAGGCGGAGTCAGCTCTGTTGCAGCATCCACAGCAACGTGCATGAACTGTGGACGGGATCAGGAACGTTAGACTGGGGTTGTCGACGGGACGAGCGGCGCTGCTGTAAACGCAGCGCGCGGACGCCTACGACAACCCGGAGCATTCGCCGTGCAGGCTATGGAGCGCGCCCTTAGCGAACAATCGTGGCTGGAAAGCGCGTAAACGAGAGGGCAGATGCTCCCGTATCAGAACGGGCTCCAGCGGGCGAAACCGCCATCCAGTGTATCCCGGAATGGCATCTATCCGCTACATAAACCTGAACCGAATGTCCTACGGCGGGCGTAGCCGCCTCCTAAAGTATTCTGGAACAACATCATCCCGCGGTACACCGACACGATCGCCGGTCCATTCGCGCGCTGCTTCGACCTGGCAAGGTTATCCATTTTCCGCAAAGCTGCCGTACTTGGTATCAGTCCAGAGAAGCGCATGCAAGTGTCTCTGGATGAGTTCGGAGGTGTTCTGCAAACAAGCGCCTACCAAAAGCTCTGAATCCGATGTCAACGCTGCGACGCGCTCGACATCTGAGCCTCCTGGCGAGTTTATCCTTCACGTTAACCAGTACGGGGTTTGCTCGGGATGCAGCTGTCCGTAGCTTGTTCTCCCAAAGATCTGGAGCCCGCACAGACATACGAATCATGCGCACCCACGTCTCCACTGGATTGGAGGTTCTTTACGTTTAGACCCGAACCAGCCGTGATGGGTCATGTTCGAAGCACATCGCAGCGACAAAAGAGTACGTACATGCACGCTTGAGAAAGTCGCCTATCGCACACAACGACGACTAGAGTCACGTCGCGGATGCATTCCATAAGGGTCTCTGCCCGACCATGGACATCGTGCGCAGAGCGTGCTGAGCTCTGGTCTAGCAATCGACTGCGAAAACGACCGAGAGCGCTACGTCAGCATCCCGCGCTGTCGCAGGTAAGTCAACGCGCACATCGCGAGCAGCATGTGTGGCATGGTCATTTGACCACTCCAGAGCCACGCTTCCAACTGCGGCACCCGTACCGCACCAACCTGCTCGATAAGCTCCTCAGCGTCCATCGAGCCGGGGTGTCCATCGGGCTCGGGATTCAACGCCAAATACATTTTGCAGACATTCCGGGAGTACTTGTCAGCGAAGAATCCTCGCAGACAGTTCTCAGCATCTGATGCGGTATTCGGCACTTCGAAGGACCGCTCCCAAACTGCGGCCTGAGCTGTCAGATCGATGAGTTGCGCACAACGCAGATGTGCTTCCTCCGAAAGCTCTGCCCGAGCAGCGGCTTCCAATGATTCGTGTTTCGTTTCGACCATACCAGCTGGAAAGCCATAGAGTACACGGTTCGGACCTGGACAGTACTCTCGAATAACGTAGCAGGTTTTGCTTTGCGTATCAAAGGGAAACACCAGCACCGAGGCGCTCTGAACGGCCGGCTGACCGAGAATGTCATAAGTGACGTGGCGGCCGTCCGGGTACTGTACAGTTCGTTCAAACACGGTTGCATAGCGTCGGTAGGCAACCTTTTCGTCGACAATGCGTAGAGCTCCGTTTGAGGCTGCGCTTTCAGTGGCGCCGTTGTGCAGGTGGCACAGCGGTGCTGTCGGCAAGCGGCGCACTGCTCGCTGCGACAAACGTCTCAGTAGCGAGCCACTGTTCAGCCAACGGTAGCCGGCCAAGGTGCAGAACATTGCCCACCGTGCTGTGTCGTTGTAGCTCGTGCAAGCGACCTGTAAACGCTACCGTGAAGTGGATCTGCCGCGTAACGAGCCGTCGTTCGCGGAAGACGCTTCTCACTGACGTTTGTGGTGCGCGTGAAGTTGCAGAACGTAATAGGTTTGACAAAAAAATACACGTTGCGTTCAGCAACGCCGAGTGCGTTACGAATACCGCAGAGGCGAGCACGTGCGCATCAGCCATTTTGAAAGAAAGAAAGAAAGATTGAGTGATTGAATGAGTGAAAGAAAGAAAGCGTGAATAATTGAATGGATGATTGGATGAAAAGAAGGAAAGATTGAGTAATTGAATGAGTGAAAGAAAGAAAGCGTGAATGATTGAATGGATGATTGCATGAAAGAAAGAAACATTGAGTGAATGAGTCAAAGAAAGCATGAGTGATTGAATGGATGATTGCATGAAAGAAAGAAACATTGAGTGAATGATTGATTGAATGATAGCGCCGCTACTGTGCAGTGCTCATTCGTTACATCTTCATTCAGTTGATGATTCAAGCACGGACTCAGTGTTCTGTATCGTAGGGGAACTCGTGCAGTGCATCCGGCGCGTACGGAAAACTCGAATGTACGAAGTCGACTGAACGCATCCCTGTTCCCGACCGGACGTCTGTTCTTGAGCGCTGGGAAACGGGGTGCTATTTGGAGCAGACTCGCTCTCTTCTCGTCTTGATGGCAACCATCGAACGTCCAACAACATCCAGATCATTTCAACGATGAGACCAAAGCGCTCATCCAGTGCACATGGCGCTTACGGGTCCCGCACGGGGCGCACACCGGCGCTGGGCGGGGCATTCAACGTTGCCGGGTGTGTTTTTCTGTCTGTTTGACAAAATATTTACATTGAGCATAGACTCCGGATTGCGGAATGCATACTGGCACTCGGAAAAGCGTCCATGACGATGCACTCTACCTCAAAGTTCCATCACGTCTTCTTCCTCTCGGATGCACTGGTCGTGTTCGTACGTTCTAGCGTATGCCGAGTGCTTGCCTTGCTGCACCCGCCATAGCGCCTAGACCGCCGGTGCGGATGCAGCACGTACGCGGAACGGCCTTGTCATATAACTGGCGGTGGGTCGGCACGAGGAATGCTTCCCTTGATAGAGGGTCCGCGGGCTACATGATCACGCCGTGCGGGCCGGTACGCTGCGCAAACAAACCGAATGCCGGCGACTAGGCGAAGCGATATGCTCGGAGACCACCGCAACCAGGACGACACCCGGATGCAAATAACCGGCCCCTAGTCCCAGAATAAACTGCGTTGTGGACGAGCTGTTCAGATCTCACGAAAGCACCCGCCACACTGGGCCGAGCAAGAAGCACCAGACCTGGCAGTCTAGTCCCGCTCGCGGAACCGTCCACCTAGAAAGTAAACGTTCCAGAGTACGGAAACCTTTCCCCCGCTTGCGATGCTTTCCATGAAGCTGCAACGACACTGTTATCGGGTTGCTAGTGACGGGTCCGTATCGCGTCTGCCGGTACAGGTGCAACACATCAGTGACTAGTTCCCGTTGTTTTGTCACGTTTGACTCATTTGGATGCATGTTGAGGCCGTAGCGCGTTGCTGCGGTGTGTAACCGCTGCACAGCCTCACCGGCTGGTGCTTGCTCCTCGACGAAAGGTGGCGGTGGATGTTGTTGTGCAGTAGCTGCTGATGGCGTTCTTTATACTGGAACTCACAAAAAGCGTCACGGTTCATCCGAGACATTTTCACGCAAAGCTTCCCGATCACGTCATCAATCGACTGCTGACACTGACCGAGGGAACAACCTCCGGCCTCTATGGTTACCTGCTCGCCGTGGTCGAGGTCGAGCGACCACTCCCGCCCGGTAGAATCCTTCCCGGAACCGGACACGCTATCTTTCGACTTCGTTACAAAGCGCTGGTATATCGACCGTTCTTGGGTGAGGTTCTGGACGGTGTCATCGCATCGGTTACGCGACACGGGGTATTCGTGGCGGTCGGACCGCTCAGCGTTTTCGTGAGCGCGCGTAACGTCCCCAGTGACATGGAGTTTGACGATAGCGAGCAGTGCTTCGCCTCTGTTGTTCAGGGTAGCGAGGATCGATTAGAGGTAGGCACCATGGTACGCTTGCGTATTGTGGGTATGCGTCGTGACGCTACGGAGATCGCGGCCGTCGGGACGCTGCGGGCCGACTATCTAGGCGTTCTGGGCTAGAGCAGCGGTCGCCAGGACTGCTCGAGAGCGTAAAGCTGGTGCTTGCTTAGTCAGCGGCAGTGCCTCGGGGCGTACCAGGCCTCACCAGATATACCAGCAGATAGGTTTAAATGTGCTTGATGATGTAACCGTGGCGGCGATCGAGCTCGAAACGTCGGGCGCGCAAGAGGTCACTCGTATAGAAGCGCTCGATATTGGTGATGCCCAGCGCTCGTGCGCGGTTCTCAAAGTCGACAAGAGGAACACGAACTGTTCTGGAGAGCGCTGCAGACGTGGCGCCGGACGACCCCGATGCCCGCTGGCCTTGGCCAGCTGCGCCCTGCGATGCTGACTGCGAAAGCGCCAACTGGTACGTCTCTGCTCCGGAACGCGCTGCCGCTTCCGCGGAAGCATACTCGCGCACCAAACCGTTGATCAAGTAGAGAAGCAGCTCGTCGTCGTTGCGTTGAAAGGCGAGGTACTTGTGGAAGGTTCGCTTCAGACCGCGCATCACCGAATACTTCTGGGATGAGAAGAACGACTCGAGCATGACTGCAATGGCAGCATTGACATCCTCATCAATGACTTGGTAGCGTAAATGCATTCGCGCATGCGCCTCTGCGAGTCGAATGACAGACTCGAGATGTCGCAACGCTATCGGCATACCGCCGCAGGCAAGCGACTCACGTCGCAGATCGATGTAAAGCTGCGAGATCTTCTCCTCATCTACGTTGGCAAGACGTGGATGAACGCGGCGGCGTGCGTACACGATGTATTTGCGAAAGAGGTCTTGAGGAATGGGCTCGAACCGGCGCTCGCCTGGCGAGCACATGCGTCCAGATGTGCTGACCGGATCAAGAGCCCCTGCGAGTGGCCTAGTCGGCGAGACTGCTGTCGTCGATGGCGGATCTCGTGCCTCCACGGGGGCAGCCTCCGCAGGCTGCGACAGTGGCAGCACTGGGACCAGCGGCTGCGATGCACCAACGTCGGTTTCGTCGGCACTGTCGTTGCCGTGGGTACGCTCAGCACCCGCGTTCCGGGACGTCATCAAGACGCCGTATGGATGTGCCTGCATGTGCGACTGGACAACGAAATCCGCCAACTGCTCGTCAGCAGACGGGTCGACAACATCGCGCACGACACAGAGCACATCGAAACGGGACAGGATTGGCTCTGTCAGGTCCACGTTTTCCATGAATGAGACCGCCGGATCGTAGCGCCCTTTGGTAGGATTCGCCGCCGCAATCACCGCACAGCGCGCCTGCAAGGTCGTAACGATCCCAGCCTTAGAGATGGATATGCTCTGTTGCTCCATGGCCTCGTGGATAGAGGTGCGATCCTGATCATTCATTTTGTCGAATTCATCAATAAGGCACACGCCCTGGTCGGCGAGAACGAGTGCGCCGCCCTCTAGGGTCCATTCGCGTGAGACTGGATCCCTGTGGACAGCCGCTGTGAGGCCCACCGCCGACGCACCCTTTCCCGTCGTGTAGACAGCGCGCGGGGCGACTTTCTCCAAATATTTGAGGAACTGGGACTTGGCCATGCCTGGATCCCCCAGAATAAGGACATTAATATCGCCGCGGGTACGATGCCGCTCGCCGATCTCTTTCGCCTGACCACCGAAAAGCGCAAGCGCAAGGGCTCGTTTCACGTTCTCGTGTCCGTAAATGGAAGGCGCGATCGTCGCTGTGACTCGCTCGGCCAGGTACGGATCACGAGCGAGCGCCTGGATCGTTTTCTCGTCCTCGTCGGTGAGGGCGTCGAGCTCAGCGAGAGCCCCGTCCAGGCGTCGGATATAGTTGGCCTCTATGACGGTCGCAAAAACGGGAAATCCATGACGCAAGTTCAGCGACGCGTCGAAGCTGTGACGATAGATGCCAGTCACTTCGATGAGATCGCCGGGTCGTGCGACATCGATCAGGTCGCCAGTGCATATCACTTCTTTGTAGCGAGGCAGGCGTCCGGGAGGCACCGTACCCGGTGGCTCTTGAATCAGCATTCTCTGATAGTTACCATAAACAGTCTGCTGTGCGTCGATCTCGAAGGGCCCCCTGGACCCACATCTCGCGCAGCATCTCACGGACTTTTCTGGATTCAACGAATTGGTAGCGATTGGACCGAGCGATTCACTGCATGCTCGGCAGGTTAGCGTGACAAGCTTGAGCTGCGGGAGTACTGCGCTGCGCTTTGTGACCACCCCTGATGTTCGAATCAGACAGTTCAGATGCACCTGCCGAATGTCGCGCAGCGGGTCGCTTATAGGCAAGTCCGCGATGCGCACATGGATCTCTCGGTGGATGGTGCGATACTGGGGAAACATGCTGAGCAGAAAATGCATCGCTGCATCATCGAAGATGCGGAGCACCTCGGCCGGAGCCTCAGAGACCCAGACAGCAAGCAGAGGGTCCGCAGTCATCAGGTCGTGATAGCTCAAAACAAGGCTCTGGGTGTTCTCTGCGCACATGTGCTTGATGCGATCAACGTAGATCGCTCTGCCGGTGGTGTCATCGACGGCTTGCCGCAGAAACGTAATGAAGCGCCGTTGCAAGGCGCGTTGGGCGCGCTCCTGGCACAGCCACGATCGAATATCGCTACCGTGATCATCCAAATGGAAACTGCCCTCTTCAGCGCCATCATCGAGTGGATCTGCTGTGGAAGACAGACCGTCTGCCAGCATGATACTGGTCGAAATTGGGGACGACGTCAGTGGCGGTTGGGACTGTCGCCTTCGCGGCGAGGATGACGAGCCACTATGGGGTGTGCGTTCTGCACCGCTTTCGGACGCGTCAGCTGCACTTGCACGAAGGGAATGCATTTCAGAACTGCTTTCCGCTGACTCTGACCATAACATATGCATTAGACGTGAACGCGTGCGACTTGCCCGGCGACGGGCCCGCTCACGACGGGCCTCGCGCAGACGCCTGTCTACCGCAGCATCAGCTAGTCTACGGGTAACTGGGTCCATCTGCTCCATTGCCTCAGAGTCATATTCCGCCTCCGGATCGATTTCATAACGGTCACGCTCTGGGTCGGGCAGGTAGTCGCGTTCCATGTTTTCCAAAAGATCCTCACCGGAAACCTCAGAGTCTGCTTCGGCCGCATCTGCAGCACTATCGTCCAACAATCCCTCGTCCGAAGATTCTCCTTCCTCTGCAGACTCCAATGCACCGAGAACCTGACCCCATTCTGAAGCGTTCCCAGCCACAGACGCCCCAGGTAAACGTCGATCAGTCTCCGGGTCACCGATGATATTCGGTTCAAGAGGCGTATTCTCAATCCGCGAGCTCGAGTACCCGGAGCTTCCCGATTGGCTATCTGTACGACCAGTGGCCCTTGCACCTCCAGCTTCCCTGCTCTCATACCTTCGACCGCGTTGACGTTCAGGAGATGATACCATCACGAACACTGCACTTGTGCGATAAACGAAAACAAGCACGTTACGCCTGTAGCGCACGCATCGCGCAGGCAGCACGCAGCGGCAAAGCGAGGCGATGCGTTTTCCCGCGCAAATCCCATTTCCCGCGCAACACACGCGATGCCCAGCGAACGCCGGCAGTACCGCGGAGCCCGACGGTGGAGGCCCGCCTCGGGTGCGTAGCTTCGTGCCTGGTGAGGGCGGATTCGGGGTGTGTTTTTGAAGTTGCTGAGGAGGCGGGACCCGGATTCTCTGTAATTCGGAATAATGTATGATTTCGATTGCAAATCCCGTCCTGTCTGACGGTGGAAAAGTTCGCTCCTAGTTCTTGTTGAGCGCGCTTTCCGGTAGATATTCGGGACCTGAACTTGAGTATCTATTCTACTGCAGGAACCGAGTATCTACCCGAGCAAGTTTTCAGTTGAGAAAAAGGTGCTTCAGTCGAGGCACTCTACTTGGAAATGCTTTCTAAACCCGGATAGAACCATAGACAGAGCGCAGAATATGTTACTGCGCGTATACAGGCTCGGCCGCAATAGGTTCAGAAAGTCCATGATGCATGTGCATGATGCTCTCCTGCCAACTGCGGACACATTGCAACGGTAGCAGATGACCATACAAGCGGCAGCGCCGCTTGTATGGCGTCGGAAAGGGGTCCCTCGTCGAGGAAAGAAGAGCGAGTGGGAATCAGCGTGCAAGGGTGTTGGTTCGCACTACAATCGCATTTTCGTGGGGATTCTTAGCGTACGGCATGGATCGATCTCAACAGATGCCTCTGGATCAGAGGATGCTGCTTGGAAAAGCTTTTCAGTATCATCTTTTTACGAAGGCTTTCGAGTTCAACCTGCCCCGAAGCAGTGTTCCTTGCTCGAACTCGTGACTCGATGGATCCGGCGGTCTGCCGAATACTGCGTCCACCGCGCACGCTTACAGCATTGGAACGCGTTCTGGTGTATCGATATTTGCGGTGATGCATCTCCATGAAACCAGTCGTGAGCGATAAAAAAACCGTCCACTGAAATCCTGACGCATCTGATATGTGTCTCTCGCTGCGTCATCAGGAACAACGCAAACGATACAGACGGTCTCGGGATGTCTATGAGCACCTCGGGTATGATGCGAGCGATAACAAGGAGCACTCTCCCATGATAACCGTATCGTCCAGTACAGAACCCCAGATGCAAAGAACGAGGCGCTTTTGGCGCACTCACCGACATACGAAATGCTGCGTCTCCTCGACCGTTGCCCTGATCAAGCCATGATTCCCGATAGAGAAGTGCTGCCCCCGATCACCATTGTAAGGTGTGTGTGTGTGTCCGGGACAGTATACCGCAGCTCCGGTCTGCAAGTCACTCGCGTTTCGCAAGTGCATCGACACCAAAACAAGCGAACATCCACGAACACCCGCACGAAAGAGTCGATCCCTATGAAGCCTCCGTACCGCATCCAGAAATCGCACGACTTTCCCCGATCCGGTGGCTACGGAGCGCGCAGACCGCGTGGCCAACTGTTAGTTCATATTGCATATTATCAATAGATGAACGAAGCTCTCCATCCTGGTTAATGAGCGCGTGGTATGCTTCCGCGGGTAACTGATTGGAACCATCAAACGTGTCATGGAGCAAAACGTGAGGCGAGGCATCACACTATCGCCTATGTCGCTCGATTCCATAAACGCACATAAATAAACATTTTTGCACTACCCAAACGTTTTCTCGTGCAAAGCACCGGCACCTACTCGGCGAACGCGAAACCAAACCTCATGGGGTTCGTTGTCGTTGCACCGCTGCACCAGCGGTTGCACGGAGCGACCGGCACTATGCCGTACTTTCACGGTGGCACTTCTGAGGTGCTCCAACCGCGCGCTTCTGCACTCGATGAGCCGCTTCCGCACGGTTCCACGGCTCGAGGGCGGGCGCCAAGCTCCTGCACTCGTCTGCCTGTGGTGTACGCGTCGGAGCACTTGCTTGTGGTCGACAAACCGGCCGACATGCGAATGAGTGGCGCAGCGTTCACGTCCACGGTCGAGTCGCTTGCTCAGAAACAGATCAGTGAACGGGGTTCAGCGCTCGCGGAGCGGGTCCAACCGACCGGTTGGCACCGGGTCGGGCACCTTCGCGCGCCGCTGCCGCCCCCGAAAATTCGCATGATCCACCAACTCGACTATGCTACATCTGGGGTGCTGCTCCTTGGTTTACAGCGAAGAGCGACGGCTCAGATCACAGCCGCCTTTCGGAAACGCGAGATTCGGAAACGATATCTTGCAATTGTTCACGGACATGTGGTGCCTGGTGATGCAAACGCACACTTCTGGATAGATGCTCCACTTGTAGAGTATGCGGACGATTTTCGGGTGCGTCTGGCTACGGTCGACGATCATACGGCTCATGCAAGTACCGAGGATTCCAGGAACAGTTCGGATACTGGCGAAATCAAAATAGACCCCGGGTGTGCCTGCCGTGCTGGCTCTGTCTCACGCAAGAGCAGCACCGGCATTCGCGGCTTTGCGGAAAGCCGGGTAACCGACTCGTATTGCGCTGTTCCCGAGTGCGACGGCGACAGACGCCATGCAGATGCCGTAAAGCTGCGACCATGTCGACAACTACAGCCAGCACCAACCGCCACGACGAAAAAGATCTTTAGTGCACTGACGCTGGGCACAGTACTGGGGATCGGAAGCTATCAGGGTTTGCCTGCTTCGCTGCTCGAGTTGCGTCCTGTAACGGGACGGCGGCATCAGCTGCGGGTTCATCTTTGGTGTGTAGGTCACGGCATCGTCGGGGACGCGACCTATCCGACGTTGCCCGACGAGGACGAGCGCTTTTCCCGAATGATGCTTCACGCAGCTGAGCTCGAGCTGCCTGCGTACTTACAGCATCGTTTGCAGTTGCCGGGTCGATTTGTGGCACCAACACCTTCTGCCATGGCCGCATTTCAGGGCGCCGTTCTCAAGTCTTCAAGCAGCGATGTATGGGACCATGAAACAGAGGGCAAACTCGGGCATCATCTATGACGCACTGGGTCGGCGCAGACGCCAAGTCACCGACCAGAGATCTCCTGTTGCCAACTGCACTGCATCGAGTCCACCCGCTGGGAATGGATAACCAAAGCTGGGGAATCACCGGCGAGGCTGCATTGAATCCGCTGCATTTCTGGGTATGTCGCATTGCGATATCAGGAATGGGATGACTGAAATCGATATCCAACGCTGGAATATCGTCGAAGACGCCTCTACGGGCGCGCTGCATCCGTGGCTATCTCGGATCGTTGAATGAGGCGTAGAACAGGGTCTGCGGATGCTCGTTCGAAACCGGATCGGCAGCGGCACTGCAGGTGCCCGTTGCTGGAACCGGGTTGCATCCCGGGGGAACTGCATTGATGCGGCAGCCGACAGCTCCACATCAAGGCCTATGCTCAGCACCCCGTATACAGTGATCTCGACTGGGTATCGCAGTCGGCTCGAAACAGCTTCATCTCGCAGAATGCACTGCATTTGTACAGCGTCATCTTGCCAAGTGATCTTCTCTATGAAGAGAGGAGAGAGAGCCCCAAAAGCCACAGACAGCGTCCGTGTTTACTCACAGTCAGCGCGTGTCCAACAAAGAGCTGGAATTTTGCAACCGAAAATCATTTGGTGATCATCAGCTCATGATTGTACACGCCACATGAGATTGACTGCCGTCTAGACTCACTGTTTGCCAAGCGGCAGCGTGATCGATGTACCGGAACCACCATTATTCAACGCCAGTTCGCTACGGCGCCGTAGAACGGCACTTCGAGGTACACGCTTGGTGCCCGCGTTCCTTTTTTCGTTCTAGTGTAAGATCGATGAGTCTAATCAGAAACTGCGGGAGCGCAATAGCCACCAGGCACACGGGCAGAGAACCTTGCCCGCCTGAGCACGCCTCTGCGTTCGTGGACCCTCAGTGAACATCTGCTTCATGGAATATTGACTAGATGCACCCAACGAGTTACGCGACGCTGAGATTAATTTTGGAATTTGCAGCATCACCGTGGTCGATCTTGCAAGACAGGATGGCTTTGCTCCTGCTTTTGCGGAAGCCGGGTCCAAGTGCATTTTTCCGTTCTGCCACCTGTGACCGGGTTTCCCGGCGATGCCTGTACCGGTATGAGTGTTCGAGCAGCGTCTCGATGCCGCTTGGGTCTGTTTGGCTATGCCAGTACTAGGCGTTTTCAGGATCGACGAGAGCAGCTTTATACTCAGATCAGGTATTTCTCACACACCTGTACGAACACATCCTTTTTGGTTCTGTTTGTCTTTCTCGAACGTATTCAAAGTAGGACATGCGTCCTGTATCGCGGAGCAGCGTCGGTGCAAGACTCGATGTTGGCATGGCGCGTTCACCGGTACAGGTCAGTCTTTCTTCGTGCAGGAGGTGCGTAAACCCACGTTCTCGTTGTCCTGATCCGGAACGTTGTGCACTCTTAGCAAAACTAATCATAGGCTATCTGCACCATCCTCTCTTCTTTCATTCATTTTGCTCCATACTGTATCTGAGAAACGCTGCCGAAGCAGCCAGAAAACGTGAAACGTTCGTGCAGTTTACACGACCGGCGATAAACGGACACCTTTGGACGAATGAAAACTTGCACTTGAATGAGAGGCCGTCGAGCGCTGAGCAACCCAGGATCGAGTTCGATCTGAATGACGGACGATGACGACAGGAATGAGGTGTGTTTGATCCGCTCGATGAGAGAATGTATTCTGGCGACTCGGCACGCCTGCATATGGGTGCTTCAACAGGGGCAAACCGCTGTTTATAAAGCAGAGACAGTCCAGCATTTCGACATCACAAGCCGTACCGGAGGTGCTTTGGCTTGGTTGCTTACCACTTGTCTAACGGGCATGATCTTTCAAAACAGCATCCTCCGTCGAGGCATTCCTGATCCCGTCTCTGTACCACATTCGCAAGTCTTGCCCTGGGGCCACGTCGCTGTCCGCACCTGTGAAGCGGTAAAGGAACACGTAGCCGCAGTAGGTGTTGTTCTGCTCTTCATGGGTGCACGTGCTACCTGGTTTAATGCAGTTGGAAGCGTCTTCTCAACGTGAAACGCCACGTTTAGACTCGTGGATTAGAAAGGGAGTCGTGCGGCATCGTGGAACCCTTCCACGACAAATCGTAATTCAACTTCACTAGCCTGGAAATGCTGCGTTGCGTCTCTGCTCGTACGCAGGAGTGAGCGGATAGGCCCGCTCCGGTTCGTCGGTAAACTCGCCTCGGAAAAGGGTGAGAAAAAGTTGTTTGGGAATCGTAGATGCATACATAGGAAATACGGGTTTCGGGGCCAAAAGCAATCCAGTGCGCCTGAGTCCGCATGAAGAGGCGGATACCGCATATAGCGACCACCTCTACGCTATCCCGCTGGGTCATCGAGACGCAAAATACCGCGTCGGACAAGAAAAAGAAAGATCCTACCCAAGAGAAGACGTGCAAGAACAGGAATTACAAACCATCTCGGCGACAGAGCCCGACTATAACCGCTCTAAAGGCCGTGAAGCAAAACAAATCAAGGGTGAAGATCGTCTACATAGTAAGTTGCACGTCGTCGTGGATGCCCTGCAGCTTATCGCTCGAGGGACGACTTGCTTGCTTCGCTCAACTTGATGCAACCCGGCAAGCAAGTCCTCGACAGGCGTTCCGGACGCAGTGCACTTAGCGATGCACATCCCCCATGAATTCTCTACATTCAACCGTCGCATGAAAACGCATCTGGTGCTCGGGAAAGAAGATGGATGACGGCCTCTACGTGGGATCCGAGATTCGCACACCCCCGTTCCAGGAGATCATCTCGCCTGGCAGCGCCACGTCGGCCATCGAAGACAACGTCTCCAGGGTAGGTGCGAAAACCTATCAAACCAAACTCAAGTACCATATGCGGGTCCGTCGCGAGCGCTTCATGACGTGCACCGTGTGGGCGTTGAGGCCTCATCCCGTTGAGCCGGAAACGTGGGGATTTATGGACGGTATTCTGGGTAGGTCTCGATGGATTCAAATGCCGAGTTCGTGGCGGCGAAGAGCGCTCGAGATGGAAGCGAGTTAGGAAGCGCTGTCGCCATGAGAGCGAGTGTCGCTTCGGATCATCCGAGCTCATCGTGCGGCTGTGGGTTTCGGACCGACGGACGTACCATCCGAATCATGGTCTGAGCTCGATGCACACCCTCGTTGTATCGTGCACCACCAGATTATCCTGTACAGAGCGCTCAAGCGCAAAATAGCGTCCCTCGGCGTACGCGAGTGTACTTCAGTTTCTAGTCGATGTGGTCCGCACAGGTCACGTCAAAACTCAGGGCATCTGGGCGTTCTCTCGTGTAGCGTGCAGTACGACCTTCTCAATGAGGCACTGCTAGTGTCCGCGTGCAGCGCTATGAAGCAGACGAACTCGCTCGCAGACAGCATTGGCGATGCTGGCTCAAGTCTCATTGTCTACAGGGGCATACTGGTACGGCACTCACTGGGACGATGCAGACCGACACAGCATCATTCTGAATGCACTGTGTGAATCGTTTGCCTCAGTTGACCAACGGGACTCATTCTCAAGCATTTGACGCTGATGAAGAGAAGGACTCGGGGTCGGCTGTGCATCCCGGGCTGAAGGTCGCCATGTCCGTCGCCGTACCTCCTAGAAAAGACGATGGAACCGAAGATCTGTACGGAACGCATACGAGGCTGCTCGAATATTTCAGGCTTTGGTATGCGATGGCGTCGGACATCATGGGCGTCTAGAGGCAGTTCAGCGAGTGGAATACCAGAATGAGAACGCAGGTCGAGCCTCAGTGCACCGCATCACCCGAAGAGCGATGCTTTGTACGCTTCGTGTAGAAAGAATGCATGATGGTCCCAGTGGCGTACGCAAATGCTCATTGGCATACCTACATGAGAGTGCGCTGGGCTCGCTAACGGTTTCCGTTATGCCGAGACAAAGCGCGTGCATTCACCGAATTCTGAATGAGATGCATACAACTTGATTGATACGATACCTTGGTGTAATGGTAGCGTACAGTGGCGGACGTGCTGCAACGTGTAAAGGCTGCGCTCCAGCTCCTTCGACGTGCGCATACCATAGTCCGGGAACCGATGCTGCACGTTTCGCTTTGATGGATTCAGGGCGATCTTAACCGAACACGAGCACGGGTGCAACGCTAACCTCGTAGACACGACGAACGTGCAACATCGCCGGACGCGTGAAATCGAGTATGGCAAGTTTATCGAACCTCTAATAGCGAGGCTATCGACGTTGAGATACGTTCCACAGTATAAGTCTATCGGCAAATACGCGTGTAAGCAGTTCCTGCATCCAGATTGGGACGCCTCGATCAACATCCGGAAATATCCTGTGCATCGGGAGCGTCCATACGATTTCTACAGCGTGCGCTGTCGACGGAAGTGGTGTTGTACTCAGTGCGGGCATTATGCTGAAACGCTGCAGACTTGCAATGCGGTAATCAGTGGCCAAGACACAGGGCATTGCAGTCCCGTCTCGAACATGACACTGGCATGGTACAGTTCTTCAATCCATATATATACACTGGGAAAGGTTTCCCAGGGCAATTAACAAACGATCATAGAGAGCCTTGGCTCGCCATTCCAGAGAATCAACCAATGCAGCTGTCGGGAGGCTTTTACGTAGCACTCCGGGGGTAACACCAGCGTTCGTGGCGCCTTGCGCAACGCTCATGCCCCGTCCCGGTTCGATGTCGCTGTGAAACCAAACCGCTATGGAATCATCAAAGGTTTTCGATTCGTTGCCCGGTTTCCCGTCAAGAGCCGTGCCCCGATCTCTCTGTGCTAACCAGGTCGCACGGGCGCTTTTCGTCGGTATCGGGCAGAGAGCTGTGCCTCCAACTAAGTTGCAGCCACCCGGACAGCGAGCACTGCATACGGGTCTGCTACGACTCATGAGTACATCACAGTCGAGTGTCTTCGTACACTGCTCGCAAAGCAGCATGAGGGCGCGCAGTACCCAGATCCAGAGGCGCTGTCTCCAAGTCGCCTTGCCGTGTCTCGTCGAGTTCACCGAGGATGCCACCTGATCTGCTCATCTGCAGCACGCTATGAACCAATGCTCAGATGCCATGAAATCAACGCGGCTCCTGTAGCAGTAGCTGTTCAGGCACAAGCACCGCACGGGCAACCCTTCGGAACAAGAAAAAAACCGATGCCTTCGTGAACGTCGTGCGTCATCTCCTTCATGCATGCTTGTCGAGGAGACACGTCGGGGCACGCCAAGCCAACCTGCCGTCGCTCATTCCAAAGGCAGGAACTCGTACGCATGTTGCGCACCAAGTGCACACTCGGCTTGCGCTCGTTTCTTGCTCTCCTCGACATCAAAACCGGACCACTCACCGACACGCGTTGCTGGATTCCCGGCATATCGGGCGTTTGGCTCGAGTTGCGCTCCGTCTGGTATAACTGTACGTGGCTCGGTGCATACTTCGTGCGGGATTTCCGCACCAGCGCCCACTATGGTACCGTCCCCAAGCGTGACCACGTTGCCGATGCGTGCGGCGCGTCCGATGGAGCACGCCGCTCCGACTCGACACCAGGATCCTATCTGTACGGCAGCGTTCAGAACTGTATTTTCACCAATGACCGTATACCCACCGAGGCGAATCAAGTCGTCAGGAACAAGACTGTCACCTCGGAGCACAGCGTTTGGTTTGATAAAAACGTGGTCCGCAATAGCGACGTTTCCTATCACGGACGCCGACGGACTAACGTGTGCATTCGGTAAGACAAACGGCCGTACGCGCTGATTAAGAAGCGCGACTAAAGTCCGCAGGCCAGACATGGTGGCGAGCTTGCTCCTTTCCCGGAGAACTGTGGCGTCTCCAGTTCGGCTAGCGCACGTGTCGGAGAAGCAGCGCGCTTGCGTACGAGTAGCAGAGGCAGCATGCGAAGGGGTGCGGGGAGCATTCGAGCAATCGACCGCTATGCAACAATAGTAGATCAATCTGTATAAGAAGGACATCTGGAATGCAGCTCATGTTTTGCGGCTCCCTGCCCCAATGACCGGGGATCCTCGCTGATGCGCTTCGTCGGAGCGCGCGATCGAACATCCATTGTTCAACGTATGGCCATAGTCCTCTGTGCGCATGGGTCTTGGAAGCTGCTGATCATTTGTCACGTTCTATCGTTTGCCAGGTGTATCCTATGCGTGTCCACGATAGCGTTTGTGAGTCGCCGCTGCACGCGCAGCACGAAAGCACAACCTCGTCGATGCCATGCCCCTGAGGGTATCGGCTCGAGGCGTCGGATGCATGCGTGCGGTTGCGGGTGGATGGGTGCGTGCTGGTCCATGTGTGTAATGAGCGTCTCTGCGGATGTCCGAAGGCTGCCACGGTCAATACCATGGATTTGAATGCTGCCGCGCAGACGTTCACGTTCTACGCGGCGCGATCGAATCTCTTCCCGCTGCATAGCGCTGAGATTGGTACAGCGAATCCGCGGATGCAGAGCCTGCCGCAGGCGCTTGTTGGCCCGTCGACTACGCAGTTGCGGACGGCGAACGCTGACATGACAACGGCGCTGGAATGCATCTTGGCGCGTCGGTTGATAGCAGGCAACCCAAAGATGGATACGCAAGCACGCAGGGCATGGATGCTCACACGACTGGGGCTGCAGGCACGCGCCTCGCAACGTGGGCGATCCTGGGGGCATCCCAGCAAACCTCATGGTTGCTTCAAGCCTCAGTGCTTGTTCCGTCGACTATGCGTAGGCTTCTGTGTGATCACAGGTCAAGTGGAATGGTACTTGTACAAGTACGCCCAGCAGCATGCTATTGAGTGCGGTACGCAGGCACGGAAATGCCCATGCAGGCGCTTTATGACAACAAGCATTCGAGACGCTCCCTCGCGCACAGTGCATCATCGAATCCGAGGCTCCTGAGGCAGGCCACTTGCTCCAATTTACGCTCGATTTTTTCATAAACCGTATGCTTCTGGACAGCGGGGACGATGTTCTGCAACGCGATATTTCAAGTGTCGCGATGCGCACCTTGATCGCCGTGCAGCATAAGCACGATAGCGACTAGCGACTGGGCCGTACGAACATTCGACGCTCTCCAGCAGGTGTCTGGGTGCTCTCCAGTAGAGAGCTGGGTGGGATGCCGGCCCCCTCTGTTGCGAGGCGCTCGGATCGTGCACAGAGAAGCTCGTTCACTGGCGCTGTTCGGAATGCAGCGCTGCGCCTGCGACGTATTCACTGATCACTCGTGAACGCCTGGCAAAGCGTTCACTCGAAATGCTGTTCAGTGAATGGATCACCGCGCGTGCGCACCGCTTTGCTCTCGTGACAGACGCTTCATCGGATAACGCCAAGCGAATGCGAATTCGGGCACTGGGCCTTGCTTGTGGGTGACAATGCGCTCATCGGCTGAGATAGACTCTTCATAAATGAGACCAGAACACTGGACGGATGGGTGTTTTTGTTCCTTGCGATTCTATTCAGAACCCAGGTCAAGACGTACTGTACGGACATTGCGAGTGCACCGAGATGTGCTCACAGGTTCAGACCTGGTTCCGGGATCCTCGGTCGTAGTCTGTGTTAGCGTGACGCTTTCGAGTCTTGTGGTGCTGGCATTCGGTGCGTGAACGGAATCGAGATGATACACGACGCCCTCGGACACTGGTTCGTAAAGTATCCGAGATCCTTACCCAATGCATACACACGAGTATCTGCGTTTTTCCTCTCGATCCATAGGGCATGCCCAAATCGCTCATATTTCAAGTCCTCGATCTTCCTGGTCTGTGGCGCCTCGCAGGTGCGGTAAATCGCGTCTCTGGATGGACCACGAACCGTACTCGACGTCTTCCGTTGGCGACTTGTGCACTCATGGTCATGCGACACATTCGCTGATCATGCTTCGCCAGGCATTCAGTGCCGTTCGAGACACGATGCTGCCTTGGTCTGCGGCCATCGACGAGACGACATTCCATACCAGCATGCGTTCTCGGGTGCGATACGTGTCCCGCGTCTGCCGTCTTTGCTTCAAGCATCGAGAACGATCCAGGGACCAGGAATGCAGGCAGCGCAGCGATCACTTCCAGCTGAGCGTGTGATCGTGCGGTGCACAGAGCGAGCGTCGACGGATCGACACCTCTCGAATTGTTCACGACACTGACTAGTCCCTGCGGCACTTGTCTCGTGCTCATGGGGAACATCACGTGATGCAAATCCACTCTCGAATGCAACAGTGTGCACTTGCGCATGCACCGGACAGCGTACAGCGTCCTCGCCTAGTGAATGGCACAGCGGACGCTCGTGACCCTAGGCCAGAGCACCCGGGCGAAGAGACGGTCAACGGTATCCCCAAGAGTCTCCTGTACCTGCCCACAGTGCGTCTACCGAGCGATAACGCAAGCTGTGCAGCGCGAGAGGGCAATCGTCTCAGGGAGCGCGCTAGTACGCAAACAGAAACACCTGATAGAGCCCACGCAGTCCGCGCTGCGACGAGCGCATTGATATTGTATACAACGAGAATGAGCACGGCAAGCGAAGCGTAGACTGCGACTCCTGCCAGTCCGTACCCGGTGCGCTGGCTAACGCAGGAAGCACCCATATCGGGACGTTTATTTGTATCGGAGCATTCTGCGACTGCTTGCGACGGCGCCGGATAGACACTAGATATGCCCGTATGTGAAGCGGATTGTCCAAGACTGCAAAAAAGAGCAGCCAGGGGGCGTATCGTGAAATGAGTGGTGTTGGTGAAACAACAACGACAAGATACCCAGATATTACAGCGTACGCCAGAGACAGCAAAGTGGATCCATACTTTTTCACGTTGACACGCGTACAACGCAACGCAGTCAGCAGCGCTCCAGCGTGATATCCCACGTATCTCTCCTGTCGTCATACAGACACTCGCATTGCACGTTCGTAGCTCGTTCGCGATGCCGAACGAAGATATCGCAGCTACCCGTGCCGTACCCCTAGGGTGCGATTTCGACTTGTTACCGTTTACCCAGAGCGAGTGCTCCACTGTGCGCACGCATTGGCCTTGCAGAGGCGTCGAAGTCTCGTCTCTCACTCTTTTCTTCCAGTGCTATCCATTCGTGTCCATCCAACGTGAGCATCACGCTGCAAGCACAGCACCGGATCCGTCCACTGAACCCGGGCACGGCGACGCACTTGCCAGCCTGTACGGCCTGTTGCGGTACTGGCGCCGGCCGTGCGCTGTATCGCCGGACTACAGGCGCAGGCGTTGTGCTGGTGTTCGGCCTCAGGGAAACGTTTCTGTTGCCACTTTATTACGGTGCTGTTGCTTTGCGTTGCTTTGCAGCAGGGGTATCTACCACGACCGCTCACTGACACAGAACTTCGTTGGCTTCGTTGGGTCTCAGGGCAGGGAGTGGTCGTTGACGTGCTCTCGTAGAGAACACGAGCAGTGCGTCTCTAATTGCCTGTCGTTCCGGTGAACGGTACTCGTAGACTCGGACACGCTTAGTGTCATGCATACCAATGCTGAACGCGTTCCAAGTAGAGGCCAGTGTGCGTACGAACCGCAGCGTATAGTCCCCGAGCGCCAGCTTCCTTCAGAGGCACGCGCCTTGGCGTGTGCCGGGCGTGTGCAGTGCCTGCGCAGCGGAACTGGCACCAGTAGGTCGGGCGTGCTCCCTACGAACTCGGAGCGGGATCGGCTTTCGGGGCGTTGGCAGGCACCAGCACTTGCCTTTGCCGTCATGAGTCCGACGCTATACAACGTGTTTCGACGCCATATGAACTGGCGGCAGTGCGCTCTGTTACCAGCAGCATTTGCAGATAGAGCTCGACTCCCGCTAGACTTGAAGAGGTGTGCGCGAGACTCGGGACGCGCTCTCAGTCTGAGAGCTCAGCAGTCGCTGCCACAGAACACAACACGTGAGACACCGTCGAAGCCAGTGGCACCAACGCCGCCCTTCCAAACAGATGGTGAACAACACGCGCAGCCACAGGGACGCCTGATCCGGGTACCACCGTCGCGCATTCGAAACTTTTCTATTACTGCTCACGTGGACGCGGGCAAATCTACCCTGGCGGACCGGCTACTCGAACGAACAGGCGCAGTAAGTGCGCGTGAGATGCGAGAGCAATACCTTGACTCGCTGGAACTGGAGCGTGAGCGAGGGATTACGGTGAAGCTGCAGGCAGCGCGAATGAACTATACCGCACACGACGGCCAGACTTATGTGCTGAACCTGATCGACACACCGGGCCATGTGGATTTTTCCTATGAGGTCTCTCGTTCACTGCAAGCGTGCGAGGGTGCACTTCTGCTGGTGGATGCGACCAAGGGTGTCGAGGCGCAGACACTCGCGAATGCGTACCTGGCGATGGAGAACAATTTGGAGATCGTCCCAATTCTGAACAAAATAGATCTGCCGGCAGCGCAGCCAGAGCAGGCATCCCAGGAGGTCGAGCAGGTCATCGGTATTGATATGCGCGATGCAGTTCGGACCTCGGCGAAACTGGGTATTGGCATCGAAGAGACACTGGAGGCAATCGTGAAACGGATTCCGCCACCCCGAGTCCGCGACGAGAATGCCCCGCTCCGCGCGCTCATATTCGATAGCGCCTATGACGATTATCGCGGAGTCGTGGTCTACTTTCGTATCGTTGACGGTACCTTACGCAAGTCGGATCGTATTCGCTTTATGGCGAATGGCCGCGAATACGACGTCGATGAAATTGGCGTTTTCACACCGAAACCGCTTCCTGTCGAAGAGCTGTCCGTTGGCGAGGTCGGCTACCTGGTGGCTGGCATCAAAACCGTAGCGCACGCTCGCGTTGGCGACACGATTACCCTAGCACGCCATCCTGCATCTGAACCGCTTCCGGGCTACAAAGAGGTCAAGCCGATGGTGTTCAGCGGTATCTTCCCCGCCGATGCAAGCATGTATAACCAGTTACGAGATGCTCTCGAAAAACTGAAACTCAACGACGCTGCGCTCTACTATGAAAACGAAAACTCGCCGGCACTGGGCTTTGGCTTCCGTTGCGGTTTTCTGGGCCTGCTCCATCTCGATGTGGTCATCGAGCGCCTCGAGACAGAATACGACCTCGATCTTGTGACGACGGCACCTTCGGTTGTCTACCGCGTTCATACGACCAGCGGCGAGGTCCTCGAGATCGACAATCCGTGCAAGTTGCCGCCACCGACGAATATTGAACGAATCGAGGAACCCTATGTGCGTATCGAAATGATCACACCAGCAGAGTACGTGGGATCGCTCATGGAGCTCGCCCAGAGCCGTCGTGGCGAGTTCCTCGACATGCGCTTCCTCACCGAATCCCGGGTGGTGCTCATTTACGAGATGGCCCTGGGGGAGATGGTGAGTGACTTTTTCGACCAGCTCAAGTCGCGGAGCAAGGGCTTCGCTGGCCTCGACTATCGCCTGGTTGGGTATCGAGCGAGTGACCTGGTGAAGCTCGACATCTCCATTCACGGTGAAGTTGTGGACGCCATGAGCGTCATCTGTCATCAATCAGCGGCACAAGCGATTGGACGGAGTCTGTGTCAGCGACTCTTGGAGATCGTCCCGCGTCAACAGTTCAAAGTCGCCATCCAAGCGCGTATTGGGTCCAAGGTCATTGCCTCCGAGCATCTGAACGCGCTGCGGAAGGACGTGACCGCCAAGTTGTACGGTGGCGACGTCACACGCAAGAAGAAACTGCTCGAAAAACAAAAACGAGGAAAGAAAATCGCCGCGGAACGAGCCCTCGCAAGCGGCATTCGCGTGCCGAAGGAGGCGTTTCGAGCGATTCTGACGGCGAAACGTGACGCCGCTTCCTAATGCCTCATAAATGAGACCAGAACACTGGACGGATGGGTGTTTTTGCGCCTTGCGATTCTATTCAGAACCCAGGTCAAGACGTACTGTACGGACATTCCAAGTGCACCGAGATGTGCTCACAGGTTCAGACCTGGTTCCGGGATCCTCGGTCGTAGTCTGTGTTAGCGTGACGCTTTCGAGTCTTGTGGTGCTGGCATTCGGTGCGTGAACGGAATCGAGATGATACACGACGCCGTCGGACACTGGTTCGTAAAGTATCCGAGATCCTTACCCAATGCATACACACGAGTATCTGCGTTTTTCCTCTCGATCCATAGGGCATGCCCAAATCGCTCATATTTCAAGTCCTCGATCTTCCTGGTCTGTGGCGCCTCGCAGGTGCGGTAAATCGCGTCTCTGGATGGACCACGAACCGTACTCGACGTCTTCCGTTGGCGACTTGTGCACTCATGGTCATGCGACACATTCGCTGATCTTGCTTCGCCAGGCATTCAGTGCCGTTCGAGACACGATGCTGCCTTTGGCTGCGGCCATCGACGAGACGGCATTCCATACCAGCATGCGTCCTCGGGTGCGATACGTGCCCCGCGTCTGCCGTCTTTGCTTCAAGTATCGTGAACGATCCAGGGACCAGGAATGCAGGCATCGCAGCGATCACTTCCAGCTGAGCGTGTGATCGTGCGGTGCACAGAGCGAGCGTCGACGGATCGACACCTCTCGAATTGTTCACGACACTGACTAGTCCCTGCGGCACTTGTCTCGTGCTCATGGGGAACATCACGTGATGCAAATCCACTCTCGAATGCAACAGTGTGCACTTGCGCATGCACCGGACAGCGTACAACGCCCTCGCCTAGTGAATGGCACAGCGGACGCTCGTGACCCTAGGCCAGAGTACCCGGGCGAGGAGACGGTCAACGGTATCCCCAAGAGTCTCCTGTACCTGCCCACAGTGCGTCTACCGAGCGATAACGCAAGCTGTGCAGCGCGAGAGGGCAATCGTCTCAGGGAGCGCGCTAGTACGCAAACAGAAACACCTGATAGAGCCCACGCAGTCTGCGCTGCGACGAGCGCATTGATATTGTATACAACGAGAATGAGCACGGCAAGCGAAGCGTAGACTGCGACTCCTGCCAGTCCGTACCCGGTGCGCTGGCTAACGCAGGAAGCACCCATATCGGGACGTTTGTTTGTATCGGAGCATTCTGCGACTGCTTGCGACGGCGCCGGATGGACACTAGATACGCCCGTATGTGAAGCGGATTGTCCAAGACTGCAAAAAAGAGCAGCCAGGGGGCGTATCGTGAAATGAGTGGTGTTGGTGTAACAACAACGACAAGATACCCAGATATTACAGCGTACGCAAGAGTCAGCAAAGTGGATCCATACTTTTTCACGTTGACCTGAGTTTACTGCATGATACGACCTGCGTACACTGGACACCACTTCCCGAGGCGTGCACCGCGTGAAGAAACCTCGATCTGGTGCGCGGAGAGCAGGATAGTCCTCAGGGCATTGCCGCAACCAATGTGCAGCTTCCGGCGGAACAATCGACCAGGCCCCGCCGTTGCAGCACAGTCACGAAGTACGCAATCCCACATGACATTTACGGGATGCCCCTCCATCTATCAACGATGCAGTGACGAAGAGCATTGGCTCACGGAAAGCTCGCAAGCGGCCTCTCGCCAGCCTCTGAGCACTGATGCGCAGCACCTCCTACATCCTCAGTGCTGGTGGTACGCGAATCCCGCGAACAGGTCTGTGCGTACCAGCAACAGCAGTGCGAGGGTCGCACAGGCCGTGTCAGAAACCGGGGACACAGCACGCACGCCCAGGGCGTCTTCTTTTGCGCATAGCAGTCCAAGCCCGTTCACGAACCTGTAGATTCAATCCATGAATGATCACGGTTTAGGAACCGTTCAGGAGCCGATCCAAAGCGGCCGCTACGTTTCCCCCGGTCGCACGCAACGCCGCGATACAGGCATCTGTATCGAAGAAACCCATTTCCCGCATCTGTTGCAACTGGGTCGCAAAATGTTGCTCCAATTGTTCACGCGTCATCTGAGCCGTCGGATCTGTAAATGTCGCACCACGGGTTTGCCGTGGTCCACCAGCTGTTGCCGAAGCCATGGGTTGCGGTGTCGTTGCAATCGCCGGGTCGTACCCGCTCTGGAGCAACGCCTGGTGAATCGCCCGTCGAAAGCGCAGTTGTGCCTCCTGCATCGCAAGCGTGGACTCGAAAAATTCTCTCGTAAAGAGATTTCGTCGAAACTGGACGTCCTGGAGCGCTTGCATCATCTGCGGGTTCATGGCCGCCATCGCCGACACCATTGGATTCGCGAGCAGGAACGTGTCAGAGGCGATGAACTGCTCCTGGGTGAGGCGGAACAGCTCCGGGTTATCCAAAATAGCTCGCGTTGCCCGAACTGCCGCCTCTTCCGACAGGTCTGGACTAGACCAAGGCATCTGGCTGCCATTGTTGCCAGTGGTTGCTGGAGTGGCGCCTGCCGCCCATGACGGCGGCAACGGTAGCGTCGTCGAGGAACGCCCATTTCCAGTGTCACTACTAGTCGGATTCGACGGAGTGGCTCTCGTGAAAGTGCTGGCACCGGCACCTGGTGCCATGGGCCCGCTGGATTCCAGAGGTCCTTGGATGTCCGTGTAGAGACGCCGCAGCGCGTCGAAACCTCCTGGCATCGACTCGATATTAGCCATTGCTCGGTCACTTGTGCGCATCATTTCCTGCATGAGGTGAGGATTACGCATCAGCTGTAATGTCTGGCGCAGGACTCCTGGGTCATTCAAAACATGACCGATCTCGGGATTCTGGTTGATCATTTCCCGAATCTGCGGGTTCGCCATCATCAACGCCCGCATGAGTTCGGGATTCTCCGCCATGGATTCCATCAAGGGGCTACTGAGGATCTCCTGCATCGCGTTCGGATTCGCAAGCAGCGCCTGCTGCATTTGCTGTTGGAGTCGTTGCATAGAAGAGGATCCACCACCAGCACCAGCACTACCGACGTTTGCCCCGGTTGAGGCAGCATCTGGTGCGTAGCCCAGGGGAGCACCAGTGGCTGCGCTCGCGTTCGCCGCTGTTCCGTTCCAAGTAGCTGCGCGTGCTTGCCCAAACATATCAAAGCCGGCACTCGACGGCGTTGGCGTTGAACCTGCGAGATTTCCCGCACTTCCGGCAGAAGACCCAAGTGAAGGCGCGGATGAGGCCGCACTAGCGGGAGTCGCTGGTACCGGGCCACCGACGCCGGGGAGCGCGCTCCCCGTCGGTGCTCCGGCAGGCGCCGCAGCTGGACGAACGCCACGTACCAAGTGCATGGTATGTCCAGACTCGAGTCCATATTTTTCCTGAAGCTCCCGTAAAGTTTCAGCGTCCTTCAGGACTCGACCCTTGTAGATGACGCGCATTGTCTCGGGCGCGAAGCCACTCGGTTCCGCTAAACGTTGCTTCAGTGCCTCGATCTTTTCTTCAAGGTCTTGGACAGGCAGCGTAAACTTGCTACCCGTACTGCTTTTGAAATGAAGCTCGAACGCTGACTCTTCAGCCTCGTTGCTAGTCGTCATCTCGTTCTCGCTCGTGGTGCGCGGTGGTTCACCCTCCATCTCCTTGATTTCTATCTTTGCCGCAAACCCGTGTCACCCAGGCTACTCTCGACTTCACTGATGATCTCAGCGCTAACCAGTGACCCGTTTCCGCCGTGACAACCTCTTCGGAAACGCCGCTATGCACCGAGTTGGCACTGTCCCTGCCGCACGTAGGTCTCCGGAGGCATAGCACCTAGAGTCAGAAGCGGATGCCAACGAGCGTCGCCAGCACGTTCAGCCGTTGGGACCGGATTGTCGCATTTACACAGCATCCTGCAGACTGGCCCTTGTGGCGCGTTCACAGCGACTGCAGGCGCCAGCGCCAGCGCCAGCGGCGGCGGCGGCGGCACTGTCGCTGACGCGTTACCGCTTGGGTGCATGGTGGGCTAGCTACATGCCATCGTCGCCTGGTACGGATGCAGGCTCGGGGAGGGCGCTGGCATGGGGTCGACCTTTGTGCTCGACGCATTCCACGCTTCTCGTGCACAAGAGACTCGTGATGTTGGCACGAATCGCGCACTCGACGCTCTGTTCGCCATGAGAGACTGTGAAGGCAGCTGCGTCTTGGCGTACCGGAGGAAGCGCGATGCCGTTCACAGGGATTCTTTATCGATAACATCTGGAGCTCAGGTGGAACAGCATAGGGCGTTAGAGCGGGTGTCTTCTCGACTGGGACTCTGGTTTGCAGCCTCAGAGGGTAAAGGCGCAGATCTCAGCCTTGCGTACCACGGTTGGTGCCGCGCTGGAGGTCACAGACCGCGCGGCAACAGGCCGTAGACGCTGCTTACCTGTCTACGGCTCGAGCGCCATTGTCCATGATTGCAGGATGCTGTGCCGAGCGCGTGATCGCGTTCACATGCGCGGCTCTGCGGTTTCTGAACGCGCTCTTTCGAGCTAGCAAGTGAACGCAGATATGGTGCGAAAAAGCTCGCATACACACGCTACGCACATCGCGTGCTGATCGGGCGCTGCATCCCCCGAGACGACCAGTATGCGTCGCGCTGTGAATCGTTGTCTATGATTATGCAGGTATGACCCAGTTGACTGCGAATTGTGTTCAACGGTGCAGGCCTCGCTGGATCGCACATCAGGCGCCGGATGTGCTGCTTGAGGGGGCGCGCGGGTGCGCAAGGCTGTCGGCACCACGAGTGTCATTATTTGTATAGCAATATACATTAAAGTCCCGTTCGCTGGAACGCACGCGAACGACGCGGACGCCTGCGTGTCGCTCTTCGAGCGACTGACGCGCCCTCTCCGACAATCTCGTTCCAGGGCACACGCTGTCGTGATGGGGTCCAAAAGCGCTTCAGTTGATATCGAGAGCGGCAACTACAACACGTACGAGTACAGTGTGAAGCGCAGTGCTTCACGGGCGCTCGGACACGCTGACCTCGAGGAATATGACGTCGGGGTGACCGTTGCAGCTTGCATGGAGCGCATCCGCTTGGACTTTCTGCGAAAGGTGTATACAGTGCTCGCAGCCCAGCTCGGGTTTACTGCGGTGCTCTCGGGCGCGTTCATGATCAGTGGGAGCCTCAATCAATGGGTAATTTCTGCATCTTCCTGGCTGATTTGGGTGTGCTTCTTGGGCACACTGGGGGCGCTGGTGGGTCTGTTCTGGGCTCGCTCGCGGCCAAAGTGGAGTCTCCCAGCGCTGAGCGTCTTCACGTTCTTCGAGGCTCTGTCAGTTGCGATGATCTGCGCTATATACGCCGCTTCAGGGTTTGGTTTCATCGTCTTTGAGGCTTGTTTCTTGACAGCGCTTGTTTTTGGCGGACTGACGATTTACTGTTGGCGCTCGCAGCGCGACTTCAGCTTCCTCGGAGGGTTCCTAGGCGCAGCACTGCTCGTCGTGTTGGGGGCAGCAGTCCTGAATGCGGTACTGGGATGGATGGGGCATTTTTCGACAACGTTCTCCTTCGTCCTGAGCGTGGTGTCCGCACTCGTTTTCTGTGGCTATATTCTCTTCGACACCAGTCTGATCATTCATCACCTTGGCCCGGACGATTGGTCGATTGCCTGCGTCTCTCTCTATCTTGATGTGTTGAACCTGTTTTTGAATCTGCTGCAGATTTTAACACGTATCCAAGCAAGCAGCGACAATTAGGGCGTGGGATCCTTGTTTATCGCTGCCGACTATTGACGATACGGGAGACGCACGGTCACCTGTGGGCGGCGCGTCTGGGGCTCGCCCATGGCTTGTACTCACATGATGGGACACCAGCTTGCAGTTGCATACTATGCATCGCAAGCGGACACCTTCACGAGCCGGGAGCTGGTGGATCGTGACGTCCAACGCAGAACAGAAGGCAGATACAATCCATGGCTCCACAAACGTCCGTATCGAATTTTTTCACTCGTTTCATAAGCGCCGTCTGGCACAGATGATACTCTGCTCCATGACTCGACGTTGCACCGAACTTTTCATCTGTAAATAAGCCCCATCCGGTATTGGGGGTACTGTGCACGGTGCCTGGACGCTGTGTCCGCATCTGCGTGCTGGACAATGCCCGCGTAATGGAGAGCGCTCCACGAGCGACTCTGTTCAGGCCAATTGCTTATAGGGATTTCAGACCTAGAATCCGCGCGAATGCAGTGTTCAAGCATTCGACGTGCTCGTGTGCTGGGCCGTGTGCGCTTGTCTTTCAAGACAGCACATCTTCATGTATCTAAAATTCTGAATTCTTACCACGATCTCAGGTACGACTTGCAACTGACCTCGAGTTTGGTATGTACCGTGACGCCGTTCTTGGCGGTTCGCACTGTCGCGATCTCAACGAGATTCCTACCGAAATAAACTGCCTTTCTGCATTGCTTTGTGGATCAGCGACTCGAGCACAAAGACGGGTCCATTGTGAAATCGTCTCGACGTGCTTTTCGTGCAGGAACACGCTTCGCTGTCTGTGCAGCTTCGTCATCTACCAGCCAGTCGACTGTGAACGTGGCGCTGAGTGACCGGGGCATGTGTACCAAATGCACGTCTCGTATGCATGCTTATCCAAGCATCCACAATTTTTCAGCAAGGCGTGCACACAGCCTCATTATCTCACGTATTCACACCATTGCAGGCAGCGGGGCGAATCGAACACCGCAGAATCAGCATGCTTCCGCTTCGTCCGAGTCACTCGAGTCCAGACCGGCAAACGGATCCCATTGGGTCTTGTTCTGCTCATGCTCCTGAGCGAGCTGCGCAAGCCATGAAGCTTCCGCAGCCACCAGGGACTCCGCATCTGCACACGAGGCGTACATGTCGAGGGCGGTCTGGTTCACCGACCAGAACGCATCACCCCAGCGAAACGGAGCTAGGACCCTAATTGCTGCTGTCTTCTGTCCGAGGATGTAAAGCGCTGCTGCAAGTGCCTCAGCACAGGTCAGGCGCGCACCACGCCCGTAGTTGACTGGGTTCGTAGCCTGTAACGACGGAAGGAGCCTCCTTTGACCGGGACCTCGGCAACGCACGCGGCGCAACAACGGTGCTTCAACCTGGTTCCAAGAGCAGTCGATGACAGCGAGTCCACCTTTGGCGACTAGTGGAAGATCGGCCGCCGAAAGCACTCTGGTTGCGTCCGGTGAGAGCAAGACACCATGACACGGAACATTCAGCCGCTGTGTGCGCAGGAGACCGCAACGAAGCAGTTTTCGTCCGGTACAGCGGTGGACATCGCACTGGCCAAAGTCGTACATGTACAGGCGGATCTGATCACAATCACCTGATGCTTTTTGCTCTTCGCCAGACAGCACTGCTTCAGGTTGCTCCGGCTCCATAACTGGCACCTATGCGTTTGACCTCCGGTAAGCACGCGCGCTAGCGACTACAAGCCGCAGGAAACCTGTCTGTGGACGTGTCGCTCACGAGGTCAGGACACGGTTTTTCTTTGGCTTAGGGTTGAAGACGCGATCAGGTATCACAGAGTCGGCAAGCGTCTTCAGCGTCTAGGGCAGGAACTATATCATGCGAAATTTCTTCTGGGAAACGATGTACGCAGCGGCGATCTAAACCCGTGTCAGAGGAAAAGCAGATACGGAGATGCTCAGTCTGTTCCTGCGTTTCGATTTTTTGCAAACTCTCGTTTTAGATTTAAAGCTTTGACATTCCAATTGCATCAATAAGGGTTCACGGACGCATATATAGGTTCGGGAATCTAGGGTGTCGTTTCGGAGAAGCAACTCCGACGCGTTGCCGCTCGAATTTGTTCCGTCACCGGAATCGAGATAATTTGCGACACCGTCGAACTGAACTCTGTGGTAAAACCTGTATCATCGCCCAGAGCATGCGCAGAGGACGCCAGACTTCTTCGATCCTGATGTATAGAATGTATCCATCACGCATGTTTCAAGTATCTCGTCTTTTTGTTACAATGCAAGTCGCGGGGACAGCATCACGCGCCGCTGCATTCATGAGGTGAAAAAACTCGACATGGTCCCTAGTCGACTTGCTCACAAGCTCATGCGGTAGGTTCACTGAACTTTTCACGTCCACGACTACTACTCGATTCCGGTCGAAAAACGAATTCTCTTCTCTTTTGTCTATCGATGATACGGGATTCACTAGCAGCATGAGACCATTCGCCGGATATGCTGTCAGAAGCATCCGTCTCTGCTGCTTGCATGGGAAAGGTTCTCCGATTCGGACTCCAGTCATCGCATTGACCACTCCCATTGCAGCATGTGGCAGCGTTTTGCACCGAGTGCGCGTAGATGGAGCGCATCTTTTGGACAAGATCTCGAGCCTGTATTCTCTTTCCGGTACTTGTATTATCATGAATAATACCGAGTTCCGAAACGCCTCTATTGAAAGAAAGAGCGTGTATATGCGTATGCAACGGGAAGAATACTCGCCGAGGGTATCACACAGAACACGTCCGTGATCATGGAGTAAGGCATTGGACCCGGAGCCGGGGAGACTATCGAGAGAAGCCTTTTGTATCCGCCTCTGAGATGTTCTGGGTCCTGAAGCAAGCCGTCACTCGCCACAGTGCACCGCCTGGCAGTGGAGTTGGCGTGAACGTTTGGGAACAATCGACCTGAGTCAGGTGGCATCGTTGCGAAAGGCGCATTGAGGCTTTTTACAAAGTAGACGAAAGTGAGAAGCGAAGCATAGATCACAACCTCTGCCTGGTAACGAAATGCGTCTGCAATTGCGGGGAACTGCGTAATCGTCACGCTAGCGCTGACATCGTAGCTGGCGGGACACGAAGCACCAGCGTATCCAGTCCCGGAAATGACCCAGCTGGGAAGGAAGCAGTCCAGAGAAATCTCACAGACGCTCATGTTCATGACAACTAGATGAGGCAGCGCACTTTCACGTGTTCGCCCGCGTTCTGGACTATGTTCCAGTGAAGCGAACAACGGTTCACATCTATGGACGGTAAATGAGTATGCAATCACAGATGCCTCCCCGTCTGTTTCGACAGGCCCCCTGCTATCGGTTTCAGTTTCTCCCTGCACACCTCGGATCTGAGAGGGTGTCCCAAAAAGTTGATTCACGTAATTTCCGCAGGTCTCGTCTTCAGCACTGCAGATCTCCTGAAATTGATGGCGGCGTTAACGTCTCGGTTCACGAATTTCATGCGTTTATCGCCTCTGGTTGAACGCAGCATAGTGGGGACTGCTAGGATGCGTGCCCTCATTGCCAAATCCGGCTCTGTCAGCTCTCTGAGCTTTTCTGTTGCCGCAATGATCCGCTGCCTTCTCTCCATCTTGACGCTCTGAAGTGTAGACCCCAGCTCATTGCTTAAATTTTTTATATCTGCAAATGAACGCACTTTTTTATGGCCTTAGGTGAGGCGCTTCCCAGATGGAGAAGTGCTTGCGCAAGAAAGACCAAACGTGTCCCGGTATACGAATGGGCTTAAAGATTCAGCGACTCGCCTAGAGAAGCGATCATTACTTCTCAGGATAGAAAATGCTCCTTCAATGATGTTGGACCACGAAGAGAACGCTGGAATGAAAAGCATCTCTATCCTGATAGAATCTTCAAAAGCAGGAACGCGAGAAGAATGGTGGAATACCACGTTGCGTAAAAGAAGAAAGTCACCAGACGTCTTGAAAAAAAGTCTTCAATGATTCGGCAAAGTGGTTGCTTTCGTATGATCCTTCTCTGCGAGCGAAACTGAGGCCGCAGAATGACTCCAATGCAGCTAGAACTGGTGTTGATATCCTCGTTCTCTTTGAGTTCGATCATACACACCACGGACGTCTTCTATGCGCATACCCATATACGCTCCGACGGTTTCTTCCGGAAAAAGGGCCCATCGGCATAGAAAACAAGTCGACGCTCCTGTGCTTCATATCGATCTCGACGTTCCCGGAAAGCTGTGGGGATTTCGATTACAGTGGAAGATGGCTGTGCGTGAACTAGAATATTTTTTTGCGACTGTATCCCAGTGTCCTCAGGACCAAGTGAACTAGCTATTGGAAAAAAGAGACACACCTAGTTGCTACTATCGTAACGTTTGCTTTGCGCTAGGTGATCCACGGTTCGTTTTCTGCCATGCATCGCAAGCAGTCTTCGAGAATATCGGTTACTGGTGCGTCGCGCCTACGATTGTTTCTCTCAGTGTACCTCAACCATCTGAGTACTTTGATATGACTGACCTAAAAGAGGAATGCAGTGCTCCTTGCATTCTTCAGTTAAGAATACATATCCAACAGGTTATTCATCTTCGATCTATACACTACATTGCATCGTGTTGTCGATCGCCTTCTATACACTACAAAACAGCATTCGATACCACATGATTGAGGTGGAAAACAAACGAGTAGAGGGACTAAAAGTGGAATGTGTCCTCCCTGCTTTCGAGACGGTCAATATATATACACAAATGGAAAAAACATCGGGCGGTGCGCGGTGTACGCGCCTTCGGATCCACGCATCGATGCAGTGCGCCTGAGCGATGCCGCTGAGGTGCTGCACGCAGCGGAGCGCCTGGTGACGTGTCCCGGAATGCGCACATGCGTGCACATGGCGCATCCGTGTCCATGTTCTGCGCGCGCGTCGCAACGGCGGCCGGAGCACGTCGATTCCAGCTGCATACCTTGAGGTTGTCGAGGGTCTTTCAGGTGCCCGTGCTTTCAGAGACTACAGAGACTTGTACGCGCGCTAAGCTGGTCGTTAAGCTCTGAAAGTTACTGTGGTGGTGCTGGCGACGTTTGCAAGTGCGCTGACTACTTCTCTGGGGTTAGAGGCTGAGGCTCGCTTGCTTCTACACGCTTTGGGGAGAGTGTTCTTTGTTGAGAGTGGCAGCTGAAGGTATAGCGGGGTCTGGTGCAGCTGTTGCTCGCGCTGCAGCTCGAAGTGAACGTTATTCACAAGTACACGGAGGTACAGGGAACCTTCGTGGAGTCGTCCAAAGGGCGAGTTTTTGTTGTACTGTCCCTTACCTTGGACTGGCGGTTGCCCAGCAGCGCACCAGACGGCCACGCAAACCTTTTTAAGGGCAGAAAGTGCTGGGGCAGGTGCTGCGCTTCCAGTTCGGGTTGCGGAAGCCGCATCTTGCGTCAGTTTATATACCTGAGTGTTTACCGGCGCGTTGTTTACGGAGCGGGAAACGGTGGGCCTTGCTCAAGCGAACCGCTGCCATTATTCTGTGATAAGACCAAGGCCTACCGCAGCTGTATGCTCGGGACGCAACAGTAACCAGAACTGGAATGGCGCCCTCTTCGGGACATACTACGACGCCTCTCGACGACAGAGGCGTCCAACAACGAAAGCGCCTGCTTCGTACGCCAAATCCAACAGATAAGCGTCCATTCCCCATCCGAATATTGACGTGGCTCGCAAAATCCTATCTGAGTGGTCTGGGAAATATGGGCGCGACACTGGGGCCGTCAGAGCTCGGCGCCAGTACGGCTCTCTGGGCCCAGGGAAGTACGACGCCCGAGCGCATCAAAACTTCGGCATCCGCTACGAGCATCGCAGCGCGTGACCGGCCCCAGAGTGCAAGTGCATCAAAAACTGGTAAAGCTGCACGACCACGGCATCGCAAAGGGGCACCTTCGACATCAGGCTCGATTCGTGCGCAAAACTCGGCGAGTGCTGCTCAGCAGGTGCGCGCGAAGGAGTTCCAATCTACGGATGGAACTTGCGGGTCGTTGGCAGAAAGCCCGATCTTGGCGGAATCCAGGAATGTATCGAGTCGGTTGCCCACTGCGAGCGGATCCGACCGATCGACAGGTTCAGGGGTCAGCGCGCAGCCTGAGGCTCCTGATGCAGCACCCACAGGCGCAACTGCATCTACTATGCAAATCCAGAATGGGGCAGAGACGGCTCCAGAGTCGTCAACTCAGCGTGGTGTTGCCGATGTTGTACGGTCGACAAGCGAGGATAACGTTGCGACTGACGACACTCAGTGGTCAGCACATGACCAGGTGCAAGAACAGGGCTCTCTATCCGTGTCCTCAGGGGACCACGGTAGTGCTGTGGATACCAACGCACGAGTGGCAACGCCCTACCCCGATGCTGCCGCTGATAGCAATGGCGACAGCGTTCCCGCGGACAACACCGGCGATAGCGATGGGGCGCGCCCCCAGACTCTCCAGGAGGAGGCGCGTGCGCAGGTATCGTTGCCGCCCGTGCCGCTGCCTCGGCAGTCGTTCAACTGCGTTCAATATTTCACGATCCTTCGAGGTTCTGGCCGATCCATTGTAGAAATAAGCGAGGGATCGCCGGTGTCCATGCAACCTGGTGACGCCGTCGACCTGCTCGCCATCTGTGCGAAATCCAGGACACAGGCGCCCGCAGAAGCCAGAGCCGCTGCGCGCCCGTCTTCGATTTACGCCCGACACGGGGTGCTTTCGAGCACCAACGACGCGTTGAGTGATGAGCGAAACGGGAATCACGCGGATGCGTCCCAGAACTCAACATTGCTTGAGGCGGCATCCGAGGGCGCCCGCTCCGCCCAGACAGCGGAGCGTCTAGAAAGCGCACGAAACCCCGACGCCGGCAACTTCGCGTCCGAAAGACCGTGCGAGCTCCCTAGCGTGCTCGACGAGCTGCGCTCAGTCGGCCTCGAACTCTCAGATCTAGCTGCCGAGGCAAAACCGCAGCGCGCCTATCGACGACACTACGCTGCCTGGTTGACGAACGTTTTGCATCGCCCGCGTCCGCGAGGCATCGAATTCCGCCGAATTCTGGTGATCGACGGCGACCGGGCCCAATCGTACAAGCGAGTCATCCAACATGCTTTTGGATTTTTAACACTGCTCTGCTCTGGCAGAACGGGTATCCGCAGTGTCATGTTTCCGCTGTGTCTCGAGTATGCGGCCGATGCAGTCGACGTCTTGACATACCTGCTGGATGCGGCCCTGCGATGGTGTAGCGCCGGGTTGAGCTTGCCCCTCATTCGCATCTTGGTGCCGCGAGGCTTCTGCACGCCGAGCGTTCAGCGGCTGCTCTCGTCGTTCCGTGAGTGCATGGATGAAGAGGGGCGCTATGACCCGAAGCGTTCCAAGTCCGAGCATGTCGCTTCGGTGCAGACCGGAGATGGCGTCGGAGATGCACCTCCGCTTTCGGGCGCTCCTGGCGAGACGCGCAGCGAACTCGCACCCGAGTTGGTATCTCCGGTCGCGGACACCATTGCTACCTCGCAAGCGATGGCATCGTCGAAGCGTCGCCTAGAACGGGATTTTTTCGTATTGTACCACCGGGACGATACCAAAGTTGCATGGGAAATTATTCACGTACTGCGCGTGCGTTTTGGCTTTAAGGTGTTTGATGTGCACAGTCGTGCACTGGACGTTGCTGCGACAGAACTGGTCGAACGCCAAGAGTGGGACATTGCGGCCCCGTCGAACGACGGGGGATTGCGCACTGCGCACTGGGGTTTCCCGAATCTTTCGGGTGCATCTGCGACGCCTGCAACTGCTGAGCCACAGACCGTCGATACGACGACATTGACGTCCAAAGGAGACGCACAGGGCGTCACAAGAGGGAGCCTCAGGGAGCGTGCGCTCCAGCGTCATGCAGCCGACGCGGTCACTGAGCCCTTGGAAAGCGGGCCTGAACATAGTGTCGCCGACGACGAACCTGGCGTCAGCGCTGAAACGCCAGCGATGGATGGTGCGGAACAAGCGCCCGCCACTGCGGATCTGACTGGTGCGTCTTTGGCGGCGGCGGCGGCGGCACGGAATGATCATCGTGGAGCTGCACCCACGACACACTGGACAGCATCAAATCCTGGCCAGGGTCAGCACAGGTCGTCCAGCGACAGAAGCGAACCCGTCGCTAGCGCTGAGCGAATTGGATTCGTGGAAGGCACAACGGTTGCGCTCGGAGCAGCAGAACATTCGCATTACGCGCAACAATCGGAGCAAGGTCGAGCTGACGGGCCGGTTTCTCCCGACCAAGAGGCCGATATTCGCTCCGCTTTCTTTATGGATGAATGGTACAGTTCGATGCTGCATTCGAAGAGGTTTGTCGCTCTGGTTTCCGACGGTTTCTTTCGTTCACCTCAATGTGCGACGCTGTTCTCCTTGGCCCTGTGCCGAGCGCTAGAGCGTGGACCTGAAACCGTCTTTATGATCTACTGGCGGAGTACAGACCTGCCGGCCCTCGTTCACTGCATCCCGAAAAGCAGCATTCTGGACTGCCGCGAGAGCAACCACGAGGCGCTGACGCGTTCGATCGGAGAACTCGCCCAAATTCATCGTCGTCTTGAACGCGTGGATCACCTGCGTCAGCAGCAGAGCAGGAGTGCGCTCGCTCAGCAGATGTGGCAGCAGCAGCAGTCAGCGTTGGCATCGGATGCTCGAGGACGCGCCCTCGAGGAGCGACGCACCATGCAGGGCCCTGCTGATGCCGCATCCGCGCTGTCTTCTGGATGGCTCGCAGACAAATCGACCAGGCCGGATCGCGACCTGCACACAGAGGCACAGCGAGCATTACAGGCGGCTCGAACGCGCGACTTGAACGCCGCTGGCGAAGCGTCTCAGCAGCAACAACAACAACAGCAGCAACAGGCGGAAGACGGGCCCATCGACGGATCTACTGCCTCGGAGATGGAATATTACGGGAATGCCCCACTGCTTTTTGACCGAGAATGGCGTGAAAAATGGGATATTCCGTACGAAGAGCTTCGCTTTGGAAGCAAACTCGGAGCCGGTGCCTTTGGTGAAGTGTTCATGGCCGAATGGCGCGGTGTCATCGTCGCCGTCAAACAACTGACCCGCGACGACGACGGTTACAGTCTGGAAACCGTGGAGGATTTCCAGAAAGAGATGGTTCTCCTCAGCCGATTGAAACATCCGAACATCGTGCCTTTTATCGGTGCGGTAACCAAGTCACCGCATCTCTGCATTGTGCTGGGTTTTGTGAGCGGCGGCTCACTCTATCGTCTCATTCATGCGCGCAAGGCCGCTGCGGACGGCCCTGCCTTCAGCCTCGCCGAAATTGCCCAACTGGCTCTCGGGATCGCCCAAGGCGTTCAGTACTTGCATGCGCAGCAGCCACCGGTGATCCATCGGGACCTCAAGTCCCCGAATGTGCTCATCGACGCCGAAACAGGCACGCCCATTGTCACCGACTTTGGTCTGAGCCGCTCTCGTGTGCACACCATGTTGGCAACGGGTGCTGCGGGTACGCCCGAGTGGATGGCGCCCGAGGTCATGCGTCAAGAAACCGTCGATGAGAAGAGCGACGTCTGGTCCTACGGCGTTATTGTGTGGGAGCTGATCACCAGTGACAAGCCCTGGTCCGATGAACACCCCATTCAGGTCATTTATCGAGTAGCGCAGCGCGGTGAACGTCTCAGAGCGCCACCGGACACCGACGAAGGCCTGAAATCGCTTCTAGATGGCTGTTTCCGTCAGCGACGACAGCAACGACCCACTTTCGATGAGATAGTGGCGTTCTGGCAAGCGTTTCAACGAGTCTTGAGGGAGCGAGAGCGAACAAGAAATGCCGCGCTACCCACACCGCACTTGTCGACCATCGTGGAGCGATACCGTACCCAGAAGCGAGCGGCGCGACGGGGTCCACCATCGCGGGCGTGAGGCTTGCGTCTCACCGCTAAACACACAAACACTCACAAAGAAATCGTGCAAAGTGGATGCTCAGGTTGCCAAGCCCCGGAGCTTGCGTTCAAAGTCATCCTGAGCACGAATCCACGGATGCCACGGGGCATACTTGCGCAGATATTCGATAGGGCGCTGGGTCGCTGTTGCGGCTTCCGGAAACGCCATCATCATCATCGATGTCTTCGCGGCACTGGCAGCAGTATTCGCCATGGTATCCGGGTCTTGTGCATCCAGGTTCATCGCCTGCTGCAGTGTGCTCTCGGATGCCTCGGTACGACCCAGACGTACCAGGCACAAGTAGGTGAGGTTCAGTAGCTTCGTCGAGGGCCCGTAGCGCTCTGCGAGATCCCTGCACGAACGCAACGCAGCTTCGATTGCGACGTCTTCAGCGTCGTTGCTAGCTACCGCAAGCGTTGCCCTGCTCAGCTGTACCAGTGTTCCGACGGCACGCTGATCGCCGTCGGCGAGCTGTCGCTCGAACCAGTGCTCAAGCGCCTGTTGCTCGAGCTGTGCCCGGTCCAGCCGGTTGAGGTGCAACCATAAACAGATACGACACGCTCTTGATTCCGCATCGTTTTCGCAACGAGACAGTGGCAGCGTCTCGAGAGCGTCCAGGTACAGGCCTGCTCGTTGGAGCGCCAGCGCTGCTAGCAGCCGTCCCGCTTCATCGACCGCGTCGAGCGCTGACCCGTCTCCGAACACGACCGAACGCAAGCGTTCCCCGTCGTCTATGGGAGGCACGTTTTTTTGGAGTGTCTCGATGAGCTCGTGGATAACCGAGGAGGTCCACGTGTCGTTCACTAGGTTCCGGAGAGCGCGAATCCCTTCCAGGTCGCGCAACGCAAGTCGTAAACGGATCACTGCCAGGAGAACCGACCGAGGCCACTGGTTCGGTTCTAGTAGGGTCGTGCACACGTCATTGGCAGCCTGGTATTTGCCCAAGTAATAATAGTTCCAAAAGTCATACCAGTCCACTGCTGCTTCCATGAATCGTCTCTAGGTACGTGTGGAACGGGAAGACGTCGGATATCGATGAGCGATAGCGAGCAGCGCACGTGATGTTCGCGCAAACGTAGACATACTGGTAGGTAGATAGCCTTTCAGGAATGAAGTTGCCTGAATAGTTTGGAAGACTTTGAGGTAGGCACCGGATACACGAGATACAGTGATAAAGGTCAACGGGAGACGTGCCTAGCTGCAGCTGGGTGAGCGCGCATCCAGCACAGGCACAACCAGGAGCAACGCGCTTTGCTCTCAGGGTATCGCTCGTGCACCAAGAGCGTACCTCCCGGGGCGAGGTCTCTTGTTTGCCTCGTGAGGTATAACGAGCAACGGCTTTGCCGTTTCCGGAGAGTCCCATCTCATAGATGTTGCATGAGCAGGTATCGCAAGTGCTCCTGTAAGCACGTGGTTCTCAGCCTCCGCATACGCTGAACGGAAGCGTTGCTTCGGTTTGCGGGTACGGTCGCTATGCAGATGACGATGAAAAGGCACCTAAGAGCCAGCAGATACGTATGTACACAGAAAAGATAGTTTTTTATGCCGTGGTCCTCTCTGTCCGACTGCTACCAGAGAATGAAAACGGTTGTAGAGTACAGTGATTACATCTATGCCCCCACACCGAGCATATGGGAAGGAGAAAAACCAACGTGCAAACCGGAAGCAGATGCACCCAAAACGTGACGCAAAGAGAGAGCAACGAGAACCTGTGAGCGCGGCAATACCAGCGAGCAGCCGTTTTCCATGCCTGGCTACATCAGCATCGTGACGGGGAGAAGCTACCAAACAGTGAGATGCAGGGCATCCTGGAGCGTTGCATTGCATCCAACACAATAAAGGCTCGTCTGATTTCGCGGGCCTTGGCGCAGCATGTCCCTGGACCGTTCGTAGTCGTTCCAGACGCAGGGTTGGTAGCTGTCTACATTGTTTTGGAATGCATCGACCGAATGCTGCGTGCAACAACACGAGCAATGCGCAAGCCAGGAGAAACAATACGGGATAAGTTTCCCATGGACTGGAGTCGTTGGGATTCGGGCACAATGGACAACGGGTCGCATACCGACAAGCGGAATGGCGGCTTGATGTCTGATCTTGACTCGCTCTGAGCATCGTACCGGGAACAGGGCCATGCCTTGTACGCTTTATTCAGGCGGACTGTATGTGTCCCAACGTCTCCATAGGAAAAATTAGGGTGCACTGGGTTCGCCAACAATTACCGTTCTACGAAGGCGACAAGTGCGCATTCCATGATTTGTTCGCTCAGCTGGATAAAAACGTCACCGAAAAGTCTCATCGGTCGGTGACGTCCCGTGACGCTGTCGTACGCAAAAGGCGGCACGGCTGTGCCTTCGAAGAGAGCGCCCAACGAGTGCAGGAATCAACGGTGCACGGATCCCTTCAATACATATTCAGGACAACATATGCGCTTCAAGATCCCGGGTTCATGCTGATAGCGGAAGAGATATCGGGTTTGGACCAGAGCCTCATGCCCCATATGGTGTACGAAAAAGCGGGTCGAGCGTCCGATGGCGAGGAACTCGAGCATGAGGGGCGTCCTCTCACGTGAATCCATCAGTAACAATGTGCGCAGAGACAAAGCGTTTTACATCAAGTCTGCAATGCAAAGCGCATCATTCGGGAATGTTGCATGCTTCCGCAGCATACAGTCGCCTAACGTCGAGCGACATTTCCACGGACTATGCTGAAGCGCCGTATATAAAATCACCGGAAACGATTATTTTGTTCCATCATTCCAAGTCACCGAGGATACCGATATGATGTCCAGGAAAAGGCTTCAAATCGGGTACCGGGCAGCGTTTTCGCACCCGAGCGCATCCTTTTCGATGCATCGATTCGGGGACATGGCACCGGTGTCAGAAGAAAAAGGGACAAGTCCACTTACTCAAGAGGGGTGTGAACGCTAAATTTTTGGGTTCTTCCCATATTTACATCAACACTAGGCGTTGTAGGCTTTCTTCTCTTGCTTGTATCCGGCTTTAAATACGCGGATCTCGCTTGCCTTTCCAGCTCCTTTGTCAGAGGTCAAAGGACATTGACGGCAACATGAAGTCCCGATTTCACAGCCACCGGCTGCTGCGCTCGACGCCTCTCCTGCCCGTGCAGTGGTTGCGGTCTACGAGTGGCTTGCCTTCCTCAGCTTCGCGTTTGCGCCCAGCACTGGCGCGCCGGTCGCAGCGGTGACACTCGACTCGAGCCATGTGTTCCCATCTGGCGACAACACCTTGCGGTCCGATTTCGGTCCAGTGGCACGTGAACGTTTGCACCAACGCTCGGAACACGCCCCTGTTGTGTACAGAACGCTTCGCTAGATGCACTCGCTCGTATCAGCGCTCGGTGCCGTACCCCATAATCATGGACTTTTTATTCTGTGCGATCCGCTCGTCAAGAACGCTGTCTGCAGCGCGTGAAAGCTTATGCTGATCCATCCGACAGCGGGTTCATGGAACGCGATGTTGTTCATGATGAAACACGTACCAGAAGGAATATCCAGGCTGGAGATCATGGCCAGGAATCGTGATCCGTCCACGCTGCCTTCGCGCACAACGATAGCCAGTGCTCGACTAGAAGCGATCGCTGCGGTGACTAAAGTCCAAAACCAAGACCGTTTTCTTTCGGAGCAGAAGAGACGGGAACCCCTGGTAGCATATTGCGGGCGATGGATCATGCTACTGTGGAATGCAGCTTCGTCGATAGCCACAACGAAAGGAGGATTGGTCTTTCAAACTCAATCACTTACTTGACGATATTAGTCCAGTGAACAGTCGGGATGAGCTCGTGAAGCATTCACCAATGGACGACGTCGAGTTTGATGCCTTGTCCACCAAAACGGCGCGAGTCACTGCATTCACGAGTTGGCTTGAAATAGAAAGATCAAGAACTTGAAGAATGCGTGATGTGTAGATGCTACGGGTAAGCAACGGAAGACAGCGGAGTCTCGTGCCTACAAATACGAGGGATATTATTGGTCTTTTGTGAAGTTTTGTTTGGGCGCGTTCCGAATCATCTGGTTCTGATGATCTAAACTACTCCGGTGGCAACGTGTCAACCAAGCCATTCCGACTAACGACAAAGTATCCCGTGTACATGAATGAACCGTTCGGCGCTTATCGCGATCGCTGTGCTTCGAGTCTCGGTTCCGTCCATGTAAACTATTTCCGATAAAACATCAAGCGGCTGGAACGGATTGACAAGTTCCAATTATCAGTCTATTCTGATACTGGCAATCGCGGATCACCAGTGCGCCACGAACTCTACTGAACGCACCAAAACCCAACGCGCACACGCGAAGCGTCATACGCTCGCGGTACATAACGTCCTCGACCACGTCGGCTTGGCGGCGTCGTACCCAGCTAACCTCGTCTGTGGCGTGCTCGCTCGACCGCTCGTTCGCCGCTTGTGAAGAGCTGGCGGGCGCTTTGTCGCTCGCAGGGTTCTCAGCACTCCTCGGCACAGTTGCTTTCATCGCGGACCACATAGCTGCCGATGACGGCAAAACCTATCGAAGACAGCCGAAGGAACTCATACGCACTCGAGTTCCATCACGTCATCAGCTGCTGGTGATCGTCTCTATTCGTGCCTGCTGCGAGGCGCCGCTGCGGTGCGCGAACCTGCCCAGCTTCACGCGAGCACCTATAGTGCACCTTGTCACCGAGATCGGCGGCACGAAGCGTTCTCCTCGGCGCTACTCCAGTACATAAGAATAGCAAAAAAAGACAGGCTGTGCACGAGCACGAGTATCACGGCCCTAGTGGCAGCGTTATCGCATGCGTACCCGTGCTTCAACAGGCAGGCAGCCAGGCAAGCAGGCAGACATACTGCATCGACCCTAGAGCGCCAGTCCACAGCGCTGATTCCAGATCGCACACGCGACGACGGTGGCGGCAGTCGAGGGAGCGCCCATCACGCGCATGCTACCTTCTATGCAAAAGGTCCAGCGAATCGGATACGCACACGGGCCCAGTGCGCTTTCTGCGCCTATCCACTGTGGTGAGCGTCAAGCACAAACCCGCATTGCCAACCGACAACAACGCATTCCATGCATGATCACGAAGGAGAGAGGCGGCTCCCAGGATTCATTCTAACAGCGAAGTTTCTCCAGCGTGTCGTGCAGCGAAGGCAAGTTTGCGCCTGCAGACTGTCCGAGCACAAACTGACGACGAGACCCGATTCTACGTCGGGTGAAGCACGCCTCGAGCCGACGCCCTCTGTGGTATAGAAAAGCCGTTCTAGCTCTATGAACTATCAGCTCCAGCGGTTAAGGTGCAAAGGCGAATACGGAACTGCAGGCTCTAAGCACACACGATAGGACGTATGAAACGACCAGAATATCCGAGAAAAAGTCTGGGTAATGTAACTTGAGTGTAGGGGTTTGATGGATATCTCATCGCACACTGAAAAAAAATACACAAAAAAAGTAAGAAAAGAAAAATGCGCATCATCGGAGAACGCTGGCCTATGGAATCGTTTTGTCCATGAAAAAACATCACGCGCATCCTGTGCAATGCGCGCGGACACGTGTCCATTTTCGTGATCGATGTTCGCGATGTTGCTAGCCGTTTGGCCTTTCTCCTTCAATTTGAAATCCCCGCTGTCTTCAACCTGAACGCTTCACCGACTCCCGCTATGACGAGCGCCATGATCTACGGAGGTTCGTCCGAAGTTTGTTGTCTTTGTAACAAGACCGTCTACGCTGCTGAGAGGATAGCTACAGATGGTCGTATTTACCACGCGAACTGTTTCCGTTGTCACACCTGCAACAAGAAGCTCGCGCTCGGCACTTATGCCCAGATCAGTGGGACATTGTTCTGCAAGCCTCACTTCGACGCCCAGTTTCACGCAGCGGGGCGCTACGAAGTGGTGACACCGACGAAAAATGGTGTCGGAGGACGTGCACCAGCAACAGACGGCAGAAGGAAGCCGCTGGAGTCCTGGAATCCGCCCGCATCTGGAGAGCCAGTTGTGCGTTACCTGGACTACTTGTTACAGCGGATCGAGGAGCAGCAACAGCATATGGGAGAGCTGCGGGACGCGCTCGAAGATTTGCGTAACCAGTTGGCACAGTGAGCGGACGCTGGGCACAACGGCGGCTCGCGGGATCCGTCTCCGAGCGCTCACCGCTGAAGCGCAAGACGCACTAGTTTCGAGCGCGTGCTCGTAAAGACAGAGTCGTAAATTTCACTAGCGTCATCGTCGAACATACCAACCGTCGTTTCCTTGTCCTGAATACGTTATCGTTACCGTTGTTTGGGGTGTCTCGAACGACTCGGATTTCCGCAGAGGCTGCAGATGGGTTTCCTGCGATCAATCCGCTGTCTGAGGCCAATGCTGCGCACGCTCTCCGCAGTTGTTCGGTCAATCAAACACATCTTAGTATTGCAATATGGTCAACGGTGCGTTTACACCACGAAAATCAGGGGACCTATTGGCTGGTGGCGCGCTCCGAGAACTCAGGTTAAGTTCGCCGACCGCAGCCGTCAATGTCATCGGAAGCAGCGGCAGGTATGGTGCGTATCCAGTGCGCCCCGGACTCGGGGTACGATTCGCTTGTCGTCTCAAAGTCAAAAATACAAGCGCGTACGACTATACGCGATGCCCATCGTCAGTCAATTCGCGAGTTCTTCGACGAGCGCGTCTGCAGCAAAGCAAATCGCGTATGTGCGCCTGGCCAAGAGGCAGGCCATGGTCGCTGGCGCTGTTTTCTGGGTCGCATACCATTCACAGAAGCTTCGTGAGCTGCACCGCAAGACTCACTCGTCGCTCAAATTATGCACTGCGAGCATTTCGTACCCGTCGCGGCCGTGTAGAAAGTTCCAACGCTGAGCCGGCCACGCGCAAGCGCAGCACCGAGGATTGACCATGCGTACGGTGCCGCGTGAATCACATCCGCCCTGTGCTGATGCAACCGCATCGCGTCCGTCACACACACCAACCGGATCATGCACATGGCGCAGACGGCGCAACCAGGGCCAGAGGCATCGTGTCGTTGCACGGCCAGCGTCCTAAGCAGCTTCCTTGTTGGCGCGTTTTGAGTCTCGAATGAAGATGGCGGCATACAACATGATCGCAAATGGAAGCACAAAGTAGTAAAATCCAGCGATACATCCAAGGATCCATCGCGCCAAGAATATCAAGCGCTCTCCCAGTGACATCGGTTTCGACTGATCCAACCGCTCCCGCATGGGACCCAGCTGGATTTTCGCCTCCCCTGGCGCTGGTTTGCGACCAGTGATGGTTAGCCCCATGATCAACCCATGCTGCCGAATACCTTTGTATGCTGGCGGGCCTATGTAGGAAACCTTGAGATCGGTAAAGCCGGCACGAGTGAACCATACACGATACTCCTCTTCCATGGGGAAAAGCATCCACAAGTCACAAAAAAAGCGACTAACTGGGTTGGTTGCGCGTACCGGCCCAATGATCGTCGCCAAGCCGCCAGGTTTTAGCACGCGGTACGCTTCAGCGATGCCGCGCTGCGGCTCTGGCCAATACTCGATCGAGCCCGCCGAGACGACGCGGTCAAACGAGTCAGTTGGGAAAGCGAGTGCTTCAGCGTCGCCCTGGACGAACGTTACGCCCTGGAGACTCGGCTTGCGCTTTGCAACTTGCATCTGGTGTGGCGACTGGTCCAGCAGCGTTACTTGACTCGGCGAAACGTACTGCACGATACCCTCCGTACAGAAACCTGTTCCTCCACCAACATCAAGCACTTTAAAGTCAGGACGCCCGCGCCCCTCTTCCAAACCTGCTTGACGCAGGGATGCGTCGCGCATCTCAGTCGTCCAGTGAAAGGGATTCACGACCGTATCATAGACGAGGGAGAGAAAACGATAGAACCAGAAGGCTTCTCGTTTGTGCTGAATGAGACCCTGCTGACGACGCGGTGCTGTCACGGAGACTGTGCCCTCTGAGCGCACTGTACTCGCTTGCGTGCCAAGTACGCCTGCACGTCGTCTCCAGAGTCGGTGACGTGGTATCGCGTGTCCGACGGACCCGCACACCGGTCGCTGCGGCGTCCGCACAGCATGCACGCCCGACCAAGTACTGACGAAACAAAATCCGTCACTTGGCATGGATACTGATTGGTTACGAGTGAAACGAAAGCGAGCGACTGGAGCACCAGCGTATTCACCGTCGCACCGATCGGGTAGCACGCCCAGCGCAGAACAATGCTGTTGATCAGGCGATTTCCGTGAATGCAGCCGCGCGGCGATCGAATCCGACGCTGTGGCTGGTTCACGGAGGCGCGATTACCGCCGTGCACGCATGCAATCACGCACGCACGCTCGCATGCTCGCACGCACACACGCACGGCGATCAGCGCGCGCCGCATCGTTTCCGGAGCTGCTGGTGGAGGCAGGTGCATCTGCCTTGGCACAAGGCGTATTCGGAAGGCGTTGGCGACGACTCGAGCTGCATTGAGCACCAACAGGTGAAGGTACGTACCGAGCTTTGGGTATGTCGTGCTGGTACTGAGCTGCGTGGTGTTTGTGCTACACGTATGTCGGCATCTGATGGAGCAGGTCGATGCAGCGCATTAGCGCGTTCGCACGAGAGCTCGCGATGCTTCCCAGAGAGTCACTAACACCAGTCTCGGCAGGCGCTCTCCTCTCTTTTATCTCCAGGTGTAAATACGACGGGTTCTTCTTTCCATAGAGCTCTGTTCTTAACAGTTGGAGGATGCCGATGGTTCCGTTCAAGTCCCGAAGAAGTAGTATCCAGCAGTTATCACCGAATTTCATCGACAGTCGAAAGCTGCGATCTATGTCCTGCTTTCCGTTTCCATGCCCTTTGTGCACCGCCGCGCTGCGCCTTTCGCAGCAGTGATGCTTGATTGTGATCAGGAAAGCCCGCATGTCCAAGAGGCATGATTCTCCAAGCGCCGCGCTATGGCGCGCGGACGCTTGCTTCATTTCTCTTGACATGCCCTGGACGGGTATAAGAGGCTACGTTCGATGCCGACCTCTTCGGTTTTCGCACCCGCTGCCGGTCCTGACGATCAGGGGCTTCTTCCGCGCGATACCCTCGGCGGGTACTCTGTCTGGTGCGTGCGCGAGCCCATGCTGTTCGATCCGGAAGAGGATGTGCGGAACGAGATTTTGTCCATGATGAAACAAGTTCTGCAAGAAAAATCCAGGCGAGCAAATGAGTCTATACATGCTGGTCCGTCTACGTCGCCTTCATGCACAACGTCGACCTAGTGTCCATTGGAAGCGATTGCTAGGTTTCCTCCATGAACGCCTAAAGTGGTCAGCGGGAGCCGTCGAATATGTTTCCTCATGAATCCAGCTGCATTCAATCGTTGAGCATATGAGCTTCCTCGGACCGGAAAAAGATCGGAAACTTGAAAAATGCATGATTTGGGGATGATACTCGTAAAGAAACGAGAAGCGCGAAAGCTTTTCATGATGAATTGGATGAAGATTTCGGATATACTTCTTGAAGACGGCATCATTTGAGGGTGCTACACGTGTGCATATGAGAGGAATGGGAGATTTTAATGATGAACAGGATGCAGATTTCGGCCATTTTAGGAACACTTGTTCGACAGCGTCGCCAAATACATAGATTCTGGGGAAGTAGCCTAGTCTAGCTGCGAAGATTCGTACCATCGATTCCGAAAACAGGAACCGGAGCCTCAAGCAATATCTATAAATACGTAAGCTCTTATTGCCACACCTTGGATACCGATGCTGCACATCGACGAGCGTTTCAAAGAAATCAAAAGGCAGGAACAGCGCAAGCGATGCCGCATTCCATGTCCACCGAACCCGAGTATAGCGAGAGCGCATTCGGGCATGGGCATTGGTGCGGGCTCGCTTGCTCATGCGCTTCTGCCAAGTCAATGAAGCTGACCTGGTGCCTTTTTTTGTACGCTGCATCTGCACCAGCATGGTCGCAACTCATGGCTCTATGACTGCAACGAGGTGCTCGCTTCGATGCCTGTTGACGTCGCGCTTCCGAGTGCTCGTGTTCGCTGTCTTGCGTCGCAGCGACACGTGCATCGCAGGCAGCGGCGCGCAGCGACACCCGAAGCACACTCCAGGACTGTATTGTCGATGCACGCCCGTTGAACTTACCCAGAATCCCCAGGATAGCAGATGGTAATCGGCAATCAATGCAAAAGACCACTGAATCGCTCTGGATACCCCAAAAAGATCCGCTAGCTCCAGACCGACCGTTTCGCTGAGTATCGACTCTTGATCCAGCGATCATTTTCCGGCTACTGAGCCTCACGTCGACGCCTAGCGCAACACGGGCTGCACCGCTGCTGTAGTCGCTGTCCATCGACGAAACGCCCTCCCTAACAACGCACACGAGTCACATCAAGGCACCCTGCGTCCTGCCGGGTACGCCTTATCCGGACAAAACGCATGCAATGATCGGGTTCCCCGGCGACTCCGCACTTGCCATCAGTGATCAGAAATATTCGTCAAGCATTCCAAAAACCCGTCAAGTTCCATGACCCGCACGTCCGCTCCGAAAACACTCTTCAATACCCACCTCCGACAATGTAACAGGCCTCCCGTCAACGCTCCCGAGAACGCCTACATCACCGACTCGTACAAACACCACTGACATGAACTGTGTCTTTGATCGCTCACAACAAGCCTCGACAGCCGGCCCATACACTTGTGCGGTACGGAGCGCCCGGCGCACTCCAGTATTTACAGCATTGCTGCTGTATGGCGTGCCTCGTGATCGATGGATGTCCTTGTAGCATCATCGTTACCATCACCATCGTTATCATCACCATCGTTATCATCATCATCGTTATCATCACCATCGTTATCATCACCATCGTTATCGTCATTGTTATCATCATCATCGTTATCGTCATTGTTATCATCATCATCGTTGTTATCGTCATTGTTATCATCATCATCGTTGTTATCATCATCATCGCCGACTGCAAAGGAGTGCACGCATCGCGTCATGCGTGCGCCGGCGAACGATGCGTGCATTGCGTCACGCACGCATCCCGTTCGCGCTCCGGGGGGCGCAAATGCGCACCGCACTGCAGCAGCAAGTTCACGTTCGACGGTACGAGAAGTGCCCGTTGGTGCTGCTGCCGGTGCTGCACACCAAGGTTCGCCACCTGGATCGTCAACGACAACAGGCCAAGGTCTGAACAGCTGCCTGAGTAGTTGGCGTCCCGGTACTGGGTCGCGCCCGGTCCGTGCGAGGTCTAGTGTCCCGGCCGACTCACGGGAGTCCAGTTTTACGAGTGTGCCCGACGACACGAGGTCTGCACCTCCGAAACGCACCAGTGCTACGATGAACGCGGGGAAGAAACTGGAGGGTAGTGCAAGTCCTGACGTTCAGGAGAACGCATCCTCAGTGCCAAGCGTTTCGGGGCTTTCTGAGTACTACCCGGGATCTCCCGCCGCTGCTCTGACAAGCCCTCGGAAGGTGCTACGCAAAAGCATCCATGTGCCCGGACTTGAGGCGTTTGAGCTGCGGACCGAGTGGTATGGTGAGCGTCTCTATGCCACTGAGCCACGGGAGAGGGCGGACTTGACTGCAGAGCGTGCACCCGTCGTTGTGAACGGGAAGCGAACGGCGAGCGCAGGCAGTGCGGCGGGCAGCGCCGGCTCAGAAACCAGAAGCATGCTGAGCCGACTGACCTCGTTTGCTGCGAGCGGCGCGAGCATCATGGGTTTGGGCGGTCATCAGTCGCAGAACTCGGCAGCGGCATCGAGTCCGCAGTCGACACAGCTGGTGGGAGGCGGGAGCACTGGTTCGTCGCCTGCCGCTGCCGGCGAGCTGCAAAGTACTTCGCCCTTGGGCGGATTTCTCAGCATCGGCAGCTCGGTCATAAGCCGGCGCGTCAATTATGGCTGGGGCGCTCGTGGTACCCAGGTCTCTATGATTTTGATTCCGCATGCGATTCTGAGCATGATGCTGATGAATGCTTACGTCGAGAACGCCTCAGTCATGGCTGCGTACCGCCGAACATTCTCCGCAGACAGTGAGTTGCTGGCGTCGACTGCACTCGCAGGCAGCGGGAGTGACGTGAATGGACGTCGCGCAACGGTCGCATCGCAGGTTGCCGCGACGTCTGCCGACGCTCTCCGTTCGCTGACGCCACCGCCGTCGGCAGTAGGGGGCAACGGGCGCGAGCGTCGAGGCCTCTTCAGCCGTCGACGCGCGTCCTCGGTGCGGCTATCCGATGGTGGCAGCTCTGCGGGAAATGGCCCTCTCGCCCGCATAGGTGACGCCACGGCACCCGAGGCTTCCACGGAGGGCAAAGCGCAATCGCGATCGCTCATCGCACCTGAGCTCATGACCTTGGATCTAGAGCGTGTATCCTGCGAGACGGCGGATATGCGAGCGGGGCAGCTCGAGCACCTCGCCGCACCAAACGCAGTGCCGAGTCGCTCGATGATGAGCTGGCTGAATCGCTGGACCGGTACCAGCCGCGACAAGGCGCAAACACATCCATCCAGTCCTGCGCTCTCAGAGGGTGGCGACGCCTATGCGGCCGCACCGAGTGAAGCTTGCGAGGTGCGAGCGGATATCTGTCCTGATCGCAGGACGGTAACCACTAGCGCTGGTGGACGTACATCAAGCTTACCGAGCACCGGAGACTGCGCCGCTGTCGACAAGCGACTACCAGGCGATCTCGTGCCACTGCTGCTGCTCAACTTTCGTGATCAGGTCTTCATCATTCAGGGCGATACGAGTGGGCGGGTGCTCCAAAAGTTCCGCTTCCGTGTGCTGCCGACTTGCCATACGCTTAGTTTGTCTGCCGCAGAGGACACCGTTCTGGCGATCATTGGCTTTGCAAACGGTGAGGTTTTAGTACATCGCGATCCGCTACGGACGCTGGATGGAGGCTACGACTGTATCGCATTGCCGAGCTCCCTAGCATCAGTTGCAGAGCAAACAAAGCAGGTCATGGTCATGGCGCTAGCGGTGACCAGCAGCCGCGATCGGCTCATAACAGCGCGCGGCAATGGAAGCATCCTCGTTCATTCGCTACCACAAGGTCTTGGGCCCGACAAGTATCATACCTCGTTGCTTGCCCAGATTCCATCCCATGCTGGTATCACGAGTATCTCTGTACACGAGAATCTGCTGGCCTGTACCAGTCGAGACGGCATGTTGCACGTGCTCGCGCTGCCGTCGTTAGATTGGCCGGTGCTCGCCGAAACGTCAGCGAATCTCCCGAGCGCGACCTGGATCGCGCAAGCTCGATCCCACTACGGGGCCTTTCTCTGTATGGCCTGGTCACCCGACGGTCAGTTCATCGCTGCGGGCGGTGAGGACGATACGTTCACCATATGGCGAGCGCCGCGATCACCCTGCGAAGAGATGCGATGCCTGGTGCGTGGTCGAGGTCATTCCAGCTTTGTAACCTCAGTGTGCTGGTTACCCGCTTTGGAACTCGAATTGGACGGTTACGCTTCCAGTTCCTTGTCTGGACAGGGATGGTCATCGGAAGATGCTGCACCTGCTGCGTTTTATCGCTTGGCCACCGTCGGACAAGATGCGCGTCTGTGCATTTGGGAACTAGACTTGAATGCACTGCCGTCGCCGCGGAAGACGCGACGTGGACTCGTAGTACCGGAGATCGAGCCTGCGGTTCGGCAGACCATCCATCACGATGGGCTCACCTGCGTTCGGCTTGCGTCCCTGTCGAATCGAATGGTACTGGTGACTGCGGACGAGAGCGGTGCGGTGCGTCTGTGGGAGATGGTGGCGACGGCAGCTGCAGCTGCGACGGCATCACCCAAGTCTTCTCTCGATGCGGGTGAGCGTTGTTTGTCCTGGTCGGAGAAGAACGGGAATGCGGCGGGTTCACCGGGATCGCCAACGCAGCGCATCGAGTACCTGTTGAGCATTCGAGAGAAGCACTGGTAGGTGGTGCGCTGATGAAGCGCTCGCACTGCCACTGCACTGGACGACGTCCAGTGCGCTGTCGGGCTGCTCCGGAACGGCGCGTTCCAGAGTGGAAACCGCCTCTCCTGCAGGCATGTACGCGCTCGCAAAATCCCCAGAGAGTCGCGTTAACGTCTCTGGTTTCGCTGGCTCGCTCTGCGCTGCTTTCCGAGTCAACTGAAACAGCGTGCCTACTGCGTACGGAGCTCTCGCTTTGTCGTCGAGCTGCTGCCGTTTACGCGTATCCGAGGCAGCATACGTTGCTGCATTTTCTGTGGTACGTGCAACCTGGTCGCATTCTAGTGACCGTGTAATATGAAGAGCAGTGAATTCTGGCAGCGTACGTTGCTGCATTTTCTGTGGTACGTGCAACCTGGTCGCATTCTAGTGACCGTGTAATATGAAGAGCAGTGAATTCTGGGCCATCTGTACCAGCACGCGCTTTTCGTTTCGGTTGATTTTTCTCAGGTATTCAATAAAAGGCATGTATCCTGTGGGTTGGTGAATGCCCGCGGTAAGACATCGGCACCTTGTGCTGGGTTGCGATGCAGGATCTGCATCTCACAACAACTCAGTTATTCTGTGGTCAGCAGGTGGGTGAACCACGCTTCACCTAGTCCAAGTGGCGCTCGTCGTGTACCCAGAACAGCGCTTATCATCGTCTATCTGCGCGATGACCCCGTCAATCCACTTCAGTCGGAATGGTCATTGAAAAATATCAAAGGAATGTCCAGACGCGATGCTTCCATGCTGTTAATACGAACAGTGATGAAGAGACATCACTGGACTACGCAAAAAGTGCGCAGGTGTCGGAGATCGTCTTGCATTGGGCAATACACAATGAAGTTCGAACCAAAACGCGAACGCTTATCGTAGAAAAGACGGGTGGTCCTATCACCCAGTGAGACTTCATTCAGGAGCAATTGGCACATCTGTAATATATGGGTACCCGAAGAGCGGCAAACCGCTGTTCGCAAATAGGGGACAGGTGAGCCTGAAGTGAACGTCAGACTCTGCGACGATGCAGTGCTGTGGTCGCCTCGAAATGTCCATTCGTACAGGGTCATCCAATATCGCATATTTTTAGTGAAGCACGTTGGAGATTCTCCATCTCACATTCCTCTGTTCTGGTCGATGACAACGTCGCTTATCATCATGCAACAGAAGTCGTGGAGCACACTGCTGCGCTTCGCGTTGCACTGCTCTTGGTGCCGGCACATATCTCCTCGTTGAATCCAGTCGATGGCGTCTTCTCTGATGCCGAACGCCAACTCTACGGTCATGGACCTATGGAAGGTTCGTTCGTATCCTAGACGCCGTTCTTCGACATGTCGTAGTTTACGTCTGCCAGCCCGGAACTGCGGTATTGCACTTGTGCTCCTCCGCGATTGGGAGCGGCAATCGTGCCGAAGCTGACGAAAAGATCCTCGAGGGACACAACATATATACGTGGGCAGAATAGGCAAGCTTCAGTGCTACCACGAACCCAGTACTTGTTCCCTGTAAAAAGTACGAACGGTTACGGAACATTGCAACCACATGTATACCACCGCGCTTGGTGAACTAGAAGGCAAGGAAACCACAGGAGAAACAAGGGAACGAACTTTTCGGAACCAGGTCGAGGAGGTCCGATGAAAAAACCATTGTCAAGCACAGTTTCAAAGGCCTTCTGATTTCAACGTACGAACCGGGAGAATGTTCGACACAGTAAGATCTGTGGCTTCGTTCCGCAGTGCGTAGCTTCTCACACGCGGAAAGCTCGGCTAGTTTCCCTTGTCATGACGCGCCTCGTCAAGCAACTGCTCGTAGGAGCCGCGAAAACCACCCGGTCAACGCTTCAGTGACCTTTGCGAGTTTTTGATCGATCCTTCGTGAGGCAACGCAGAAAAATCTCCCGCACAGAAGATAAAACACGGCCTGATCGTAGGATCAGCGACTTGCACATACGCCTCCAAGAGTATGGTAATACGTTGTTGACCGGCACATGGGCAGCGCAGGTGCCGAAAGGCCTCAAGCCGATCTCACAAACAAAAACTGTGTTCTGATCAATGTCGAGTGCTTCAAGACGCGTACGATGAGTGTGTAGTAGTTTCAACTCTCCCGCGCGTGAAAATGAGGACGAATGAAAGGGGATATTGCGTTCCAGGGAGTATGTTACAATCCATATGAACCATCGCAATGATTTCCGGAGGAGTTCTTTTTCATCACGCCCGAGGACGCCAACCTTTTCGGTTTTGCGAAGGCAGGAGAACGTGCGTTCACCAACGTTCTCATAGGCTACAATCGAAATGACCGAAAAGTCGCGTCGTTCAGTGGTCATCTATGGCACTGGACATACCTTGGCACGCACCAGCTTGACTCCTGCTTCTTTGTCGAGAGCGAACGGCGAGTGCGGGAATCGATTCTGTACGATTTCCATGGATGAACTCAGAACGACAAGTAACGAAGCGAAGCACGAATGTGCCGCAAAACAGGTTGTGAAGAAGAGAATGAAACCGAGATAGAGGCACTCGATTGTGTACGGGAAGCGGACTTTACATCAGATAACCAGGCAGGCGCTGGTAAGCGGTTTGCCACGGTGCGTCCAAACCAAGCAATCGTTTGCGGAAGCGCTATGTCCACCGAACATAGGAATTCGCAATCAGCATTTGCAAATATCTTGAGCTTCCAGAGCGTCCAATGGATTCGTGTCCAGCGACCGTTTGAGGAACTCGTTAAGACCTAAGTGTTGACATGATGCTGGAATGCTACAGACTTGGGATGAAAAAATCACATGCCAAGAGCGCGAGCACTGGTATGGTGCGGTTCAGGAATACAGCAAGCCTGGAGCGCGGTATGTACACATTGCGAACGATTCCCCTAGCTTATTCTTGAACCAGAATGATGTTCTGTCATCGAACGTTTCAAAAATAACATATTTCCGTCGTAAAATATGTCCGCGTGGATCGCTTATGTACGGCTGTGGATGCGGGGCTCATGCCAGTCTCCATGAAACCAGGACAGTGCATTCGACTCACGGGACTCGTGTGCAACTGGCTCCTGCGTTGCGACACCCGCAAACCCGCTCGCAAGGCTGGCTGCAGCGAGCGCAACGCTTGTGGTCGGTTGCCATGCTCAGCGGCGCCTGCGGCGGCGCATCTTGCCTCTTAAATGGTGACAGTGTGCACGTCGCGGGCACTTTAGAAACGACAGATGCCGGACGTTTATTGGTATACGCTGATGAAGCGAGAATGCTTGACGCCACTAGCTTCAGTGCGAGCTAGGAGAGCTCGCGCGATCTACCCTGGCATACGGCACCCGCACTCGACTGACGCGCGCTCCCAGCAAAGAACGCCTGGGCGAGCGCATACCACGATCCACAGTTTACCCCGTGCGTATATTGTTCTCGAAGCATCCATGGCATGTGTTCTCTCGCGCTGCACAGTAACACGCACCTGTCCAGGAGTTGCCATAACTTGCTCAAAATGCTTCATTCGATGCGCAGCGTCTGCAGCACGACGGGCTCGAGCATCTACTCATGTTGTTTTCGTGCGCGTCCATAGGTGTGTGCACGTAGGCGTGGATAAACTATGCTATGATTGTACGAGCATGTATACGTCTGTACAGACGTATACATGCATCCTCACTCCGTCGCACATGCGTGTTGCAGATCGATGAAAAGAACAGCACCTGCAGCGTCGATCATGAGGACCCAGCTCTGGAAACTGGCATCGTCCCCGCATGCAGCGCTATGAGGTTCCATGCATCGCTGCTCGTTCACGGAGCAGGCGTGCAGGTCTACATACGCGAGCGTGCGTCCAGTCCAGGCATTGCCGACAAGTGCATGGCACACGCACTCGCAGTCGCCGCGACCGCAAATGTCGCTCACAGAGGCGTCACCCTGCCGATTCCAGAGTATGGATGCATCTGATAGTACGTTCGTGTCGTTGGAGTGCCCGGTTGAAGAGCTCCCATCAAGATCAATTTTTCACACCCATATCCTGATCCTTCATGACTAGGCCCAGAAATTACCCCGCAGGTTCCCGTGCAGCAACGAGCAGCCATCACTGTTCAGGTTTCATTGGCAAGCTTCAGCAAATACCAGCGAACTCGCACCCCGTCCCCGCATGATCAACGACTACAAGCGGTGAACTTTAGCGCATGCCGCTTCTCCTACGTTCGATGCTTCGACGCGCTGCGGAGCGCCAGCGCGTAGAGCACCTCCCTATCTCGCAGGCGCACGAGCCGCACGCCCTTGCGGCACGATGGAGCGCGCTTGGAGCGCATGGCCTTGACTGAACAGTTTTGCGCTGCGCCTGAGACTTGTGCGTAGCTTGGGCCTCTAACATGAACGAGACGGATCATTTGGTTTATGGTAGCAATGGGGTTTTCTCAACTTTATCCATGAACAGCACGCCTTTAGGGTCTTGTTGTTGTCGTCAGAGAGCGTTTGCGCTCGGTTTTGGGGTGTGTTGGTACCGTGGGGTACCAGCTGCTACTGCTACTGCTACTGCTACTGCCGTTTCAACGAGTAGATATGTGCAGCAGCCACGGTTGTTGAAACCTAGCCGCAGTCCCTTGCTGAAACGGGTGGCGAGTCCACGAACACGGGCGCCACGTCTTCCGGAAACGGACGCTCGGTCTGGCATATGGCAGGTGAACACGTTGCGAGCGAACGCCGCCACCGACGACGACACCGACGACGACGACAGTAACCCAAACCCAGACGAGCCTGCTATGGCGGGAGCAGCGGCCTCGAGCAGTGAGGCTGAGCCGCCGCCCCAGGAAAGCACTGCTGCAGATTCGTCGACGTTTCACCGGCGCGGACGACCACGACGCAGTGAGCGGTGTCCAGGCTGTCTTGCTCGCGGTAAGCTACGCTGCGATCGTTGCGCCGGCTCTGGACACATGGGCGGTGTACGTTGCGAGGTATGTTTTGGATTCGGGAAGACGCGCTGTAGTCAGTGCGGCGGCACCGGGTTCATTCTCAAAGAAGGTGACTAGTACAAGCGCTTGCATTATGCCGTTGGGGTGCGTTGCCTGCGTTGTCTGGCGTTTCTCAGCACACAGGAAACAAAAATGTAGCTCCTGCTATCCGCATCCGTAGGAGAGAAGCGTCGCTTGTACGAGTACGCGGTGCTCAACATACGTAACTGCTCTTGGAGGAGCTGTTCTTGCGAACAGCGGCGCTGGGATGCTTGCCGCTCGGCAGGTCGAGCTCCACGATGTGTGTACATTGCGATGCGGTCTGTGTCCAGGCACGGTTTGAGGGCCGGTTCGAGCCCGTTGGCCGGTATTGCAGGGATACCGCAAAGCGTGAAACCGACTGGACCTGGCTGCAGAGAAAAGAATTATGGGCATGGCGCACCCCAGCACAAGTCGTGACCTGCCTTCGAATCTGATTGAGTAAACCTCATGGGCGCGTATCTCATTCTTTCGCCTCTATGCCGCATAGAGCCTGGGTTCAACGCGCTCTCGCATTCAAAGTAAAGCGATGCCAGTCATCGCAGTCGACTTTTCTTTTATATGGGAGTAGCGTCGTTTCCGTGAACCAGGGACCCGAGATTGCACGATGGATATCGGCGATCAGAAGAGCGTCCATCATGCCGCGACAGACCTGCAAGTTCTATCGGCCACCATAGCTCGTGCATTCCTTCGGAGGTACTGGTTCTCGTGTAAGATCCTCTGGGCGCTGTGTCAGCATAGAACGCCTTCTATTCGGTCCAGAGCGCTGGCGCGGACGCTGCGCGGCGATAAACAGGCGTTCTCAGACCGCTTATGGCAGTGGTTTGAGGCGAAAGTACGTAGCGTACTGCGTTCTGCCGACAAATAGCGGCACGAGTTAGAGCGACTCTACAGGTATCGTCGCTCCGCTGGCAAAAGACGGTATGAAGGATCATACCATTAGTACATCAGCGCTATGTTGGCATGGTTTTAGAGATATTCGGCCCCAGGGATATGTACTGCATCGCATCATCGTTACGCCGAACTCGAGCGTTCTCCAGCATGCACTCTGGATATCAGGTCTGCAATCGTGCTGCGCCTGTCTATGTACTCGAGCTGTCGGCAGCGTTCACACGTCCCGCGAGTATCCATCTAGATTCATGGACCTCATACCTTCCACCCTATGAATAATGATATACAAAACGCGTCCGGCACTGAGCCAAGCAGAGCGCTGCACTCGAGACGCTGCCGCCAAGCCGCGGGCTCCGGTGACGTTGCGCCTCCGCCCAGCGCCGGCTGCTGCGAGAAGTCCAGTATAGCGCTCGCTGGGCAACGAGAGAGAAGCAGTGACCGGGTTCGCGCACCAACTGACACGTTGTGAAAGGCGGTGCGCTTTACGGGACCCGGGTCGTCTAGCCTCGTAGACGAGAGTGCGACTTGCTGTAGGGCGCACCGAGATGAGTCAGCGCCAGGTGCTCCCGGTCGTGCCCTCGCGCATGACCTTGACCCAGGTCAAAGCGCGTTTGCAGGGCGCCCGTCGAGGTCATGCACTCTTAAAGAAAAAGAGTGATGCCTTGACGGCACGGTTTCGAGCCATTTTGCGTGAGATCGTGGATAAAAAGCAACGTGCTGCGGAGCTTCTGCGCGACGCTTCGTTTCGATTCGTTGCCGTTAAGTACGTCGTCGGCGACGAGCTCAAGCACATTGTTCAGGAAAGCGTCGAGCGTGCGGAAACTCGACTACGGGTGCGCTTTGACAATGTCGCAGGTGTGTCGTTGCCCTGCTACCGCTGCGTCTCGGGGTCGGTGAGCACGGGACCGGTTGCCACCTCGACCATCGCTACTGCTGCTGCTGCTGCTGCTGTCGCTGTCGCTCGGAATGACGGTTACGCCGAGGACATGCGCGCTGCTGGGCCAGTTCAAACAGGTGTTGCCTCTGTTGCCCAGTATCGGGGCCTGGGGCGTGGTGGCCAACAGATCGCAGCCTGCCGGGAAGCTTATAACGAGGCGTTGCTAGCGCTTGTGGAGCTCGCATCCCTGCAAACCAGTTATCTGATCTTGGACGAGGCCATCAAAGTTACCAATAGGCGGGTGAACGCGCTGGAGAACGTTCTCATTCCGCGTTTAGAGAACACGATTGCCTATATCCTCAGTGAACTGGATGAGCAGGAGCGAGAGGAATTCTTTCGTCTGAAACTTGTCCAAAATAGAAAGAAAAGGGAATTGGCTCGAACACAAGCGCAAGAACTGCGTGCGCGAGAGCGACGGGCAGCACAGGCGCTTCGCGCCTTTGATATGAACAGTTTTGAGCAGGCCTTAGAGCCGGATGCCGCGAACACACCATCGATCTTGGAGCAGATCGCGGGCGCAGATGCGGACTTGCTACCCATTTAATGCGAACTGACGGAAGCACGCGTGCACATATGCGGGCAGTGGCACGCGGCTGCATACCAGCGTCGAGCGGGATCCCGCACCATGCTCAACACAGTCGAAGCGTGGTAGCGAAGGAGGTCGTGTGTGCGTCTCCGCGGTGGCTGATGAGGCGGCGCGCACGCATCCTGCGTCATGCGTGTCGTTGTGGACACGTGTCCGGATGACGACCTCGATCGTGCATCCGTTGTGTAGCGCGCACCTTTGTTTGCGGAAAAGATCGGTGGTGTCGGGATATGCACAGGGTACGCATCAGGCGCTGTGTTCGATAGGATCCTGCCAGAGGCGAGTTCCAGAGCACCAGGCGGACTGGGTGCATGAGACGCACCAGCGCCAGCAGCGCGCTCTTCAATGTTCAAAGCAGCATGCGCGCTGCATACACGATGGCAGCATCGATACGGAGGTGGTACTGTAGCAGCTGGCGCTGATGTCTTGTGTGCACGTCGTTCTGTCGATTCATGGTGCAGTGCTGGAACGCACAAATGCGCTTCCAGCCGCTGTGGCTTGGCTGCGAGGTCGTTGCTCAGCGGGTCAGGGTACTGAGCGGCAGTTGCACGGTAACGATCTGAAAGTTTTCCGCCTTGCAAGCATCTGCCTGGACAGCGTGCCACGTTCTGCAAAAACGCGGCTGCGTTCGAATCCGCTGGGATTTTCGCACAAACCCATCCGGTGGGCCCGCTCGGGTGTGTCGAAAAAAGCCTGCGGATCAAGGCATGAATACACCAGATGAGATCGTGGTGGTTACCCGGCTCGTGTGCCGCAGTTCATATCAGGTGCTGAACCTGCCGCCGCCGCCGCCGCCGCCGCCGCCGCCACCGCCGCCGCTGCAACGGAAAGCAAGAGGACTGTGCGGCAGGCCTCGAGGTCTATGTTCTGCTTCAGGCTGCTGTACGGGCTCGCTCGGACAGTCGCAGTCAGCCTTTGGCTTGCTCTGGCGTAATCTGCAGCGTGATTCGCTGGCCTCTACGTCCGCGAATCACTGTAAACTCGATCGCATGTCCTACCCGATTCCCCAGCAGATCCAAGATCTCGCGGGTGCTACGAACAGGTTGTCCATCGATGGCAACGATCACGTCACCAGCGCGAAGTCCACCGCGCTCCGCCGGTCCACCCGGGAGAACCTGCGGCACACATACGCCCTCGTTCACATCGGGCGGAAAGCCGCTGCTCGAACGTCGTCGTAATTCCTCGGCAAGCGCCGGTGTCAGCGTGAGTAGTTTGAGGCCTAGAAACGGACGCACCACTCGACCGTGCTGGCGTAGCTGCCGGATTACCTCCTTGGCGAGATCAATGGGCAGTGCAAACGAGATCCCATCCGAACTGAGCGCTTTCAGCGTGTTAATCCCAATCACGTGACCGTCGAGATTCACCAGAGGGCCACCACTGTTGCCGATATTGATCGCCGCATCCGTCTGAATAAAGGCCAACCGCGGCGCTCCCACTGGAAAGCCAATCTCGAAACCCTCTCTGTTGGTCGCACTCACAATCCCGCAGGTCACTGTGTTCGCAAGCATCAATGGACTCCCAACAGCAATCACCCATTCGCCAGTTCGTAACGCGCTCGACTCACCCAATTCGGCTGCCGGCAAGTCTGTTCCCGGGTCCAGAATTCGAACGATGGCGAGATCCGTGAGTGCATCGACGCTCTCGACGGCACCCGAGAAAGAGCGTCCATCCTGCAGCGTAACCGTCAACGCACTCGTCTGGGGTGCGTTGCGCATTTCCGCAACAACATGTGCATTGGTGAGCACCAGTCCCTCGTTACTGTCGAAGATGAATCCCGAACCAGTGGACTGGGCGAGCGTTGTCGGAGGCGCAAAAGGTCCAAAGAGCCAGCGATCACCCGTCGATACCGTGACGGTGATGTTGACAACTGCCGGGGCAACACGAGCTGCCGCGTCTGCGATTGCGAAGCGCGTCAGCGGCTTATCGCGTATACTCGGAAGTCCAGCGCTCGCTTCAGGTTGTGCCGCGGACGCCTCAGCGCTCAGCGCGTCACCAAGCGCTGCCGCCTGTGCTTGAAAGCGTTTCCAGAAAGAGCCGAGTGGCAACCGCCACCACTCGGTGCTACACCAGCTGGGCAGAGTTACGACCAGTGCACCAGACACAAATAGTAGAGCGGAGTTCAGCACAGAGGCCCAGCGGCTGTTGCGTCGTCCTGGAGCACCGCGCAGTGATGGCAAGCACTTGGCCTGCCAGCTCGTTACCGATGAGTAGCGAGCACCTCGTCGTTCAGGGGTGCGCGCGTAGCTCTCGCTTGACTTGGCTCCGCCATGTCTGTTCCATGAAGGTATTGTCCGGTGAATCAGACGAATCGACTGTTGCTGCTGCTGCTGTTGTGGACGATGATGATTATGCAACTGCAGTCGCAGTCGCAGTAACCTGCAGCTGCGTCCGAGGAGCGTATTCCCCGTAGATTGCATCTTCGAAAAGCGCAAACCAGTCCGGGGTCGTGCCAGTCACGGGAGGACAGCGTTAGGCCCCAAGTGCCGCTGTTGCACAGCGTCCGTGCCGATGTTGGCCCTTGAACTGCAAAACAGCGTGCCCGGAGACCTGTCCAGTGCCAAAAGCTGGGCAAAGCGCATATATCGCTGCCCAGCAAAGGCGACGCAGTTGCAGGTTCAGCGCGTACCCTTTTGGCGCCGCACTGCCGAGTACGAAGCGGCAAGAAAGGCTTTGCGCGCGCTATTCGCCTCTACGGGTTGTCGTGGTGTCGTTTGGTCTGGGGAAAACCTCCAGACTTTGGTGGTATACAGGGAGGACCTGATCAAGTGCAGGTCTGTTGGTATCGCTCGGTACTTAGAGCGCAGTTGAGTCCACTGGAGTTGACGTGTGCTGCGTTTTCGTTAAACTCTAGGTCTCGCTGTTGTCAGGTAGTTGGCTACTTGTACCTAAACGTGTCGGGAGGAAGCGAAGTCCGCAATTGACGCTAGCACTTGTGCTGGCGTCGATGCCACGACGCCTCTGTCCAAGGTCAAAGTCTGAGTTGTTACCGGCGAATCCTCGTCGACGGAAGGATGGAGCGCACGTTGCGGATAGCGTACGCTGTGCACTGTGCGGCCTAGACCAGGACGCAAGCGGTATAGAAGGTAAGTTACTGGGGCCACTGAAACCCAAACCACCAGCAAAGAAACCTATTTATGTACATGAAGAGTGTGTGCGCTTCAGTGCCGAGTGTCAGGGTCGAAACGAAATCGATGAGCTCCTGGTGGGCTCTGTCGTGCGTCGGGGCAACTCGATTCGCTGCAGTGTTTGTGGACAACCTGGTGGGACCATCACCTGCGCTTACCGCAGTCCGAGAACCTGCTGGACGTACTACCACCTGCGCTGTGCACTGAAAGTTGGTGCTGCTGTGTGTAAGCGACGACGACAGGTTTTTTGTTGTCTTCACCGGAAGGACGCTGAGGAATGTGGCTTTTTTAGGGGCTCGGAGCTTGCCACGCTCGATGTGCCGGCCAGCGCTAATCTGCTGGTTCAGTTAGAGGCTGTCAAGGGCCGTGCTGTTCGAAGAGACGCATCCCCGAATGGATGCATTGATGCGAGCGTGTCCACTGCAAAGGATCGACAGCATCTGGCTGCAAAACGTCGGGATGAAACGGCAAGTGCACCCCCAGAATCAACCAAAGCGTCTTCTGAGCGAAGCGCTCGTAGAGCGCCGTCGCAGCGGCGCTTGAAGCGCGGCAACGGAGCAGCAGGTGTCGAGAATGCTCAAGCAGTGTCTACGCATTCATGGACAAGTCGCGGACGACAGTCTGGTGCCCGCGATTGGAAGCAAATCGAGCACAACGATAGCCGTGACGCTTTGCAGGTGTACAATGAGCACGGCATGGATACCGGGCACGCTGTTCAAACAGCAACCGGGCGGAAGCAATACCGCCACCGCCATACCGGACTGGCAACCGCGACGCCAGCAGTGCCGTCTCCAGCAAACCGTGGACCTGCATGGAAGAGGCACCCGCAGCGCAAGTCTCGCGTATGCCGGGAGGTTTCTCATATCATTGGCTCGCTAGCTGCGCCTGCTAGTTGGTATTCACAGACGCCGCTGATGCAGCAAAACACTTGTGACGATGCGAGCACCAAGAGAAAGCGCTTGATTATGAAGAAAATACAAACTGACGCCGCTCTTGTCCAGCGTGTCCCGGAAGTCTCGCCTGCGAACATGGAACACCAGGGCGAGCGACTTCGCCCTCTGGCCACATACAATCCCGACAAACAACCTCGCAGTGGTGGAGATGGTGGTAAGCGCTCTGATCTCCAGCTCCACAGTCCATTTTTGGCGATTGAAACGGTCCCTGTGCGAGCGAGACGACCCACAAAGTCCAGGAAACGCCGTCCGGACGCTTGTCCGGATACGCACCTTGTCAATACAGCTTCTCGTCGACGCTTGCAGCAACAAGATGCTGTAACATCGCCGGAGCGAGCTCACTTGGCATCTGCGCTGACCAGCAGTCCCGCTGCATCGAACGAAAGCGCTGTGAAGGATTTTGCGGAGCTTCGAGCCTCATGCGCGTCCGAGTGTACCGTTGAACCGAGTTACGGCGCTCGTACAGGGCAGTCGAGGAATGTCTCGCGTTGTTCGGTACCCGTCGAGGTGTACGATCGTGAGGTGGCGACGCACACCGGTCCTTCCGGTGCTGGTGGCGGCGCTTCCGGGGACTCCAAAAACGCGCTCTCCTCTAGACAAGGCGGCCACTCAGTGGGGCAGGAGACTGGAGCGTCCCAGGTAAGCGCTGTGATGCGGCTAAACTTTTCGAGAAAACTGCAGCAGCACGGCGGTGTACGTTTCGGCAGAGGGGAATCAGCAAACGGGGAGCGCGCTTCCCGGCAGGTTCCGCAGGATACTGCACTGCAGACACCTCGAGGCAGTGTTGTTGCCCAGGTTCAGTTTCGCGGTGATGATGCACTTGGTAAGCGCAATTCGGTGACCGGCAGGCAAAGGAAGCGTCGTCACCACTCGGAGGCCACTACGGAGCAGGAGAATTACCGCTTGTGGGAGCTCACACGAGAGCTTCAGTTCGGTGACTGTGAGCCATTGTCCTGGGTAACGTTTGCGGAGCGCACGCTGGAGGCACTCGAACGCTCTCGGTTGCATTCACGCCCGGATGGGACCAAGAGGGCAAAGCGAGTATCCGCTGTCACTGCAGACGCTCTGATGACAGTATCTACTCCATCCGAGGGTACCAGTCTTGTCCAGATGTCGCTGTCCGCGGCCGCTGCCACAGAGACGGCGCCAGCTGCAGGCTCTCAGGTGACTGCTTCCGAAAGTAACGTCCCGGGCAAGCCGGGTAGTCTGTTCGTTGCACCGTGTCGAACGCCAAGCGAACGCATCGACTCAGGCTGCCATGATCGCTCCGTTGTCCACGATGAGCGCGCACAACTCGAGTACCAGACTAACGCCCAGGTGATGGGTGTGCTCGACTGGGAAGTACCTCCTCAACCTCAAGTCGATCCGCTGATTCCTTGCCGAATTCTGATTCCGCTCGAGCGGGATGTTTGCGCGCTGTGTCATGGCACCGTGGACGAATCAGGCGCATCGGCGCTCTTTTGCTGGCTTTGTGGCGAGGCGTATCACGCGGAATGCCAGCATCAAGAGCAGCAGTACGAGTCGTCTTCAGGTCGGCTGCATCTGCTGGACTTGGGTCCGATTCGCGTGATCCCGAATTGTACCAGCTGCGCCGTCTCCATACCACTGCCATCTGTACCTGAAGCAGAATCATCCTGTCACCCTGCGGATCGTCAAGGAACACCAACCGAATCCAGTATAGAACGGTCCGAACAGGTTCTATGGAACACAGGAACCGAGCATAACGACTCGGAGGTGCCTCTGGAGGTCGATCACTCGATGCAAGCGCCCTGTATGGATAACGAGGCCGTACCTGACTCCTCCGCGTTTGGCGCTGTGAAGCGCAGGCCACCTGTGTCGTTCGCTGCTGCCGGCGCTGCTTCTTTTGCCGCTTCTCGACGCATCACCGGAGGCGGAGGCTCGGAGCGCGTTCCTTATCCGGAGGTGGATACCCCTGGACGTGCTTTGCCTTTGCCGAGGAATTCGTACAGAGCCGGTGTCGAACAGGAGGCGGGCACCTATGCAGCCGTTGCGTCAAAGAACACGGGACAGGATGCCTCAGAATCGAATGCATGGAAACGGGATTCGATGCAAGTTCTGCAGCGTGGTGAGCCAAGTTCCGTTCAGGAGCCTCCGTGGCTGCTGACGCTCTCGTCCGTACCGTGCGTTGTCTGCGGTCGGCGGCTGGATAGCGGCCACGGCGGTGCTATGCCACTGCTGCTTTGCGGTGATTGTGAAGCAGCAGCAGCAGCAGCAGCAGCAGCAACCTCGAACGCAACCAGTACGCTTCCTGGCGATCAGGTCAAGCGACAGCATGTTCCCGGTACGCTGGCGGCAACGGGCCCTGCTTGCTCACGTTCGCCGAAGGTGAGCAGCTCCTCAGGCCAGGGGCGTGTCTCTGAGGCACCTCTTCTAGCGTGCAATGCGGACGCTATGGAATCTGAGTGCGCAGACCCTTTACGAGACTGCCTCGCGGGAACGCGGTTGCGGGATGTATCGTGCGAGGCACAGCTACCATTGGGCGCGTGCGCTTTGACGAGCGTGCAAGACGGAGCGTTCGCTTCGCACTTGGCCTCAGGTACGCGGATAGAGGGCACCGATCGGACGCCGCTCGTGATGAAGCAGGAAAACTCCTTCGAAGCAGAACATCTTCATTCGCAAAACTCGGTGTATATCGATGCGCACATGATGCTTGCGAATTGTGAAGCAGAAACTGGAGTGCAGGAGAACACGGTGTGTTTGATGGGGAACGATACCTCACTAAGCCAATACGGAACTCGTGACCCAGTGCCTGAAGTCACTGTCTGCCGGCCGCTGGGCCAGCGTGTATCCGCCTCGTTTGGGGTTCAAGCGCCACATGCTACACCAGATGCGTTACAAGCAGAGCACCTAGTGTGGTCGCGTCTCTGTGCGGTTCCCGATTGTCGGCGTTGTGCGCTATGTGCTTGCCCCGAGCGAGGTGAAAGCGCGCAGCTCGGATGTCTGGTGCCATTGCGACTCTCCGAAAGCACCCTGCGCTGGATTCACATGGGCTGTTTGGCGCTGTCGACGCAAACGGGAGCCGGCCTTTCTCGCACGATACAAGCTGCCTTGTCCAGAAAGTGTTCTGTGTGTCGTCGTACGGGTGCCTCTGTGTTCTGCTCTTTTTTGGGCTGTACCCAAGTCTTTCACGTACGCTGTGTAGCGACACATGCTAACGCTGCTGGTGCTGATGCTATGTGGGAATGCTCCGATCATCGCAGCCTGTGCTGGTGTTGGAAGCATCGCTCGCTGCTTGGTCGCGAGGCGACAGCTGGACTTGCACCCTCGGGGTGGAGTTTTCCCTTTTCGAGTATGGGTCACTCTTTGCCGTCGGATGTACGCGGTTTGTCGCTAAATGCGAGACCAGCATTGCGAGTCGGTGCCTGGACACTGCTCGATTACGGTGCGCTGGACTGCACATCGCTGGAATCGACAGAAGCTCAGTGGCGACTGCCGCCAGATTGTTACCTAGCGCGGCGCTTTTGGAGTATGATCCGACCCTTTGAACGAACGCTTTACTTTATCAGTTGCACAGCGGACGTAGCGCACGAGCCGCGGTACTCGCTGTGCGCTCTGGATGCACCGCACGATCGGTTAAGTGGCGTGTGCATCACTGCGCTATGGCACCAGATGATATCCCGTGTGCTGCGGTTGTGGGCAGCGCGTCTTCCGGCGCGCTTGACGCATCTTTTCACCAAGTGCATCGCTGAACGATCGACAGAAGAACGTCAGGCACTTGCGGAGCGCTTCTTTTGCCCTGTGCCGGTGCTGGTGCAGCACCTAGCCACGAGCATGTTGGCGTCGGTGCCCGCGGATACCTCTCCGGACCACGACGTCGGAGGTGCATCCCCGACAGCGCGATCCGCGGGCGCAGCACGTTGTTCCCTGTACTTGCGCCCGAGTAACGAGTCAAAATGGAGTAAGCTTGCACCTGTGCATCGATCCCTGGAAGTGTTTGAGCGTGCGTTAGCGGGAGCAGCATATGACCCGCTCCTTGCACAGCGATCAGCTGCATCCGATATCCCGGGGTCTGCAGAGCGGGCGTGCAGCGCACTGCGATCACGTCCAGAGCAGGATCGTGTGCCTCCAAGGCGAGACGCCTGGCGAGTAGTCTCTGCAACGGCAACTGATCGTCGGCTGTATCGACAGATGCAGCTCGAACACCGCAAGTACTGTGTTCCGTTGCGCTCTCGAATCCACGGGTTCGGTTTGTTTGCGCGCTGTGACCTCCAAGCCGATCAGATGATCGTTGAGTACGCTGGAGAGCGGATTGCCTCACCAGTGGCCGACGTTCGGGAGCGCCACTACGAGCGCCGTGGCATTGGGTGCTACATGTTTCGTATAGATGCTGATTGGGTGATTGATGCGACAATGATTGGGAGCGTCGCACGCTATATTAACCATTCTTGTCGTCCGAATTGCTACAGCGAAATCCTGCGAATCAGCGACGAACCGAAGCAGGATGTGATTGTTATTCGCAGCGCTCGAGCGATTAAACGCGGCGAGGAGCTGACCTACAACTACATGTTCGACGTAGACAATGCGATGAAAATCCCATGTCTATGCGGCGAGCCGGGTTGTGTCGGTTTCATGAACTAGACGCGTTCGAAGGAGAGGTGTGCTGCTGTGGACGCTCAGTATTCATCCCTGGAAACAAACGTCTTTGAAAAGAATAACGTTGTAGCCGCCAGCGGTGTACAGTAGTGGTGACCGGCGCCCTAGACAAGAAGTCTCCAGCTGACGTGCAAACGCATCTCAGTCTTTCTCGACCGGCCACCCACGACTGCTTCCAATTTTTTTCTCATATAGTTCGACTCTGAGAGGTTGTCCAATAAAGATCCCTCGTGTCCACTTTGGAGGTCTTTTCTCCAGCACCGCGCATTTCCTTCCATTGATGGCGGCGTTAAAGTCTCGATCCCCAAACTCTATCTGTTTCGTGCCGTTGCGGGTTGTACTCACTAATGCAACTAGTCCACGAACTTGGCTCTTCTTTCCATTTGCTCTTTCGTCAGCTGTCCGTACTTTGCTGTTTCCCCAGGGCTCCGCTGGCACTTTTCCATCTCCACTCTCTGAAGTGTGCACCCCACTTTATGGTGTGTATAGGTCATTCGAAGCTCATCTACTTATATCGTAACGAATCGCCTTGCGCACTCCTTATATGTTCTTGTCGATGGAGCTGGCGTAAACCTTTTTTGGGTCTTCCAGCGCCCTGCCCCATACGCTACAATGAGCATCTGACTCTGATCCTCCTCCAGGGCACAACTGGCTGAAACAATTCGCAAATGCCCGCTGCTTACCACAGTCCAGATTCATTCGCATTCGAGCCCACCGGGGCATTGTATATTCTTTCCACAGTACCTCCTAATGAGCAACGCGAACCTTCTATGAATTTCCGAGAAGCTTCAAAATCCGCTTCTCGGCTCGTCACCTCGCTCAAAGATTCCAGGAGATCCTTCATTCCTGCATTTCATGTCTCAATTTTCTTGCTTGCATTCATGATTCCCGCTTCTTGGTAGTATTTCTCTCGTGAGATCCCCAAAATCCTGCTGTCTTTCTGACGTGAGTTTCGGTCAGTGCCATCGCACTCACGCTTGGGTACAGCAAAGGTCATGATACTCGTGTTTCAGGGGCTAGGGCCGACGACAAAGCCGTTTTCATGGGGACTATGCGTTTCGCGGCCCGTCTTCTTGTTTTCGTGCTTCGGCAAGGGCGATAACGAAGACGGGATAGGATGAAGTGCCTGCAACAGCATTTGATGTACACTTATGTACACAATATCGAAATCGATTGTCCGCTGGAATACCTTTTTTGGCCGGTTCGAGACACGTGATATCGAAAATAATCTTCTAGTCGGTGTCCCTGTTTTCGCCGATGACCTCTCGGTTTATTACATCGAGCTCTAAATAGATCTCCTTCATGAAGTCGTAAAAGGCCTCTACAGTCGATAATCACAAAATGCGACTTGAACTCGCATAAAAAACGAAATTGAAGCGCTTCTGGAAAACCACTTCAATGCCGTTTCTCCCACCCGTCATTTTTTCCATACTTAGCTCTATTTGGGCCTTCCGTCGGAGTTCTCGGTCAAATAACATGAAGTGAGGCAGGATGAGGGGGGGAACATCTCTCTTCTTTTCTCATATCTGAAAGTGTTTCTCTTGGGGTGCCAAGCTCCAAGACCGAACGATGCCTTTAAATGGTAGAGCGGAGAACAGAAGCCTCGTTCTTTCTCCACCGTGATGTCCTCTTCTCAACAAAGTTCATATCCCGTTCATGCTGGGAATCGTTCTTGATACCATCGATGGTTCCTCGAATCCCTTCCCGAAAAAGGCACGGGTAGAGCGCAAAGAGAACGCGTATCATGAACGAAACGACGTTTAAGATCTTAAGGCTCCTCACATTCGTGAGGCACCCCATTGCCATGTATTCGTAAATACAACATTCACCCCTGTGTCGGGTAGCCTCGGAGCGGAATTCCGCGAACTTTTCGTGGAGGGCATACACTAGCTGAGTTTCCCTCCGCGCTTCCGCTGTGCCAAGCATCAGGTATCGAATACATGTCCTATCGAAGAACGCGTCAGGAACATCGACTGTTTCCATTTGCGTTACGTCGCGATACATCTCCCTCGCCAAATGCATTAGTCCTGAAAACGTCTTTACAATACTCTTCGAGTACGAGTCAACACGTTTTTCAATGGCGTCTCGCAACTTTTCCCTACAGGGATCCTTGATATGTCCAAGAAAGAAAGTTTTCACCATATTCTCGTCGTACAGTCGTCTTTCTTGCCGCCTTCGACGTAGGGCCTCCTGCTTTCGGTCCTTCTTCTCTTCCTTTTCTTCGGGACTCGACACCGTTTTATGTTCTTTTTCTGGCAGCCTGCGAACCTGGGCCTCCAGGATCGTGGACTTGCTCTGTGATAGCTTTCCTTTTTTTGAAAAGAACGCTCTTTGAACGCTTCTGTTATATACAGCGAAAAAACACTTGACTAGTCTGGTTTAATTTCGGAACAAAAACGAAAGGAAAACTCTACTTTGCTATGTCCTCAACGGAAATCCAACTTTTTACAGCTGAACAACACGCTTCTGATCGAGATCACGTTTCCCTTGAACAGCGGCACGCGCGTCGTGTCTCATGTCTGTCTGATCCCCGAGGTGCACTCACCGAGCGCGATGCGTGCACTGCGCGAAACGCTACTCCGATCGATGAAGGACACGTGTCCGACACCCCGCCTTGGCACATGCGTGTTCGCATCGCACTGCCGCAAAACATAAGGTATCGTAGACTGGAAACTCCCGTAGAATGCACTCTTGCTATAGGTTATGTCGCTGGTGCCGACGCTGCTGCCCATCGCAGCACTGCCCTGCCAGACAAGGGGATGCAGGGGCCTGGAACGATACCCCGCGATGCTTCTATCACACGCGTATCTTCCTCTGCGGCTTGCACTTGTGTGGATAAGATATGCAACACTCTACTCAATAAGAGTTTCTTCAGTTGTATTGGTCGTAACCGTAATAGGTACGGTAGTGTTCTCGAACACGGATATAAGTTTATTCCCTAGGCTTGCTATGCATCCTGCACGGACACCGGAATAAAGAACTGGCCTGAATTGTGCTTCTTTCCTGCGTCAGGGGCTGGTACTGATGAGAGCTCAGGTCATTGCCATGCTGCTTCGTTGTCTAACTTATGGTCCCCGCTACGTCAATTGATCCGGTGATCTTGGCAGAGGCGTAGCTAACATATTGCATCTATATCTGCCACGACGTTTGAGCATTGCATCTCGCCTTGAACGATCGAGGCATCCGACAAAAGCACATACTGTATTCTGATCTACTCTATAAGATTAGATTCAAGAGCCTAACCAGTACAGCGAGCCCGGAAGCGACACAACCAACTACACATGCCCTTGAAAAGAAAAACATCGTCGTCGGCCGTGTACAGTAGTGGCGAGTGACCCGCCCTAGACGTAACGTGTCCAACTGACGTGCAGGCGCTTCCAAAAAAACTACCACCGGATGTTAGTCTCTTGTACCTCCGCTACGTTATTCATCGGTGAGCTGCAGCGACGTTCCTCAACGATCATTGTGATCTTTGAACTCAACGTTGCGGAACGCATTGCGACTAGTACTGACGAGATTGTTGCTCGGAAAACTGCGAGTTTAACCTAGTTTCTGAGATTGACGTTGAGCGCTTGTGCGGGTTGTGCTCCAAGTTAGACAGTCTACGGAGATTGAGGTTGGCATCTGCACCACTCGACGGAAGATCACTCGTGCAGCTACGCAAAACAGGTTTTTGACTGGATACGCACACTTACGCGATCGATTCTAGCCCATGACGTGATCGGCAGCTTTCGCACGGAGACGACCTAACCCAAGAAAGTACAAGGCATGTTTGTCTCTGATCCGCTGTACCAGGGCTAAAGAGTAGTTCGCTCACCTGCTGTACGCAGAGCACCGTTCGCACTGGGTACCGCTCGTGACGGTTGCTTCGCAGCTGGACATCGTCACCACCGCCAGCGTCCTCTTCCTTTGGTAATGCAGCGTTCGCCTGTAGCGCGCCGGCACCACGCGCTGCATCTTCGTAATGGCCCGAAACAGTCGCAGATCGCCGTGATCACGGGCGCGTGCTCTGGAGTCGGTCTGTATGCAGCTCACGCTCTGATCAACAAGTGCATCTGGCACATCGTCATGGCATGTCGTGACGTCGACCGGGCGGAGCGCGCAGCAAACAGCGTGAACCTTCTAAAGGACGCCTATACCGTGCTCCGTTGTGGTCAGGCTGATTTCGCCTCTGTACTAAAGTTTGTGAGAGAGCTGTCAAGTGTGGCGCGCGTCGATCACCTGGATGCCCTGATCTGCAATGCCGCAATCTGGCATCCGCGGGACAAGAAACCGCGTTTCACGGTGGACGGCATCGAGGAAACCATGCAGGTATGCCATCTGAGCCATTTGCTTCTATGTCGGGAGCTGTTGCCGAAGCTGAAAGTATCGCGCGGGCACATTGTGTTCCGACGACTCAGACCCACTCGCCGAATTCGCTGCCGGGAACGATCCCCCGCGGGCTCGCCTCGGCGATTTGTCTGGTCTAGGCGCGGGGCTTGATCCGCAGACGACTGGCATGGTAGGCAGTGGTCCGTTTGAGCCCACAAAAGCCTACAAAGACGCCAAAGCCGAGAACGTGTTGACAATGAAGGCGCTCAGTGATCGATACGGCCGCGACGGGGTGACCTCTGTGGCGATTTTCCCGGGATCTGTCGCCGATAGCAACCTCTACCGCGAAAAGCTTGGCTGGTTCCGCTACGTATTCATCCCGATTCTTCAGAAGTATATCACTCGGCAATACGTTCCGAATGATGAGGCCGGCCGCCGCGTAGCCGAAGTGGCGCCCCAGGGACAGTTCCCGGACTCGGACTCGTATTATCAGTGGCGTGGCAAATATACGGATGGGGGATAGAAGACGAAACCGCAGGTTATTGAACCAACGTACACAATCGACAAGGCAGATCAGCTTTACGAACTGAGTCTTAATCTGATCGACCAGGCGTTACGGAGGCGAGGCCTCAAGTCGACTGTCTTGGCCCCTGTGTAAGGTTTATTAGTGATGAAAATGAGATGCGCCTTCGGAGCGCAGACCGCTGCTTCAAGGACAGATGTGGGAGCAACGGTGTACCAAGGAGGTGGCCTGCGGCAGTTCCGATCGGATATTGAGCGAGCGAGATGGCGCTCCTCCTGCTTTGAAGAGCGAACAATGCTTCGTAAGTCATAATGCGTAATGCAATAGTGATTAATCTAGTGATAGCTATGAACTGCTACGCACTGAATGCACCAGAGAATGCTGGAAGCGGTCGTCATCGGAGTAGAGCGCATTTGCTGCAACTGCAGAGAGCGCATTTGTCCTGGAATACAGAATAAAGTGTTCAGAATTGGGGATATCTATTGTTGGAGCTCATTTTGGGATCTGGTGCATAATATGACATGCATTCGGTGATCCTTCCCGGGCGTAAGACGGATGTATCGCACCAGAGTCTCCGGGGGAAAGAAATGGCTGCATGGGTACAATGGAAAAAATGAGCGGCAACTTCCGAGTATTGACAGGTACTACGAGTTCCGGAGTAGTCCATTGTTTTGCACCAGTGCGTCTTAGCATCCGGATGCTGTTTCAGGATATATCAGTAGATTGCAAAAGCCGAACGACAGCAACCGAGCGTCGAGAGAGAAGGCGCTGGACTACGAAGGTGGCATGAAGTCCGTCGGCGCCTTCCCCGTGTGTACAGTGGAAGCAGTGCTGAAGAAGAGCAACGTGGGTCGTGCTTGAACACCGCCATTATGACGAGGAAGCAGGGTGCACCATCTCTACAGATTAAAACGGATCGAGGCAGATTCTCCCGAGAAGGTAAATTGTTAAATAGAAGGATGTTTCAGGCATTCATCATCTACTGCCGGGGACAACTTGCGAAGATCATGGTGCAAGAACGGACTGAGATTCTGTTTTCGTTCCACACAGAATACAGCAGGGCAAGCAGCTGAACCACTCAAGCAGTCTGCTGGTTAGATTGCGTATAATATTCCAGAGGCTGAATCGTAGCATGAAGAAGCTCTTGACTCCCGAGTGCGCCTTCACATGCGAGAAGCTCCAAATAACCTCTGATGAAGCGGTAGCAGCGAGCCTATCGGACACAGATCAGTGTGAGAGGCCCAAGGAATGGATCATGGCTTCGCTCACTGACAGAGCCGGTGAGCGTATCTCGCGCGAGTACGTCGATAAAAGAGAACAGGGAATCCAGGGCGAGGTATCTGGGTAGAGAGTTCAAGAAAATAGGATGCGTTCCGGGGAACGTGCTTTATGAAAAGCACACTGCGAGACAAGTGCTGGCATAAATTCCTGAGCGAGGCGGAAATTCGAGATAGAATTGGTCTGTCGACTTGGTCGCTCTGTCTAGCTGTTGGTTCGATAACTATGAGGAGACTTTCCTCGATCTTGCTGGGGAAACTATCGGGTCGCCAAAGGTATATATGGTACCTCTAAATTGCCCGCTACTCACCAAAATAGTCACGGAACGACGCCACCGGGAATATGATTTTTGATGATACTAGGCACCGTCATGGAAAAGCTGTTACATATTATGCGACTCCGACCAAGCATTTACGAATGATCCGATCTCGATTAACGAATCCGCAGACTTTCGGGCGTTTTCTTGGCTGCTGTCAAAAGACCAATTCAGACCAATGCCTTTCCGAAGTCCATATAAGTTCCCACTCCGAGATGCGAGACTAGGTATTGTTCTGTACCGAGAAACCACGGGGTAGGCGCGATACCGTGAGGCTGACACTCAAATAGATAGAGTTATTTGTAGCACCAGAAAAATGATTGCAGGTAGCAGATGTAAAAACAGACGCCACGGAGCGTTTGTTGGAAAACTTGATGAAACGTTATGAAGTCTCCGATTGGGCTAGCATCCTCCGCGGACCACCGGTCTGCGCGAGCCTTGAAAATGCTTGTTGGTGTCCGGCTTGCCAGAAGCGGTTGACACACACGTCTCCAAGCTTAGGCCGTACGAGGATAGATGAAGAAAACACCTACGAATTCTCGCTTCGTAGGTTGAAGGTCGAAGCATGGGTACGCGTATATGCGTTCCACTTCGAACGGCGACAGCCTGTCCCTAAAGAGAGACCACTTCCCACGCGAGAAATATTTCTTAGTTTTCCTCGCAATAGACACGCAGGAGCTCATTATTCGATGTTTCTTATCTAAGACAAATACCAGTGGTACAGACCTACATAAACCTCCCAACTACTCAGCTTGGCTGTCACCACGAGAACAGGACTGCAACACAATAAGTCTAACACGGAATACTTCCACCACAATCGTCTTGCGAAAACTTAAGATAGATGAATCGCATTAGGAATACTTCTGCGTTTCGGGTGGTGGACGAACCTCAGCAACCGATAGTTCGTTATTCGCTATCCTTCTTACCTAGAGCCGTGACCTGCTGAGCCCTGCTGACTGGCACCTGGAAGGAGCAGTACTCGGGAGTTACTCATTCCAATGAAATCCCACTAGCCTATATATAGCTTTCAGTACCTCTCTCAACTTGGATATTTCGGACTATGAACCCCGAATTCCCTACGTCCGTTACGCTCCAGTCTCGACATCAACGTGAATTCTTCATCGCATCATGATGACCCCAATTCAAATTCCTCTGCAGTGCGCGCGCGTTCCGCGCTTTTGGCGCTATCACGTTGTGCGTTGTTGTTTTGGCTTTCACAACACACGGCGGTTACGTTCGTGTTGACCATATCGAAAAAACAATAGTGAAGATATATTCACTCGAGAAAGAACAAATATCCGTATTTATTGGACTGAGAGAGCGTCGAACGAGATGTTTCGAGCTCTTTCTCTGGCGCGTGCCCTGGGAGTAGCTGTTTGTCTATTGTTGGCGGCGACGTTTTCCGTGTCGCTTGTGGCTGCGTTGTCGCCTGTGAGTACGGTTAGCTGGACCTGGATAGGAGGAGAGACGGGTACTGGTAACTTTGGCAGGTATGGAACGTTGAACCAGACGTCTCCAGAGAGTGTTCCAGGAGGCCGTTACTATTCTGCAGCCTGGGTCGGAAGTTCGAGCGTAGTGTACTTGTTTGGCGGGTTCGGGTTCGGAAACACAGCAAAGGGCCTCCTTAATGATCTGTGGAAATTCAACCTGACCTCGCTCGAGTGGACATGGATAGGAGGTTCCTCAGAACTTGACCAACCAGGAGTGTACGGCACAGTCGGCACAGGCAGCCCAAATAATATACCCGGCGGCCGTCAGTCTAGCGCATATTGGCAGACGGACGAGCACCATTTTTGGTTGTTTGGTGGCTACGGCTTTGATGTGAACGGTAATGCGGGAGACCTGAACGACATGTGGCGGTACGATACTGAAACGGGAATCTGGACGTGGTTCAGTGGGAATGATACTTTTAACGCCAATCCAGTCTATGGACCGAAGGATATCTACAGTCAAATTTACAACCCCGGAGGCCGAGATAGCGTGGCATTCTGGCTGGGTGCGGATGGTCTTTTTTGGTTGTTTGGTGGTGAGGATATTGCGGGGAATTTGCTGTCAGATCTTTGGTCATTCAACCCTGTTACATTCGAATGGGCATACAGAGGCGGATCACAACTTGTTAACCATCCTGGTAACTATAGTGCACCTGGCGTGGCGAGCAACTCAAATGCTCCAGGTGCGCGCGGCTTCTCGCATACGTGGACAGATTTTGAAGGAAATCTCTGGTTGTTCGGCGGCTATGGCTACGGAAACAGCACAGCACTAGGGCAAGGGGACTTGAATGATCTCTGGGTCTACAACATAAGTCAATCCGTATGGCTTTTGATTGCAGGAAATACCACTATTAATAATCCAGGATCTTATGGAACTATCGGTGCTTTCTCCCCAACCAGTTACCCAGGTGCAAGAGACTCAGGCGTAAGTTTTGTGGATTCTTTGGGTAATCTGCTACTTTTTGGTGGTGAAGGATATGGGAATACTCGTGAGAGCCCCGGTGATTTGAACGATTTGTGGGTATTTGATATCACACTTGGTCAGTGGGCGTGGATCAATGGAAGCCAAAGTGTGGATGCTCTTTCAGTATATGGAGTTTTCAACGAATCCGACCCGAGTGTTGTACCTGGTGGTCGCTTTGGACCAGCTTTCTGGAATACAAGTGGGACCGATCCGATCCTATTTGGCGGATCTGGATACTCAATCACTAGCGGACCTGGCTATCTCAATGATGTTTTCGCACTGAGTGAAACGTTCTTTACGCCTACCTCTACGCCTACGCCAACATCAACGCCAACTCTGACACCAACGATTACGCCAACTGCTACTGCGACACCGACACCGACTGCGACACCGACACCGACACCGACACCGACTGCGACACCGACACCGACACCGACATTGACACCTACACCGACACCGACACTGACTGCGACGTTAACTCCGACAATTACATCATCGCCAACGATTACTGTAACAGCGTCTCCAACGACAGTGACGATGACGCCGACGATGACTCCAACTGCAACAACGTCACCAACAATCGTGCCGACGACGATTTCCACCTCGATTGCGATATCCGTTCAGAATCTTTCTCTGTGTTTGGCCGTGGCGACGGATTTGCAGAACGATCTCGAGGCTCGCTTCACGGGCCAGGTAGTGAATGTCAGCGTGACTGATAACTGCGACACGGTCTTCGGTTCGGGCACATCAAGGCGCCTCGCCACCACATTAGACAAGAGCAATCTTCGTCTGGAACGAGCATTGGTGCGCACTGCGGGCGGCAGTGTTGTGACCTATGTGATTACGATCTCAGGAGACACATCCCTCGCCAGTGAACTGCAAAGTGTGCTTCAAACTTTCACCGACCAGGTTTCTACAATTCTACCCTCTGGTGCGACACTTGCTTTTATAACCCCGACACCGAGTGCAACGCCAACACCAGTTTGCACGAGTGAAATCTGCGGTTCTCCGGGCCAGTACACAAACCAGGACGCTTGCGAGCAAGTCGGGTGCTGCTTTAACTCCCAGACGAACGCGTGCACCCTGAAGAGCGTCTCAGCGGCGTGCAGCGCTGTTCCAGTGACGCAGCGCGTCCCCTGCGGCTGGAGCTATATCTATCCAGACGAGTGCACTGCGATACCGGGATGCTGCTGGCAGCCAACGGCAAACGGCATCCTGGCACCCTGGTGCTACTACGACATCAACCATGCACCGCAGGCCTCTGTAGCGCTGCAGGAGGTGCAGGCACCAGTACCCGTCTGCCCATCACCGGGAGCGCAGCGCCAGCCGTGCGGCAACGCGGGTATCAACCAGTTTACGTGCTATGCCCAGGGCTGCTGCTACGACTCGCAGGCGCAGAACCAGTGGGTGCAGAACGGCAAGCAGCAGAGCGACTTTGAGTCGAACCCGTACTGCTTCCAGCCCGAGAAGACGTGCGCGGTGGGCGAGTTTGAGCGCCAGCCGTGCACGAACGCGGTGAATCAGAACCAGCAGCTGAACAATAACATCAACAACAACCAGTTTGTGCGTCTGCTGAACACGCTCCTGTACGGAGAGCAGCACGGGACGCAGCGCACGAGCTACGCGCCGCAGCAGTGTCTGGAGGCTGGTTGCTGCCTGGGGCTCGGCAACGAGTGCTTCCAGCCGGTAACCGAGTACGTGTGCCAGACCTACGGGTATGTGTCGAACTCGCTGAGCGGCACGACGGGCAACGTATCGAACTCGAGCTATACTGTATGCGGCCCCGAGTGCTGCAACGCCGAGACGCAGAACTGCACGTACATCCCGTTCAGCAACAACAATAACCTGCAACAGCAGCAACAATTGCAACAACAGCAGCAACAACAACAGGTGCTGCTGCCGTCATTTTGTGTGTGCAAGGACCCTACGAAGCAATGCGGGACGTACCTGATCCCTTCGGATAACCTTGTGAACAAGATGCGTTGCTGCCGCGCTGACGAGGAGTGCATCAACAACCAGTGTGTCGTGATTAGTTCAACACCGACTCCGAGTCCCGTGGCTGCGACAGCGACACCCTCTGCGACGGTGTCTGCGACAGCTTCTGCGGCGGTGTCTGCGAGTGCGTCAACATCGGTTTCGGGTTCAGCTTCAGTGTCTGCTTGAGTATGCGCGTTGACGATTACGTCGTTTAAGGTCTATATCATGTCTATGCTGATCCTCTGTAATGACAATGTTGCAGACATGTACACAAGATCGGTGAATACGGATGAATGAACGAAAGAACGAATGAATGAATGCGGATACAGTGGTGCGCGGAGAGCGCTCTGAAATCCTGCCGAGGGGGCGTGATTCAGAGGCGATACACATGGAACGACTGTACTGGGAATCTCTCTCGGAACGTAAAGGAATGATTTCCTATGAGCACGAGCGTGCCTATGAATATCGCTTTTACGGCGAGGTCGTTGATTTGGAAATATTTGCTGTCGTTGCCCCGGAAACCCGGTGCACAGGTAGCGACTAGTGAGTTTTGCTGCGACGACGCAAACGGATGTAAGCATTGTAGGATTGATGTACTAGCATGGATTCTGTCCACGAATAGTAGTTCCAGAGCAAGTGCAATTCGATCCGTGCAACTGAACATTTCACCAGAATACGGTATTCCTAGGGTAAGCGTATATATCAATGAATCCATTCCATCTGCTGCAGCACCGCTGAGTAAGAAAGTCGCAGAGCTACCAGCATCACAGCGCACGTACAGCTCTAGCATCGAAAGCGCATGTTGCCTGCTCCAAATGCGGAAGGGTCGCCTCAGAAGTTCTCAGACTCTTGCCTGCTGTCTGTTGGACAAAATGTGTACAAAATCGACTGTAGCGCACTGTTGGGATCCAGTCCCCGATTTGGGCTTGTTGTCGAGAAAATGACTCCAAGCAGAGGGCGCAAGTACGCTGTAAGACCATGGACATGCCGCAAGCGTGCTAAAGCGTAGAGGCAAGATAGAGCACACAGCGGGATCCAGGGGGCGAATCTAGCCAAAGTGAGAGTTACCGCAGCACGGCGAGCAGAATTGAAGGCAACCTAGGAGCTCTCATTCTGTAACCGTACCTATCGATTATGTGCAAGTTCGTTGCGAGATCCCCTATGATTGAATCTACTGCTGATGAATGGAGGCTTGTCCTCCGGCTAAGGGAGCAACCAAGATGCAGAATATGATGTATCCTTTAAAAAAGGTCTCAAGCTTCACGATTGATATAGTTGCGGCTTCTTTTGTTGTATGAAGGCTACCGCAGCAATATTTTAGCACGGCGGCCACCGACTAATAGTGTAAACGATTGAGGTACTTGTCGCGGACATCATCTTAATAAGCGACGCCCGCCTGGATGCTAGCCTAAACTAGCGAGACCCTGCAGTGCCAACCAGGATCGCCTTGAGTGTAGACGGAAGGCAAGAATAGCCAGCGCGATCGGGGCTCTTCGTTGTAGACGGTGCCAGAGTTGATTTCCTCGGGTAGTATGCATCGCAAAGGAGGGCGTGCGTTGGACTCTGGCGCGCTTGCGAGCACCGGTGCGACGGAAGTTAGATGCAAAGCTATACAGAAAGGATACCACGGGCTTCATGATGACTGCCAAATGATAGTACCAGCAGTGGACGGGCGGAACAGCAAATTTACGCTTCATTCGTTGCGGCCATGAAGTAGGTGCTTGCAGATGAGGTGAATGGATCGCTAATGCAGTAGCTTGTCATAGTCAATAGACTTGGCATATTGAAAGTGGTCAAAAGAGCTTGTCTGTCTGCTTCATGATGGTTGGAATAGTGTTTTTGGACCGATAGGGGTACGCCACGAGAAAAATGCCTGATCAGGCATCTTGTGCACCGAAAGCTGCCTGGCACCAAGCACAAAAGCAAAACCTTGGATAGCAGCTTGCAGTACTGCGATGAAAATGAGGTCCTGATGAATATCCAGTTCGAGAACTTAGATGGAGATAACCCTGGAAGAGAATATCGCATCGGAAGCCAAGGATTCCAGTTTCACACGAATAAGCGGTCGGGAAGGCGGATCCATCGATGGTAAACCAGAATTGAATGACTTGCGCTTGAAAGTATATGCCTGGACTGAATGTATATTCGTGAATCTTGGCGCTCATATTTGCTGCCACACATTTTCCTAAGCGGTATAATAGTGTGAGTTATCTTGCCCATGAAAAAGGGTGACAGAGCATGTTACAGAGTACATACAGTCTCAAACACAGTAGGAGCCCACGACGCAGTCAATATCTATTCCAGAGGCGGGCATCTGATGCCCGACAAGCAAAAGGTATCTGGTGGTACATGTTCTTCTGCTCGCAGATTCTAAAGGCCCAACAATGGGGATTTTGTGGCAAGCGGAACACAAGCAATACGGATCACAGGTGAGTCGATAGGAGTCGAAACAACCCCTGCACCAGTGCGACAGAGGTAAAAGATCGAATTGCAGTCTATGGAGAATACAGTACTACACGCGACTGCAGTATCGTTCCGTAGACAACCACAAATGTATACTGTTGCTCACCAAAACAATTAAAGGGTAGCGCAAGGCGAAGGAATCCATGATGAATATTAAAGGGCGTTCTACATCGCATAAAAGCCGCACAACGTGATATCTGCTTGAAATGGTCCAAAACAGAAAAATGCATGTATATCTACTGCTGCGAACACCAAAAGTTGGGCGAAAAAAGGTGCAACGACGGAAGTTAATCGAAGCACCGTACTAAGAACTCGCCAGGACCGGAAAAAGCTAGTTCAGAGGAAGGAAGACTCAGCCAAACCGTGAGATATGTTGGTGCTCGGAGGCGTCTGGGCAGTCCAGCCGAGACGCCAACGAGCGCTGGAGTGCAAACCCACAGATAAACAAAGGCGTAGACGAAGAAAGCAGTTTCGGGCATTGCAGCCACGACATAAAGACAAGGCTCACACCAGGATATGGAAATACAAAAAAAGATCGATACCAACGGTTTCACAGCACCCTTGCCGATGTAAAATTAGGGCCGGGCAGTACAACATGGCTACGGAAACGTAGGTCTTCGGCGAAAATCAGCAGAAGCTTGTACCCCCTGGGCGGCAGAAGAAGAAAGGCTGAAGTACAAACGTCATCGAAGAGAGCCCCAGGAATAAAATGGCAATGACATACAAGGACGAAAGCTGACAGAATGGAGCATGGTGAACGTGAAGAGACTATAACCTGTCGGAGATGCACAAAAAATATGCCAGCTGGATAGAAAGCGGAATAGGCGCAAGTAAGCAAGAGATTCGTTTCCAGGATCGCTACGAACGTCGAAGACACATTCAAAAAAAACGTTTGCGGTGAGACGAAGTCCCCACTGCCGCATATCGAACCCAGCTAATAAGCAAGTGGATAGCAATGACTGGACAATGCCTAGCGAAATCAATCCCAAAAGAGAAAGCCATGGGCCAGCAACGCAAACGAGGCTAAGCGCCGTTAAACGAATCCCCGAGAAGACCGCGCAACGAGGACTCGTGGAAATTGGGGGAATGGGGGGAATGGGGG